GGAGAATCTGTCTCTATAACGAAGTACGATGCAATTTCAATTTACTAGTAATTTGGCTGGTAACAAAATCGCGTCAGCGCTCTTGAAGGGCCAGCTACTGCGCAAAGCTTGACGCGTCTTATTGTTTGAAGACTTGCCAAAAAATTAAATAAAGGCTGTTGAGGGAATCGAACCCTCGTCTTTTCCGATTTGACAATCGATTGAGAAAGTTGTAAAGGAAAGATGCTAACCGTTACACCAAACTGCCATAACAGCGTAAAATGCGGGATAGGTGCGTATATGAGCACAACCACAAATGCCACCATTCTCTCGCTCTAAGATGTCCTCTACAGCCAAATCTTTTTCGTTATCTGTTCTTATGACATTCGATATTACACTGTTTTATAAGATATAGTACATGATAATACAAAAAGATATTTTCCAAAATAACAAAACTTTTCTTTTTAGTTGGCAGGTCTTGGAGTTTCAGCTACCGATTCAGATCTTTGACGATCACGTCCACCTGCAGAAGCGCCATTACTCAAATAAACACCTGCCGTTCCTTGTTTGAATTTTTTAGCCAAAAGTTGAGGATCTGTATAATCTCGTTGAATCCAATCCCAAGTAGATACAGTCGTACCATTTTTGACTTTGATTCGATCTCGCGTTGCACTCATTGCGAGTTGTCCTGTTCGATCTCCATCAACATCCGTTCCTGCACCTTGTGCACCAAGATCGTAATCTGGTGATCCATTTGCTTCGCGAGCTGCTTGTCTCTCTTCGGCTCGTTTGAGCTTGAGCACGTCCAAAGCTCCTTTCAATATGCTATTGTCTTCCACCAACAATTCCTTCGGTGCTGCTTGTCCATGGAATACACGTTCTGCATGTTGTTCGTCCAGAATTGGCTCAGGGTCATGAATCCGAGTCATTCTTCTGTACGTCTCTGAGCCTACACCACCGCTAAGGAATCGAGCTGCATTGAGAACATTGCCAGGATTGCGATGTCGACAAGTAGGATAAAGTGCTATATTTCCAATCGTCGATGAAGGCAAATCCCTTCCATTCGGTCGTATGGCTGAGAATGATGGCGCAGGATTCTCTGCTGTTGGCGGTGTGATCAAAAGAGAGGCTGTTGGATGAAAGGGCAACACAGTTGGACGTGCACTGATGGAACCAAACAAAGTATCGCATGGTTGATACTTAGACGCATCGGCCAAGAAAGAAGCAAGAGCACGTCTTTGTTGAAATGCTCGTGAGAATGCTGGCCCGCTAGGTGTAAGATAACCAGGCTGAGCATCTCGTGCTTCTTGCACCAAAACAGGATAATCATTGGCGAAAGCATGCATGCTAGACATTGACGATTGAGTGTTGTGCCCATTCAGCGCCTCTTCTGATACCGCAGGTAGATCATTCACAGTTTGTCCAGATGCCAGCATTGAAGATTGAAAGGGGATGGCTTTATGCCATAGGTCCTCCACAGATCGCTTTGGTGCTTCAGCTAGCTCCTCCGCAGTATTGATAGGGAGAGTGCCATCTGCAGGCTCTACGTGGCCATTTGTGATGGTTGGCTCTCGAACTCGTGCAGCTTTGCCTCTTTCATAGTCTGCATCCTCAATGACATAGATCTTTGCATCTTGAGGTACTTCGCCGTACTGTTCTGATTTGAGGGGTATCGAAGGAAGAAAGTCGGGTATATGGGAGGATGATGTAGAGCGACTTCGTTTTCTTTTGTGCCCGTTGTAAAGCGCCAAGCTTCCGTTGGCAGCGGCGTCTTGGGCTGATGTCGAATCTGGCGTTGTGGGAGATGGTGATGGATGAAGTGATTCTTCCGCTTGACTATCTTCGTCGGATGCGTCTGCTTGTAGAAGGCGGTCAAGGAGATCAATCTGATCTTGATCTACTTCTTCGTAGGTCAGAGATTGTTTTGCTGCATCTTCTCTTTCTGGCTTTGCGTTTCGAAGCTTTCGATCCAACTGCTTTACACCATCCAGCCAAGGTTCAGCTTGTCGTTCCGTATCCTGAATCCTTTGGACGGCTAATTGTTGCTCGCTTTCATCCTTAATATCTCCAGCAAAATCATCCATAGGTCTTCTATGTCCTGCCACTTGCTGACCATCTTCGCTCAATGTCCAATCATAAATCTCTTCACTTGAAATGCCAAGCTCATTCAAAGCTGCTTCTGCATCCCAAGCACATGCTTTTGTCCTTCCTGCATGTTCGGCATTCTTTTGACATGAGCTCCCCAAAACGAGCAAATATCTTTCCATCAATTCGCTCAGCAATTCTACCGCCTGACCGCTACTCCTTGCAAAACCTGCCGAAGATAATGCTGTTCGAACATATCTCTGAACGTACGTGGATGCAAATGAAGATGTGGAAGATGATGGAACAGACAAATGCGGCGGTGGCATTGCCGTTGTTGGCTACTCAAAGCACAGTCGATGTTATGGTGCTGAGTGTTGATGGATGAGGTGTAATACTATCACTTCAATGTTGTCGACTTGCAAGACATTCGATGCTTCACAATGTGTGTGCGTGCGTGCGTGCGTGCGTGCGTGAGTGTGTATTATTTTTAGTGCGACAGCCTGTGCGGGCTATGCTTTCTAGTTTACATACGCGGTGCTGCACTCTTTATAGCACACAAAGCGGGCTTGCAGTCTGAACGGACTGGTATAAGCGCGGCCCGGCTTAAGTTGATGGCATGAAGACATAACACAATTCAAGGTTCATGTCAAATGAAGAACTGTAAAGTCACATTGTGATCCTGTCAAAGACGGGCGCATGAAATGCCAGATGAGATGCATTTTTTGACGGTTTGACTGCATTTACGCCCATAATACGGTTGAGTAAACGCATTAATCGGAGCATGAAATGGAATATTCTGACTTCAAACGTAATCGGAGGCAAGTCACTCACATTCATAAAAATTGCACGACGCATTGAGATAGGACATTGATTAGGTTCTTGATGTCCGCTTTTTTATTCCCACTTCAAAAACATCATTCTTCATCTTGATCTCATTCACAACATCTCTTTTCACACCATGAGCACGTCACCAAAGGTAAAATGAAACGAAAAAGAAGCTGCCAGCCATAACCTCTAATGACCAATCCTGTTTCTATAGAGACTTCACGTTACTCGATTTCCCTTGGGCATAAGTGCAAGGTGACAATGATTTTAAGTTGGTCTTTTCTTTGGGCTGTTCTACTGACACAACTCTTAACTTTTCACCGCCACAATAGAGACTTGGGCAACGTCTTTGAAAGTATCGGTCCCATATTTGAGTGCAGAATTCCGTTTCGAGCACGGTGAGTGAGAAGAAGCAGAGAGAGATGTTGATGAGAAGTTGCTGAAAACGTATTGTCCGACAGCTACGCATTCGTGGAATACCTTGATCCAGAAGACGCACTAGTACGTTTCATCTTTGTTCAGCATCTGCAGCTCATCATTGATCGCTGACACTTCATATGCACTCTCACAGACAGCAATGACGAAATTGAACGGGTACCTGATGGAGGATAAACAGCTGACGGTGTCTTGGGCTACTGTGAGTCAATGCGAATCAGCATTTAAAGTGACTTTGAAAAGCCCTAATACCATAATCTTCTTGCCATGATAAGCAACGAAGCAACAACAATAGCATCAACAATCACATCCGTGCTCAGAAGGACAATCCGAACCTCTGTCCACTGCCAGAGAAACCGAATTCTCGTTATGCCATGCCGAACAGTGGTGCTGATGAAGAATCGATTCAGGAAAATTCAAAGGTAGTCCCATCCCAGCAATCTCCAAAAGCACCTTTGAGCGGATGGGAAAGTGGTGAGAATGCTGAAGGTGGTACAGGAATTCGCATTCGAGGGATTTCCGAGTCTGGTGAGGCATACCAGAACTCCCACTGTGGATGGGATTCTGGAAGTGATCAAGAATTCGACTTCACACCGGACGACAGCCCGGTCAAGACGATCAGTCGCCCCAGAAGTGAAGGTGACGTACGCATGCTGAATAGCCAGGAGAAGCACTTGATGAAAAACTCCGAGAGTGCTCCTTGCCTATCCAAACGGAAACGTTCATTCGGGGCTGTCGGAGGTCACGGCAATACTGAAGCCCCAAAGCGTGCCCACGCAGAGGAAGGATGGTGAGTCAAAGGACAAGAGAGGATCGCAGGATGACAAGAAGGGCCGCGAGGCTTTACAGGGCAAGCCTGAACTGCGAATGGAATCCTTGAGCGCATCGTTTACTCACACTCGCAATTAATTCCCGTACGGTCGTCAAGAAGAAAAAAAAACAGGTATTGCGTTGAAGATACTGTATTATTTTTGTACATGATAGATAGAAATGTTGAAGAGAAGAGTTGCACAACAAAGCCTTACCAAGGATATGATTGACGCAGACATAACCTAGCTATATGCCACCGCTGCCAGGTACCATTTGCCGCGTTTTTTCACTCCATCTGAATTGGGGACTGTCGCCATCTCCCATTCGATTATACCGGATGAAATCTGCAAGGAGGTAGCATGTTCAGAAGCAGGATTCGGCTATATCTATGGTCATGCTTTTGTACTCACTGTTTGTGCCGCTTACGTTCATCACTCGTCTAAAGGTCATGTTGATCCTACCGCCAACGTAGGATGTTCTTTTAGGGATGGAGTGTTCCCAGTCAGCCTGGGTTCTACCTTTCATGACCAAAAGATCACCATCTTCCAAAACCATCTTTTCCGTTGGTCTTTGAGCGGCTGGACCTTTACCTTTTGTGCCCATCTTTTCGTTTGAGGTTGCATCTGGAACGGATTGATTTGCGGGAGCTTTGCGTCGTAAATAAAAATCTCTTGAAGCTCCAAGTGAAATTGAAGCAATCGTTGGCGATTTTCCCAAAAATGCTTCATCATCAGAATGATATGAAATTGAATCTTTTCCATCAGCATAATAATTTATTATTATTGCATTAAACCTGGCCCCCGTCTTTTCTTCCAAGATTTTTCTCAGACGATCCAATAACGGTGGAAATGGTTTTGGTGGAAATTTATATAAATGATCAGGTGATCCTGTATCATCTTTTCCAAACGTTGCTGTGAATCGTGGCGTTATGATTCGCTGTTTTGATCGAGGTTGAATGTACGTTACCCGATGCCATGCTAATTCGTTCAACATCCAATTTCGTAGCCGTTTGCGTTCTTGACTTCTTATCCAGCCTTTACAGTACAGCAAATCTAAGCTTCCGTTCAGTTTCTCTATGTTTCTCTCGGATCGACTATCGAATGAATCATCGTCGAGGGAGGGATCTCCCACCTCCTCATCTTTTGGCTCTTCTGTTCGATGCACTTTCTTAGGAGGCGAGCTGGATGGTCCCACAAGCAGTCCATCCTCTAGTCTCCTTTTTGAACTACCTCCAACTTCTTCTCCTTTTACTTCCTTGCTCTGCTCCTCTATCAAACTTTGTTCAATCGCAGCTTTGATCCTAGCCTCATCATCCATATCGGCAACCTTTGCTTCCGCTTCCGAAAGGGCCAGCACCTTTTCCAGTTCGATTTCCTCTAAGCTCTTCTTTGGGCTTTTCCCTGCATTCGTTGTACTCCCTCCAGTCTTGGCGAATAGACTCGCTATCTTTTGCGTATCAGTCATCTTGCCATTGAAGTTGTGGTGATCAAACGGTAAGGAGTGGAAAGAGTGGAGGCATTTGGCGGGCATTTGCTTGCTTACGCGAAAAAGTAACACAACGCGTATCTTAACGCGTGCAAAACTAGCACTCAATCATGCTTTCCACTTCCATCATCACCTTTCAAGGTTCGCTGACCGTCATTTGATAATCAATGCGGCTCCATAGTAGCGGCTATGCGGATACGATATGAATGATAAATTGAGACCATTCGTGAGAAGATTCTGCAATGAATACATACGCCGCCAAGTAAAGTATAAGTCCGATTCAATTGACTCTACGGAGCCGTATTCAATAAAGAATTTCTTCAGAGAAAAAACTATTTGTGGCTTAATGATGAGCTGATTTCTCATATGTCAGACTTGCTATGAATGTCGGCGGAGCAAGCACCTAAATGAGCTGCTGCTGAGCGAGCTTAGAAGCCGTGCGAGGAAGATACATAAATAAGGGATCGTCCACTTCAAGTGGTCTCGCCCATCACCATCTTCCATCCCGCTCCCCTTACAAAATGACACTGTCCCTCTCTTTCTATCCTCTTCTTTTTGTAACCACCGCTCTTTTGACTGTGAATGCAGAGGAGAGCTGTGCGTACAAAATACCATCATGGGATCCATATCCAAAGTTGCATACAGTCAACAAGACATGGTCCTATGGATCTGCCAAAGAAGGAAAAAATGTCACGATTCCCGATCCCTATTATTGGCTAGAAGGGGATTTGCATAACGATACAGATGTGATCGAATTCATCAAAGAAGAAACAAAAGTTACAGAAGATTTTATGGCAAAATGCAAAGATAAAGATGCAATCACGGCTTCCATCACTGCTGCTTTCGATTATGATAACTATGATTTCTTCACCCGCGTTGATGGTGGGCCAAGCCCGTACTACACCTATCAAGTAAAACGTGCAAAGGAAGACCGTCCGACATGGTATGTCTGTACACCAGAAGAGTTGGAAGCAGCAAGAAAGGACAACCTTGCAACACCACCCGGCAAGAAATTCTTGGTTGAAGAATTGTTGAGCGAAAACGGAACGGCAAATATTCAAGATTGGCGAAATTCACCAAATGGAAAATATTTCGCTTATTTAACTTCAGAAGCAAATGCGGATGTGGCAACTTGGTATGTACGTTCGATTGATTCACCTTTGATCAATGCAACCACTTTCCCGCCTGGTGGTGAAGGTGCTTTGCCGGACGTGATTCCGTTTTGTCAAAGTGATTTTGAATGGAAACCGGACGATTCTGGATTTTTCTACATTCAAACCGAAGATAGCAAAGGAGGTTTCAATACAGTGATTGGTTCGACTATTCGCTATCATCAAATGGGAACAGCAAACGAAAAAGATATTACAATCGTTCACGCTGATCCGGTCAGAGCTGATGGAACGAATAACGATTGGCATATCAAATTAAGTCATGATGGTCGTTGGCTCATCGCGATGGGTTCTCATGATGCACTTGAATACAGAAAAGTGTTTGCTACACTTTTGCCTGATCAAACTTTATCAGACAATATGAAATGGATTTCAATTTCTCCAACTTATGATTTCACATTCCAATCAATCAGTGTGATTGACGAATGGCTTTACTTTTCGACCAATCGTGATGCTTTGAATAGCAAAGTAGCAAAAGTCAAACTGGATTGGAGCAAAGCACGTCAAGTGAGCGATGTAAACACATTGACTGATCGTCTTGATTTCGTTGATGTGATCCCTGAGCAAGATGATGCTTCACTTTTTATTGCAGTTGGATTGTCAGAAAATATGGCTTCTTGCGCTTATATCAAAAATGGAAAATATGTCGTTCAAATTTTGGATTTATTAGCCGGTAAGATCGTTCATACTGCCATTCCAAACGATCCTGCCCAATTACGAACTTTAATTACTGCCCATAAAGCAAAATCACTTACGCTCACCGTTTCGGGCACAACTTCTCCCGATGCAGTTTATGAAGTCAGATATGATGGTCAACAATTCCAAGACGTTCTCTTGACTGTACAAAGTATCAAAGGTACCAACGCAACAGATTATGTTTCCGAGGAATTCTTCGCAACAGCTTCTGATGGAACACAAATTCCTTATGCTGTGGTATCCAAGAAAGGCACTCCAAAGGACGGCACATGCAGCGCTTGGGTACATGCTTATGCTTCTTATGGCTACATTGAAACGTTTTATTTTGATGCAACATACTTTTCTTATTTGGTAGGATACGATTGTACATCATTCGTTTGGTCTTCCGGAAGAGGTGGTGGCGATCGTGGTGAACTTTGGCATATTGCTGGACAAAGGAAGAATAAGACAAGGTCCATCGATGATACGATTGCAGTTGCACAAGATTTAGTCAAACGCAAAATTGCTGCACCTGGCAAAGTTATCCTTGATGGTGGTTCTGCAGGTGGTATGGTTGCTGGAGCTGCAGCAAACAGAGCTCCTGAAGGTACATTTGGAGTCGTTTTTCCCGTAAGAGCAGTTCTTGATTTCTTCTTACGTAAACGTTCACGAGATGGAGCAGACCAGATTGAAGAATTTGGTGATGTTGACAATCCAACCGATTTCGATACGATCATTCAATGGTCTCCTTTACAAAACATCAACAAAACTCGCGATTATCCGGCAATGTTACTCCTTCCAGGTGATTCGGATGATCGTGTGGTGGCCGCTCATAGTTTCAAATACCTCGCACAAGTTCAAGCTGATCATCCAAACAACAGCAAACCTTTGCTCATGCACTTGGTCAGGGAAGCAGGTCATACACAAATGGGTCTGAGTACGGATACAGAAACGATTCAAGGCTTACATCAATTATGTGTGGCTTCCCTCGTTTTAGATCTCAAGCGTGCGAGTTGATGCGAGGTAGTCAAGTCACATTTTAGCTTTTGCCTTATCTTTCACATCCTGAGACTATCTCAAGTGTAAGTTCATCATTCTTTATAATTCAGATATATACCGACTCAAAATTTCTTTGATCTGAGACAGGGGAAATATTGTTATGTGAAGCCAAAATTAAGAATGACATCGATGTTCCGTGCGTGTAGGATGGCGGATGATGAAATTCAGCCACCCCTTATCTTCTGTTCCGACATTCGCATACCGGCACTCATTCCTTCTCCTAAACGGATATCAGTGACAGGCACAGAATTATAAGCGATCTTCCAAACGACAATTCACTTCCCATTTCTCGAAGTGCTTGTGACAACCAAGCTACAGCATGACATCAATCACTTTTCACGTAGCGCTTTTAGCCATCTTTGCATGTTTGACTGTTAATGCAAATCCAACATGGAATCCAACTACATATCCGTACCCGAAAGTGCATACAGTTGACAAAATATATACGTACAGATCAGCAAAGCAAGGAGGAAATGTCACAATTCAAGATCCATACAACTGGCTTGAAGCAGACCTTCACACAGATGCGGATGTGATCAAGTTCATCGACGAACAAACAAATCTCACTGAAACGTACATGGAAAGGTGTAGCGATAGGGACGCAATCAAAGCATCATTTGCTTCGGCTTTCAACTATGACGATTATGATAACTTCTTTTTTGTTGATGGAATTGCAGCTCCGTACTATACGTACAGCCTTACTCGGGCCAACGAGAACCGGCCAGTATGGTATGTGTGCTCACCTGAAGAGTTGGAAGTAGCAAGGAAGGACAACCTCGCAACACCGCCTGGTAAGAAGTTCTTGGTTGAAGAGCTTCTGAGTCAAGATGGAACGTCAAGCATTCAAGATTGGAGGAATTCCCCAGATGGTAAGTATTTCGCTTACTTGGTCTCGGCGTCAAATTCAGATATACAAACTTGGTATATTCGTACGATCGATACGCCATTGGTGAACGCAAAAACATTTCCACCCGGCGGTGAAGGCGCTTTGCCAGACGTAATCCCATTCTGTCAAGGTAGCCTTGAATGGTCGCTCGATTCTTCTGGCTTCTTCTACGTTCAAACAGGAGACAGTGATGCAGGAGCAAAAACAGAACACGGATCATCTGTACGTTATCATCGAATGGGTGTTCCGTATGAGAATGATACAACCATAGTACATCCTGATCCTATTGGCCCGGAGGGAGGATATAACATCTGGTCGCTACTGCTCAGTGCAAATGGCACTTGGCTGATTCTAAAAGGAGTTCAAGATGCTGTCCAGGATGCAAAAGTATACGCATCATATTTACCCGGTCAGACTTTATCCGACCACATGAAATGGATTTCGGTTGCTCCTTCGTATAACTTTACCATTGCTTCAATCAATGTGATTGATGATTGGTACTACTTTGGTACAAATCGAGATGCCTTGAATGGAAAGATTGCTAAAGCAAAACTTGATTGGAGTAAAGCACGTCAAGTGAGCGATGTGAACACCTTAAAAGATTCGATCGATTTTGTGGACGTTGTCCCAACACGGCCATCTGTCTCGCTGTACACAAATGTCGCATTATCGGATCAGTATGCACTCCTTGTTTATGTCATAAAAGGGAGGTATATCGCACAAGTTTTGGAACTGAAAACGGGAAGGATTGTACACACTGCTATTCCTGATAATCCGTCACAATTCACAAGCATAACGACTGCGCTTAAAAGTAGATCTGTCACGTTGAATCTTTCAGGAACTACTTCTCCTGAATCGGTATATGAAGTCAGATGGAATGGGACGGCTTTTGAGGACGTTTTGTTCACGGTCCAAAAGATAAACGGAGTCGATCCAAAAGACTACATCACGGAAGAGCTTCTTGCTACTTCCGAGGATGGCACGAAAATTCCATATTCAATCGTATACAGGAAGGGAACACAAAAAGACGGGAAGTGCACCGCTTGGCTTCATACATATGGAAATTTCGGAGCTGTGGAAGGATTTTATTTTGATTCAACGTATTTCTCTTGGCTCACAAGCTATAGATGTGCAATCTTTGTTTGGTCTTCCCCTCGTGGTAGTGGAGATGAAGGCGCAGAATGGCATGTTGCCGGTCAAAGGCACAATAAAATCAAGACAATCGAAGATGTGATTGCGATCGGGCAGGACCTAGTCCTTCGAAAGATTGCTGCTCCCGGTCAGGTCATCCTTGAAGGGACAGAAGAAGGTGGCATGATCGTAGCAGCAGCAGCCAATAAAGCTCCTAAAGGTACATTTGGAGTAGTTCTACCCAGACGACCCGTTTTGGATTACTTTTTACGTAGACGGTCCACTGGAGGAGCACTTCAAATCGGAGAATTTGGCGATATTTACGATCCGACAGATTTTGATACAATTATCCAATGGTCACCATTGCAAAACATCAACAAAACTCTCGATTATCCAGCAATGTTGCTCACACCGGCTGATTTCGATGATCGTATTGTGGCCGCTCATGCTTTCAAATTTCTTGCACAAATCCAAGCTCTTCGTCCCAACAATTCAAATCCTTTGTTGATGCATTTGGTCAGACTCACAGCTCATACCAACGCTGAGCTGAGCACGCCAATTTATGACAATGAAGGATTACACCTAATATGCCTCGTTTCTCTCACTTTCCAACAGAAACGTATCAATTGAGCATGTCATGTATATCCAATACAATAGCAGTCATATGATAGCTTTTGACTTATAGATCACATCTTGAGACTAACTCTTGTGTAAGTCCATCCTTCTTTATAATTCAATAATTTGTGTCCGAGCTCACAACGACTTTGATTTGAGACAGGAGCAACATAGTCAGGAGGGCTAAATTAAGAAAAATGTCGGCGTTCCGTGCGTGTAGGATTTCGGATGATGAAATTCAGCCACCCCTTATTGTCTGTTCCCATATCTACATACCGACACTCATTCCGTCGCCTATGCTAGTAGCACACATTCCTCTCTTCTCCCCCTTGATCTCCTTTCATGTTCTAGAATTGGGGGCCTCGAGGTCAATTTCTATTAATGCGTTGATGAAGACATGCCAAGGACAGATATAGGATCATCAGCTTACTCTATAAATGACACTTCACTTCCTCTATCTCGAAGTGCTTGTGACAACCAAGCTACAGCATGACATCAATCATCTTTCACATCGTGCTTTTAGCCATCTTCGCATATTTGACTGTAACTGCAAATCCAACATGGAATCCAAGCACAAATCCGTACCCGAAAGTGCATACAGTCGACAAAACATATACGTACAGATCAGCAAAGCAAGGAGGAAATGTCACAATTCCAGATCCATACAACTGGCTTGAAGCAGACCTTCATAAAGATGCAGATGTGATTAAGTTTATCGACGAACAAAAAAATCTTACAGAGACGTACTTGGAAAAGTGCACCGAGAAGGACGCAATCAAAGCATCACTCACTTCGGCTTTCAATTTTGACGATTACGATAACTTCTTCTTCGTTGATGGAATTGCAGCTCCGTACTATACGTACAGCCTTACTCGAGCCAACGAGAACCGGCCAACATGGTATGTATGTACACCTGAAGAGTTAGAGATTGCAAGACAAAATAATATGGCAACACCGCCCGGTAAGAAGTTTCTGGTTGAAGAGCTTTTGAGTCAAAATGGAACGTCAAACATGAAAGATTGGATGAATTCTCCAGATGGTAAATATTTCGCTTACCTGGTCTCGGAGTCAAATTCTGATATGGCAACTTGGTATATTCGTACGATCGACAACCCATTGGTGAACGCAACAACATTTCCACCTGGTGGTGAAGGTGCTTTACCGGACGTGATTCCGTTTTGCCAAGGTAGTTTTAAATGGTCACTTGATTCTTCTGGTTTCTTCTATGTTCAAACAGCAGATAGTGATGCAGGAGCAAATACAGAATCCGGATCATCTGTACGCTATCATCGAATGGGCGTTCCGTATGAGAATGATACAACCATAGTACATCCCGATCCTATCGCCTCTGACGGAAGAAACAATAACTGGTTACTAATGCTCAGTAAAGATGGCACTTGGTTGATCCTAGTAGGAGTTCGTGATGTTTTGAGATATTCAAAAGTGTATGCAACCTTTTTGCCGGGTCAAACGTTATCCGATAATATGAAATGGATATCAGTAGCCCCTTCATATGATTTCAAGCTGTCTCCTATCAATGTGGTTAATGATTGGCTGTACTTCAGTACAAATCGAGATGCGCTGGACGGAAAGATTGCCAAAGCAAAACTTGATTGGAGCAAAGCACGTCAAGTGAGCGATGTAAACACTTTGAAAGATTCGATAGACTTTGTGGATGTTGTGCCAATGCAACCATCTATCATGCTTTATACACAAGTTGCATTATCGGACCAATTTGCAATTATCGTCCATATCGTAAAAGGAAGGTATAAGGTACAAGTTTTAGAGCTGGAAACAGGAAGGATTGTACACACTGCTATTCCTGATAGCTCATCACAAGTCACAAGCATAACGACTGCACTCAAAGGTAAATCTGTCAATCTAGGTCTTTCAGGAACCCTTTCACCCAGAACCGTATACGACGTCAGATGGAATGGAACGGCTTTTGAGGATGTGCTGTTTACAGTGCAAAAGATCAATGGAGTCGATCCAAAGGACTACATCACGGAAGAAGTTCTTGCTACTTCCAAGGATGGCACGAAAGTTCCCTACTCAATCGTATACAAGAAAGGAACTCAAAAAGATGGAAAATGCACTGCTTGGCTTCATACATACGGAAGCTATGGAGTTGTTGAAAAGTTTTATTTTGATGAAACGTATTTCTCTTGGTTTACAAGTTACGAATGTACAATCTTTGTTTGGTCTTCCGTTCGTGGTGGCGGGGATGAAGGCGCAGAATGGCATATCGCAGGTCAAAGGCAAAACAAAACCAAAACTATCGAAGATGTGGTTGCGATCGGACAAGATTTAGTACTTCGAAAGATTGTAGCTCCAGGTCAAATCGTCCTTGAAGGAATCTCTGCTGGTGGTATGGCCGTAGCAGCAGCAGCCAATAAAGCTCCTCAAGGTACGTTCGGTGTTGTACTGCCCAAAAGAGCCGTTTTAGACTTCTTCTTGCGTAGACGCTCAACTGGAGGATCACTACAGATTGGAGAATTTGGTGATGTGTATGATCCAACAGATTTTGATACAATTATCCAATGGTCTCCATTGCAAAACATCAACAAAACTCTCGATTATCCCGCCATGATGCTCATCCCGGCCGATTCAGATGATCGTGTTGTACCTGCACATAGTTTCAAATATCTTGCACAAATTCAAGCTCTTCGTCCAAACAATTCGAATCCTTTGTTAATGCATTTGGTCAGATTTGCAGGTCATTCCACCGCCGGCTTGAGCGCTCAAAATCGTGCTGATGAAGGGTTACATCAATTATGCCTCATTTCTCTTACTCTGCAACAGAAACGTATCAATTAGAGATGACATGTATATCCAATATCATTATTCCAATGCTCATCATCTTTACGCCTGCATGTCATGTTAATTGCTGTGATCGCGCCAGTGTTGATGGTTGTGTGCACTTTCTTGCTTAGCGGCTTTTAGAGTTGAACATGCATTCATTCTTCTCCACACCAACAGTCATCCCCTCTTCTCATTATGGCCAGACCAACAAAAGGGATCATGAATGTAGGAGAGATTTCAGCACAGATAGGATCTTATCTCAAGCTGTCCAGCAATCCAAAGCCACTTCGATTGATATATTCAAGTACGCCAACATGGCCATTTCCAGAAACGAAGTCTTCATCCCACCAACAACAAATCGATATTGGCGTTTTGGATTCTTCCTTTAATCCTCCACATAAAGCTCATCATGCTTTGGCAACGTCTTCCAAACCTGCATTTGCAGATGAACAGGCTACCGCAATCAAAGGCAAGGAACAATATGATGCAATCCTACTGCTGTTCTCGGTACGAAATGCTGATAAAGGATTAGGATCTAGTAAAGATGCATCGCCTGCTCAACGAATAGAAATGATGCAATTGATGGCACAAGAGTTGGAAAGCGAAAAATCAATGAATGTAGCTGTTGGAATCGTGGAAGAGCCATTAATGATCACAAAGAGTACATTGATTCACGATTTCATCAAGCAACAGCCCAGTACAGCTCCAATACGACTGCATTGGTTAGTTGGATTCGACACTCTGGAACGATTCTTTCAAGTGAAATACTACCCTTCACCAGACTATTTCGCAAAAGCATGTCAAACTTTCTTTGAAGATGAACGAACGACATTTGTTTGTGCACGAAGGCAAATGAATAAAAATACAGATGCAGGACGAGACACATCATCGCAAAAAGCAGAGCAAGTATTATTACAAAGCAAAGAAGTATCTCCTTGGAAAGAGCGTGGAAGTGTGGTCATGATCGATTTACCCACATCCGTACAGGATGTCAGCAGTACTGCAATACGCAGAACGATTCAAAAGAAAGACAGCAAATCGGATGAAGACTTGCAGGGAAAGTTGAGTCAGATGACCGCATCCTCAATTGCATCGTATCTTGTACGGGAGAAGCTGTATAAAGAGTAATGCGACAGCATACTGTGTAATATAAACAAAGCATATATTTGTGATCCTTATCTGCTTGCTCAAAATCTGTTGAGTCGTAACACTAACCAGCATGTCACCCCGTCAAAACTGCAATCATGCTGGCCAAAATCAAATCCATATCCACCCTTCTCGGTCTTGGATCCGTATTCTTGGCACTGGCCTCGATCCTGTTCAAGCTTGCCCAATGTTCAGCAGCTTGTTCATAAGAAGAAGTTCCAATCGGTCTTCCGAATCCGTCCGTTTGCATTCTTTGCGGTTCATGATGACCTGGTGGAAAAGCATTGATTGTTGCTCTGCCTAAATTGCGTAATTCATCACCGATCAAACAATTTCCATTCATTCCTGCTGCCAACAAAGGTGATCCAAACCCTGCCAAGAGTACCCCTGGTCCCCATAATCCAACACATGCGCCTTTTCGATGGGCACCGTATAACCTTGGACCATGATCGGAACCCGAAGATGATGAATGTGATGAAGTGATGGAAGTGTGACTTTGTGATCTTTTAAGGGTGTTTGTGTTCGATTTACTCTTTGGTTCCGTTGCCGGTAATGGAGAGAGTGATAGCATTCCATGATAACGTACTTCTTGTTCTCCAATTTTCATACTCAATGCAGGACTTGCATCATCGCCGATCTGCATGGAGGTGGCTGAATTGGAAGGATTGGCTCCTGCTGCTGCAGTGTGATTAAAGTGAGATTGCTGTTGGGCTAAATCATATTGAACAATAACCGTATTACTTGGCAAAGAAATCAAATTGAATCGCGTATGACTTTTACGCCAAACGAGTTTTTGTCCATCAGGTGCTTCGATGGCGAAAGATCGATGTGCAGAAACGGAAGGCGTCATTACGTTATGCATTCCATTTGGTGGACGAAAATCAAATTTACGTGCCAAGGGTTCCCTTCGTACTTCGTACCTTGCCTCTTCTCTTCCTTTTTCGGTTAGTAATGCAATATCTGCTTTCCATCCTTCTCGCTTTTTAGGCACTTTTGCTGTATATGTGAACCTCCTTTGAGCGTTATCATAGAGATAAAATTGTGTAAGGCCGTTGTGATAAGAAGTTGACGGAGTTTGATGTGCGAAATATAGCGAATATTTCATCACGCATTCTTCATCATAATCTGAATAAGCAGGCGGAGGTAGCTGAGACGTTGAAGCGGAGTTTGTCATCATTTTGTTAAAGGGCGAAGATACAGTTTTAGGGAAGAAGTACTTCTTCTTTTGCTCTTATATCCTTTTTTGACATTCTCCGAAAATGTCTTTTCCGTTGTTGACAAATAAATCTATTTTCCGAACGGTACGAGATTGTAGATCTGACGCATGATGGGAATCGGAATACCATCGTCTGAAATGGCATGCATACCTTAATATTATTTGCCCCTCTTACGCTTCTTCTACCCTTTATTTCGGTTATGGGCGTACAGAAAGAAAGTCGCGTGTTATTAATAGACAACTGCCTGTCAAATAATGCAAGCTGCCAATCTTCTCTTCTCTCCCTCTCTGCAGCCAAGGTTGACGGATTTGCGCGGAGGAAAGAATGCGGCCAGCCACAAAAATGAATAAAGTCTAGCCATGATGAGTGAAACAAAAGTCAGATACGTTAACGAATGAATTCGGAATCCTTACTCCTCTTATCTTCACTTTGACTAACCGGCCTCCGTATCACATTTCATTTCTTTCGCCTCATCACGTCGATCTTCAATGGAATGATGACACAATTCCTTAATCACTTTCCCTTCGTTCATCGAATCATGTGATTATACAAAGTACTCATGAAGCGGGCGGCAACGATCGCGGAAAAGGTTCGATAGCGTAAAGAGAGCGGTCCGTAAAGAAGGAAGCGTTCGTTTCCTTCGTTGGGCGTTTGATTTGTCAGAATGGCATCTATTCTTAAGCAAACGCCTTGACTCATACTCCGTTTGAATGCGTTCCTTTTCACTTTGGCGCCCAATGTGCTTTGAGAAGCCTTCATATACCAACCTTAAGGTTCGAGATCGGTAAATACGATAAAGTCACTTTTTCCGTTTGACTTAGCGATCGTCAGAAAAGAATGAATGTGTTCCTCTATAACACCGCTCGTCGGCTGACCAGCCCAGATAGATTGTGGGTACCTGAAGACTAATGCGAATTTGACAAATAAAGAATTGGTCATTTATTTAATATTACATGCATTTTTGTGATTTCAACGAGAACAATTGATTTCGATTCCTCTTTATCGCGGATGCATACACAATCGTTCAGAAGGAAAGATTCCGAACGAATTGCACTCGGCGAATAAGGCAAGCAGGCAAGGAAAGAGGGTCAAATGAATGGAATGATTGCATTTTCTTTCATTTTGTACCTTTGAATCCGCAAAAGAAAGGTGAACTTCATTCAATTTTTGCATTTCATTTCATTTACTTCAGCCTTGGCATGAGACGACGCCTTCTATAAAAACTCCTCTTACCACAAATTTGCGCACGTTCTTGCCCTATCTCTAATTTCCCTTCATACTACAAGTATACCAATCTCCTTATCTTTTTCTCTTTCAGACTGGTCCTGGCGTAAGTGCTTGAACGTATGACCATCATTTAAGCAGTACGAAATGCAAAGAGTTGTTCAAGAAGGCGGCGTACAACTTCCTTTGATTTTCTCATCCAATTCCCAAACAGTTTCAGGTGAAAAGCAAATTTCAAGATTACCTGCTCTTCAAACAACAACAAGTGCAGCAGCAGCAGCAACTGGCGTTCGTAGTGTGGTTGGTGATACAATCGGTGAAAGACATGCAGGTGTTTCACTTTTGATTTTATCAGACGCACCAACATTAGAGATCGAAGGAGATTTTCCTGCTTCTGTTCTTGGTAGTCCTGTTGGAACGGTAAAAGGTAAAACGCTTATCGAAAGAAGTACAGAAGAATATCCTTCTTTAATGAGTATCACTTCTGAAGCAAAATTACGTCAACAAAGTGAACCTCCAATTTTAACTTTGTTTAACAAAGTTCAAATCGCCGCCGCAAATCGAACTTTGGACGTTGAACAAAAGAATTTGAATAAACGATTACTTTGTAATCCCAGAAACGGTTCAAATGATCCACTGATGATACCCAAACATATCGAGAAGACAAACAAAGAAGAGATGACACAACGTTGGCTATTGGAACAAAGTGGAGAAGACGAAATGGGCGTTTTCAAATCAAACAACAACAGTAGCAAGCATTCTTCCCACATCTCAGTCGCCATGTCTGAGCCTGGAGAAGATGAGAAGCGCTGTATTCATGTGAATAACCCAGCTCCGGCTCATTCAGATCTTAAACGAGTCTCAGTGGATCTGTTGACTTTCAAAGGATTACATACACTCATCAACACTTCTCCTTCTCAAGTCATTCGATCACGCGAGGCAACTGTATTTGAACAAAATGAAGAGTCGAATGCAGCTTTTGCTTCAAGCGAGATCGATATCAAGGATGACTTTGACTTTCCCGATAACGAAATCGAAGCAGAAGATCAATCCTTTGTTCAAGAGGATGGTGAAGTGGCACATGCAAGTCTTGGCTGTGCATTATCGTTCTTGGTCCTCTATCAAGGAAGCGAAGGCAGGTTCTGGATTTCAGAACGATATCTCAACCGATTTCGATATGATCATTTGGTTCGCTTGTGTGTTCGTTCTACATCGGATGCAAGTTTGGCAAATGATGAAATGATGCAAAACTTGCACATGCACATCGTCTTATCCGAATCTGTTTCAGATGCTCTGGGTCTTACGCCAAATAGTGCCGGTCTCAATTTGGTATACATTGATCGTTGGGCTATTACTGAAACTCTATCATTGCAATACCTTCTCTTCAAGAACTTTTTGTTGTTGGTAGCACAAAGGGAAGGCTCGATTCGCATCCTCTGTAGCGATAGACGTGAAGAGCTGCCAACTTCTTTAACCGCCTCACGCAGATTCTGGCAAAGTCGTTCACAAGATCCAATATTCTCACGTACGATCGGGACTTCAACAACAGATGGATACGATGAGGCAGCTGAAGGTGAAGTCACTCAAGAGCATCACTACATGCGAGACCGCTCAACCTTCTCGCAAGCACAACTAAGCCCAAGAACTGAAAAGGTGACGCAAACTGCACCAATCTATCCATTGCTAGAATCGCCTTTGTCTCCTTCTGACAAGTTCTTACGTTCCGTTCGTGGTTTGAGTTCGGTTTCCTACACGTTTTCAAGTCTGGAGCATGCTTTGGATGATGTCGTTGGTGCAAGTGGAGAAGAACAGATCTTATCGCCTGTCCAACCGCTCTCCTCTCCGGTTGGCCGCAGACCAGTCTCAGAGCCTACTGCACCATCACGTTTGGCTGAAAAAGAAGAAGATCAAGCAATGTTTAGCAAACAGAACACCCGCGACAAATGTCTTTCTTCACGATTCTCAGAAGAGAGTGACCGTGAACATCTAAAGGAAGAATGCGATAACGTCGATGAAGAAACCCAAAAAGAAGAACAATGTGCAACAAAAGCAATGCTTGCACGTATACCATCAATCTCAAAGAAGCATATCATGATTGGCTTGAATGGCTTGCGTACTCGTTCACGATCGAATAGCGACGTAAGCGGAACGGGAAATGCTCCTCCAAGTGGCGGAGAGGACCAGTCTGACAGTGCAAGTTCAATTATCAGTCGATCAAGTTCATTAATCGTGAAAATTAATGCTCAACGTCAAGCACTAGAAAATGCAGCAAACAGAACATTCAAACGATTTCAATCTGCCAAGAACAAGAATACGTATACAAATCAATGGACCGGATACATCAAACGTCCTCATACAAGCGCAGGCAATCATAGCATTGATAATGATCTTTCGTTGGACGGCAAATACGTTCATCAATCTGGTGTTGGCGATTTGGTGAATCATTCATCATCCTTATTTGGACGTCGTCGTGGGGCACCAACGACTTTAATTTTGAACGGAAAAAGAGATTCTGGTCATAAACAACTTGATCGTGAAAGAATCACGCCTGCTACCCCAACACCAAATCGAACTGGCTCAGAGGTTTTCAGGTCCAATTCACCAACGCCTTCAACACCGAGTATCAATTTGCCTGCTGAGTTGCTCAGTGGTTTGATTGAGACTGGCAATCATGTGACATGCAAGCCATTGCCTGCCGTTCCGAGTGATGTTCTTGACGATGGACATACGATTGATGCTTCACAGTCGCTTCATGTTCACTTTCAACATGAACGCAAAAACTCAGCTGCAACAATGGAAGAGATTCGCGAACTTCAGCATCGCAATGGCGGTACAAAGATTAGCCTGCAGCCTGATCGTGATGAAAACGGATCGGAAAGCTCACACCAGACAAGTTGGAGCGCTGTCTCGAGCTCAATTTCAGCGAATAATCGCACACGAACAGATGAAGGCCCTGCTTGTATTGGATCAAGTCCTGCTTTCAACGCAATAACATCTTCAGCCCCTTTGCAAGGCATCAATTTGAGCAGATTGATCCCTTTCAGAGCTCGTACAAAAGATATCAAAGCAATCAGTCAAATGGTCAAACAAAAAGTTGAACATCGTCATGATCTTTGGTGTGAAGCAAATTTGATTGCAAATCAATACAAATCACCCGAAAAGGAGAAAGCCGCATTCCCGGAACGTCATTTTCTTTCTCGCAGTGAAACTGTTCCAAGACACACTGGTAAATCATTAAATCTTCCATCGCCACCGCCACAAAGCCCACAAGATCATGATGATAGTGGCGGTACAAGCACAACTCCTACCAGATTCACATCAAATATGACCAACTTCTCACCGCTTTCCCCTCAATTTGCACATAGGCCTGATCGTCCCAAACCGGGTCAGCAACGTGGCGCTGGTGGATACGATGATCGATTGAGCGTATCGGAATATTCACTTGCATCTCCGGTAACGTACAGCTTTGCATCAAACGATATGAACACGCCATCTTCGATTTCAACATCATTTGTTTCTACTCCAAGTCCAATAAACGGTTGGAAGGTTTGCAGTGAAAATCGTGAACCTGCTGTACGTGATTGTGTTTCTTCTTTGAGCGTTTCTGCTCCTGCCCATTCCTCCTCTTCAACAATCTTACGCAGTGAAAGTTCAACAAACGGTCAATCTGAATTCAAAAAGAGTGTCGATCTTAACATCCTACAAACATCTTATCGTGGCAGTACGGATGAAGGCAAGCAAAGGCTGCACAGTACAGTATATGCGAGCACAAAAACAGTCAAAAAGAAACCAGTCAACGCTTCGGATAAATTCGGTCAACAACGAATCCCTCTCGCGATCAAATCGATTGGTGCTTCACGTTCTTTTGATCTTTTGCGTAGGAATGGCTCCAATTCACCTCATACAGTGAATAATACGGCTGATGGCGAATACATCAATTCAAAGGATTCAAAGTTGAACAAGATTCGTCGAAAGAGTAGCTTAGGCTTTCAATCCATCCAACAAAGGCAGGTCCAAAAGAATGAAGGCTTAGTGGATGCAGAAGCTGTTGGCCGAAGTAGCCCTCGTAGTAACATTTTACGTCGATTACGTGCAAATACCTCTGTTGCCGAGAGTGATTCACAATCAATCACTTCGCCTAGAATGACATCAAGTCATTTTCCCCAATCTGATGGATATGATCGCATGCAAGCCACAACCCCCACAAGTTCACCTTGGACTTTGGTAGCGACTGGCTTGGAAGATGATCATACAATCCCACAACAGCAACAATACCCACCTCAAAAGAGGGTCAATTTTGAAACAGATATCATCAATCGAGTATTCTGATATCCTCCACCTTATACCCCTATTGTGTTTGTCTACATACATAATTTGCACATATACCAAAACACTCCTTCATTCCATTTTCACATTTTTCGAAGAATTTGTAGAGTGTCTTACAAAGTTTCAATGAAGATCGTTTACCCCTCATTGCCACCCTGACAAAAATTCTCAAACTTCTGTACCCCGCATGCAGGTCAACAGCTCTAGTAGAAAAGTTCGATCTGAGAAACCGGGGCAAAAGTTTCCGAAATGTTTGTTGAATGGTGTTTTGCCTTTGATGTGGGGAAGAGATGTTTTGTCATTCCCCAGACAAGACAAGAGTAAGCTTTTTTTTCTGACAGAACTCCTTCCGTTTGGAATGTTATCGTCATAAAGGCACTTTCTCTCCGGCTCTAAAGAGGAAAGTTTCCCGGGCATAATGACCGAAAACAAACAGAATTCTGACAACATCAATGGTCCAGGCTTGAGCCAAAGTTGTCCGTGTTTCCACAATACACCGATTAGATGCCTTTTCAATCAAAGTTTCGTGTTGGTTCATCTCTGGAACATTTAAATTGCATCACGCGTTCACTTAGCCCACGTCTCCATATTTTCTTGGATCTTTTTTTTTTTTTTCAAAAGTTTGAGAACGCGCGCAATTCTGAAAAAAAGGGATAAATCCATCCTTCACACGGAACGCGTTACGCCGCTGGTCAAGTGCCCATGTAATTCTTGCCTAATTTGCCGCTTGCGCCCGACGTTGAAATTTTTGGCCACCACCGCAGAATTTTTGAGGCATTTGTGTTATTTTTTTTTGTTTGCGCAGCGCAGCGGCGGGCGGGCGCTAAAAAAGAAAAAAGGAAGGGCAAAGATTTTTTGTTAGAAAAATGTGTTCATTTGGGGAAAATTACACTTTTTTTACTGCATCACACCAGTGTCTTCAAGAAAAAAACTTTACCTTTGAGCCCAAAATTTTTGAACGTGAGCTTGAATCGTATAAGAAAGCTATCCACTTCATCAAACATTTTTGGAGAACGCCCATCACCATCTCTTTCTAGACATTTACATAGACCTAGATTGACTTTTATCACCCTTCTTTACCTCGTCGTTCTTCTTTCTACGAAGATAACGAGCTTTAAAGGGACAAAGAGTCACCTCACCAAAACTATTTTATAGACTCTCGATACCCATCGTCGCTACCACTTTGTGGCGTCGCGTGTATCGACTCAACTAGATCGTCAACTTTCTTGACGCTTTTCGTGCTTGATCGCACATAGATTTACACCTTTTCGGTGTCGCAAACTTTCGACCTAATCACTCTCAACAACTCACTGCGTGAGTAGATTCCATGTCTTGTGCGTTTGAATAAGCGCGCAGTACTCTTTACGAACAAACCTTTCTAACATCTCTTTCGTCTTACCTCTTACAGCAAATATGGCTCCTGCTGCTACAGGTGTTTCAGCCGGTGTTCCCGCCACTGTGCCCGCAAACGCAAAGGGATTGAAGAACTCTGACGCTGCAGCTGCTGCCGCCACAGACAACACAGCAATCGAAAAGAAAGAGGTCAAAATCGAAGCTGACCGTCTTCTTTCATCTGCTGACAAGGAAGCTGTCCAAGAATTGGTCAACCTCGTCAAAGTTGAGGGCCCAGACGCTCTCACCAACCTCGGCATTGGTGCCGTTATCCAAAAAGGTCTCTCTGACAAGAAGAATGCCTCAGCTCGTGAAGGTGCATGTGCTTTAATCTCCTCCTTGTGCGAACAAGGTGTTGGTCACGAAGTTGAACCATTCTTGATCGAAAAGGAACTCAACAGCATCGTTGAGGCTATGGGTGACAAAGAAAAGACTGTCCGTGAAGCCGCTCAAGATGCTTTGCGCAACTTCGTCCAAATTATGTCTCACTGGGCTGTCCCTCAAGTTTTGAGCGTCTTGTTGAACCAAGCACGCACTGCCGGAAAATGGCAAGTCAAGACTGGATGCGTTGCCACAATCGAAGAATTGGTTGTCGCCGCTCCTGACCGTATGGCAGCTGCTATGCCTGACATCATTCCCGTCATGTCTGAAATTATCTGGGACACCAAGAGCGATGTCCAAAAGGCATCCCGTGCAGCTTTGAAGAAGTTGTGCAACTTGATCTCCAACAAGGATATTGAACGTTTCATTCCTGCTTTGATCAACTCTTTGATCCACCCAGTCGAAGAAGTCCCAAAGACTATTCAATTGCTCGGTGCTACCACATTCGTCTCCGAAGTTGATTCTCCTACCTTGGCCTTGATGGCTCCTCTTTTGTCCCGTGGTTTGTCAGAGCGTGCAACCCCAATCAAACGTAAGGTTGCCGTCATTATTGACAACATGGCCAAATTGGTCGACAACGAACGTACCGTTCGTCCCTTCTTGCCCAAGCTTTTGCCTGGTTTGATCAAGATGGAAACCACAATGGCCGACCCAGAAGCACGTGGTGTTGTTCAACGTGCCATCAAGACTCTTCGTCAAATCGGTCAAGTCGAAGGTGACGGTTCAGAAGTCAAACCTCTTGATGATGTTGACATCAAACAATCCGCATCTAAACTTGATGAAGTCCTTGCCAAGGCAAACATCAAGGGTAACAAGACCACAATTGCATACATTGCTCAACTTGTTACAAACTTGGCAAACGCACGTAACTTCGAGGGAACTGAATGGGATACCACACTTGTACCATACTTGTCCTTGCTCAAGACAGCAGATGTTGAGGCAAGCAAGAAGGTTACCAAGGAAATGCTACAAGCATTGGCCAAGGCAACCGGTGACGAAGCAGAGATCTTGGAAGACGAAGAAGAAGGTGAAGACTTGTGCAACTGTCAATTCTCCCTTGCTTACGGTGCCAAGATCTTGTTGAACACAGCCACTTTGCGCTTGAAGCGTGGTCATCGTTACGGATTGTGTGGTCGTAACGGTTCCGGTAAATCTACATTGATGCGTGCTATCCAAAACGGACAAGTTGAAGGTTTCCCTTCCCCTGAAGAAGTCCGTACATGGTACGTCGAACACGATTTGGACGGTTCAGAAGGAGAAATCTCCATTTTGGACTTCATTGTCGCTGACAAGCGTCTCAATGTCCAACGTGAAGAAGCTTCTGCTACTTTGCTCGAAATGGGCTTCGATGCTGGTAAGCAAGCCGGTCCAATTGCCTCCCTATCTGGTGGTTGGAAGATGAAGCTCGCTTTGGCACGTGCTGTGTTGTTCAAGGCCGATATCTTGTTGCTCGATGAACCCACTAACCACTTGGATGTCGTCAACATCAAATGGATTCAAGACTACCTCACCGGACAAAATGCAACCTGCATCATTGTCTCTCACGACTCCAAATTCTTGAACGATGTCTGCACAGATATCTTGTACTTGAACAGATTCAAAGTTAAGCGTTATCCAGGTACATTGGACAACTTCGTCAAGCGTGTCCCTGAAGCCAAGTCATACATTGAATTGACATCTGGTGAAGATTACAGCTTCAAATTGCCTGATCCACCACTTTTGGACGGTGTCAAGACCAAGGAAAAGTCTCTCGCCAAGATGCGTAACGTTTGGTTCCAATACCCAGGTACCCCAGAGCCACAACTCAAGGGTGTTACCATGCAATTGTCATTGTCCTCCCGTGTTGCCGTTCTCGGACCAAACGGTTCCGGAAAGTCAACATTGGTCAAATTGTTGGTTGGTGACACTGAACCAAAATCTGGTGAAGTCTGGAAGCACCCTAACTTGGTCATCGGTTACGTTGCCCAACACGCTTTCCACCACATCGATCAACATTTGGACAAAACACCTTTGGAATACATGCTATGGCGTTACCAAACTGGTGAAGATTTGGAAGAAATGATGAAGGGATCTCGTCAATTGACAGATGCAGACAAGGAGAAGATGAAGAACGGTGAAGTTGTCGTTGTTGAAGGTGTCAAGCGTATTATTGAAGAGCTCGTCTCTCGTAAGAAGCTAAAGAACTCCTTCCAATACGAAGTTTCATTCAAGAACTACTCTTCAGCAGACAACCAATGGCTATCTCGTGACGAATTGATCAGCCGTGGTTTCGAGAAGAAGGTTATGGCCATCGACTCCAAGGTTGCCCAAGAATTGGGTATGAACCGTCCTTTGGTCAAGAAGGAGATCGAATCTCACTTTGCCCTCTTGGGTCTTGAACCCGAATTCACCTCTCACTCTCACATGCGTGGTTTGTCTGGTGGTCAAAAGGTCAAGGTCGTCTTGGCTGCTGCCACATGGCGTCGTCCTCACGTCATCGTTTTGGATGAACCTACTAACTTCTTGGACCGTGAATCTTTGGCTGCTTTGATTGCTTCCTTGAAGGACTTCCAAGGTGGTGTTGCATTCATTACCCACTCTTTGGAATTGGCCGAATCCGCTGCTACTGAACGCTGGAAGATGGCTGATGGTACTTTGGAAGCCTCCGGTGCCAACTGGGTCGAAGGTCAAGGATCTGGACCACGTATCGACCAAAAGAATGAAGAGGAAGAAGATCAATTCGATGCAATGGGTAACAAGATTGTTGCCGCAAAGAAGAAGAAGAAGGAATCTGCTTCTGACAAACGTAAAGCAAAGAAAGATCGTATGGCAAGAAGAAAACGTGGAGAAGAAGTCTTAACTGACGAAGATGATCTATAATGATTTTCACCCCTTCTCCCCACACTTTCACGATCAGTCACGAGTTCCATCCTTTCCTTTCCTCTATCATAGCACATTATTACCATCATTCATCATTCTCGCTCGTGTTTTCTTATTGTACTAACAGGCAATCATATATAGCCTAGCCTCTTAAAAATACGCCGGATATCTGGCTTAATCTTATGTGTTTTCCTTAAAATTGTTTGATTGAGTGAAGAAGCATCAAAGTGTTTAGAAGGTAAGTTATTGAATAGGATTGATATGATATGATACAAGTGTATTTGTTGGATGTACATTCTAGTATTACGCTTCAATCTCTTCTTCCGGGTCAAAAGTATCCATGGCCGCTAGAACTTCATCGTCATCACCGCCAAAAGCCTCTGCAAATTCGTCATCTGGATCAACGTCCATTGCCTCATCTCCACCTCCATCTCCATTTGTCGGCTGACCTTCCTGGATGCCTTCCAACATCAATTTTTCGAAATGTTCCTTCTCTTTTGCTTGTCTTTTTTCGATATCCGTTACGTCCCATAAACTAACGCCGTTCTTACCGGTAGTTGGCATATCCTGAGCCATTTGTTTCAAAAATCTTGCACTTTCAACCAAAGCCATATCACTAGACAAATTCGAATGAGCTTCATCTATTTGAGCTGCAATCCAACGAGGAAGTTTATCGCGTTTATCAGCTCGTGCAAAACGTTTATCGGCAAAGATCATTAAACCATAATCAGTTTTACCACGTAAAACTCTACCGACACATTGAGCAGCATGTCGCATAGCATCGAAAGTTAAAAAAGCAGCTTCTTTTATACGATAATTATCACGTAAGAACTCTAATCTTGCTTTTAGGATTCTTGATTCGGTATATTGATATGGAACACCAAACATAATCACCGCCCTTCCGTAATGATGATCAAAATCGATTCCTTCTGATACCTTTCCACGTGCGACTGATAGCAGGATTGCTCCTCTTCCATTATCACATGCTCGTCGGTAATTCTCCAAGGCAATACTCGTTTCAGGTGCATCGGGCGTTTCGATGAAAACTAGCTTGTACTTCCAAACATCATCCAAGATACCCATATCGTGCCATGCAGCCACAATACTTTCCATATATAGATAACTTGGAAAGAAGGCAACGATTCCATCAGGAACAATCTTTGCATAATCGATCAAGATATTACCATAATTACGAACGACAGCCAAATCATTTCTCACTTCAAATCGTGAAGAGATTGCCACTTGATCCGAACCACGTGTGATTACGAGAGGCATGAAACATTGTCTTGTCAATGTCATCGGATATGTTTCTTGAACGATTGTTTCGAACTTCAGCATCTTGGGATACATGTCCAATGGTGAGATCGTACCAGAAGTGATGATCACTGAGCTGAATCGTTCGAACACGGGTGCGATCGCGATACTTGCATCCAAACAAGTCAAATGGAAGATGGGGTTCGGAACCGTTGCATGCTCCGTCTCAAAAGGCTCCAGGATCAACAAGAATCCTTTGTCGTACGTCGCCACAAGGGTAGCAAAAGCTGCCACCTTTTGTAGACTTGAATACTCGTCCAATCTAGTCAATTCCAACGTTGAGACGAGCAGTCGTAATCGCTCAGCACAGAATCTCAAGGGTTTTCTTTCAATGTATGTGATATCTTTGAGATGCTGCAGGAAACTTGGTGGAGTTTCGGCCACAACGTGCAAGACACGCATACGAGTTTTCAGGTATTCGATGAATCGTTTGAGGAAAGCGACAAAATGCTCTGCCCTTCGAATATTACCAGGCACGGCTTCTTGTAGTAGATCTTCTGGTAAGACGGGATTGTTCATGAATGTATCCGCTTCTCTATCTTCGGCTTGATCTTGCAATCCTTCCACGAGTCGTGCATACTCTTCTTGCAGTTTCGAGGCATCCGTCCTTTTTACTTCTTCCACTCGGTCGGCCAATTGACCAATACTACGATAAGCACTGTCAAGCATCGGTCTTGTAAGATCGATACTCAGCGATTCAATGCAAACGTTATCGATATTGTGCGCTTCATCGAACACCACGATCGCATCCTTGCTCATTTCTTTTGACACTTGCTCAGCAACTTTTGGATCCAACAGATAGTGGAAAGAGTAAATGATGATATCAACAAAAGGCATCATCCTTCTCACAGCAAAGTAAGGACATATTCCTTTTTGTTTGCCGTATTCTTTCACATCTTCCAACGTCCATACGCCTCTTGGTAGTAGATGACCAGGTTCCAATTTCCCTAATTCTTCGTGAAAGCTACACAATTCCACACTTCCCGGCTCTTTTCTTCCCCTTTCGCAAACCCATGCATTCGTCATATCTCTGCATCTTGCATCGACCGTTTTGCCTTTTCGTTCCCTTCCTACACTTGGATGAACACATAGGTTCTTACGACTACTCAAGCCTAAAGCAAGTGTATCCTCTTGTTCTCCTTGCCCTTTTGGCAGTGGTGTATCTCTTTGACAAGGTGGATTCGAGCCTGGATCATTATAGCGTGCACGGTATTCCATCAACCTTTTCAATTCCGTTAACGCTTTCTCAATCTCGGGAACCGTACGTGAACAATAGATCAACTTTCTTGCTGCTGGATAGAATCGTTGATAAGAAACGATCAAGCTTAACAGAGAGACTGTTTTACCTGTTCCTGAAGGCATTTCCAATACACAGTGGCCATTACTGTCCAGCGTTCTTTTGAGATCGCACATGTATGCATATTGTTCCGGGTATATTTTTGGATAAGGGAAAAGAATTGGTAAATCATCGATGTAGAACTGTTTGAGGGAGAGAGTCAGTAATTGTGTGTGATAATATGATTCAAAGTAAACCTACCTTCATCTTGGATTGATCACCTTGCCCTCCTCAGAGGTGCAGAAGTCACTACAACAAGGAGGTTTCGGAGATGATGAAAGGGAAGGATGAATATCAACATCTTCTCAATTGACGCTAATAATAATATCCACTTTCTGACTAATTGCAAGCTATTGATTGCTGAGCGTGTGTAAAATGCATGCAGTCAAGCCGCGTGAGTGATAGAGAGCATGCTTAGCGTTCTGGATGTTGTCTTGCCTTTACCCCAGATTCAACAATGCTTGCCTGCAAGATAAAGCAAGCAAGCAACTTCAAAGAGGCTTAACATATCTCATGAACATATATTCTCAAGCACAAGCAATGACCATAAATGTATGCAGGCAAGGAACGCGATTCGGGATTTGAGAGCCCGTTCCTGAAAAATGATATTTAGATATGAACAAAGAGACACTTCCTGAATGACAGGGGAAGTGAGAAGGTATGATATTCTCAGCTCTTGTTGAAGAGGAAGCAGTCAGGAGAAAGGGTCTTCTGATCAGCACCACATCCTTCCCATGTTGCCAGATATGATCTTACTGCTAACTTCTCTTTTGGTGAGCCTTTTCGCCGGCCTTGCTTCTGCTTATCCTTTTCAAAAGAGCGTATGTGAAGGCAAAGAACGTTATGAACAGTGCTTACCGATTCCATTAGAACAAGATGACAGTACGTGGAAACCAAGAGTGCTGGATATGATCTTCCCATTTGCGATGCGGTGAGTAAGAATGAAGACGAATATATGTCTTTGTCTAATTACATCCTTCTCTCTCCCCAGAGTCACACCTGGATCATGGGAAGAAGGTGGAACAATCTATGCAAGCATGTGCATGTTCCAAAACGCAAATCCTGACAAATGTTACACAGTCACGACCGATCAACATGATGTAAATTTGATGCACAGACAGGCTGGATATGGGGATGTTTTGTGGGAGAATGCGTTGCTGGTGCCATGTCAGATACCGGACCAATCAAGAAAAGCAACTTGGTACTTGAAAGTGAGTACGAGCACAAAGAAGTCTTTTAGATGGTTCACATTTTTAATGGCTCGCTTTTCTACGCAACAGGTTACAGATCATGCCAATTATGGACTAAATCATCATTGGGTCAATACAACAAAGTGAGTATACCGTACAACGTCATCGATAAGGAAGATCTGACTGAGTCCCCCTCTTGCTTGCAGCATATTTGGTCCTTTTGGAATTATTCCAGCCCCATGTGGATTATTCTCAGATGATCAAATTACCTTTATATACGGACACTAGGCCATCATACGATATTGCCCAATATGATCGCTTCCACTTTTTCTCCTCTGCGTAGCGTATTAGGCCCACCTGAAGATCCCAAAGCAGGTACACATACCAGTCCATTGGCCGTTGCCATAGAATGCATACCACTGAAGTGAAGTGTAGATGTAAGGATGTTAGCTGTTTGCAAATGGTCAAGGTCAAATTTACGTAACTCACCTGCTTCTTTGACTTCCAGTGCTGAAAGCTGATAGTCCACCCTCCTTGTTAGGCTTGATGACCACCCTATGAAATTCAGGTCGTGGATCGAGTCGCATATCATCTTCGATTTGCACGCGTGTACGTGCAAGATGACAATGTTCGATCGCATATCCTGATAATTTACGTAAAGCAGGCATGACAAAGACATACAAACAAACCATAGCCGAAGCAGGATTACCAGGTAAAGCGAAAAGGAAACGTTCTTCTCCTTTTTCGTTCAATGCACTTGCAAATGTTGTTGGTTTGCCAGGTTTCATTGCAACTCTGCCAAAATGGATCTTGCCTCCTTTCAAGTTTCGTTCGATCAGAGGTTTCAATAGATCACTTTCGCCCATCGATGTTCCTCCTGTACTGATGATAACGTCTGCTTCTTCCAATCCTCTCTTTAAAGCTGCCAATGTTGCATCTACACTGTCACCCACAATACCCAAATCTACAACTTCGAATCCTGCTGCACGTAAAGCTGCTGTCAAACTTGGCCTATTTGCGTCAAAGACTCTGAAGCCCCAAGCATCCTTTGCATTTCCACTATCGGTTGCTACATCGTACAGCTCATTTCCCGTTGACAGAATTGCAATGCGTGGTTTTCTGATCACATTGACTTCACTTACACCCAAGAAAGCCAATGTGCCAATCTCTCCACCAATATCACTCAATTTAACTCCTTTCTGTAGAACAACCTGTCCTTCCTTTACGTCACTTCCAGCTTTTCGTACATTTTCGCCTACATCAATCTTTGCTTTCACTTGAATTGTCTTTTCTTCTCCTTGCTCATCTTCTTCCAAAAGATCAGTATCTTCTACCATCAAAACCGCATCTGCACCTTCCGGTAATCCTTGTCCGGTATTGATTCGATAGACTGCACTTTTTGGTACACTTCCTCCTCTTGTTATAACTGGATATGCACCAGGTGTGATGTCTTCAGCTTTTAGTGCATATCCGTCCACATTCGTCGTTGGCTTAGGAGGTAAACTACGAGGTGCAAGAATCGATTCGGCTAACAGATACCCACGCAGATCCGAGGTAGTGGGTAGCTTTATCGACCCATTAGAAGGCACGTTGGACAGTATCAAGTCAAACGCTTCCGATAAGCTGATGATTGGGTATGGTGACATTCGTTTCCGAAGACTGACCGATTGGGTTGGATCATGCGTTTTGTAGCCCGTCGTTTCTTCAGCTTGCACTGTACGTGGTTTGGGAGCCGAGTGGTGTCCGTGGCCATGGTGATGATGATGACCACCATGCTTGTGTGAATGCCCATGTGCATGATGTGATCTGCCAGTATCCGTTTCTGTTCCTGTGATCGATTGCTGCATTTCCGCATGTTTCTTCCTTCCTGTTCCTCCAGATAATAAGTCTAACGCATGTGCAAGCAATCCGTTCTCGCTCAGTAATATCTCACAGCATTCTTTGACAGCATTGCTACTTCCCGGAAGGGCAATGATGAGAGCACTTCCGTTCGCTTTTCCACTTGCTTGTTCGGTTGTTGAGGAATTGGAGCGACGATAACGAACGCCTGTGACAAGACGTGAGAGTGCAGCTAAAGGCGTCTTGCTCAATGAATGCTGCATCAAAGCATGTGTAAGCCCTGTCGTTTGATGATCAAGTAAGGGCAGGATAGCTTCTGGTGTCACATCTCTAACGCCTAATCCAGTCCCTCCTGTACTGATCACAAGGTCTGCTGCTGATTCGTTGCCATCTATCCAAGATCGGATCTTGTGTTGGATTAGCTCAACGTCATCTGCTACTACTTCTTGTGCAATGACATCGAAAGATCCTTGACCTTGCTCTTGCAGTAACCTGGCAAGGATTGGTCCTGATTTGTCAATTGATGGATCTTGTGCCGCCGAATCGGAGACTGAAGAAGTGAAAAAGAGGCCTTTATTAGATACAATTTCTCAATTTTAAACAGTTCCAAGCTACCTACTAGTCAATACGGCTACTTTCTTGACCATTTTGGACAAATAGCTTATGGTGATAAGCAAAGGAAGGAACCGTGAGGTAGGACTCCACCTCTAGCAAGAAAAGCTTAATTGAGGCTCTCGAGCCATTGACGCTAATAATGTACATTAGTATTATTATTTTATATATTCACACGCCCGGCTTTATTTTTGCGGGTGGCTGCATGGTTGGTTGGAAAATGTTATGCAAGCTAATCCAACAGATTTTCTTCTTCTTCTTTAGCTACATTATCTCATCACACAAACGGCAGCATTCGATCACAAGAATGTTGCAATCAACTCTAAGGGGAAGAGGTTCAACTCTATTACCTCTACTGAGAAGCTCCAATGCAAGGAATACTATACCAGCTATTCGAACAAGCCTACCTGCAATCCGACATGCATCTTCCACAACAACCACACAACCGGTCGTACCTACGCAAAATCCGGCTTCAAGACCTTTTGCAAGACATAGACCTGACTTACCTCAACCGAAATCCTACAAATTACCAGCCGCTCTACTCATTATATTCTCACTCGTCACTTGGTCAGCATTTACCGCTCATGCAACAAATCGAGAAAGACTTTCTTCTGCCGTTCTAAAGAATGTCGTTGATAAAATACGTGATAGCGAAGAAGTTCAAGAAGCAATGGGAGAAGATGTTAATTTAAAAAGAGAAACAATCCTCGCTGGAGATCCTTGGATTCGTGGAAGTGTGAACATGATGCAAGGTAGAGTGGATATGTCATTCAAATTAAAAGGTTCAAAGGATACAGGAACAGTTTATTTCAGCTCGATCCGTAGAGATGCTCAAACGCCTTATGAAACACTACGATTTTTAATCGTCCTGGATTCGAATAAAAAGGTAATCTCCCTTCTAGATTCTTAAATCACACATCATGTACCATAGCATTACTATCATCATCTCATCTCAACGCACAATGGTTGCATTTTCGAAGCGTGTGTTTCTTAATCTACATGGTATAGTAGTTTTATTAAAAGGTTTCGAGTTTAATCCAGGTGTTCAATGCCAGATTCCGATGATCAATAACCATCCAAATATACTCTGAGCAACAGCGATTGAGAATAAAAATTGAATCCTTCTGCTTCGTTGTGCATGCGTGATAGTGACACTCGATGGGGAAGATGGATCCGGCAGGATGACATAACGCATCGATCGCAGCAGAAAGAAAGCATTTGCGGCTGTTGTGTATGCCCATACGCTCCAGTATGCCAAACGACCAAAGTGCATCAATCCGATAAGTAAGGTGATAATCACACCAACAAATTTGTACCCTGAATAGGCCAAAAGATCAACGATCGTGTGATCGCCTTGAATGTTGAGCAAATAACATCCCAATTTGACCAACACAAATTCGAAAACAATGACACCTAAAGCTTTCGAGAGACTGACACCCAAGGCCTCAGGATGGAATCTAGACTGCAATCCTCGAATGACAGCAACCAACAAAACGTAAGTGACAACGGCCATTGCAGGAATGTACAGATCGGGCGAGTTGACATCTTCTCTTGGCGGAGCATACCCATCAGATAATTTGCCAACACCGTTGACGCCATCTGCCTCGGCAGTCATACCGGGATACGTGCTTGGCTCAACGCTCGATGCTCCTCCAGGGGTGACACCTCCAGCAGATTGTCCGTTGCCGTGCCTGTGAGCTCGGCTCCAAGGTTTGTGTCTCCATGGGAACAGGACCAATCGCATCTTGTGCAGGACATAAGAGTTTGACACATTGAAATAATGTTTCAATACTGGCACTGGAAGATACCTGTTGAAATTCTTTTCGACATACTCTCCACCTGCTTGTGCGAATTGCCTTCCGATATGCATACCCATCTGTGCTGTATGATCATTGAACAATTGTCCGCCACCACCGCCGCCGCCTTGAAAGCCGCCAAAGTTAGGAAACCCACCATATCCACCATTCCCACCTGCATTTTGATGAGGTCCGCCCATCTGACCAGTTGGCGTTCCATAAGGATTACCACCGAATGATTGAAAGCCACTTGCGTCTACATGCCCTGAGCCTGCATTATTTGCATTGATGGGCGGCGATGAAAATCGAGCATAACCTCCTTCGCCCGTCATTGTTGATCCTCCGGCACTTTGCCCTAAACCAGAAGGACCAGCGCCGCCCCTTGAACGTGCAGAAGTCATATGTGGATCGGAAGGTGTTGCTTCTGCGTTTGTTGGATTTGGGGTGATTGGTGGATCGGGAACTTGAAAAGGTGGATGAGTCGGTTTTGGATGTTGAAGTGGGGGAGGTGATCGGTTTGATCCGTAATTTTGCTGATACATATTTCGTTCTGCAAAACAACTTTATCAATCAACCACCACTGCTATTCCTTCGGTCATTCAAACTGGCTGAAAGGAATATGAACGAAACGATCTTCTGTTGCAAACCTCAACCCCGACTGGATTGGTAATTTGTGCGGAATCTAGCAAATGTAGATGTTGTTGTGCTATGTTCGCAGCTGTTGATATCTCTCAAATGTTGAAGATTTCGAGTATGAAAATCGAATCTGATCGTGATTGTTTGAAGAAAGAAGTAATGTAACATCAAAGTTCCAACACTTTGTACGGTGTGCATGCACTTTATAGCATACACGTAGCCTTTGAGTTCGCTGGGATCCTGCAAACTTCCAGGTGAACTTAGACTGGCGTAGTGCATGCCATACAAAATAAGCTTTTTCGTAGGCCAAAGCGGCGGCGCTAAGATTTTGAACGCATGTAGGCGGCAAAAAGCTGTGCGTGAGAAGAAAGAAGAATACATCCAATTATAAGATCTTCTTTCCTTCTGCTTCTTCACATCTGACCCGTGGTGATTGCAATCATTAAGCATCACAGAAAGATCATGTCAAACAATCATAATGCTGCTATTCGTGTGCAAGAATTGCCGCCTAGGAGCGAGTTACGATTTGAGTTAGAGCCAAAAGAACGTTTATCAGTTCGACTAATTCCCGGCTCAGGTGATTGTAATGTTTTTGGTGCTGATCTCATTCCGGGTACAACGGCCGATCGATGGTATACATTTGGCGATGAAACAAAAGCATGCTTGGCTACATTGAATGGATGTCAACTCGAACTAATAGGAACGGTCACAACGGAATATTTGGCAGAAGATGAAAGTATTGCTCCTTTGATGAGAATGTATGCAAACGTGCATTTATACTTGGAAGCAAAGAGGATAGACGCACGCAATTGGCTAAAGGAGGATATCAAACGTCCAGGATCGAGTAGCATATTCAACACATTGGCACAATCGTCGCTAGTCTTGAGCAATGAAGGAGTTCCAATCGACTTTGATACGGATGTCAATGCTGAGGATCCAATCTACAGACCACAAGGTCAAGGACCACGAGTGATGGTCGTGGGACCCGAGTCGTCTGGAAAGTCAACTTTGATCAAATATCTCGCAAATTATGCTTTAAAAAGCCCTGCAATCTGCAATCCTGCTCAAGCAAAGACCGATAAAGGCGACGAGAGCAGTCAAGAAGCTACATCTGATGCTAACGGATGGTGGCCAAGTATTGTTTCATTAGATCCATCAACCGGATCAGCTCCATTACCATGCACACTGTCGATCTTGCCCCTCTCTCCCATACCTCAAGCTGCCCTTCCATCGCCATCTCCGGCGTTCCCGTATGGGTTGACGACTTCCACAACTGGTGCTTTACCGCCCGTTGCCTCTGCCGCTCATACGTCCAATACGCATTCTCTATGGCTAGGACGTGAGAATGCTCGCGACAACGAGCGACATACAAAGCGTGCTGTTGATTGGCTAGCTCTGGCATTGGAAAAGCGATTAGCACGGGATCCCAGAGCACGCTGCAGTGGAGTGTTGATTGACACACCTGGCATTATCACCGCTGATGCCAAGAATCGATACCCCTTACTTCAACATTATGTCAAAGCATTGAAAGTGGATACAATCATCGTTCTTGGACATGAAAAGCTCAATGTTGAAATGACGAAATTGTTCGGTGCTCAAGGATCAGGAATCAGTGTTGTGAAGTTGCCCAAATCAGATGGAGTTGTTGAGTTCGATTCTTCTTTCAAACAGAAACTTCGATCTCTACAGATACGCAATTACTTTTACGGAGGAAGCTCCTACAAGAAAAAAGAAGAAAATTCTGGAGCCCAAGATGAAAATGGTGAAAACTTAAACGAAGATGGAATGGAGAAAACATCAAAAGACTCTATCAATAATATTGCACCAAGTCATGTTGAACCTCTTGGTGGATTACCCCTCCTAAGTCCATATTCAACAACGCTTCCGTTTGACGTCTTAGAGGTATACAGTGTTGGACAGGAGAGTAAAGCGCCTAGTAGTGCATTACCAATTGGTGCTCAAAGTGTATCTTCAGCCACACAACTGGTCAAATTAGATCATGCAAATTCAGCAATCGATCAATCAAATTTGCTGCATTCGATCTTAGCGATCATTCAACCTCCACGCGGAGGTGGTGGACCGGGTGTAGCAGATAGCAAAGTTGATCCTCCACCAACTGATGATGAACTTTTGGGAGCTCCCGTTCTAGGATTTGTACATGTTGCTGAAGTGGACGCTACCCGGAAAAAGATCACCGTCTTAAGTCCAAGTCCAGGTAGATTGCCGAGTAAGACTGCTTTGATCGGCACACTAGATTGGCAAGATCTGTAAAACATATGAATTGTACTATCACCCTATCATCAATGCAAATTTGTATATTTATCTTTGTGATGAATGCCATTCATCAAACATGGTGAGCTTCATCATCATTGCAGAGTACAAACACGTGACTCATGCCTGCTCCATATTCATCACGCCCTGGACGCTTTCTCCAAAAAATTTAGAAATTCCTGCTTCAAAAAATTTAGAAGAATTGTCAGTAGAGGCAGTATAGCACTGTGATGTCAACCCTTTTTATGGAGAGTAAATTACAGATTAAGAAGATTGACTTGCAGATTAACAAGAAGGGGTCTATGCCATCTGCTGTTCATACCACCATAACCAAACACCACCCACCCCGCATACAATCAATACACCATGCCAAGAGGAGGTAAAGGTGGTAGAGGAAGACGCGGTGCAAAGCATGGAGGCGGAATTGCACGAAGCAGAGATGATGGAGGTCGATCAAATACATGGCAAAGTAATGGACCTGCAATGCAAACAAATAAATACTTTGAAGCATACTATTGGGATCAGAATATAGTCAATCCTGATCAATGGCAAGCATTTTTGGATCATTTACGTGCCCCGCTTCCAACTTCATTCAGAATCACATCTGGTAAACCAACAACGGCAATCTTGATCGAACAAATGCAAAACTTTTACCTTCCTTATTTGAGTAATGTCAAGTTTGAAGGTGAACAAGTCCCACCACCAAAAGCATTACCTTGGTATCCCGAAAGTATGGGATGGCAAATCGATGTCAAGAAGAACGCTTTAAGGAAAACAGAACAATTCCAGAAATTCCAGCAATTCTTGGTTCACGAAACAGAGGTGGGTAACATTTCACGTCAAGAGACCGTCTCAATGATTCCACCACTCTTCTTGAACGTAGAGCCACATCATATCGTTTTGGACATGTGCGCTGCTCCAGGCTCAAAGACTGCTCAATTGATCGAAGCTTTGCACAGTCCTTTGACAACTATGGCAGAATCCTACGATCCTTGCCCACCCGGTATCGTGATCGCAAATGATGCTGATGCAAAACGTGCTCACATGTTGGTTCATCAATCTGCTCGTCTGCCTTCACCTAATATCGTTGTCGCAAATTGTGATGCGTCTAGATGGCCTTCTGTTCGGGTTCCATGGAATGCAAAAGGAAGTGAAAGCGTTCAAGAAAGAACAATGAAATTCGATCGGGTTTTGGCAGACGTTCCTTGCAGTGGAGATGGTACACTTCGAAAGAACTTGATGATTTGGAAAGATTGGCACCCACATAATGGATCTTCTTTGCATCCTCTGCAATTAAGGATCTTGATGCGTGGATTGCAAAGTTTACGAAACGGTGGAAGATTGGTTTATTCGACTTGCAGTTTGAACCCAATTGAAGATGAAGCCGTTGTTGCGCAAGCATTGAGAGATTGCAAGGGTACAGTCAAACTTGTCGATCAGAGCCATGCTTTCCCAGAGCTAATCCGGAAGAAGGGTGTATTCACCTGGAAGGTATGCCCTACTAAAGGCAGCAAGGATAAGCTGAACGTAGCCAAGACTGCAGAGGGAGAGACCGAAGGTGAACAAAAGTCAGAAGAGAAAATTGAAGGCGAACAGAAGGCAGAAGAAAAGACTGAAGGTGGAGAAGGGTCTAGCTACCGCGATACCCTACCTCAATTACCCTATGTCGAAAAGCACGACGACTTAGCACCTGAATGGCGTGAAAAAGTACCCAAATCACTTTGGCCACAAGGTGACGAAGAAGCTCTTGGATTGGATAAATGCATGCGTATTCTTCCTCAAGACCAAAACACAGGAGGCTTCTTTGTTGCTGTTCTAGAGAAAGATGACGGCTCAGAGCCCGAATTGAGCGAAGGAATGGCCCATGGAATGGTGAGAGCGATGGGATTGAAAGATGCGACTGTGTCGAAACAAGAGGCAGCGAACACAGCAAAGAGACCTTTGAATGGTGATGAAGAGGAGGAGTCGAATAAACGTGTCAAGACTGATGCTGACGTGGCCGGAGATGCGAATGGAGCCGGTCCCTCAAACGGAGTTGCGGTTGAGAAGAAGCCAGAGGATATCGGACAGCCAGGCGGTGCACCTTATCGTGAAGATCCAATGGTTTACGTTGATCAAAATAATGAACAATCACAATCGATCGTCTCATTCTTTGGTTTGACAGACAAGTTCGATAAACGCAACTTATTGGTCCGTAATCGTGACGCCAATCCGCTTCGATCGGCATACTTTACAAGCACCTCTGTCCGTGCTTTGATCACATGTGGTGGTGCAGGAAAAGGAGACCATCCATACGGAAATCCATTGAAGATGCGTTTGATCAACAGTGGTGTTCGATCTTTCGCCCGACAAGATTCAGGAAAGGATCCACAATTGAAATGCAAATGGCGTGTGACATCTGATGCTATTCCGGTCTTGCGTCCATTGATCGAAGCAAAGAAGATCCTGCATGCAAGTATTTCCGATTTTGCCTTTATGATCTCTAATCACTATCCTAAATTGAGCGACGTACCTGAAGGTGATTTCCGTACAGCTCTTCAAAACGAAGATATCGGAAGTCATTTGGTGGATATTGCACCGGGAACATATCAAGACCAAAAGCTTGAACGAACAATCTGCGTACCAATTTGGCGTGCACCAGCAAGTATGAATTTGATGTTAGAAAGACAAGAAAAGAGTGCATTAAGCTACAGAATTTTCGGAAAAGATCTTTCGAACCCGTCTGGTGCACGTCAATTCGTGGTCAGTAAAGCACAAAAACAAGCTCAAGCTCAAGCAAATGCTAAGAGACAACAAAAAGAAGAACAATCAATGAAGATTGACGAAGATGAATTGGAAGCATTAGAAAATGCAGCTGCGAGCACCACTGCTGCAAAGGAAGAGCAGGAGCAACAAGAGGAGACTGCAGCACAAGTCGAAGAGGAAGGACAAGAGCTCTCTGTGGATGTGTGAATTTGTGGTACCGCATTTAGAGCTGTTTTGTAGATTAATATCACACTTTCAATGTTAAAATTGTTTCATTACCCTGTGACTGAAGACGACAAAAAGACAGACAGAGAAAACACGTGAAAAGCAATGAATTGAATGTGCAACGATAACATTGAAAGATGGCATGAAATCATCTTTCATTTTCCCATAAAAAAATGCGATGCAAAAGTAGTCTATATAGAGAAGAAGAAATACAACAAAATACAAGCGATCGGTCATTACCAATCAGCTTTTCCGGTAGCGGCAGCCAAAGCAGTTGAGATGTCCAAATGGAAGAAAGGTGTAAGGTCATGGTTCCAAATGACTGGAACACTGACAACACTATTTCCTCCTGCACCCTCGGTAGGATCGTAATCAGCACCGGTGCGCTTTGTACGTCCGTTATTAATACTGCTAGAAGCTGAGCTATCCTTAACATCACTATCCGAATCAAATTCAACCTTTTTGATTTGATCGGTATTACGTCCGACTGTTGGTAAGATATTTGCTTCGATATCATCCTTTTGTGCCTTTTCTTGACGTTCTTGTAAGATTCTTTGTTCGTTATGAACGTGAATGCGATCATGTTGACTAACAACAGGAGCAATTTCAGTAACGTGAGAATTGGCTTCACCTGTACCAAAGCCAGCTGCCAACAAACCACGACGGATCCAAGGACTTGTGATGCTAACAAAGTGGAATTCAACCTGACCGCCAACGTATCTTTCAACGGCCGAGCGAACGTCTGCTAAACTTTGAACAGAAGTGGTATCAACGTTTGAAACACTGCTGCAATCAAAGATGATTGCGCGTAAAACGGGTCTTGGATCGTCAATTTCACCTGCTGCTGCACGTTTAGCATCTTCAATACCTTCTTGCATCTTACGTCCACCGAAACCACAAGTGATTTTACGGGCAGCCCAAGCGATTGAAGGGTTGACGGGTCCAGGATCGTTCCATGGACGATCACCGTGACGTGCATATTTGATAGCCTTGAACGGTCTTGTTTCTGATTTAATACGATCCAAGATCATTTCAGTCAAGTAGTTTGCGTTTGGATAAGTGAAAGCTTCTTCGAATCGGTAAATAAGAACACCTGGTGGAGGCGCTTCAACGTGAACGGAAGGATCACGCATTCCATCTTTGTCGTCCAAAGGTACATAAACGTCACGGTGACCGACTTCTTGATTAGGACCTTCGGTAGAAGTGCCGTAATGAATACGAACACGACCCAACCATCTTCCACGAGGACGTGCGATACGAACTAACAACAAAGCTGCTGAAGCTGCAACGGCAACGTAAACACCAATTTCGACACTGGCAAAAATTGTTGCCAAAACGGATCCCCACCAGATAAAGAATTCGAAAGGACTGACGAGCCAGAAACGGTACAAGACTGCTGGAGGTGCGATCAAATCACCAACTGCATGAATAATAACAGCGGACAGAACAGCGTTTGGAATCCAGTAGAAACCACCTGCAACAGCGTACAAGGCAATCACCACAACGATAGCTGTAATCCAACCTGCCAATGGCGTGCGCACACCGGACTTGGCCTTGATTGCAGTACGACTGAAAGAACCTGTAGCGGCGTAACCACCGAATGCTGGACCGATCAAGTTTGTGACACCAATGGCAACCAATTCTTGGTTTGGGTTGATCTTGTATCCGTTCAGACGACCGAATGATTTACTGATTGCAATGTGTTCCAAAAGCAAAACGATTACCGACGCAGGAATTTCTCCGGCCATATCGCTAAATAGTTGAGAACTCAAATATGGTTGTCCAATATGTTTGAAACCAGCGGGAACAGCTCCAATGAGACTGATTGGGTATTTGGGCTTGGCAGGATTCTTTTGTGGTAGACGATGTAGCCAACCATAAGCGGCGGCGGTCAAGATGATGATGATGAAAGCACTGCGCAAAACGGAAATGAAGAAGCATGCCCTTGCCCATGTTGGCTTACGACGTGGGATGAAGTTCATCAACCAACGAACGAAGTAGAGGAAGAACAAAGTGCATAAACCGAAAGCGGCATCAATCTGTGTACGCGGCAAACCTTTCAAAGTCTCAATGATGATGTGGTATGTTGCAGGACCGTTTGTTTTGACACCAGAGATACCCATCAATTTTGGAACTTGACCGACGGCGATTGTGATGGCAGAACCAGTCATGAAACCGGAAACGGCAGGAGCAGGAATGAACTCGACAATCCAACCGAGACGGAGAAGACCGATACCCAACGTAACCACACCACAGATGAAGGCTAAAGCGGAAGCGATAACTTCAGGTTTGTAAATGTTGCCAGCTTTGCCCGTCACATCACGAATCACGTTTGCGGTTTGCAAAGACATCACAGCGACAGGGCCGATGGTGACATCCTTTGAGGTTGCAAAGAAAGCATAAATGGCCACACCAACGAAAGACGAATAAAGACCGAACTCTGGTGGTACAGTTGCAAGAGTGGCGTAAGACAGCGATTGAGGAACGACGACGAGACCGACGGTGATACCGGCGATAAGGTCACCGATTAGCCATTGAGTATTGTAGGATAGAATCCATTTTGTGAAGGGAAATAGTGCGTCAAAGTAATCGGCAGCCTTGCGACCTGGATGTCTAAAGACATCACCCAACCAATCTTTGCTGCTCACATATGGTACTCCTAATCTGTTTGCTTCGGTGGCATCGTAGTCTACCAACTTTTTACCGACTTTTGCGCTGGAAGCGTACAATCTCTCACCAAATGGTTGATGAACGGCGACTGTGTCGTCGTGGGTATATCCGTTGTCAGTATCGTTCGTGGCTTCTTGCCCACGTTTGAAGAGAGGCATGTTGATGAAATGGGGATCTTACACGAAGTATAAAGTGAAAGATTGAACCCGAAATTCAGGGATGACAGACCAAAGTGGGTTATATTTGCAAGCTGGACTTAATCTTGTGACCTCCTTTATATCTTTGCCGATGCCGATGGATCTTGCGGGAAGTATAAGAAGATGTCGAAAGAGTAAAGCCTACGGATTGTCCCGCTTCCCCTTTTTTTGGATTAATATTTGTTCTGGACCTGGACCTGAATCTGTACACTTGCGCACGCAATAAGTAAGAAGAATAAGCAACGTTTCGTTTCCCAATTCTTCTTGAATCAACTGTGCATGGCTGTTCCTGCTCGAGTTTGGTACCAGATTGAAGTGCTTTTCACTCTCTGATTGTGGCGTAGTTGGATTTAAAGTGAAAAGATGCCAAGACGATGAAGAAAAACAGAAAAGGTGCAGGAACGAGAAATTGAAAAGATTAGCTTCATGCACGTTTGAGTTGTCACAACAACTTTGATCACTTACAAAGAGATGATTGATAGCAAGGATAGCAAAAAAGGGCAAAAGAGCACTTTCAAGCCGAATGTGATCGTATCCGTTGAACTTCCAGACCGAATGATCAATTGAGTGTTGAGCACAGTACTTGAACAGTATCGATGAAATTGGATAGTGGCGATTGAGATGTGTCTTGTATTTGTCCAATCACACCATTCAAACAGCAATTTGACCTGACTCTGTTGGTCACTATAGCTGGATGAAAGTGAGAATTAAGTTATGAGTTAAACCTTCCTGACAGCAAGCATTCTTGATTGCAACATATAATCTAGCATTATCTAGGGAAGTAATACTGTATGTACATACCTCAGCTATTCTGCTGGAGGGAATCTAAACCGGGTTTTACATTTTTAGTATGGAGTAATTCTATTCAAAGTGGCAGTGAATGACGTGCTCGCGGCTTTAAGATGCATGTTTTGCTTTTGCATAAGAAGAAATCCCTTGGCGTATAAACAGTGCCAGTTGAAATTTCTTCTTACCCCATCTGTCGAAAGAAAGAAAAAAGACTGAAAAAGTACCGTTTGTGTAAGAAGCCGAGAATCTTTTTTCCCGACAGGCTAAAAGGAAACACGATCAACAATCACCGGAACGAAAGAAAATTTTCCTAATTACAAAATAAGTAAACTCCGCGCGCGTGTGGAATGAGACTGTAGAAGTGCTTCCCGCATACAACTTTTCTCCACATTTACGCATTTTTGTATTGATACAAAGGAATACAACACGGACAATCTTCTAATCATGCATCATTGACACAAGATTCGATAGTGAGCACGCAATTGATTGAATTACCGTAAACACTTAGACTGTCTTATTGCAGAATTGATGCACTTTATCACATCATAACAAGAAAGCAAGTTGTGCTTCCTCATCAACCGAAGAGGGGAACAGAATTGACCCTATAAAGAGTAAAAAGGGTCCAAGCTCACCTTATGAGCAAAGCATCAGTCTTCTTTTCGGTCATCGTACATTGAAGCCCGTCAAATGGCGCGAGCGGCGCTTAGACCTCTAAGGCTTGGAGAACTTCTCCAAATCAGGAACAATCGTGGGCAGCGCAATCAATGGCCTCTTAGCGTATGAATTCATATCTATACGCTAGGCTTCCAACACAATACTCTCTCTTCATGAATGCTATGGTGATTGGATCGATGCCGAAATTGAATGTTTTTCATCTATTTTCATCATACAATTGCACTAAGTGCCTTTCTGAGTATACTTGTGATCATTTGTATCATTGAAAGCGTTGAGCGTAGTTGAAAGTGGATTTCGAACCTTTACTCAGGAGGTAGTTCGTATTCGTCACAACGGCTGACGATGGCGTGAGTAACAGCCCCACATCCTTCTCATTGATACGAAACGTAGGTCGGAAAGATCTAGACCTGATAACGCAAAGCCGTTTTGTGGCTGAGAAGACTAGATTATCAATCCCGCTCAATCCAAAACCTGAAACTTAATCTTTAATCTTTCAAACGTTCGGAGTAAGTGAGTGTATTTCCATGCAAGGTTTGAATTCAATCACCGCTTCACACACTAGAATAACTCTGAAAGGAAAGTGAAATAAAAAATGGGATGCCATTCCTGCTACATGTTTAGTCTTGTTACATATTCAGTACCAACCCCTACACATCACCATGTTGAAAGAGTGCACATTGCAAAATCTTTTCGATCAAATCCCAATCGACCGCGTCTCCGCTTGCATATGTACTCTCAAAAGAGTGTAAGCTGATGTTTGCAAAGAATGATTGTAAATCCTCAATCGTTTGAACTGAATGATCACCTCCGTCCGATTCTGAATCTCTTCGAATTTCATCCAATAATAATGGCTTTCGCTTCGTATTCGATACCATAAATCCATCAACGCCAGAAGCGACATTTTGTTGTTCTGATAGAGACTTAGACGACAGTCGAGGCGTCGTTTGAGCTTTACGTTGGGCACGACGAGCAGAAGCTCCATTTCCACCTCCAGATTGAGTAACACTCCTTCTCTCGTTGATGGCTGACGCCAGCCTATCCAGAATAGACTCAGGCGACCAATCATCTGGTGGATAAACGATATCAACCGTATCAGTGATGAAGAGCCATTGATGAATTTGGAATTCGTCCGTTTGCAAGGTGACCAATAAATCCAAGAAACGACAAGCTCCTTCCACCAGCGACAATTGATCAGATCTATCAGAAGGTAATTCTTCCAAACATGATTCGAACAATCGCATCATCTCCGTAATCACCACCGGCCAAAAGCTATTGAGATGTTTCGACTCGAATCGGATCAGCAATACACGAAGACAGAGATACACTTCACTGATCGCTGGATCATTTGCACCATTGCGCAGTAAATCTACCAACTTCTCTTGTATTAGAGGCAATTGCGTTAGCCAATAATCTTTGGGACTTGAGTACAGCACATATGACATCCGTCGAATATTCAACGCTCGCATACGTGTTTCAGCTTCTCTGTTCGTAAAGATATTTGTCGAAGGCGGTGAGACTCGGCCAATCGTTTCAATGAATCGTTCCTTATCTCCTGTCATGTATGCAAAAATGATTGGCGTGAATGAAATACCAACATCCACATCTGTCTCGAAAAATCGTGGATCGTTAAAGTATTCACCAATAGGAGCTCTCCATGCCTTGTATGTTCCTGGTAATTTGGTCACTTCGACAATCAGGGAAAGTAAGGTAGGGTTGAGGTCCAAGGTTTTCCTGCGAATCTTTAGCGATGGCGAAATGATGTAGTATACCACATTCGTACATAACCCGACGAGCTTATCGGTATCAATCGAAAAGGAACGCAATGCTGGCAATACCTTTTTAGCCAAGTATGATTGTACAGCTTCCGCAGTAGATGTAGTACTCGAACTTGCCAAGTCGCCAATCGATCCGCCTAACTTTTCATCGGTACTTCTTTGGGCTGAAGCATCATCTTGATCTGGATCTGAAGTGACTGTCCTTCTGCCAATCCAAGTGGTCTGCTCAAAGCTGCGTCCACCGATAAGAATGTTGAGATCACAGATACGCGAATACAGATCGATCAGATCACGGCGCAGACGTCGGTCATCACCGCCAACACCTCCAGCAATCGCAGTGGGTGCCTTGCTGTTCACATTTCTCTCGTCCAAGACTTTCTCACCAATGATAGTCAAGCAACGTAATGTAGGGAAAATCTGTGCTTTGTGCTGTGTTGTGTTACCCAAAATATCTTTCACAAAGATAGAGACAACCGGCCAAACTTGCACTGTGGCTTCGCTATCCAGTCTTGCAAGGTATGCTTCCAAGAATGATAACAAAATCGAATCAGGTAGGCCAGGACTGCTCATACTTCTTGAACTTGCACTTTGATTAAGCGCATTGCCTGACACCGGCTTCTCTGCAGAAGCCGTTGATGAAGTTCGGGTAGAGATCACATCGCACAGGAACGTCACCACAATCTGAGCGCTTGGTGCCAAGAATGTAAGAATGTCAAATGCTCCAGATGCGCCTTTTACGTTTCCAGATCTGGTTGCTAAGCTCCAACAAGCGATCAAAGCTTCTACAACTTCGCCAGAATGATTCCTGTACAACTTTTCAAGATATCTGCGGCATCTCGCTTGAACGTTCTTACGTATAATCTCCATCGTATCATGACGTGAATCTTCATTTGTTGGCATTGCGTTCGTTGAGATCCAAGCAAGATGCAAAGTCATTACTGTTTGGTGCAAGCTCTTCCAGACCGCATTATTAGCAGAAGCTCCAAAGCTGTCAGCTGTGCTTGAATCAGCCGAGAATACACTGGTCAAGGCTCCCAATAAACTAAATTCGCCCTTCTCTGCAATCGATCCCGCATTTCCTGTATCACTTGCTCCGGTGCTTGCCTGCTGTTCTAAGCTTTGTGACAGAACTCGTTCGCTCATAGTCATCAAGGTGATCAAGTCGTTATCATTAGCTAGGCAAGTGACATCGTCTTGAGTGTCGACCCCATAAGCCTGCTCTAGCTCTGCTACACTAGATCTAATGAGAGCACATAAGCCTTGATTGAGTGGTAAAAGAAGGCCATTGAGCGAAGAACGAAAGATTGGTGAGATTGCCAAAACAAAGTCAGACCATTCTGTGAGAATAATTTGATTCTTTGGAGCAGAGAGTCCGGCTTTGAGGGTGGAGAGTAATAGCGTCGGTGGACCGGGAGCAGCTTGCTGATTTTGTCTGCCATTCGCACTGTGTGTGCTAATAAAGATGCCATGCAAAGTGCGCAAAAGCTTTCCTTGAACTGATAAGATACCTTCGCGAATATCTAGCAAAAGTCGTTGTAGCAAGACCGTTTCAATCTCTTTTAATTGCACTTCGCCTATGTGTACCTTGCCCAATAGAGCACCAATTATGTCTACCGCTAAAGCATGAATGCTTTCGTGAGCGGATTGATAAGCACTCTGTGCAGTCGCATCACTTCTCAATAAGGAGATTAGTACCTCAAAGATAAAGTGTGTATACGTCTTCTCTGGCTCTGAGCTTGCGTACGAGGCAAGCTTTTTGCTGGTCGATCGTTGCACTTGAGCAGTACGCAAAGTTCGTGCCAAAGCAGGCCCTCCGAGGAAAGCCAATTGCAACAATATCGACAAGGCATAACGTACCCTTTCATGATCCAATGGTCGCTTGTAAATGAAGAAACGAATTTCATGTCCGTCAATAGTGTATTTCTCCTCCGTTCGATTTTCACTTGTATCGCAAATGATGAGAAGAAGCGGATCGAGTAAAGCTGTAAACGCTCTGGCATGGTTCCGTACCCATGTCTCAGCCAATTGACGCTCATTCCAATCAGGCGATAAAAGTCCGTCCAAAACGCTCAAGAGAGGATCAACTAGCAATGAAGAGGCTAACCGCACATCATCTGAGTAACGCCAGATAGTATTGAAGGTCTCTAATGCATCTTCACGCTCTGCAAAGGTGCCTCCGTTCAGGTATCGGGTGAGTATCGCACCAATCTGTGTCCTAGGCGAAAGATCAAATATCGTCCACAACAGCTCCACACTACGTACGTGATACGGATTGCAAGATGGCTGCATAAAGTCAAATAGCCTCTCAACGATCGCGGTTGTGATATCCGTTTGATCAATTGATATTCTATCTTTTAGAACGCGACATTGACTTCCAGCGACAAATGCTTCAATGCAGGCTTCTATTCCGATGAATGATTTCGCATTATGCAATTGTGTTTTCATCTGCTCAATCCACAGAGCACCATTCCAGGTAATCGACGCTTGTGCTTGAGTGGCGTCATACGTTGCATCCAGAATGTTCAATAGTTGACACAATATCGTTAGAGAATCAACGGCCAATGATTGTCTTCGCCCTGGGATGGAAGCACATATATCGAGCAAAGCAGAGATGGTGGAAGGGTGTTGGAACCCAATATAGCGTTTTGCTGCCTCGTCAGCGCCTCCTGATGTTGCTTGATATAGGAAGAGGCCGTGTTCATAGAAAGATTTGGTTTTTACTGTCGATGTGGAGCCTGAAGCGGTGGCATCTGCCAATCTATTACCAAAGACTCTCTTCGGGATTAGAGTCAAGATATCCCTGGCAAGTTGTAATCCAGCAGATGCTTGTAGTCCTGCAGGATTTTCTTGAACCAGTTCAACGATAGCAGAGAAGAGAATGGGTAGATGCACAACCCTACTTTCTTCGTCATGTACTCGAAATGAAGTAAAGATGAACCTTAGTAATGCGATTGCTGAATCTCTGTCTGCAATCGAATCGACGTCATCTGTCCCCTTCGCCTTGAGTTCTTCGCAAATGGCCAGATAGAACTGTCTATATAGCGCAAATGGGTCCACCGCTTCAAACAACATCTTTGCTGTAGTAGAAACGTCGGAGGAGGCAGCCTTTTTTGACTGTTGTTCGCCGCCTTGGGATTGCAAACGCTTCCGAAGAGCTTTGAAGGTATCAATGATCAATGCGTTGGTGATAGGCAAGCCAAGACTCCATTTGTCGAGTAAGCTTATCAGTATCCGATATGGCTTTTGCCGGTCCTTGTTCTCAGCCTTATGGCCTTCGCGATCGTCTTCATTTTCCTCATTGAATGCAGATAGCAATGCAAGACGTGCGTACTGCATAGCATGTTCTTCAAAGTAAGCCTGCTGAGCCGCGATATCCTCCGAAGGTCCTAACAGCCAGGCGTACAGTCTTCTGTTCAAGCTGATATCTCGACGTAATACGACAGCCAATGCTGACTGGAATAGCCGAACACGATCATCCCGACGTACAAGCTCCTTGAATGTTTTCGAATCCAGCTTGAATTTGACTGCTAGAAGATCCAACATTGCTCTTCGTACCAAAAGAGTATCATCTTCCAATGCAGCTGAAAAAGCTCGGATGGCAAGGCCGAGATCCGGACCAACGATTGATGTGACCTCTTTCGCCGATCCTTCTGTGCCATTAAGATCGTCCAATCGCCTGCTGAGATAGTGTAACGATGGTAGTCGGGCTGCTGGAACACTAATGAGAATCATCCATAGATTCTGTAGGAAGAATGGCTGACCTATACTGTCGCGAATTTTGTCGAGCAACTTCAATACCCGCTCAAAGTGTTCACTTGTTTCCTCTTCCAGACCTGGTAGCAAGGCTAATTGCATCGGTTTGGCAATGGGTCTGAGATCTTGTCCTAGAGGCAGATAATGTAGCTCGATAATGTTCAGAACGATTGGCTTGACTGTCATCGAGGCGAATTGGAAGAAAGGTAATAAACCGGGTGTCCAGACTGAAAGATCCCGCCTTAGCCCTTCTGGACCGATAACTGTGAATATATGTTCATAAACCTCGAGAGCTCTTTGATGTACACCTGATGGTAAAGCGGGATTTAAGCATTGTGATAGACGCTTTGCAACGATTAATTTCCTTGGTATAGCATTAAATTGTGTTGATGTTTGCAATGTTTTAAGCAATCTTGCCAAAAATGAAATAAAGTCTGCCCATTCGCTAACGCTATCGAATGTTGCCAAACATTTTTCTACTGCTATTGTATATTTCCTAAACTTTGCATCGGATTGCAAAGTCTTTTCCGATTGAATCGCCCATGCTTTTTCCGCCCTTCTTGCTGCACTACTTTTCCAAAGTTCGCTATTGGTAGCAAGCGAAGCCGATCCGGCAGCGATTGGTGATGCTTTGCCATTCTGTGTGCTCTTAGGTGGTCTAATGCCTTGTTGTGTAATTGAATGAATTGAAGCTGAATCGGAAGCGATTGAAGGTGCAACAGGTTTGCTAAGATGAGCATTCAGACTTGCGGAAAGTGAGCCCAGCTTTGATGATGGAGTTGAGCTACCACTTGCCTCATTCTGTCCAGAGCTCATTTGTGGAATCTTGATCGATCCCTAATAAGGATGTTTGGAATAAGATGGTGGGATGAAAGATGTCTTTGTAATTGGCTGAATGAGAGGGAGGCGTTTTTTGATTTTAAACCTTAATGCATGCACGTTCATAAAGCGCAGTTAACAGGCGTGGAGAGAGACAAACACACACAAGAACGCGGAACAAGGCTTACATGCACGGACATTGGATCATCCCTTTCTGGGTGACGATCAGATCTTCTTTCTTACGGCCATCTCTCAAAGGTCAATAAGGGACAGTCATATCATCAAAGATGTCTCGATCATTACGATCAAGGCCGTTGACCTTGTATCAATCACAACGCAATAGTGGCGCACCTCAAGGACCAGTCATTCCGCCTATTCCAGAAGATGATGGAAGAGGAAGGGATAGTGTTGCTTATGGATCTGGGCCGTCAGGCGAAAAGCCAGGCAAGTCCGGTGGAGTGAGCTCAATGAAAAAGATGGGAAAGCGAACAGGTTTCTCAAAAGCATCTGAAGTCGGATCAAATTTGAAAAAGCGTCTTAGCATGCGATATGCAGAACCTACTCATGTCGACTCTGGAGGTTTCAGTGCCATTCCAGAAGTACCATCATTACCTTCAGCTATACCTGGTGCACCTGATCTACCGCCTGGTGCTAATGAGTTTAGGCAATCAGGTGTCTCGTACGATGCAAACGGAAGACCGCTACCGATCATGGGCGAGGGATTTGGTCAAATGGACACACATCAAGACGCAATGGCTACCTTGGATGAAGCAATGGAAGGATCAAGTCATCATAGTCACTCACAGGTTGCTGCTCTACAAGGGCGTGCAAGCTTAGACGGTCGAGTATCTGCTGGTCCTCTAAGTTTAGAGGGATTTGCACGGGATCCAGCAATCGATTTAGACTTGCTGAGTCAAGATAATTTTGATGCAGAGATGTATTTGAAGATGAAACTTTCCCATTCTTCAGAGGATTTCCTACGACAATTTCAAGATTCACTGAAAGCCGCAAAAGAGGCAGCATCCTCCGATTTGAAGAGACAAGTGTTTCGTAACTATTCCGAATTCATCACAGTATCTAAGGAGATCGCAACGTTGGAGAATGACATGCTGGAACTGAAAGAATTATTGGGCGAATGGAAGACTTTGCCTCAGGCGCTCGAACTGGAAGAAGGCGGAATGGATGGTTTAGGTTCTTTGACAGATTCAGCATTGCGTGGAAGATCTTTGCGAGGCAATCGAAACAGTATGGTAGATTTACAACAAATCTACAAAGCACAAATTATGTCTTTGTGGGAGGGTATTGAAGGATCACAAAAATTCTTGCCTCTCGTTCCAGGAAGGCATTTGATTGCAGAGGCATCTTCTTTCACAGAGCTCAATGCGGCCACGTATAAACCCAAGCAGGGCGTTGCTCTATTTTTGCTGGATGATCTTCTGCTCATTGCAGTGCGTAAGAAACGACAAATGAGTGCGAGGGTGAGACTGGTAGCTGAGCGATGCTTCAGCTTGGCGGAAATTGTCGTAATCGATTTAAAGGACGGAGGTGAACTTACAAATGCGATCAAAATCAAAAGAGGAAAAGAAAGCTTTGTTTATCGTACAGATCGTGGGGAAGATAAACGTGCTTTGCTCAACGCATTCCGAAGAGTGGCCGAAGAGCTTGCTAATAAACGACGCAAAGACAGTCTAGCCGAAGCTGAGGCTCGCAAACGTGATACGATTTTCCCAAGTGTCGATAGTGGTGTTTTGTCAGTTTCGGCAAGATTGACTGGAAGTGTGGATACTTTCCGCAGAAGTGCCATGTCCTCAAGTGACGATAGCAGCGGTCGAGGTGGCAATGAGAAAGATCTCAATAGATGGCTAAGCGATTTCTCTGATCAGATCGCTGTTTCTATTGCCTTGCGTGAATGGGGAGAAGCGGTTGATCTAGTTGAAAAAGGTCAAGCTTTGCTCGCTGAACACGATATCAATACCGGTAGCGAATCTGCCAATGCAACACACCGAGAGCTATCCTTACGTATTCGATCTTTGGTATCCCAGCTTGTGGAAGCGATCAGTCATGATCTCTCATCTCCGCTATTGAAAAAGACATCAGTGGTACGCAATGTCGGCTTTCTCCTTCGACTTGATAAAGGAGAAAGAGCACGAGAGATTTTCTTGAACTCACGCAGTGAGCTATTGAAGAGGAGAAGTAGACAGATCAAATTTGAAGGAGACGTTAGCCTCTATATCAGCGAGCTCGCTCTGGTTCATTTCACACTGATCAAGAATACGAGTGAATGGTATATGAGCGCGTTCAAGGACAATCATATGGCAAGTGGGTTCGTTCGTTGGGCTGCCTCGCAAATTGAAACGTATGCAGAGATCTTCCGAAGACAAGTTTACGGGATGGCGGATCAAGACCCAAAGGTGGTCACAGAAGCGGTCGAGATTACAATGTCAAGCGCTTCTCAGCTTAAGGAGGTAGGACTGGATCTCACATTCTTCTTGAAAGACTTGCTAAAGGTGGACGGACAAAATGCGAGTGCCATGGGAGCAGCAGCAGCGGCAGTAGGAGGACTATCAGCACCAGGCGTTCCATCTCTAACAGTCACATTAGCAGATGATCCTGATGCGATTGCAAAAAGGCTATCGGCGATTGATATTCGTCGTCAAAGTATGATCGCGCGTCAATGAGAGAGGTCGGGTGTGTAATTCTGTAAATCATTAATCATTTGTACATTAATTAAACATAAAATTATCATGCTGAAGTGTTTTATGATTTTGACCAGACTACATAGGCAAGATAAGCGATCACAATGGCAAAAGGTACCAAATTTTCCCGAGGGATTTGACCCAAGATTCCTCCAGCACGAGGTGCACCTGCAGATCCTGATCCACCGGCCAAACTATGACCACTTCCCGGGAACGTACCCGAACCTGGAACGGCCGAGCCTTTGTTAATGTATTGCGAAACCATTTCAGTTAATTTTGAAGCATTTGCACCACGTAATTGATCCAAAATACCACCTTTTCTTATAAAAACAAACGTTGGCATTGCACGTACGCCATACCTTTGAGCGATTTGTTGAAATTGATCAACATCCACTTTAAGAAAATGAGCATTTTGTCCATGTTGACGTGCTAATGAATCGAAAACCGGTGCAATCATCTTGCATGGCGGACACCATGATGCCGTAAAATCCACAACGACCAACTTTTCGCCGGCCGATGAAAGTGTTTTGTCGAATTCTATTTGTGGGTATGCAAATGTAAGCAATCAAGTCATTTGAAGATGTGCACTTCCCTTCTCCTACTACTCACCGGCTGTTGAAGAGATCACAGTGGCCATCTTGACAACTTTTTTGTATGGAAGTCGGTAGTTTAAATGTAACAAGATGATATGTTCCTGTTTAAAGGTTCTTGCCCCACCACTCTAGTCCTTCAATACATGCACGGCCCTGAATCGCCAAAATAAGACTCGTCTTCCTGCAATAAAAACGCCCTGCGCCGGCGTATAGGCGAATAGGCGGCAATCACTGCACTTCTTTCTAAAAGGCATTCCGGTCATTAAAGCCTGGTTCTTCTTTACATTAAGAATAATTGACAACTTTGCTTGAGAAGCATAAGTATAATATCATCAAGGGTCTTTCCAGAGTATATTCATACTGTTAAGAAGTGAAGATAGCTCAGGCTGTAAATTGGAGATAGACTGCTTTATGCTCATTAAGACTCAATTCTACTCCTCTAGCTCAATAATGTTTAATCGTATCAATAAATCGTTTTTGGTTGCCGCTTATGAGTACATAAACGAGACTGTGTGCGGGACAAGACACTTGTACAGTTTTGTTGATTGAAATAGACAAAAGTATAGACTTGAATCTTTTTCCAAAAGGGCGGGAATGTGAGATGTATATATATACGTGTGGCTGAGAAACGAGCATGAGAAGTTGATTTAGTGAATGGCGAATGGTCCAATCCAGTATACTATCCGAGACAGAAACATCAATCTGAACCACCATCCAAACCACGGTTTCCTCCTTCTAAGCAACGTTACCTTAATCCAGTTTTTCCACTTCAGGCTCATCCTTCTTGCCTGCTTCTGCTTCATCAAAGTTTTCCACAACATCTGGAACTTCATCATCATCTTCCTTTGCACCACCGGCAGCAGTTGCAGCTTGTTGTGCAGCATTCATTGCTTGATAACTTTCTGCCAATTTACGCAAACTTGCCAAAGAATCAGGACCCAATTGGTTAATGATTCCGGGAACCAAATCGGTCAGTTCCTTATCAGCACCATGGCCGTAGATGGCGTGAACGTTGGAAGAATTGAGTCCGTGGACTATGCAGGTGGGGAAGGAAGGGGAGGGTGTATGTGTAAGTAGTCTGTTATAATGCATTTATTATCCGGTATACCATTGTGTGCTTTCTCCGATTTGTTCCATCATCTGTACTTTCCCATGAAAGCCAGTCATTCCTACTCCAGCATTCCTTAGATTTCCCACCGATACTCACTCTTTGGTTGTTGGAAGTGCAAAACGTTTCCGTCATCTTTGAACATATTAACTTCTTCAATCCCTGTCAAAGGTTGAACATTAAGTTTTTTCAATGCAGATTGTAATTTTTTATCTGCATCTGCGCCACCCGGACCTTTTGGTTTACGAACAACTTTTCTTCTTGGTGTTCCTTTACCGCCAATTCGAGTGGCAGATTGTAGCTTTGCCAATTTCTCTGCGTCAATCACCATTTTTGCTTTGTTTTGATGTGTTGTGTGCAGTCAATTTGATCAACTGCAGACTATTGCTCAATAGTGGTGTATGTGATGTGTCGAATGAGATTCAAATCCAAGAATCCCTTCTGTCGATGCTGATGATGATGATGACAAAAGTAATCGCCATTAGCATCTTGCTTGCTTGCTTACTTTCTTCCTTTCTTCTGCGTGCGCCCTCGTCCCCCCGGCGCGGCACTTTTACTTTGCTCAAATAGATCGTTAAGCTGCTGTCCATTCTCTCCGCGCTATGGTCGTTAATTCTTCGCTTAAGCACACGCACACGCACACGCATCCTGCCGCTGCTTTGAATGGCCCATGCCCACACACATCTTGGCTGTTTAGAACGGCGCTACACTCCAAGCAATAAGAACGCGCCTAGGGCTAGCTTTTCAGTTCGGCCGAAATTCACACAGTCGAGCACTTCCTCCTGTCATCATCATCATCATCACTTTCGTATTAATGTCATCAGGATCGTGCAAGAGCTATGAATATCGTATACAGTGCGAAGTATGCTTAATGATGTTCCAAAGTTATTTCTATGTACCTGTATATGAATGAACGAAAATCAAACTTCTCTGCTATGTAATCTTCCTTGCATCATCGATGATCCTTGTCGTTGACTTAAAGTGCTTGAACGACGAAACAGTTCATCTTCATCTTTACTGTCTTTTCTGCGTGAACCTTGCTTTTCCGTTTGTCGATCATCAACAGATCCACCTCCCACAGTTCCCCAACCAGGCGCTCCTTTTGATGCATTGGCTTGCCATTGACTGATCAATGAACTAACACCTTGGAATCGATCTTGCGCTTCTCCTTTAGGTTTCGGCGCCAACGGCGGTGGAGGAGGTTTGTTGTTGGTATCGTTCAAATTGCCAACGATCTGTTTCACTGGAGATCTACTACGTAACGATCCAAACTTCTCCACCTGTTCTTTTTCCATCGCTTCTTTTTCCCATGGCTTCAAATGGGATGCAGAAGTGGAAGATTTGGTCGGTATGTTTGGCTTGCTTGAACGGTCCAATGCTGGCAATGTACCTGTATTTGAAAGTGGTGGCATAGTGGAAGACTTCGTAGGAGGATGATCGGCAGATGCTGACAATGTCGAACTCAAGCCGACAGGCTTGCTGGCAACTGCTGGTGGCGAGCGTAAAGGTCGTACTTCGTCCTCCCGACGAGCGCTGCTAGGCAGGTCAACCTTGTCTTGAGGAACGGTGTGTCGGGTAGCGATATGGTCCGGCTTGACAGGTGGACTTGGCTTGCTCGATGTACGCTGATCGTCACTCAATCGTACGTCTTCAAATCTGTTGACCAAATTACCCGTTTTGTTGACTTGTGTCGGTTTGGGAGACAGAACGGGCAATGCTTCTGAAGCTGGAACAATGGATGGCTGCGAGTCAATATCTGGCGAAGCATGTCCAGGTGATGTAGATGCATCGGCATATTGTTTGCCAACAGGCGCTTGTGCTGCGGCGTCCACTTTCACAGATCGTGCTATGGGCACTTCTTCGTCGAAATCGATCAAACGACCGGTACTCTTGGTTTGTGTTGGCATGATTTGACTGATTGGACGTCCACTCGGGGTACTATTCAAAGTAGGCTGAGGCAAAAAGTGCATCTCCTCATCATCTTCATCCCAAGCTGGTGCAATAGCCTTTTGTTGATCTCCTAGACCACCATGCAAACCCTCAAATTGAGCACTGCTGGAGCTTGTAGCATTTTCTAAGGCAGTAGAAGTACCCGTCGCGACTGGAGACCTGAGCACGTTCTCTCCAATGATATTAGGTTGTGCAGTGCTTGCTGGTGGACTCTTTGCTGAATCACTCTTCATCCAATCCGGAGTTCTGACTTTACCAGGAGCTGCCGATGGCGCTTTCGTCGAGCCGTGGTCCTGTTGCCTCTCCAACGCTTTCTGTTTGGCTTCAGCAAAGCTTGAAGGCACTATGGCACTCGCCCTCTTGTTCACAGGCATATCAAGGTCTTCCGGTGGCATCTCGTCTTCTCCACTAGATGTGTCGCCATCCTCTTCCAGTGTCTTTCGATCAGCCTTTTGGACGGAATTTGCTTGACCTGTAGGCAACTCGACCGCCTTGCTTGCATCTGATGCAACATCACTACCATTCCTCTGAAGCCAGTCATGCTTGCGAGATGGCAACGAAGGAGGCGGTAAACGATCTCCCGTGAGTGCTGTAGAAGAGGTGCCAGAAGGCTGAGCCTGTTGATGTGGCCATCGATTGCCGACCGCAGAAGCTCCACTAGGCTTTCCAGTGATAGGTGGCAGAGGCTTAGATTGCACAGGCACAGAGCTACGTTTAGAAGCCATTGCACCGAATTTGTCCGCCATTGCGCTCACAGGTGCTCTATTCGACAAGCCAGGGATGGAAGATTGCATATTCGGTGATGTAGATACTGGAGATCGTCCAGGCGAAAGAGGACTTTTGACCTCTGTCGGTGAGGGTTTTGCGGGAATATTGTCCGTCGGATACCTCCTGTCCAGCTCTTCCACGCTTGGGAATCTACTTGAGGTATCGTCTTCTTTGACTGTTTTTGGCTGTATAGGCCCTTGCTTCTCGAATCGGTTGGATAACGAAGATACACTTGACGCTCCTGTCGGAGCAGATGCATTGGCTGGTGGAGGAATAGGAGAAGCACGAGCGCTATCCAAACGATTAGCAGCATCAAAGCCAGGTAAAGCCGGACTATGATCCAGAGCAGAACTTGGACGTGAAGAGTCACCGATCAAGGTCTTGCTGCTACCGTTCTTCATCATACCCTTACTCGGCGCGAACGAATCGGAGAATCCCAAAGGCGATCCTTTCTCGGGTGAAAGAGGTCGAGGTTGGGCAGATGAAGCTTGAGAATTGAGATTACCAAAGGAAGAGGTCGATTTGCGCATCGAAGTAGAAGGCTGTAGGGTGGCAGCGGCTGCTTGTTCGAATTTAGCAGCAGCAGCACTTGTTGCTGCAGACGATGGTGTGCCTCCTGTACCTTTTGCCGGTCTGCCTCTGCGCATTGGTGTGATGGCTTCGCTTCTTCTCTTCAAATCTTCATCTTCAGCGCGCTTTCTGTCTGCTTCTGTTTGACCAACTTCTATCAGATCGGTCGTCACACCACCTGCTGCTGCTTTGGGCTTCGATGAGATTTGAGTTGGATGAGATCCAGGTGAAGACATTGGCATACTGGCCGAGCCACTCTTCATCGCAGAGATCTTGTTCAAAATGGAAGATGGCGGCTGAGTGCCCAGCATTCTGTGTACTCGCAGTAAAATCTCATCAATCGAAGGTCGACTTGAGGATTGTTCTTGCAGCATAGAAGCAATAAGATCCTTTAGCCTTTGCGAGTACGGTGGCATATGCGGAAATCGATATCTTGCATTAAGAATTGCCAAAGGTCCACCTCCATTCTCTTCAAAAGGTGTTGTGTAATAGCAGAGCTTATATAGCAGCACACCCATAGCCCATATATCGGCCTTTTCGTCAATGACCCGCCTTTGATAGACATCGACCATTTCAGGAGCACGGTATTGCAACGTGGTATGCTTGTTCAGATCTGCTTCTACCAACTTCACTTCATCCAACGTCTGGGCCGGCGTTCGGGAAGTGAGAGCTTTTGAACTTCCAAAATCGCATAATTTGTACGTCGGTCCAACGCCTGGATTCGATCTTGGTGGTGGAGAAAGAAGGATATTTTCGACTTTGAGATCTCTGTGCATCAGGGGTGGATTGAGGTTGTGCATCACACTCAAACCTGCTGCTACATCACCAAAAATTTTCAGTACTTCTGCTTCACTTAACCTTGTCCGTAGCCTTGCATTCATTAGGTCTATGATTCCTCCTCCAGCACAATATTCCATCAAGATGAAGATCTCATATCCTCCTCCTCGTAATGCAGTTGCGCTTGCTTCTATGAAATGTACGATGTTGGGATGCGATCGTAGCTGTTTATGAATTTCGACTTCACTGCGTACGCTTGCCAGCGATTCTTTATCAGGAACAGCCATTCTCTTGAGAACATGCAATGTTTCACCTTTTGTTGTACTTTGTGTTGCTCCTGGAGCTGAAGTTGCTGAGACTGGCATCGGAACTGGTTTATCGGTTGTGACCAAATATACGTGTGCAAATCCACCTTGAGATAAATATTTCTGTACTGTAACAACGATTGGTCCAACCATGATTTGTGTTCCGGGTGCCAAAGTACCTGGAGGAGCCCCTTGACCACCTCCAGCCGGAGAATTACCTCCGTATGGTGGACTCATCATCCCCGCTGCTGATGGAGGCGGAGGCATTCTAGCAGCCGCCATACCAAAGCTACGATTTGCTGCTTAGGAGGCGAACCACAAATTACTTACCCTGCCACGATCTTCGGGATGATTGAGTGAAACCCTTTCAAAAGTGGTGATAAAGATGACACTTTTGGAGGTCTGAACGTTTTGACTTGATTGTGGTAGTGAAGCCAAGAAAAGAAGAGCAACTTCCAATTCTTATTCAACTTGGCCCAAGCATGTCTATGTTTAAGTTGTTAAACACACACACGCGTATTCCAAGCATTTATCCGCACACCCCCCTTTTATTTGATTGACTGCTTCAGCTGGCAGGCATGCTTTCCTTTGTTAAGGTGGAGTAAGATAAACAGCCGAAATCCGAGAATTGGAATGGATGTTTTAGATAAGATAAGATGAAAGGATAACATCAATACTGGATTTGATGGCACGATTTGGATCAACGATGTGTGTTTTGGCTCTTCAGCATCAACACAGACAAATACAATCAATAAATATATATATATAGGTATACTAAACAATATCTGGCGTGGTATCTCTGCTGATACTTTCTAATGTGACACTTCTATCATTTCGTTCTGGTGTGATACCTCTACTGTTCCTATCCGATTTGATACCTCGAACGATACCTTCGAATATAACACCTCCAGCGATCTTTTCTATTATGATACCTCGATTGAGCCTTTCTGATGCGATGCCTCTAGCGTTTCTTTCTGATGTGGTATCTCTGCTAATCCTTTATCAATCACTATAAATTATCTTATCTTATCATAAGATAAATATAAAAGATCAAGTGTTCAAGGATGTTTGATGAGGATGTTAAAGTAATATACTCATTGAGGGAGCGAACAATAAGAATAGCAAAAGCAGCAATTCAGTATGGAGCCTCTGTCAAGTTGTGTTTTGTTTAAGGCACGAATGAAATATGCATATCTAATAAAATAATTAGACAGCTGCGTACATACCTAAGCCACAACGTTCTTGTCATCACACTTTTTCCCTACGGCCGTTGCCAGTGTAATCTGCTTACCATCCTTTTGTTCACCGCGGTTGAAGCGCGGTAAAGGGGGGAGAAGATGCATGTGTGTGTGCAGTGTGCCTGACTGAAAGGTTTTCTTTGGCTTACTATTTCTTGCTCTCATGTTCCCACCCAATACACGCGGTGCCGTTTTAAGACGCAAGTAGAATGCTTTATCTCCGCTTTCCACTAGAATTCATGTCAGAATAAAACTTACCTCCTAACTTCTAAAATACCGATAAGCCTTCCTTTATGGGAATCCAAGATGACAAAGACGATAGTCGGCATTATAGTCTTGTAAATTACACCGAATAATGAGAAAGAAGATCAGCATGGTCCTAATAACGGGCTCAATCTTCCCCACGCATTCTATCTCAGAACATCCCTTGTTCGACATACGGTGAGGATTTTATTCGGATATGATTTTCATAATCTAAATGACCGAAGCTCCGAGAAAGGGGACGGAGAGAGAGAGAGAGTTTCACTAATAAAGCCCGTGAAAAGTTTTGTGAAAATGAATGTGACTCCTTCTCTCGCATAAATACAGGGCCTGACACCTGTCAAATCAAAAAGATTCAGCTCGCCAAAAAAACCACTAGCCGCGATAAGCAGCAAGAGGCGTGCATATAAAGCGCGGATTTAAACTTCTGGCTGACAGGGCAGACTGACAATCTTCACCTTCGGATTTAGGAACATGCGCGTTTTGTGCGCGGACGATTGCATAAACACGGGCTCATGATCACAGAGTATGGCGACAACAACACGACGGGCTATGACTGTTGATGTGCAGTGTTTAGATATTCAATATAGCCCGTTATGAATCCGTTGACAGACGTTCACACAAGATGTTAAATCTTCTAAACCCCGCTGCTCATCTTTTCATGGTTCAGCATATCAGTCAAAAATTGAAAACGGACAATTTTAAGAGATGATCATGCATGCAGTACATACTGAAAAAATTTTAAACTTGCTCAGCAGTCATCGACGGACTTTAGAGATTGTGATGGATTGATTCGAAATTATATAAAGTCGTCTCTGTAAATTGATATTCAGGAAAAAGGGGTTCATTAGCGATCAACGGGAATATTCTCATCCATCACTTCACATTCAGCCTCCTTTCCCTTTGTGTCGAATTGATATATCCTTATTCACCACTTCACTTCCAACCTTCCTTCCTCACCTTAAAGCACAAGCCATGGTCGCTTCCAACATGGGTGAATCGGTTCAGGCCGAATCCAAGGCACCCTCTACAGCCAGTCAACATTCAGCCGCCAACAATCACCACGATCATGAGATCACCGAAAAAGATATCGAAATTGCTGAAAATCCAATCGCAGCCCATGAAAAGCCACCACATGCAAACGATACAGATGATGGTTATGCACGTGGATCAAAGTTATTCCTAATCATGACTGCTGTTATGTTATTCGTCTTTTTGGCCGCGCTTGATCAAACGATCGTTTCAACTGCCGTTCCCGTGGTAACGAATCAATTCAATTCTTTTTCGGATGTTGGATGGTATGGATCAGCATATTTGCTCACTTCAACTGCATTCCAACCTTTGTTTGGTAGAATGTATTCTTCTTTTAGCGTAAAGTATACTTATCTTGCAAGTTTGTTCATCTTTGAAATCGGTTCTTTGATCTGTGGTGTAGCACAAGATTCTCCCACTTTCATCGTCGGTCGTGCGATCGCAGGTTTAGGCATGGCCGGTGGATATAGTGGCTCTATGATCATAGTCAACCTCATTGCTCCTTTGGAAACTCGTCCTCTTCTTACAAGTTTGATCGGAGCAGCATATGGTGTAGGAGGAACGATTGGTCCTCTAATCGGAGGCGCGTTCACTTCCCACGCGACTTGGCGTTGGTGTTTTTATATTAATTTGGTATTTTATGCAATCGTTGGCCCGGCAATTTTGGTATTCTTACAAATTCCTCCAACCAAACATGAAAAGACTGTTTGGAAACGTTTGGCAGTTATCGATTGGTTAGGAAGTGTTTTGGTCTTGAGTTCTTTGATTTGCATCTTACTCGTTTTACAATGGGGTGGTGTAAAGTATGATTGGAACGATAGCAAGATTATTGGACTAATCGTCGGATTCTTCGTCATTGCTGCCGCCTTCTTGGTCGAACAATACTATGTCGGTGAACATGCAACGATTCCATTCCGTATCTTCAAGAATCGTACAGTTGGATTTGGAACAATCGTCAACTTCGGTATTGCAGGTGCTTATTTCTCTGAATTATACTTTTTGCCAATTTATTTCCAATCCGTCAAAGGTTCAAGTGCAATTCGTTCAGGTGTTCAAACACTTCCGTTCATCGTTGCAGTCATCTTTTCCGTAACTATCACGGGTGGTGTGGTAAACAAGACTGGAATTTACATTCCATTCTTGTTCGCAGGTACTGCTTTGGCCGCAATCGGTGGTGGAATGTTATACTTCTTAGAAGTTGATTCTTCTCAAGCAATGTGGTGTGGTTTACAATTCTTTGCCGGTTTCGGTCCGGGTATGGCATGGATGTTACCATTCATTGCCTCTTCTGCCGCTTTACCAGTAGAAGATATTGCTTTGGGTTCGGCAATCGTCATCTTCTTCCAAACATTAGGTGGTACAATCTTTGTTTCGGTAGCTCAATCAGTTTTCCAAAACAAATTTGTCCTTTATTTACGTGAAATTCCAGGTGTAAATCCTGAAACAATCGTTTCAAAAGGTGTTTCTGCTTTCCGTGCTTTCACTCCAGCAGAACAACTTCCAGCCGTTTTGGACGCCGCAAATCATGCACTCAAACGTGATTGGATCATGATTGGTTGCTTGGGCGCTTTTGCTTTCGTTGGTGTATTTGGAATGGAACTTAACCGTCGCATTCCAATCGGCACTTCCGCTCCTGCCGCCGCTTAGAATATAAATAATATGCAATATAGATCTTTCTTCTTATGTCTTTTTCTCTCTCTGCTTCTTTGTAGATTTGCTCGATACCACTTAAATTGTTTTATGCGAATTTATAAATTCAATCATTGAATTATACATGGTGTTGAAAGGCTTGAGATAGAGTAGACATATCTCTATGGTGCCTTTGTAGGGTCCCAAGTGACTCCCTTTCCGGTCTCCATGGCATTCAAAGTGTCGATATCCTGTTTGCTCAATTCGAAATCGTACAAATCAGCATTTGCCTTGATACGTTCTTCGTTGGAAGATTTTGGCAAGACGATAAAGTCTTGTTGCAAAGACCATCTGATCAAAACTTGAGCAGGTGATTTCTTGTACTTTTCACCAATCTTGTGTAATTCCGGTCGATCAACAAATGCTCCTTTACCTAAAGGTGAATAAGCCTGTAGGGCGATATTATGTTTACGACATTCGGTCACGATATCTTTGCGTTGAAAGAATGGTGAAATTTCAATTTGATTTATACTTGGTGGATCGTTGGGAAATTGAGCAAGCAATTCTTTGATATGGTGAACGCCATAATTGCTCACGCCTGCACTCTTGATTTTACCTTGCTTCTTTGCGTCGATCAAAGCGCGATATGTTTCTAGTCTCTTTTCTTTACCTGGATTGGGCGAATGGATCAAAACTAGATCGAAGAAGTCCAGACCGGCCTTCTTTAAAGATTCATCTAGTGTCTTGGTGGTTTGGTTGTATCCGTGATTAGTGTCCCAGATCTGCAAATGAGAGGAAAGGATGTCAGAATTGATCAAAATGTACGCATATATACTGCTTTACTCACCTTTGTTGTGATCCAAACATCTTCTCTTTTCATTCCACTAGCTTTGAATCCTTCACCTACAACTTCTTCATTTTCATACCATTGAGCAGTATCGATATGACGATAACCGAATTGTAATGCATGTTTGATTGCATCTGCACTTTGAGTCAAATAAACACCTAATCCTAAACGTGGAATACTTAGTCCATCATTTAGCTTGAGAGTGGAGTTTAATCGTAGAGAAGATGCCATCTTTGTTATTGTTGGTGAATGTTGTGAGTATAAGAAGGATGTGTTGAATTGGTAAGCTTCTTAACCTTTTAGTATGTGGAGAGTTTTTGGCTCGGAGTTAGTGCAGTGCATTGCGAGAACGGCACCCGAGCGGAGGCTAACGTCTGATATAGAAAATAAGATTTTTGTTTCTTCGCGTCAGTTTTGCTATTTCCGAATTCAACTGTCGGCTACCGACAAAAACAACATGGTCCTCACACCTCCTTTTCGGATGCGGCAAACAGAGAATAGTGTCCTTTTAGAAGTGGACATTCCAAGATCCGAAGATGATAGCTCGCTGAGAGTAGTCGTGGATAATGACAATATATTTGGACTGGCTGGAGCAAATGCGTACTTGCCTTTGGTCTTCCCGGAAGGAGTACTATCTAATGGATCTGCTAAGTGGACTGGACAATCACACTTAGATGAAGCAGGTGCCGCTTTGTCTTTGTGCAGATCAAATGAACACAGTATCCTGGTAAGCATACGCAAGGTTCAACCTGGCAAGCAGATTGATGGGTTGGATACATTGAAGCCCAGCGTGTTTGCTGTACCTACCAGTGGAGACGCAGAACAAGATGAAGAAGAACGTTTGGCAGGATTGGAGATGTTACAAAGGGGAATGGAAGCTGTTCAAAAGCAAGAAGCAGAAGACGAAAGCAGTGGTGGAAGAGGATCGATCATCGAACAGCCATTACTATTCACACCCAAAGTTGGCACGGATATCAAGACGAGACTGCATGAATGCATTGGAGAGCTGCCCCCTCTCCAACAACGTCGAGAGCAAGCTGAAAAAGCCGAGGAAGAGAAGTGGGATGAAGGAATGTACTTGGACAGCTTTGTGGATGAAGAAGGTGAGATTAAGCATTTGTTGAATGCAAGTTTGAGCGTCGGCACCACAAAAGCACAAGCCAGTGGAAGAAATTCTAGCCTTACCGATGTGAACGAGGAACGGAGGAGAGATGCACACCTTCTACTTCTGGAATTGTTGCTTGCATTTGCCTATGATCGTCGTACAACATTAGGCGACCCTACCGTCGAATCAGGATGGACGATCGCCGTTCTTTGTCGTTCTTTGGTCGCTTCTTGTACGCCAACATCCATTCAAGCGGATAATGTGATCAGTATCTTGAGATCTTCAATCAGAAGGCAATTATGCTTTACGCTCTATCGACATTGGCAGCTCAGCCTACGAATTGCCGCTGATGTGAGCACTCTTTTACGTGAGAAAGATGCTGCTTTTACGGCTGTACAACAGATTCAAACTCGATTCGAAGAAGGTGATGATGATGCATTGGCAATCTATGATCAATGCGTCATCAAGCCATTAGCATATTGGTTCGATGCACTATTCTCAACTCAAACATTATCTTCTCTAGCAGATGAACTTGAACATGCAATTTCCACCATCACAAAAGAATACGTTGGGCCTACGTGGGACATAGAACTACTAGAAGAATCTGCTCGTGAAGCAATAGCACAAGGAGAAGGAGGCTTTGTTTAGATGTTGTTTCGGCCATTATCATCACCATCATGTAAAATACTGTATTTGTACCTCACCATCAGCAATGCATTTTGACCAGGTCACGTGGTATGTTTCCCTATCGCAAATCTTCCTTTATTGACCAAAAATTTTGAGGAGTTACAGGGCGTGTGTCAATGTACAGACAGACGCCTTGGAATGCTTGCAGTGCATCGAAATTATTCAGTGGTGCATGAATGAATTGGTGGTGGAGCAATTCTAGGCGCAAATAGTACGCACGCGTGATTGAAGATTTATGTCTAAAGAAAGGGTGGCTAAATTGAGTCACTATCAAAACCTCTTACTGAACAACCATCTCCAATCAGCCCAATATGCCAAAGGTGAGTACAGTGCTAGAGATCGATTAACTGGCTCGATCGACTGACACTTTGTCCTTCCTATCCACCCCACAGAACAAAGGAAAGGGCGGTAAGAACCGCAGACGTGGAAAGAATGAGAACGAAAGTGAAAAGCGAGAACTTGTATTCAAAGAAGAAGGACAAGAATATGCACAAGTGCTAAAAATGCTGGGAAACGGAAGACTGGAAGCACAATGTTTCGATGGTGAAAAACGATTAGCACATATCAGAGGAAAATTACGTAAAAAAGTTTGGATTAATACAGGTGATATCATCCTTTTGTCGTTACGTGAATTCCAAGATGAAAAAGCAGATGTTATTCAAAAATATACTGCCGATGAAGCTCGTTCTCTCAAGAAATACGGAGAATTACCTGAATCTGCCGAAATTAACGAAAATGACGGACAAGGTGAAGAAGGTGACGATGCTGTCGAATTCGCTGAAGGTTCTGATGATGAAGAAAGCGATGGAGATTTGGACGACCTTTGATCGAGTTTTTTGGACATATCCTGGAGAAGTTCATGCAATCTTCTCGTCTGTATTTCTTTCATCTGACTGGTTTACTTCGTATGTAGACGGTGTTGATACCATTCTGCAAACGAAGTCAAAAAGAGCAATAGATTCTATTCATCCTCAATTGCGACGAGAAAATTGTTCTGTGTGATGGCCCATTACAACATGCCTGTGCATATCTGTGCGCTGTTGTGAGAGGCATGGGCCCGCTATCGGATTTCGAATGGGACTGTGCTCCTACTTCTAATATGAATCTCATCTCGGACCTTTAATATTGATCCCAGACCTTTCATATTGCTCAGCACTACTTTTAAAACGATATCTGCTCGTATTTCTTCCTTCTTTCCCCACACCATCCCTTTTTTTCTCATCTTCTTAAATCAGCATCAACATGGAGTGGTCTTTACTCTCGCCAAGCAGTACACCGACAGAAACATTCTCGGTTCTCTGTGGGACGAAGGATGAGCAAGCTCAATTTTTTCCTTCTAAGCCACAACCAGGTATGATAAAACATTTTCAGCCATTAATAGATGCCTTGGAAAAGTGCATCGGCAGCTATCCTGTGGCATCAGCAGAGGAGGTCGAAGAAACACTCAAAAAGGATTGCCCGAATGCTATCACCGATCAAAAGTTGATCTCCTTTTCTGAATATGTCTATCTGGCATGTCTTCGTGGTATTCCGATTCGTTTCGATTGTGACCAGATATTCGGTAAGCCAAAGTATATGTGGTTTCACTTTGATAAAGAAGCTGTAAGTGACCCTAAAATAAAGACTTTTAATAAGTTGATTTACTATTTTATTGACATCAACCTTCTTTAGTGGCTGAATACGTATTCAACAGATCAAAATATTGATCATGAAGTAAAGAATATTGAAAGTAATATCGAAGATACATCCGACCTAATCATCAAATACGACGAAAGCAAAGATGTAGAGCCTATTATAGAAGAAGCTAAAGAATTAAGCATTCAGGAAAAGCTCAGTAGAAGCCGTATCAAAATCATACTTCGGGACACTCGTCGACAATTCCTTGGACTAGAATTGGATCGTCACTACTTTGATTATATCTCAGAATATTGGGAAAAAAGCGGTCATAAAGGAAGAGAAAAGACTCAGAATTCTGATAGAGTTCGAATCTTCTATATCATGATTTCAATGATTAAAGGTAAAAATGAATTCTGTGAAGATTACGATCTTCTAAAGTTTACGGAAGCTATTTTGACTTTTGCGATATGGAATGTTCGCGAAATACCAGTTTTCACTGAAGAACGGGCAAGTTTTCTCATTGAAGAGTTTTTCCCTGAAATCTTAGGCTCACCGTCAGATAGCAAATTCAAAAGGAATGAAAAGTTTGCAGGCTTATTATATCGATTAAGCAATTTCAACAAACATAATCGAGCATCCCAGTCAAAGTTCTCAACTCCGCTCAAAATTGTAAAACGATTGGTTTATTTGGAGCACGAGAATTAGTCCGTTCTTATGCACATGAATATACGACTCTCCATTTCATTTGATTCGTATTCTTTACCTATGTACATATATTGGTATCTATTCTATACAGCCTTTCGTATATGAATGATAATAATATATTTTATTCACTCCAACCTGATGACGTGAGCTTAGTTTTGCTACCATATCCAGCGCCAGCATTGTTGGGTCGAGCATCATCCTCTTGATGGTAGTGCAGGCTAACCGGCCGTTGCGGATATTCTACCGGATCTCCACTCTTTCTTCCCAATTTTTATTTTTTCCTCTGCTCTTGTAGCGCGCAAAAATAGACTTTCTCTCTCATACCCACCTTCCAATCTTTTGCTTCTCTTTGCTTTGCGCACGCTATCATCTTGTAAGCACATTCAGCAATGCTACGTCAAGTTGTTCGTCGTACGGATATCCTTAAAAGAGCCCCAATCAATTCACAGCTAAGGACAACAATCACACTGAGTATGTCATCTTCACCTTCTCGTTTAAATCAAGTGCAAAATCATTTGAGCGGCGGTGGACAAAGATCATTCTCAATGAGCGCAAGTGCATCATCGGCAAGTGTGGGTTCCGGCCCAAACCCAACAACAAGCTCAAATCGAACTGGAGGAGGCGATGATGGAAGTGAAGCAAAAGTCATCACCAGCAATAATGGTAGCACGTCAACAATCTTACTCAATCGACCAAAAGCATTAAATGCAATCGATACAGAAATGGTACAATTAATCAGCGAAGGAATCGATCAGGCACCAACACAGAATCGCATCATCTTACGTGGTAAAGGTCGTGCTTTATGTTCGGGAGGAGATGTTTTGGCAGTGGTAAATGCTGCAAATAGTCAAGATGCTGCTACACGTCAACAAGCATTAACATTCTTCAAGAATGAATTCGAATTGGATTACAAGATCGCCATGCTTGACAAACAATCCATACCTCGAGTTTTGATCAGTATTATGGATGGTATTACGATGGGAGGAGGTGTAGGTTTGAGTATCAAAGCACCAATTCGTGTCGCAACCGAAAAGACGATGTTTGCAATGCCCGAAACTGGTATCGGATATTGGCCTGATGTCGGTGTAACAAGAGATTTGGCAAGATTGGACGGAAAGATCGGTGTCTATCTAGGTATGACCGGTGCACGTATTTCTGGTGAAGAAGCCTACTTGACCGGATTGGCAACGCATTTCCTCAAGTCAAACGTAATCGATGATGCATTGCACCGTTTGGCCGCATTGCCTCCAAATGCATCAGCAGAATCGGTTGCCGAAACTTTGGAAGAATTCGCATCTGACCCGATCGAATCATCATCTCAAAAATCTGCTGATGAAGCCTTGCCAAAGAGTCCATTCTTTGGTCTTCGTCGTGTTGCTTTGGATTACGTTTTCGGTCTTAACAATGTGGAAGCGATCTTGCAAGCTTTGAAAGATATTGCAGAGCAAAGTAAAGATTCAGTCACAGCTAAAGCATTGGCAAAGATCAATGTACCTCTTGATGCATTCGGATTAGGTGAATGGGCTCAAACCACTTTGAAGACTTTGCACACCAAATCACCGCGCAGTTTGAAGGTCACCTTCAGAGCTGTCAAAGAAGCTCGTCAAAATGACATTCCAGCAGCATTTGAAAAAGATATGCGATTAGCAACGGCATTTTGTGATTTGGGAGTAGGAAGAGATTTCTACGAAGGTGTGACATTCACATTGACAAAAGATCCAGCAACGGGTAAACGTAGAGAAGGAATTGCAAATTGGGATGCAAAGACGGTAGAAGAGGTTGATGATGATAAAGTTGAAAAAGTATTCTTTGGATCTTTGGAAGATGCAAAATATGCTGGGTTAACGATGGACATTCCAAAATTGGAAGGATTGCCATCTGGATCAATCAAGAAAAAAGTATCCGTCCAAGGTGTTGGACCGTTACATTGGGAAAAGGGACATAACCGATTGGCTTTGCCGAGCGAGGCTGAATGTGAGGCTTTGCGTGAGGGCAGCCATCCTGCAGCGGGTGACTACCAATTAGAGGGAGATGAGATGATCAAAATTCTGCGAAGATCGAAGGATAAGCCTTCGTTGGAGTTCAAGGTGAATGAATGGCTAAAACGCAGACAGGCATAAAAACAATGTGAAATGAATCTCATGCATTTTTAATTATGATGTGTATGTATAGCATGGTGACCAGAAAATTGAGAGAGATAATGCAAGGGAAAAACGAATGATACAAAATGATACATGAAGGTAAAGCGAAAAAGTAGCACATAATCACTCATCATGAACGTGGAGCTTCTTTACGAACAGCAAAACGTGATGATGGTTGAACAACTTCATCGTCGTATTGACGAACTGGACGACCTTCTGCAGTGCCCAAACGACGATCGTTGTATAGACGTGGAGAAGTGTAGTTTGATCTCGTTGGTTGTTGAGAGTAAGCAGAAGGAGTGTAGGCTGGAGCATCTTCAACGACGACATAGTTTACAGTCTCAACTTGCACACCATCATCACGATGAACGGCAGTAAAAGGAGTTCTTGTTTGACGAACGTTACCAACTCCGCTGCTATTACGTGGTGGAACACGAGCGCCCAATTGATGACGAGATTGTGAAACTGGTGGAGCGGCAATTTGTCTTTGTTGCATTACAACTTCATCATCTTCTTGTGGTGTTTGTGGAACACCTTCGGCCGTTGAACGTGAATCGTAAAATTGATCATCTAATGTGTTTGTACTACGACCTGCTTGTTTTTCCAAATCTTCATTGGATGATTGTGAACCGGGGATCATACGTGCTTGTCCACGGTTTGAAGCTGTGTTTGCAGTTGTTGTTGCACGGTTCATTCTACCGTGGAATTCTTCACTTGAAGTCTCGTTTGGTGGTGTGATGTTGCTTTCATCACTCAATCCAGTTTGTGCACGTGGAATGGAAGACGAAGAGAAGTAAGATGGAACGGCAGTATTTTGTACTCCTCCATCTTTGCGCATAATGTAATCTGCAAAACGTGCTTTACGGGATTTTGGTTTTGAGCCGGAAGAATTTGTTGATGTTTGACCTCCTGAACCTGAACCACCGCCAGTGTATTTTAGACGGTCAGCATATGAAATAGATTGTTGAGATGCTTCGTGTGCTTGACGGGCTTCGTCGGCCAAATTGATGTACAATCTGCAAGCGCACAAGACACAAACTGTTGTTTGTGGAATGGCCAAGATCAAAGCCATTGTTGGTGACAACTTTAGTAAAGTGAGAATTGTGATCATCAAATTTGCAATGAATGTCAAGATAAAGTAAACGATTCCTTGACGTAATAAAACTGCACCAATGTGACTTGGACCGCTCATTTGAACCAAACCAAAGATTGTCAAGAATAAAACGATTCCGTCAAAAATGATTGTGCAAACGTATTTAACCCAATAATCATCACGAACTGCGGTCCAAACGCATCCACCTTCTGTCCAAGCAGCACCACCACCGGGAATCCATGAAACAGAGACAGCGGTAACGTTTGCCATCCAAGCAGCACCTAGACCGCAAGTGAGAATACCAAGGGTAAACGAAACAAGAACTTGAGCAGGGCCTTCATAAACGCAAACGGTACGGCAAGCCAACAAAATACTTGAACAAATGACGCAGAAACCCATCAACATTTCTATCATTTCCAGAGTTGCAGTACAGTTGATCTCTTTGACGGCGTAGAGAACGACAAAATTGACGATGAAATAACAAAACAACAAAAATTTGCATGCGAAATAAGCCAATTGTGGCCATCTACGTTGACGTTTTCCGGTGAGGATACTCCAATCGAATTTTGCGGAAAGGAAGACGTCGTAAAAGAAGAATCCGATCGAAATTCCGAATAGGAACTTTGCAACTTCAACGCAATGCGCTGTGACCACGGGCGAAGCCCAGTATCCTTGGTTGACCATTTTGTATAATGTGGGGTGGTGAGAGGGTATAGGTATGGGTATGAATTAGGGGTTGAAGGAAGGTATAAGGGTAGCTGTCTTCAAAGTGGCCGTAGAGGGGGTGACAAGGAGAATAGATTGTGATCAAAGTAGATATTGCCTACTTTTTATATCCTCCAATGAATTCTTACTATCGTCCGTATTAACTTCACCCAATCCAAAGCCCGAAATGAAAAAGTGGCTAAACGGTATACTCATATGCAAGAATGATATGTTCTTTCCTCTTTGCGAGACAATTTAGGGTAATTTGATTTGCATCTGAGCAAGGGGAATATGACGCTTACACTAAATTCGATGACCGAAGAGGAAGTTGCAAAAAAATGGTATAGTCCGCTCTTTTGGAAAAGAGTGGGAAAATGACCTCACTTTGACATTTGAGAGAGTTACAGGTACGAGAGAAGATGCACTTTACCATTGTTAAAGCAAGCCTCAATCTATTCCATGCATCAATGGGGCAGATGTACAGTATGGCGATTAGATTGATTCTTGTGGGGACTAATCATATTGAAGAGAAGCTTAAATGAATCTGTTTTAATTGTATGCAATCTGCAGGGGATGGCTGAATATCTGCTGAGTGTGAAATACAATTTTCCAAGAAGAAAGTTAAAGGTTAAAACGCCGTGACAGGCAGTGTAATTTCAGTTGATTTTGCCCGATTAGATGGTGAATGACCGTTTGGGAACGAAAATGCAATGCAACGTGGCTGGCAACTAACACACACACACACCTTGCAAACCGGGAATTTAGACTTTCTGTTGATGGTCATGCACAGTCGTCTGTGCTTATTGCATTTTAGCGATAATAAATACACTATCAACGGCATGGGTGCCTAAACTTTGTTTTGACAGAGTGGGATTGGGCGGGCGTTTTAGTGACGTGGGGGCCAAGTTACAAGTTTTAAGCGGCAAATTTTATAAACTTAAAAACTTGGACACACATATAAACTAAACTTCTTAATCCTACGCTAACCGTTGACTGTTTTGGATTTTAGTGGATTATGCAAGGGGTGAAAAACAACTTTTCTTACTTTTCAATTTAAACCCTCACACGAGAGAGTATATTGTAGAAACATACTGTGTGTTATTCTTATAGCGTGAGAGGAGATGCATGGCTACATGAACCACTATCACTACATGCATACATACTTGTCCGTATGTTATCAACATCAGCGGTGAACTTTATCATTTCATATGCTGGGAAAGCAAGTTAATGTCCGCACCATGCAAGCGAGCGGGTAAGGGTCTTGAGGTGATGCACATGTACTCAACCGGCAGTTTTGGGCTGATGTGATTTTCGGTTCACATGCTTATACTTTCACAAAATCCTCGGTCATCACTTGGCGGAAAAAGATGGCGAAGTGAGCCGATAATATAAGCAGTGTGATTATATAAAGAGACCTGCTCGGAAATATTCACGTGGCTTTCCAGTACCTCAATTCTGGGAAGAGTGTATCTAATTTTTGTGACCGGCATCGTTCTCTTTGTCTGAGGCTATAAAATAAGCTATGACCCGACGATCCGATCCTACTTAGTTCCCCCAAAAAACGGTCCCTGAAACATCAACATCATAGCTAATCATTTCTTCTCACGCCCAAGCCAGAGAGAGAGGTGTGGAGTTGAGAGTGAAATACGGGCGTAAGTTGAAATAAAAGCGGACGGTTGAGTTAATATACGCGTGTTTTAAAAGCTTAAAAAAAATAAGAACTTTAGTTAGGATAAATGCGTAATGACGCAGAAGTTGATGATGAACAAGATAAAAGATCTAAACGTCCATCCACTCAGATCGTATTTTTTATACATCCCGATCCGCATGATTCCGTCAAGCTAAATTGATGAATCGATCAAGACATCATCAACAAACAAGATGGATGATGAGGCTTTAAGGGCTATGATGCCAATGAGCTTTGGAAGGGTGCAAAGGCCAGTCAAGAAGGGTAAACAGGAAACTGCACCAGAGTCAAACAATGGTTTCGATCCAACGGAGGCATCCTCTTCATCAGCCGCTAACGGGAATGAACCGGCAAACCAGTCCAATGGAAACACTAACGAGAAAGTCTCCATTCAGCCGGCCGAAGATGAATTAGACGAAGATGGATTGACAGCTGAAGAAAGAGAAGCTAATCGAATAGCGATGGAAGAGGCCAAGAACAGAGGAAGTTCTGATGACGATGACGAAGATGACGATTCGGATGATGATTCAGATCTAGGGCCCGAGCCTGAAGGTCCGGATATCAACACCGCGCTTCCAATCGATCAAAGGGTAGAACTAAAAGACCATACAAAAGCCATTTCAGCACTTTCAATCGATGCAGCAGGAGCTAGAATCGCTACGGGCTCATACGATTACGATGTAAAGTTGTGGGATTTTGGTGGAATGTCACAATCATTCAAACCATTCAAATCATTCGAACCAAATGAATCGTATTTGGTACATGATGTAGCCTGGTCGCCGGCTGGAGATTCGCTTTTGGTAGCATCAGGTACGGCTCAGCCCAGTCTGTACGATCGCGATGGCTTGCACATTGCTACATACAAGAAAGGAGATGTGTATATTCGAGATATGAAGAATACGTCAGGCCATGTGGCTGAATTGACCTCCTGCTTTTGGCATCCAAGTGAAGTTAATACATTTGCTACCACAAGCGCAGATAGTACGGTGAGAATATGGGACGCTGAAGAAACGCAAAAACAAAAGAATGTAGTAGTGGTAAAGAGCAAGGATAGAGGTACACGTACAAAGGTCACTTGCGGCGCTTTCAGCAATGATGGTAAGATGCTTGCAGCTGGTTGTTTGGATGGAGCATTGCATATATGGTCCACAAGTGGCACATACAGTAGACCCAACGCAACCGTAGAGCTAGCACACGAGCATGACACTGTCACAAGCTCAGTCTGTTTCTCCAAAGATGGTAGAACGTTGGCTTCAAGAGGTGGTGATGGTACGGTGAAGCTGTGGGATATTCGTTCTTTCAAGAAACCGTTAGCACAACAGGAAGGCTTGTATAATTCATATGGTCAGACAAACGTCATCTTCAGCACAGATGAAACAGCAATCATGACCGGCACTTCTGTTCTACGCAGCGAGACACAAGATGGCTCGATGGGCAAAGTGTTGAAGTCGGGTGGGATTGAAGTACTCTCCCGCTTGGACTTAAAGCCGATTAGACATGTTCCGATCGAGCAAGATTCACCTGCAAGTGGTATTCGACTGGCATGGCATTCACGTATCAATCAACTGTTTGCATCAACATCATCGGGGACAGTCCACTTGTTCTACTCTCCAGAAAAGTCAAGTCGAGGTGCATTATTATGTGTGGGTAAACGAGCAAAAGCAAGACCACGCGAAATAGACGAATACGAACTTGGAGAAATGCAAATCATCACGCCCGGTGCAATGGATTCCGATCAACGTGGTCAAGGAATGAGTCAAATGGCCAAAAAGAGAAAGATGGAAAAGATGCGTCAAGATCCGGTTGCTAGTAGAATGCCAGAGAAACCTTTAGATGGACCAGGAAGAGGTGGAAGGATCGGAGCTGCAGCAACACAACATATGGTCAAAAGTATTTACAAGGAAAATTCTCGAGCAGAAGATCCGAGAGAAGCTTTACTGAAATATGCCGATGTGGCCGAAAAGGATCCACAATGGACGGCAATGTATAAACAAACACAACCAAAGCCAATCTTTCGTCAAGATGAAGAGGACGAAAATGATTGAACAAGTATACCAAGATTAAATCATATGTATTATATAGTACAAATTGCAATAAAAATGAACGATCCAAATATACTTTGGCCATATCATGATTCGCCAACATACATTTCTAATCCGCTGTAATTTGCTAGATCATCCTTTTTCTCCGAGTTGATTGTAATCATTGCTGTCCTTCGGGCGTGTAAGATGCAATCATTAAGTGAAACGCCAGTGTATGATGCACCCAAGACACTCAGAGGGGCATTCTCTGTCTTCTTGAGTGCTTGATGAAGTTCATACATCCTTTCCATATGGCCAACAGTGTAGGTAGGAATGCAATCCTTTTGCACTGAGATTCGTTTGATAATATCAGGATTATCGATAATACTACGGTCTTGACCTGAATCTTGTAAATGAGGTTCCAATACTATAGAAGCAATTTCGATTGCGAGTGCTTCTTTGTTTTCCTTCGTATCAGTTGCGTTGATCAGATCGTACATAGCAAAACCTGGTTTCCAATACGGGCCTCCGAACATCATCGTTAACTTGGTGTAAGAATCTTGACCGGGTACAGCCTCCGAATCAAAGACGGTACCTAAATGTCCAAACGGATTATCACCTTCTTTAGCAGAAGCACGTGGGATCAAATATCCAAAAGCGGGCGGTAAACGAATTTTATATTTGGCTGGAATGGCGAAATTGACGACGCAAACGGTCGTAGAAGGATTGGCTGCAAGATGAGGTAGCTTTGTATCTTTCAACAAGCCTTGCAATGCTTTTGAAGGAAGCGAAGAAGTGACTTTGTTAAAGACTTCTTTCTTTCCACCTTCCGAACGAATGACTGCTTTTCCGTTTTGTTCTTGTACGTGTATACTGTCGATCTTGCTATTCAAACGGAATTCCACTCCTCTTTGACGACATTCGTTGGCGATTGCATCCGTTAGCGTTTGAAGACCATTTTTGAAGCTCAAAACACTCGACTCAGCGACCATTTTTGTGATTTGCTCGCCCAATCTATCTATCATATATTTTCTTAGCATTAACCGTTCCCCTTGCTTGAAATTTTCCACCTTTGCCCATTCTTCACCTTGTCTGCCTAAGAGGTAGTATGGCGTTAAGCGGATGTTGAAAGGCCAAGGCAGCCAGCTTTTTTTGTCTTGAAAAAGGGTCAAGGCTGGATGATAGACTTGCGGCAAAACAGCTCTCATGCTCAATTGAGAAACATCGGCAGCATAAATGCCATGAAACATGGCCGAAGCAAGATATTCAACAATGGCAGGCGTTGGCGAATTTTCATCTTTCAAACTTCCATCTTTATTTTTTGGTGCTAATAATCTTGTAAAGAAACCTTCAACTGTTTCGTCGGGAAATCTTGATCGAATCGGTTTGCGTTCACCAATGTTCAACGCATTGAGAATATCTCCAAAATCTGCTTTCTGAAAAATGTGAGATGGCTTGAATGAGGTTTGAAAGAGTGACCATTGATCATGCGGAAGGACGTGAAAGTGACCATCATATTTGATCATCCTTCGATAAGCAGATTCTGCCGTTTTAGGAACGGTAATCACTTCACCGCCCAAATCGAGAGTTGCAATGAGTTCAGTTGTTGAAAGACCGCCTAGATCTGCCATTCGAATACTACGTGGACCGGCTTCTAGAAGAGCACCTTCATCATCTTCCATCCCTACGGGTTTTATTCGATCACTCTTTACCCATCCTCCTACTCTATCTGCTGAATCGTATACGACAATTCGATGTTTTTCATCATTGTTTAGCAGTCCTCTTGCTAGGTATAGAGCATGAGTTAGTCCTGATAATCCCGCTCCGATTACAGCGATTGATCTTGTTGGTGGATAGGCTGGTCCTGGTGGTTTGGAAGCTGATCGTTCTTTCTTTGTTTCTGGTTTGGGTTGATGGATTACTGTTGTCTTTTGCCGTATGTGTGGAGTGAATGTTTGTATTTGTGAACGATTGTATGCGACCAGCGCAAATGGTTTGTTTATCCGAGAGGAAGAGATTCTTATTGACATCTTCGATCTCTTTTTCCTTTGGATCTTGGTGAATGGAAGAGAATATAGTGATGCATACAGTGTTGTATATTAATCATGCACAAGCGCAATGACCTTTCCCCGGTTCAGGTCATCTTCTAGCGTTATGCTTACTAAGCACTGGATGATTCCCTTTGTTCTCTTGTGCTCTACAGATTGACTCGGCGCTTCCGGTATTGTATTTAATAAACGCGTACACAGAATGCAGGCAATCGATTCAATTTAATACTCCTTCCTGCTTGCTTATGGCACAGAACACGTTTACAGGGCGCGTCCAAAAATGCCTCCACTTTTGTAGGCCCTAGAATTGAATTGCCAATAGGATAAACTGCATTTGATCGGGAATATACAGACAGACAGCAATTGATGACGGCCTTTGCCGGATGTGAAGGATTTATAGAATACAGTGTGTATGCACTGCACTTGGACGGTGAATAGCCGAAGACTCAATCACAATTAACTCTTTTTCATCATCACCATCATCATCATTCCCTGATCTCCAACAACATGCGTCTTTTAAATCTTGCATCACGAAACGCAACTATGGCCAGCAGAAGTGTGAGTTGGAAATAGTGTCTCATTGGTATCATCGTTGCTGACCTGTATCTCTTTCATTACTAGGCCACCTTCTCTGCTCGTCAAACACGATTGGCAACGTCCAATTTGCATTCATCCGCAATCAGATTTAGAGAACCAACACAATCAGAAGAATCAGTTAAAGCTGAAAAGCATAATCATTCACCTGAAGAATTACAAAAACAAACTGCAAAAAAATCAACAGATCAATTTAAAGAAGAAAATCATTTTCCAACAGCAAGTGAAGAAGCTGCAAAAGCTGACGTTGCAAATCATGATCCTTTACCAGATCATAAAAAGAAGAAATCTTCATCAAAACCTTAAAGAGAGATGAATGTGTAATCATGTAACGCCCTTTTCTAGCAAATCAATAAAGACAAATTTTTCAAATCTCAAAACATCTATTATTCTGCAAGATCAAATTAATGTACATTGCTTCTTTCATTTCGACTCATCCTCCTCTTCACTATCATCATCACTTGCTAAATCTGAACCATCAGCTCTTCGCGGCTCATAATCTCTTCCCAAGGATCCATGTGCGGCCGCCATTCCGGATAATGTTTCTCCTTTCTTTTCCATTCCGCCTCGATCGGGTACAAGAGAATCACGTATTCTCACCGCTAAACTACTACTGCCCATTCGACCTTTTCTGGATCGCAGCGTATCACCACCATTTGCTGTTTCACTTCCGTCACTTTCTTCTGCGCTAGATTGAACTGGTTGTTTTCCTTTGTCCGAACGTGTACTTCTCTGTCTGTCAATATGCGGCGACGGAGAAGGAGTGGAAGAGGTACTGGCTACATTGAGATTCGAAGGTGGGTAGCCATTCCTTCTCCATTCTTGCTTCACCTTATCATCCTTCTTTGATTGAATCGATCTCATCATTGCACTTGGAGTAAACCTTTTAAAGCTATTTGATGATTCACCTTCTTCATCTTCTTCATCCGTTTGAGCTTCTTTTGCATGTACATGATACGGTAATGGAACTTCACGTGAGACACGATACATATCCACATTACCCAAATGTTCGTTCTCCAAACGTAAAAAGTTCCATTGCCAACGACGAAACATTTCCAACATTGCAATGATAAAGATACGCGTAAGGCTTCCTGCTGGTCCTCCCATCAAATATATCGTCCAACCAAAGCGTAAGAATACGTTTGTGATCATTGCCCAGTAATAGAAAGGCCAATACTGTTCATACACCAACTCGTTTCGCAAGAAAGGATATCTAGCCTTTGGTTGCAACAGACTCCAATCCATTGTGATATCCCAAGAAGATGTATAGACGGAATAAATCGTTCCAAAGATACACCAAACGATCAAATCTTCCTTTCTTCTTGAACCATGATAACGGTAATTCAGATAGAAGAAATAATTCAAGATTGAACTTGTATACTTTCCAGCATTGACCAAGTGCAAATTTGCCGTATAACGTGAATCGTGCCAACGACGAAAACATTGGACGAAACGTAAGAATGCAGGTGTGGCCAACAAGACTGCCGTCCAAAACGTTTTGTTTGGATCACATTGATTCGGATAAGCCCATTTGTGATTGTATTGACATCCGATGAACCATAACATACTGATGGACCAATTGATACTGTTCAATTCATCACCGAGGAAGAAATCTCGGAACTCAACCCGCGAAAGGGTTCCACCGTGGAAGACACGCAACAGGGTAACGATCAACCATTTGCGTGCATGGTAATATCCGATTGGCAGTGGATTGAGCATGATCACAACAACCACTACTAGCCACACCAATGGCCAAGTAGTCGGTGCGATCGAATCAGGGAACGGATTGATGAACGAAACCCAAAATGCGATCGAAAGCAACAAGAGAAAGAGCGCAGGAAGTTCAAAGAATTGATGAAAGTCCAAAACATGTCGAACGTCCCATTCAAAGATAAAGATTGCATTGACTCTTGCATGATGCCAAACGGCTAAATTGAGTCCAAATAGTAGTGCAAAAAGGGTGGGTAGTAATTCCGCTCCATACACTCGCATCAATTGATCCCAAAGTGGGATTTTCGTTGGGGTATCATCGTGCATCGCATTGACCAATCCTGCCACCGTTGCACAAACTGTCACGCCAAGATAGAATCCTGTCCTTGCCATGCTGAAATGATGAGTGGAAGAATGCTGCTCAGACGTGGTTCCTGTATGGATTCGAAGACGTTCCAGCGCACGTTTGCGGTTTCCATGTTCAAAGTAGGCCGTATAAATTTCTTCCGTTCCTTTGAGAAGTTTCTCCACAGTTTCAGAAGCAACCAAAACGCTTGGTGCAACTTTTGAATGATAATAAGCATCAGCACAATGTACCTCTGTAGTTTTCTCAAACTTTTTCAAGATCTTGGCGAATCCAGTTCGATTGAGAATCTTATAGTTTTTCAAGATTTCCAATCCCCTATAATACTCCAATACAGCCGTCTTGAGCTTCTTGCGTGCGGCTTTGTACCTTTCAGGATCATGACTCAAAGCGGCCAGTCTGTTTGCCTTTCTCAATTCCTCATCTTCCACTTCTGATAGCGTGCCACCATACACATTTAACATTTTTGACAATGCAGAAGCACGCCTTCTATCACCTTCATCTACGCTTGTTGTGAGATTATCTTGTTTGGAGGTGGGAGCTTTTGTCTCATCTTGTGATCCAACATGATCAGTCGGTGTCGCTGGTTGACCTTCATTCCTTCGAAGTTGCATAGAGGCACGTTTGAATGTTTGAGCAGGTTGCGAGATCGGTGCAACCAAATGACTGATTCGATGACTTATATCTGTCCATCCTTCTCCTGCATTCTGATGGGTAGCCTTGTATTCCCTTCGATGATCTGCTAATTCCTCCAATTGTCTGGCCAGCATTTCATATCGTTTTGCCATATCATTCTCTCGCGAAACGTAAAAGTCAACGATTCGTTCCAATTCACAATCAAGTGCTTTAAAGAACAACTTTTCTTGATCATCAAAAGTTGTATTGATCACTTCGGATAATCGTACTTCACCTTTTTCTTTTCGTTTTGCTCGTTTTGCACGTTTTTTTGGCGTCATTTCATCTTCGATTCCAATTCCGTTTGGTTGCATTCCATTTCGAATTCTACCAAAAATTGTTTGATCACTTCTTTCGTTTTTCATCTTTCTTCTACTTCCACCTTCTTCTTCGCCTTGTTCTAAATCTAGCTCTGGCAAAGCACCCTGTCCTGCTTCTTCGTCTTCGCCATCTGAGCTCGTCTTTTGGGTATCTTCACTGAATCCTTGTTGGTGCCTGGAAGCGTGTGGCTGATCTACACTTTGTTCCGGAGGTGGATTCGTTGGCGTAAATTCGAGCCGCAGTCCCGTTCCATCCAGTGACACTTGTGGATATCTATCTTCATGATCATCCTCAAATTCGACACGTCTGCTGTTGGATGCATGCTGTCGTGCATCACCTATACGTCCACCCGTTTCCAGCGTGTTGCTTTGATCGTTAGGTGACCAAATGGGTGTATCACTTGCTTCTCCACCGCTAGCACCACTCAATCTTCTTTGTCGTTTACGCAATCCATCAACGGCAGAAGAAAAAGTTTTCAAAGAACTCGTATGAGAAGAAGTTTTACTTAATTCCAATGAAACTCTTGCTTTGTACCTTTGATCAACACGTTTTATCAACTTTTTCAATCCACGATAATTGATGTATGCCTTTCTCCATTCAACCACCACATTTTCTTCCAAATAACGAGCAAATTTCATCTTCGCTTTCTTTGGTTACTTTAGGGCTTATCTATCATTGTTGGATCGCATCATAGTTGTTTGTTGTGGTATGAAGGTATACATATGCTATCATCATACAGTGATTCCTTTGTTTTCAATTTTAATGCACTCAATTTAAAATATTTGTCCGAAAAAAGTAAAAGAACGTGTTGCACTACAGTGAATTCATTTTAGCAGCACCACACACACGCACATCCAACACAGTGGAGAAGCATAATTAGTCTCCGCGGGAACACGCATAGCATTAGGCGTAGAATGCATCATGGATAAGTCTAAAACTTCTTTTCATTCAATTCATACAACAAAGTACATTGCAAATCTTATTTCTGCTCTCCAACTAAAGTCTGACGGATATCCACGAGACCTCGTTTCTGTTGACCATTTTGATCGAAATTGTCAGGATGTAGCCATTGTTGAAATGCTTTTTGAATTACAGGCCATTCCGTCTCCAAGATACTAAACCAAGCCGAATCACGACTTCTTCCTTTGACGATATAATGATTTCTAAAAACACCTTCAAACGTGTATCCTAATCGTTCAGCTGCCCTTTTGGAAGGTGCATTAAGGGCGTTACACTTCCATTCCAATCTACGTGTATTGAGTGAATCACCAAAAACGGCAGTCATTGCAAGATAAAATGCTTCTGTTGCACCTTTTGTTCGTTGAATTGATTTTGAAAACATCACATGTCCAATCTCGATTGCTCGATGAGGTTTATCCCAACGCATCAATGCCAAATATCCCAATGCCTCACCTGTTTTTACATCAATGATCGCATACGTGTATGGATCATCAGTTGCCCATTTCTTTTTCATTGCTTCTAGGAATGCAGATTGATCCGCAAATGGTCCTTCTAACATGTAAGTCCATAATTGAGGATCATTCTTGATCTTTTGCCAAATTGGTCCAACATATTTCTCGGATAAATGCTCTAAGGTAACATATCTTCCTTCGATTCTTTCTGGTGCCTTTCCTACCGTCTTTGATTCTACTAATGGTCCTACCGGTTGTTCTTCCGGTACACTCATCTTGTTTGCGAGGTGAAGATGGTGAGCAAAGGTGAAGGTTTGATGTATGCTGTGAATATATTTTTATATGAGTCAAACACAATCTTCTGATCGAGTCATTACCATCTTTTCCATTATGCCGAATCATCCGCACGCTCTACACAGCACGCGTCTTGTGTTCAAACGCTAAGTCCGAATTCAAACCAGGCGGGCTTACCGCATCATGATCTGTTTGTCTGTATAGTTGATTATTCATTGATGATCATCATGACATGTTGATATGGTTTGAGTACTAGTTTATTATCTCTAAGTCATTCCCTTACTAAAGATAGAATGTCAACTTATAAAGGTGAAGTCTTAATTGTTACCGGTAGTGCGGATAAGTTTCCCTCCACCTATTGTGTTTTATTTTTCGGTTTTTGACGGGATATTTAATGCAGGGCAAAAGAAAAACAAAAGTTTGTATGAATACGAATGTGCATTAACATACGTCCAGTGCCTTAATTGCATTGTATGCATGCATGGACACAATTACGAAACTTTTTCCCAGCCGGCACGGAAAGGGAGAATTGATCAAGAAGCCGGTTTCAATTAAGCAATTGATAAAGATCTTTGGGATAGTGGCATACATTCAATCAAAAAGATGATTAGACGACTAAACAATCCTTCAAGACTATCAACCACTCTGAAATCATGGCGGGCACCGTTGATGCCAGATCAATAGGTCCCGGTAGGCCTGAATTGGCTGAACAGGAAAGAACAAACTCTACAGCACATACCACACCAATGCAAAGTAGAAGGCCAAGTACGACACCAGATGAAGATATTGAAAGACACCAGGAGGAAAAAAAGACGGATGATGATGATCCATTGGTTCTCAAAGGAAAAGAATCACCATACAATTGGTCAAACAGGCAAAAATGGTTAATCACAGGATTGGTAGGCTCAGTATTTTTTAATACAACAATGGCAAGTTCGATTGCAACGGGTGCAATGGAACAATACATTGACGGTTTCCATGTTTCAAAAGAAGTCGCAGTGCTATCGTTATCCTGTTATATGATTGGATTTGCACTAGGTCCACTTTTATGGTCACCACTCTCGGAGCTGTACGGACGCAGACCAGTCTTTTTGATTTCTACACCGTGTTTCATGTTGTTTAATTTAGGATGTGGATTCGCTCAAGATATGCCAACTTTGCTCGTTCTGCGTGTTTTTGCAGGTTTGTTTGGTGCTTGTCCACAATCTGCAGCAGGTGCAACAATTTCAGACGTTTTTGCTCCGATCGAAAGACCTTGGCCAATGTTGGTTTATTCGTTTTGCGCTTTTGGTGGTCCTGTTTGTGGTCCTTGGGCTGGAGGTTTTTTGTACGTGAGCGGAAATTGGCGTTGGATTTATTATTTGTTGGCAATCTTTGCGGGTTTGAATACTATCCTACAAGCTTTTTTACTTCCGGAAACCTATACACCCGTTTTACGCAAGAATAAAGCTAAACGATTACGTGCTCAAGGTTATAGCCATGAACAAGCACCGATTGAAATGCATATGACTTGGCATGACATTCTCACAATTTATCTTGTCAGACCATTCTCGATGCTCTTTAGTCCACGCGAACTTCCTCTCATTTATGCGGCTGCATGGACTGGATGGGCATATGCATTATTGTTCATCTTTTTCGAAGCATATCCAGTCATCTTTTCTGGCATTTACGGTTTCAATGCAGGTGAAACAGGATTATGTTTTATAGCATTCGGAATTGGAATTTGTCTTTCGATTCCGATCGTTTGGTATTTCAATCGAATGGCACGTAAAGTTGCTCTTGCAAACGGTGGTCATATTCAACCTGAAATTCGTTTACGCATGGTTGCTTTTACCGCTCCGCTAATGGTCTTGGGTTTCTTTTGGTTCGGTTGGACATCGAGAAAAGAAATTCATTGGATCGTTCCAATCTTAGGCACAATTCCAATCGGAACGGCCGTCTTACTCTCTTTTAATGCGTTGGCAGTTTATGTGGCTCAATGTTATCATATTTATGCTGCTTCTGCTTTAGGCGCAATGGCTTTCTCACGTTGCCTTGTTGCCGTTTTCAGTGAGTTGAACATATGCAAATCATACAAGCAGAAATACTGACTTTCACCTCCCCCCTCCTTTTCAGTGCCTCTGTTTGCCCGTCAAATGTTCGAAGGATTGGGTCCAGGATGGGCAGCGAGCATTTTGGGTTTCGTATCGCTTGTTGCAATTCCAGTACCATTCTTTTTCCAAAGGTGAGCTGTGAAGTGGAAGCTATCGATTGACGCACATGACTGACATCCTTTGTTTCATTTACAGATGGGGAGAGGATATCCGTAAACATTCAAAATTAGCCATCAGCACATAATTTTTCATTCTCACACGCACAGCATTTCACACATTATACACACATAGAGCTTCAACATCATGTACATTAATAATAGGATTCTCCAAAGACATTTCCGTGGGATCACGTTCGTAAACGAGTGATTTGAACGTTTAGAGGTTTTTGACGAGTCATGGTAAACGTATCTTTGATTCCGTCCAAGAAAGCATTTTGATCGAAATTTTCTGCTAATCGAATATCGAATTGCATTACAAATTGCGCAAGGAATAAACGCATTTCCATATATGCCAAGCTCTTTCCTACACATCCTGAAGGTCCATAGCCAAACGGCACAAATGCATTCTTTTCAAACGCTTCTTCTCTTTCCGGTGAAATCCAACGTTCAGGTCGGAAGTTGTTAGGATGTGGGCTGAAATTACGTGGATCACGTTGAATGAGTGAAGTTGGAATAGAAACAACCGTTCCAGGTGGTAAGAATAAACTCTTTTTGTTTCGTAGTTTGATTTCCGTTTGATCGGATTTTGCGCCAAATTGACCTTTGTTCGGTGTCACACGTTGAACACCAGATGCTACCGGTGGGAACAAACGCATTGTTTCATTGATGACTGCGTTTAGATATGGACAATCTTTGTTTAACGCATCAAAGTCTTGAATTTCACTCGTTTCGATATCCTTTCCAAAAACTTGTTCGAGCTCTTTTCTCAAACTTTCCAAGCATTCACGATTTGTGGCCAAATTGTACAAAGCCAAGGACAACGTTGAAGAAGAAGTATCACTGCCGGCAACGATGAGCAATTGAGCGTCTGCAATCAGCTCTTTCCATGTATGTTTCCATCCGTTTTCCGTATCTTCCTCTAAGAGGTAAGAGAAAACATCGGGAACACGAGCGACTTGACCCTCTTTGTCTGCTTGCAAATTCTTTTCTCTTTGTACACGTTCTTTCACAGCTTCTTCCGTATAGTCATCAAACGCTACCAAAGGGTTAGGCAACAAGCGCAAGATGTGTGAAAGGTAAGGCACATTCCCGATAATCATTACGGCACTCATGAAGCTCTCCAAAAGATGAATCTCATTGGAGAATTTCCCTTTTTGAACCATGTTGAATGAACGTGAGAAGCCCAATTCTCCCATGATATCAAACGAATACAGACAACACCATTGATCGACTGGAACAGCTTCTTTTTCGCCAGCAAGTTTATTGAGTTGTTGCATGACCTGCCGAGTACTGGCTAACAATTGTTCTTCGTATGACTGCAATGCACGTACGCTGAATGCTTGATCCCAAATTCTTCTTCTTTGTCTTCTATGGGTTGGATTCATTGTAACGTGCAAATTCAATGCCCGTTCACCTTTACCGCCATGAACGCCTTGATACCATGGACCTTTGACGCATTTACTCGTTCCGCCCAAAATAGAAGTGACGGCGTTTGGATCGTTGATCGATAATTCTCTTGGTCCAACACGAACGATGTCACCGTATCGATCGTGTAATTTTGTGAATGTGTGTGGTCTTTCACCGGCAGCATCCATTGGAACGGAAGTCCATTTTGTCAACGCGAAAGTGATTGGACCGGGATATTTGCGTAGTTTATGGAAGAAGAGACGATAGATTGCAATACTCATTAATAATGTCGTGGTGTATAATGCAGTCAATGTTGAAACGGAAAGGATAACTTCTTTGATTGATGCATGATAGTTGGTGATCAAATAACGTGACCAGCCTAACCAGCCAGCCAAATATAGGAAGATGACTGCAAAAGGATGAGGATCATGACGTGAAAAGATGAAATGTGATAGCAATGCCAAGCCAATTGTTGCTTGGTACCTAGCATTTTCTCCGTCAAGATGAATGATCATATTTGTTGAATGGTGTCAGATGGAGGAACAAAGAGAAGTTCCATCAGCTTAGTATTGCTTTTAATTTCATTGGATCTTATGACATGATTCTATCAGGAACCGGAAAGTGTTGTATGCGGTAATTGTTCATTGTTCCCCACAAAAGCCATCTTAATTAAACACTGCGCCACCGCATTGACCAAGCGCGGCAAATGGAGCGGTCCGAGAAAAACAAACAAAGAGGCACACGGGCTAAAGAGGTGTCACAATTGTATTGAGCAAAGGAGGTACACACACATACACTAATGATGATCATACTTCACTGTGGTTTTGGCATGGAACACTTCAAGGCGTACACCACCACTTGAGCCAGTTTGTTGCATATTTGCCGAAGAAACATACCATGGTTGAGGAAGGGTACCATTATTAACATCTGCGTAAATCTTAAACCATTTATGATTTGGTGCACGAATTGTAACATTGAATTTATTATCATAATTCGCTTTTGATAAATCAGCAGTTGCAAGTGCTTGTGATCCGATAGAGTATTTTCCTTTGATCCTTTCTACATTAGATGTAAATCCAAAAATTGCAAGATAATCTTGATTGTACGATAATCCATCTGTCCATGAATAAGTAACATTGAATTCATGCCCGGGTGTGATGGAAGCAGGCACTTTCATGCCAACCAATCCTTCTGCGTTTGCATATTGACTCAAAGTCAAAACGGCGCTGATCAAGAGAGGGATTGAGAAATGCATTGTGGGTGTAAGTTGGCTTGAAATGTGTTGGATGGGGAAGTGTTCCGTTTCGACACAACAAAGTTTATCTCCTTTTATATCTTTACATTGCTTCAAGTGATGCTTATAGATTGGTGAAACGAAGATCTCTAATATTGTGTTATTTGTGCTTGTATCACTGAAAAGATTTCGGATTTGATTGACTAGCGTTTTTGAGAACTGCAAGATCCGGCTTCAATCCAGAAGAGGTAGCACGATCAAAGGTTGCGAACAATGAAGCAGGCGAGCATGGCTCAATCTATAGAACAGTGCCATATCCCGCCAGGTATGCAAGCGGACCTCTCCGTGTATGTCAATTTACGGAATAAGTCGCCGGCATTTCTTTGTGGGTGGAGTGCTTTTGTTCACTGCATTCAACAAAGCGAATGTCATATAGAGGAGTGCATAACGGTCACCTGTCACGAAAGAAGGATTTTAGGAACCATGAATGTCATTAAAAATAGATCATAAAGTACAGGCACACATTAACTGTAATTGATATGGGTGCTGGCATGGAACACTTCGAGGCCTACACCACCACTATCACCAATTTGTTGAATGTTTGCCGAAGAAATATACCAAGGTTGAGGAAGGGTACCATTATAATAATTTGCATAAAATTCAAAATAACCATGACTTGGTGCACGAATTGTTGCATTAAAAGTACGATTAAGAACGAGTTTTGATAAATCTGCAGTTGCAACTACTTGTGATCCAATCGTACTTGCTTCTAAAACATTTTTATCATAAGTCATTCCAAAGATTGCCATATATTCTGCACAATTGGTTAAGCCGTTCGAGAATGAGTATGTCACATTGAACAATTCTCCAGGCGTGATTGAAGCAGGAACTTTGATTCCTGTTAATCCTTCTGCACTTGCATATTGAGTTAAAGCCAAAGCGGCACTGACGAAGACTGGGATAGAGAAACGCATTGTGATTGTATTTAAGTGGGATTGGATGATGGGGTATTTGTTTTATTTAATATGCTATATTTATTTCCTTTTATATCTTTACATTGTCTCCTTTGAACATAAGACGTCATAATATTGTTTTGTGTGTTATATTTGTGTGCCTGAAAGTTGACATAGACTACCATGGATCTCCGTTGATTAAGTTTCGGATTTGAATGACTAGCTTCCGTGGAATACTGCACAATTGCACAGAGTTCGGCTTGAATTAATCAAATAATGACGCAGGCTGGGGGGTTATCGCAGTGCCTTCCCGCTAAAACGGAAAAAGTCGCCGGCACTTGAAAAATAAAACCATAAATATCATCATAAAACGGGCTCTTGTCTTGTATCGATCACTACCTCTTCGGTCATTACGCCGAAAATCAGGATATAATCGAGGTACATACGTCATGACTAGACATTTTGACTTAAAGACATGCCGGCACTCCATAAACTTACTCTACCATGTCACGGGCTACACACACATCCACAAAGCTACTGTTTACGATGAATGTCCATTTTGAATTCCTTTCATCTTTTGTATTAGTATGAAAGTATGATTAGAGAAACATCCTTGGGTTAAGGGTTGAAATATGAACAAAAAAATTGGAAAAGGTATAAGAGATCATGATGATGACTATGATCTTAGAAGACGAAGAGAGAGTAGGACGGCTGGATAAAGTTTTTAATCAACTTCGATCAAACCTGGACCGGCAACAGTGGAGTTGGCAACTTCTGCTGCGTTCATGAATGGACCGGCAGAGTTAACGAGAGCGGCAACAGTCAAACCCTTTGAGAATCCTTTGGTGAATGGGAAGCTTGCTTTGAATTCCATTCCGTTGACTGATTCAACTGGAACGACGACTGGCTTGTTTTGACCAGAGATATAAGCAATGTGCTTACCGTTAACACTGCTTTCGGATGTCTTGAATGTCAAAGTGGTGTCCTTTGTACTGCATGGCTTTTCGGATGAAGTGGCCAAAGTCAAAGTCTTGAATGCTGGAATACCGATTGCTGAAACGTTTGAAGATGAAGGGCAAGAGTTTGGAACGATGAACAATTGATCGACTGCGTTGAAAGCAAATTGACCGGCAGCAGCAGTCAAGAAAGGTGCGGCAGAAGGAACCTTACGTTGAATTAAACGATAAGCACCATCTTGTTCACCTTCTTGACCGATGATTGAATCAAGCAAGGGAACCAAACCTTCAGCAGCTTGACCACCGTCCAAAGCGAAACCTTGGTTAACGTTTTGCAAAGTACCCAAAACCAAATCTGTGAAAGTTGCAGCAAGTGTGATTGCGCTCTTGAAATCTGTAACTGGGAACATATAATTACATGAACCAATCGTCTTTGCACCTGCACTCTTCAAAATTGCATTTGCACCAAGAGCATGCATTTCTTCTTGTGCACGAATTTGTGTTAATGATTTGATAACGTAATCACGACTTAAACCATCAAAGTCGGTATAACCATCTACGTTATGGGTAACGTTGTGCAATAAAGATGAGAAGTAAGCAGCTTCAAAGATTTCATTTACGGCGATAACTTGTAAACTTTGAACGGCATTAGCTTTGAGTGATGTTGGCAAAGGTGTGTTTGGTAATGTACCGCCTGCTTCTTTTTCGATTTGTGCGATTGCAGATGGTGATGGGTTTGGGAAGCCGTTGTTGAGCTTGAATGGAGCGGCAGCTGCCAAACCGACGAAAGCGAGCAAGAGAGTGAATTTGACCATTTTTGAGGTTTAGGTGGCGGGGAGTTGGATGTTTGGAAAGGGGGGTAAATAAAGTTGTTGTTGTTGTGAAGGAGATAAAGTGAGTGGCGTGGAGGAATAGTATCTCGTTTATATACTTTATTAAATCCCTTTCCCCCCTTTCGACCCTTATCCGAAGAAAGACTTATTTATTCTTCTGAATCTGAAGCATTATAGTGGCGGAATGCATAGATTGAGTTACTAATGATCGATTTGATCGTTTTACCGTTCAGATGCGTATCCAGCACGATCAATTTCAATTTCTTCTCCGACAGACGCCACGCCCGAACGGTAGAGTTTTGTGGTTCATATATGCATAGATTCATCTCAATTTCAAAAGAGTATATGTGAGGTAAGATCGACCTCAAACATCTAGTTACAGAATGTTTGCCTGCCCTCTCTCTGTGTGTCCCGATCAAAAAGAAGTTCTTTGATAATAATTAGCCTTTCTCATTCTCTCAATCCGATGAACAGGGTTCGGTGATCTTCTTACAAACACACGTTCTGTGAATTATTAAAGTGGTATGAGAATTAGACAATGATTAAGTACCTGCTTTTTTCTCTCACGATGCCCTGAAGGGAGTGAGCGACTCGTTCATTTAATTTAACGTCATTGGACAACATAAAGTGCTATCCGCCTGTGTTTTATTTTTACTCAAAGGGTTCGAATAATGCGGAGAATCAGCTCACAATTCGTTTTTGGGCTAGTGAGCACACGCGCGCTGCGCATACACGCTAATAATGATCGACAATTACCGCCGGCGTATAACGTTTGGCAGGCAGCAGCATGTGCAGCAAGGGCCGAAGTCGGCGATTGGAATGAAAATCAAAATAATCATGCGTGACAGTGACGCAATACAGTCACTGTGCCAACTCCATCCTAACACCGAAAAGAGATTCGTTCGGAAATGGCAGCTAAGATTCTGGAAATAGATTCACTCGCTTCTATATACCGACTAAATCCGCGGAAAATACTTGCGAGGGAAGACCCTTGTTATGTGTATTAACAACAGTTGATATAGGTCACATGATATTCTATATGAAAATATTTCCGGACATTCTTGATCGAAGATCACTTTCCAAAAGAACAAAAAGCGAGCATATCTCGGTGAATTGAAGGCCTGTCAAAGAAGGAAAGACTGACTTGAGTGGCTTGTGGCGCACGTATGCAAATTGTCAAAAGTGCGGATACATTACCTTAAGCCTCTGAATAGAATTCTGAAGGAACACGCTAACTATAGTAGTATACGTACCAGGCTTAACGCGTAGAATATTCTGTGTAAAGGGTACAACTGGAGACCAACACCCCACCCAGGAGAACGTGGGATATGCGTGGCGTGTTGGACTAATGTATGCACATTACACTACCAAACCCTTTCCCTTTTTCTTCAGGTACAAATATGAACCAAAGCCATGACGAAGATGAAAAGAGGCTTTTGATCTTGAGCGGAAAGGATGTAGATGAGATATTGGATGGGATATCAATCAATGATCTAATCGCGAATCAGACGGATGTATTCTCGACATACTCTTCACAAAATGAAAACAGATGGGAATCACCAATCAGAACAACAATCAATTCATCGGCTCATACGCATCTGTTCATGCCAAGTAGAAATGAAGATCAAGTGACGATAAAATGCGTTGCTGTCCCTAAACCTGGTGGTAATGCAACCGGATTACCTGCTACAGGGTTAGTATTTCATCCTACAAAAGGACAAACAAAAGTTATCATAAATGTTGCACAATTAACTGGCGTAAGAACGGCAGCAGGTTGTTTAAGTGCGAGTATTGCAATGCAAACGACCAAAACACCCGACAAAACAAAAGATGGAAATATTGTCATCTTTGGAACTGGCATGCAGGCTAAATGGCATGCACGTTTATTTGTAGGGTATTATCGATTAGGAAAAGTGACATTTATCACAACAAGTGCACAAAAGGTAAAAGAAGCAAAAGCATCACTTCAACAACAGTTACCGAAAGAGACACAGGTGGATGTTCTACTACAAGACAGTCCAGAAATGATCACAGTATTGAATGAAGCACACTTTATCTGCGGCTGCACACCGTCCACCGAACCACGTTTTGCGTGGGACAAAGTACGATTACGAGATGATGTACACTTTTCCTTGATCGGATCATACAAGTCCCACATGCAAGAAGTTCCCGCAAAAGCAGTCGAGCGAGCAGCTTCAGAGAACGCATTATCGGTTGATTCAATCGAAGCTTGCAGTCATGAAGCGGGCGATTTACTCAAATCTTCCACTTCTCCCAAAGATTGGCAAGAGATCGGAAAGATTGTGCTAAACAAAAATAGTCAAGATGTTTCGGATAAATTTAGCATGTTCAAAAGTGTCGGTTTCGCATTGCAAGATACGGCAATCTTCAACTTAGTGGTAAAGCACGCAGAAGCAAAAGGCATAGGTAAAAAAGTTGATTTCTATTAATTTAGATCAAAAGAAGAAACAACAATTTGTAAAAATAGATGTACAGTATACAACGTTTCCATATCTTCTTTGAATAGATGCACAAACAAGAAAAAGGTACCAGCCTTTTCTGTGGCAATCCTGTGGAAAAATGATGACGAATAGAAAGTCCTTATTGAAAAAAAGATGAATAGGTGACGAACTCTTGATGCACAGCCCGAGATTATGCTTATAGGTAAGGCAACTCCTCCCGATCTTCATCAATCACTTCTGCCGTTGTTGGCTTTCGCTGTCCTGTCTTAACGAACCTTTGCATACCTTGTTCGGGCATCATCACTTCACTTGTGATTGGCGCATTCACTCTTTGGACACCCGGTCCAGTTCGAGTAAATCCACCGTGATATCCAGCTGCAGCTGCAGGAGGCATATTTTGTCCTGCTCCTCTTCCAGCTTGATTGATCCGATCAGCAATTTCTCCATGACTGTTCGGATCCCATAATTGACTCATATGTGTGTAAGGATCATGAATGCTTGTCTTTGTCGGTCCAACAGGTGGGATATAGTCAGAGCCAAGTCCATCTGCCGTACGTGCATGTCCACTACTGGAGCTTCCACCAGCACTGCTGCCATTCTTTCGTCCATGAAGCAAATTGCGACTTTTTACAGAGGGAGTGCTCTGTGAATCAAATGACGAAGTACCCTTGCGTACCTCACTCACCGGTCCACGATATCCATCCATCGTCACTGCACCTCCATCACGAACGGGATCGGCAAATGGCGACTGAGCTTCCGATGGATGTTGCCATCCCTGTTGCTGCATAGGTCTTTGTTGTCTTGCGATGCCGTAGCCACCTTCATCATAACCATACGACCGAGGGCCAGGAGGAGGGAAGAGAGCTGTATCAGGAACGGTGCTGTGAAAAATTTTTCCGTTGCCGAACTTTTGTGATTGCGTAGGAGAAGGGGATCGTGGGAAGTTGTCTGGCGTATTCCCACCTCCAATCGAAGAAAGGGCGTAATTGTCTTCCGGAACGGACATGTTTCGATACGTTGCTTGCTGCATATGCGGTTGAGCACTGGTGGTAATTGATCCGCTTCGACCGTGTCCCATATCTGATTGGGAATTGTTATTCGCCCCGCGACCGAGGACACGGAAGCCAGTAGCTGCTGTTCCCGATGCTCGTCTGAGCCATGCACTCGCTCTGCTATTCGTTTGCGGTGCCCCGTACGGTGATGCTGAATATCTCCAGGGCGATACATTTGCAGCCGCTTGTCCGTTGCTAGCTGCTCCTCCCCATGCATCGTGCTCGTCCTGTTTGGCTCTATGCTTCTTCCTTAACCACCAAAACAGTATTCCAAGCAAAGCTAAAGCGCCTAGAACACCAAATGTGGCTCCAACCGCTGTTCCTGCCGAGTTAGATTTATGATCAGACGCAGCATCGTTTGCAGAGACGGCAGGTGTATTCCCGCCCGACGTATTAGAAGCTGCTGCGCCATGCGAGGATGTTTTAGCTGATCCTTTCGTGCTGCTTTGCGTGGACGTAGATGCAGTAGATGCAGGAGCCAATGTCCCTGACCCTTTCGGAAGGCCATTACCAACTGTACTGAGCGCAACACATGATTTTGAGCGACCGACATTAGAGACGCTGTATAAGTCTCCTACGCCTCCTGTACCTGAACTTCCCTCATCGTTTGCCGAAGCGAGAAACCTCGTGCCAGAAGGAAAAGGAATGGTATATTTGAATGCTCCTTGTGCACCACTTCCTGCATTCACAGTGACAGGTCTACCATTTTCCGGTAAGAAGGTGAATGAAACAGTCCCCTTTACCCCACTATCCTTTGGATCCGTTTGCCATGAGACACCCCAATCGTCACAATGACCCGGAGTGTTTTTATTATTGGTGGGATACCAAACGAAATCTAAATCTACTTGAATTGCTGCACATGATCCTGAGCCGGCATTTAAGTTGAAAAATGAAGAAACACCTGAAACATCCCCTGTCGAATCTGCAACTGCGACTAAAGCCTGGGTGTTTGTGGATAATTTTGGTACATCCCAATTCACGGCAAAATTCGATCCGGATGCTTGTGGAACATTGAAGGTGAACGGTATGGAATCTGTTAATGCGATCATTACCGTCCATGGCGCTTTTCCTTGTGATGCATCCCATGAGATAGGTACTTGTGAGCAACTAGATGCTGAATTCACCTTGATTGGAAGTACAGAAGGTGCGCGTTTGTTTAGGGATGTGGATGGATGTCTACGCATTGCATTTTTGGTCGAGATTGGTTCCATCTTGAGAATTAATTAGGGATTATTGGGAGTGCTGATTTTGTATTGCTTGGTGATTGTATGCTGTTATTGGAGATTTCACTCCCTTTTGATTATCGAAATGAGCGTGTAAAAATGTGAATGAATGTGAGTCGAACGCCAATAGTTTGGGGTTAACACGTCATGCGAACCAGGGTATTTGCTGGAGTGGCAGGCAGAGAGGTGAAGATGATAATCGTTGATATCTTCAGACGATTTCAATGGTAATGATGATGATGATGATGATGGGAAGGGATGACCACTGTAGGCTGTAGAGTAGGCATGTCAAACCTTAGGATCGGATTGAACTGTATTTGCTGCTGCTGCAAATGAATTGACCGTATAGAGAGGTGCCGTGCAGTTCAATTGCCAATTTTGCGTTAGTGAATGCTCTTTACACGCGCCGCGCCTTGCCCGCGAAAAAAAGGAAAAGAGGCTTTTTGATCGGAATTTTCCATGTAATGGTTGAATTTAAATTGAATACTAAGTGCCGGGCACTTTAGAAGTGAAGGCGACTTTCTTTTTCCCACAGTTCATACGCAAGCCCCGCGTGTGCTAGAGTGTGGAAAAGTTAAAACACGCTTGTATAACTCATATTCCCCTTTTGTTCCTTTTTCCTTCAAGAACCTTGTGCTGAAATGCCTAGTGGGATTGCCTGTCAAAAGGTACGTGCTGCAATTAAGAAGAGGCGTAAGAAATCGTTAGCCTCGATTGGATGCAAAAGCATAATTAGACTATTGCAAAAGTATTAAATCTTATACTGTCATCCTGCCTTTTCAGTTCTGAGGGTTCTCCCTGCACAATGAACCTCTTGCACCTCGCATACCACACTTGCCTTTTTTGCACTCTCTGACCACGTGCTGAAGGACAGAAGAAGTGACTTATCTTCCTGCCGCACCACATTGTCGCAACGGTGAGTGTCTTTACATCCCATGGACAATTCACGGTGATCCCACCGATTCACCACCGAATGGTGGGGACAGAAGCGTACGCACGCCTTCATCTTTTGCACAGGATATGCTACTCTATGAAGCCCCGGGGAAGGATTTGAAAGTGTGAAAGCAATTTATTGAAAGGTATAAAATGTGTCAATATTTTGAAATTCACTTTCCCCAAAACACTCGACAGAAGATACATCTTATAATGCTCAAATTTACTCTCTCCGTATATCTGCTAAGCAGCTATTTCATCTTTTCAACGGCAGTTGAAGCAATGTATCCGCAATACTCTCGTACTCATCAGCCGCCCATGAAACATGAACCGCAAGTACATGCAAAAGAACTTATTACAGTTCGCCATGGAGAAACACATGCAATGACACAAGGTAAAGTTCAAGGTGACTTAAACGGACCAGAATATCATTTAAATGATAAAGGCAAAGAACAAGCACAAAAGATAGCTAATGATTTGAAGCATAAACAAGTTCATACAATCATTTCGTGTGGCAAAGGACGTTGTACGGAAACAGCAGATGCTATCAAACAACATCATCCAGGCGCATCTGTTTACCATGATAATGATCGTCTTAGAGGTACGGATATGGGTAGTTTGAATGGGAAATTGTATAACGCAAATACGTTTTCAGGTGATTGGCGTTCACGGCACCCCGGGGTGGAAGATCAAGGAAAAGTAACCGCACGCTATACAGACGCTCTGAAAGATGTCATCTCTGGACATGCTCATCAGTCCCGATTCAGCGGTATGACACATGTAAGTGGACCTGAAAAGCCATCAACACCACGGCCAGGCTCTCCTCATCGAACGGTGTTAGTTTCGCATCAATGGACGAATGATGAATTGGCAAAGCTTACTCATAACGGTGGCACCACGGCTAAACTTGGACCGGGTGTAGATATTAACAAGAAAGAAGCACCTGCTGGTCATTCTGTGATACACTTCAGCGATCCCGATTCTTATCCACGTGGATCAGACGGCAGGGTTGAACTCCATCGCATGCCCAAAGAAAAGGTTACAATTGTCAAGAAAGGCGATTAAAGGCTGACACAGATATACTAGGATCGATTGAAGTCTAAAGTGTGTTGTGTCAAAGGAGTGACAAATAGTCAAAGGAGTGACAAATATTTATGTATATTATACAAATTTGATTCTATTGTGTTGTAAATCTATAGTACCTTCAAGAAGCATGTTCAACAGCCCTTCTCTCAAATGCTCCGATCATTTGACTTGCCATTTTGTGCATAGCAGCCTTAGCCATAGCAGCATAAAATGGATTTGAGAATGCATAATGTACTTCAAAATCCACTTTAGACTTGTTTGGAGAAAGAGGTTGGATCGTCCAAGAAGTACGTAAATGTTGAAAAAGTGGCGTTGGAATCGCTTCTGCGATCACTTGTCCTTTTTCTCGATCAACAATCACTTTACTGGTATATTGTTCTTTTAGGTTTCCAAATCCGACTGTCAACTCTGCTAGAAATTCTTCTGCGTCTTGCGAAGCTTGGTTTGATTTTATAGATGATTGCGGGTAGCGAGATGCCTCTTCTGGGGATGAGATACGAGATTGAATGCAGTATGGCACGAATTCTTCATACGCTGCCACATCGCTCACAATTGAGAAAAGATGATCGCGTGAGAAGGGTAGAGTGACCGATTCCGTGTACCCGTCATCGCCTTGCCTCTTGTGCGAGGAAGATGATGGATTTGTGTCCTTTGAAGAGCTTCCAAACGGGGTCAACTTTGCCAAGTCGTTTAGTGAAACGAAACTTCGACTTGGTGTGATAGAGCTGGCATTATATCTTCCACTGTTTCTAATCTGCAATAACGTCAAGCTTTCCATTCCATCATTTTGTATCCTGCTATTTGCTATCCTCCTTGAGAACTGCCGTATTAGTGATCTTGACATGCTAACTTGATGATGAGGATACAAAGATAAGCATTCTGTTCCTGAGAAGAACACCAAAAATACGTAAGCTCCTCCACCCTCTAAGCCACGTGATCTTACACCCAAAGCGCTTTTTGGCTAAATTTTCTCCGTCTTAGTGGAAGAAATTAAACTCGCGTTATTGACAATCATCACCTCTTGACATTCATCATCTCAATCTCATAACAACAAAAATATGGCAGAGGTACAATTACCAACCTCACAAGTCGAATTAGACGAACAAAATGGAGGAATGGAAGTTGATGAAGTCGCTTTAGAGATAAATGACAAGATTGAAATCTTAAAAGGTTTCGAATCCGATCTATCAGCAGCAACTTATTGTTTACACAATGAAGACCATACGTTGGGAAATGCATTGAGGTATATGTTGATGAAAAAGTGAGTATCGCCCATCAAAACAAGCACTGCTCCCGAGGATTATAATCAACAACATCTATTCAGAGCGAAAACAGTCCTTTGCAAAGGACCGCCAGTAGCAGTGTGGTACAATAGAAAAACAGGAATTCTTCGTTGCTGAGGGGATTGGGAACATGTCAAGATTGAATGATGGGAATGCTTACATGTTATTGCTTCTCCCCTTCTTCTCTCTAGTCCTTCTGTGGAATTTTGCGGATACAGTAACCCACATCCAAGTGAGCCAAAGATTCATTTACGGATTCAAATGTATGGTGAGTAGATCACTTATGGATGTGAATGCTGTCTCAATGATGATATCGTTTTAAGGGATTTATCAGATCAAACACATGATCGAATTAAACGAAATATACAACCAATTGTTCCTACTGAAAATCATTTTTTGCAATTTTGCTTATCTTGACAATATGCTAACGATCTTATTACACTCTTCTTCTCTTTGCAGATCAAAAGTCTAGTCTGACAGCTTTGCGGGACGCTCTGGATAATCTCGATCAACTATTCCAAACAATTGGTGAAGAATATGAAGCAGATCTCGCAAAGGATCAATATGAACGATTCGAAGAGCCTGGCTTGACGGAAGAACAATTACGGGAAACAGTCAGAAAAGGAGAGGAGATCAGAAGGCAGCAGAGGGAAGAGAAACGAGCAGAGAGTAAAGCAAAGGCTAGCGTTGCAAGCTCGTTGAGATAATGGTCGTAATTGACATACTGTATTTGTAACAAGTGTAATGCATAATGTACATGTAATTTAAGGTGACAGGACAGCTCCATTTTTATTTCTTGTTCGGCTTTCGCGATGCTCGTAATGGTTTCCCGCGGGAGGATCTGCCTGCCGATCGACCGGTAACCTTCTGATCGACTTCTTCGGTTAATTCATTCTCCTTCTGGCTATCGGAACGGATTAGCTCGGTTGCAGTAGATACATCAGCTTTGCTTTCCTCTGTCGTATCTTTTCCTTGTTGAATCTTTTCATAAGCCAGACGGACAGGCGTGAATGAAAGCCGATGTTCAGGACAAATCAAACCACTTCTCAGAGCTGCCATATGTGCTGCCGTTCCATAACCGGCATTTCGATCGAATCCAAAATGCGGATAAGATTGATGAAGTTGAAGCATATATTCATCCCTATACACTTTTGCAATAATAGAAGCAGCGGCGATTGATTGTGATTTTGCATCACCTTTTTCTAAACATGTTTGTCCGATCGTGTCTGCAATTCCAGGAACGGTGTGATAATCTACCAAAAGATGAACACGATAGCCTGCCAAAGGACCTTCCAATAATCCAGTCACTGCCCTTCGCATTGCTTCCATCGATGCCGCTCTTGGATTGAGGGTGTCCACTTCCTGTGAAGTACAAATGCCGAGATTATTTGCCATACTATACTGTTTAATTTGAATTGCCAAAGCTTCTCTTTGAGCAGGTTTAAGTTTTTTGCTATCATTAATGCCGGCCAAATTTGCCAAATTATAATTTGATTTTGCATCTGCAACTCCTATACTCAAAACAACTGCTCCGCTTACGCATGGTCCTGCTAATGGTCCAACTCCAACTTCATCAACTCCAATGATTGCGAATCTTTTCATCGCTTCAACAATATCTTTGCAGCCTTCCATTGCAAGTCGCTTTCGTTCACCCTCGATAATTTGTCGTTCATAATGAAGCATTTGCTTTAATCGATTCGCTTCTACGGAATCAAAGCTATCTTCGCCGGAGACTTCTTCGTCTGCTGTTTTGGCAGCTTTTGCAGCATTGACTGGTGGACTTGCTTCAGACACCTCATCCTTTGCTTTCCTTTTCCCTTTCACTACCAAAATGGTATTATCCTTTGCTTCATTTTGAACCTCTTTTGCTGAAGCCTTTGCGGCGGACTTTGCTCCGTTTCTCTTTTCAGGCAAAGCAACGATAGTATTCACTTTTCCATCACTAGCCTGAGTGCTCCTTCTCGACGATCTGCGTAATGTCGTCGTCATCTCGTTATGATCATATATAAAATGATAAAGAGGATGTACTTTTCGTACAAACACCACTACAACCTTAATTCGAAAGCAACACTTTAAAAACGCGTCAAACTCGTGTTCCCGCTCGCCGACTCGTGCGGGCTGCTGTTGGCTGGTGCCTGACGGCAATTTTTACTGGAGAAGAAGCAGACCACCCTTATCGCGTATGAGAGGCCTATCGACCATGAAAACAGCAGACGAGGTTCTTCATAAGTTTTACTTCAAAATTGATACATTGCAAAAATAACATGAGAACATAGCAAAAAATATAGACTGTGCAGAGTCGTTTATGAGAACAAATACGGAAAGTTTGTGATCTTACTACTGGGCAGCTTCGACCGTTGCTGGTTTTTCACCAGCTTCCTCTTCGGCTTTAGCGGTTGTGGCTGTTGCTTCTGGTTTGGCTTCCGCTTCTGTTGCCGTTCCGGAAGAATCTTTATGTTTAGACTCTATCCAATCATTAAATTTGGAAATTCGTTTATGGTTCAACGCTTTCATCTTTCGATCTTGTCGATCACGGGTACTCTTGGGTAAAAGTCGGGCAAAGTAATCTTCGGATTCTTGTCCAAAGAATAGCCTATACGTAGAAATGCATACTTTGATTTCCAATCCATTTCGCGTTCTATACGCCGTACCTTGATCATCACCGATCTCTCGACGAACTTTCAGACTTCGGTCAAGGAAAGGTCCTTTAGCTTCTTGCAAAAGTCCTTCGGTTGGCGTCCAAAGGGTGTAGCTTGAGATATAGTACAACCATTTCTCTTGTGCCGTTCCAGATTCAAATTCTTCATCCAAAGTAAGGTCATCGCGGGAAAGTAATTGGATCAACATTGTTCCGTCAAGAGAGGGTTCTTCTTCTTCAGTTGCAGTTGCAGGTGCAGCCACTGTAGCATTATTTGGCAGCCATTCGATCCTGTACAAGTTTTCATCTTTACCGATGATAGACTCTGCTTTCATTCGGCGGGCGATATGATCTTTGTAGTCTTGACCTCGATCGTTCTCCAGGATACCTTGCAACTCTTGACTCTTATTATCAGTCATAATCACCTGAGCGGCCTTGATCAACGCTCCAACAACCTTATCAATGGTGAACACAATGTAGCCTTCAATACCATACATATACCGAACGCTTTCCTCGAAAGTATTGCTGTCCAATTCACCATCGAAGAACTTCTCTGTAAGATCAAGCAAGGTATCGTAATAGCGTGAAGGATGCAAGGTGATACCCGATACCGTTTGTTCTCCGTTCGCGGTAGAAGCGGCAGTCGCTCCCACTATCGCGGCTGGACCAGTGCTGGGATCTTGCAATCCCAACTCTAATGCGATCGGATTGGCCCTTCCTTTACTACGATCGGCGCTTTGGCCATGGCCGTTTCGCTCTTGAGTCATTTCCACTCCAAGTTGCTTCATCTTTGAAAGACGTGCATACAATAATTGCAATAGCCGTACAAAGACGTAATGCGGCGTAGAACAAAAGAAGTTTACACCTTTACGTGCTGATCTGGCTGCATTGTCGACACTGTTGGTTTGACCAGTTGTTGAGTCAAATGCTTGAGAGGCATCAGTGCTTGCCCAAGTTGCCTTTGCTGCTGATGTACCTTCTGCTTCGGGTTCCGTGGTACCATTGGCATCAGTCATCTCTACATCATCAGCGTTGGTTTCTGTTGAACCTTCAACACCAGTTTTGTTGCTCTCCGCTTGTGTCTTAAGCACCTTCCTTCTCAGATCGTTGTGATGACGGCCTTTCCTTCTTTGACCGTCAGTGGATTCATCATCTGTTGCGATTTCACTGTCATCGTCTTCGTCATCTTCATCCACAACTACATCCCCATTGATCATCTCTTCAAACGCCTTTTCATCCATTCCAACAAGTCTGGGTAAGAAGCCACGCAAGAATGATTCTATCCGGTCGCAATCTGCCTTGTTGTAAGCGGCACGATCCAAGAAGCTGAACGAGAGCTTAACGACATCAACCAGAACATTCAAATCGTCCAATTGATACGTCATCTGATGATCCACCTTGGGTCGCGGCAAACTTGCATCCAAAGCAAGCCGTCTTTGGATCTGTTGAATGCGTCTGCTTTCAATTTCTGCAACAAATGCTTTAGAAGTGATTGCCTTCTTGTCAGATGATTTGAAGTTCACACCTTGATGGTCTAAAGATTTGTAGTAATTGCGTGCATCTACTTCACGCCAGACCTTATTCCATTCACGTTGACAGCGCTTCCATTCTTCGTCTTTCTGCTTCAATCGAGCCAATACAACGGGAACGGCATTGCAAGGGTTGTCGTGTAAAGCATTAATCACTTCAACACCATGATCCCGTCCGTAGATCTTTTTAATGACTCGTTGGTAGATACTTTTGCTTTGACCGCCCAAGCCTGGTTTCAAACGGAATGCCTGTCGTTCTTCGTGATCCATCATGCTTATTCTTGCCGCGATTGGCTCAAGCAAGGCAATCGTCCGTAAGTTTGCTTCAATATGATAATCATATTCGTGTCTTTCTTCCTCACTTCTATAAAGTGCATCTTCATACACATTCTTTTTGTGTGGATTGAAACCTTCTGCTTCTGATGCCAAGGTTGGATAGCTTACCCAAACATCGTTCAACACTTCCCAGCACATCGGATCACGGCCGGAACAAGCGACTCGGATTTCTGCCCTCGGAAGCTTGCGGTAAGAGGCTCCATGGATCTTGCATGTGCTAAGATCAACCCGTTCACGTTGAATCGCTGGTACATTCTCGATGATTGGATCTTCGTTGTCTAGCCATCCATTCTTGCCCATTTCATAGCCACACAATGACTTGAACGTATTAAATAGATCCCGTTGGCCTCCGATAAAGAGAGCAGCGCGATCGACTAGCGTTCGCATATCTATTATATCTTGCGTGAAAAGGTTCAGCAATTTCAAAAATTCAATGTATGTCGGCCGATCATCGATGTGCTTCTTCACACGTTCAAAGAAGGCGACTTCGTCTACTGTGGCTAATGCACTTTGCCCAGGTGGCATGTTAGGAGCCATTCCAGGCATACCGGGTGGTCCCATCATACCAGGCTGCATCATCGCTTCTGGAGGCAACATACCGCCTTCTGGTCCATACGGATGCATCAGAGCACCTGGAGGGGCCATACCATGGAACGATGGACTCATTTCTCGCATGGGAGAACGATCTTTGTGATGTCCGCTCTTGGTCTTCTTTGGCTTCTGTCCCGGTCTACCAGTATCGGCAACGGCTGGATTTGCGCTTCTCTTCTTTCGGCTTGGTGTTGGTCCTCCTACCATTTGGCCGCCAGGTCCAACCATACCGGGCTTCTTGTCGTGTACTGGATCCATTCTATGCATCGGCATCGGAGCACCAACATTACCTGCTCCCATGCCGGATGTCATCTGTCCCATCAAGCCAAACAAGCCACCGCTTTGTTGACCGCCAGCGCTTGTATCGGGTAGGAATTGCTTAAATTCATCCAACAGATCTTTTGCGTTTTCGAAAAGGGTGGTAACCTGTGCATAAACATCTTGGATCGGTCTTTGTTCTCTTTGATATGTTTGAAGAATTTCCAAGAATTGCTTGTATGTATCGGGGTCATTGGAGAAGCGTTGTTTGATCTTGTTGACATAGGTGATCGCATGGTTGAACTCCACTGGTGGACGTTTGTCGTTCATAGCATTGGCATCTGAATGACTCAAGACGCCAGCACCAGCGGCAGCACCTGGCGTGGTCGGTGCACCACCAGGAGAGTGTGGACGATGATGTAGACTTCCTGGAGGCAAGACGGGAGGTGGATGTGGATGACCATGCCCTTCTGCCGGATCTCTGGGTCTGGCTGCTGGGCCACCGGCTCGGTTAATAGCGCCAGCGATGCCCACTCCACCCGGTGTTTGTGTTGTTGTACCTGTAGGTGTTGTAACTGTGATCAAGTTGCTTTCGCTTGGATCAGAGCTACATTCGATTCTATAGCCCGGAGGCAAGAATGTGTTGAAGCCTTGTATTAGACTTGGATGGCCTCGGAAAAGGGTGGAGACACGTTCAATTACGCCTGGTGTATCGATGGATTGACTTTTGAACTGAGAGACGAAATTGGAGAGGAATGGACAGTCAGTATATGTGAAAAGTAGTATGGACATGCATTCATCCGCTTTGTTTTACTCACATCTTTCATGATATCCAAGAATCGATTGTATACGTCAGGTTGTTCAGAGAATTGAACTTTTACCTGGTCCAAATAGGACAAAGCATCTTTTACGTTGAGAGTAGCCATATTGGCGATTGATGATAATTAGAGACTTGTAGGGAATCTAGGTTTCTGTTTTGAATAAGCTTTTCCTTCTACTGCCCACTTTTACAACCAAACCGGTTGAGGATGAAATGCCAACCTTGGCAAAGTTTACCACATAAACGGCAAAAGGTGAGATTGCTGAAAGAGGAGGGGCGTAACTCTTAGCCAAAGAGGGATGATGATGGAAGATAGTAACCACTTTTGACCGGATGGCTCGTGTTCAACTTTTTCTTGATGAATGGATGGGCCACTCATTCTCAAGACAGACGACAGGACATTCGTTTTGTTAGCCGTTTCCGATACGTAAGTGCGAAAAGAAAAAAAGAAACTCCAAGGCACATCAGCAGTGAGTAGAACGCGAACTTTATTAACCTCCGCGCTTGCTATTTGGTATTGAAACGCGTATGCACTTTAACAGTCTTTCGGCCAGTAGATGTGCTCGAGCCCGATTGATTGTTTTTTGCACGTGTGTCTTTCAAGGTTAATTGAATCTGGGGTTGGTAAGTCGGCTAAACTGAACGAGCGTTAAGGCCGATTACAAAGAAAGGGAATCAGATCATTTCTTCCTTCTAACTCCACCTACACACACACGTCACAACCACATCCCGAACCAACAATGAATCCTGCAAGACGGATACAAAAAGAAATCACTGATATACAAAATGACAAAGATTCAGGATTGACAATCACAATTATAGATGAAAATATTCGTCATTTGATCGGTACATTTCCCGGCCCAGAAGGAAGTCCATATCAAGGAGGTTCATTCAAAGTGGATATCGAAGTAGTTGAAGGATATCCATTTCAACCACTCAAGATGAAATTCATCACAAAAGTATATCATCCAAACATTTCAAGTGCTTCAGGTGCAATTTGTTTGGATATTCTAACGCCAAAAGCTTGGACGCCAGTTTTAACCTTACGATCCACTTTGGTTTCTTTGCGTTCTCTTCTTTGTTCACCCGAACCGGATGATCCACAAGATGCAGAAGTTGCATCGCATTACAAAGCTGATAAGAAAGGTTTTGAGGAAACGGCAAAGTTTTGGACAGATTGTTATGCAAAACAAGACGTTTCCAATGTTGAAACTACAAAAGTTGGTCAGAACGGTCCTGCAGGAGCAGTGCAAGATGACCCAATTCAACGTGCAGGATTACGCAGAGAAGATGTGATCAAATTCACTGGAATGGGTTTCGAACAGGATAAAGTAATCGAAGTTCTTTCAAGAAAAAATTATCGTGGCGCAAACATTCAACGCATTACTGATGATGATATCCTAAACGCATTATTGGGATAACAATCTCTAAATATCGTACAAAAAAGTTCAATTGTATCATAATTTCAAGCATTTTTCCCTTTAGCAATCCGAGCAAGTATAATGATTTTAAAATAGATGAATATAATATACATAGAATGGCAGGGGTGTTGATACAATCATTTCCGTCCGAGTCCAAAAGATTTCTTCTTTTCCATCTTTTCCACAGCTCCTGCCTTCATTGCTTTTTCGCTATGTCCTTTGAGCGCTTGATCGGCTAGAGCTTCTGCTTCACGAGTTTCTTCATCATCCTCGTCTTCTTCACTGTAAGCTTCAGTGCTTCTGCTTCTTTCAGATTCAGATGAAGTATCCATATCTGATCCTTTCTCGTCAATACCTATGACTTCGATCAATTTCCCTTGGCCATCACGTTTAACTTTGTATTCTTTCTTGCGACCGCCATCTGCACGATGATAAATTTCCCTGCCGGCACCTCTTTGACCTAACATTTCGATGAATTGAGTTGCTTCATTTTGTCTTTCAGCATCTTCATAACTCATCTTTTCATCAACCGCATCTCCACGTTTACGTCTTTCTTCCATTCGACTGTAAGATGCTTGACCGATAAATGCACCGGTCGAAACACGTCTTTGCATACTATGACGTGGCGTTTGTGCTCCTTCAGGATCAGCTTCATCATCGTAATGACGACTGTTGATGTGAGTCGGGCTTTGAGAACGCTTGGGTGTCTTTTCACCTGCTCCAGTAGCCAAGGCTGATTCATCATCTTCCTCCACTGCGCTTTCCGTTGCTGGCGGTAATTTCTCCCGCTTTTCAGCTTCAGGTTTGCTGCTGCTGCCGGATGATGATACACTGCTGCCTCTGCGGAAGCGATTCCATGCTTTGGATGCTCCCTTTCGGATTTCTTCTCCCAAATCGACCGGGTCCTGTGATTGCTCTTGTTGCACAGGCTGAATTCCGGAATAACGAGAACCATCGCTGTATTGATCATTTTGCCTTCCGCGTTGTTCTTGTTGTTGACGTTGCATTTGTTGTTGGTATTGTTGTTGCCATGCGGCTGCATTTCCCGCTTGTCTTCCAGAACCTTGACTTTGAAGTAACTGACTTCTGGCTGCTACACCAATCGTGATAGAATTGGCACGCTTGAGACGACCTGAAGAAGGTAAAGGTGCAAATTTGATCTTACAAACGCTTGATCCACTTTCTGATAATTCGGTAGAAGCGGTATTTGAACGTGATCTGTTTGCTTGATCATTTGGCGATAAGTAGCCATTGCTGCTATAATCGCTTTCTGCAGCTTCATCGTTGCTAGAAGATTGACCGCTTGGAGATGCTGGTGGTGCTTCATCATCGCTGCCTTCACCAGAGCTTAACACGATACCATCTCCGACAGGAGCATCAGGACCGCGTGGATCAATTCTCAAAACTTCTCCTCCTGCATGACTTTGCGGTAAAGGTTGTTCACGATGGAATGTTTTTCCAAGGGGTTTTCCGTTTGTTTTGATTTGTTTACCGGGATGTTGATGGGTGAATGCAGCTTTGAGTTTTGATCCAATTCCGCCATCCATTTTTCCGTTTCTTGGCGGTGCTTCATGAGCATTACACAAGATCCCTGAATTTGAAGGACCTGCAACGGCTGATGCTCCACTACCGCTACTGTTGGATGATGCTATTCCTGTTCTTACATCATTTCCCACATCCAAGTTGCCTGCAACTTTTCCATCATCGACAGAGAGAGCCCTTGAAGGTCTTTGAGCTGTTGCTGCGCTCATCCTTGCTACTGAATTATTCTGTTATAAAACAAACAGAAAGTAAAAGCTTTGATCACAGATGGATGAGTGAGTGGCACACGAGATGATGGCAAGATTGAACAGATGGGAATGAAGATCGTATGTTATACGTTGTTTTCTACTTTAATCCACATTTGTTCGGATATAAGTGAGTGCATTCATTCATTGGCATGCAAGCGGATTTCTATAAAGAAAGAGGCGTAATTTCGAATCAAGGGCTGTTTTGGGTGATTGTGGGCAGTTTTAGAGTACGCGTCCTTACAGTAGTGTGTAGCCTCTCCCACTTTGTATTTTCTGGGGCACCCGCATTTGTTTCATGCACAAACGCACAATCATTTCAATGCAATTTAAATACATTAATTATCATTTCTATCCAATCAACCTGCTGCGTAACCCAAAAGTGGAGAACGGCATGATATTTAATTTAGCTCAAAGGGCAGAGAGCAACTGCAATGGGACGGCATTTGATGAAATTACACAAATGAGATGTGCGTCATAATTGAACACACTAGGACCCAAGCGCAGCAAAAGCCTCTCTCTCTCTCATCGGAAAAGAAGGATGTTGTTGTTCATCTTCATCCGTACCAATGTAGCGGAGTTTAGCTTGGCCATTTATCTTGCTCGATTTGAACGGTGAAATGATTCCGTCTCCGATGTTTGTTATTGTATTCGGTGCCGTCTTGAATTGATAACCTTGGCACCGTTGAGGATCGGTACTTGTTTTGGTGATTTGTTAGTCAGCATACAGAGGCGTTCTTCATTTCATAAGCAGAATATTCGGAGCATATATTATACCAATGTGATGGAACATATGATTAATCACTTTCTCTGATGACAATCGTAGTGATGCAAAGAAGATTGTACACCATGTGTTCCGGCGTATTTGCCGAAAGTCAATTTTGATCAAGCCCGAAAATTATAAACGCCGCCGACAAAAGACGCAAAGATACGAAGTGAAAGTGAAATTGAGAAAGTAGTGATTGACATGCTAGAGTAAGTCAGAGTATCATTTGATAGCAAATTGTAGAAGATGAAGTAAAAGAGTAGCCCGTCATTCATGCTTTCCTCACTGAAGTCAAATATGTTGCTCGAAACATGCAACCGGATTACAAGGTGTAAACAAGAAGAGGCGGTAAAACATTTAAATCCCCCTCGTGTGACATCTTCACTTCAAAAGTCAGCACGGAGGCGTCAAAATTACCTCATTTTAATATCACTCTCCGCTCGCTTAAAAAAAAGTTCCTTCCTTCTTCCGGTCATCACATGAATGTCTAATGCAAACGATTCGTGACAACATGCAAAGTCTTCATCTCAGATTTAATCCCGCTGACCAACATGAACAAATGTGATCAAAGTGTTTTTGAAATGAAGGCTGGCATGTGTGTTTCTCTTGCTTCTTTACTTTACTACCACCTTCATCCCATACATGCCTATCGATCATGATGGCTGTTGCAATTCCACAAAAATCAGAAATGCCTCATTATAATCAATCAAAATTTGTACTTGCTCAACCTAGAGTCAGTCATGACCTTCCAGGCTCACGTCTTTCATGCGAACGACAAGTTTTGGGTAGGCGTAGTATCGAAGCAAGAAGACTATCACCCGTCACTTCATCCGAATATATGCAAGTTGGATCGCGTTATAGCATCAAGAGCTCAATCGAACTGGATCCATCCATTGCCACAACAAGGTTCAGTCAAGCTTCTAGTATGGAGCCTTTAAGTCATCATGTCAGATATCCATCTCCAACAGGTCACATTCCTTCCGTTCCTATAGCGAACAATACATTCGTTTATCCATCCACTCTTAATCAAATCAATCAAGGTGTTGCTTCCAAGCATAGCATTCAAAGCAAACAGCTTAGTAATCAGCCAGTCATTCCAGCTCGCAAACGAAGTCGCAATCCTGCAAATCAAATTCATCCCAACTTCAATGGTTTACCACCAATCTCAGATGATGTTCCATGTGCACCGATGATGATAAACAGTAGTCGCTTCAGTACTTCACCTGGCAGACCTGCTCGTTCACGAATCGTTCGTCCTCCTGTGCCGCGTATTCCAGAGTTGTTTAGCTCTAGAAGACCATCATTGGATCAATTTCGTCCCAAGAAAAGGTTCGCAACTTCTATTGCACAAAATGAGAGCAGTATATCATCATCAGATAATAGCAGTTCCACACCACCAAGTGATACTACCACTCAAACACAAACAAAGAGTAAACAATCATTTTCAAATTTACGCAAAATGATGGGAGGTGGTGGAAATCAAACAGCAAAATCCAGATTTGCAACATCTTCACCGGATTCAACTTTGGATCAATTGCAAAAGTATAGTGGATTTGCTCAACATCATGCACAACGAATGGGAGCAAGAACACCTCCTATGCCCGTGACAATTGAAGTTGCACCGTACGAATATGCTACAGAAATTGAGCCAAGTCCGAAAACGACGGCTCTTCCAGATCATGTTCGATTTCAAGCAAAAGAAGGCAATCATCGGGATACCCTTCTCATTCGAGGAAGTTGGGTAGATTTTGCTAAATGTACTGAAGAAGTTGAAAGTGCCAAGAATGGCAAGTCAAAGACATGGTGGTCTAGGCTGATTCCCAAGAAAAGAGCTGGCACCAGAAGAACTTCCTTGGCATCGCTTTCTGAGGACAAGCCACTTGAATGCAGAAGAGCACCTTCTCCTTCCCTTCCGGAAGGACGAATGTCTCTCATGGACTTCTTCAAAGATGAGATGCAAGAATCGCGTAGAAGACAATCTGAAGATCAAAGAAGCTTACCACCGCCTTTTCCTTTGCCATTACCTCCAAAAAAGAGAAGTTATAATGACGACTCTACTCAAAAGACTGTTGGGTCATCGATTCTGTATCTGGATGAAACTCTCAATCGTCCTATTCCTGTCGGAATGCATTGCGCTTCACCAGAGCAAATGTCTCCTCCAACCTGTCAGACGGTGAGCAGTATCTCGCAAACTGCACCGTTGAATCTGAAAGGGAAGAAAAGTGTGCCATTCAGTACTATAGATTTTCCAATTGATTCCCCTGCAACGATTGCATTTCCACGTACGCCAGTAACGGAAGACCATTGTTTTGATAATTCGTTCACCTCTACGATGGATGCAACGGATGTCTTATACGATTTATTGAGCCAATTCAAGAATGAAAGTTCACCTTCTACGATCACATCAAACTCTCAAACGACCAATCGTTCAAGACCCGTTCCAAGTTCAGTCATGTTACCTGAATTTGAAATGGTAACACCTCAAACCCTTCAACAAAGCACAACGACAGAAGCACGAACCCGTTCTATCACTAACAAATCCATTGAAATCAAAATGAATAGAGCAACTTGCACTACGATGGAAACGATTATGTCATATCAAAGCAGCGAAGATAGTCCACTTTCAAGCCTGGTTGATGGTGATGAAGTGATGCAAGCTTCGCAAGATTTCACGGTTGAAGCAGATGCCAGTGGAGGAGCAAGTGCATTTTTAAACGATTTGATCGATGGCATTCAACATGACATTTCGGTTTCTTCTCGTTCTGTTCTCAATAGTCATTCAAAACGATATTTTGATTCTTCTGCACCGCCAAGCTGCTTTGGCCATCATCTTAAACCTGCAGCCAGTCATTCGACAATGGATAGCGCTTATAGCGGATTCGCATGGCCACTTCGAGAAAATCCTTCCCCGTCTTTTCGCATGATGGGAGCAAGTATCGTGGCAAGAGAATTGAAGATGTCGGACGCAAGAAGGTTTGATGATAGTCCTTGTCCTGGTAGCAGAGTTGCGAAAGTAAAGAGAGACGAAGAAAGTGAAAAGAATCACAAAGCTACTTTCAACACCGACTTGACAGTCTCTCATGTGCTTGTACCTGATATCAGCTTGCAACATTCACCCATTCCTTCAAGACCAACGAATCCGATCAGTGCCCAATGCGATACATCTGCGGGACAAACACCTCCCAAAATCATCGTAGATCGACCTCAAAGCGATTCATCAATGTCATTGCAAAGCATCAACAGTCCGTCAAAATGTGATGATGCAGTAATTCAAAGAGCAAGTGTTGTTCGCAAAAGTTCCGCTTCGATTTTAGACTTTTCTTCTGTTCGGATGAGCATGGACGTATTTGGTAGTGTAGTAGAAGGCAAAAGGTGCAGGATAAGCTCTATGAAGGCAAAAGCTGTTGTCCCTATGCTTCCTTCGCCTCATGCTGATTGGGATACATATGGAAGTCCAGTCTCTTCCAGATCTCCTTCTCAATCGCCCAACTTGAGCTTCGCTTGGAGTGGAAAGAGGTTCAGTTCCAGCACTGGCTATACGGTTCCAAGTCCGATTCCAAGAAACGGATCAGGTGGAATTGATTCGCAAAAATCATCATTTGGTGCAGATCCATTTATCACTCGATCAAAATCTGAGCAAATTGATGAAAGCATCCTCACGGACATAACAGACTTGCGCGGCATTTTGAGCCTTCTTCGAGAAAGCAAAGAACGTTTTCCTGATTCCGAGTATTCAAGAGTACTTATGGAAACATTCATTGCCCCACAAACACCTCAACAAATCAAACAATTTTTGCATCAATCAAGAGTTGCATTTATTCCTTTGAATCATGAAGGTTTACCTTCGCCTGATTTGCAAGTTGTAGAGATCGTTGAAGGTCGGGAGCCATACGACGGCAAGCGGTGGACGCAACCACACAAGATCGGAAGAACATCAAAAAGACATTTGATGAAACGAATGCGATCGAATGTGAGCGGTAGCAACAATTCTGCTTTAAGCTTCGGTGATTCTTCTTTTGTTTCACAAATCGGAAAAGATTCGGAAGCAGACACCAGCAGTGGCGATGTTGATATGACCGCTTTCAGTACAACATTTGTTGACGAGGATTTGCCTAGATGTATGAATGATACCAGTGCTATGACTAGCTTTTCATCACAACCCCAACAAAGTTCACCTTTGGCTCGCAAAGCCTCGATTTTGTCCAACGAATCAAGCGACATCAGCGAACAAACCCTTTCGCCAGATCCGGAAGAAAAGGTGAACGACGCCAGAACGAATTGGCAGCCTTTCAATCAGCTTTGGTCCCCACCTCAAAGTATGATCCCGCTCAGTGCTGCCATGTTGGACGCGCACGGTCAACTTACAAGACAAGAGAGTATTCGACCAAGACGTTTATCCAATATCAAGATCGTTATCCAAAGTCCTTCCACAAGAAGTAGCGTTACGAGTCCTCGTTCATGTTAATTTCTTTTTTTCTTTTCAATAACGAATATACCCTGTCATTGATATTTATAGAGCATAGCCTTATGTATGATACAAAAGAGAGATTTCTAATCATTTGAATCCGATTTCAATTATATGGTATTTCAGATCTTTCTGCTTTGCCGTTTGCGGGGTAATATGTCGTCCAACAAAAATTTCCTTCCCTGAACGAACTTGGATTGAAAACGTGACATCCCTCATACGTTAGCTCATATCGTTGAAACTTGTCTGCGAGTACCAAAGCAGATGGCATTGGATATAAGCGTAAAGTATGATCGTACTCCCACAAAATCGGCCTTGCCCAGCCTGGCAAAGGACAAAGATGAGCTTGATCAAGAACGGTCGAAACGAGGAATTTCTTGAGATCGACAACATTTGCTGCTGCAGTAGCGTCATCTCTGGCTGCGGTCACACTTTCATCACCTTTGAGGCGAACAGTATGTCCCAATAAACGCTGTAAAAGATCATCTCTGAAAACGACAATCTCTTGACCAAAGTACACCAAACGAGATGGATTACTGACAAAGTGAATTCTTCGGGCTGATGAGACATTTCCATGATTCGCTCTGATGATACGTTGGATGAACTTTTCCGTTATGATCTTTGGTAATGGTTTGCGGGGTAGCGTTGTCGTTCCGAATGGATCTTCATGCGATGGAACGAACACAAAATGAGATCTGTTCATGATCGATGGAAACTTTACCAACAGATCACCCAAAGCGACAAAAGCATCTTGATATCGTTCAATGATACTCTTTCCTGCAGAAGCAGTACTTGCCGTTGCACTGCGTTGATTGGAAACAAAGCTTCCACACAATACAAAACAAAATGGCAAGAAATCTGCATCGACATAGCCTTGCAACATTGCACCAAAGTTCTGCAAAGTCTTTTCATCGTCCAAATGTAATTCCGAAATAAAGACAAACGAAAGCGAAGCATGATTTTGTTCATGAATTCGTAAAGCTTTTTCTTCTTGAGTAGTAACGCTTCCCAAACCATTAAAATCCACTCCACTACAAAGCATTTTTGCCGTTTCACGAGATTCACTTGGTGGGTGTCCGATTGCGAAAGCACGTATTCTTTCTTCAGCTGTATATTCTCCTTCTACCAAAATCATTGAACCTTCTGTAAAGATTCCTTCTCCCGGTAAAGCATCGTCCAAATCTAATCCGACCATACCATCTGTATCTTCTAGTGCATATCGACCATCAGAAGAAGTACATAGCATGCCAAACAACAAGAATCGCTGACCTTGTCGTCCGAGCAAGTTTGCGGTGGATGTCAATTTCATAAACGCATCTCGATCTCTTGCTGATCCAGAAGCCAAAGGCGGTAAGAAGTTTTCGTTCCGCATGATAATATTTCGAATAATTTGTAATCGTTCAGCAAGATATCCAGGTTTGGCTTGAGGAGGTGCTAAAATGCTTGGTTTCTTGCTTTCGGGTAACTTTTCAAACATCTTTCTTCGTTCATCAAAGACGATCTTTGGCATTTTGAAAACGTCTAAAGGATGAAAGTATTTATCTGGATCAATCGCATCCGAATGACCATTTTGCGTTTCACCACCTTGTACTTCTTGTGCTGTATCTTCTAGTAAAAGTTGTTGATATACTTTTTCTAGTGCTGCCCTTGTTACGATTGACGGTCCTTCGGTTGATGAATTATTCAAACCTTTTGCAAGCCATTGAATTGCTTCATTCCATTGTGTAGGATCTTGCAATAATCCATGTGATTCCAATGTCGAATGGATGAATGCGACTGCACTAGCATGAAGTGTTAATCCATATTGTTTGTTGAAAACACGTATTATCGTTCTCCGAAGTGCTGGTGGAACGATTAGCTGTGGTTCTTCTGGTGCTATAGAAGGTGCTAAGCTATCTTCTCTACCGCCAAAAGCAGCATAATCTGTCATGTTTAGGGATTGGTGTTGTTTGTTGTTGGAGAAGGTTTGCTTTAAGCTGGAATACAACTCGAACAACACTTTTTGTTAATTTGTTCAACAGACTCGTATACGCGGGTGTTAAGCGCGACGCGTAACCAACGCGTGCAGTGTACGCGAGTGAACAGAATCAGCTTAGGCCGTCCAAAGGCACAATTAATCTTAACGGGTGGTCCAAGTGTAAACCAACGTAAACGGGCAGCCCAAATGTTCTTATTGACGCTCATAGGTGGCTCATGGGCAAACACCGACTCTTTCTATCTGACAGACATGCAATATATAAAATCATGATATTTCCACTTCCCACCATGGCATCTTTTTAGAATACAATTGCCAATACACCAGCAACAGAAAGGGCTAGCGCGATTGACCATTCGGCATTATGACCTTTGGCTGAAACGGCTGCATCCTTGTGAGAAGCAAAGATGTTATCAAAGCCGGAAAGGAAAGGAGAAGAAGTATGTGTTGTTGTGGACGATGAATCAGATTTTGCTTTGTCTTTTGAATCTTTTGGCGTTGGTGTTGGTTTTCCAGCGCCTGTAACGCTTGCCAATGCTTTATCAATCTTTGATTGAACATCTTTGCAATCACCCATTGCAACATTGTTACCGGCTTTCATACATCCAAAAGCATTTGTAACTTGCGGTGAAAGTTGAAAGCCCGGTCCATTTGTAATACTTGGACCGATAACAAAACCTTTTGTTTTTGTATAGGTTTTACCGTCAATCGTATTTACGCCATCATTAAGTTTATGACCATTAATTTCAACATCTCCATTTGTGATGGAAAGATTGCTATCGACATTATCGTTGTTTGTCGTAATTTCATTATTGTCTTTATTGTGGAATCCAAAGTTGATCAATCGTTTGTTCATCCCGAGACCTTCGCTGTTTTGTGCAGCTAGTGCAAGCCATGAAAAGCTGAATGCAGTCAAAAGTACGAACAATAAAGATTGTGAGAATTGCATGATTAAAAGTTGAGAATGAAAGAGAGAATTGAGTAGAAGAAAGGGTGACCAGCACCGTTGAAAAGAAAACGAGAAAAAAAAAGGTGACCGAGTGGATAGAATCGAGGAAATCAACGGCCACGAAAATGATCATGAATCAACCTTTTTATACCCTCTCCAACATTTCATTCATAGACAGACCATGACATCTTTTCCACGGTTCACGTCACCTCAAGTTGGTATGTGGCGTTTTGGCGTAAAAATCGATGCAAGTTGGCGTGTTCCGGCGTAGCTTGATCGAAAGGCATTGCGCCTGTTCCGTTTTGCTACTTTTGCCTCTAGCGCACTCCGGGCGTAGGGAACTGATAATACCCAAAGCCAACCAACGCCAAAATTGTTCCCACATGCCATCTCAATAGCAGCGATCAATCAAATATAGCACCTTCTAGCTCTTTAAATTTGACGTCACAATCCTGCAAGTCATTGTGTAATTCAACATTGATTTTTGGAAGGGTAATGTACATGAGTAGTAAACAAAGTGGGGGCGGGGATTTCTTTTCCTTTTTTATTAAACTCCAGAAGATGAAAAATCAAACGAGATACCAGGTCCAAAGCTGCTGACCATAACCGGCGTATTTGCGCGAGTTTGTTGAGCACTCAAACCTCCACCTTGACCATGTGATGGATTTTGATGTACCCTTGGACTTTGATCCATTTCTCCATTCTGTCCGTTTCCTCCTAACATAGAAGCAATGGCAGAATTAGATCTTTGATTTCCATCGCCTTGGTTTGTCGTTGGATACATTTCTACCATTCCATTCGCCAATCCATCCAAAGGTCCACCAAAGCCAGGTGGAAGCAACGTACTCCAGAAGCTTTCATTAAGCAATTGGTCGATATGATCTCCAGGTAAAGCCGCATTCACAGTTCCATCTCCCGTCAACATGGCAGCTTGATCGGATGTAAGACCGGCGCGCAAAGCAGGATTAGAATGAATAGATTGCCCATTGATAAATGCCTGGTCTGCATTCTGAATATCTTGTGCATTTGACATTCCTTGAAGGCTATTAGCAATATTTTCAGGATTAGGTCCATTCGATGAAATAGCTGCATCATCTTGTCCTGTAGAATCAATCGGAGAAGCAGCTCCACTTTTGTAAGGAGTCGTTGCACCACTTCTTGTCGAACGTTCTTGTCTAGATTGCAAAAGAGCACGTAAAAAGGTTGCATAAAGCATTGGCATATGCGTTGGATCCATAGAAACTTCTTCTAACGTATCAGCACAAGTAGTAACAATATTGATGATCTCATCTTCATCAACGAAAGCAGAAAAAGCAGGTCTTGTCAATTTGAGCAAGAATACGCATGCATATGCAAGGATGATAAAGTGCGTATCAGGAGCATAGCTTAGAACAGGTCGCATTCCTTCGCATGCTGCCTGAACGACTTTCTTGGCTGCTTCCAAACATTTTGAAAGGTAGATTCCTTTGTCCATTCCACTTCTTTTGGGGAAATCCATAGCATGTTGCAAACCAAAGCTGTTGAGCAGTAAAACGGCATAATTGTACCGCAATGGCGCTTGCTTGGTGATAAAGTGCATAGTGCGGCGGTCATGATCAGCATCAATGCTTGGCACTTCTGATAGATCGGCATCGCGTAAGCGTTCTGCCAATTTACGTTCCTCCCTTGATGCAGGACGCAAAGAATGATCTATCTCTTTATCTTGGCTGTACGGAGTGGTGAAGAATCCACGTGCTTGCCAGAGATCATGCCATTCATTCAACTGTTCATTGAAGATTCTCAGGGTGGTGTTGTAGTCAATCTCTGTGTTCAGTCCCGATACGGTCGTCGTTGATGAAAAGAGGAAATCGAACTGTCTCGTTGAAATCCGCAAAAGTTCCACCAAAGCAGACAAACCCATATCGTATAACTTGCTCAATCTTTGCATGCCCCAATGACGACTATTGCGAATGATCCAATCTTCTCTGATCGTCCAGGGTTTTCCCATTTGTCCACTGATCGAACGATCCACACAGAAGCAGAACAACCATGTTCTTTCACGATTGATGATCTCTCGTTCGCGCTCCAAAACAGCAGGATCTTCAGAATCGGTTGTATTTGGTATTGATGCCATAGATTTACGATGCAAGTTCAAATCTGTTGCCATACGAATCGCAACACCACTGAACAACCAAGTTTTGTCTTCTTCAAATCGTTGAGAAGGCGTTTGCCAGACGGACAACAATAAAAATCCCTGTACAATTTCAACACTCTTGAATCCTCTGCTCATCACCACATAAGCGCATTTCCGCACAACTTCAAGGCATTGCTGATGCAAATCGGGCCTCTTCTTGTAGTACTTGGATGCAATCGTGCAAATCACAGTGAACAAGAACGGACTTCTGCCACAAACCATCGTAGGTGTATGCCAATCAGGATCAAAGAGTACGACGTGTTGACTGCAATTATGGAAGAAGACTTGGAATAATTCCAATACTTCTTCCGAAGTAACAATTCCTTGAGTGAGCAAATCCGGCGCAAGTTCGCGTTCGATAACAATCTTTCTCAATGGTAAAATTGTCATAGGACCAGGTTTGAAATATGTTTCTGAAGCGACTCCCACTTTTGGTGTTTCAACCTTTTCCCTTCCTGCTTCGCTACGTGCTGAGCTTGCTCTTCCTTCGCTTGTGATAGATGCGGGAGCAGCATCGCTTCTTTGTTTGTTGGGACTATTGCCATCCGCATCCTCCGTTCCTTCTGCCTTTACACTAGGACTTTCCCCGACAGCTGTATTTTTCGTAGCAGATGTTGCAGCACTAGCAGGACTTGAAATATTGCCAGATGCTGATGTATTGGAAGTCGCATCCGCAGCAGCCCGTAGTGCTGTTCGGATTGGATCTTCTTGACGATTGCGTGATAGGCGTCTGCTTCGATGATGATTATGTAGACTTGCTTCGGCTAGAAGACCAAGAGGGTTGAGTGTATTATCGGGCAGGCTATGCAATCTAGGAGATGATGCTCTCTGCTTTCTTTGCGGCAGTTCTGGTTCCACGAATCGCGCTCCTTTGACAGTCGTGCCATCAGCATTCGTCTTTGGTTCGCTTTGTTGGCGGCCATTCTGCGTTGAGCTTCCTACAACCAAATCTGGTTGGGATTTACTAGCCAAAAGAGCATGATCATCCCTTGAGCCATCTTCATGATTACGAGAAAAAGCGCCTCGAATAGATTGACCAATCTGCATTCCTTGTGCCAAAGATTCACTTGATGGACCCGCTGATGGTTGTCGAACAAGATGTTGAGCAGAAGGATCGAGATTGTACACACGTCCCAACTCATCGGCTTCATCGGTCGCCTTCCAGCCACGACGTAGCCTTTCCCTATCGTCTGATGCTGAGCCCCATTGAGCTCGGTCGTCCAAGTATTTCGATCGACCGCCGGCCATCACACCACCTTCAGGAGTTGGGCTTCTAGTCATGATCCCGGCAGATGCACTGAATGCTTTTGAAGGGTCTTTCAAGCTCTGAATGAGAGAAGACATTGTTGCTTCCATCTTGCGCAGGCTAGCAGCCATTGCTTCTGTTCTCTGATACTTTCCGGATTTCTTGCCACGATTTGATTCTTCGAATATGCATTCATGATTTGTATTCTTGCAACGATCACATGGTGGACCACTTTCTGCACCTACACATCTCATCTTTAATCTTCTGCAATTCTTGCATGCTTTTGCACCACGAGTAGGTTTAGGTTTCTTTGCATCAGTTCCTCCTGCTTGACCTGCTTTTCCCTTTCCGGCAGCGGCACCCTTTCCATTCTTTTGTTGTGCTTTGGTGCCTTTTGCTGTTGTACTATCTCTCTTTCGTTTCTTTGATGATGATGGTTCTGCAAGTTGATCTTCCTCTTCATCATCATCTTCTTCTTCGTCATCCTCATCGTCCTCTTCCTCATCTTCGTCTTCGTCATCATCATCATCTTCTCCACCTTGTTCGCCTGCATGTGGACTATTTCCCCATTGATTCATCGCGCCCATACTACCATGTCTTGCCATAAAAGCAGCATGTGAATTCGTTACCGGACTTCCATAAAATGGCGTTGGTGTACCATAATGTGAACCAGGACGTGAATTGAGCATCGGACCACCGGGACCGGGTGAAATAAAGTGAGGCGGATGGGAAAATGCACTTTGTTGACCACTTGCCGGTGGTGGCTGTTGACCACCTCCGTACATTTTTGCGGTGGTGGTGGTGGATGTGGTGAGTGGTGTGTTCTAGCTCAGTATTGCGAGTGTGATCGACTCAGCACGACGGCGAAAAAGATGAATTGTGCCCCTTTTTCAATTGAACCGGAAACGCATCCACCCTTCCACTGCGCTTTGTTGGAGGGATTGCACTCTAGCTTCTGTTAGGTGATGAATGTATGAATCGAATCTCTCTTGCAGATTGACTAGAGTTCGTTGATGTAATGTGGGGGAAGCAAGAGCAGATGATGGAGAATCGTTTGCATTGCATGTAGGATGCCAATTCTACTTTATCCGGTTAACTATTTCCATTTTTTTCTCTTCCTTTTTCTTGTTTAATTATACGCGGAGGCGGCAGGTCAGCAGCATATAAAAAGCACACTTTAATTATTCGTCTACCGTACGGCGTACGCACGCAGACTTATGCGTAGTGCGTGTTAGAGTTTCATCCGAACTTTTAGCCCCCCCAACGCGTACAATCAGTCACTAAACGCCCGCGAGTCAGGAATGAAAATCACCGGATTGCCGATGCGGCAGCGAAGTAAGGATAAGCCACTATTAATAATGAGTGTCAAACGACTTCTCCGAGAAATGAACACATGACGGATCGACAGAAAAGGATGAAAATTAAAAGCATGAATGGCTATTCTACATTTATTCTGCTACGATCAGACTTGCTTTTCCATAGCCAGTTCCGCAACAAAGGGTGGCCACTCCAGTTTGCTTACCAGTCCTGCGTAATTCTGACAATAAACTGGTAACCAATCTACCACCTGATGCACCCAAAGGATGTCCAAGAGCGATTGCTCCTCCTTTTACATTCACTTGATCATGACTTATTCCCAAATGACCCATAGTCATTAAAACTTGAGATGCAAATGCTTCATTGATTTCCCATAAATCAATCTCTTTTGCATCTAATCCGAATCGATTGAGTAGCTTTGGAGATGCATAAGCTGGTCCAACTCCCATAATATCTGGCTTGACACCAATCGTTGATGTTCCGACCCATTTACCCAAAATTTCCATACCCAACTTCTCTGCCACATCACGACGTGCCATTGTCAAAGCAACAGCACCATCAGAAACTTGACTTGAATTTCCGGCAGTTGACGTTCCGTCTTCTTTGAATGCAGGTTTCAATTTAGCCAATGTCTCTTTTGTTGTTCCTTTTCGTACACCTTCGTCCTTCTCAACAAGTCTTGTTGTCTCATTACCTGCGTCGTCCATCCAACGAACTTCGATCGGTTCAATTTCTTGGGCTAATCTACCATCTTCTTGGGCTGCAGCTGCACGTTGTTGACTTGTAGCTGCAAATTCATCTTGTTCATCTCTTCCGATTTTCCATTGAGCGGCAACGTTTTCCGAAGTCAATCCCATACTCATCAAACAATCTCTTGCATCTTGATTTGGTGATTGTGCCATTGCAGGTGAAAGTTTTACTGGGATTGCTCTAGTTCCCCAATCTCTCGTCATACTTTCTACTCCTGCTGCAATTCCTACTGCAATCTGCCCTGTTTGAATAGATTGTGCAATGTTTGTGATTGATTGCAAAGAAGATGCACATTGTCTATTTACTGTACTGTATGCGCTCGTGATTGGCATTCCAGCATGCAGAGCTGCCAATCTACCACTTTTTGCGCCACCTAATTCCATCAAGACTGTTCCGGTACAAATATCCTCGATTGCATCGATTGAAACTCCTTTGTTCTCTAATCTCTCTCTTGTTCGTTGTAGCACGAATGCCAATAATTCTTCAGGATATGCATCTTTGTATCCTTTTTTCATTCTTGCAACTGGCGTTCGTAGAGCAGTTGTGAAAACAACATCATCCGGTCTCTTTTTCAAGATGCCTTCCAATGCACTCTTATCACGTAGTGTTGCCGAAACACGAAATGCTCCTCTTGCGAAAGACATTATCTGAAGAACTTCAAAAGGGGGAGTATGAACTGGTGGAGAGGAAGAACGAATGAATGATCAACCTCTTCTTTTTCTATTTATACACAGGCGCGTTAAAAGTGCGGAGAAAAATCACATCAATCACTGCACTGGCATCTCCGAACATCGGATCGGAATCGGGTCAAGTAGCGCTGCGCTAGGCTTGTGATTTTAGAAGAAAGAAGTCCGGTTGCAATCGGATGTATTGAAAGAATTCACTCATTGTTTGTTCATTGATTAATGAATAAGATTATCGATATGAACAAATAATAAAGAGACATAAGAATATAACATGAATAAAAGTTATCATCAAGCCAAAATACCAATGCGATCCAAATCAGGACCATAAGTGGATCCACCAATTTGAATACTGTTTCCACTGCCAGCCTTGAATCCATCAAGGGAAACTCTGTAATTATGGGCAATATCAGCATCCCAATTATAACCTGAAAGTGGGAAATTAACAGTGACGGGAGATCCACCGTTTACGCTTATTGTTGCATTTCTTGCATTTGTTCCCATGTTCAAATAACCAATCTCACAATTTATATAATCAAACAGGATTGTTGCCGTTGAACCACTCGTGTTGATATTGTCGAATGTAACTGTATTTCCACTTCCATTTCCAATATCTCCAACCTTTTTACCACCAGTGCAACCACTGCAGTCTTGTACGTTTGTATCACCTGCTAATTTACCAGAAGTGGCTGGAATCCAATCCACGTTTGGAGATGCATTGTTGGAATATTTGATAGAACTCAACCGTAAAGCGATAGATCCATGTTCATCAACGTTTGCGGTGTAAGAAGAAGCGTCTTGCTTTGTGCTTCCAGCAAAAAGATCGGCAACGTTTGCTGAAGTGATGTTCAAAGCGGAAAAGTCAACGGTTAAAGAACGTGAATTTGATTGCCAATTGATTGCATGAACGGCCAAATCTCCATTACTCAAAGGTCCTGCATGTAAATCATGGTCTCCTGTGAATCTTTGTACAAGCTTGATAGGTTTACCCAAGTCATCTTGATTGATCGCAATTAGCGCTTTGTTTGTAAGTAAATCATGTGTTTGCGAAGAAGCTTTTGTTAAATCTGTTGAAATCATCAAAGCAGATTTAAGCATTGCCCAATGTGCAAAGTGTGTCTGTTGTTCGGCAAATGTCAAACCACCATTACCAACTTCCAACAAATCAGCATCTCCATGGAATCCGGGTCCTGTCTTATCGGAAGCAGCAATTGGAATTGCTTGATTTAAGATACGAACGACACTTGCCCATGAATCGTTAATGTCATCGGATAATCGGAAAGAGGAAGAAATGTTCTTTGTCCAGTCAACCGGTCCTTCCAGCGTATTTTCTGGTGTTTGATAAGGTACACCCCATTGGCATGTCAAATCACCTTTAATTCCGTTCGCATGTAACGCTCTTGTCATTACTGAAAATCTTGTAATGAAATCCGTTCTTGGATTTTTTGGTGCATTATCAGCGGCAGTTGGACCTGAAGCATAACAATTGTCATACTTCACATAAGAAGAGTTCCAGCTAGCAAATTGAGCAGCATCAGCCGATTCATGACCTAACGATCCTGCGGTTGGAGAAGGAACAGTTGTATCACATCCTTTCACACCTGCGTCCGTATACATTCCAAATCTGAAACCACGTTGAGTAGCATATTCACCCATTGCTTTCAAACCTGAAGGGAATGCACTCAAATCTTGTGAGATTGCATTACCGGCAGAACTGTTTCTTGATCCATCTGTTGCTTGCCAACCACAATCGATTTGAAACATTTGATATCCTGCTGCTAAATAACCATTACTCTGTAAAGCATCAACTTGTGCTTGTGCAAATTGCTCGGTCGGTGAGCATGCTACTGCGTTGTATGTATTGTATCCTAACACAGGCTTTTGGAAATCTGTATCTGCACGAGTGGCGAGTTTGTGAAGGTGAGCAGCATCGACTGCGGCCAAGATGGCTAAGCCTAAAGTGATGAAAGATGGTGTCAATTGCATTATGGGGGGAGAAAGGGGTTAAGATGCGGTGAATAAGAGAGAGTTTTACATTGTGCTTCTTTTTATAACTTTTTCTATGTCATTCTTATGATGATGCTTTCGGCAATCTACTCTAATCATTACGGAGATCTCTATATGACAAAACGTCAAAGAGGAAGAAAACCTTTTCTCGGTGATCTTTGACCCCAGATTTTAGCGTCTTTCTCCATATTTTAGTTTCGATTTCTTTTGATTATATAATTTCTTGACTTATGGCCGAGTTTGCGTTCATTTCCGTTTAAGCCGTACACACTCAAGCATAACCTTAATGTTCGTTCACACAGGCCGGCCTTAGGTGACGGGTTCAGCCCCGCGCCGCGTCGAATAGAAGCTTCGTTGGCCGTTGTGCCTAAGAATTACAATTCGGAAAAAGGTGACTGAAATGAGTCAAAAAATAATAAAGTAAAGGTATTAATCCGAAGAAAGGCGAATCTTGTGGATATATATAATGGTTGAATAGAAAAACACCTTTTACGATCTTAACTATATCATTCATACCTTTTCACCATGCAAGAGCAAGAGGCTGAAAAGATGACAATGGCAGCAACAAGGAGGGACGTATCACCTTGTTCTTCCAGTCAAACACGTAGAGCAGAAGATGAAGAATTACATTCTGGCTGTCCTGTTCCTGCAGGTGCACCTTCCAAGGTGGACGGTGATGCGATAGAAAAAGAAACAGATACAGAAAACCAACCACAAACACCAACCCTTCCTTACGTACCAGACGGCGGTCTACGTGCTTGGATGAATTGTGCAGCAGCTGCGGTTTCATTTATGTGTTCTTTCGGAATCGTGAACGCATATGGAGTTTTTCAAGATTATTATAAAAATGTTCGACTTTCAGGTGAAAATGAATCAATTGTAGCATTGATTGGTGCAATTCAACTTTTTATTTTGTATGGTACCGCTCCGATCGTTGGTAAAATCTTTGATAGTTTTGGCACGCAAATCGTTTATCCTGTCGGAAGCTTTTTAATCGTTTTTGGCTTGATGATGGTTTCGCTTGCTAAACCTGATCAAACTTATCAATACTTCTTAGCACAAGCTGTTACGTTTGGATTAGGATGTGCTTTGATCTTTACGCCCGGCTTGGCTTTGATGGGTCATTATTTCAGACGGAAACGTGCTCTCGCAATCGGTTTCGTAGCAGCAGGATCGAGTATCGGTGGTGTAATCTTTCCAATCGCTCTGCAACGTCTTATTCCACGTATCGGATTCGGATGGGCAGTCAGAGTGATGGCTTTCATTGCTTTAGGCTGCTTGACGTTTTCCTGCATAGTTGCAAGAACATATTTACCACTTCGAAAGACGACAACTCGGGAAGTCTTACGTGCAATCGATTTTGGAGGTTTCAAAGATTTACGGTATATACTCGCAAGTTTAAGCGCTTTCGTTACATTTTATGCAATCTTTATTCCTTATTTTTATATCAAACAATATGGACAATTACGTGGAATGTCTGTTGAATTATCAAATTATCTTTTACCTCTAATCAACGCTTTAGGTGTTCCATCAAGAATTGCTCCCGGTTTATTGGCACCTAAATTCGGTGTCTTGAACTTGATGATCTTTTTCACAACAATTGCAGGCATTCTAATCTTGGCTTTATGGTTACCTTCCTCGAATAATATCGCAATCATTTGGTTTGCCGCTCTTTATGGTTTGTTTTCTGGACCATACATCTCCCTTTTACCGGCTTACATTGGAATCATCACACCTCAACCCGTTTATGGTGCCAGATTGGGTGCTCTTTATTTGGTCGTCGCTGTGGCCTGTTTAGTAGGCACGCCAACAGGTGGTGCTTTGGTCGGCTCGAAAGGTGATTTGGAACATTACCGCCATTTGATTGGCTTCAGTGGTGCTTTGGTCCTTTCCGGATCATTGATCCTCGTCTTAATCTGGTTCGTAGAAGCAAGAAGTATGCTACAAAGACGCAAGGAAAAGGGTGATTCATCTCCATTGCGTTTAGCAGATTTCCGTTTCTAACACTGTACTTTTACTGCATTCTGCTTTTCGTTCATTGTATAACATTTTCAAAAAATTCAATCGATATACATTTTCATCATAAATCATCTTAAACCCAAGTACGCAATCCGCTGCCTAATCTACCAACAGTTGAAATTTGTGAAATCTTGCAAACCGTATTGCGGAATTCTGCCATATAACGTGCTCCCGTCAATGGATCTTCTACGGCACCTGCTCCAGCAGCAGGAATGAGAACGTGACTTCCTGCACAAATGACGAATGCTCGGTCGTGTGGATCATAAGCAGTCACAGGAACTGCATCTCTTGGATTGCGATCGGCCATTGCTAGGATTTGTTGAGCAGTTTGAGCGGCTCTAGGCGCAGGGTTCAAATCTAACAATCTTCTTGCAAATCCGCCTGCCATCTTTGTATTTCCGGCTTTTTGTGCTGCATTCATTGCTGTTCGTAATGCTAATTGTTGATGAGGCACTTGCATTTGTGCGTGTGTGAATAGGGCTGCCAATTCCAATTGTCTTGCAATATTGTCTGGTTCTTCAATTGTCAATTTACGACGATGCAACTCGACTGCAATACCCAGCAAGTATTCACGACATAAGCCGATCAAATCGAGAATCTCTTGTCCTTGTTGTTCATTTGTTCCAACGGTAAGGATCAACTTGTACAAAATTTTGCGGAATCCAACTTCTGCATCCTCTAATCTGTTGGCATTCACAGCTCTGTAGGCTTCTTGCAAGTCGTTGGTTCCAATTGATGCCAGTGAATAAGCTTGTGCGGGCAAGACAGCTGAACGAGCTGTTTCGTCTACATTTCTTCGTAGTGCAATCGGTATACTGGCTAAACTTGCCACTCCGGGTAGATAAGCATGACTGGAAAGATAGCATTCCAGGAAAAGAGGTTTCAAAGGTGTGAAATCAACAATACCTGCTTGACGTGTAAGAAGTTGCATAGCAGATCCAAAGCTTCCTGCTGCTGCATGATCGGCAGCCAAAGGTGAATTGCGAATCCAATGTTCTGCTTCTGCCACTCCTGGCTCAAGTGATCCTTCTGCGGGAGCATGAAGGGGCAAAGGTGCAACGACAGGATCATCTGCTTCATTGACAATTTCGCCATCGGATAATTCCCATGCTTCTTCTGCTTCTGCTGCAATTGCACCTCCGCCAACAACGGTCGGCTGCAAAGGTGCAATTCCAATGCCATCTTCATCTTGACCATCTTGTGCATCCACGAATGCATCTCCGTCAAGCCATTGGTTGGTGTCAGGTCCAGTTCCATTTACAGCATTATCACGGAAGATAGTACCGCCTTCTTCTTGTTGAGCAACCAATGCACGATCAAAGTAGCTCTCTTGTGCGCCTACGATTGGCCAATTGTACTTGTATGTTTCTGTGACAGGTGGTGGTGGTGCTAGTTTCGATGTGCTTTCATGGACGCTATTCGACATATCAATACCCGTCATTCCGGAAGATTGACGTGCTTCTTCGGCAATCTCTGCCGCAACATCCAGCAGTCCATTACTCTTTGCAGTTGCGTAGGCCAAAGCAAGCATTCCTGCTTCACGCAACACGTTCACCCGTTGCGTTGCATCGCCAAGATATAGAGAGTTTTGGAATCTGCTCAATGGATCGCCACGGCGTTCGGCAATGACTGACATCTTTGCCAATTTCTCTTTGCTTCCAGTGATGAAATATAGAAATGATAATTTGTCGAAGCTCTTTGTCTTTTGATAAGCACGTTCAACGATCTTGTGATTACCTTGTTTCAAAGCGGCTTCTCCCAATCGTTCCCAGACTTCAGTTGCATTCAGTGATTCAGCAGTTTCTAGAGCGACACCCAAATTACCGCACTCGATTGCCAGGTCGAATCTCGTACTCTTGTCTTGGACGAAGTGCAGTGCGATTTCCGGGTATCCCTTCTTTTGGAGATATGCGATAATTGCTTGACCCACCAAATTGCTTGTCTTGATGATCTTAAGAACCTCATCATAATCACCTTTAGTCAAAGCAAGCTTGAAGCGATATTCTGTAGGATCGATTGTCAATGTTTGTGGCTTTGCAGATCTGTCCAAAATATTTAGAGATTTACCGCGCACACGAGTAAGATAGACGGGTGCATCCAAAGTCTTGATAATTCCACTATCTCCTTGGGGCAAAGCATATTTGATATGGTTCAAGGTCGAATAAATCAAAACGCCTGAATCGTCCCAAGCGGCACTCTTGATACGAATGGTCTCATGCACCAAATTGCTTGTTGTCAAACCTTTATTGCTTAGTGTGATGGTGTGCTTAGACAATAAAGCGACCATGTTTCCATCACTGCTCCAGACGATGTATTTGACCGGCGGTGTTGTGACTTCCGCTAGAACCGTTTGCTGTTGAATGTCCAAGAGAGAGACTCCTGTAGCTGTGCTCAAAAGCAAACTACCTGTACCACCGAAAAAGATGTCTGTAACGGCCGAATTTGGAGGACAAGGAATCGTTCTGGTAATACTATTGTTCAAGTCCCGAACTTCGATCGTTTGTGCAGCTTTTTGCAATGTAGCAAGACGGTTACGAGCGACAAAGATTGCTGATGTTGCTTGTCCACGACGTCCAACGGCACTCGAATCGGCCAGCTCACCCTTTGTACCCTCACGCGGCAAAGGTGCAAGATCATATACGCCATTCTCTCCGCTAATGGTTGAAACTAAAACGGATCTCTCAGCGGGATTGAAGCTGAGCGTACGAGGCTGTGTCCATTGACCACCCAATTTCTTCACACTCAATACAGCTGAATCGGCACCGGATTGAAGATCCATTTGGCGAACTTGCCTATCGCGAACGTAGAAGAGAATATTTTGATGAATAGAGAATGCTGGTCTTTCACGTTCGAGTTTGAAAACGATCAAACCATTGTCGTGTCCTGCAGCGAAAAGGTTCAAGTTTGGATGTGCAGTTAAAACCCAGAATCTGTCATGTTCTCTGCGGAATGTTTGAACGGCTGTACGTTTGCCCATGTCCCAAACTCGGATCGTCTTATCTTCACCATCGGATACGATCAATTCATGACGCGGGTGGAAGAGACACGAAGAAATGTTGTTGAAATGACCTCTGCACGTATCCACTTCCCAAGCTTTCGTTTCAGACATACGCCATAGTTTCACTTGACGATCATCACCACCTGAAACGATGAGCGGTAGGGTAGGATGGAAAGTTGCCCAATTGACACCTCTTTCATGTCCTTCGAGAACATATTTAACCATTGCATCTGTATTACCAAACAAATCTGCTTGTCCGGTATTTGCTCGTGCAATTTGTTCTTCGAAACTCATTGGTTGTGCTGAAGTATTCTTTTTGCGTAGACCAGAGATATCCCAAACACGTACAGTTTGATCCATTGAAGCACTGACGATCAAGTCTTCACGAGGATGGAATTGAGCGCACATGATGTAATGGTTATGACCGGTAAGGATAGCAATGCATGAACGACTTTGCCAGTTCCAAATACGAATCGTTTGATCATCTGAAGCTGAAAGAATCCATGGTTGAGTGTGATGGAAATATGTCGTACGAACGTAATCCAAATGTCCGTTCAAGGTGAACAAGCATCTTCTTGTTTTATGATTCCAAACTTTGATACGATAATCATCACCACCACTTACCAAAAGAGGTTGAGTTGGATGAAAATCAACACCACGTACTGGACCTTCATGTTCGTCTAAACGATCATAAATCGTTCCCATTTGATAATTCCATAATTGAATACTTCCATTGTGTAATGCTGAAGCCAATAAAGGCAATCTAGGATGAAATGCTATGCCCTTTACCCGATTGGATTTTGACTCAAACTTTGTCAACATCTGCATCTTGGCAAAGGATTACAAGTAGTCGTCGATCCGTCGTATCCTATGCCCGATGTTGAGATGATAAAGCGAGAAAAAGATCTGTACCAGCGGATCAAAGGTTTGACAAGAAAGGGAAGGAAGTTGTTGTTGTAATGGAATTGGAAGAATGACTTTAATGGGCGGCGCGTGCGTGTGCATCATACCACACACTCTGCAAGCTGTCAATGCGCTGGAATTCAGGCGTACAAGAGTAAAGCACACTTTGCCAGTGTTCAATTGCAACGCGCTATTCTTACAGCTTAAATGGGAATATACACGTGCGCCAAATGAAAGCAAGGAAGACAGACAAAGAGACAGACATTTCCTCGTTGCTCCTCTCACCGTGACACTTTCCACAAATACACAACGGTCAATATGATTATCCATGGAATTAACAATACAATTACATTAGTTCTTTATGCGTGCAACAAAATCCTTAAAGCTACTCCTAGCTTTTGCTCTTGCTTTATCGACAACATTATTAGGACTGTTCGGTGCATGAGAAGGGGGAGGATGTCCTGAGATTGGGGCAGGAATTGTAATTGGTGGCACGTTTTTCAGTTGTGCACGCGATCCAGATCCAGTCGTATTTGCTCTTCTGAGATTGGAAGATGGCCTTTGATCGTTTGATATCCTTCTTTCATCATAGGAAGGTCTACGACTACCGTTTATTGCCGTCTCGGCTCGTACCAATTTAGCACGTTGTGGTGCTTCTTCTTGCTTAGCCGTGGCACTCTTTTTGTCTTCACTGATTGGTGGTGTACCACTCCACGTTTGTCGCGATCGAGAGGAATTGTTGGACGATAACGATTGAACAGGTATGCCAAGAGCTAATTCTCTTTTGATGAGCAAAGAAGGTGACGGGTGTCGCATAGGTGCAGGGTCAGATGGAGAAGGCTTTCGAACTGGTCCAGTTCCATTGCTGAACATCCTCTTTAGCGGCGAAGGCGTTCTAGATGACTTGTCCACTTGCACAGTAAGATTGTTGGGACTTACAGTTGGACTTTCTATACCCGGTGAAGGAATTTCGAGTTTTACATTATTCGATACTGGCACTTCATCGGGACTTTTTGGACTTCTAGTACGTTCAATCTTTGCTCTTCTTTCTGCTTGTTCCGCTTCTTCTAATTGTCGCATCATCGCTCTTGCTCCTCCTCCGCCTAATCGTAATCCTGAGCCAACGTCTGAACTCAACCTTTTCATCTCATTCCTCGTTCGTTTTGCTCGATTTTCTTCTTCTCTTAGCCGCACTTCTTGATCTACCTCTCTTTGCATGATCGTATCATCCGTCGACTCTTCCGGGGTAATAGAGGACATTACTGCATGATCATCTATATCTGCTTTTTTGTCAACAATTTCCTTCTGTGATTCGCCATGCTTGGCATCCACTTCGTCTGCTTGAATGTCCCGTAGCTTAGACGAATTATCTGCTAATTCGGACTCTTCTGTCTTGAGCCAAATGGGAGGTTTGAAGGATTTGCGCGATTGTTCATGCATCGCCTCTTTTCGATCTGCTAAATATTTCCTTCGTGCAGAACGAGTCCAATTGGGGGTATAATTGGGAGCCAAAGCAGCAAGCATTTTTGACTCACAATCTGGACAATTGCATTCTCCATGCAAATCTTCTTCTTCAAAAACCTCTGTTTCCGTACTTCCATCATCTTTTTCCTCTTCTTCGCATGATGAATTAGATGATCCTTTTTCTTCCGTTTCTTCCCAGTTCAGAACAGCCGCGGCAGGGTTATCCGGAGCGACGGCTTTGTTTGATATGCTGTGCACATAAATGATCGGCGGAATACGTAAAGAAAGTCTTTGCGTTAGTTGATCGATTCCAGGTTGTCTTTCCGGCTCGTCATCTTTATCAAAGCCAAACGTCAAAGGCTTTCTTACAGCAACCGGTCGAGCCAAGGGTAGCGGATTGGCATCGGGCGAAGTGGATGGAGTGCGAGACGAAGCATCTGCTTCTGAATCATTTTCTTCTTCTACCGCTCTTCCCAATGGAGAAGGGGGAGGTGGAGAGATGAGCTTTTGTCGAAGTCGATTTGCCGTTCCATCGCGTGAGATATGAAGAGTTGGCGAAAGAGAAGGTGCACGGATGGGCACACTATGAGAGCGTGAATGATGAGCGGATGATGGTTTACCTGATTCGTGAGCGGTATTGCTACTCTTACTTCTTCCTGGATCCGGTGATGCGTTTGACCATCTCCTTCCACTTTTATGAGAACGAAAAGGAAAGTGAATTCTTGAAGTCTTTTTGCCGATCAGATGTTCTTCCTTTCTTGCGAAATAGTTGTCAACGGGATCTTCTGGTGAAAAGTAAGCCGGCGGAATGACTTGACATTTGCCATAAAAAGCTACCCTTCTTCCTTGCCTTTCTGGTAGCTTTACCTCCCCTTCCCTTTCTTGTCTACCGGTCATTTGTGTAAGGTGAATATGTTGATCATCTACCTTGAAGTAGGCACATTTGGCCTTGAATTGATGATGTGGATGGATGACTAGGATCGAGTATTGTCTGATGTGATATATGATAGCATATAAGTAAAGAAATGAGGGGTAAGTAGGAGGGAGGAACCTTATTTTTCTCGTTATACTCTTTGGCTCCACAGTTTAATTGATTCCGCACTATACGCGTATAAGAGCAGCAAAAACACCGATCCGGCAAAGTCAAAAAGAGCAGTGCATATGCGGTGTACAATTTTGGACTTCCTTTCCCGCTTACAAACACACTTTCTCCTAAGCTAGTATTGCAATATATGCACAGACACCTTTCTTCTTCTTGCAATCATTTCTCTAAAACATGGCCTATTTACGACCTTTCAAAGCAGATGATCTATTCAAGTTCAACAGTGTCAACTTGGATCACTGGACGGAAACATATACGATCAATTACTACTTGAGCTACTTAGCCGTTTGGCCTGATCTAAGTTATACACAATTAACACCAAATGGAAGAGTGATGGGATATGTAATCGGAAAAGCAGAAGGAAAAGATCCAGGTCCAAAAGTAGGAAGAATGCAAAAAGAACAAAAAGAAAGACATGGTCATGTAACTGCAATCACAGTTGCACCCGAATATCGTAGATTAGGCGTTGCAAAAGGATTGATGGGTTTATTGGAACGGGCAAGTTCGGATGTCTATAGGGCTTACTTTGTGGACTTGTTTGTTCGACCTTCTAATCAGACAGCTATCGGAATGTATGAAGGACTGGGATATAGTGTGTATCGCAAGGTAGATAAATACTACATGGGAGGAGGGCCAAATGGAACTGACGAAGACGGATACGATATGCGAAAAGCACTGGCAAGAGACACAAAGAAGGAAACTGTACGAGATGGAGTTGCAGGAAGGAATACGGTCGTGGATCCATCAGCTACCATATTTGAGTCAGCACAGAAACCGAGGTGATCCCTTACTGTGAAAGTATGTGAATTATTCTCATTTGTACAAATACATCATCATTTCATATAATTACATTCGTATCACCAATACCATCAATGTCAATTCTAGCACCAGCGTTCCAGCTGTAGCCAGAGCGACTGCATTTCCGGCTGTACGAAAAGTGGGTCGAAATAGAGATCGATGAGCTGCATGTGTGTTATAGGCGACAGAGGCTGATACGACAGCACTATTGTCGGGAGCAGGTTGTTGGGTAGATGGTTCACTTGCATCAATCGTATCATTCGGGACGGACACCATCTTCACATTCACATTTTCCCATCGATCGTCATTTTTGATTGCCAGATTATACCGATACATTCCCACAAAGATTAATTGAACGGCCAAAACTGTATAAATTAATCCACACCAGTAAAAATCCCTTTCAAATAGACGTAAAATGAGAATCGCATAACTCAACTGTCCCAATGCTGTTCTGGTATATGCTCCATCGAATGTACGTTGATATGCTCTTATATCTGTTAATTCGTCATGATTGATGACTGATTCGATCGGTACATTTGAATGCACTCTCTCCATTGATGTGACTCCACCGCCGTCCATCTTGATGAGTACTCTGTATGGGTATAAACGTTGTCAGAATTCTAAGGTACCATGATCATCTTGCTCTCTCCATGTCAGAGGTGTTGGTCTTTTGATGGTAAGAGAGGGGGGAATGATGACCGATTGGCACGTGCGTTGTGCTTACTCCCAAAAAGTAGGGTGCTTTCCTTCAAGCCCCTAGCCCTGAGAGTTCACTACGCAGACGGGCGGGCTATTTTGGGGGTGACACGCACTGCAATTGTTGTAAGCTGGAAAGGCTGTGGTATGAATCCGGCTATTTAAACACGCAAACAAAAGGGAACAAGAACGTACGCACGTATGCTGCCTTTTAAAATAAAACAAAAATTATAATTTTAAGCTGGGAATGAGAAGGAAGTTATGCTGATGCAGTTTATTTAAACATTGAAGTGATTGATGTTGGAAACGTTGCTCCGAAAGTATTAAAAGGGGTTTTCATTGTTTGTATGAACACTGCTTTCTTTATTTATCACCACAACAATCAAACACACACGTACCTCAAGTCAGTTCATACTTTTGGACGTATTCATGCCGTTTGATCATCGTCAAACGTGATCAGATTTACTCAATCTTTGCATTAATCTGCCTTGATTGGCAGGAATTGCGCTCTTAAACCTCAAAGTAGATACGGCAATTCAAGGATATTTTCGTCTTTATCGTTCAAATAGTGACAGTAATCGACGATGTCATTCGCTGTATCATCTTCAAGACGGGGTCTGTCCCTTGCCACTTCCTCGTTGATTGCCTCCACCCGATTGTATTCAACTGGAAGAACAACAGATTTGCTGGTCAAGGCTGGAAGGAGCAAATCAACTCAATTTGATGTTTTACGTCTTTTTGCGCCACATTTCCATCTGTACAGCACATTGTCCGGCTCATCTTCTGTCGGACTAGCTCGCAAGAGAAAGAGCACAAATGCAAATACCAAATTCGCCCTCGTAAGACGTTATCAGCATGTTCAGCCACACGAAAGCAGCTCATCTTCGACAAATTTTCCACCACCAACGGGAAAGTCACAAAAGTCAAAAGATAGATCATCTAGCTCGCCTTCTAAGAACAACTCAAACGCTTCACAGCAAAGCTCGGAAACAGTCAATATTGCAACAACTCCCTTGAAACATGCTCAACAGGTCACAAACGTAAGCGCAGCAGAATTAGGTTCTGATGCGAATCAGTTGAGTGCATCACAATCACTATTACAGGAACAAACAGCAAAAGCTTTGGCTGCCAAAGAAGCTGAAGAAAAGTGGAAAAGTCAGCCTCTCTTGAAACGGGCCTGGATCAAAGTCAAAGAAGAGGCAGCACACTACTGGCACGGTACGAAGCTATTGGCAAAAGAAGTCAGTATCAGCAGCAGATTGTTACGTCGCTTGATGATGGGATACGGCCTTACCCGTCGTGAACATCGTCAATTGAAGAGAACGACTGCCGACTTATTGCGACTTATTCCATTCTTGCCTTTTATCATCGTTCCCTTTGGAGAATTGTTGCTTCCCGTTGCTATTAAAATCTTCCCAAACATGTTACCAAGTACATTCGAAAGCAAATTTGCTGTTGAAGAAAAACGTAGAAGACTAATCAAAGTTCGTCTAGAAATGGCTAAGTTCCTGCAAGAGACCATTAAAGAGGGAGGTATTGCAGCTACGGCCGAATTGCAAACTTCTGACGAGTTCAAGGAATTTTTCCGCAAAGTCCGTTCTACTGGTGATCACCCCTCCCCTGAAGACACGATTCGCGTTGCCAAATTGTTGGAAGATGACCTTACTCTGGACAACTTGACCCGACCTCAATTGGTTTCCATGTGCCGATACTTGCAGATCAATGCCTTTGGAACTGACAATTATCTCCGCTACCAAATTCGTACAAAGTTGAACAAGTGCAAGCGTGATGATATGCAAATCTCAGCTGAGGGTGTTGAGAATTTGAGCTTACTCGAATTACAACATGCTTGTCAAAGCCGTGGTATCCAGACGCAATACCGATCAGAAAAGAGGCTACAAGAAGAGTTGAAGCAATGGATCGATTTGCATTTACACCAGAGGATCAGTGGTGTTCTGTTGATCCTTTCTCGTGCATTTGACTACATGCCAAACAGCTCTTCTTCATCCGACGAAAATACCCAGCTTCGCAGCTTGGAATTGACGTTGAGTAGTCTTCCCGATAACTTGTTGAGCGAAGCAGAATTGAACGTAAGCAAGGATACTGCTACGAACAAACAACGATTGGAAGTCTTGCAACAACAAGAAGAATTGATCGAAGATGAGGCCGAACAAGAACAAGCAGAAGAAGAAGCACGTAAGGCAGACAAAGAACGCAAAGAACGTAATAAGGAACAAGTTCGTTTGAGCCGAGAAGAGAAGGAAGCCAAAGCAATGTTGCCAAAGGGTGAAGTTGACCCTGCAACAGAAGATGCTCGAATGACAAATGAACAGTTGACCGAATTGGGAGAAGCATTGAGCATTTTGAGTGCTAAATCTAGCGTTTTGAAAGAACGAGAGGAATTGGCACAATTGGTGCAAGAGATGGAAGAGAGTGGAGTTTGCGGAAGCGATGGTGATAAATCATCCAGTAGTGCGCCTTCACCATCCAAGGAGAAGGTAGATCAAGAAAAGAAGAATGCTGCAAGTAGTACTTCTTCCGAAGAAAAGGCTGCAGCAGAAGAAGAAACACAAGAGCAAGCAGCACGAGTGGGAGCAAGTAGTTCCGTTTCAACAAGTTCGCGTGGATTGGCCAAACGCGTTAGAAGTATGTTACAAAAGATTGATGCTCAACTTGAAGATTACGATCGTGATGTTGGAAGTAGAATGAACATCATCGAAGCAAGTCCATCAGGAAAGATTAGCGTTGATGATTTAGAACAAGCATTACGATTGATCAAACATCGACCTGATGACGAAATTTTGGAACGTTTGGTGGACAAGTTAGATATCGATAATGATGGTTTGGTTCCATTGACGGATGTTGTTGAACTTGCACGCAAAGAAAGTGGTTTGGGTATCGTTCGAGATGATAATGTGGAAAACATTCGAGCAGAAGGACATGCTTTACGCGATGAAAGAAAGGTTGGTTTAAAGAGAGAAGACATCATTGAACAGTGATGGGCTTCTTTTGGAATAAAATAAATAATTATATAGACTTGCGATGCTTTGTTTTGCATCTTCCCCTCTCTTTTATGATGATCACCCCTCCATCGTTAGTAACACTGTTTTAATAAGACAATCATTAATGCTTTACGGTCTGCGATACGAAGTGAGTTGGCTGCTTGCACGCGTCCATTTACGCGCAGTGTTACTTAAAAGAACAACACTTTTTAAAAATAGCATTCTTACTTTCACTTCCGCCATCATTGCAAGACAAGTGACAAAATGATGAGATAGAATAAGAAGCGTCACACAAGATGTCTGAAAGTTCAACGATTGATATCTCTGCTACCAGTCAAGAACAAGCATGTGCGGTAATCTCTTCAGCCATTCATCATCTCTTATTCGCAAAGGGACAAATTCATCAACCGATAGCTGTATTGCGAAAACAGAGAGATCAAGGAGGAGATAATGTCGCTTTTTGCGATGAGGATGAACAAGATAGAAGCAAGTCAAAGACCAAGAAGATTTCATTCACTGCACAGAGAAAAGAACGTAGGCTGAATGAAATGATTGCAAATGTGGACAGATTACATGATCAACTCGTTCGGGCTGTAGAAGCGGTAACAGATTCGGGAAACGCTTCCAGTGGAGATGAAGTAGTGCTCATGCTTCGTTTGGGTCAATCGCCTCTAACAATGGCTCGGCAACAATTCAAGATCCAGCTCAACGGACTCCTTTCATTACCTCGCACAGCAATTGAAGCAGATAAACATAATCCGCCCAAACCATCTATTGCACGACAAGTGTTTGGCGGAAAGATGAAGAAATCCGTCGAGCCAACTGCAAGTCAATCTTCAATGTCTCGTGTACCCGTTCTTGAACGGAAGTTAGTCAGATTCTTCTTATCTGCAAATATGGACGAATCCGGTTTGGGCAAAGCTTTGACTGCACCTATTGCGCCTACTCGATCACAAATTTTCATACAGGCCCCTAGAATAGGCTTTGCGGCAAAAGGTTGGATACCGAGACCTTCTTTAAAGGTTGCTGCCAAAAATGACGGATTGGATGGAGTGAGGACACATGCGACACATAAACAAGAACGATCTGAAGAAGGAAGCGGTTCGAACGAAACAGTCGGGACAACAGCAGAAGATGTGGATATGCTGGCACTAGGTCTAAGTCCCGTAAAGAGGAGAGCTTTAATGAGTCCGAAAGTAAACCCTGCAAAGAAGGTAAAGCCTCTAATATTCAGGCAAGATAGCGATCTAGATCACGAGCACACAGAGCAAGCTAAGCCTCTTACAGAGTTACAGAATGAGCGCACATCTCCGCTCAAGCCGATGACGACAAACGTAGACGCATTCACAGAATCGACGACTACCGATCAACCAGCTTTGACCGCACAAGAGCTCATGGACCAGAAGCGAATGGCGAGAATGCGATCAAGACCGACTGAAGGACAGCATAAAAAGACAATGAACCCAAAAGCGGATATTGGCAAGCATCCTCAGACCAAACCTATTCGAAAGCAGCGAATGATTAGCGCATCAATCATCATCAATTTCACTTCCTCTGGTCCTGAAAAGCATGATAACTTTTCGCCCCACGATCGTAGCGATAATATCTGGTATGCAAGTGATATTGTCTTGCAAGCATGTACACTTTAACTGTTTATTGTATAATGTAGTACACTGTAGAATTATAATAAAAAATGAGCAGGTATAGAATATTGTCTCTCTCCCACAACTATCCCCATGGATTATCATTGTTCCAAGCTCGTGCAGAAGGAGGTGGTGCAAGAGCTTCAGATCCGGGCATTTTGCTGTTGAAATCAGATGGTGCCCGTGCTCGTGATGTATTTGCACTTTGTGGCGTCAAATCGTTTGGTGAAGGTGACAGATTGCCCCATGGATCCAAATCATGAGAACTACCGCCAGCATTATTCGAAGCCGAGCCACCTTCTAGAGCTTGTGCACCACTGCCCAAACCTAAATAAGCGCCAGATGTACTACTTCCAGTACTGCTATACGTGGAAGAAGGTAATGAAGGTCTTCGGATATCTGCGACGCTCGAATCATCCATTGCTTCGAAATTTTGTGCAATCCTTGCAGCAGCAAGTGCTCCTGCGTTTGACATTCCGGCAGATTGAAATTGCATTGCTAATTCCCGTGCCGCTTGAGCCGAAAGACCATATTGTTGACCTGAGGACCCATAATCGGACGACCTTCGGCTACTTTCGATAGTGTCCTGTTCTGCTGCAGTGCCAGAAGGATGACTATAACCTTCGTCTTCTACATCATATGAATCTCCAAACGATAGACTGACATCTGCACTGGTATTGCCTGTAGGTGCGCTAGGAGGCAATCCGTTCGCATCAAATGTTGTACTACCAAAGGGTCTGGCATATGATTTGGCAGAAGATCGATCCTGCGGATGATTGTCACTGCTATCGACAGATTGATCAGATACAACCACTTCGGGAATCTTTTCTTCCGTAGGCGTTCCTTCCTTGTAGTCCGGCACCTCTGCTTCTGGCTCAGGTTCGATGGACTGATCTGCAATGATGCTCTCTCTAAGCTTGCTGCCTCTTCTTGGTGGAACGGTAGGGGTCGTCTTCGCTACGAGTGGAGGCAGAGAGCTTTCCAATTCTCGCACAACGATTCCATTCTCCCGTAACTCTGCCAGGATTCTTTCCGTTTCATCGCCAACGGATGAATCTTCTCGTGGGGGATGATGTTCTGGATCATCTGTCGAAGATGCATGAACAGCTTCTTCGCGTGGAGGCAAATCGTCATCGTCATCTTCCACTTGATAAGCACTTGGTCGACGTGATGAAGGCGAATCAGGTGTTTGATCACCTGTACTAGAATCTGAAGCACCGTCTTTTCGTCTGAATATTCTTCCGAATCCACCTGTGCTTGTCTTGACTGATTTGGTCTTTGGTTCGTCATACACAACTTCACGTTCAGGAATTCTGTTCAAGTCTTCCGGCTCATCAAAGTATTCAGCCGTTGTGCGGAAGCCCAATTGATCCAGAACCAAAGGCATGAATGCACGATACTGCAAATGTCCTGGAACTGTTTGCGTTACATCAACATTTTCAACTTCGGGTACTCTTTCGACCGGCCTTAATCCTGCGATAGAACCCAATCCTCCAGTCGTAGCTCGGAACAGCCATCCAAGAATCCAATCAGTACGAGAATAAGCGTTAACAAATCGACCTGCAACCACACTACGTGCTTCTTTCCATGTTTTGTCATTGGCAGTGACTGGTGTTCCGATCAAGTATACGTTTTGCACAATACCGAAATTCTTCTTTCTTGCCAATTCCACCAACGCATAAAAGACTACTCTTGCTCCTAAACTAAACCCGACTAATGTGATTGGTCGAACTCCCATCTTGCGTTTTGACAGAACATCAGCCAAAATCAAACCACATGAGTGAGCTCGATCAAGCGCATTCGACCAAGGATTATCGATGAAGTAACCCAGCTTCGTAAGCCATAAAGGCCAAGCCAGTGCTCCCACCAAACCACCAGCAATGGTTGCAGCCAAAACTTGTTGTACACCTTGAACGAGCGTTTCACTCCATAAAAGATAAATAGCATTACCCATTTCTTGCATCATATCCGGCTCCCATAACAGACTGAAGATATCTCCCATAATACTGTCCACAACGGAGAAAGGCAATCTTGGATCATCTTGCGGTCCGCTCATGAAACCAGGAACAGCTATGATACAGTTGACACGTTTGTTGTTGTGAATCGGCTTAAATTCAAATGTACGAACAGTTCGAGTACGCCTATTCATTCCTGTACCACCTAAAGCTGCACCACCAATCGTACCGGTCGAGGTGATGATTGTCGCACCACCAATTCCAGTCAAGAATCCAGTCGTTCCACCTATTCCTACCGTTCCTAAAGCAGCACCTAAACCAGCGCCGATCAAAGGCGCCATCAAGCCTGCACTTAATCCGATCACCAATCCACCTCCAACAGTGGCCAATCCCATCATGATCATACGTCTCTTGCGTGCCATTTCTGCTCTCTTTCGAACGGCTTTCTTGCCTTTCAAGCTGCCGGAAACGCTTTCTTCGATTTCCAGAGCATCAGTAACACGTTTTTCGAATTTCGTTACATCCATCCATGTCAGCCCAAGCTCTTCCGCTACCCGTTCTAGCAAGACTCGAGATCTTGCGTCATAGACACTATCAGCGGTCAAGACTAAGAAAAGATCACATAGTACTGTCCATCGAAGATCGAGAGTGATGGTTTTATCGGCACTACTCAATTCTGTTGTGACGCCTTCCAATGCTGAGGGTAGGGTATCTATCGTTTGTGGTTGACTGGTAAGTCCCATTGGGGTTGCTTTAGCATCTGCCAGAGTTTCATCCATTGTATCTAGACGTTTTGCTGTATTTGGATCCACAATGATTGTTGCCGCATCGTCTTCTCTATCGCTGCCTTCCTTGGCAACTTCATCGGTAGTTTTAATCTTTGGCTGAACTTGTGCGGTGATATCGCCATCGTCCTCTTCTTCTGCAAAGTCGACCTTCTTTTTAGACACCAAAGACTTTTTGTCAATAGATGTTTTTGATCTGCTTGGTGGCTCGCTTGGCATAACTCCAAGATCTCCATCTCCCTCTTCTTCATCGGAAGGTGGAAATGCTCCTAGATCTCCTCCATCTTCGCTGCCAAATGGTGATCTTGACCCTCCCAGGTCTCCATCATTCTCGTCATCTGAATAGGTGCGTACTTTACCTTCCTGTCCCATCTTCTGATACGGAGGAGGTGGGTCTGACGTGTCTCCTTCGATCGATAGACTGTCTCGAGACTCGGGTGCTATTTCTTTCTCAGACTCCCCTAGCTGCGTCCTTTCCTCTTCTTCTTCTTGGATCTTTGCCTCTTTCGCCCGCTCTTCTTCCTCTTCACGTTCCTGCAGTGCTACTGGGTCAAAGTCGGGATTATCGACAGTTTGTGTGGTGATCAGACTAGGCGCTAGATCAGCAATCAAAACACCATGCTCGGCTAAAGATTCAATCATCTTTTGTTCGCCCACTTCGATATCCATATGCTGGTATATACGTGCCATAACTCGTAATCGCCATTCATCTGCGCTTGCGATGGCATTCTTTTGTTCTTTACCCGGTACTCTTTCTAGTTGACGAATGATCTGCTTCGCTGCTAAGCTGACTAGGCCGACATAGGCAATCTTTTGTCCTTCAGTAAGAAGATTTTTAGTTGTATTTAGTTGAGAATGCGGAGTTGCTCCCTTTCCATCTATATCGTCCATCGGATTGGAGCCACTGGCACCGGTGAAGAGATAATCAGTTGCAGAATTGAGGTCTTCCGCCTCAACGTCATCATCCAAGCGTAATTGAGTATAGCCACGTGCTCCACCTTCATCTTCTTCGTCATCACTGTCGCTAGATGAGCTTGAGCTGACTTCTTCTCCTTTTTGCTTTCTCCGCTTTCGTCTTTCTGCTTTCTTTTTCTTATCTTCCTTCTTTGATGCTTCGAAACCGCCTGCATCGCCCAAATTTTCCGGTTTGGCACGCCAGCTGTAACCTCTCGCATCATCAATATCAAGATGTCGTCCGGTCGCATTTGTTGCACCGGAAAGTTGACCGGGCTGTGTTTGACCTACAAAGTTTGTATATCCTGAATTTGAACGACCATGACTGTATGCTTTTCTGGCAGAATAAGCATTTTTATTTTTACGAAATGTTGAATTATACGATGAACCGCCTTCGTCGGATGAAGATGATGCACCATTTCCATCTCTTACGACCGGCATTTCCTGCCAATCATCATCGTCCATCATTTTTATGTTGTAATCAACATTTAAAGCTTTATTCAGCCGCCCTTTGCTGTAGCTTTTGAAAGATGTTGTTGAAGTAGGTTGTGATGGTTGCCAATCAGTGTTGGTCATCAACAATAGGTTGCATTCTACGCGTGTAAGAGTGTGTGTTCGGTATCTTAATCTCCACGCATATATACACACAAAGAGGCCGTATTGCACAATACACTGCTGGTACTGCTGCAAACGCTAAAGGAGAGATCGATCGCTCTCCCTGGCTGGCCGCCCGTGCCTTATTGAAAGTCCCCCACGCCTGACTGTACACGCGAGCTTTTCTCTCAAAAGAAGATATTATTAGGCTTTTAACAGGAGCTTCTTCCCTCATCCAAACCATATCGGATGACCATGGCGCCTCAACAACAGGTGACCAATGAAGAATTTTTAGAACAACTAACGAGATTATTCGAATCTTCAAGTAAAGCACATTCGGTCTTTGTTTCGCATAAAAAGATTTCAAAAGATGCTTCTTTAGCTGAACCAACAATCGTTGTCAGAGCAACGGATGGAAGAGGAGGAAGTTCAGCTTCTTCAAATCGGACAAAGTTTACAACACATATTCAAGCATCCAAGCTGAACGCTTTTCAAGATCAATATTCGGCCATCTTACGTGCTTCAACTGCTGCATTTTTACGTAAACGTGATAAAGCAAAAGAAAGAAGGGTGGACAAATTATTGAAAGAAAAAAGAAAACGAATGGAAGAAGTTTTACATTCACTTCCAGTCACATCAACAACAACAACAGCCAACAACGCAAAATCAAAACAAGTTGAAACAAATGGTGATGGAAAGGCAACAAACGCCGCAGGAACTGCTGGAGGCGTGAAGAAAACAACGCCAAACGTACTCAAAGTTACAAGTATTGGCGCAAAACGAGGAGCAGGAAGAAGGAAACGACAACAAGCCCAACATAAAGCCAAACAATTACGACGTGAACAGAAAAGGATTGCTGCTACAACAACAGCAGCACAGGCTTCAACGCAAAAAGTCGGATAGGCTTTCAACATGCGGCGTCAGGACAGGCGGTGTTAAAATGGCGAAATTTTGAAGGCAAACTCGTTTTTGAAGGATTGCAACTATCCGGATATTGTACATACAAGATGTGGGGTGTCAAGATCATCTTGCGTAGTAGTATTGTTTTTTGGTGGGCTTAGTGTACTGCACAGCAAAGAAAAAGCAATGAGATGTGATGGGGATAAATGAATCCAAGCATCGCCTCGAAAATAAAGTTGATGAGGCAATCTCAATACCTTTAGCCTGCCCCTTTGGGTGCAGATCATACATGCAAGATAGGATAAGTTTACTCACTCCCATGACGATCTCATTTCCCCTCTCTTCTTCCTAAAAAAGTAGATCACAAGATAATCTCCTATCCGAGCATACATATAAAGCTTCCCACTTGAATCTGAGAACAAGGCGAAAGCACCCGTCATTAATCATGACAAGTCTTTTGAACTCTCTGGTAGAGTTCACAAAGAGCGATTATGCCTACGTCCAACCTGATTCACCTGAATCCGATGCGGTCTTCATCGACTCTATCGTTCATCGTGATGGCAAGGTCTGGATTAGCAATGAATTGCATGCGGATAGACGTACCAGCTTTGTAAGTGTGATATGAAGTCAGGTAATTGTAACATTATACTAATATCCTCTCACAAAACATCAGTCCAACACTGACTTTGAATCAGGTTCAAACCGCACCCCAAAGACTGATGCTGTATCATGGCAAGGTACAGTTTCAGCAATGAGCAATTGGACAAGCTCCGCAACTACAATCATGGCAGGCTCGATCGCAAATAGTGCAAAATACGTTCAAAGTCTCAGTTCAACGGTCACCTCTCCCAAGAGTACACCTTATGCATCAATGACACCTTCAGTGATCAAAGCATGCAAAGAAGGTGAACATGCTAAACGTCATTCTGCAATCCCTTCTTTGTACGGTGCCACTTCCGATAGTTTGGATACGTATGATGCTCCATATGATCCGATCAGTCGATCAATCTTTATGGTCGATCACAATTCTGCATCTGCTACTTCTGATCGAGCTAAAAGAATGCGCAGGCGATTCACAACGGATGTGACAGATGCTGAATCTATCGTCAACCAAAGCGAGTATCCAGAAACATCGTCCCACAGACCGATCCCCAACAATGGTTTCAAGAGAATGTCTGACCTTTTCAGCTTTTCCTCCAATGGCGCATCAGCAGATAAGCTCAAGTGAGGGGTGGTGGTATGCATTTTCAAGTCTCCTTTCTTTTTATATCGTGATCTCACTTTCTTCTTCTGTTTGTTTTTCGAGATACGCTATTTGATCAATTAAACCAGGTGTACATAAGCTTCCTCTAGTGGTCCTTTGGTTGTGATGATTTACGTCCATTTTTGCGTAATTCGTCATATTCTGATCCTTTGAATTCTTCTGCCCACTATTTCGTTAAGTTGGAGGGAAAGTTAGTATTTCTGATACTTTATCAGGTGCATCATGCACATCGCACTTACATGAAGAGAAGGAATCCATCTGTCAACTTTAACATGTCTCTGTTCAACTTTTGCGCTATACATCCATGTAAAGTACGAAACCAGTCCGATTCCTGCAATGCAAACTGCCGTATTGGTTCTCCAATTTGATGGTCTTGTCCACCAACCACCGGAAGGCGACCAAACTTCTTTTGGATATGGATAACGAGCACCACCACCCTATTTGTGTTGAGAGAGAAATGATCAGAATCGTATGCTGATTGTTTGATGCTCATAGATGTTTTTTTTGGAACTCACCATTATGACTATATGCTGGATGTATGCGTGATGGAAGTTCTGGAAGGTAGGATGTTCGCTTGCGATGAAAGTGCAAGTCTTTCCCTTCTAAGCGTACGCTAGGTCAGTCCACGCCCAGGAAACGCTTTAGCTCGTGTTCGGGTTTAGTGTGTAGTGCAGCGTGAGCGGAAGAAGTCGTTCTCCAATCTTTGCGGAAGAAGTCGTTCTCCAATCTTTGCTTTACACTTGCAACTACTGTATCAATTCATTTGTCTAACATGCTGTCAGATTCTTCCATTAATCAAATTCGCATTCGATGACCACATATATTCTCCCTTCTAAACACTCTATGACATCTAACCTATAAAGCGGCAGCGCTGTTATGGCTTTCTACCATTGCTGGCCGTACGGTAATGGTGCTCTAATCATTCACTGCGCCTTATGGACTATCCATCCGAAATGGGCACAAGCGAAAAGCGGCTGAGAGGGTGTGCGTGTGTGTGTGTTTTCCTCCTTGACGCGTATTGTTTTTTGTGTGCGTGCCCGGCGCGCGTTACAATATGCGAATATCTTCATGTTTAACAAACAGCAAAAAGAAAAGGGGAAAATAGCCAGGAGATCGAAATGCTTCCCTTGTACAGCAAGCAAGTAGACAAAAAAAGGCTCAGCTGGCTGCTCTTTACTCAGCCTCTTTCTTATGCTTGCACTGCAATATACCAATATACATGCCGAATTAAAAATCATTTGTTATGGCTCGTAAGCATCAGAGAAACATCCTCGTTTGTATCATACAACAAAGGCTGAATACAAGTATCTATTTTTGTATTACGCCTTTTATGTATCTCCGTATCTTTGGAAAGCCCCAAAGTGTGACTACAAGAGAGAGCTACACGCATACACGCATAATTAGACCGGTTCACCCTGCTTAGTACTTAGGCTCTTCTCTTTCTTTTTTTTCTTTTCATGTGCGTTGCGTGTGTGTGTGCGTGTGTGTGCTTGCAAACACACAAGGCGGGTTCTGACGCTGAGACGCGCGCGCGATAATATCATCATCAGGGACGGATCGCTTGCCGTTTGACCACCATCATTGTTCTTTTCTCTTTTCTCTCTTTCATCGAAAACGCAGCAAACGCCCATCTCATACAAGATTCATCTCTTTGATTTAAAGATTGAATCCTACTTGGGCTTTGCTTCTAACGAACGAATAGCAACCTTGTACTAGGGTTCAATCACGACACTTCGCAAGTATCAATCGAAACTTCAAACGGTGGTCCTCTTTCGTATCACATCGATCGCAATCCCCTTTTGCAAGACGGATTGTTGCATCTCACTACAAGGAAGAGGTAATCAAACGTGTGTTTGTACGACTTGCATCCAGGGCTTCTCATCAAATCCAATCAACATTTCTGTTGCGAAGATTTGTAGATTCGACAGCTTGTAACAATCTGTGCTTCAACTCAGATCTGTTTCAAACTTGTATAGAGTAACGAAATTTGGCAAGCCTAAAAGGTTCTTCTTGTGACGAACTTTCAAGTGATCCATACGACATCGCAGAATTCAGTTTCCTTGCGATACAAAACCTCTTATCAGATCTTAAGCTTGTCTCAAACAAAACATCAATAGAAAACAATATTCAAGCACGATGGCTGATACACAAACACCCGAAGTCGATCTCGACAACGTCATCGATCGCTTGTTGGAAGTTCGCGGTTCAAGGCCGGGAAAACCGGTTCATTTGGAAGAATATGAGATCAAATACTTGTGTTTGAAAGCTCGCGATATCTTTATCAATCAACCCATCTTACTAGAACTTGAAGCACCAATCAAAATTTGCGGAGATATTCATGGACAGTATTACGATCTATTACGCTTGTTCGAATACGGAGGGTTTCCACCAGAGGCAAATTACCTGTTCTTGGGAGATTACGTCGATCGAGGAAAACAATCACTAGAAACAATCTGCCTTTTATTGGCATACAAGATCAAGTATCCAGAAAACTTTTTCATCCTACGTGGTAATCACGAATGTGCATCGATCAACCGTATCTATGGATTCTACGACGAATGCAAGAGGCGATTCAATATCAAGCTTTGGAAGACGTTTACCGATTGCTTCAACTGCTTGCCAATCGCAGCAATCATTGACGAAAAGATTTTCACAATGCACGGTGGTCTTTCGCCCGATCTACAGAGCATGGAGCAAATCAGAAGGGTAATGAGGCCAACAGATGTGCCCGATACAGGATTATTGTGTGATTTGCTATGGTCAGATCCCGATAAGGATATTTCTGGATGGTCAGAAAATGACCGTGGTGTTTCGTTTACGTTTGGACCGGATGTGGTGTCACGCTTTTTGCAAAAGCATGATATGGACCTAATTTGTCGAGCGCATCAAGTTGTGGAAGATGGATATGAATTCTTTGCAAAGAGGCAATTGGTAACGCTTTTCTCTGCGCCGAATTACTGTGGAGAGTTTGACAATGCAGGTGCAATGATGAGCGTTGATGAGACACTGTTGTGTTCTTTCCAAATTCTCAAACCGGCAGAAAAGAAGCAAAAGTACGCATACGGTGGAATCAATATGGGCAAGCCTGTCACACCGCCACGCAAACAGAAGAAGAAGGGAGATACAAAGTGAAGTGATGAATGAAGATCATCCTCCTTTCTTTCCAATCTCTCGGCAATTCTTTCTTTTTCTGATCTATTTTTGTCTATAGTATAAACGAGCATTCTTTTCGCGTGTGTGTGAATATGTGAAAACAAGTCTCCTCCCAGTCTTTTCTTATCCATCACTCAAAGCCCATTCCTCCTTTCCTCTAAACTCTCTCTCAAACACCGCAAACGATTTGGTACAGTGTGTCCTTGTGCTTTGCGTTCGTACATCTGTTTGTTCTGATCAATCAAGAAGAAGAAGAAAAACAAAAACGAAAGAAAGATTTGTGCAAACGCCTTCTTTTTATATGAACTTGTCTTTCACCTCTTTTATCTTATGTAGGTGTACACATGTATAGCTATTCTTAACAATATTCTCAAACATTATCAATCATCTCTCTCTGATCTTTCCTTTTTGTCATTGAAAAAAAAACAAAGCTCATAAAGCACAATTACCTTTTTGTCTGTCCGAATCGAGTTTGTGTAAATAATTACAACTCTATTAAACTACAATGAAACATACTTTGTTTCAAACGGAGGATGTGTCCCTAGCAAACGAGCAATAAATGGATAGGTTAATCTAGAATGCGGATAAGATACATCGAAGTCACACGGAACAGAAAGTGATACAATTGATAATTCAGGTCTAGACCAATGCTATCTTTGAGCTGAACCCGGCGGTACAGCAGCAGTGCCGGCGGTACGATTGGGCGTTTGATTTCTTGAAGAAGATCCACCTCTGCCTGCTTTTGCAGCGCTTTTGGGCGTTTCAGAGGAAGTGCTTTTACGTTTCTTTTTTGCTGAGGAAGATTTCGCTTTCATTTCAGCAGCTGCAGCAGCAGCAGCAGCTTTTGCTTCTTCTCTTGAAGCCATTGTAGATTGCCATGTTTTTCGTTTGGGCGTTTGAATTGGCGTTCGTTGTTTTGAACAAGCACCACCACCGCCGCCACCACTTCCGTTTGGCGTATTCAAATTTCCGGCCAAACTAAATGCTGGTCCTCTTCTTTGTGGGGTAACGCCATTCGTTACGGGTTGAATCGGGGTTGGGAGATAGGTATGTGCTGGCGTTGAAGAAGAAGAAGTTCCACTTATCCGCGGATATTGTGTTGTAGGTCTCGCTGGCGTTTGATAAACGACAATAGGCGGTGAAGAAGAGGTTTCTCTTGTCTCGTTGGCGATTGGATCCGATTCTGTTTGTCTGGCATTGTTATCATGCACAGAATCAGATCGATCGTAGATTCCCGCTTGTGCCATGTACCATAATCTTCTTTCTTCTCCATATTGGTTTAGAAGCGGCGCCGTCTTGCCATCTTTCCACAGTGATTGACTCGGCTGTGCTGATTGATTTGCCCCATCGAGATCCTCAGGGAACTCTTGACTGAGGTCGAAGTAGAATTCACTGTCCTTTGATGTCTGCCCTTCTTCGCCATTGGCCTCCTCTAATCTGCCATCAATATCGACCGGCTCAAAGGGTTCCTCGTCTGAGATTCCACCATTTTGCCATGCTTTCCTTTGTGCTTGTGTGTTACCCACTTGTGTCCAAATATTGCCCGTTTCGAATAAATCTACATGTTGATCATTCTCCCGTTCGGCTTCATCTTTCTTGCGATCCAAAACGTCACCAAATGATTCTTCATCTAATGCATCTTGAATGTTTTCATTCTCTTTCCTTGAATGTCCTGACTCTGGTCCCTCTGTCATAATTTATTTGCCACCAATAATATACTTTTCACCTCCTCATCGTTTGAAGTGTTGGTGTTGGTCGTGTTAATTAAATTGAGTTACTTTCGCTTCCGCTTTAACGCGTCGCGAATAGAATACACACAAGCGTGCTAGACTGCTAGTTGTATGCAGGTGCTCTTTATCAATTTGTCAGCCTATATAATATATATTGATCCCGCTTTGACTTTACACCTGCATACAGTGGAGGCAACTAGAATACAACCATCATTGTGACATGATAGCAAATCAGATAAGATCGAGATGGTGACACATCACTGGTCAGAGGCTTTGGTGACGCCACTGCTTGTAGCTGCCATTGTTCTATTATCACCTTTGCCAAGGTACGTCTTTCGAAGTTTGAAATTGAACGGAAGCGGGAAAGGACATGATATAGGGACAAGTAATACAAACGCTTCGGCCTTCATTGTCCCCGCACAAATACATCATGCCCGAATGCTACCGAAAGAATCGCAACATTCGTTCAAATATCCTTCTCTTTATTTTGCATTTGAACTTCAAGCCTTAGAAAGAGGACAATGCGATTGTCTGCCGGCTTTCAAATGGTCTGGAGATCACGCAAAGAAGGGTTTTGCATTGACCAAATTGCACCCAAAAGATTTTGGACGGAAGGTATTTGCTGATGCAGAAACATCAAAAGCTGCAGAAATTATAGATGGATCGATCTTACTCAAATTGGCATATGAGCTACGCTTTAGAGGATATCTATCTGTTGGACCTCAAGATGTAGATAGTGATGCTTTAAGATCAGGCTCGCTTCTATGGGAACGGGAGATGGGAAAGGTTTGGGCTATCGCAATGCCTACAGTATTTGGCTTAGCGGGTTTCAACCCTTTGACGGTGTATTATGTCTATAGACCTGGCTCGAGCAAAGAACTTTGGTTGGCTATCCTAGAGGTGCACAACACCTTTAATGAACGGCATATCTATGTTTGCGAAGTGGGCAAAGGCGAAGATGAAAAGACTGGAACGAGCCCTCAAGGTACAATGCGAAAAGGGTACGATCATTCTTGGACTTTTCCGCGAGATTTTCATGTTAGTCCCTTCAATGATCGATTGGGCTATTACCAGCTATTCTTGCGGGACATGTGGAAAGATTCAGTAGATGGACTGCCATCGATTGATATCCGATTGCTACTTCTCGTACCTCCCGAAGAAGAAGAGGAAAGACAAAGCGACGGCAAATCACTGCAAAAGAAGCTATTGGCTACTCTTACATCTTCCAATGCAACATCCGCTACACAAAAGCCTACCAAAGAAGCGAAACCAATGACGGCTTCTTCGGTCTTCTCAATGTTGATCCGTCAACCTTTTGATTTATTTCTACCCGTTGCAAGAATTATGATCGAAGCAGCAAAACTACATTGGAAGAAACGATTGCCTGTTCATATCAGACCGGAACCGAAAGGCGAAGCCAAAAGATGGAATTCTATTCAAGCTTTTGATGGCATCGGATGTTTAAAAGTGCACAATCCTACCGAGTCGAAGGATTTGAGTGCGGATGCCGCTCAAATTAGAGAACAAGCCTCGGGTAATATCTATTGGAATGACGAATCTTCCATGGAAAGGATATGTAGGAAAGCGGTGGAGAAATATCTTTGCAACAAATCAAGTGATGGGGAACTTGGCCCTATCCAGTTCAGAAATCGGAATGCAGAACAACGTGATACAAAGATTGAAAATGGTCAGATACGCAACATTGACAAACACGATCGATCTGACGGATTGACTTTCTATACAATGTCTTCTGCTCTTTTTATCGATCTTTGTTTGTATATGCCACAGCAAGCTTTATTGTTCGGCAGTAAAGTCGAGCAAGGATGGGGAGTAAATTCAACCGACAAGTTTGACCAGATCTTTGCGTCTAGTGAACCATCCAAATCCACAAGGACGGTACGACTTGCAAGATGGTTAAGATCTTCCTATTTACTTTGGGCAATTCAAGAAAGCGGAAACATGGATGACAAGATTTCACATCACTTACTCGCACAATCTAATGCAACTCATTTCTTAGATCAATTTGACTACTCATGGTCTTTGCTTTTCGCATTGGCCGCTCATGTCTACTCTCTCAAACTTATGGCATCCGCATCCAGAATGCTTAATGTCCGTTATGTTCGTGCGCCATGGGCACAAATAGGTGAAGGCATCGCCTTACTGAAGCAGAACCAAGAAAAGGATACCCAAATATAGAATCTCCCTCCTCCCCTTTGCCTTTGTATAGACACGGAATGCTATGCAAGTGTAATGTATTATGATGTATGCATGTGCGCATATATGACGTACACGTGTGATGTCGTGAAGAAAAGAGAATGATGAGGTGGTCATACAATCGATAATGACGAAAAGATGGCGATTGCTAATCGTTTGTGCCTTTCCATTCAGGTGTCCAAATGCCAGCAAATCGAATCATGCTCATCATATCGAGAAAGTTGTTCAAAGATGGGCGAGAGAAAATCAAACATCTTCATTGATGATCAATCCTTTACTTCTTTGACTTTTGGCTGGCCAAAACGGCCTTGACGATCTTGGCTTCTTCAACCAAGAAAGCACGGATGATTCTTGTTCGGACGCAGTTTGCACATCTGCTTCCTCCGTATGCTCTTTGGACGGTCTTCTTTGTCTTGCTAACGTTGGCGTATTCACGAGGACGGAGAGCTTTGATTCCTGGCAAAGCGGTATGGCAGTCACCACATTTTGGTGATGTGGCAATCTTTCCGGTCAAGTGGTACTTGAGTTTTCCACCTGGGGTCTTGACAACACGGCGTCTGTTAGACTTGGTGTTGTAAGGAGTGCGAGTGGGTAGTGTAACACGGTTGGCCATCTGCAGAATAGGAGGGAGAGAAGATTTGTGAGCACAAGAAACTCTAACATGGAAGAATATCGTGACGGCAGGTGACGAGCGTAGACAAGGCGAAATGAGCGTTGTATTTAGACATCTATGCAATGAAGCTGCGGGTCGTTACAGTTGTTGATTCGAATTTGTCGAGGGATTGTCGGTACATCGATGTCTGAAGAGCCCAATTGTTTTCCTCTTCCAAAACACACATGAATCAAGTCATGCATTGTACTGAGCGTATTCCGTCATGCTGTCCAAACCTGAAATCTGGAGTCATATCGTGGTGCTCATGTCGAATAATGTCATCTACCATCCAAGCTCCATGTCTATCAAGAACCCGACCAAATCGCCCTAGAATGCCCATCTCGCCTGCCGTCACATATCCTCTCACTATTCCATCACTGATTCTTACCTTGACGAAAGGGTGAACACTGGTCGACGAAAGTGATGTTGGTCGGTAGGAGAAGTTTGAACAAGAAAGTGTGAATTAGAGAACCAAATTGCGATTGCGCGCTTGAACGAATTCTCCAAAAGAGAAGATCTGGACGCAGGCATTAAGGCCGCCTTAGAGTACCTTGAGCTTCCTGATGCTGCTATTGCATTTCTCTAAGGCTCTGCCTGGTTAACAAGCAGGCATCAAGACGCATTCTCCTCTCAGGCGGGCTTAAAGGCACAGTTGCCGCGTCAACTTGCGCTGCTATCGAATTTATACACGCTTAGAGAAAGAGCGCATCAGCGCAGTGTGCACTACTTATCCGCAGTGCAAACACGTGAATGTCAAAAATCAAATTGACAAAAAATCTGATGCGAAAATGATTATATAATACAGAATGCTAATCTACAAAATTGACTTGAATTTCTTTTGTTCGTAATGGCGGGTCCAGTAGAAATGAGTGAGTGCACGTGACACCTATTCCTTCATGGTCTTCTGGCAATGATCATTTTCTATCCCAACGGATTATCAATGTCAGGTCAAAAGCATTGAGGATCACAGCTCGATTCTAACAATTTCTAGTTCGCCCGGTGTTTTTGTTGTCCAAGGATCTGTTTTGCCCTCTTTCTTCATCTTTTCCAATGCATCTATGCATTTCTGTATCCTCTTTAACGCTCTTGTCTCTGACCATCTTTCCTCGTCCTCTCCAACAACATCGAATCCTAATGAGACCGGATAAACAGGCTCACGTCGTGTGACTTGAGCAAGTCGAGAGATAGGTGTCGTATGGGTCATTGCTTCCATCCTATTTGCATCTTCATTTCTTTTGCTCGATGATTGGGATGGTTGATGATTAGAATCCCTTTGAGGAGTATTCTGTGAGAGAATCGCTTTTTTTAAAGGCGATGAGGATGGTGTACTAGCAGCGGATATCTTCCTGACTTTGTTCGGCGTAGTGACAGGACTAGGATCGAATACACGTTTCTCCTTGATCGAGCTTCGGTCTCGTAAACCACCTCGAGAGGGTGTAACAGGTGAAGAGGTATCTGAGAGTATTCGGTTCGAACGAGGTGTGGATGGCCCACTCACATTTCGCTTTGTCGGCGAGATACCACTTTTCATATCTTGTGCCCATTTCGCTAAAAGATCTGAGGATGGAGCAATAGCCGATCCGCTGCCTTCAGCTCGACCTTCTCGTCTGTTGGAAGATGATGATGACTTGCTAATAATCTGAATGCCAGGCTGTAATTCCTTCTCTGATGCTGAAAATTGAGCAGGCGATAATCCTGAAGCTTTTTGGAAAGCGGCTGAGCTAGGTCGATCAGCAAGCCTTTGAGGAGGGGACAGGATATTAGTTACTGTGATCTTGACTACTGCTTGACATTCGACCATACTTACATTTTGGCTGCAAACCAAGCACTTAAAGCGATCACGCCAGTACCTGCCCTTCTCATTGCCATCGAATTTCCTTGATTTGCCCAAACATCCAAAGCTGCTAAATTTGCTTCACATCTTGAGTAGAGCGATTCCAGCGTTGTTCCTGATAGCTCGCTAGACGGTACTGATTGATACAATTGCCGTATCTGTGCTCTTCTTGATGCCATCCTTTATGGTGTTGATGTGTTGGTTTGTATGCATTCAGGCACCAATTGTTATCTTATTTGTCAATCTGTGGAGTACTTTGCCCGGCTTTTTTGCCCGTCGGTCCTCTGTCGGCTGGCAAGCAGCAATCCCCCCTCCCCAATTGTATTATTGCCCAGCAGATCGGCAGTGCAACAAAATGCGAACTGTCAAGAAATTCTACGTAGAGCGGGCGGTGTGCGTGCGTGCGTGTTCTGTATGTGCGGTGCACTGTTCATCCTGTGCACTGCAAAACACTCTGTTTATGCCTAACCGTTGATTAATCACAAGGTCAGACCCTATTAGTACTGCATCATCACTATTCACCATCATCACATCATCCATCCATACTACACTCTATACCCTTTTCATTTCCACATCCTAACACACCTTCGCCATGGCTATCTCAAAGAAAGCCGGCAAAAAGGGTGGTGCTGGAACGGCAACAGGAGGTGGAAAAGTTGCTACTTCTGCGCCTCCAAAGAAAGGTGGAGTTGCAAAAGCAGATTGGAGAGAAGGTTTCAAAAAACCACAAGCTGGTGTCTCGGATATGACTTTATTGACAACGATCAGTAATGATGCCGTCAATCAAAATTTAGAAAAAAGATTCAAAAATGCAGAAATATATACCTACATCGGACCAGTCTTAATTTCCGTCAATCCTTTCAGGGATCTTGGAATTTATACAGACGATGTTTTGTCATCGTATAGAGGCAAGAATAGGCTCGAAATGGCACCACACGTTTTCGCAATTGCTGAAACAGCTTATTACAACATGAGCTCATACAAGGACAATCAATGCGTCATTATCTCCGGTGAATCAGGTGCGGGTAAAACAGAAGCAGCAAAGAGAATTATGCAATATATCGCAGCCGTATCCGGTGGATCAGGATCAGAGATTCAAGATGTCAAAAATATGGTCTTGGCAACAAACCCTCTTTTGGAAAGTTTCGGATGTGCAAAAACGCTTAGAAATAACAACTCTTCTCGACATGGTAAATATTTGGAAATCATGTTTAATGCGCAAGGTGAACCGATTGGGGCCAATATCACAAATTATCTATTGGAAAAGGCAAGAGTTGTTGGTCAATTCAAGGGCGAACGTAACTTCCACATTTTCTACCAATTAACCAAAGCAGCCTCTCCCGAACAACGTGAATACTTTGGTCTTCAAGAACCATCAGCTTATGCATACACAGCCAACTCAAAATGTCTGGATGTTGACGGAATCAACGATGTGCATGACTTTGATGAGACATTGAATGCCATGAACATTATTGGTCTATCAGGCGAAGAACAAAATGATATTTTGCGTATGTTGGCCTCGATTCTTTGGCTCGGAAACGTTTCCTTTGTGGAGAATGATCAAGGCAATGCGCAAGTGGCTGACCAGGGTGTGCCCGACTTTGTCGCCTATCTCCTCGAAGTTGATGCTACTGCAGTCACGAAGGCATTAACAGAACGTATTGTTGAAACATATCGTGGTGGACGTCGTGGTTCAGTGTATGAATCGCCCAATAACCCTGTTCAAGCCAACGCCGTTCGTGATGCATTGGCAAAGGCTATCTACAACAACTTATTTGAATGGATCGTTGCTCGTGTTAACAAGTCCATGGCTCCACGTCAGACTGCAGCCAATGTGATCGGAGTGTTGGATATTTATGGATTTGAAATCTTCGAGAACAACTCATTTGAACAACTTTGCATTAATTACGTCAACGAAACGTTGCAACAACTCTTCATTCAACTTACCCTCCGTGCCGAACAACAGGAATACGCAGATGAACAAATCAAATGGACACCCATCAAGTACTTTGACAATCAAATCGTGGTTGATTGTATAGAAGCTCGCAGACCTCCAGGTCTTTTTGCCGCTCTCAATGATGCCTGTGCAACCGCTCATGCCGATCCAGCTGCGGCAGATAATGCATTTTCGCAACGATTGGGCGCTTTATCCTCTAATCCTCACTTTGAGCCGCGTGGATCGAAATTCTTGGTGCGACATTATGCTGGGGATGTGATGTACGATGTTCGTGGAATGACCGATAAGAATAAGGACTCATTGTTGAAGGATATTCTCAACTTGGTCGATACTTCCAACAATCAATTCTTGCACACCTTGTTCCCAGATCGACCTGATCCGGACAGTAAGAAGCGACCTCCAACTGCTGGTGATCGTATCAAGACAAGTGCAAATGCGTTGGTCGAGAATCTGATGCGATCACAACCTCACTACATCAGAACCATCAAACCCAATCAGAACAAGAGTGCAAGCGAATACGATACACCGGCTATCTTGAATCAGATCAAGTATCTCAACTTGACTGAAAATATTCGTGTCCGTCGTGCTGGTTTCGCTTATCGTAATACATTCGAGAAGATGGTTGAAAGATTCTACCTTTTATCACCTGCTACATCCTATGCTGGTGACTACACATGGTCAGGAGATATGAGAAGTGGATGTGAGAGAATTTTGAAGGACACAGGTATACCACCCGATCAATGGCAGATGGGTGTAACAAAGGCATTCATCAAAGATCCCGAAACATTGTTTGCACTTGAAACGATGCGAGATAACTATTGGCATAATATGGCAAGAAGAATTCAACGTGCTTACCGTAATTGGATTCGCTACAAGAACGAAGCCGCAAGAAGAATTCAAAGGATGTGGATGAACAAGAAGGAGGGTATTGTCTATGCACAACTACGTGATTACAGTCATCAAGTCTTAGCGCAACGTAAAGAACGTAGAAGATACAGTTTGATAAGCATGAGAAAGTTTATGGGAGATTATTTGGATGTGAATGGAAGTAGCGCTGAAGGGGAGATGTTGAAGCGAGCATCAGGAATGGCAAATAATGAGACTGTTGCTTTCAGTGGAAGGTGCGATCTTCTCGTTTCTCGATTGGGTCGATCTAGTAAAGCACAACCGAGATTCCTGCTCCTTACAGATAAAGCTGTATACATATTGATCACCCAATTAGTCAACAAACAGCCTCAAACGACATGTGAACGCAAGATCTTGCTTGGTGCCATTTCTGGTATCGGACTTTCAGGATTGCGTGACGATTGGGTGATCATCAACGTATCCAATTCTCAAGAGCCTGATCCTCTCCTTCATACGCCTTTCAAGACTGAATTGGTAACACATCTTTTACAAAGAACCAGTGGTGGTATCAATGTAAATGTTGCCAATCATCTGGAGTACTCTAAAGGAAAGGATAAGAAAGGTCATATTGACTTCAAGAAGGATGAAACGATTCAACGTGGAGATGTGTACAAGAGTTCAAGTGTTGCAGTTCCCTCCGGTGAATCACCTTCATCGGTTAGCAGACCACCTGCAAAGAGAAAGCCGGGAATCGTACGTCCGATCACGCAAGGCAAACTCTTGAAACCCGGCGGTCCTTCCAATGCGAACAGAAGACCAAAAGCTCAAGCATTACCACGAAGTCAACCCAAGCCAGCTGCTGCTTTGCCTTCTGGTAATACCAGAGCTGTTCCCGCTCAAAGGGCACCTATTGCGCCACCAGCAGCGCCTGCTGCACCCGAAAAGCCGATGTACAAAGTTTTGTACGACTTCCATACCGATCAAGATGGTGAGATGGCAATCACGGCGGGCGAACAGGTAGAAGTAACAGCAAAAGAAGACAATGGATGGTGGTTAGTGAAGAAAGGAGGTAAAGAAGGTTGGTCACCAAGTGATTATTTGGAACTCGTTCCAGCCGTCAAACGTGCTCCTCCTGCCGCTCCTGCACCGGTCAAACGTGCACCACCACCTGCTCCTGGAATCGGAGGAGGAGGTGTTGCTGCTGCTGCTGCTAGAGCAACACCACCAGTCGCAGCCAAAAAGCCAGCAGGATTTGGTGCAAGTACGAATGGCGCTTCAACACCACCAATCGCACCCAAACCAAAAGCTGCGGTGAATACAGCAGCCGGAAAACCACACGAGAAGCCATCTTCAGTACGACCGGATGCAGGGGCAGCACCCGTTGCTGTTTTACCAGGTATGGATCCAGGAGGTTTTGCTGCCGTTTTGGCGAAAAAGAAAGCTGCAATGGCTGCTGAAAGAGGAGAAGCACCTGAATCGAACGGTGATTCGGCTGCTGCACCTCCTCCGGCCGCTCGTCCAACACCGCCTCAACCACCAGCTGGAAAAGGAAAACCACCCGTTGTTGCTCCCAAACCTCCTGCTGGAAACGGACGTGCAATGCCACCACCACCTCCTAGACGACCCTAGATGATTTCATTACAATGATTGAAGAAAATGCTCCTTATATGAATCCAATTTTTTATTTTCTAATGGATGTATGAATATGCACAATTGAATAATAAGATATTAAGATCACATTTACAAATAAAGTTTGAATGCACAATGGGATAAAATACAAAACAAAAAGGTTAAAAAGGTTGCATCGTAATTTGTACAAAAAGAAAAGTCAAAAAACATCTTTAAACGTAAGACGCACTACTTGAAGGTCGACGTAAATGAGATGCCAAGATCGGCTTATAGACGGGTGAACTATTTTGACCGTTTGTGGATGGATGAGGGAGAGGATAAAGCGGTTGACTGATTCTTTCGCTGGGGGGATTAGCATTGTCCGATTTATTTGGGATAAGGAGGGAAGTTGTTGATTTGCCATCTTGCAAAGACGAACGACCAGTTGGGAATCGATAGGTGTGCAAAGATGAAATATTTTTGGAATCGTTTTCATTACCGCTCAAAAGTGTGTGACCATTGCTTGTCACGTCTTTACCTACTTGATCGAGTGAATGAGATGATTTGGAGTCTTCATCATCTTCCAGTAATTCCACTTCATCCATACCAGGAGAAGGCAAGACGTGCGACCGTCTGGTATCATAAGTTGTAAGTGTTTCATCGCCCGTCAAAGTTTGATCGTAAACATCTTCATATTCTTCATCGTCGTCAAGCAGATCTTCCACATCGTCCACATCTGCTGGTAAGTCAGACGGCATGGAAAGGGTCGGTCTTCGATCGCTCATGAATGAGGCCTTTCTGTATACTTCAGGCTCGCTAGCCAGCACCACTTCTTCACCGCTCGTTCTTCCGTCCGGGCGACTAGGGAAGAGCACAGGTGAAGGTAATACCAAATGTTCATTTGACATGGCTCCATACTTTGAAGATGAAATCGATCCTGCTCTTGACCTTGATCTTTCTGGCGTCTCTGGTAGTGGGATACTGTCAAAAGCTGATGCTGCATCGGGCTGAAGATCAAGTCCAAATGTTGGTCTCTTTGTATTATTACTGCTGCTCAATGATGAGCTGAGATTCGTCGAGCTTCCGTTGTGCCACGTTTTCAACCTCTCTAGACCCAAATCGGTCGAGCGAGAAGACCTCATTTCTGTACTTCCTTGAGCTGGAATGTCGATAGGGTTCTGATGCAAAGATTGTGACTCTTTCTGGTTCAACGAAGATGCTCCAGCCGAGCTTCGATTTGCGCTTGAGCCAGTGAAAGAAGCAGTAGCAGGCGATCTGCTTCCGGTCCATGCTCCAGACGAATCTTCCACCCAACCATTCAAAGACAAATCCAAAACATCTACATCTCTTTCTGGTTGTTTTATTTTTGATCTTTCAAGTTTAGCATCCGGGCTTGTGCTTTGCAACAATCCGGAGGCCTTCTTGCCAATGCCGGTTTTGAGCAGATTTGATAATCGATTAGCCGTAGGTTCCACAAAAGATTTTCTTCGCGACCAAGCTTTTGTAGATTTCACTGGCGATTTTACTCTGGGTGAGTCTTTCTCTTGGGCCTCACTTCCAAATACATCATCGTTGGTTTGAGGTGCCATTGGAGGAGATAAGATAGCATTGATCCGTAGCGAGTCATCTCTAGCGGAAGAGATTGAACCTCGTGCGGCCATATCCGCATTCTCACTGTTTCCATTTGATACGATCTTTTTCAAAGACAAAGAAGCTTCACTATCCCTTCGACCACCCTTGAAAATAGTTTCAAAAGGAGATGCTGGTCTGAAGTCATTCTGTGCATTCGCTTCGATCGCATTAGTCTTTTGTGGGTCAATATACGTCAAAAATGCTGGACCGACAGTCGACCAACGCTTGCTGTGAGCAGAATTGAAAGATTGCTCAAGAGACGATCTCTGATCTGGATTGATCGAATCAATGGAAGGATGGCGATGCAGCGGCCCATTACCGTCTGAACGAGAAGGTCGGCGTGGAGCTGAAGCTTTTGAAGACGATTGGGAGGAGATCGATACCCTTCTGTTTTTCTCTTCTTCGATACTACCCGTTTCACCTTCTAGCTCTTCGCATACATCCTCATGTGTAGCGTTGCGGTAAAAAGCAGGTGATACTGGGATCACATCATTGACCATATCGGGCGTAATACCGAGACTTACAATGCTGCTTCTTGACCGAGCATGCTCGTATGAAACGTGCTCTACAATGCTATCACGATTGGATCGAGGTGCCTCTGTTCGACTTCTCGATCTGGCAATTCTACCTTCCGACGGGCGAGGGATACGTGAAATGACACTTTCCATACTCGATTTACGTTGTAGTGAAAGTGGTTCAGGTGTACTCTCTTCTGAATTGCTATCAGCAAGCGTTTCTTGTATGTCATTGTGTGCTTTTGAATCAAAAGAAGAATGCATACCGGGTGAATGCTGCATAGAGAATCTCCGTCTTGCAGGTATGACGGGCATCGTGCTGATATGAGGCAACGATGGTCTCCTGTTCTGATCTGCAGCTTGTGCTTCTGATAGGGCATCTTTGTCAGACAAGCTCGTATAGAGCGGGAAGCTGTTCGAGGCCGCAATTGTATCTGTCGCTTTTGATTGGTGAACGGAAGCTGCAGATGATGACTTATTCTTGATTGGGCTTCCGCCAGTCTTTCTTGTTGACAAAAGCTTCTTCTTGAGACCTGAGATAAGTCCTTGCTCGGAATTGCGGTAATCTGTCGCCTTTGATTTGTTTGGTGGAAGTGGCGGTAGCATTTTCGCATCTTCTAGCTTTTTGGTAGCAAAGATCACCTCTTCTGGCTCGCCAAGCAATGCGCTTAATGCCTTTCCTCTGTGTCTATTGGATATACTGACATCAGGCAATTCGTCATCTTGCAAAGTAGCAGGCGATCCAAGTCGATCTTGACTGTATGTGCGTGTGTTCAGAACATCATTAACCGTGGCAGATGCGATATACCTAGAAGGACTCGTCTCTTCGGTTATGGATCCCGGTCTTGGAAAAGAAACAAGAGAGCCAAATTGACGATCTGCTTCTGCACCCGGTGAATCAATTTGCTCTTGCGTCCAGCCACCGAATTGTAAATGACCAGAAAGCGAAGGTGCAAGTGCGGAAGGCTGATTTCTTGCAAGCTTCGAAGCCGGGCTTGCATGTTCAAAGGTTGCGCTGACTGGTGAGGCATCTTCGCTCATGCTCGTCCTACTGTCTGCACCACCGTTCGGAGTACCGAAGACAGCAGCAAGACGAGCGTTTCCTCCACTATACCGTTGACGAGCTCGAAGTTCTGCTTTGCTAGAAGCAGGAGAAGGAAAGGTTGGAGCAGTACTTGCCTCGCTAGATAAGGTACTGTAACTTTTGGATGTCATCAGGCTTGCATTGGTTGTTGAAGATGGGCGTGGATTCGAAGTTGAGGATTGAGGTTTTTGCCATGACGGTGTTCCTGGAAACGATGGCGAATCTGTAAATGAAGTCAAGAGGGTCGGTGTAGAGGAAGATGCGACTTGTGAATTGGCATGGCTATATGGCGATAGAAGCTCGTTAGGCGATGCCACTTCTTCCATTGATGTTGCACCGTTGAGCCAGATTTCGTCGATGCTAGGCCGTATACGAGCCTTGCTTTGTAATTTTGCTTCGATCATAATTTGATGTTGGAAGTCTTGATCGTTGTTATCCCACATATCTTCATCTGGACCATCATCATCTTCTTTTTGCTTTGGAGATGAATATAAGCTGGCAACTCGTTTCCAAGTATTTGATGTCCTCCTTCTTGTAGATCGTATTGAATTACTGTCAAAGATTGCGTCAAAGCTAGAACGTGGTGTCCCTCCCACGCTGCGTGCATCAACGCTTGACATTCTTGACAATCAGCTTAACTAGAGATTGATGATTATCATGAGTTGTTCGATGTCGTGGCAAGAAAGATGATGATCGGTTCGGATTGACAGTTGTGGGGAGATGATAACGTCGGTGGAATTGTCTAAAAGGGATGTTGAAATCAAGATCGGCAGACAAAGGTTGAATGAATGAAGAATTGACTTGCTGGTTTATCCAAAGATGCAATGCAATGTAATGTATGTAAAGCAAGCATCTGCAGGTGGGCCGGGCGTTCTTCCCCTACGGTTTTGAATCAATGAATAACAGTAATTCATTGCGGACAGGTGTTCAAGAGTAAATGCATTCGATCTCTTTCTTCTTTTTCAAAATCGAAGCCAATTAACCAAACAAATCGTGCCTGGGGTGTGATTCAGTGTTTCATCTTTTAGCAGCAATCAAAGCGGGGGAAAAGGATACTCAAAGTGAACCGCACTGACAATCTACCTCCAGAACACTAGCTCATCTTACCTGTTCAAGACTTTCATGCAATCATCCGTCACAGAATCTGTCAGAAAAGACTGTCATTGTCTGAGCGAACAATGAATTGTGTAAGAAGAGAGGCGCGTTCCCTCGTGCATTAAACGCCCTTCATTTGAAAAAAAGTTGTAGAGCTAGTGCCTCTTCTGGATAAACCATGATTGCGGAATATAAAGATGCAGCACTATTTCAGTAAGCTAATCTTATCCGAAGTATTTCAATTGTGCAGAAACTAGACCACGCATTACATGCATTGAATACAACCAAAGGAAGGGAAAGCTGATCCAGTACCTGATTAATGCATCCGAAGTGGAACACCGTGCCATGTGACAATTTACGCTATTCTATTCCTGTGCATTGACTGGAACCCAGCGAAAGATAACTCATCCATCAGTAAGAACACTGTCAGCTGTTTGAAGCCCGGTGCCGTTTTCATTCGTGCGTGTATAGCATCTGCATGAATTGCACCATCAGAAAGCTTAATCTATTGTATTATACTCACGCTAAGGATAATTCACAGATCGACGTTTGCACTGCTCCAAAGCCCTTCTTTTCAAACCTTCCTTTTCGAGTCTTCTGAATAGCGTTTGACGCCCATCGAAGTATTGATTTGCTTTCATTTCATTGGAAGGCAAGGATGATGTCCGTGGAGATATATTCCGGCTCTTATTCAATATACTGACGTAAGATAAGTAAGGCACGTCGGCGTCAATAAGTAAATCTCTAAGCGATGTTCGAACCATTAAATGGGATTCGGATAAGGATGTAGAATAAGTCCCACTTGCAATTGGTGCCTGGTAGAATATCCGCAAGAATGAGCCCAGTAAGCGGGCATAGTCGGTCGATTAAAAATATTGCTTACATAACGAGTAGTAGTGGAGAATTTCTATCGCCCCGCATCTTCTGTGAATATCCGATCAGATCGTCCTCTCAGGCACGGTAGCAGTCTTTACCCGTCGATCCTCTTCTGCTTATGTCCGTGCGCGTATTTCCGATTGTGAAAGGATGATGATGGACGTCAAGAATGTATGCATCATTTCGATCTTCATCATCATCATTTCCAACAAAACAACATGAGTGCACCAAAACGATTCGAAGCAAAACTGGACGAAGATCGCTTGAACGACTTACAAAAACGTTTGGATAGAGCATGTGAAGAAGCAGAAAGAAAACCCGAACCAACGGCGGTATGGGAGATGGATAAAAAGAGATTAGGAATGACACATGATCGTCATCGTCAGCTATTGTTTGCTTGGCGTGATTTCTTGTCTGGAAAGCCAACTGGTACACAACAGCCTACAGCCAACGGACAAAGACCGGGAGCGGATCATGATACATGGAAAGCGTTTGAAAAACGATTAAACACTTTTGATCATTATATGTCACAAATTGAAGATATAAATATGCATTTCATTTGGGAACGTGCTGCAACGGATGCAAGACAAAGGAGACCTGTGATACCGCTTGTGCTATTGCATGGTTGGCCAAGCTCAGTTCTAGACTTCTTCAACACTATTCATCCTCTCGCACATCCAGGCGCTACTTCTCCTTCGGATGTACCCGCGTTTGATGTCGTCGTACCATCACAAACTGGATATCTCTGGAGTTCATCACCTAGAGTAGATCAATTCGGCCGTGGGCAGCATAGTGGACCTCAAGGTGATATCCTACTAAAGGATGAAGCCAGATTAGTGCACAAATTGATGCTAAGCTTAGGATATCGTAAATATGCGATTCAAGCAGGAGATTGGAGTAACGTGATGGCACGTTTGATGGCACGCATGTATCCAGATCATGTTGTCGCTGTTCATCTAAACTTCTGTCCGGCTGGACCACCAAATATCGAACTTCCATTGGTACATTTTGCATCACATTTCATCCCTCAACCGATCAAGAACCTAGCATGGGCATTCACACCAAGTCTCATCGCAACAGCAATTCAGAATGTGATAGAATTTCCGGCTTGGCGTGAACGTGAACACTACTTACGTGAACCCGGAACCATCGATTGGCTAGCACACTACTTCATGGGCTTCCCACGTCCTTTGAACGATCAAGATCGCAAGAAGTTACAACGCTCAATCCCCTTCATTCGAACAGGATCTGGCTATGCGATCATGCAGGGTACACGTCCATCAACCCTAGGGCTGGTGCTGCAATCGGATCCTGCCGCATTGCTGGCATGGATAGGCGAAAAGTATATCGAATGGACAGATGATGATCCAAGTGATGCAGAAATCTGTGCTCAATTGACATTGTACTGGTGTACAGACACGATGGCAAGATCGATTTACAATTACAGAAATCGGGTTCAACCTTCCGGATCACTTCCGCGAACCGACCCTAACCTTTACATCAATCAACCGTTCGGAATGAGTGATTTCCCATTCGAAGTTTTACCTACGCCAGTGGAATGGATGAGAAGATCGGGTAATTTACAATGGTACAGGAAGCATTCAAAAGGTGGTCATTTTGCTTCGTTAGAAAGACCTGCAAATTATGTGGAAGATGTAAGGGATTGTTTTGCAAAGATTTGGAAACCATAAAATTTCATATAATTAATACCCTATCAATGATTATATACATTTCTTATTTCCAATTTGGTCTCTTTTCCAATTCCAAAAGACTATCGATACTTTCATCTAACGTTTGTTCCCAACCGCGGAACTTCATTCCAAGTTCTTTCTCAGCAGGCGTAGTGTCCAAGCTGGCATAGGATGTTTTTGGATCTTTCTTGTTTGCAATCGCTTGTTCGTATCCTTTTGGGAATCTTTTGACCAATTCAGGTTTGCTCTTGGCCAAGTGTTCCAACGAAGATGCCCAATTGTACGGACCGCCGAAGAGTAAATAACGTTGACTTGGAGCAGAGTCTGATGCTAACCAGCGAATATGAGCATCACCTACATCGCGGCCATGACAGAAAAGAGGTAAGCGATCTGCAGGTACTTCGTCCAAGTTTGAGATTAAGGAATAAATCGCTTTAGACGAGGTATTGAGGTTAGAAAGATTGACGGCAGGTTGTAATGTTGCACCGTAAATCATTGGAGGATTGAAAGCTGCAATCTTGAAGCCAGGCTTTTCCTTTTCGACGAAATCCCAAGCTGCACGTTCTGCCAACGTCTTAGAGACAGAGTAGGCCACCGGTCCTTTTGCATCGTCTCTTCCGAATGGGTTCCAATCCTTTTGTGTGTACGTGTATCCGGGTCTGTTTGGACCATCTTTTGTGAAATCGACTACGGCAGCAAAACTACTAGTGATTGCAATACGCTTGACAGATGGCTCTTTTGCTGCATAGCGCAAAAGATTCAATGTACCTTCGATTGCTGGAACGAGTAAATCACGTTCAACATCTTCAACGGCTAATTGATAAGGACTTGCTGTATGTGCGATGTAGGTTACACCACGTACTGCTTCTGATAAATCGCTTGCTTCAGTTTTCTTTACTTCAACAAGTTCCACTCGCTCCCGGTCTGCTTTTGAGAGACGATTTAACAATTCATCCTTCTTTGATAAACTTCTCAATGTTCCACGAACACGGAATCCTTCAGGTGCTGCTAAAGCTGCATCTAATACATGAGCAGCCAAGAATCCGGTGATACCAGTAATAAGAACGATTGGCTTTTCTGATGCTGAAGACATGTTTGTTTGGTTGTATGGGTTGAGGTGATGGTTGTAACAATAGAATGAGAATCTCTCCACTTTCTGATTCTTCACGCATGAGCCACACCAACTAACTTCGGCGTTATACTTTAGACCGACGGCTTAACTCCGCGCGTTTCAAAAGCCGAAAAGAGAAAAGAGCATTCATTCAATCAACCAAACAGGTTCTTCGTCAACTATCATGATGGTCATTACAAGAGTACGAATGAAATGGGGAAAACAAGGGGTCGAATAATAGGCTTGAATCAAGTGACCATGCAGACATTGTTGTTCATGAATCTTGGGGGCAAATGATTTCAACAATTGGGTTCTTGTCTTTTGTTGAATCTTCATCGGTTAAACCACCTTTGCGACCGTTTTGAGCAAATCTAGCTTTAGCATCACCAAAGGCCATAAAGTTTGCATCTTTATCGTTAAACCAAACACCAATCCAGTTTGATTTACCATTTGCATTTTTGGCTTTAGCACATTCGATCAAGAAGGTCACACGTTCTTTTGCAATGCATTCACCGCTATCACGTTCTTCGCCATTACCACCGGGTAATTTCCATTTGGTATTGCATTTTGCTTTTGTTGAATTGACGGTATAGTAGGCTGCATCTTGTGCACGAGCACCAGGTGCAAGCTTGAGACAACGTGTACCAGGTGTACCACAACTTTTGAAGTGCTTGACGTCAACATATTGAATACCGTCAGGGTTGATGTTGCCTTGCAACTTTTTATGGAATGCTCCTTTTGGAGGAAGGGCAAAAGCAGAGGCCAAGAAAGCCAAAGCGAGAATGTTGGTGGTGAATTTCATTTTGAAAGGATGAAAGGTGTGATGGAGAGGATAGAAGTAGAGGAAGTGAACACTTGGAGAATTGTCATACTCTTTCAAGAAAGAACACTTCTATTTATGTCTTTTAGGTACGGAATGATTTCCGTAAAGAACAACAAAAAGAATTTCAATTTAAGACGGCTCCGCGATGTTGTAAAACATTGATGCGCCGCAGGAGCTGGACTTCCGTCAACCGAATGAATTAAACACAATCTCAGCCTGCCTTTCTTGCTGTAAATTTGCATACCAAGGAGAATAGGCTTATTATAACTCAGCTTTGTATGAATTCTGTTGCGCCAAGAGCAGGTACTCCGTCGCTCATTTATTCATACTCAATTTGCAGCCTCTGTTGTACGCCAAATAATAAGCTAGAAAGTACGATGATTTGTACTTCATAAAATTGTAAACAAATGAGAATGTTTCTGATTCATTTCGCAGCAGCATATTCAACTCAGCGAAGCCCAGCTCTTTTTTGATCGAAGTCCTCAATTATTTCAGCCTTTTTTGATCGAACTTTCTATCAAGCTCTTTTTCAATCGGATTCATCATTCATTTGAGCGCTTTCTGATCGGACTTTTTTCGTTGATCAAGGTCTTCCTCGATCAGTTTCTCAAATTATTTCAGCCCTTTCTCGATCCTGATCTTCGGCGTTCAACAGACTTGAAATCCTTCAGGTGCTGCTGAAGCTGTTTCTTGAAAGATGAGCATTTCAAAGACCTGAAACGATCGGGTTTTCTGCGGCTGATGACACGGTTTCTTTATTCATGGATGAGGAGATGGTTAATGCGACCACATAATCATTCCTCTCTTCCTTCTTATGTATCACTGATGACGGCGCTGTACGAGCATCGTCTGAATAGACAGACTTGCAACATCATTCCGCACATCCTAAAAATTGAAAGAGAAATAGCATTGCATCCCATACCGAAAGTAGTCTTAGCTAATCAAACAGATACTAACTTCGCGAACGATAAATGATGGATAACAATGGATTGAACTTATTTATGAAATATGTACGAATTGATGAAGAGTTTGACAGACTCGCTTTATTGACATTTCAAGTTTTGGTCAATTATCGTAAAGTGCAGCGCACTGTATTGCTCAGTTACCTTGTGGGCAAATGATTTCAACGATGGGGTTGTTGTCTTTAGTTGAGTCTTGATCGGTCAAGGGACCTGTATGACCTTTTTGGGCAAAACGTGCTTTAGCATCACCGTAAGCCAAGAAGTTTGTATCTTCATCATTGAAAAAGACTGCCAACCAGTTAGATTGGCCGTTTGCGTTCTTGTCTTTAGCACATTCGATCAAAAAGCTTGTACGTTGAGTTGTCAAACAATCACCGCTCTCACGGGTTTCACCGTTGCCACCAGGTAATTTCCATTGACCATTGCATTTTGCTTTTGTTGAATTGATGGTGTAGTATGCTGCATCTTGTGCACGAGCGCCAGATGCAAGTTTGAGGCAACGAGTACCGGCTGTACCGCAGGTTGTGAATTGCTCATCCACATGTTTAATACCGTCAGGGTTAATGTTGCCTTGCAACTTTTCATGGTATGCATCATTTGGTGCAAGCGCAAATGCAACAGCCACGAAAGCCAAAGCGACAAAGTTAGCGACAAACTTCATTTTGAGGAGCTGAAAAATGTTGGTAAAGAATATGAGAGCAAGAGAAGTAGGACTTGGGTGATTGATTTGCTTTCTCAGAAAAAAAGACTTCTATTTATGTCTTTTTTAGCAGATAGAATACTACTATACCTTACAGAAACCACACAACTCGAGTTTGACACGGCTCCGCAAGTTTGAAGACTTCGTTGCCATACAAGCACAGGACTTCCGATGCTCGTATATGATTTGTATACACGAATATGGCCCGCTTTCCTTGTCATCTTTTACGCCAAAGCTGAAGACATGATCAAAAGTTTGCTATAGGATGGCTCCGAAGCTCTGTTTCAAAAGTTCAGTTAATTCTAGCATACACAAATAAGTTGGAATTTAATATTAGATTGATTGAAAATCAAATTTGAGACGGCTCCGCACTGTATTTGAAAAAAAATGCCCTAACGAGAGCAAGACCATTTGAAGCTCAATAAGTTACCGGCTTCTCTCTTTCCACTGATAAACAAAGGGCTGATATTAACATCAAAGCTGTAATTTTCCGTTACGCCACTATTAAAAAAAAGCAGATTGAAAGCCAAATCTAAGACGGCTCCGCAATTATGATGGTGTTTTTGCCTTACGAGAGAAGGACTTCCGTCACCCGTATGCAAATTTCGATCATACTACGTAAGAGACACTCATCTTTCATTGAGTTATACACAAAAATTATCGACCGCCAAGAAATTGTACTCGAAATTAAAGCTGCAATTTCGGTTTGATAGGAAACGGGTTTACGTCATCATAAAATTCATGATCCAAGGCAACAGGACTTCCGTGGCTCATGTGATATTGCATTTTACACATTGATTATTGTATTCAAATGCCAATGAATGCGTTCAAAAGTATGCCTATTTGTTGATTAGAAGGATGGAGATCAATGCGGAAGTGTATCATCTTTCTTGCTAAGAATTTTAGCTTCTGCGTTTTGAAGCACAAAGCGCTTCAGACGGGCAAAAATAATGACTCGCTTTGACATCAGAGGGGAGGGAACTCATTCTGAAAACTATCAAATCAGAAATGACCATTAAAGATGTTAAATAAAAGGATTTACGCTGCAACGATGATGACCCAAGTATTCTTACATCGTCTCGTTGATGTACACGCAATGAAGATGATTACATAATCACTTCCTCCACTGTGAAGAAGCTGAAATGGTTAGACTCGAAATTCATAAGCCATCGGATTTTTGCTCGGCTCTTATCAACCCGATCTAGAAAGGGGTTCTCTTTTAACCTTTACACAGCCTCCTTTGTATCGTTTGCATCCATCATACCAGCAACCTAGTGATTTGACAGGATGGCGTCAAAGCCATACGCAGCATCTTCGCCTGAATACAACATACCGATAAGTGAACGTAAACGACCAACAGATTGGGTTCGAACGATTTTATTTGGAGTGTATTTTAATGCATGCATCTTGTTCATTCATTCATTTCAATATTTCATCGGTCTATTGTATCCTTTTCCGGGTTCACGCAGGTATTATGAAATCTTGATTCAATATACCAAACGTGGATTCGGGAAAACAATCGTTGCAATCTCTCAACTTTTCGCTCCAACGACAATCATTTTGACATGTTCTGATACGGAAGGTAACATTATCAATCCTGAAGAGTTGGTGCAACGTGATACAAATGGAAATGTGAAAAAGATTCAACTTCCGCAAAAGAGCGTTTGGATCAGTAATCATCAAATTTATACTGATTGGCTTTACCTTTGGTGTTTGGCATATTATAGCGATTTGGCCGATTCAATCTTTATCATTTTGATGAAATTGTACAAATGGCTCGTTCCAATTGGACCTGCTATGCAATTTTATCGATTCATCTTCTTGCAAAGGAAGTGGGAGAGCGATAAGGCTTACTTGGCCAGACATTTGAGTTATCTGGCTCACTTGGCATCAGACAAGAAATCAGACGATGCCGCAAGTGGATCTGCGTCAAAGTTGCTCTTGCTCATCTTCCCAGAAGGTACACTTGTCTCGCCTCTTACCCGTCCAGTCAGCAAAAAATTTGCCGATAAATCTGGCATTGAGGATTGCACAAATTTGCTATTACCAAGAAGTACAGGATTACTTTTCAGCCTTCGTAGTCTGGCAGCTGATATCAAAGATCTCAAATTGGTAGATTATACAATCGGTTATGCTGGTGTTCCTAAAGCAGGAACAGGTCAAGAATATTACACTTTACGTTCAACTTTCATGCAAGGTGTTGCACCACCAGCCGTTCATGTTCACTTTACAATTTATTCTCTCGATCAATCTTCTCCAAATGCACCACCGATCGGAAAGCTTTCCGAAAGTGCTGCCAAAGCTGCAGAGCAAGATAGTACGCAAGAAGAAAAAGATGCTTTTTCCGATTGGCTTTTGCAAAGGTGGAGAGAAAAAGATGCCATGCTAACACGATTCTACAAAGATGGCGATTTTATCAGTGGCCAGTACTTATCCAAACGTGGTCAATTACCCAAGAAAGCAGACGGCAAATCAGACGATATACCTTTTGTTGAAATCCCAGTCAAATTGCGTAACTTTTTCGAATTTGGCGATACGATCGCTTGGGGTGTTTCAATCGTCTTGATTTGGGCAACATACAAAATCATCAGAGTTGTAGTGTAAATGTATTACCATGTAATCATATTTATTTCCAAAAGAAGGTATAAGATCAAAAGCATTGAGAAGATCGTTTCGAGTCGTTCACGTACCAGTACAAAAGGAGAAAGGTGGTTAGAAATATATCATGCAGCGTTCTCATCCAAGATGGCTTCATTCAATTCTGCCAAAGGTGCTAGTTCTTTGGGATCAACGAGCTGGAATTCGTTGATGAATAGGAGGAAGTGTCGGTAGCTTGTGTTGAGGTGGGCTGTTAGGGAAGGGATGATTGAAATAGGTTAGTGGGTTACCGTGGGAAGTTAACCGAGCCAGACACTCACCTTCCAAGCTCAATGCGCAAATCTGTGCGAAGTGATGGTTGTAGATATGAGCATAAACACGGAATAACCTTCTCAAGATGGATTTGACTGTAGCTTGGAAATTCGACGGGAAAGAAACACCGACTTTTGATGGAAAGATTTCTTCGTTATCCAACATTGCTTGTGTCCAAGTCATCAAACAATCAATATAATCGGGAGCGCTCATCCTTGTTGGCTTACGATACTCGGCTGAGTTACTGTCTTGCCAGTGGTATTCATATCGTGCACCTGCGCTCATCGTTGGACATTCGGATGGAATGCAGAATTCTGTAATTGTTCCATAAAGCATGTTAATATGATTGAAAAAGTCTACAGTATTGACTGCTAACCATTCATCTAAATCTTCTCCATCAGGTAGAATTACAGCTCTGCGTAGATTACCCGATCCTAAAGTTGCTTCTGCATAACGTTTGAGTTGATATTGTTTTGTACCTTCGGGTATATTTCTTTTTGGTTTGAATGTTCTTGTTTTTGAAAGTTCAAATAGAGATGACATTATGACAATTGCTAGTGATGGTGGTGAACAAGATTAACAAACAATCAATTAGAGTTTCACTGAGCATTTTGGCTTTGGCTTTGGCTTGTGTATGCATGTCAGTTTCCTCTTATGGGTTTAAACATCTTGTGTGCGTGCGCTATGTACACGGATTTACCCCTTTTTCTATTGTGTGGGCTTGTGTTGCTTAAACACCAACACTCATTTAAAAGCGGAGTTATCCATTAAAACGCGTCTTGATTCTTAGCACGTGTTGATGTGGAGTTCTGTGCATTCACTAAACGCATTCATTCATATTCATCATCATTACAACCAATACGAATGAGAAGATAACAATCAGGATATGAGCTGTTACTATACAGCTTCCACAGATACCAACATCAAATCCATGAGAGCTCCCCAAATATGGTGGTCGCATTAAGATATGAGCAGGCGCCGGCAATGCGATTCGTTCATGTGACTGCATTCGGAGATGCATTGAGAGAGGTAACAGAGGATAATAGTGATGGAAGTGATGCAATTTCATCTTTAAACATTTCAAATGCAATGAACGATCATGGTTATTCATATGCAGACGCAAAGATTGCCGATGTCATTCATGCTCTTTGGTTTAGGCGTGATGTAATGCACATAAACGTTTTCAATTTGCGTGTGATTACAATTGCACCTATTTGCAATGATGTCAAAGAAATCTCAAATCAATTTCAGCATCATATGCAATCCATCGTACCCAAAACATATCCAACGAGCAATAGAGAATTACCTGTTCGTCGTTTGAGAGTCAATGATAGCGGTCTGCAATCCAAAGATCTCAAAGAAATATCTGCTCTACTCTGTGGAAATGCAACTTTGGCTACGATTGCGTTGAACGGGAACGATCTTTTACCGCAAGAGCCATACATAATGAAACGTCTTGCTTGTGCTATTAGTATGTCAAATCTTCGTGTTCTGGAATTGTCAAATAATATGATTGGAACACGTTCATTGGTGGAATTATTGGATAATCTACATACCCCTTCGCTCACGAGATTGGCTCTCTCAATGACCTTCTTACGAAAGCATTTGGCCGAAGATCAATCATTCAATCCTCTTTGGGCTCACGATAAGGCTCGATGGAGTTCTCTTACATCAGCAGAAGTATGGAAGGAAGAAGTTGGTGCTGTGACGGATCGATTGGTAACGCTTGTGCGACACGATAAACCTGCACCATTTGTTCCACATTTAGAGTGGCTTTCATTGAACGGCAACGATCTCGGTTGGCGAACTGTAAAACGTATCACAGCTGCTATACGGGATACCAATAGATGTTTGGAACATGTTGAACTCTTTTCAACCACAGATGCACAGGGTTCCAAAGAGTTGGACAACGACACGGATGATGAGCTGGAAACAGGCGAGGATCAGGCTCAGCAATCGGCTCCTCCCGCTCAAGAGAATGGCGTTCGTCGATCCACCAGTATTGGCAGTCATTTTGTAGCACGGAGGAGGCAACAGATTGCACAAGATCGCGAGGAAAGGCAAAATGCACCTTTGCTATTGACGTGGCATCCGGAAGACGTAGGAGAATCCCGACCGCCGTTGAACAAAACGAATTGGCGAAAAGAGTTGGAGATTCGATTGAAAGAGAATCGTCAGGCAAAGGCAGGTATCAAGAATGTCAGTCGAAAATTGCTAAGAATTCTACGTACGTTAACGTGCAAATGTCACGAAGCAAAAGAAGAACCATCTGATGGCTCTTTTCCCTTTACAAAACTACCGCCAGAAATACGACAAAGGATCGTTATGCATTTAGACGGTAGTGATACCCTATCACACAAACAGATAGAGAGAATCATCAGTTTTGCAAGTGATCCTTCCACGATTGGATATGGTCGCAGGAGCTCAAATTTGGGCTTATCTCGATTGGCGGTAGATGAAATATACAAGGAGGTAACGAATAAAGTTGAGGAGATAACCCGTGATGATTACGGTTTGCTGTTGCACAAAAAATTTCGTTGGAAGGATATGATGAACAATTACTCAGTTCCACGAGATTGGCCCGCTACTTTATTGGACGACACAACTTCGTCCTGCTCGAATGAAAGTTCCATCGGTGACTACAGCCAAGGAAATGTGACGCTTGTCTCATCCAATACGCAATCTGTCGGCAGAACAAGACAAATTTGGCTAGCCGAGCAGAGTGGATTGCAAGCGTATTATGAGGCAACAGGAACGTATTGCGCAGACTGAATTCAACGGATGATAGACAACTTTCTGTAATTATAGCAATTTGTATATAATACATACTTTTATTCGGCATAGTCGTCCTCGTCCGACTCACGATCTTTCGTTCTTTCTCGCGATCTGGACAGCTCACCCAACCTTGCAGCGCTAATATGACCGCCCTTAATGAGAGCATTTAGCAATTCACCTCCAGGAAAGTATCCGTTCTTGACCATCTCCTGACCGATATTTATCCATCGATCGTCATCTTCTCTCAAACAGCGAAGAGCAACGGCCAAAAATGAAGCTTTTGACGGTATCATCTTCGATTGACATTCTTGCAAGAAAGCGTATGCATCAGAATAATTTTCTTGCGCGACGTACAAAACAATTGCTCTTTCGTATGTAGTTTCATCAGCCTTGATCTTGTATGCGTTCAGCTCGCGAAAGACAAATTCGGCCAATTCTCGACTGTCTGTATCAATTGCTGTTCCGAGTAACGCATTGAAAGTTGCAATATCAGGTTGAATAATTCTCTTGTTAGCACTGATCTCCTGTTCATGCACAGTATCCATATCTTGAATTTGGGTGATCGTCTGACGTATGATCTCTTTTCCCGGTTCTCCCACCATATCGGCATTCATACCTAATTCCAGATAGAATGTTGGCAATTTTGGAAGTGCAGCTTCTGACACCTTTAGCCCATCTGCAAGGTATTTTCGTACACCATAGATTTTCAAAGCCATTTCATGAAGACCGGTTTTTCTTGCTAATCGAATCATTGCGTTCATTGAATGCGTGATCACGCCTCCATCTTCACTTCCATCTCTTCCAACTGTGACGAACGCTTTGTATGCAGTTCTAGCCAATGTCTTTGATGATTCAAATGGATTGGAGAGAGCCAACAAGTGATTTTTCGTTGATGCAACATGAGCCAACTTTGCTATTTTTGTTGCTGTTCGAAGAGCTCCTTCGAAATCACTTTTACTGCACTGTGCGTCGAATAAAGGCATTAGGTGCCATTCTCGCATTTCGTTTCGCACTTGACCAAAACCCTTCATTGCCATCAAAATGTCTTCGATAAATTTTGGTTGACTTGCTCTTGAGGCGCAATGCAAGATCGACATGAACAGACCTTCATCCGGCCTGAAAAGACCACGTCGAATAGAACGCTCCCATGCCAATTCGACACCGGGAAACCAATGCTCCTCAGCGCAGCAACGCAAGACCTCCATCCAAATATCATATCCAAGTGTACGCTTAGAAGCACCTTCGTCAAACCAGAGTGCTAAATCGGACATCAACCTTGCATGTCTACAATCTCTAGCAAGATTCAAGATGGCTTTGATCGTGGTAAGATCTAAGATTTCATGTAGAAACAGATGCTGTCTTGTCGGATCTTTTTCTTCTTCTTCCTTCGACCTTCGTCCTGCAGCACCCAATAACGTCAAACCATACTCTAAGTTGCGGCTCATTTGACATTGCAAAAACATCGTCCGATACATTTTCGGCGTCCAATTCCGCATAAAATCAGCTTGTAATATTTGATCGTCGGCCTGTGTTTGAGATAGATCATCCTTTCCTTCTTTGCCTGGTTCACCTCGATCGTTTAGAAGCTTTACAAGGTCTGACAAAATGTCATCGACCTCGTCTGCACCACCGCTAAAAGCAGCCGCTCGCAGAACGAGTTCTAATTCGGTGATACCTATCTCTTTGCCGCAAGCACGCATTTCGTCCAAAATTTCCTTGCATCGTGGCAGATCTCCATATGACCCTAGAACGGTGAGCAACTGGTGAAATATGTACGTCGGCGGCGTCAACGAAGCTTTACGTTTCGTTTGTCTCTCCACGTGTAGCATACGATCACGAATACCGGCGCATGTATTGATAGAGCCCACAAGGTCTAATCGTTTGACTTGTTTTCCCAATTTTAACATTAATGTGCGCATAACATCATCATCTTTAAACACCTTTTCGTTTTCATTTAAATAGTCAAATGCTTGACGTTCCAGGTATCGCTTTTGCTTAGATAGATTTCCAACTGATGTTGTCGCAGAACTTGGATTTCGAGCAACAAAGAGTGGTGTTCCACCTCCTCTACGTATCCTTTTCGATTTTGGTTTTGTGTCTAGTGTTTGCTTGCTTGAAGATGCAGTCGACTGATCTTGCTGAGCTGAACTGTTTTCTGTTGTGCTTTCCGTAACCGGATCTTGCTTTAGCATACCATCATTCCTTGCCGCTGCTGTGGTATGAATGTTGTTGTAATCACGACCTTGCACTCTCGATACGGCGTTCATACTGCTCATGCGAACTGCATTATGCCTGGCCGCCGAAGAAGCTAATGAGGCTACTCTCGCTGACCCGAGCCATATCGCTCTCGTCGCCATAGCCTTCTCGAACGTATGCTCTTCAGAATGTGAAGTAGTGATGAGAAGTGCCGTTTTTTATTTTCCCGACTTTCTTCCTAACCCTAATCCTGCTAAAATTTTTAGTCGCGTTACGTAAGCATGAGAAAAGCTTATTGCCGGGGATTTCTCCGCACACGCTAAGCCGAAGATCAGGTGTTTTTGTGTTATTCTGTCACCATCATCCACTGTTCATTAAACATTCGCCATGGCAGATCTACTCACTACACAATCATTATTAGCACTCAGCTTCGTTGGTGGCTTGGTAGGAACGGCAGTCATTTCAGCCAATCTTTCATTACCAAAACGAACGAGCAGAAAAGCAAGATCGATCTTTATTTGGTTAGCATTTGATTCACTTTGTCATTTAACTTTAGAAGGTTCTTTCCTTTATCTTTCCGTTCAAGGTAGAACGATTAATTCCTCAAAAGGTTTTTTTGCTTACCTTTGGCAAGATTATGCAAAAGCTGACGCTCGTTGGGGTTTTTCCGATCCAACTGTAGTTTCTTTGGAAATTTTGACAGTTTTAGGTGCAGGTCCAATGGCTGGTTACTGTGCTTATTTGATCGCAAAGAATAAATCTTCTTATCACTTTTGGGTAGTGGTATTAAGCGTTGCGGAATTGTATGGTGGCTTTATGACTTTTGCACCAGAATGGCTTACCGGCAATCAATTCTTAAACGGAAGTACTTTCTTGCTCATGTGGGTTTATTTGTTCTTTATGAATATGGCATGGGTCGTGATCCCATTCTACTTGATCGTTGATTCATACGGAGAGATCACAAAAGCTCTCAAGCAAACTGCTGCTCGCCCGTTGGACAAAACAATGGCTGCAAGAAAGACAAATTAGGATCAAGTGAATACCCAACTTACCAGACACTTTGAATATCGCTCTTACTGTAATGGAAGACACTCAATCATAAATACCATGTGTGTTGTGCAGATAAGCATATGTGATCATTAATAAGAAATACAGAAATAAGCATGTACAAGGCAAAAATAAACTAAAGGGATCCCTTGAAGGCCTCCTTGGCGTCCATGGAATGGGAAAGAGATGTTCTCTCTCGCGATAAAGTGGTTTCGGGTTCATCGTACGGTGCTTGATCAACATCTTCTGTTTCACGAGCGGCATTATCGACAGCTTGTCTTAATTCTATCTGATTAGCCTCTTCTCCATTAGTGCTAGAATCAGAATCTTTGTTAGGTGGAGTATTGCTTCCTTTACTGCCTTCATGTTGTCTATCGGGCAATTCACCTCGTGCACGACGACGTTCAATCTTGGCCAAAGCCATTGCTTCTAATGCAATCTTTAACCTTCTTTCCACTTCTTCCCGTTTCTTTGTCTTTCTTCCACCGATATAGATCAACAAGCCTGCCATCGCATTGCAAGATAGCGAACATGTAATCAACGTCGCAGTTAAGGCAGTCGGCCTATGGGTATATTTGATTCCCCAAGTACATCCTCCAAGAGCGCCTTGTAGCATTGAGTGACAATCTAGCAAACAAACGATTGTCATCATCAAGTCCAAAGGGAATGCTCTATGTGTACTGGTTTCATGGAATCGGTAGAACGTATGAGAAGCGTGGAATTTGCGTTGATGATGTTCCAATATTGCCTGTTCTTCTTTTGTTAACACGACAACCTCTTCGCGTTCCTTGATCAATTCGCTCTGTATACTTTCATTGCGTTTCAGAACAGGCTGTTTGTTTGCATCTTGCTTCAAATTGGCACCGTCGTCATTCGCGTCACCTTCTTCATCTACTGGAGTGCTGCTCTCTTTGTTTGGAACGACAAAATGTCCTTTATGCTTCTTGCTTCTTCTTACGTACGAATCAGAACTATGAGATGATTGAGGACTGATCAAATTTGTTCTTCCAGGAGATGTCGATTTATCGTGCTTGAGATCCCACCAGTGTTTAGGTTGCTTGCCAGGCGTGGCATCAGAACTTCCAGCTGTGGACTCGATATCCCTACTCGATTTGGCCGATCGACCAGCAGAAGAATGGGTTGGTGCATGTTGAGCTGTGACGACGCGAGAAACTTGATTAGAACCATCTTCATCCGGTCTTGGCAAATCGTTCTTATCTTGTAAATCATTCAGGCCCAATTCTTTTCGTCTTTCCCATGTTCTGTAATGCATTTTTGCGATCCAGATCATTCTATACGTATCAACAGCACGGAAAGGCGCGAAACCCAATCCCACGGCAGCAAAGAGAGCGCACAAAATTTGATCACAAATTTCGATCCAGTATCTTCTCCGTTCCCCAACGTGAATCCAGTTCCAAATGAACAACATGATGGCTGTACCCCAGAATGTGATCAAGAATCCATACAAGGTCATAATAAAACCCATTGGTGTTTTAACAAATGCCCAGAAACCTTTAAGTCCACGGTGGAATTTGGATTTCTTTGACAAAACCAATCTGACATGTTCGTCCAATTCATCTCGTTCTTCTTCGTCCATGTCACGCCATTCTTTGATATGTTTGGCATATTCGGCTTCTTCTTCTGGAGTGATTTTTCGTTTGAAAGTGACTGCAGACGTCATGCGGCTCAGCATCGTACGGGTCGGTGGTCTAGATGGCTTCTCTCCGCCTGTGAAACCAGTCGCTGCACCCAATGCGCTCGCTCTACCGTTGCCTTGTCCTTGTTCCAGATCAGAGGTAATCGATGCACGGTCATGCGAAGCTGCTGAATCGATCAACGAGCTTCTTCGATTATCATGAACACGTTTGGCCAAAGAGGTGATGGTCGAACTCCTCTTTCTTGCGCCTGGTAGATCGTGAACCGGTCTTCTATCGTACAATCCCGGAATATTTGGAACAAAGATACTATTTTGTACATTTGTCAAAAATCCAAGCGTTCCCACTTCTGCATCAATCACATCAAGATAATCTGCAACTTCTGCTTCATGATGTTCACGGTCTTCTGGTGGTGTTGCAACTTTCTGCAAATTTGGTGAGATTTCTGGTATATCACTCGGCATACGTGCAAGGCGGCCTCCACCATCAGGAACGAATGAATCATCCTTCGTAGCTTTACTGTCTTTAGAAATCTTCAAGTCGAATCCTTCGAGCTGGTTCTCATGACGTTCTGGTGGCATGGAGATACTATTTGACAAGGTCGGTCGTCCATTCGATGCGGGAGTGGGAAGATTCGATAATGTGTCTTTTTCTGTAACTGCAGACGTAGAGGTATTTGGATGAGCAAAGTAATTGCCAGTCTCTGCGCTCCTCAAAGCGCCAGTGTTGGGAGTGAGGTATCCGCTCATATTCGGGAGACTGATCTCTGATTGTTCTGCAGGACTGGCGACCTCTGCAACGGCTGGCAATCGAGTATTGGATGGCTTTGTCGTAATTTTTGGACGATTTTGAAAATAAGGTTGTTCAGAAGCGAGCATATTTGACGAAGTAGAGGCATCTTGTCTACTTGGATCAGCGTAATTTGTACTTCTTTGTGCGTTTGCAATTCGATCCTGTCTTGCCAATTCTTCAATCACACCAAGCCTTCTGCCCGTTGATCTTTTTGGAGAACCGTTGAGCTGTGAATTGTTTGTTTGTTGCATTCGTAATGTTTCTCCTCCGATCATTCCTTCACTTCCCCTTCTCTCTGGATTGAATGCGCCTGCTTCATCGTCTAATGTATCACGGGACACCACTGCTGCACTGTATGATGAACCTCTACGGATGCGTAAATTGGACGGAATCCGTGGTCTTCCATTATCAGGCTTTCCAGCGCTCATTTTTGGTTTTATTTAGAAGAAACAATAATTCAAGATTGTTGTTGATTATTCGTGGTAGTCGTTCATGCGACCTTTTCTCTGCAAGTTTCTTTTCTTCTGATAACGGTTGCGATAAAGAGCATACGGTGCAGGTTGTCAAGCAGCTGTTAATATTCACCGATGCATATATGATGTCGTCCTAGGTTGAATTGATAGGATGATAGTGGCGGTGAGGAAGTGTCAAAAGTTCTCACAGTTTGAGGATAGGATGCACGCATTAAGAGTAAATAGAGTTTATTTTATGCATTCAAGCAGTCAAAACAAAGCTTTATTTTTTTCCTTGACACAAAAACATCGAATGGCAGGCGATACGCTGCGTATGGGAAAGTGTTGCTTCCCGTCCCGTTCCTTTAAATGAAAGGCAGCAAGCACACCATGTGAACTTTCTTTTCTTTGGCGCGAAATAAAAAGCAACAACAATGCAACCACGCGCGCAGGGCAGCCAAACGCGGATTTAATTGCCGTACCACGCATGAGGGAAGATTGACAGTGTGTTATATCGGATCACATCAATCCCTGAATGACAAGGTCCCTCTGCATATATAGACAGATTATAGTCATTTCGGATTGTGAATAACGAATTAATGTATGAAGGTCATCGTTCTTTGTCCTACACAAACAAGGTCACAGCCGCCGGATCAACATGAGCAAGTTGTACTACCCTACTCCGATGTATGCGTTTAATTTACGCGAAAGGCTAAATGACAGATCCCTCATGTAGGATCTAAGAATAGTATAGCCTAAGGGTTGAATCCACAACCGATTTAACGTCACTAAACATGTTCGTATCACGCTAAAAGAATATGATTCAATTCAATCCCCTAATTGTGCGTCTGAGATCATAAAGGTATAGTGAATGCCGATGGAGAGTGATCGTAAGAAAGATGGACGGGAGGGCGGACTTTCAACGCGTTGCACCTGCGCTAATGGTCAAACGCTCAAGCCATTTTTGAGACCGGTACCCCGAAGTGCAAGCTACATAGCATTTAGTCACAAATTTATCACCTTGATCTTGTACAACATCCTTTGACACAGGCACAAGATGTCATTCAGATTACCGAGAGGACCCAAATTGGTCACATTATTGTATGTTGACATTGAGCGGGAATCAAATATGAACGCTAAACTGACCGGACCCTTTTCTTCTAGCCACGATTCACACTCTTCTTCCTCACAGCGTATACTGAACATTCTACAATCTCGTTCCAAGCCAGCATCAGAGCTAGTAAGTGATCAAAACACACCACCAAACGCTGACGAGCCATCAAGGGTGAAACAATACCTGAAAGAAGCCGCAACAGGAAATGCAGATCAAGAGCCAGTGTTTGAACTGGAAGTGGTTGAACGATCAAAAGCGACTATGGATCAATGGAAAGTGATTGCTTCTTACCTGGAAAAGACAAAGAATGAATTGAAACTAAGTAGAATCGAAGCTCTCAAAGATGAAGATGGTCCGATTGTAGTTGATTGGGATGATGGTTTGGCGGTGCAAAATGAAGAGGAGGTGAAACAATTGGTCGAGAAATTGATCAGTACACAGACAGGCAAGGCAAAAGTTGGAAATGGGTGTATGATTGTATGAGTACAGTCACTTGGAGCACAAGTCCCAGTCATAGCTGTCGAGTTCGACCGAATCATTCAAACGTTCACCGGTCAAGCCATATCACCATGATGACGTTGACACTGCAGAAAGGTAGTCATTCGTGCATCATTATATTTCTTATTCGGTCACTTGGTTTGGATTTGGAAGACAAAAGAAGATGTCAGAATGGCAAGATCTGTAAGGAACGCCATGCTAAATGGCATTGCGGCCGTAATCGGTTTTAAGGTGTTGGACATGACGCGTAAAGAGTGATTTGATCCTCTGTTTCGATGGTCGGATTTTAGACCTTAGGGTTACACTAAAATCCGAATTGTTGTTGTTGCTACTGCTGCTGCAAATGCACGTCAAAAAAGCCACTAAAGAGGATAGTATTCGATAACGATAAAAGATTACACTCGAGATTGCATTGGCGGTGACTGTTCAATATATACACACTTGAGAACAATATAGAGTGATAGACATATCTAACAATATCGGATCCTCGGACAAGGGTGACTTGCTGGTTAGGCCACTTATAGATCACTACCATCACGCCATCTCTTACGGTCGAAAGATAAAAGATAAAAAGACCGTCAGAAGCTGTTGTGTACAAGACCCTTTGTATGAAGTATGTGGACGTCATTTGTCAATGTGAACGTGGGTGTGTGTGTTGTGTGTGTGAATGGGTCGAGTCATACTCTTATGCATGGCGCGCTTTAAGAAATGTGAGCTGATGATATGCCTGTCCCCGCGCCAACGCTTTTCCCGCTGATGTGATATTCGATTCATTTTTGTGGAAGCAGCCCGTCACTTGAACCCCACGGGCAGATTACCGATCTTTGTTATTTTTAATTTCTCTCGTTAGCGTTTTAAGAAGCTGAGTTTCAAATAAAGGCAACAAAGAGAGATATTGAGGACAATGTCAAGAAAAAGGCACATCAGGGGTATTATACTTGAGAGCACACTTTCTCGCCGAATGGCCGAGTCATCTTTATCATTGATCAAGCTGTTAATTGATCAATTATCGAAAGGTCTCTACGGGTTTATCGCAAATCTTAGGCCCGTTGAGGTAGAATGCAACAGATCAAGCGGGGAAACATAATGAAATTCGTTCCTTACTTTTTAGTCTAAGAGATGAACAACAACAACAAAGATCGTCCTGGAAAGGTGCCGAACGATATGAAATGCGTTGGAATGCAAGAAGCTAAAATGATTTTAGTGCTGAGCACTTTTATATCATGACTCTGATTGATTAGTCTTGTGATTGTGTCAATAGTATATATACGGGTAGATCAAGTTCCTGAAACGTCAAAGAGAATCCCCATCTCTACAAGAATGATTTCATTACCAACCTAAACAACATCAATACAATCGATCACAATGACAACATCATTAATGCCAACACCGGCACCACCGCCTTATGCGAGCAATACAAACGATGCATCATTAATCGCTCATCCACAAACAGATAGACATTCAAGCGGGACAGGAATGTTTTCTATCCTTCCGCCTTGTTATACGTTAGCAGAAGAACAGATCGTTCCTCAAACAAGGCCCGTACCTGGACAATCGAACTCCTCCACGGTCAGTAGAAATATTTCAACGATGATGAGAAGGGATACTTCCTCTTCAACCGGCCAAAGTTCAGATAGTCAAGAAACAAAAACGAGTTCTTCTTCAGGACTATCAAGTTTAAATGGATTATTTAGCAAGAAGAACATCGAGCTAACAATGTCTTTATCGGATAATTTAGTATTTGTCTATCCAAACAGACCAAATGCAACGCAAGCGGGTATGGAAACAACTTCTCCTGGTGATGAAGCAACGACTGAATCGGAAAAGCCGCCATTTATTGTCGTCAATTTGACATTGACCATCCCAGAGAATGCAGCTATACCACCGAACGGAATCGAATCATTACAAGTCGAATTGATGGCAAACGAATCATTAGGATTTCCCGATGCTCCGTTTGAATACAACACTTTATCACACATCAAAAAGAAGGTGGAAGAGGTGCACGATATCAAACTTGAACAAGGACAAACATACAACTTTCAAACACTTTTGGAAATCCCACACGATGTTACACCGTACGATATGAGTAGATACGGCAGAGTATTACCACGTATTCGTGCAAAACTAAAATGGTCAAGTTGCGGTGCAAAAAGTCGATTCATCTTTGGTTCTTTACGTGATCTAACGGCCGAACAAGATGTTTGGATCGTTTCTGTTCCACGTACATCCAACATTCTCGATTATGCACGTACACATCAAACGGCAATCGAAGATTTAGGTCCTTTTGTCATTCACGTTCGAACGCATCATTTAACCGTGGGAGGCTATATGCGTATGGGATTGTCAATTCCTGCTCCAGCTGCCAATGTTCAAATTGAAAAGGTACAGCTCTTCTTGGTTCAAACGACAAAATTGATCAGTCGCGGTAAAAGTAGATATACAAAAGAATGCAAACCGGACAAAATTCCTTTCATGAGTATAGAAAAAGAAGAGTTGAAACGATGCATTCGACAAGAAGAAGAAGGAAGCCAACAGGAAGGTTCACCTTTGGTGGGTAATTGGGTCGCACGTATCCCTACCGATCAAAGAGCAAGACCTAGTACACTTCAAGGTAGCAAAGATGCATCTTTACGTGTTTCACATCAATTGGAAGTTCGAATCATTTTCCGAAAAAGCACGGAAACCAAATCACCAGGTCAAGAAGTCCTTCCTGCAACGATTTATTCAGCTTCTTGGCCTTTGACGTTGGCATCCTGTGCATGCAAATGGAGATCGTTGAAGTTACCGATGTACAGCGAATGCGAACCACTTTCGGATGAAGTCGCTCGTGCAGCCGCTGCTGATTGGCAAGACAAACACCTACGTATGGGAAAGAAGAAACACGTTGATGGTTTTGATCCATCCTTGTGTTCCTGTGGAATTCCCTTGGATGAGCTATTACGATATGAATGTGAACAGGATAACGCACAGCAATCTTCCACCATCCGATTGATGAGAGAGGAGATTGAAGCGGCAACACTGTCTCCCTCTGTCAGATCGCCCGATCAATCTTCAACTCAAGATGCTTTCGACGAATTCAACGCTGAGAGTCAGCAAATCGCTCATCATCGTCAAACATGCGGCTATGCTCATATGGAACAAGAAGAAAGAACAAGATTACAACTTGAACAAAAAGCAAGACAAGAATATCGTTGAAGAGGACTGGAAAAAGACTCTATTATATACCATTGTACATTACGAAAAAATACGAGTTTTCTCGAGAATCCGATCTATAGATAGCACAATAATTAATACTTGTTATTTTTGGCCAGTTGAAGGCTTTAATAAATTGAATACAAACAACAACACAACGAGAGATACTTCTTTTTACACGTGCAATTCTGCCTTTTCTACCTTTGCGAGCACTTCTTTGTAAGGTGAAAGAGCAGGTTGAACCCATTTAGCAATGAAGGAGTCCACTTGTTCAGGTGCACGTCCAACGAAACTCTTGGGGTCCAATAATTTGTCCATTTGAGCATGAATAGGAGCAAAGTAAGAATCAGCACGAACTCTTTCAACCAAATCATTATCACCTCCTTCTTCTTTGACAATTCGTGCAGCTTGATGTGACAAAACACGAATCTTTTCGTGGCATTCTTGACGATCTCCGCCTGCACGAACCATGGCCATGATGATGTTTTCGGTTGCCATGAATGGCAATTCTGCGGCAATGTGTTTTCCAATGATGGCAGGGTAAACGACCAAACCTTCAGAAATGTTTTGCAAAATTGTCAAGATGACATCAGCAGTCAGGAACGCTTCGGGGATTGTCAATCGACGGTTAGCACTATCGTCCAAAGTACGTTCCATCCATTGACCACCAGCAGTTTCTCTGGCACTGTTGTTGATGTTACCCAGCCAACGTGCTAGACCACAAACACGTTCACTTCGCATTGGGTTACGCTTGTATGCCATTGCACTACTTCCGATTTGATCCTTCTCGAATGGTTCTTCGATTTCCTTCAAGTGGCACAACAATCGGATATCCGTAGCCATCTTCAGGGCAGAAGCGCTGAAGGATGTAAGACTGTTCAAAACATCCACATCGATCTTACGTGAGTAAGTTTGACCTGAAACGGGCATAGCATATGGGAACCCGGACAATGCAGTCACACGTTCGTCCAACGCTTCCACTTTGTCATGATCACCATCGAATAAAGCCAAGAAGCTTGCTTGTGTACCAGTTGTACCCTTTACTCCACGGAAACCTAAATCATCACGAGCACGTTTGATGTTTCGTAGATCCCATAAGAATTCTTGAATCCAAAGAGTGCATCGTTTTCCTACAGTTGTCAATTGTGCAGGTTGCATATGTGTGAAACCAAGGGTAGGTAAATCTCTGTATTTCTCTGCGAATGCTGATAAACGATGAATGACGACGGCCAACTTTGGGATCAAAAGGTCCAAAGCAGATCGTAAGAAGATTAAGTCTGCATTATCGGTAACGTAACAAGAAGTTGCACCTAAATGAATATAAGGAGCAGCAGCGGGTGCAACGACACCGAATGTATGAACGTGAGCCATAACATCATGTCTTCTTCTCTTTTCTTCTTCAGCGGCGATCTTCATTTGTTTTTCGTCCAGTTTAAGGTTTGCCTTCATTTGTTCGATGGCTTCTGCTGGGATGTCTAATCCCAATTCACGTTCAGCCGTTGCTAAATGCAACCATAATGTACGCCAAGTGGAAAACCGGGTAGCATTACTGAACAAAGATGCCATCTCTTTGGATGCATATCTTCCCGATAAAGGGGATTGCCAAGTTTCAAAGCTGCTCATCTTTGCAAATGTGTGTTGTGTGATTAGGTAGATGGTGTGTATGATGATCAGGCTTGCTGTCAAAATTAACCTTTTCGGAAATTGTTAGATTCTTCTCGCATTGGCAAAAAAGTTTTCCGTTGGATGTGATTACATAATCCAAATCCAGATGTTAATTATTTTTAGGAGTTCTTCCACACACACACGCGTATGCACAACTTAGGGGTCTTGCATATTTTGGTAAGTGTTGATCCTTCATCATCAGCCCTGGCAAAAGTGGAGAGAAGTATGTGTGTAAACGGTGACTATTATTCAGAATACAATTAGGGGTGTTTACTTGCTCAAGACTCTAAGTTGCATCATCGCAAAAAAGGCAATCAAAACGAGGTCTTGGCTTGAGCCCGTGCTGAAAGGGTACAACTTTATACAAATTCTTGGATCGGAGATGAAGAGATCCGATTGTTGCGGCTTACAGTGCATACATGATTGGAATCGAAACACATAACACAAGTTGAACAAAAAGGATAATGTTTTTAAACGTTGTACTTCTTGTCTAACAACCACTTATACCTTCAATTCAGCAACATGATTATATAGACTTTCCCCGTTTCACCACTACGACCTTTTACGAATAACGAATTGTATCACTTTTTAACGACTCAAATCACTTCAAAAATTCAGCACACAATCTTGAATGCATTCAGTCATGTCACAAATCAGAGGCACTGCTTCACCCTCCTCTAGCAATCATACTCTTCCGACTCAAAACCCCTACTCCTCGCCAGAAGAGCATTGGCAGGCGATCTTACGATATGATGCACAACGTAGACAAGCAACTGAAACACAAGAGCATCATATCATTTCAGATCAGAATACCGTATCGACTATGCACAAACCCACTCGGGTGAAGAGGGTGAGCGTTGGAGACGACTTACCGCACTTTCCGGAAGAGTATCAAAGAGTACAGGAAACACAAAAGCAATCCAATAAGAAAGGAAAGGCCGCCTCGCAATCGATACCCAAGAAAGGAGTTGCAAAATATTCCGATGCGATTGCAGACTTGAACGATGACACAAATGGAGACGAACATGAGCTGACACTCGGAAGGCAAGTCACTCCACCTGCATTCAGGGGTGAAAATGACATTCTGGTCAACCGTGAATTACAGCGGTTACGTGAACAAAAGCCGATGAAACGAAGGATGCATTGGCGTGTGGTAACGGGAACAATGATGTTACTCGTTCTAGCTTTCACTGCTTATGTTTTCACTCAATCATTACGTGCTTATCTCTCACTCTCTCCTGCCAACTGGTTCTTATCCGATTCACGCACTGGAACACAAGTTTCACCCGATCCGCTGTTGCGTACGCTGGCATTGATCGAAACGATTGCATCTGCAATCGCTCTGGCTGGTATGTTGGCAAGTGGCTTCTATCTGAGAATGACTAGAAGAAGGACGTGTGGACGTCATCTGATTTGGTTTTTCGCTATCTTGAGCACAACCATCAGTCTGGCTTTAAGTCTTGCAAATATTGTACTTATCGTTGCTTGGCATAAAGAATACTCGGGTAATCCAGATGATCCTCTTGCACGTACCCGGGATGTTGGACAACGGTGTAATGGCGTTTGGGATTTAGATATACTTTGGAGCGCAGCAAAGAGTAGTCTTTTGGCTAAACCGAATGACGAATCAGTCGATACGTCCAAATGCACCCGTGACCCAGCGCATTCTGTTCAGATGTTCTTGATTGCTGGCGGTGTTCGATTGATCGTGTTTGTGGTATTGTGTACCATCTGGCTAATATGTTTGGCACGTTATAATGCAGCGCAAGAGCTAAGGTTGACCTCGAACGAATCCATCAACGAAAGTCCAGAGATGCATCTATTATTAGCCGAAGAAAAAGGTGGATTACCGGAAATGCCAACGCTGCAAAGTATGCCTGGGAAATATCACGATGAAGATATGGATATGGTGGCATTTTACCAAGACGAAAACAAGTCTTCTCCACGGTATTCTGGCTCGACATGGAATGAAAAAGGTGATGGCTTAGTTCATATGCCAGAGTTCCCACGCAATTCCAATGCAACTCTTATTGAACCTGCACCAAAACTCGGAAAGTTCCAATGGCAACGTGGAGAAGCATCGCAAATGCAAAAAGATGATCAAAACGATATCCATACATATGGAAACATTGCGACACATGACCGTGAAGAAAGTGCCGGAGGTTGGTCTACACACATTATGGACAGACTTTGGCATGCTTTGTGGGGCAGCAGTCATGAACAGAACGGTTCGAGTCATGAACATGCAAATCGAGATCCTTCACACGCATTTCAAGCTGTCTCTATCCATGAAGAAGCTGAACTGCAACATCCTCATGCATGGCAACATGGCCGTGAAGATACACGTTTAGGCGTTCGTGGATGGTTTGGTAGAGACACAAGCGCTCAAAGTAGACCATCAGAAGATGAAGGAGATGAGGATGACTTAGGCGTTCGAACGAATGTGTCTTATCTAGAAACTCCACCAATGCATACACGTACATCTTCGCAAGACAGACGAGCAGCACAAGGCAGACATGAAGCAGCCAAAAAGGTGCACGATAAGCAAGCTGACTCTGACAATGGTGATCGCTTCACTGCTGGCCCCAATGCACAAAATACTGCCCGACAAGCTGCTTATCAGCGATCTTTACGTCGTAAGCAAGAACAAAAGGATCGAATCGAATTCTTGGCCAGTCTTGGCCGTGAAGAAGATTTAGAGAAAGAGCCCTTTCATCCACCAGCCTTGCCAACAAAAGAAGGTCGTATGTCCGCATCAACAAATTCATCTTACCGAGCCGGTCCGAGTCCAAACCGAGAGCAGAAGTCGCGATCCACACAATCTAATGGTGATCAACTACCTCACATGCCAAATCTACAATCAACTCCACGAGCCAACGCACACGGAATCGCAGCCGAAGAACGATCAGAAGAAGATGATATGATTGATGAATCGATATTTTGGCATTCTGCTCCTGTCGTTGAAAAGAAGCAAAGCAATGCCCCTGTATTTGTTCGTCAATTAGGTAAACTCGTTCGACAATTGAGTGCGATCGAAAGCGTCGGAAGTGGCGGTGAACGATCTCAACAGTATTCCCGTACTTCTCGTGAACCAAGTTCTGCCAGTGGCATTTATTGAATGGACATTCTCTCTCTCTTCTCTCACACATCTATATTTCTATCTCAACTCATTTTCTCATCATACAGGCTATGCATTGTATATTCTGCATCACTCATCTTCAATTTGATTACTTCATAAGTTGCAATTTGCAGATCAATACAAGGTTGGAAGGATATTTAGTTAGGTTGAGAGCCTTGATCATAGCCAGGCAAAGATACACGGTAAATAAAGACTTGCGTATCACCGTCAACCTTGTTTGTGACAGCATATTCATCTGCATAAGGTTCGACGACATATTGTCCGTTTGGTTGTTGTGCGGCTTGATGTCCGTTTGCAGTAATGAAATCATTATCTGAAACAACAAACAAGAATTGATCACCCGATTCAACGGCATTTGCAACGGCTAAACTTTCGAGTTTAGAAGCGATCAAATTACGATCGATCGCACCATCGTTGTGTAAGCCGAACTTTGCCAAGTTAGTAGGATCGATCAAGCTGACGAACTGTTGATATTGAACGGGTGTGATATCGGCAATGAGTGCTGCTCCTTTGTTCGTGGTGATTGGATTAGCAGGATCATCGTATTTGGTATTTGCGATATTGGTTGCGCCTTTGATCGAGAACAAATCAGCAGATTTGTATACCGACTTTGTGTTTGTGTCACCGTATCCGTTTCCATCACGAGCAAGAACGAGGAAAGTGTTTGCGTCAACGATGTGTAATTCGGATTGAGCGAATGTCTTTCCACTCTTTGGGTTTTGAGGTAGTGGAACGACGTACTCGCTTTTGAGGGAAAGCTTCAATGGGTTCCTTGCATCGAATCCAAACAAGCGGGTATATCTGTTACTCGTCTTGCTTCCATTATCAGAATCTTGGATGGTAGCACTTTGCAATAAAGCCCATAGTGTAGACGTTTTACGATCAAACGTCAAACCTTCGAATCCTTGGTTAGGAGCACGACCTGTGTCTGGATTGACTTGGGATGTGAAGTTCAACTGACCATTGATGAAAGGCAACACAGCTTTTGGAGGAGCAGTAGCAGCAACAGCTAGACCGCTTTGTTCTTGAATAGTGTAAATGTAAGGACCATATTCATCAGAGATGAACGAAAGCGTTGGAACATTGCTTGGAGCCCAACCTTCCTGATCGAATGCGACATGGTTATCGGAAGGTGCAATAGGAAGAGCAGGGTTAAAGAAGTTGGCTGGTCGACTAGAGGTCGGGTCCAAGCCGGTAGTGAAGTTGAATGCATCTTGGGTGTGGTATAAAGTAGAAAATTGATATTTCAATGCAATGTTTTCCGTTGTGGCATTTCCAGTGGTAGGATCAAAGGTAAAGGTGAATGTATGCGTACGTGCACGGTAATCGGTCGTTGCCACTGTGTTATGACCTCTGTCAGGGTTCAAACGAATTGTACCGGTATATTTGCCATCTTTTGATGCTTTGAGACTTTCCACAAAGATTGAACTTCCTAGACCGCCCAACGTTTCACCATAAGAATCAACGGAAGAAGCATTGATACGACCGAATCCGACCAATCCTTTATTGACGAACGAGCGACCATCAAATGTGGTCGTTGTTCCATTCGTTGTGGCTGGAACCGCTGCTCCAGCGACAACGGTCAACAAGGTAGCCAAAAGAGCAAAAGACTTGGTTAATTGCATAGCGAAAAGAATAAAGGGGGTGGGATGGAAGTGGGAGATGAACGGATGCGGAGCTGAAATAGGGGGATTAATGAAGATGATCTTGTCAAGGTTCATTACTATTCTCCGGTCTCTTTATATATCCTTTCGACGGTACCGTTCGAAGGTTAATAAAGATGCCAAGAGTGGTCGGATAGGATAGCGTCATTTTGAAATTTAATATATGCATCTGATTGCTTCTCATCATTGTAGTCAAGGTGCCCAAATAGATTGCATATGAGCAATAGGGACCTGCATCCTTACAATCACCATTGCGAAAATACAGACTGTTTCAGCTGTTTAAGTTTGAGAAGAAAGATGCAGCAGCATTAGATGGCGCTATTTGATTAAGTTTTTATCAAAAGCCGCGCTAATTGATGCTCATAAAGACTTCTTTTCAACTTTTGATCTTTTTGAGCGCACGTTCTGTTAACATGACATGCATACGATTTCAACACTAACCATGCATGCTCAACGAGAATCAGGAACAAAAAGTCGCCGGCTCTTCACTTTCCAAGACGATCAATTGGAAGAAGTCTGAGCAATTTGCAACGTTTCACTCTTATTCTGGGCCCACAATTGTAGAAAATACATTGCAAACATATCTCATCTAATCATTATCTAAGCGACATTTGCATTTGCTGAATCTCAATCCGTAACGATTGAATGTCTGCGGTAGTACTCTTGCAACACCCGCCTACAAAGCATCCTTGCCATACAGATCCAGTTTTGGCATCTTTCTCTGCTTGTCTATTCACGCCGCTCAATTTGGCTGCTTCCATCACTTTGCGTGACCATGTACTTTGATGTTTTGCATTTTGGGCACTGTCTTCTTCTTTCTTATCCTCTTTCCATACTTTTGCAATACCGTCCCATATTAGACCTCCGTCTGGATAGAGAAATAAGTATGGCCTATTTTCCTTCTGACTTTCCGACCTTATTTTTCCACTGCTCTTGTCAACTTCTTCACTACTTCGGGCAAAAAGTAGGGCTTTGTGCAATTCACTCCAATGCCCTCGAAAGTGTCGACACATCTTGCGATTTCATCAAAGTGCTTCTGCTCTCCTTCGTCGCCTTCTTGCTTGGGATATGGTAATCTTTTTCCGTCTGGAAAGACGAAGCTGATATATGCGGGTTTCTGTTGACATTGTATATCGTTGCTATATAGCCGGTCCAATGCTTGTTTTATCGCTTCTGCTTCGTCCAAGCGTGGAATAGTCTCGAAAGCTAGCAGATCAACTTGAGACCAGATTGATGGTTCCGCAGCGATGATTTCTAATCTATCATAATGAAACTTGATCATGTCCTCTAAAGCTGCCGGCTTGAATGGGTCATCCTTTGAATTACCAGGATCGTAGTATATACCTGTATACTCTGAGCCATCAGACTGTGCAGCTCCATAAGGTCCAAGACTGAGAGAGATCAAAGGCTTTTCGATCGCGTCGGGATGTTTCTCCAAATAAATCTTTCTTGCTTGTCCTGTCAGATCTACAGATCGAAGTAGTAATGCACGAGCTGTGCCTTTGTCTATTCCAGCTCTGGCGAAGGATAGAGGAGAAGCTTGGTACCTGCATACATGATGAATTGATCAGTAAGTGGCAGTAAGAGTAATGCTGTTGGCCTACTTACGTGCTTGTGGAAATGATCTGAGCACCTGCTTGAGAAAGTCGAAATGCGTTCGAATGATAGATGAACATCCATCTTCGCTACGTAACAGGGAAGCTGACCATAAAGGCGAGGAGGAGATATCTTCTTTCAACGTATCTTCTAGATGAGTAGACTTGTGAAAAGGGAAGTCAGCATATATACGTGATTGTTTCTTCCCTCATTCGTGCTCACAAAGCCACCATCCAATACTGCAAAGCCTACTGTTCTTATTGATTCGATTTGTGAAAGTGTGTCGCGTGACGATGAAGCCATTATTGCAATCAACAGGATCACCGAAGAAGAAGAACAACAACAACAACACCGGCAATTGTCCGCATTGAATTTTCTTCCTGCTTGGCTCTCCGTGGAATAATCTTTTCCAGACATTACCGGTCACCGCTCGGCAATCTTGTGTGCGTGTCTGTGTGTAAGTGAACCGCGGGAGATAAAAAGTTTCTTCATACATAACGTGGGGGTGGCTTCTCCAGCTAAAAAGAGTGAGAAAGTGCCTGTTGTTGCTCTTGCTCATGCACGCACAAGCCAAAACCAACTCTGCATTACCACAGCTAAAAGAAGAAAGAAAGTCTCCGAAACTAGAAGGAAGGCTAATTGACAACCAACCCAATTTGATCAGAGTAGTAGTAAAAACGGTTCGATACAATCCGAAATCGTTTTTATCTTCACAACGATCACCCACAAGTATCTTGATCAAAGGTACTCTTTTTACTCCCTCCATAACAAATCAAGATGTCTGCATCTGCTCAACCACGCGGTCCAATCGGACACGATAACTCTTTGCAAGTCCCTAATGCTGATGGTAACTTGTCATTCGTATTGCAAAAGGTTAATCATATCGAATTCGAACAGAGGCCAGTCCAAAAGCCTCTCCCAAATCAAGTCCAAGTCAACATTCGTCAGGTGAGCAAAATGTGGAGTTGATGTGCATTTACACTTGTTCTTGAGTTACTCATAAGCCTCATCTGTCCTCTAACCTGCCCTGCTCGTTTCTCTCCTCAGACTGGTATCTGTGGCTCAGACACTCACTACTGGAAACATGGATCGATTGGTGAATTCGTCTTGCGTAAGCCAATGGTGAGTATCTGATGGCACACGACACAACATCCCCCAGCAGATACACTGACATAATCACCCTCACGCACAGGTCTTGGGACACGAATCTGCCGGTATCGTGACCGCAGTTGGAGAGAATGTCAAGACGCACAAAGTTGGCGATCGTGTCGCTTTGGAACCCGGAGAGCCATGTGGTGCATGTCAATACTGCCGATCAGGTTTCTATTATCATTGTGCAGATTTAGCATTTGCTGCTACACCTCCATATGATGGTACTTTGGCAACATATTATAACTTGCATAGCGCATACGCACACAAAGTTCCCGATAATATGACTTTAGAAGAAGCAAGTTTGATGGAACCACTTTCGGTTGGTGTTCAAGCTGCTGTCGCTCAAGGTAAAGTACAAGCAATGCAAAACGTTTTGGTGTTTGGTGCTGGACCCGTTGGAATGCTTTCGGCGGCCGTCTGTCGTGCAATGGGAGCAAAACGTGTTGTTGTGGTGGATATCGTAAAGGAAAAACTTGATTTCGCAAAAGAGTTTTGTGCTACTTCAACCTTTTTGCCTACTCCACCTGCTCAAGGTGAAGAAAAGATGGCAGCTTCAGAGAGAAACGCAAAAGCAATGATCGAAGAGATCGGTGGTGATTTGAAGGAGAAAGGTGGGTTCGATTTGGTTTTGGAATGCACTGGTGCACCACCATGCATTCAAATGGCTATCTTCTCTGCTTGCACTCGTGCTCGAATGGTACAAGTTGGAATGGGCCCAAAAGATGTTCTGCTTCCATTATGGCGCATTGGTATCAAGGAAATCGAATTGGTAGGAACATTCCGTTATGGTGCCATTTGTTATCCTTTAGCGATCGAATTGGCTTCTTCCGGTCGTATTGATGTGACAAAATTGGTTACTCATCGTTATGCATTCGCTGATTCCCGCAAAGCATTCGATGCTGTTGCCAACGGAAAAGGTGAAGATGGCAAAGCTACGATCAAAGTGCAAATCTCTCAAGGTCAAGCAAAGGCATAAATTAGAATTGAGTTGCTGAATTCCGGTATATAGATGTGAACCACAAACATGCTCAATGTGCATTATCAGAATGTTCTTCAAATTTCATTTCATTGATTCATCCTTCTCGTTCAAGAATGACTTAAATTTCGCATTTATTTGGATTGAAAGCGTGGGCAGTAAAGTAGAGTTTTTAAAAAAAGAGCAAAGAGAAAGCGTTCGTACATAAATAAATAGAGTAGACAAGAGAGAGAAAAAGGTTCAGGAAGGACGGAAGGGGTAGTGTGGGGGAGGAGTGGGAGGAATAAAAATGTCGCAAATGTACATTTGTAGCATTCGGCATTCGAAGCAAATTGTGGTAGCAAAAAGTGCATGGAGTATTTTTGAGCAATTTGCTTAAGCGTGCATTTTTGAGAATCGTTTTTGTTGCTGGATGTGGAATGTTTCTTGAATACAAGGATGGAACATCCATAGGTTACCATACAAAGGTCGAATAAAAAATGCGATTGATCGAAGCACCAAATGTAGGTGCGAGAATTGAGTCCGTCATTTTTGAGAAAGAGTCAAGTGCAATCACCGTTCACTTAGCAAAGAGTGTGCGTTTCATCCGGCTCACTTGATATCAGCAAACAATTGTAGCTTGTCACCAGTCGTTAGGAAGTCTTGCAAGTCTTCATCATCGCTTAATCGCATCATAACATTAGGTCCAGAATCGCCATCACGATAACGCAAAACTTGAATATCTGCTCCTAATCTTTCTTTGACCTTTTCCATTAATGCATTAAAGGTAACATTTGGAGGTACTCGTATTGCTACCAAATCATCCGTTGCTCTGTTAAAGATTTTGATTTTGATAAATGCAGGAGAAGGTGCTGAAGGCACGGCTGCTGAACCACCACTACTGGCAGCATGCATTGAAGATCCTCTTGAATCGGATTTGATATTTTGACTACTTCCTCTTCTATCTCCTTCCGTTCCATACCCATTACTCAATTCTCCCGTTGATCCCCTTATTCCCATCGTGCCAATCCTTTGTGCAGCTTCATCAACGCTCAATCCTCCAGGCCCAACAGGAGCATCTTCGGAATATTTGGATGTTCCATTACTCTGTCCGTTTGCTTCTTGTTGTGTAGACGTAGCAGCAGTAGTTGCTGCAGAAGCCGTTCCAGCTGTTGAATCACCTGCCACCGTAGCCGATGTATCGGGAAGAGGTTGAACAGTACAATGATCTCCCGGTCTTGGCTCAAAGAATAATCGAACAAGTTCAGATCTTGTGATATACTCGGGCAAAGAGACCAATTCATTTATGTACGTATCCAAATCCTGCCGCCTTTGTGAGGTGATAAAGTCATCAACTTGCTCTAGCGGTCCAGGCATCAAAGGTAGGATTCTTTCGCTGGGTTGACCATCCGCCTGCGTCTCACGTCCAGCTTCGGCAGGGAAATGATCTAGCAGGGCTATTTGGAATTCGTAAAAGTCTTCGTACAATCGATAAAGGATCAAATCACGCTCTTCTCCTGCTGGTGCTGTTGGTGCAGTAGGTGGAGCAGAAGGCGAATGTCCGGCGATATGGGTAGCTTGAATTCTGAACCAGTAATCTCCCTGTTCGAAGTGGAAGGAATCGACTTGTGCAGATGTCACTATTCCAGTCGGAAGCGGTTCTCCTGGAGGCATTCCTGGTGGTAATTCAGGCTGAGACGAGCTCATTGCATTTGGATCGAAGTTGGTAGGCGAAGAATTTGGGTTGAAAGGTCCATCCTTTGGTGGTACTTGAGGCGAACTAGGCTGACCAAATGCTTGTGCTTGAGCTTGTGCAGCTGCTTCAGCCGCTCCCGGTCCATTGGCGAAGTCAAATCGGCCAAGAGGGATCGTATTCTTTTTATAATCAGCAGTCATCTTTTTCCATTCTTCCACCTTTGGAATCACTCCCCTGCTGATCAAATCGTCCACATTTTCCACTTTTTGTCCATTTGTCACATCCTTCAATTCAACAAAAGAGACCGGTATTAGACCAGGTCCTCCTAATCGTCCAATCGGTTTTGCGACAAACCATTCAAAGTTGGATTGAGCGATAACGATGATTGGCTCGCCAGCAGAAGCTTCTAGCTCGTCCGCCCTTTCAGCAACAAAGTCAAACTTTACAACAGCATAAAATCCACCACCTTGCTTTGCTACCACAGATGATCCAGCAGCCGTTCCACTCGTCCCTGGAACAGGTTGAGGAGGTATCAAAGGCGCTCCACCGGCATTGCCCGCTCCTGCTGCCACGCTACCTGACCTTCCTCCTTTGCTTAAGATGTCGAAATAACTTGCTGGCACTAAACCGCGTGCGTTTGTGAGAGGATTGGTTGCTTCTAGCCAATCTGGATTTGTACTATCATCGTTCAAAACATGAAAGAAATCTCCTTTGCTGAAACTTAGCTCTTGCGGTGCTCTTGAACGATAATCTCTTGTTGCTCGAATAACTTTCTTGGGAGGTTGGATGGAAACCGCATTTTTCACACCCATGAACACAGCTGGTGCTTGTCCTCCTGGACGACCGCCGGATGTTCGGTCTTTGTTTAATGACCTTCGAAATTCTTTTAGTCCCTTCATGATGTAAGATGGTGATCAATAAAACTGTTGTTAAAATGACAATACCATCAAAGTGGGGAAACTTGTACGTCCTCTGATTCTTATTTGAATTTGCTCGTGGTGCCGATCTTAATGTGATAATCGGAAATGACCTCTCGTTTTAAATGAGATGACGGTGTGCCGATATGTGCTGTTTTGTGTGTATTGTATCGGCCCGCAGACGATAAAAAGAGGAAATCCTTTTGTTGTGTTTGAAATGAAGTCTTTACGACTTTTTTCGTAAACGCGTTATTGATTAGAGATAACTTGGCGATCTCATATACTCTTGTTTGTGTATCTGTTTCCGTTTGACGTACTGATAGTCAAGAAAAAGGCTGATTGCTAGGGAAAGAGAGATCTACGTAATTACTCCTGTCGGATACGTAATAGAGTCCTAAATTCAATGTCAGACAACAAAGGTGCCTTGTAATAACGGCGATTACACCAAATTTCGTGTTTGATCAATCGGATGAATGGCGAGATGTCGATTAGAGAGTAACAATGTTGGACGTTATCGATTATGAATCCGGATGGATGCTTGTTATCATTCAGGAGTTGATTGTTTTAACCTGGTTAAGATTTGATAAACTCTACGCGTCGATCGCGGAGGCTGAATCGAATCGAGTGATTATAATCCAATCGTTGTTGGCTTTTTGTCGTTCGTTATTCCTAGTGACTGAATGAATCAACCACAGCGAAGATCACCTTTTATGATAAGCTGGTCGCTGATCACAAAAAGGAATGAGATATGTACACAATCACAAAAAAAGAAAACAAACGAAGTCGGCCGATGGAATACGAGGTTGACGCTAGACAAGTACTCTTTTTTTTATTTTGACATACGAATGGGAAAAGATAAGAGTGATATCATGCCTCAAACAGGAGATTCCCCCTCTCCCTCTTGCGTGTGTGTGCGCTTTGCTTGCAAGAACGCGTCTCTCCCTGCCCCCTCTTTCCTTCAGGTCATGTGTGTTTGTGTGTGTGTGTTTATGCGGTACAAGCTCCGTTCCGATTGAATTGCTGCTTTTGCTTGCTTGCTTTACTTGCCCTGCATCTGAGAGATTATTATAACACTGAAACAAATTAAGAATAATAAGAAGAATCACAACGGACAACTACGTAACTGTTCTTCTGATGATCAATTATGCGCATACATTCACTGCATCTCTTATAATCCGATGGACGTGCCTTTTTCGGTTGTTTAGATTAAAATCTAAGCTCAATTTTATGCATGCAGTTACATACATACCCACACAATAATTAACCGGCACAAAAGGCTCATTGACATCTTCTAAGCACAATGTCTTCTTCTGTCTTTCGCTTATGTCTTTCAAAGGTCCCCCCTCAATTTATCATCTCGATTAAAATCATTAAATTCCCATGTCAATCTTTCCGTTCTTATTCGCTTAACAGTTATAAGAAAGGGGGGTTCAAATATCGGGGCAAACCTTACTAAATCGATTGAACAACGAACTAATCTCGTAAGCGAAGCAATTGATTTTTGATTGTGTGGAAATGGAAGTCGGAATTCAATCCCTTTCCTTTGTTCTACGCCAAGAAGAAGGTGCACTTGATTCTATGAATACTACTACTCTAGTCATAACATTTTAACGCTAAAGATCTATCTGTGCAACCCTAAAAATCATTCATGTACGTAAAAAGCATCTTGCCGATCGTATTCATAGAATAGACGCTAATAATCAGCCAACTCGGCAAACAGGAATGACGGCTCATCCTTTATAAGGCTTTCCTTACTGTGGCACAAGTACGCACGCGTGATTCTTTAACGCGCTGCGCGCAACTCTTGGCATTCAGCCCATACACGTGATTCCATCTGCCTTGTTCACCGTGATCATCACTCTGTCACTCAATCAATCATTGATCACACAACAAAAGTTTGGGTAGCAATATCTATTGCAAATTTCCAAAAGAGAGCACATGATAAAACCTGTTTACCATATGTGGTGAGATGTACGAAAACAAAAAGTGTGACGGATAAAACCCGTACAAGGAATAAAAAGATATAGTAGTAGTAAAAAAGAAAGAAAGAAAGTAAAACGTAAAATGTTCATGAAGTACGAAAGAGATTAAAGGATTAAGCTATGTTTTGAATGAACGAATGTTGGTGACGAAAGCAATGAGATTCATAAACCGGTATGAAAAATCAAATCAACTTAGGTTGCATCAGCAAACATTCTGAACAAGCTTGTTGGGTTGGATCCTTGACTCAATCGGTTCACTTCACTAACACCTTGCAAGTTTTGCATAACACCGAAAGGTGAGAAACCGACGACGTAGTCTTGTTGCATGAACCAATCAGACATCTCTTTCATCATTTGATCAGTTTCAGATTTAGAGCATTGTGCGCCTCCGTTGAAGTTTTGGCAGGCGAACTCAGTAACCCAAACGGGCTTCTTGAAAGTGTTGTGCCAGTTTTCAACGTATTTCTTGAATGCATCAATGGAGACATCATACCAATGCAAAGAGATGGCATCCATACGGTCAAACACGTCACCACATTCGGATTGGAATTGTTTGTACCATTGTGACAAACCGTCGGGTGCAGATGTTGTTGAGGGACCGATGATGTACCATCCCTTGTCTGCCAAAGGCATGATGTGGGAACGCATCATGCTGCATGCATCACTAACGCTCATATCTGATTGTCCGACTTGGTTGACTTCGTTCATTCCCATAGCACACTTGTACTTGTTGAATTTTCCGTTTTGGTCATTGACGACTTTGTTCATGAAATCGTCAGCGTTCTTGTTACCCCACAACATAGGGCAGAAGACCAATTCGTCAATTGGGAATCCGTCCCAACCAGGAGTAGCATCCCAAGAATAAGCAAAGCTTACACCACCGGTCATGAAGTTCTTGATGTTCATACCGTTTGCGTTGGGCCATGCCAAACCTTGTTTGCTCTTCAACTTCAATGATCTACCCGCACCGGATGATTTGCTGCTGCTGCTGCTTCCCGATGATGATGCAGTTTGATCATTGTCAGAGCTCTTGTTGTCAGATGAACCACTGCTTGAAGTTGACTTTTGATCCTTCTTTTTGCCGTGGGTCTTCTTGTGGTGGTGCTTCTTACTCGAGCCAGCCGAGCATTTACGTTTTTGATGGTGGTTGCCTCTGCGAAGAGCAGGAGCATGAACTGCGTTCATGGGTTGCTCAGATGCAGCGACGAGAGTTGTTGTTGCCATTACGGCGGCAAAGACCATTGAAGATGCTAAAAACTTCATTGTGATTGTTTGTTGTGATGGTGATAAAAGATTGAATTGTGTTGATTGTTTGTTAGTTGTAATTGTTCTTCAGTCAAATCGTAGGCGTCCGAATGCGTCTGTTTGGAGGGAAGTGATTGCTAGGGTGTGTGAATGATTGGAGAGAGTGATGGTGAGATCGTTGCGTCAAGCAAGAATCAAACTTTTGAGTTATATATTTGGGGGAAAAAAACAAGGGAAGCGGAGTGAAATTTGGGCTTTGGAGGGTAATTGTTTGAGTGATGGAGTTGAGAAAGGAAATGAATTGAGAATTAGAGAAAGGGATATACATCACGGATTGGGTTTGATTGTTTGGTTTGTACAGAGCAATGATGCAGTCAGTATGTACGCGTTTCACCGCATAAAAGAGAAAAAACAGGGTGATATTATGCATTTTTGTGCGCGCGGGTAGAGTACGCCCCGCCAACTCACAGAACAAAGGTTTTTGATTGAGAACCCGCAAAAGAACGCGTCCTTTTGTGTGTGTGTGCAAGTGTGCTCTCATTGTTTATGCCGGCGCACTTCCAGCGAACATTTGAACGGGAGGGCTAATTAGTGGGCCTATGCATAACTTCAATTATTTTGCATCTTTTGATTAGAGCTCTTCTTCCCCCCTACACCTATTCATGATCCTCGGCAGGAAGTGCCTTTTTTGCACTCCTAAGATCTTCTAGCCTTTACAATCAAATGACAAACTGCAAGTGATTTCTTGCTGTGCTCTATTTCCATTTTAAAGCCAATGCGGGCGCTGTATTTTGGTAGACCCTATCTTCGGTTACGTGCATAAAATACCAACAGATTCAAATAGCACTAGAAAGATTCTAGTAATTAAAGGGGGATGGCATAAACCGACGGCTGACTTTTGTGCAGCTAATTTAAACCATCCGTAACGCGCGCACGCGGGTTATAAAAATAAACAACAAGCACGGGGCCAGCCACACAAAAGGGAATTTCGATTGATTACACCTGATTGTGGTGTATTTGGCACAAAGTCAGCCTATTTGCCGATACTCGCATAAAAAAGACAAAAGGCCAAAAATAAACTTGCCTTCAATCGAAAAAGGGGGTGGTCTCTCTCTCTTGGTTGCCCATTCCACGGCATGAAAATGCAAGGCTAAGAAAACGCTAAGCAGATCAGAGTAGGCAGTCTACGATCGCAAGGAATAAAACGGCCAGGACAGGCACAATCGACAATTACTCTACCCGTCGGCATAATGAGGGACCGGCTTGAGGGTATGCTGACATAAGCATCTGATCAAATTGAATCGCATCGACATGGTGATGACGAAAGGAAAGGATGTTAATGGTACCGAGATGAAAAGATGAGAGAAGGAAGTGATGAGTTGATGGGATTGACGCACTGAATTGATGTTCGCTGATCGAGACTCGTCTTCACGCTTTTAGATGCGCATACATGCAGTGACTGGGTGATATATCCTGAGGGTAATTTGAGTAATGAGTTAAGTCACTCTTGGATGTTGGTGAAGTTGAATGAAATTTCTGGCTTCGGTTTTCATTCCTTTTCGACACCTTTATTCATCGTCATCATCCTCTTCCTCCATTTTTTGTGCTCTCAAATCGCATCAACACCAAGATTACACACTCATTTTTTTGATTATTTGTTTTATTTCATTTCAAATATGTCTTTATCACAAAGACGGATATCACACTTGCATAATTTGCCACAACCTCAAATGATCAATTCACAGACCCGGATGAAAAGACTTCCTCTGCGGAAGTCACCTTTTCATGTTCGAGATCAAAGTACAGTATCTTTCGGATTATTACCGGCTAATCTACCAGATGCACCTTTGACCGCAAGAGCAAATGACACAACCAAGAACCCTGTCAGTATTGGTCTTACGGTTGGATGTACATTATTGTTGATCATGATCGTCTCTCTTTTGACAATTTTGTTCTGTGTTTGGCACAGGAAGAAGTCTTTACGTTCCAAAGCTTTGGATTGTAGAAAAAGTCCGTGGACACAACGATATCGTGATGGCACAAGGAATGGAATTCCAAGACCAGAATTGCACATGACGAGAATTATGGAAGAGAAAAATACACAAGAAGGATACTTTGATCAACAAAAGAATACGTACACCATCTACAAAGATACACCATTACTAGAAGAACATGACAGCTATTCGAAAGAATCCGATATCGATCCATCTTTTCAAAATGAACAAAGGCTGGCAAAGCAAGGAAAAGCGCAAATTGAATCATCATACCTCAACGCGTCCACGACAAAAAGACGAACAAAGTTGCCGGATGTATGGTGTTCGCCTGTCTTGCCAATGCCTAATTCCGCTCGCATGTCACCAAGGGTTCGCAATTCCGTCTTTCAAAATCCATATGGACATATAGATGTGATCAGAGGATCTCTAATGAAAGGATTAAATAGCGAAGACAGTTCAGCAACGATGATCGGACTTGGCTTGATGGTGGAAGCTGATACGGCATATGATTATACAATCGTTGATGATCCTTCGCCAGTAGAAAAGACTGGCGAATTGTGGGATCCAGTGAAAGGTAGCCTTCATGCTGATTTGATTTGCTCGGCCGACAAGTATGCCGCTCTAATGCCGAAAGGCTCCCTCCTACGTCAGCCTGAACGGAAGAAGACGGAAAGTCTTGGAGTCATGAGCCGTAGTCCAAGTGATACAAGCATATATACAGCAGTGAGCTTGGCAACTTTAGTGGTGGAAGAAAATATGATCCCAGCAACGTTGTCCAAAGACGATGATGAAAAGAAAGGAGAGTCCGAAATATTCAACATTGTTCAACGTGACTTTAGGGAATCAAAAGTGCCAAGCTCAAGACAAAAAGCTCCCAAAAAGAGCAAGACTATATCCTCATTCCGTGGCGAACGCAAATCTAGGACATCCTCTTCACGATTGTTAGATGAAATATTTGACGAACAAACGGATGCTAGAGTGACAAGAACTTTTACTGCTGCAATGCGAATGATGAAAAAGAACTTAAAGGCAAGGAAGCCTCCAACGCAATCCAAGAAGGAGAGTGTTGCGACTATGGAGGATGAAAGACCAGTCTCCTTGCGGTCTTTAGCTAGACGATCAGAGGTACGAAGAAGAACAAAGATGCAGTCTGATCGAACTTCTGCTTTACTGTCACATGCAATCTCACCTTATGTTGAGAAGCAGCACCCGAACGTCGTTTCGGACCAGCAAGTCAATCACTCAAAGCAGAACAGCAATGACTCAATTGAATCTGCATGCTCTTCGTTACGCCAAGGTCGCATAAGCACAATGGAATACCACCTACCTTCACGATTATCAGCAAGCGGGGCAAAGGTATTTACTCTTTCCCCTCAAAAGATGGTCAGTATCAATCATTCGGACATGGCATTGCCAACCACGCCCCAAAACAAGCAGCCTTACAACAGAGACGTGAAACCACTCGTGAGAAAGCGCACGATTCGAACGATTGACCAAGACAAGCTCATTTGTATTTCAGACTCAAAAGGGCGAGGATCGGTGTTATTGACCGCAAAAGCAGTTCATCGAAAGTCCCGTTCGCTTGACTCGTGCTTGAGTAGTGCAATTTTAGGCTACCTTCATACACCTACATCTGTCAAAGTGCCGTCAAGATCAAATACGGGACCATACGTTCCACCTGTGATGCTTGAAACAAAAAGAGGAAGATCTAACACAGATTTGACAATCGGTACCGCTTGCAATACAACTCCACTTCGTATTCGTAAAACTGCCAATTCACTCTTGTTCGCAAAAGTAAAACATAAACGTGTATCTCAATTGATTCAAACCCACGGCGGCAGTTTGAAGAAGATGCAATACAACAATCGAGAAAGTCAATATAGCACAGATGGAGAATATGCAAGTCCAACGATGCAAGTTGTTGCTCTTTATGACGAATATTCAAGTGATGAAGAAGATGATAATATGAGCATAACAACATCCGAACAAAGTCATTTTCCAAACCAATTCCATCGTCGAAGCAGAAGTCAAGAATTCTTCCTTTCGTGAATAGTGTATTTATATTCGGACAAACTTTGTCGTATCCTGTATTTTATCCCCACATCATTCATAGAATGCCAATGTTATACGCTTTTAGACCTTTTCATTATTGATTAAAGTAGTAGTACATAGTTGTATTATTGTAGAGTATTGTATGCTCTTCAGTCAGAAGACTTTGGTGACGCCAGAGCATCATCAACAGCTTTTCTGCATGAAGGACGTAATCGATATCCTGTAGGCTCAAAAGCACCCAAGACGAGCGTGATAGTCGTTCGCAAAGCGGTGATCAAAGGTGCGACATCATGATCAAAGACGAACAAGCTCGTATCAGAAGCACCTGTTCCATCTGCTCGCTTTTGCGCGGTGATATTCATACCAAGCTGTTGCAAACCACTCAATAACATCGCACATTCTTCCAAAACGTCATCGATTCCTAATCGTGAAGAAGCAGCTAAAGCTACCGTACCATATTCATCTTGTTCCAAACTTGCCGCCAACAACGATCCCAAGATTTGAACACTCCAGGTAACCAATGCTTCATCATGAGGTAGAACACCAATCGCCAAGAGTGAATCATCGGATGAGGCAAAAAGCCATCTTTGTGCTCCTTCAACTTTGCGTGCCACAAATGAATTTCGCAAAACGTGTTGCAAATCTGACGGCAGGAGATTGAAGAGAGATCCAAGTGATTGCACAGAGGAGATGAAGATATTCACGAAAACATCCAATAACGTGATTTTTGATGCTGAGCTTGCTGATACACCAGTGCTCGAACCTGTTGCGGTGCCACTTGTAGACGAAGCTGGTGTCGTGGTAGATTGTACGGGTGGCGGCGCAATACGATGGAGCAGCGAATTCAATCCCTCTGTGGCGTTAGTATTGACTTGAGTAGAGGTTGCAGCTGTCAATGGTTGAGCTGTTGTAGCACTTTGCTGTGATGCAATGGGCGAAGACGAAGCCAATCGGTCCCAAATAGATGGTTTACCTTTATTTACGCCAGTGTTTCCTGTTGCTAAAGATACCTGATGAGCAGCATCTACTGGTTTCAAGTGACTGGCTGGCTTTTGCGAGCTTGAGGAAGACGTTGCACCGGATGCGACTGGCTCCTTGCCTTTGTTCAACAGCCATTTTCGCTCTTCTTGAATGACATTGATACATTCTCCCGCAATCACTGCCCATGCACTACGGCCTGCTCCGCTATCCAAGCCCGAAGAAGGGATAGAAGGAAGAATATTTCCTCCATTACCACCAGTAGATTGACCAACATCGCGGAAGATTGCCTTTCGTCGTTCTGCATCTGTAGCCATCACAGTTGCCATTTCAGCAAATGCAAAGTGTGAATAGTATGATCTCTCACTGCTTCCGAGATGTGCTTCTTCTGGCAATGGTATCCTTCTGCTTTGCATCCCTTTAATCAAGCACTTTGTAGGCGCACTAGAAAATCTACTCAAACCGCCCGTACCAAGACCTATTGGCTGGGTTGACAATACTTCCCAGGCAACACAGAATGCCTCCAAGATCAAAACTGTTACCAGTCCCAAGAGTGAGACGCGGAAGATCAAGTCAACGTTGGACAATGGTCGTTTGAAAGATGGAACCAACAAAGGCCGTAATGGTGAATGGTGTCCTATGAGCGAAAGAACGACACGGAAGAACGGCCTTCGGATGAGAAGATACCCCTGAAGGATGATACTAGGCGTAATAGCTCCAATAAATACTGCACGATAGATTGTTTGACGACCTTTTGCTGCAATTCGTATAAGTGCAGATTCAAACGTCGCCTGTGCTTCAAATCGTGATGGAGCAAATGGTGCCGGAGCACCTGCTCCTGGAACCTGTGGTCTGGAGAACAATACTGAACGAATGATCGCATATGTTGCACCAAGGATCGCATTACTGCATAGAAGGAACCAAAATCGTTCATTTGGTCGGATTGCAGTAGTCTTGTATCCTTGTGAAAGTCGTACTGCGACTTGATGGTAAGGAGACCACGGATTAGAGCTCTTCGAAGCTCCATCAACAGAAACCGTGTTCGTGTAATGGGCCAAAGCCAGGCCATGTGTCGTAGCTATGGCCAAAGCGAAAGCAGCATGCAACAACACACCTCGCCACAAAGCACCTTGACGTAATGAACGAACCAACAAACTGGCCGGAGAACCAGCCGAGAGAGTAAATCCGCCCGCCAGACGTTCATCACGTAAACCCGCATGATCTTGAATCGTCCATTTCTTACTGGCGATACTGAACCTTTGACCTGGTAAAATCAATAGCAAACCAAGCAAAACAGTATATGAAGTTAGCGATAAAAATAGCGCTGTAGGTCGGAATGGTAAGGTTATCAATTGAAGCGGATTTGTAGGTCGAAATAAGGAGATGCAAAATAAAGCATGATAGACTGGAAGGCTGAAGACCAGCAGTTTCACCCAATTGATCCGAAGAGCTGTTTCTAGAAATCCTGAATAGGTCAAATGTGGTCTTGGCTGAAGGGCAAATGTCGCATATGCGTTTTCATCGAGCAGTGATTTGAACAATGGCCATACTTGAGGCCAAAACCCTGTGACAGGTTTCAGTGGCTGTGTGGTTGTTACCGGCTTTGAAACGGCTGATGAAGAGCTGGTAGTTGATCCAGGTCCACTACGTGCTGCTGGTGTTCCGAAAGGAGTTCTTGAAAGGAACAAAGATGCTTTTGAGGTTGATTCTGGTGTTCGGTAAGGTGAAAAAGAAGCAACTTTGATAGGCGTGCCAATATCTGGAACGGCAGACTTTCGCGGTTTAGAGACGTTGAGTGATGATTGTTGTTGACTCTGTACATTACGTGTAGCCAATTGTGATGATGTGCTTTCACTCAATCTTGACGTTTCTTGTTGTACTGGTGTTGAAAATGATTGTGAAGAAGCCCTATTCGATGAAGGTCCTGCGTTCAACGCATAACGACTAGAGGGGGTTGAAAAGGATGATTGCATGATCCTATAACAACTTACCCCTTCTTATGCTGATGATGGTATCACTTGTGGATGAAATGAAATTTGTTCGTACTCTTTCTTCTAAAAGTCGCGTTAAATTTGTCTGCACTGTAGAGTTGCATATTCACGAGTGTTGGTCTCTCTCCACCACACAACGCGCCCGCTACCAACACGTGTTACAGGTCATCACGATGAAAGACAAATCCAAGAGTAATGCTATTCTATTTTAATCTATGTTACAAATAAGATAATACAACTTCATGAAAATCCTTCAATTCAAGTCAAATCCATTGGCAGCAAGAGCGACTGCCAATTCAGGATCCAAATAAGAAGCCAAAGTAACTTGATCAGCCAAACCTTTTCTCCTTCTAGTCTTTAACATCACATCCCTTGCCAATCCGAGCGGTGGTGCAGGTTCTAAAGGTCGTAATTTCACATCAGTATCCAAAGGATCCCCTGGCACAACCGAATAATGTGAGAATACTTGCAGACAAAATGCTTGGCCCTGGGTATGAGTTCGTAGATCTGTTTCGAATCCATTTGCATCTAAAACAGGTATATAAGCACGAACGATGAACAATGGAGTACCGGGTTTAGGAACATCTTGTGTTACATGACCACGTCTGCGTGCTAGAACAGTATACACTGCAGCCACGCAATCAGCAGGTGCTTGTACCTCAACATAATAGATCGGTTCCATCAATCGAGGTGTTGCGAGTAGAAGTGCTGCATAGCATGTTCTTCTGGCTGTTGGGATCAATTGACCGCTGCCTCTGTTTATAGGTTCAGGAGCCAATTGTGCGTCCAAGATGCGGAACTTGACATTTCTGACCGGTTCATCTGCCAATGGACCTTCACGGGTTGCCCATTGAAAACCTTGCTTGATCGTTTGCCTCACAGTATAAAGTAATTTCTTATCCACCTCCGACGGTAAAGTGTCGTCAACAAGGATATTTGGTCCATCATCACTTGGTCCAAATGCCCAAACAGACCTAGAAGCCAAAAGATCCCATCCATACTTCTCTTGAAGAAGTTTTCCTAATTCTTTAGGTGGCATATGTATATCCAATCTTCCCGATTCGATATCTTCTGCGATACCTTTCTCCAAAGGTTCAGCAATGATTGTCAATTTGTTCTTCTTGTTTGGCGTAACGGCGAAACATTTTACCGCACTTGTTTCCACAACCGTTTCGGCAAAGCGAACAACAGGATCGCTCACCTTGATCTCAATTTCGGAGAAGAGCTTTCGTAAATCGTGTAAAACGCAATCCAGATACAGCTCTCCGGTACCCAAAATAACGTGCTCACCACTTTCCTCTACCTTTGTCACTGCGAGAGGATAGCTTTTGTTGATCTTTCTCAAGCCTTCAAGCATTTTTGGTAGCTCGGAAGGCACAAGAGGCTCCACCGATACTTTGAGAACAGGTTGAGTCATGTGAGATAAAGGCGCTATGATATGAAGCTCATCTGTTTCAATCGATGCGTCCACGATTGTACCCGTTTTGGTGATGTTCGCGTCCACACCTTTCAAGCTTACCCAGCATCCTGCTGGAACACTGTCAGATTCAACATTGTAGCGTGATTCATTGATCCACACACCCTCTACGTTAGCCAATATGGAATCTTCATCGTCATCTTGCGAGAATCCTTCACCCAGCACACGAACCCGATCACCAATCTTGACCGTCCCGCTCAATACACGGCCAAACGCTCTGAACTCTTGAGCATCTGTGGTTTGGTATAATTTCGCAACGGATACGATCAACGGACCATCCGCATTGCAATTACGCATAGAACCGTACAAGCCGCCCTCCTTTGGACCTGTCCATATCCGATCAATCTTTTTCTGTGCCCCTTCTTTCGGGGAAGGAATGTGGTTCACCATCAAATCAACCAAGCCGGCACTATCACCAAAGAAGTGCTTTAGAACCAACTTTAGCAAAGGACGTACGTCGATCTTGTATGCTGCTGGTTTTAGATGAATGCCAAGGCTGGCGAGAGTTTTTCGTAGTTTATCTGTATCACTGGAAAGTACTTGTGTATAAATCTTGTATAGCGGTTCCAAGATGAATTGCACAAAACTTCTCTTGCTCTCAGCATCGGCACCCTTTCGACTGAAATTACGCGATTCTGCCGAATAGAAGATATTGCCCCACAATCGTTTGCTGAATTGATCGATATCGATACCTCCGTATGTATCCGAGTATAGCTTTGCGAAGCTTCTCAGAGTAAAGCACCATCCCATCTCTGTGCTAGCAAACGCGACGTTCCCTCTTTCAGGACCTAACTTTCGAGCTGGATCCCGATCATGTTGTGCGATCAAGTTGTTAACTTCATCGATCGTCTGCCGTATCTTGTAGTATGCATCATTTGGCGGCAATCTAAGTTCCAAGATGAGTCGATCGATCTTATTGAGAACCATAACAATCGGTAGGCCTTCGCGTATTGCATGTTTGACGATAGCTTCGGTATTCACCATTACTCCCTCCACAACATCGACGACCAAAACAACACCATCAGCCATTCGAATACCTGCAGCAACCTCATCCTGAAAGTTAGGATGACCTGGGGTATCTATCAGATTCAAGAGATATGACTTTGATTTTGTTGAAGTCATAACAAGCGAAAGAGGCGATGATTTGATCGAGATTCCTCTACTTCGTTCTAGGAGATGTGAATCTGTATAGCGCATGTGCTTATCGACATCGTGATCCATCTTGTGAGTTTCTAAAAGTAGCATATCCAGCAAACACGTCTTCCCATGATGTAGATGTCCACAAATCGCCACATTACGAACCATCTCTGGAAAATTCATCAAGTTCATCATAAAGCTTCTCTCGAATCGTGTTTCTGGTAATCCAGCTTCCTCGATGGCGAATTTTCGCATCTTGACTGGTTCTACGATCGGCTGGCTGATTGGTTGTGCATCTTCTTCTTGTACCAATGTTTCCACTTCGTCGCCATATACCTCATTTGCGCTAGGATAATATTTCTTGTCTTCATGTAGAACGACTGCATTTTGTGAAGATTCATCGACTTGCATTAGCTGCATACCTGCTTGTTCCACTCTTCTCATTCGGGCTATATTTGCCTCTTCATCTTCATCACTTTCATCATCGTATCCTTCTAGTGGGGCTGGCTCTTCATACTCTTCTTGCCTTGTTCCCATGGCTGAAGTGGATGCTTCCTGCTCATCTTGACCGATATCAGAGTCATCATCTGAATCTGACAAGACTCCAATATAATTACCGAATTCATCATAGTCATCCATCTTCTTCCGATGGCCTTGATCGGTAAGGGTATAATGATCAGATGGATGTTTGAACGAAAGAAGGAAGCTTCTTAGGCTTTTGAATGAATTTACGCGTACACGTGAAGAGGGGACAGACAAGAAGGCTAATTTAGCGGAACTGCAGTTACCACTGATTTCCGTTTACACTATACCTTTTATGGCAAGGCAAACGTCATTTAAGCCGCGCTAATTATTAAGGTACACGGCACACATTCCACACACATCAAATGCGGTCTTGCTTTATCTTTCCTCTCTACCATAATCTGTCATCATCTGCACAAATTGACGCTACTTCAATTCGACTAATGAAAGCTTAATTGTCATCAATCCACAAGCCGATCTTATTCGACCCCACTTTTGAACAGAATCATTCAAGATGGCTTGTCTTGTTGCCACCACATCTGGCACATCTGCTTTTCATTCTCCCGTAAAGACAACCTCTATCCATCATCAAATCCGAAAAGATATAGACACAATGTTGAGACAGCAATATGCCAACAACAGGATCAATGCAGCCACAATAATGATCCCAATCTTGATCAGAGCATTTGGTCCATTACCACCGATCATTTCATTCGCCTTGCCTGCAAATGCAACGGTAGCATTTATTCTGGCAACAATTATCCGTAACCTACGATTGCCAGCCAGAGTTGCACAAATGTTACGATTGACTCGGTTGGGTGGTCAGAACGTGAACGGAAATACACCAATCAGTTCATTGACCGGACCTGCAGTTCGTAATGCATACGGTCAAATGGTTCAACAACCAATCACGCTTGAAGTACGAATGGGCACTCGAGGTGGTAAAGGAGGTTTTGGAAGTCAATTACGTGCAGCAGGCGGAAAGATGAGCTCTGCTAGAAATGGAGAAGAAAATCGTGATTCATGTCGTGATTTGAATGGAAGAAGGTTGAGCACGATCAAACAAGCACGTCAATTGGCAGCTTATTTGGCCACGCAAGATGAACGTCAACGTGCTCTGAGTGAAGCACAAAAGAAAAAGTATGCAAAATTGGAAAAGATGCTTGGGAGGAAACCAAGAAAAGAGGCTGATTTCGTTGAAGCTGCACAAAAGTTGCATGATCAAGGTGGGGAGCTAGATGAGGAGGGTAATGAGACCGAGGACGACAAAGGCGAAGGATCATCCCGGATGGCTGCTCCTAGAGCCAAGCCAGAAGATAGCAAAGGAAAGAAGCGCGAGCGTATCGAAGACTCTGAATACGTAGAGCAAAGTAGAGAAATCGTGGAAAACGTTCGGAGTGCAGTAGCATCAGCAATGCGAAAAAAGAAAAAGAAGAGCACTTCCAGCATCACGAACGGGAAAAGCAAGGAAGCAGAATTGAACAATACCCGCAAACACGAACTAGCCGCTTAATGATTGATACCTACTTAAAGAAGTTTTTTAATTTTGTAGCATATTTCTGACGATTGAATGATATTACGAGAGCTTTTCATGACTTGTTTCTGCAGTGTTACAAAGGTATACAATATTTCAATACAAACGATGATCATCGCATAAATATGAAATAAGTCAAAAAGTCTGTAGTTCCTTGTCAGATTGGTGTATCCCTTCTCTACTCGCGAAGAAGAGACAGATCGATGCTCAATGGGGAGGAGGATGATGAGCAGCATATACTCCAGGTGGGGGAATATGACCTTGAGGGGGAGCATGAGAATAAGGCGATTGCATTGCCGGATAGCCGTACGGCATCGGCGGTGGGGGTGGATGTTGCAAAGCATTGGGTGCCTGCATTTGGGGTTGCTGCAAAGGTGAAAATGAAGGGTATGCTGCATGAGGTGGTGGTGGTTGCATTTGAGCGGGATACGGAGGAGGCGGAGGTGGTGGCAATGAAGCATTAAAAGAGGCAAAAGGAGATGGTCCCGGCCCAGCACTTGGAATCTGCGATCCTCCATGTCCATTTTGATAATTCTGATACGGTGCAGCGTTGGCATATTGCTGAGGAGGAAAACCAGGATGGCCGTTATCCGAGCTTTTGTTTAAAAGCGAAAGCAAGGGATTGGAAGAAGGCATCATCGAGGAAGGTGGTGGCGGAGCCTGCGGCAGAGGACTTGTGGGAAAATTGCCTGCACTTTGTTGGACAAAAGTCGAGAAAGGAGATGTACTCGGGTGAGGAGGTGGCTGATGGGACGCCTGCTGACCGTTCAAAAGGGACAATAGGTTGCCTTGTGGTGGAGCTGCATTGCCTGGTGACTGAGGTGGAAATTTAAATTGATGATGAACCTTTTGATCTTGATGACTGCCGTTCTGACTTGGAGGATTCTGGATTTGCATGGATGAAGACATTAAGTTGCTCAATAGCATATCGCGCTTCTGTGCCCTTTCCCTTTCTCTTTCATCTTCGGAATTGGGAATGGAGATTTGGGCTTGTGCCTGTTGATAATGCTGATCGGGACGCCAAGCTGATTGGTTCTGTTGTGGTACGAGCGGAGCTGCCTGTTGAGTATCGAACGAGATTGAAGTTGAAGGGCTGATCATATCGAGCACATGTTGCGCTTGTGCTGTCCTCTGTGCCCGTGGAGCGGGAAGTGGGGTAGACGATTGCGGGATGTCGTGAATTGGACCCGCTGTTCCATTGAGCAATGAGAGAAGAGCTGTGGAGCTTCCATTTCCAGATGTTTGTCTGGTTGCATTTCCATTCCCTGAGCCTGCATTCAAAGCTGCCAATAAGGACGATGTTCCACCTTCCCGATCATCTCTGCTTTCTGCTTGCCCGAAATTCAACTGTGGCTGACCAGGCGTATGCTGTGCAGCAACAGCTGGACCACCTCTCAGCAAATCCAATAATTGTCTTCCACGATCATCTCCCTGCTCTTCAATCATCCTTTGCCCTTTACCATCAATTGCTGGAGCATGATCGTGCTCATTGCCCGCCGATAGCCCGAGTAAAGCTTTCAAGTCATTGCTCTTATCACCCGAGGAATCCGCTATCAAATGCTGTCCACTATCTGCACCTTCCTCCAAAGCATCTCCATCGTATGAAGCCTGTGCGTACCTATTCTTGTTCTCATGAATCCATTGTTTGAGTTTTCCGATGAAAGGCGAGATCAGATAAAACTTTCCACCCATGCCTTGAGGCGGGGCTTTATTCTTCTTCCACGTGGGCAAATCAGAAAGGCTGAACCAGGATATCTTTGAGATTTCCTTTCTCGTTTGCGTTTCGAAATATGTATCCTCGTCCAATCCGGGAACGATGTACAGCCGTATCTTTTGCTCTCGCATCGTCAATTCCATATAATCCCTTGAATCATTCGGCAGCAGCGGTCCGCAATCAAATCCAGTCTCTTCCAACACTTCTCTTACAGCACAATCCCTTTCAGTTTCTTGTTGATTAATCTTTCCTTTTGGAAAGCCCCAAGTAGAATTTGCTTTCCATCCTTTGACGAGGATGCATTTATCCAAACGTGCATTCAGCATCACTGCTCCACATACTGGTACTCTTGTTTTGTACTTTAGAAACTCGTCAAAAGCAGCTTCCAAGCCTTGTTGACTCTCATGATTGGATGAATTGGAGATGTATCGTTGAATAAGCGGAACTGTTAGCGCTGCTGTGTGTAGCAGGTAAGATGAAAACCTTCTCAATGCAAACGAGGGTAGAGAAGGATTGAGAGGTCTAAGGAAATCTTCATAGAACCAGTGTGCCTGTTCGACTTGAAAACATATACGTTGTATGCTATCCTGTTCTTCTGCCGGTAGATTGACGATGAATCGACTGCTAAGATCTTCTAATACATCATTAAAAGTGAGAGATGCATAAGATGATGAACCTGATGCCGTTCCTGCTGGAGTTCCTGATCGATTTGTTGCATCTATTGAGCCTTGAGCGGCTTTCTTTTTTGCTCCCATTGATGGACCGTTGTCCTTTCAGCAATTGCTTGATATTAGTAATGATATTGTGACATCGAAGCAGGAAGGATGGAAATGAATGTTTGGCTAATGACAATGTATTTTGCTGTTTGTTGTTGCATTGACCTCTCTCTCTCTCTCAACGCGTCAGGCGCTGCGCCACAATGATCAAAAAAGACGCCTTTGCCTCCTAAAACTTCTTTCATTCTGACGCCCAAGAGAGAATTTTAGTCAGTCACTATTCGTAATTTGATGGAGCGAAAAAGATGGTTGAAGACGATTCGATACTCTTGGTGGCACTAGCGATCCGCATGCGATGAAAGCCGTCGTGAGATTGATGTGTACGCAAGTAGTGATGGCAGGGTCCCCAAGCCCTAAAACGCCGCCCCGTAACATTTATGGTCTTTGTGCATTTATTGATTGCCAAGACCGTACTATGCTGTGATACGACATTACATCTTTTCATCTCTCCCCACAGCATACAGCCGGAGCCTTTTGCTTCTTACTTCTTCTTCCAATCGATCACCATACATCTGTCGCACTGAAAATGCGTCTCAATAGGATGCCAACTTGCGTCAGCAGGCCGTTTATCCTCGCTGTAATCCTGATATTAGCATTGATGCTATTACCTGCAGATGCTTGTTTCAATTGCAAGAATGAAAGAGTGAGTGAATGATCTACTAGAGAGATATTGAGCCGAAAAGATACTAAATAAAAATGAATAGGATCCCAGAGAAGAACCACTTCATGATCGGGAAACCGGTAAGATCTTCTTTCGCACTTTCAATCCTGAACAAAAGCTCGATTGGGCCCATCATCAGACTGTAGGGGAAAGGAAAGCCGGAAGAAGAGGTGTTGAACCTACAGATCATAATTACAATACTATGATGCTAGCAGTATCAAAAGGTCTCGATAAACCGTATAGGGCACTCTATCGAAGTCGTTCCGGCAATCAAGAGATATGGGACAAAAACAAAGGTACGCAACATGTACAACAGCTTACGCAGAAATTAAGAAAAGAAGATACGATAATAGGCAGAATAAAGAAGCTACTTCCACATAAACCACACAACTACCAACGAATAATAAAAGGCTCTTCGGGATCAAATCATCCGACCTCAACTCCAAGTTTTAAAGAGTCGAAATCTGATTCAGGCACGCCAAACGAATTGAAGCAGCATCTAAAAGGATCACAGTCTCCACGTTCCCGAGAAAAGGTGAAAAGTTGGCTGGCAGGAATACCAGACGATTTATACAGTTCGAAGGACAGTACCTCGCATCAAAAGCATGAAAGAGTACCAGGACACAGTAATGGTTCATCCTCACGAGGAAGCGTGAGCTCAACACACGATCGGCTCAGATCTTCCTCTTCCCCTTTGAGAGCATATTCTCGTGTCAGTTCTAGTATTGATTCTCTTGCCAATATCCACGTTACTAATCCAGGCGCCAAGGGTAAAATGCAACACAGCAGCAACTGAAAGACATTGTGAAGAGTTGTGAATACACATTGTTTCTTTGCAAATGCATGGCTGTGCGAAAAGTTTTTTTTGAGTGAGCTTCGATCAGATTTGTCTATTAAGTGGACGCCGTAAAGAGTGAGTAAAAGCCCCATTTCATCATACCGAAAGATTCGAAACTTTTGCCCCTCACGGTCGAAACTCGGTCAGAATCATAAACAGAAGAGAGTATAAAAATAGGTAGAATTTTGATTAACAAGAGGATCTACATCCACCCCATCAAAATTTTCACATCATGTTATTCATCGTTATTTTTCGACTTGCACTTTGTGTGCTTTTGAATATCCAATTCTTCAACTCAGTAATTGCTGTACCTGCAGATACTTCGGGCGAAGGTAGCAGTGGTCATGGTAGAGATTCAAGAAGGGTATGTGTTACTTTGTTGACGATCATGCTTGACTGATATCTTATCTTAAAGCAATTTTCTTTTTAGAAACATTATGGAATCGACCATCCAGACACGCTTTCAGTCTTGAAAAAGAATCAACTGGTATCCGTCCAAGATAGAATTAATAAACACGTTGATAGAGCTAAAAAGGAAGCAGAAGCATTGAATCATCAATATCCAACTCACGCTTTGAACACTGTAGCTATCACAGCTCGTCAAGGCCATCCTGATGCTTGGTCTCATATCTTCAAAAAAGATAAGGAAGTAACAAGCGCAATTTGGGATAGAGCACATCGTGAAATCGCTTCGAAAAAGGTGACATTGCCGACAAATGAATCAAGCTCAAAGGGCAAGGAGAAAGGTCATGGTAGTGGTGCGAGACCTGGTGCTGCTGCTGTATATGGCAAAACTAAGAGCTTCAACGCTTCACCCAAGATTTCAAAAACCGAGAAGGGAAGGTCTCGTTCGAACTAGGTTGTGTTCCCGTACTAATGTCTCGCTTCGACTTATGATCAATGAAAAGCATGTGTATATTCCATAAATAGTACAATGAATCGTTCTCCCTTCATCTACACATCCGCTTCGATTGAGGTGTAGTGGGAGAGCTGGGATGCCATGCACGGGATCGCAAATAATGATCATGAGAATGCATATCGTATCCTCCGTATTCATGCGGCGGAGGAATAGCATGCCGAGGGTCATCTTGATGCTGGATATTACTATTTTTGTTGCCCTTGTTCGCCCTTGATCGAATTCGGAAGAAAGATAAGAAAGAATTTGTTGCGCCGACGATAATGATGAGAGATAGCAGTGTGAATAGCATACTCTTCCAACTGACCACATCTACAAATCCATTAACGATCTCTGCTACCGTTTCAGCAGCCACACGAGCTCTTCCAACGTTTGCTGGGTCTCTTGCTGAACATCTTTGCCAATTTGCACATGCGTTCGCTAAAGCAGGTACAGCGCCGTCTGTTCCACATCTGTTCAAATGATAACTTTGCGAACATGCTTCAATTTCCGCAAGATATTCCATTTCATACTCTCGTACTTTACTTGAAACGTCACGTTGCAAAGTTCTAACAACGTTGAACAGCACCCAAACAACCCCAATAAGTAAAGTTGCATTGAAGCCAAATTGTGCCATTCCTAAACACCATTCGGGATCGAGCCAAGATCGTGGCGGGGAGGTTTGAGTGCGATGAGTGGCATTAGTTTGGGTCATATGATCATCTCTATTCGATCCATTGAAGAAGTAGTGTATATTCAACGTATCCCCCACTCGTCTACTGAGCGATCGTTGTCTTTCTATTCCTCTTCCTTTCCTTCGCTGTTGTGTCAATGTATCATACTTTTCGTCATCTTCCCATTCTGCGCTAATGTCTTCGTCGTTCTCCTCATCTTCCTCTCCACCATGTAAGCCACGGCGACCAAGTGAAGTCTTTCTCCTTCTTGGAAGGGATGATGGCTTTTTGTTATTCGCTGCCCTTTGTCTATTTACTCGTTGTACAGCTCCTTGAGAGACAGGCCTTCTAGAAGAGCTTGACTGGTCCTGTTCTTGGTCATTGTCTAGTCGAGTTGCATGTGTTTTTCTACTGGAAGATGTTCCCTGATTCCTCAATTCTGTCGCCATATCGACGTCTGGTCCCTCGATTGTAGGTGATAGTGGCTGTTGAAATAGAAATGCTCCGCCTGAATGTTGATTATTATTGCCAAATACGAAAGGCTCACTCGTTCCTGACATCTCTAGAGATCGTTTTCTCTCATTGTGCAATTCTTCTGCATCTTCCATATTCTTATCTTTTGTTTGAGTAGAACTTGAGTTCAACCATGCACCCGAAGGCTTTGAAGGTGAATCATATGCGAAATCCATTGGAGAATCGCGAGATCTCATTTGTTGTTGTTGTTTATTTGAATACATTTCTGGAATGAAATTTACTCTTTCTTGTTGTAATGATCAATAAGGAGTACGTCCTCCAGCAAATGACATGATAAGTTATTTGCTAGGTAAGCGTGAATGATCGCGGATAGGGTTCCGATGATGTCGGTTGATGGTTATTGTACAGTCGGTGTAGAAAGTCGACCAGCAACATGCACTTTTTATTATTTCAATCACAACATCTCTCGCTGCCCTTAAGCCCAAGACGCGTCTAAAAATTGTTCAACCAACACTTCATTTAAACAAAATGCACGGTCACTCTTAAACATTCCTTCTTCATTCACCTTTTCGATATTCTAACAGAGTTTGGATCACCATGTCAAATCAGGCCATAGAATATGCGATCCCTTCACCTCCACAAGATCCAATTTCAGGCTTAGCCTTCAACCCAAATCCATCTAAAGCCCATCAATTGCTGGTATCGAGTTGGGATAAAACTGTTCGGCTATACCATCTGGCCAATCTAGATGAAGCATCTTCTTCAGATCCAAGTAAAAGGGTACGATTGATTCATACTTTCAATCATGAAGCACCAGTGCTGGATGTATGCTGGATAACCGATACTCTCGCTGCTAGTGGAGGAATCGATCGTCGTGTACGTTTGCTCAACTTGGAAACTGGTCAGACAAACATCATCGGGAAACATACAGCACCGATTAGCAGGATTCGATATAGCCATTCGGCAAATTTACTCATTTCATCTTCTTGGGACTGTACTTTGAAAGTTTGGGATCCTTCGCCCGTAAATGCGTCTTTGTTACGCACGATCAATTTACCCGATAAAGCATTGGCCATGGACGTATCTCCGCCTTCTCCAATCACATCAAACGATGCAGGTACATCTATATCCATCATTGATCAAACACCTCGGTTAGTAGTTGGAATGGCAGGAAGGTTGATACACATCTTTGATCTTTCAAGATGGCGTGAAGAAATCGATAATACGAAAGCCGGCAAATCGAATAACGAGGACGTTTGGCGAGCAGAGCAAAAACGTGAAAGCAGTTTGAAGTTCATGTTACGCGATATACGTTGTATGCCAAACGGACAAGGATATGCAATTTCATCAATCGAAGGTAGAATCGCTGTAGAGTTCTTTGATACATCAGAAAGCATACAAGCGAAAAAGTATGCGTTCAAATGTCATCGACAAGTTGTTGATGGTGTGGACACGGTTTATCCGGTAAACGGATTAAGCTTTCATCCTCAACATGCAACTTTTGCATCTTTGGGAGGTGATGCAATCGTGGCTATATGGGATCCTTTGGCCAAAAAGCGAATCAGGCAATATCCTAGATACCCTTCTCCATTGTCTGCCGGCGCATTTTCTTCTGATGGGGCTTGGCTAGCTGTCGCGAGTGGTTTCGAGAATATTGAAGATACTCGACATCGTGGACCAGAACCCGGTGAAGTTGGGGGCATCGGAACAGGTGGCGAAGGCAAAGTACAGATTCATATTCGCTCTGTTTGGGAGGACTGTAAACCAAAGGCCAAGTAAGACTGGGTCACATCATGTATTATAGTGAAGAGCAACGTAATGTAAATCTAAAAGAGTAGACTCACACGGAAAACTTCAATCACCTAAGTCTTCGTTCTAAAAGTACAATTGATTAAATAGTACACAGTACAGAACCCTATCTATCTAAAACCAGCAATTCTCTTCCGATCACTCCCACACACGAATATTGCCGGCATAGTCACCCGCAACAATACATCTGAAAGGTGATTCGATGATGGCCAACGAAGTGATTGCATCTTTATGAGCTTTCATCAACATCGTGCTTGTGGCGCTATTCGTTTGATGTGTTAATAATGGAGACCGTAACGATGTAGTTGCCGCTCTAGCGGTTGCACTTGTAGGATGTAATTGATGGGTAAATGTGGTGGCATGTAGAGTTTCTGAATTGGAATCTGTTCCATTCACCGCCAGTCCTGCGTTTCCATCAATTGCTCCTTCATCCATTTGTGGAGCATTTGATCTTGTTGTTTGTCTGCTGCGATGGTCTAGTCCATTGGAGGCAGACTTCTTCTTTGCTCCTCCGGTCAATTCTGCACTCTCTGGACCCTTAACGCGGAATTCATTACGTTCATCAGTCGGTGCACCAAAAGATGTACTCTTTTCCACTTTGCCCAAATCCCAGAACCGAATCCTCTTATCCATTCCACCCGTGATCATGTAACCAGCAGGTCCATCTCCAGCATTTTGATGAGCATTGTCGTTTGATGTTGCGGCCAACTTGCCAGCATCTAACCAACCACCGCTTACCTGGGCTGCGTGGGGAAGGTTGCCGGACGTATACCCTTCAACGGCCACCAACATACTTCGAACAAAGGAAGTTGGCGGTGGCGGTTGAATGACTTCCTTTTTCTTTGTTCTTCGGTAAGTACCTGTTTCTTCTTCTTGACCATTTGTTGGTCCCGCATTATCAGTTGTCTCATCCGGAGCTTGATTGAGCCGTGCCTCATGCATCTTTACCAATCGTTCAATAGCCTCAGCTGCACTACCAAGTCCGGTGAATCGATCGTGTGATGTAGTACTCGATGTATTCTTGTATTGCTGCAAAGGCAACACTTCATCTTCATTTCCAGTTTGTGTACCTGAGGGTTGCGATGTAGGCCCGTCATGTCGAATAGTATTGTACACCTCTACACATTCAGCTGATTCGATATCCCATGTCTCAATCAATGTCTCCCGGTGTCCAATTGAGCCATTTTGCACGCCTTGGAAGTCGATATTCAGTCTCTCGCAAGCAATCATGACCCATCGTCCATCACCTCTGCTCGGATGCAAAGCGATTGAATTGAGACGAATCATTGAATGTCCATCATGTGCGAATGCGTCTTCTGCGTCATCCTGCGCTGTTGTGCTTTTCGTTTTGGTACCATTCCGTTCTTTTTCAAGTGTGCTCAGTCTCCATGTCTTGACCAATAAATGAAATCTCAGGTCCCACAGGCACATCACGCCTCCGATCGTACCGATGAGCAGCCAGATATTTTGAGGATCAACACACATAGCCGCAATCGCACCTAAATGAGCAGGATTTTCGAAATTCGTCAAAACTTGCATCGTTCGAAGATCCAGGATGACAATGTGACTTTTAGAGGTGGCCAAGATCAAAGTACTTCCAGATGCGGATGCGTTCATAGATGAAGTTGAAACCCCACCACCAACAGGTAGAGATGCAGAGCCTGAACTTGTTGTCAATGCAGCATCTTTGGTCGAAACACCGCTCTTGCGTGAACTTTGCACCATGCATACCACATACTCTTCTGGATCGCTTAGCTGGAAATTTGATACCATTCTGATTTTACCATACCTTGGCAAAGAAGATGGCGCAGATGGTGAGATACCAACTTCAACACGAACGACATGCACGCTTCCATCAGTTGCAGCACTTGCGACGCAATGACTACCGTTTAACATGACAAGACAAACAATCTTACCTCTTTGTCCATTATACGTTCCTCTTGATCGAGAAGTGACGTTCTTTTCCAATCTTGCCGTATCCCAGACTTTAATCGTTCCATCTTCCGAGCCCGAAAGAAAGAATGCATGATCAGGTGAAATCACAATTGACGAAATCGGAGCAGTATGCTCGGTAAAGTATGCGATCAGATTGCCTTCCGGGCGTCGATTACTGCTCACAGATGTAGTGGGTGCACCTACGCTCCCTATACGTGCACCAGCAGAGGTGGCTGCTTTGGCACTCATCCCGGCTTTCCTTCGCATCGGAGCAGTAGCCGTGATAGCGGGACCCCATCCAGGATGACGATCTTGGAAATTGCTCAAATAGATTGCCTCTAAATGAGCACGAATATAGGGATCGTTTCCGTCATATGTACTGCTGAAAGTTGGCTCGTTTCCTGTTACATCTGCTGTCTGACGTCCCAATCCAGCACGATTGAGTGGGGTTACTGAACCATTTGGCGTAGTGCGACCAGATTCTACAGCATTTTGAATGACTTGTTCCCTGTCTGTGATAGACAGCATCTTTGCAGATCCTTCTGCCATTTTACCAGTAACATTTGTCGGGTTGGACGCAATTGCTGCTTGTGCCTTACTGACTCCGATTGCTAATCTGGATTGCAATGCGTGAGAAGTTGCCCCTCCTGATAGCACACTGGAAGGACTTCCGGGACGTAAAGGTGTGGTAAAGTCTGTTTGACCGAATTCGAGTGGTGCTGTAGGCGTTGCTGGAAGAGCCAGAATATCTCCGTCCGCAGAACTGTTTGCCTCATTCATCCGTCTTCTCAATTCTTCCAAAGGACTCATCATTCCTACTTCGCTCACAATACGCCCACCTGCTAGCCTTCTTCGAGCCATCCTGCCGCTAAAAGTGCTATCAGCTGTTTGCGAGCGTATAGATGCAGTTTCTGCCGGCAGACTCCGTTGAGTTTGGGACTGAGGATGATTTTTGGAAGTAAAGAAGATTGTCAGAGGGGTCACATCATCCAATGGTTGAACTGCAAGGCTAGACTTGATCTGAAGAGGTGGTAAGAGACTTGCATCTTCATGATTGACAAGCGACGTCGAAGTAGAAGCTTTGATACCTTGCCCGATCAGATTTGACATTTTGGCTAGCTTGGTGATGTACTCGCGTAATGCAATCAATTTCACCTCATCATCTTCATTCAAGCCGGATGATCGTAAGCTGTCAAAATGTGCGTCATCCTCTTCGTTGCGTGGTACAGGCGTGCGAGTGATGTCCATCGCTTTTCTTCCAATCATCAATCCAACGCCTTCACGGCCCAGCCCATTACCTAAGCCAGCCTTCCCTTTAAAGTCATTATTCACAACCGGTTTCCAAAATTTCGAATTCTTTGCGCGGAATGCCCATTGAACAGCTTTCTGTAACACTTCGCGACTGAGAGGATCTTTTGCAGCGAAAAGCAAGTTCTCGCCTTGTATAGATTTTACATCACTGCGAAGCAAAGGTCGGATTGCAGGATACAAGATTGCCCATACGTCGACAGAATGCAATTGCTCTGCACATGCTTCCACAACAAGAGAGGACGCTGTGCGAAGCCAGTGATTCGGATGACACAGAAATCCTGCAGTAGCAGCGGCAATATCGAGTACCTTACTTTGCGAAAGCAAGGCTTTGCTTGTTTCTCGAACATTGAGCATCCTTCGCAAACCTTGCAAAACGTGCAAGATGACAGATTCCTCGGGATCCGATAAAGCTTGCAATAGCAGTGTAGAGATGTAATCTTCCACACTTCTAGCACCAGCCACTTGAGCAACTTCAACGATTGCATCAAAGAATGCTTTGCGTAGTAGCCAAGAGCGATCGTTGAGATATGTGATCATATGACTTAAAATCACATCATTTGCCAAAGTAGAGCCAAAGAAAACGCAAAGCGGGCCAATGTTTGATACCAGGCTACGTTTGACAACAGGGGAAGGATCAGTCAACAGAACAGTGACTTGCTCACGAAAGAATGCACGCGAGACATCCATCTGCCTGTCGAAGTTCACTTCATCCTCCGGTCTAGGCTCGCCCTCCAAAAAGTCGTCGGCATCACCTCCAGTACGTCCATCAGCATCAGCGGCAAAAATTCCTTCAGCACGCATAGCTGAAGTAATTTGTAGAAATCGTATTCCTATACGAGATAGTTCCACCAGGCATGAGGCGTACATTCCACGAACCAATGAAGAAGAATCACGAAGGATAAGTCGCATGTTCGGCATGATGTACTCTGTAAATGTTGAGGCATTGGATGGTGTAATTGTATCCACAAGAGACAATAACTGAGTAGCTGTTCGTACAGCAGCAACGCGAACCATGATTGATTCGTCATCAAACATATTGATCACATATGGCAACACACGATCGAGTTTGGCTTCGTCCGTTAGCCAATTAGCTGAAAGATGCAACAATAAATCGAAGCAATGCATCTTTGTCGATGGCCTCAGTGCGTTACGCAGATTGGCGAGTAAAGGCGAGAGTATCAATAGACCAGTACCATCTCCCGTTATTGGCTTGTCTCTCAACGTCAAGACTTGCTGTTCAATTCCGGGAATGCACAGGCGGACCGGTAGAATATGATCGATCCGCTCAGTCTCCTTGTCCAGTTCCATAGGATCGGTGTTATCCAAGTTGGGCGTCGTGATCTCCTCTCGCGGACTCATAGCTCGCGCAAAGCTCGGAGTGACTTGAATCGCATCTAGATCATCATGAGGCTTGCCATCCATTACATTACTGACGACTGACCATTCTTCGTACATTCTCTCGATTCGTTCATCAGCCTCTGCGCGAAGGAGGTAGGCCACCTCGTTAACTGCTCCAGACGTTCCTGCTTCCGATGCAGCGGATGTAAGATGAGAAGGCAAGGGCGGAGCATTCGAACTCGATGATTTCGGTGGAAGGTTGGCGTTCACAGATGCCTTCAATGCCGCCGCTGCTTCGGCTGCAGCCATTGATGCCGTTCGTGCTGAAGTTCTTTGTAATGTTGTGAGATACCGATGTAGAAAGGTGTAGAAGGAATCGGGGAAACAAGTTCCTCTTGCTTTTTCCATGTAATCGCTGAAAGTGCCACGCTTACTTGGATCAAGAGAGAGCATACTCCTTACCATGCTTCTGATATGATAATCGGTTATCTCCATTAGCGCTGATTCGATATCAAATTGCCCTTCGCGATACTTGAACAGTTGCATCAAGGTAAAAATTGGTGCACCATCACGCCAAAGCTCAGCGATCACACATCCCAACGAAAAGACATCCATTGCTTCAGTAACTTTTCCGTCTCTCTTGAATAACTCTGCCATTATGTCGACATTTTGATCATTCGATGAGCCATTCTTTTGGGCTTCAAGCGATGCTGCGTCATTCCGTGCTTTTGCCTTTTGCTTTGCTATTTCCGAGTCTTCGCTGTAGAAGCGTTCGGGAGCAACGTAACACGTTCGCCGTCCTGATGTGCCAAAATAGAAATTGAAATCTGAAGGATCATTCAAGGGAAGATAGACCTGCTTGAAAGATGATGCAAAATCGGTCACGTAAACCGAGAGAGATGATGTCACCAGAATATTTTCACTTTTCAAATCGCCATGCGGTACATTCCTTCTGCGAGCCTCCTTCATAGCGCTGAGTAGCTGGTATGTAATCCACTTCTTTTCAATATTGGTAAGAAAAGGTCTTGTAGAGATACGATCGTACAAATTATTTGCCATCCATTGTCGGATCAAGTAACCTGCCGTTTCAGTTTCGACAACTTTTTGATAGGTGAGCGTATTGGGTACATCTGCCAATGCTTCACGTTCGATTCGAATCCTTCTTACTAGAGGTCTAAGTGAAAGATTCGCCTCTGGCTTAACAAAAGTCTTTACAACCAGAGGACCATGTTTGTGCCTTGCTTTGATTGCTTTTAAGAATCTTGATGATCCCATCCCTTTTTCGTATTGTACATCATTTCCCAATTCTCCCACCAGGTTATTCACTCCTATCGGCAATCTCGCCTGATTGGCCGCCGTCGAGGATGTTGCTCCCATGACTGGCGGCTATAGACGATCAGTGTGAGCAATGATGGTTGTGAAAGGAAAGGAGGTTAGCATTTACTCCAGCCTGGTGTTGGACTTTTGATTTTTCGCACGGGCCTTTAGGCTTTAAATTTTCCGGCTTGCATTCTTCTTCCTATTTAGAGCTAGGTTCTCATTTGAATTACTACCATTATCCTGCAAATTTGATCATGACCATCTTTAATTCTACAAGGCTCATACTGCGGAGGGCTACTGCATCTTCACCATTCAAACCGATTCATCAAAATGCAAGACTTTTTAATTCGCACTCATCTCAGCACATACATGCAAAAGGGCAGATAAGTGATACTTCAAGATCGAGACACAGTGTATGGGTCGGAACCCTAGCCATATCTCTGGGAGCTCTATACTTCTCTCAAGATAGCAAAAAGCTTCATCTTGAGGCACAAGAAATTCCCTCCATTCCATCGACACAGGAAAGCACAGGCGATTTCCGACTAGATCCGGCTACTGGACAGCCACTGCCGGTTTCCATCTCGGTTCCACAAGATGTATTCTCTAATGGAAGTGAAGAGCTGCGACTAATTGGACTAGGAGTGCGTACAGTGACATTCCTAAGTGTAAGAGTATATGTAGCGGGTCTTTATGTCGATGCAAAGGCTATCGAAGCTTTGAAAAGCTCACCAGATTGGAGAGGATTTGAAGCTTCTTGGATGTCAAACAAAGACAAAGATCACAGCGGAGAAGCTCTGGTTTCTGCCTTGTTGGATCAAGGAATCACTTGCGCTATAAGAAGTGTCCCGGTTCGGCCTACGGACTATAATCATTTGAAAGGTGGACTGAGTCGAGCAATTCAAGGTCGCGCCAAATCAGCTCGTAAGGCGAACCTCTTAAGTCCCGAAGCAGATCAAGCACTTTCCAATTCGATACAAGAGCTTATTGATGCATTTCCAAAAGCTACATTAGCCAAAGGACGGACATTGGATATGGTCATCTCGCCTGCATCTTCCGGCAAGCAAGGTTTCTTGGATCTCACTTTGATCGAAGAGGGAAAGATTTTCGGCAGAGTGAAAGCTCCATCGTACGCTGAGAAGCAATTCACTGTTCCTCGTCAAATGCTTCTCGCTTACCTTGCCGACAAGGATGAAATATCCAAACCTTTTAAGCAATCTGTGGCAGAAGGTATTGAAAAGATTACAAAAGGTGTTGAATAAAATACATTGCGAAGAAAAAATAACAAAACTGTATCAATCTAGATCGTCTATGCTGTTTATGAGCTGATTGGGATGATAGGATACCACTGGACTATCAATTGGATTGCTAGCTGATGCAATATCCGAAATAAAGTGCTGAGAATCTGGCATTGTGGTGGCTGCTCCTTGCTGTTGGACTTGTGGAATTTTCCAGCTTTCTACTGCGAGAGATATTGCCTTTTGCCTAAAAGTGTCCTTTTCGCCATCATGGAATGTCCAATGGCGCTGTTTTTGAGCGCGTTGTACCATCCATTTGCTGATCAGATTAGGATGTGTATGTGCTTGTTGATCGGATTCATCACCGACCGATGCGGTAATGAGGGTTAGTTGCAAATTCGAGGAGACATCTGGAAGATCTGAGCGGGAATGCTCGTCAGGATGGCATGTCGTGTCGGTATATTCATACCACTGCAAAGCCCGGAACCAGGGACCTAGGTTGGTGATATTACCGACATATCCTTCTAGATCATGACATACAAGCACAAGTTCCTCCAATCTATGCCCAAGCCCGCTGACCAGGAGCTGCAAAACACTTTGCCTTCCTGCAATATCGGTTGTTCTTTCGATCGCCGAAGAATGTCGGGATAAGAGATCTGTACTTATTCCGTCAACATTCATTGTTGCATGTACGATCCATGGCATAATGAGGGCCAAATGCGTCAGTTGCGGGAGGTCACATAGTGCCAAAGCGGTGAGTGAAGTCATTCGAAATCGTGGTCCATGTAACTGCAAGTGGGTAAGGTTTGCCCATCGAGATCTGTTCATCGCGGGAGCACCATATGATATGTCCCACAAGCGTTCGTTTAGATCACCGCCGTACAAGCTCAACATCGTATTTAGCTCCTTCAAAGAATGGCTCACTTCCACCAGTCCTGCTTTGTCCATATCGTCAGGCCATCGTAAATCCAATACACGAGCAGTCATTTCGAGAGCCAAATATTGAAGTCCGGTACAATATTTCAATACTGAACGTAGCGGTGCCAAGGTTGCCTTTTCAAATTTCGTTGTTTCTTCTACGTCTGCAAATACTGAGTGGTCCTTTTTCTCCTTTGATAATGGACGTAAGATGAACAATCTTTTGATTTTTGAAGCCAATCTACGAATGTTCATAGTATTGCGTGCTAGGTCCCGAGCAAAAGCATGAACTTGTTGCGCTCCATGTAGACGCAAAGATGGAAGGATGAATTGTGATAAGATGAAAAAGTGTGAAAATCTGTCGATCCTTGCCAGGCGTAAGAGACCGCTTCCAGGATCCATGCCAATACTCTTTTGCTCTTCAATGATTATATCGCATGCTGTTTGTAAGATCTGAGTGATCAACTCTCTAGGTAGCTTTGGCGGACCTATTATTGGATCAACTTTTGATCGTTCTGCAAATCGACTACTTTGTGGAATCATTGGGCCTGACCTGCAACCGCCAATGATTTCAACTTGTACCTCTTGCATCTTCACCTTCCGCCCTGAATTTGGTTGATTTGCCGATCCATTGCGTCCTGATCTCGACCCCTCTCCATTCGAGCTTCTATATTGCGGACCTGACCACCACGAGAACATTATACATATCTATCGAATGAAACAATGTTCTAATTTGGACGTGATGGTCGTGTGATGTGAGAGGGTTGAGTGTATTTTTAGTTGTTTGTTGATTATGCGTCGCGCACAGACTGCGAAACACCCTAAGCTCAGTTTGCAAGGACAAGTCTTGCGACACTTTCATGTTATACCACCACCTATTGCTGGTCACCAAAGAACGATGGCTTCCCAATCAGGTTCGAGAGCTGAACAGGAGAGGCCTACTGCTAGCGAAGAGGATTTACGATTGGTACGCACAGTTTGTCAAATGGTCACACGTCAATTTTATAGCGATCAACATGTGATCACGATTGATATTTTATCAAAATATTCAGTCATGCCAGCTGATATCTTGGCACAATCATTAGGCGTTCATACGAAAGATCTCTTGCAAGTGTGTAATCAACTCGTTCGTGATCGATTGATCGGAATACATAAAAGAGGAGAAACTCGTGAAACAGCAACTGCGACTTCATCCTTCACACGAACGGCGATCAGAAATTACTTTTATCTAGATCGAAAGGTGTTTTTAGATGTGACCAAATGGAGGATGATGAAGATGAGATCGCAAATCGATTCAGTATTAAGGAATGAACTTGACAATAAAGGATACATGTGCCCAAGGTGTGGTAAATCGTACAATACACTAGATGTTGCCGCTCTTCTCGATCCGATTACGATGATGAGTTTCATCTGCAATACACCGGGCTGTGGAAGTGAATTGGTGGACAATGAAGATGCAGAAGATGTGAAAAGGAGCAAAGATCGTCTGAAGAGATTTAACGAGCAATGTGGACCTATCCTAGATCGTCTACGTAAAATTGATTCTTTAACACTGCCTAGCTTCGATGTAGAAACGGAGATCAAGAATTCAGGTACATCAGACGAATGGAAATTACGAGCACGACAACGTACAGATCCTACTGCTACCTTGAAAGATGTTCAAGAATCTCAAGGTGGAGCTCGTCGTGCTGCATCGGTGGAGATCGATATGGTATCAAATGATCCCGCATTGGAAGCCGCTAGAAGAGAACAAAAAGAGAGAGAAGCAGAAAGACAATTACAAGAGAATGCATTGCCGTCTTGGTGGGAGACAACGCAAGATCCAAATGCACCCAAGATCACAAATAGAAGGCAAGATTCTACTACGAATAATGCACAAAATGCCAATGGTACGGCAGAAACCTCTACAACCAATCAAGCACACGAAGATTATTTGGCTCGATATGCATCAATGGCACAAGAAGGTGATGATGACGATGAAGATCTTGAGTATGAAGATGTGGTAGGAGATGATTCTGCTACACCTAGCGGACCTTCAGCCGCACAAACGCCGTCATTTTCAGGCGTGAATGGAAAGAGATCAAGAGAGGATAGCCTTGCAGCAATGGACCCAACACCCAAAAAGGCCAAAACAGAAGAAGAAGAGGATGAGGAAGAACTTGAATTTGAAGATGTTGCTTAAAGTGTTGGTGTAATTTTAACTATGTACAATAAGATGATCATAGAAATGAACAATTACTTGCTTACATAACAATCACTAAGAGCAGGGTCTGAACGTCTGATTGCTGCGCTGCGCTTCGCGTTTTGATAGCAGCCTGTCAGTGTTTTTATCTTACTTAGGCGGATGCAGACATTGAGTGTGAAAACGAAGCCTGACTGATGAAATGCCACACAAGATCGTCACGCATTAAGCCACTGGCAGGGCCGCCCATACGGTTGTAAAGACCGGTTCCTAACGCAAAAGTCGTTGAAGGAAACCATCACAACCTTCTTATACTCCAAATTGCACAGCTCATGAAGATTTGATTTTCAATCAGAGTAAAAGCAAATCAGATAGAATACCTGCTGGCAGGCACAAAGATCACACCACCACCACCACTACCAAGCAGACAAGATGGCCGTGCAAAGTAGATTAGTCGATGCATGGGATGATGCAAAATCATCCTTGTTAAATCGATTGATCACTTTAGCAATGGGCTATAAAAGAAATTATGCGGTAATTCAAAAAATTTTACAGATTGGTTATTTTTCTTTTATTATGCTAAATTTATATCGTGGCTTTAATCCTAAAAAGAAAAAGCAACCAAAACAAGTTGGTGATATTGCAAAGAAAGGCGTTGAAGAAAGTGCAAATGTGGACGCTAAACAAATCGCAAAACAGGAAAAGAATGTAACACAAGAAGTTGAAGAAGAATCAAGCGGTAAAAGAGGTCGCAAAGGACGTAAAGGAAGAGGTCCTCGTGTTGAAGTTGATGCAGTCTTTTTCCAACGGCTTCGTAGGTTACTCAAGATTGTCATTCCAGGCGCTCGTTCGAAAGAGTCGATTTTGCTCATCACTCACTCAATCTTTTTGGTTCTGCGTACATTCATCAGTCTTTATGTCGCAGAACTAGACGGAAGGATCGTCAGTGCATTTGTTCGTGGCCGTACTCGTGATTTCTTAAAAGGAATCGCTTGGTGGATGACGATCGCCATTCCTGCCACTTATACGAACTCACTCATCGATTTCTTACAATCAAAGATCGCATTGGCATACCGTTCCCGTCTAACGATGCGTGTTCATGACATGTACCTCACCGATGCAACATACTATACCCTTGGAAATTTGGACGATCGAATTCACAATGCTGATCAATTGATCGCTGTTGACATTTCAAGATTTGCAACATCTTTGGCAGAATGTTATAGTAACATTTCTAAACCGATTCTTGATACAATGCTTTACAACTATCAACTTTCCAATAATGTTGGTGCAGAAGGTTTGATCTTTATCAATTTACTCGTTCAAGGTTCAGCCGTACTATTACGAAAAGCAACTCCTCCTTTCGGTCAATATGCTGCCGAAGCACAACGATTAGAAGGTGAATATCGATGGGCACATTCACGCTTGATTGAGAACAGTGAAGAAGTTGCACTTTATCGTGGTCAACAATTGGAAAAGAAAGGTATAGAACGTGCTTATTTCAGCTTGATCAAACATGTTAACCGAGTTTATCGAATCAGAATCGCACATGGAATGGTAGAAGAAGGTATTATCAAATGGTTGTGGGGCAGCTTGGGTCTTGTGATCTGTGCTTTGCCTGTATTCTTCAAGATTCCAGGTGTGAAGGTAGGAGATATGGGATCACGTACAGAAGCATTTGTGACCAACAGACGTTTACTCTTATCTTCAAGTGATGCATTCGGTCGAGTGATGTACTCTTACAAAGAGTTGGCAGAATTGGCAGGTTATACAGCCCGTGTCACTGAAATCTTGGATACCATGGAAGAAGTTAAAGCAGGAAAGTATCAAAAGAAGCTCGTCAGTGCTGCTGGAACAGAAGAAAATCAAGCTGTTCTGTCTACACGTGGTATTGTAGAAGAAGCAAAAGACGTCGAATTCGAGAATGTACCGATCGTCAGTCCAAATGGTGATGTTTTGGTTCGTTCAATGTCATTCAAGCTAACACAAGGTCAACATTTGCTCATCGTTGGTCCAAACGGATGCGGTAAATCATCCATGTTCCGTATCTTGGGCGGCTTATGGCCTGTTTATGGAGGTGTCGTTCGTAAACCTCCAACTAGCGAATTCTTTTACCTTCCACAAAGACCTTATACATCTTTGGGCACCCTTCGTGATCAAATCATTTACCCTCACACGGTAAGTGAAATGCGAGCAAAAGGTAAAACAGATGAAGATTTGATGGCAATTTTGCGTAAATTACAAATCGATCATATCGTCGAACGTGAAGGTGGTTGGGACGTTCAACGTGAATGGCGTGATGCATTAAGCGGAGGAGATAAACAAAGGATTGCAATGTCTCGTTTGTTCTATCATGTTCCACGATATGCAATCTTGGACGAATGTACAAGTGCGGTCACATTGGAAGTCGAAAAGATTATGTACGATTATGCAACCGAATTGGGTATTTCCATGTTGACCGTTTCGCATAGACCAAGTTTATGGCGTTACCATCAGTTGGTGTTGCAATTCGATGGTCAAGGCGGTTACGTCTTTACAGAATTGGATGCTGAAAAACGTTTAGCATTACAAGAAGAAAAGCAAGGATTGGAACAAAAGTTACTCAGTGTACCTAAATGGCAAGAACGTTTAGCCCAATTGAAACAAGCACAACAAGAACAAAAAGCACGCAGTCGATCCAGTAGTCCTGTTAGAGAAATTCGTCCTTTGCAAGCGAAACAAGAACAACAACCAGCACAGGCATCTACCAAGGCTGCTCCTGCACCTGTTCCAGAAAGTGAAGCACCTGCCAAGCTAGATTCTTCTTTCGTTTCAGTCACTGCTCCTGCTGAAACAAAGGCTGCAAACACTGCTTCTGCTGCTCCAACTCCCGCAAAAGTTGCTCCTGCTCCCGCTGCTGAACAGCCAAAGACAGCACCTCAAGCACCCGCTTCTGGAAAGAAGTCAGGCTCAAAGGGAAAAAAGAATAACAAGTAAACTTTTCGAAATGGCAAGTAAGCAATCTTGACTCTTTCCCTCTTTCCCCTCTTCAAAAATGTAGGCTATAATCATACGTGCTTAATCTATTGGATTTGTTGTACCGCTCGCAAGGTGAGATAGAAGTGATGAGAATTTATATTGATAAAAATGTCTATATTAAAGGAACAGCAAGGTAAAGAATCTTCGCAACACACTTTCCTTCACCCTCTTGCGTCATCTCTTCCCTTATCCGCAGGAGGAGCACTAGCAGATGCAACGCCAGCATGTCGCAAACCCACACCCGATGTTGTGGAAACGCCAGGTCTTTGAGCAGCAGGAGCATTGATGTTAAGAGCAGCAGGTGCTAAACCAATCCAAGGAGCAATCAAGCCGCGAGCCAGAATCTCACCAAAGCCTAATGCAATCCCATTGATAAACGGTAAGCCTATATTGACCACCATACTTGCCAATAAGAGGTAAGACCTTCTTCTCCATGTTAGCCCGGGCGTGAATAATGCAATCGTCAATGAGCCGGAAGGTGCATATTGTGGTTGCATTTCCGCAGGTGCGGAAACCTGTGATGAAGAGGCGGAAGAAGACCTACGTCGAAGGGAAGACCTTCTCTTCTCGTTTATTGAGTCGTTCGAGGGTGATCTAGATGTTCTTCGTGGCAAGAAGCGTGGCATACCTGTTGCTGAAACTGTTGGTACCGTTTGAACATTTTCCATTCCCGTTTCCATTGTGCGGGGAGCGCCGGTGGCCGCAGATGTATGGCTAAATTCTTGTTCTTCCGGTTCATCGTATACACCTTTATCCTTGTCATGTGAATGATTATGATGCGTATCATGATGTCGGTGACGACCTGAGCTCGATGTCGAAGGCCGAAGAGGAGATGAAAGTATATTCGGCCTAAACGGTTGTCCTTCGAGGGAATGTACTGTGTCAACATCAGGATCCAGACCAAAGCTTGCATCACGCTTGCTCGGTCTATGAGGGGATGATGGTTCTTTGCTATGTGCTTCCATCAATGCATTCAAGGCGCTGTCGTCTCCCGATTGTGCTGCACCTCCAGCTACACCTGTTCCCGCTCCTGAATATCCGCTCTGATCGCCTTCATTGAATAAGCTATTGTCTGGACCCAGTGTACGTTGAGAGGAGAATGAGTTTGAATTCGGTATGGATAAAGTACTTTGAGAAGAGTTCAAAGAAGAAGAGCTTGGCTGTGGTCCTGGTGCTGATGGAAGAAGATCGCCAGGTGCCAGCGGTGCATAACCGTTTGAATTCCTACTATTTGTGAAAGATGAGGTAGATGCTGAACCATCGTACGTACGACCTAGATCATCCGGAGAAACAGCACTTGAAGGTCCATTTCCTCGACTTTCTTGCTGTATTTGGTTTGCACTCGTTGTATCTATCTTGTCCAATGTATTGCCAAAAGAAGAAGAGGTCGGAAATGCCGGCTCTTCTCCTAGATCCAAGTTTGAAATCACGCTACTGTTCATCGCATTTGCCTGAGCTGGATTGAGTGTAGGTGAAGACAAATCTGATGTTTGACTTCCACTTTCCGATACGTTACTGCTGACTTTTTCTTGTCTTTTGGTAGCTTCTCCTCCTTCCTCGCCTAATGTTGAGGAGGTAGGAAGATCATCTTTTGCACTTAGTGATTCATTTCCCGTACGCTCTTGATCCGAAACCTTTGAAGGATGATCTGCCATATCGCAATGCTAACCTATGAGCAAGGCCTGTTGATCTCTACCAGTAAATGTATGATGGAGTGATGACAATAAGGCTGTTCATAATCATAAAAGAGGTCAATACTCTCCTTTGTTCACGTGTATGCATATTCAATGCATGATGCGTGTATGCACGGTCCGAATAAAGAAAAAGAGAAAAGGGTGGAGCGTCCGACTAAATTGAACAACACTTTGCATCATTACAACCTTCCCTACAAAGACATCCACCGACAAAAGATGTCTTACTTTCTCGTTCATTTACAATCCGGATGGCATGTCGATCAAGCAATACTATCAGAAGAAGACCGTGTAGTCGTGATCAGGTTCGGACATGATCATGATCCAACATGTATGGCAATGGATGAAACACTATACAACATTACTGAAAGGGTGAAAAATTTCGCAGTAATTTACGTTGTTGATATCACACAAGTACCTGATTTCAATAAAATGTATGAATTGTACGATCAATGCTCGGTCATGTTCTTCTTTCGTAATAAACACATCATGATCGATTTGGGAACGGGAAATAATAACAAGATCAATTGGGCAATCGAAAATAAACAAGAAATGATTGATATAATCGAAGTTGTTTATCGTGGAGCATCAAAAGGAAGAGGTTTAGTCATGAGTCCAAAAGGTGGGATCGCTTTGAATGGATGCAAACGTGGATGTACAATTACTGACTATCATCTTTTTTTTTGCATACAGATTACTCCACGCGGCATAATCGCTAATCACGACAAACACTACCGCTGTACTACTACCACGCATTTGTATTCTACTGTCAATCAAACTGTTTTTTCAAGATACATTGGATTAGAAAGGTAGAGCGACAGCTCCAAAGCTCTGTCACATACATGAGAGAAGTTTGAAGGGGAATAAATTTGGGGGTTTGAGGAAGGGGGGAATCGAGACATTTTCTTCGCTAGACAACAAAAAATTTACAGTTAAAGATATCATAAGTCAGGTTTCGACATTCTTTTTCGCTTTGACCCAGCACATTTGATCAATTGAGCAGATCCGACCAAATATCGAGTCAAAGTTCTTCATCTTCATCTTTCATTTCGGCAGGTTTGAGCATACCAGGAATCTTTGCAGCTTGTTCTTTCTCTTTTGCCGCTTGTGCAGCCCTCTCACTTTCTTTATCTTCCAAGAACAAGTCTGCATTATTATCTTCCGTTGCAGTTCCGCCAGCTTCGCGACTTGCGATCAGGAAATCACGTAAGTGCAACTTGTATTTCGACAAATCTGAAGAGAGTTGGCACAGTCCATTGACAAAGTCGTCAACATAAGAAGCTTGCATTTGTGGGAATGCGTTTCGCAACAAGTTGGACGTATATTGACGAATGAATGCGCGATTGTCAGGATTTCCATCAGGTCCAAGAGGTACTTGAACACGACCTGTCTCGATCAATTCGTAAATCTTTGCCAAAACTGCACATTGAGTCTTGAAGCCTGCCTTATGATCTGGCTCACACAAGACGTAGAATGTATCTTGAATGATGCTGAGAAGATATTGCTGATAGAATGCATTGGCAACACTGGCATCTTGTTCGGAAATATTGCTGATCAATTCCAACATGATTTGCAAACCTGTATCGGCAATATCACGCATTGTATGCTTGATAGCCCAGACACCAGCATCAATGCACAATTTGAACTTTTCCGGTGGAAGGGACAGAATTGCATTGAAGCAATGAACGATGATTGCGCGTAACAATTTGAAGAAGCCCACACGATGTTCAGGGAATTCAGCAAAGTCTGCTGAAATCATTGAAAGGGTAGGTTGGAATACAGCATCCATAATAGGCGATACCTTATCGGCTAATAACGATCCGAGACGGGTAGTAATTGTGGCCATTACCATCAACACTTCAGCATCACGAGCAGGTGCCACATTGTTATGATAGTCTCCCAAGATTGCATCCAATAATGAAGGGATCAAATTATTGTTCACACCTTCCAAATCGTCTGCTCGCTTCACGTATGTCTCGACCAAACGTAAGATATCCTTCTTGATCGTACGAAGACCACGAACGAGTGGTGTCTTTGTCGCAATCAAACCATCAGATTCAACCTTTGCACTAATCAGTCCACTGACACTGCGATACAATGCAAGCATATCGAGGTAGTTGCGTGTGATTTGTGGTAAGAAGAAAGTACCGATAGACGTGCATGCTGATACGTTTGTCTTCAACACATTTGATAAGATCTTGATGTTCTCTGAACTGCTTAGCACATCAACATCGCTATGTGCCTGAGACATCAAAGAATCCCAAGCATTGTTGGGCAATTCCATCATTTTGGCAATCAAGCGCTCTTGTATAGGACGATTAGGCTGAGCTGCAATCATATATCCAACCGCTTCGTAGAATGTGTGAACTTGATGCGGTGATAGATCGATCGTGATCTTTGGTAATGTGCGCAAGATTTCATCAATGAAAGGCTCAGTCTCTCCCGATTGTTGCATGACGAAATGTCTTCTGCACTTTTGTGCAATTTTGATAAATGTATCACATGCCATATCTTGAACACCTTCGTGTGTCTCGTGCATGAATTCGAAGTTTTTGTTCACCACAGTCTTGAGGAATTTCCAATGCGCTTTCAGGAAACGAGGATATTGTCCAACGATGTACATGATATTTGACGCAACCACAGCTTTGTTGTCTTTTCCTCTCTTCATTTCACAAAGCCCTAGGAGATCCTTGATTACAGTGACCAAGAATCTTTTTTCCTGCTCTTCATTCATCGCACCGGATATACTTCCGATTGCCCAGCAAAGCGTGTTTAGGTTGGCCCAACTCCATTCAGATCCGTCCACTTGTTTGGCCAACTTTTCTGTCATGATCGTTTCCGTATCGATGACATCCAAATGGGTGAGGTAGACCAGTACCTCCCTCATTGATTTGTATAATACAATCGTGTCGCTTTCCTTCATGAATTCACGTACGATTTCTCCTTCGTCATTCTCCACAATTAAGACTTCTTCTGGTTTCACCATTCTTTCAATCATCACAAGACGCAGATTGCTCAAAATCTCTGAGTAGATGTTCTTGCGCAAATTGACGCCATTGTGATTTGCATGTGCACCGCTGGATAGATTGAGACCCAGAAGAGGATTCATCTCGGATATTGGTAGTGTTTGAATTTCCTCGTACAGCTCGCTCACGAGCTTGCTCCAATATTCCAAACAGATCTTAAAGACCTCCCTCTCTGGTACTTGTGAGACTTTGATCAAGTATAGATGTGCATTGAGCAGAAGATCTTTGCTTTCTGGTGTTTCGATGAGCCGTAGATGCGTGTTTAGGAAGTTGCAAAGGAAAAGAGCCAAATTGAGTACCAATTCTTGATCGGAATCTGAAGATGTTTCATATGCCTGTGCAATATTTGTGCTTGGAGGCACCATACGATTGACAGCTGTCATGACCATGTTGAATAGTACAACGAACTTTGCATCATACTCTGGCACGACTTGCAAGCCTGCAATTTCTGACAAGCATTTCAACGTCACGTTTCGGAATTCAGGTACTTCGAGGAATCGTCCGATCAAGTTGTCAATGACGTTCGTCTCGAAGATGTAACCCAAAGGAATCCAGTTGAGGAATTTCAACATCGTCTCAAGAGTAGCTTTGATTAAGCTTGGCTTGTTTGCCTTTTCCAATACTTCACTGCATAATTGGAAAACCTCGGAGAATTCGCCACACATTTGATTTTTGAGGTTCTTCGTTTTGACTTGGGTCATTTGCTCAGCAGAATAATCGAAGATTTCTTCTGAGAGCAATCGAAGGATGTGCATGTTATTCTCACAGATCGACAATGAGGTTCTTGAAGAAGATACGATATCGGGAATGAAGGAAGGCCATCTATGTGGCCATTCTTGCTTCAAGATTTGAATTAACGTCATATCCAATTTGGCCAGATATGTCTTCTCTGTGCGCAACAATGTCTCATCGCTAGATTGACTGATGATCGTTTCAACGATGAAATTGCGAATGCCTTGTTGTTGATCTTGTGGTAAAACCTTCCAGCGTGTAGCAATGAGATTGTCCAAAATTTTCAAAGCCAAGAATTTTGTTTGAGAATTACTGGATTGTTGCAAGATTGCAGGTACGCGTTGCCATGCATCCGGATGCTCTTGAAATTGTGGTAATACTTGAGCTGCTGCCTTTTGATCAGGACCGACGCCTGTGAACATAGCAGTCACAACACGATCCAAGAGACCGATGTCCAGGTCTTGGTTGAAATCCAAAATGCCATCCATGATGTCAATGACGAATCTCAAGAGCAGGAAATTGATAGATTGGATTTAGTATAATTTCCGATGTTTTCTTGGCAGTGATCTTCCCAGCCTTATACTTTGTAAGGCTCAGATCAGAGCGCAATATGCTGCAACAACGATTGGTGTCCTCTTTGCTCGAGTACAGACTTGTTGAGTGACGTATTGAAGTCGATCGAGCTCTTCTTCCTCCACGATTTAGTATAAACAAGAGCTGAGCGGGTGTATCGATGTGATCTGTCAATTGTGTCAACCTTTTTCTCAGTGGATGAGGATGTTGAAGATGATGGATTGAACACAAATCATGATTGCGTGGCTGGCGCGTGCTTTTTTGCCCTGTTGCCCTGCCACTTGATTGACTGTTGCTCTTTTGCCCTTCTCTCTCTCAAAGTGTTAATTTTCGGACTTTGGCTCTAAAATTGTAACTCCTTTGGCCTGCCTGTCCTCCCTTACGCGTATATAAGCATACCATTAAACGCGCTCGAAAGAGGGAGAGATGATCATCATCTTGTGTTGCTAATGTCATCATCAAATTAAACAGATGCTTCAGGTGATACAATTCAATAAGATATTACTCAGTTTCGACATAGCATCAATGGCATTTCCCTTGTCTGAATAGAGTTTCGAAGTTTTAACACCGCATTCTCTACTTTCTGGCATTCTTTCTACTTTGTGACACTTAATAATCAAGCTGTATCATATTTCAACTCATTCTTCCTCTCTTCATTGATCTCTTCATCATCATCATAGAGCACTGTCCGTGATTGACACTGCCTGCTCATCCTAGAAGACGCATACATTCACGTGATCTTACCTTGTACAGGGAGCACGTTCGCTATTCCTACTTATGACGCTGTGTAACGCGGAATAATGATGCACTAACTCAAATGTGCATGCATGCTGCACGTCCCTTTGATAACTTTCTTTTCCCAAGTCGTGGTAGAATTCGGGATAATTCAATTTTCATTTTGGGAAAGAAAGAAGAACTTCTTCTTGGCTTTCTATCATCATCATCAACACGCCCATTCATTCTTTCATTTTCCATCCGGTGGCATTCCCGAATTGATTGAAAAGCTCATTCGGCGTAGCTTTGGCGTAAAGCATCGATAAGGTGCAGCAGGGCACATACGCTAAGAGATTGCATTCAAGATTATACTATCAAAGCTCATCAAGATCATTCGAAAAAGATGAAGTTTGGTAAACAAATTTTGAGTCAACAAATATCAGGATGGGGATCATACTATCTGGATTATAAAAGTTTGAAAAAGATTATCAATTCTCTCGAAAAAGGTCGTTTAACCGATGCAGCTCTATTTGCTTCAGGAATACGGCCCGAACAGATACCCAACGGTGATGGTGTAAGTGCTGCAGCCGCTGCTGCCGGCGGTCAACATTCAGCATCATTCTCCGATTCAGGCGCTGAAGCACAAATCCTGCCAAGAACAGAAGGATCGGACGAATTGAGAGCACACAAAGCAGCTTTCTTCTTCAAATTGGAGCGTGAATTGGAAAAGATTAATGCTTTTTACCTACAAAAAGAAGCGGAATTGAAGAGTAGATTGAGTACCCTTGTGGATAAGAAGCAGGTCATCCTTACAAAAAGAGGAGCAGCAAGTTTGAGCAAAGGTTCTCCTGCATTTTATGCACTCTATGAGGGTTTCAGGTATTTTGAAAAAGATTTGAGTAAACTGCAACAATTCATTGAGGTCAACGCTACAGGTTTCCGCAAAATTCTCAAAAAATGGGACAAACGCTCAAAGTCACAGACGAAAGAGTTATATTTGGCACGACAAGTGGAAGTACAGCCATGCTTCAATCGTGAGTTTATTGCTGAGTTGAGCGATGTGGCAGCTGCAAACCTTTTGGAATTGGAAAATATGTCTGAAACCAAAACCGCTCGGAATGGTGGCATTGAACCTGCAATTGTAGGAGAGAAGACTGCATTCACGTCAGAAAAGCGTCTTGATTTTGCTGCTGCAAGAAGTGAAGATGTGGATATCTTGTCCGACTTGGAAGATAATCTGTCTTCAGCAATCAAGGCGGGCAAAGCTAACGAAGCCAAAGAAACGGCACACATTGCAGCTCAAACAGAAGATGGCATCAGTGTTGCTCGTGTCGTCTGGAGAGCATTGCTAGATGCCGACCCGGAAGCCATACAGCGAATTATGTCAGTGGGACTTCCTGATTACAAATTCGTCGATGATATCAATTCACGCAGTTGCTTACACGAGGCAGCCCTAGCTGGGAATTTGATCTTGGTCAAGGCATGCATACAAAATGGTGTGCGTGTAGGAAGTAGGGATATCTACGGCAGAACTGCACTTTCTTATGCTGCCATGTCTGGTCACGCCGATATCTGCACATTCCTACTCTCCTTACCCAATGTTGATCCAACAACGACTGATTTGGATGGCTTCTCTCCGCTTGTGCTTTCTGTCATGAACGGACATGCAAATGTCGTCCAAATTCTGTTGGCAAGCGGTGTTAGTGTTGAACCTGATTCACACACTGATCTCATTCCTCTTTGTTTGGCTGCTTCCGGCGGCCATGCTGATATCACAAAGCTACTACTCGCAAGAGGGTCCAAGATCATCGCCAACACAGAAGGACTCACACCGCAAGCATTAGCAGCAAGGGAAGGACATGCTGATTGCTTGAGTCTGCTGGTCCAAGCTGGCGCAGATCCCAACGTGCGTGAAAAAGGAACACTTTGGACACCCTTGTTCTTCGCCGCTGAGAACGGCCATACGGATTGCTTGCGTATTCTGGTTATTGCAGGAGCGCATGTTGATGTGTTGGATGAGAAAGCAAGAAATCCGGCTTTCTATGCGGCCTGGAAAGGTCACATTGATTGTCTATTATACATCTTGGAGGCAGCCAAAATCGCCAAAGCATCTAAAGCAGCTGCAGCAGCAGGCACTGAAGTGCCATCCAGTACCACCGAACGAAGACAATTGGACGGTGCAACATCGTCTTTGCCTCGCAAGAAGAGCAAAACAGAGGATGAACTACCATCGCTAGACGATTTGGATGGGGAGATTGACGGAATACCATCGTTATCGCTTCCTCCACCAATTATTCCCTTCCGTACATATGGACACAATTATCTCGATAAACGAGCTCTGATTACAGTCTCCTTGACGAATTCATCGGTGCGTTTATACAAATTGCAAGATCCCAACCGTCCTGAACAGTTCTCGACTTCTTCGTTGAAATTAGTCATGACCTCAAGGCCTGATGATTCTTCCACAACGATACCACATACAATCGTCTTGCCTCTTGCCGATGATCGTGAGGTGTTCTCTTTCCAGGTGGAGGCTTTGGAGAAATTCACTATAGAATGGGAATTGATGCCAACGTTTGGATCAAAGGTGATTGGTAAAGCTGTTGCGTTACCTTCTCTATTCGACAGCATCACAGATCGTAAAAGATTTGTGCTTCCATTGCAAGATGTATACTTGAAGATCGTTGGTGAGATTGCATTCGAATTGGACTGTGTTAGACCATTCGATGGTGTTCAACTGGAAATCGGTGGTCGTGTGGAAACATACTGGAAGAGTACCCTACCCGGTACAGCAGCAACAGGACAAATTGCACAACAGCAAAGAATGACACCAACCGGAGGTGCAGGAACACAGGCAATCGGAGCAGGAGTATCGAATCACGATCCTGCCAATTCATCAACAACAAACAACAACGCTGCGCTACCATCTTCTGCTCCGCCGACATCAGTTTCGACCACTTCTGCCGCTGCTGCTTTGAATGCGGGATTATTTGTCACTGCATCTTCTTTGTCAGGCGAACATTTACGTTTGGCTGTTCAAGTGACCAAAGATGGCGTGGCGGTTGTCTATCCTGAATTCAATCTTCCTGTGCCTGGCTTGGAGGTATATGTGGGAAGCGTTACGAGTGATCAATTCCGTTCTTTGGCCAAAGCGACACAGCGTGAGATCACCTTGAGTCAAGAAGAAGCTCGCAAATTGCAATTACCCGTTTCAGGCTGGACATCTTTGATTCGTAGATCGATGATCACACTTGAAGATCTTTTGAAATTGCTTCCAACCTCTGTTGGTATTGATATGGACGTTTTATATCCTTCAACAGCGGATGTACGTGGAAATCCATCGTTGCCAAAGATTGAAGTGAATGCCTTTGTTGATGCAATTTTGCATACTGTTTATCGTTCTGGCACTTCATCTTCTACAAGCTTAACGTCAAGAAAGATTCTGTTCTCCAGCAGAAGCCCGACAGTTTGCACAGCCTTAAATTGGAAACAACCTAATTACGCAGTCTTCTTTGCTAGCTATTGCGGCTTGGCACATGACTCTGGAAACTTAAGCGGAAGCATTGGAGGTGGAGCAGATGGCGTGGTACGCTTTGCTCCTTGTGATCGTGGTGAACCTGATGCCAGACGATCAAGTGTCAGTGAAGCTGTTCGATTCGCAAAGAGCAATAACCTGTTAGGTATTATGGTTGATGCAATTTTGCTTAATAATGTACCACAATTGGTTCATGCTATCAAATCTGCCGGTCTTTTACTCATCACGATTGGTCAATATAAACCTTTGGTATCTGCTCCAAAACCAATCTCAGAACCAAGTTCTACAGCAGCAGAACAAGCTGGTGCCGATACCGAAGTACCGGACGGAAGTGTGGAAGATGGCATCGTTCTCGCTCGATAGAGTTACACCATAAATTTACATCACCTTTCATGTTTATCTCTACTAAAATGCTAAGAATCGGATAATGTACTTGTGTTTCTTTGAGTGAAGCGTGGCTTGAACAGCATGCAAAGTGAGCATAAATTAATTATAAAAACAAAGAAAGAAGACAAAAAGGTGGTTACAAATGTTATGATGAGGTGTAAATGATATGATACAGATTGAAGATGTGATGATTGTTATTGATCAACGGGATGCATTGCGTGTTGTATTGTTTGCTTTATATTTCTTATCCTTGCTGTCCGAGTCCGCAGAAGCAGCAGCAGCAGCTACAGCTGCTTCCTTTTTCATTTGTACTAATTTCTCCATTTCTTCGCACACTTCAGTCATTGTTGGTCGAAGCTTAGGATTTTGATCCCACATTCTATCCAACAATTCAACGATTTCACTTCCATACCTTCTCCTGATGGAAACTGTTGAAGGTCGAAGTTTCTTTTGACCAACGTCTTGATAAATTTGATGTTCATTCATATCTTGGAAAGGATACTTTTTCTCCGGTTGATGCCATTGTAATGCTTCCCAAAATGTCATTCCCGCAGACCAAACGTCTACTTTTTCATTGTAATTCGGTTTAGGACACCAAAGCTCAACCGCTTGCCAATTCACCGTTCCTACCAAAGATTTGATCATCGATCGTTTATTGTTTCGCACACGTGCAAGACCAAAGTCATTAATCTTTGCCGTCTTGTTGCGAGTGATGAGAACGTTTGTGGATTTCACATCTCTGTGAATGATTGCAGGTGAACTCAAATGTAGATATTCCAACCCACGTGCAGTTTGCAATAGAATTCGGAAGATTTCATCATCCGGAGGAGGTTCGACATTGCGGATATAGTCGTACAAATCACCATTTGCACAGAGCTCCGAAACGATCATGCAAGGCGTCAATCGCATCTCGACTGGCGGAATGCAAACTCCAATGAATCGAACAATGTTCTCATGTTTGAGATCACGCAATAGAGTCAATTCCTTGATATCCATCTCGCTCAATTGATCGCGGATATCCGCAATGGCAACTTTTCTGGTGGTCTTTTTTGTGATGTGGTATTTGCCAACGTAAACGTCTTTGAACCCACCAGAACCGATCTTGTCAAGCTTTTCGAGCTTATTGAATGCAATTTCCTTGTCAACCAACTGGAGGCTCTCCAGATCCAAGCCATTAAGATCTTCCTCATTCTGAGAAGGAATTGGTGTGCCAGGCTTAGAATGCGATTCTTTTCGAAGCGATTGAGTGCGCAAAAGTAGAGGTTTGTCGCTCTCAGTAACGTTTTCACGACTTCCTTTGGTCTTCTTGGCATTTGGATCGCTACTTCCTGGTCTTGCAGTACGGGTGGAGCTGGTAGAGTCTGGCTTTTCGGTATGACTGGAAGCAATATCATCTCGGTTGTTACCGTGATGAGCGAGTAAAGCATCAATCAAGATTGCACGTGTGGCATCTTTTGCATGCAAAACACCTTCTTGCTCACAAAGCTCGATCAACCGATCACGTTTAAGGCGATTGAGTGCAGAATGACTGAAGTCTTGTCCCTCACTCTCATCCATCTCGATATTTTTGGGCTTGTCATTCGAATGTACTTTTTGATTAGAGTCATTGCGAATTGCGAAAGCAGGAATGTTGCTTTCGTTGAACACGGTAGGAAGGCGGACTTTTCCATTGCGCAATTTGCGCATCTTACTCGGGCTTGCGTCTATATCTGATGGCCTGTCATGACCTTCGTCTTCGCTGCTGAGCTCACTCTCGTCACTGTCCAATTCGCCATTCAGATTACCATTTTCTGATTCGTCCAAAGACATTTCAGACAAAGGTGGCGATGACCGCGAGCTGAGAAGATGCGATTGCTTCTTCTTAATGTCAGAGATTGTTTCATCTAGAGACATCCCTTCCGATTCATCTCCTTCATCAACGCCGTTCAGAACATTTTCCACCATTGCTTCGCTATCTTCTTCCAATGTTTGGTGAAGCTGTACATTGGCGCGGACTTTGGCTTTTCTGGGAGTACGTAAGGTACGTTTACGTGAAATGGTAGGTGAAGTGTCTTCCCAATCTTCCATTTCTTCTTCGTCATTCTGTTGAGTGCCATTCTCTAATTCGCTTGGTGAATTGCTTTCATCGCCATCATCAGTTTCACGGGCTGAGAGCTGGAATCTTGCAACGTTGCCCGATCCTCTACGATTGATTCGCTTCATCTTTGGCGTGACTACAGTAGTGTCAAGCATCATTTCGCCTTGATTGTTTGCTCTAAGAGTGCGTTGACCGAATGGTGTCGAATTGTTACGCAAAGGTTGTATTGTGACAGCTGATGAGCTAGATTGATGACGAGTTCGAGCGCGAGTACGAATCGGTGAAGAGGCAGCAAATACAAGAGACCCTTTATGACGTAGGCGTCTTCGAGCAGGGGATATGACACTGCTTGAGCGAGTGCTACTGCCTTCGTTAGAGTTATCTTTGTGCATTGGAAATGCGATGGCATTGTTCACTGGACCGCGCAAAGTGCCCTGTTTATTTGCACCAGCTAGAGATGTGAACATATGCGGAGAAGTAAACTTCTTTCGACGGTCTGCCTTGACTGGTTCGACTTCTGTTTCTTCACCAGCTGCATCGTTGGCATCAGATGCTGATTGTTCTTCCTCGTCATCGGTATAATCGCTCGACCTGGATACGATCGACGTACTCGTTCCACTCCTTTTCAAAGATGGACCAGAAGAATGCGTCTTGGAGCTTTTTCGTTCTTCTTTATTTGAGTCCAGAATTGATCCGGCAGATGTCGGCGGCTCGTCTTGACTGCGAGATTGGATGATGCCATCAACCAGGTCTTGCTTATTGAAAGAGTCCATCTCGATTGGCTCATCGGAGTTGAAAGTGCCGAGACAGACATGAAGCTCGAATAACTTATCCTTTGTAAGTCTTCGCAATTGCCATGAAGGTGCTTGTTGCAGCAATCTGACTTTTTCTCCTTCATCTTGTGCGTCTTCGACATCATCATGTGAACCTTCCCCAGTGATTTCTGCCATGCTCAGTCTACGTGAACGAGATCCTCTTGAGCTGCTGGTGGAAGCTTTACGTGATCCCATACCGTTCGATGCCAATCTGGTCACTGAATGTGTAGATGATCGCCTACTAGCATTCATCGGCTTGTCTTGTTCCATCTCATCTTGATCGCTCAATCTCATTGCACGCATATTCCTTCTCAAGGATGAGCTACTTGCGTCACGTACTTGATGTCTAGGACGTAGAGGAATAGTGCGATGTTCGAGTGGATCGATGCTATCAAATTCATCGACGAAAGGAAACCCTTTACCAATCTCTCCTCTCAGTGCGGTAGAGCTAAGCCCTTCCCCGTTACTTGCTTGTGTATTTCTTCCTCTGTGATTTGTTTGATTTTGTACTTTTGACGTCGAGAAGATGTGATTGTGACCTTCCTTTAAAACTCCTCCTCGAAATTGATTTTGACTTTGACCACTTCCATGTTTACGTTTCATGCCTGCTCTGGCCACTCGCATTGCGCGTACAGGCGAAAAGATTTCAACAAATGCATGGCGTGTGCGTTTTCCGGCAGGATTAATTGGATTAGAGGAAGAAGAAGTGTTGTTGTTGGCATTGGCAATGTTCCGTTGTGAGGTCTTCGGAACGCGGCCGTTGAGCTTTTTCGGATCTTTCTTGCTCGCTCGTTCTTTACGAACATCAACATCTACTAAACCCTCTTCTTCCTCTTCCTCTTGATCTTCATCGTCTTGTTCTGAAGAAGAAAGGGATGCATTACTGACAATACGCTCCCGGTGCGAGTAATGGTTGGCGTGATTACCATCATTCCTCGTATTCCTCTGAGCATTAGCCGATGAGGAATAAGAAGAAGATGAACTGGAAGATGGTTGTTCAGTCTTTGTCTTCATATTCGTGCCTATTTGAGTAGATTTAGTCGTTCCAAATCTACTCTTTGCAATATTGGATTGAATTGGTGAAAGTACTTGCGGTTTTGCCATCGTGTTATGAGAGAATGATAATCTATGAGGTTTGATTGAATCTGTTCATATATTTCGTGAGTGAATGCTACTTGTTCATGTAATGTATGTGAATCGATCGAACAAAGGTATGATTGCCGCCCAAAAGGCGACTTTAGTCCGATCGCGAATCCGTCTGAATGGTGATGGTTGAGAGTCGAGCGTTGAAGGAAGTTGATGTTGAAGGTTGAGTTGGTTGTTCTGTCATACAATCTTCAATACCATCATTTCTCCAGATACTTCTCTCTTTTTTGTTTGTATGCATTCACTTGCAGCAAACCTTTTTTAGCTCATGTGACACTTCCTTAAAACACAGTTATTGTGCCTCGTGGGAATTCCATGTAAACATGCCAAAGCTTCCAAATAAATACAATTCAGCAGCTGCTTGTGGCAAGGCAATAATTATTCAATTTCAACGCGTTTGTATTCGTTTTGGCTTTAATGCTGTCTAATACAACAACAATTATTTTATTAACCCTTTCTTTACGCGTTTATTCCGCATCTTGTTGAATAAACTTCTACGCGGTGGTTACATAAGCAGACAATTTATTCAATCCGTATTTACCCCTTTTACGCGGATAGCTAGATTGATAAGGCATCAATTCAGTATGTTTAAATGCCGCCGGTATCTTCTTTCATACACCTCTGGAGTGTCTGCATCTAAGCCTCACTTATCTTCATGTTCATTATGCTAATGATGGACATATATATTGCAACCAGAAATAGGGCTCGGCAATCAATGAATGCAAAATAGAGTGAAATATTTGAAAAATAATCAGGTATATTGAAACGTGAGCAAAAGATCAAGGTATAAAATCCTTTGCTGCTACAGAAGAAGAATTCGAGCTGGAAAATATCGTAAAGCCATCCATGTCATGTCAATCTATGCGACACGAGCTGGTGTTTCGTATTTACTGATGATGTACCTGTGATGACGAGGGAGGATGAAGTAAGCTTTCCACTCCTTATTGCATTCAACTTCATGCATATACTCACCAAGCATGAATCACGCCGGCTGCAAAGGGAAGGTATGGGGAATATTAGCATCTCAATCTCGTTCTTGTCTTCACTGTTGTACTCACGTAGCCATGCAAGGAAGCAAAGCAAGATGTTAATCCAAAAATTAGCAGAGCATCCTGTTTTGATAAAGACGGGCACTGGCGGAAGCTATAATTGATTGACAGAGATGGATTAAGGTTAGATTTGGTATTCTAAAGAGGCGCTATGGTTGACCACTTACGAAGATTGCCAAGAAGTAGAGCTAAGGGAAAGAAGCGATAAGTCGTTTAAGAAAAGGAAATAATGAGATGTAATGGTCCCTTTGTACACTTACGAGCACGTCTGAGCCTGAAGATCTGATGATGTGGAGGAATGTCAGTTCTCTTTGTCATAGACTGATGATCACCGGGAAGAAGTAACTCACGCTGGGCGAGCCATGTTTACCAGATATGTTCAACAAATTGCTTATTATGTGATGATGGAGAAGAAGAAGAGTAAGTGAGTTCAATGCAACAGTTCACCATACAAATGAATGTGAAATGCATATATGCTGTGTAAATGATAATTAAACTTTTCCATGACACATATCTTGACAACCTTAGCGCGCCCGCCCGTTTGCGTATCGCCTGCTTCCTGATGCACTGCCTCAAATCCGGGCATACCCCTCGCCCACGCCAAGCAAGCAAGCAAACAAGCACGCCAACCTGGGTCAACTAAACGCATACATTCACACTTTTCCTCCATCACGGTGAAACAAAATCAGATACAATATACAGCATACATATACATATATGTGTATATTTCAGTGATGCTTGAAAAGGTTAAGCTGTTTTTGTACACTTTCACTTGCTTCACTGGGCGTCATGGTACCGTGCAAAACAGCTAATTGTTGTCCCGCAAAGAAACGTTTCTTGAATGGCTTTTCTTTAGATGCATTGGCTGTATGTTCACCCCATGCCATTTGTTGTTCTACATGTTTCTTGGCTTCTTCTTTGGTAATTTTGCCTTGGCGCAATCTTACTTCATCCAACGCATAAAAACGCTTTTGGAAATCAGAATCGTTTTCCAGATCATCGTTTGAACGTTTCAAGAATACGCTCATTTTCCCCTTTTTTGGATTTGCATGTTTTGGTAACAACATGTCTGGGGTTGCACCCATCACTTCAAGACTGTTGACTGAAACGGTATGAAACGCATCATTTGGATTTGGCAATGGCGAGCGAGTGTATAAAGACATTGAACTATCATCATCAGCTTGATCACGTTTAAATGGATGTTCATTGCCTCCGTACGGGCCAGATTTGATGGGAAGAGCATTTGCAGATGGGTAGTAGGTGAGAGCACATGCGTTCATGAAAATCAACGCCATCACAAAGGCTGCATTTGCGATCATCTTGACAAGAATCAATAAGGTAGCACAAGAAAAAAATGGAGGCCAGCCCACTTCTTGATGTTGAAGTGAAGAGAAAGGTTTGAAATGTGGCAAGACTGTGCTATTTATGTGCAAACACGCACAAGCTCATTATACGCCGATATTGTGCTTGCTTATGTACAGCATGAAGCCCCGTTGGAAAAGCTGTGTCTGAGAATGTTTTCACGTCATACTTGCCATACGAATGCGGCTGAACGCCAACAAACATCACATAGACTTTCACAAGATAACTCTGTCCAAAGTAAGTGTTACAGCATACGCGTTATTATCAAAAAGATGATCACCAACTCTCCGAATTATGAGCTCCTTTCTCATTCTTGGCGATATAAAAGCGTTTCTTGACAATCATTGGATCTCCTGATAGAATGAGCTGTTGCTTTCCTTTGTTCAGTCTCATTCGTGCTTCAGATGGGAATGTTGGATCTACGCTGGCAATAATGATCTCTTCCCTTAAGGGTGATCGCACATATTCCGGTTCTGGTCTCAAGAGATGTGGCATTAGATAATGGGTCGGTTCCGGTATCGGATCACGTTTGATAAAAACCTTGTCTTTCAATAGCATATGATGCTTTGCATATTGCGGTACAATTGTGTTTCTTGAATCATCCATCACTTCCGGTTCTTTGTCAGCAATGAGAGAATATGTTTTATTCGAATCCGATACTGGTGAGCGTGCAACAAATGATACTTTTTCTTTTTGTTCCACTTGTTCACGTTTGTGAATGAAAGGCATGCTAAAATGTGCTTTCTCTTTCGGCATTTGTCTTTGAAGTGAATCCTTTGGTAAATCTTTGTTCTTAATCGTTTCTGTCGATACCACATGTCCAGGTGTGGGAGATCGCTTCTCCATTCCAATCGATGCACTTCCTGGTACTACTTCATTCGTACGCTTTTCCAACTTTCCTTGTTCTTCATACCTAATCGCTACACCGTTCACATAGGGAAGCAATGCACTGCTACAAGCGATGACGACAATCAATGCCATCATCAATTTCAAATTTGCGACCATCTTGAGCAACAACGGAGACCAGCTCGCGTTCATGCAAGATGGGAGGAGAAAGCATTGGCAAAATGAGACATTGTATTTATATCTTACCTTCTTTACGCCCATCTGTAGTGTATATCATCAGGCACCGCAATCTGAAACGCAAGATACATCATTTGCCCCTGATGGCGTGAATGCTGATCTTATTTGGGCGTCAAATAAACGCAGCAACTGGCAAGAATAAACAAGAACAATTGAAATTGCAACGAGAAAGAACCACATACGAAATACATTACATAAAAAAAAGAGAAAGAAGAGAAATCTCCTACTATAGGAACACTAAACGATTACCGTTTGCAACTTGAATAACACCTAAGTCTTCATATTCACGTAGACATTCTTGTAATTGATCTTCTACCCAACCGGCAGCAATGATACGTTCGCGTACATCACGCATATTCAATGGACCTGGAGCATTTTCATCTTGTAGCCAATCTTCATCTTCTTGAACGCCTTGAGGTAATTCTGCACGTTTACCACGTAAACGAGATTCACGAATCGCATCACGACCTTCATGTCCGATTGCCATTGCCATATCACGAATGATACGATAAATTTTTGTAACACTACTGTAATCGTTCGTCGTTCCATCTTGAATGTTATCACGACGAGAAGTGACGGTCAAAGAACTCTTGCTCACGTCCAGCAAACGTAATGCTTCATCAACATCACCAATTTCGACTTGTTCACTGAATCGCAAACGTGCTAATGCTTGACTCATACGAACGATACCCAACAATGTACGTGCAGATGTATAAGTGTATGCTTGACCACGTTCTTCGTCATCTTTGGTTTGATTGCGTAATTTGACATATGCGCTCACCAAATATTCACTTACAGCTTTGGTAACGTTTGGTTGATATTGACGAGCACGGGCGATATAATGTTTCATCAATTGAGGTTCTAAAGGTTGGAATGTCAAAGGTGGATGTTCAGAATGCATGTGCACATAAGCAACATGTTGAGCAAGTCTTTCATCATCTTCACGAGATGGCGTATCAAGAATGAGGAAAAGAATATCAAAACGACTCAAAAGAGCAGCTGGTAAATTGATATTGTCGACTGGCGAGATACGAGGATTATACCTTCCATAAAGAGGATTGGCTGCGGCCAAGATGGATGTACGAGCGTTCAAGGTTGTTGAAATACCTGCTTTGGAAATTGAGATCGTCTGTTGTTCCATCACTTCGTGAATTGCAGTTCGATCTGATTCCTCCATTTTGTCAAATTCATCGATACATGCGATTCCATTATCAGCCAAAACCAAAGCACCACCTTCTAGAACCATTTCTTCGGTAACGGGATCACGCATTACTGCAGCCGTTAAACCAACTCCACTGGATCCACGACCGGTTGTATAAACACCTCTAGGTGCAATCTTTGAAATGTATTTGAGCAATTGACTTTTGGCCACACCTGGATCACCCATCAAACAAACGTTGATATCACCACGGATATGCATACCATCCGGCATATCACACGTTACACCTCCAACCAATAAGAGTAATAAACACTTCTTCACGTCTTCATGACCGTAGATTTCAGGTGCAATACTGGCGGCCAATTTATCGTATACGTCTCCTTCGCGTGAAAGAGATCGAATGCGTTCAGATGTTTCGGCTGTCAGCTCTCCTTCTAAGGCTGAATAACTTTTGCGTAATTGACGAACGTGTTGCGCTTGCAAGAATGTATCTGTCAATAGACCAGCTCGGATTGCTTTGAAGCCGGTATAGGGGGTAGGAAGGAAGATTCCGCTCACATCGCATACATCACCAGGGTTGAGGGACCTGGTTAGTGGACCAGACATGTGGATTGTCATCATACGTGGAATATGTCCAACGGGCACTTGATCGGTCATTTCTTGCATTTTGATCTCTTGGAAAGGAACAAATTTGCTTGCTCGAACTTGTTGAAACAAACTTCCTTTGACATTGTTGCGCTTGCATTCTGCCGGACATTCTGTCAAGGGCATATACTGTCTTCCTTTGATCTCTTGGAAAATTTCTGCACCACATTGATCACAAGCATATGCGTCAACTTGCAAGTATGGCTTCACTTCTGATACCCGGGTAACGATACCGCGTAGAGTAACCAAAGATCCGATATGCTCAGCACGAATAGAGCGTACAGCCATTGGCTTTGAATCTTTGCCTGTTGCTGAAAGTGGTTTGAGATAGACTGTGTAACGACGAAGCAAAGAAGGTGGGAAGGGAAGTGCGGCTTGGCTTGCATCTTCTTGTTCTTCACCATCCATCTGTGATTGCATAGCATCAGGACCCAAGCTTCGACCTTGGGATTGACGTGCATTACGTTCTTGACGTTGATGAATGATGACATCCAAAACGTCATCTTTGTGTGAGATATCGACTGTGGGTGTCATCTCTGCTAGGATCGAATCAACACATTCTGAGATCAACTCAACGTAGTGTGATGCATTTCCCTCGATCCCGATGGCAAGATCCGTTCCTGATCCTCGCATCTGAGCATTCAAGAATTCTTGCAAATCTTTCAAATCTACAATCAATGCTTTCTGTTCTCTGTTTGTAATTTTTTGAAGTTGTTCCATGTATTTCAATGTATCAGCTTCTCTCCTTCTCCTTCTTGTTCTTGGATGGCTTTCATCCAGATCCATAGAATGCAAATCATCCATCACACTTTCTGTTTCCTCTTCTTCATCATCAACGTCCATACTTGAAACAGCACCGAGAACGTCTGTTGTACGATCCGCATTCATGCTTAAAGCAGGTACGACACCTTTGGCATATCGTAAGAAGTTGGTTATATTTTCTTTTTGTTGTCCATAATCAATTCCAACTTTGATAATTGGCAAAATGCCACCTGTTGCTCCGTTTGACATGCTGAGCGAAAGATGACTGTCAAGGTGGAATGGAGAACAAAGAGATGATGATGATGATGTTCTGAGGTTATAAACTTATTAACCTTACTTCAAACTGTAACTTCGATTCTTCCTTGAAAAAGAAAGGAATACACGCAACACTGCTCCAGCGCCACTTGTCAGCTTTTCCTCTACAAAACAACACACGCGTCAAAAAGTAGAGAGCGTGTAAATAGCTTTTGACGCGTCGCGCGTCGTGTGTTCTGAGAACGCGATATTACACGCGACATCTTTCACTTTTCTGTCTTTCTTAACGACGCGTTGCCTTGAGTTTTATGACTTCTATCCTAGAGCCAATTACCATCACCCTTAAGGTGGCTCGGGGGGTTACGATTCTGCAGTTTGTAAGTACAAAAGCTGAAAGAGCGGGCGCTATGTTACATGTGACCAGGGATTCTTTTGTGCTGGAAGCTGTTGTTGTGGAGATAAGGGCTGTTTTTGCTGTTTCTCTCTCTCTCTCTTCCGAGCACGACTTAATTGCATTTTTCTCTTGCCTATTTCTCGCTCTGTTTCGGACAGTTTATAAACTTTGATCGGTTTATTTGCTATTTTCCTTTTTGCCCTGATTAGGTCACTGTGTTTTTCATGATATCGTTTATTATACTCAGATCTTTTTGACTTTTGACTTGCAATCTCAGCTTCTCTTTCTGCTTGTGGTAGACTATTTAATCTTTCTTGTGCTTCCACTTTTCGTTTTAGGTGTCTACTCTTATCGCGAGCTCTGGCTAATGCCAATCTTTTGGGATCACTTCGAAGCTTGTCATAATATCGACGACTGTTCTCTTGCTTTTGCCTTCTTTCCCGAGAAATAATCGTGTTTGACTTCTCGCTGTTGTTGCCATGTCCATGTGTGTTTCTATCATCCTTTGGTGTCTCGCTATTAGGATGATTCGATTGGATTGATGGATGCGGCTCTTCGTTTGAATTATGAAAAGAAACCCCTCTCTCAGGTGATGAAGGCAGATCAACAATGTTGCCCCAATCAAAGTTTTGAGATTCCAATTCACGAAACCAATCGGGAGATGCTTCACGGCTTCCAATTGCTTTCACTATATACGTAGTCAAAACAAGGAAGCTTAAAGCAATATAATGTAGTAGCATCTTCTTGTACGGAATCATCTCCTGAGTATGGTGGGCAGCCAAAAGAGATGCAAGTATGTCTACTACAACAACAAAGGACCAAAACTTTCCACTCGCACGATTGCCCCGATGAGTAAATACAAGAACACAGCACGGCGTACAATTATCAAGCAAAATAGATGCAACATTATCAGAAGCTTGTATGTGTCTCCTTTGTTGATCACAATCTTTTCTATTTAGCAGACTGCAAAGCTTATCTTTCTCTCTTAGTGCCATCTGATTTTGCATTTCTTTGTTCGGCTCTTTTCTTCCTCAATCTTTCTCGATCTCTTGCTCTCTTTTTATCTGAGGCCTCTTCTGAAAGCTTACGTTGTTTCCGCTGTACACGAATATTACCGATTGCGTCAGTTCTAAAACCCTTACAGTGTGTTTTACGGAACATTTCTTTTCTTGCTTGAATGGTGACCCTTTGTTCTGCTTTGCTTAAACGTTTGAATTCTTGAGAGCGGTAAATCTTTCTAAGATGATATGACTGCCTCTTTCGCATTAGCTCAAGCTGCCACCTCTCTGGATCTTCCCTCATTTTCAGATGATCTAGCTTTCTTTTCTCTTTTGAATACTTAAAATTCTTTTTAAGACTTTCCTCAGCGTGGACGTTCGATTGCACGTTTGTGCTTGTACTTGGAGCACTGTTCACCTCGTCTGGTTCTGATGCTTTTGCAGGAGATGACGGCCAGTTGATATAAGCTTTCCAATCTGAATCTACCGATTGAGACTCGTGACTATTCAAAGGTAATTGACTTGTAACCCGTGAATGAAAAAGGATAGAGATAAAAGCAGTCGCCAGAGTTGTTGTTTGCTTCATTTTGTGTAGGGTGACTGCTCATGACTAAGAAGTATCATACGAAGTATAGCTCCCTTTTAAGAAACGTTGAACGGTTAAAAGGAAACGCCCATTCGCTCGGCAAAAAGAATCCATCTGTACAGCTTTTGCGTATAATCGTGACACAATCTATGACAAGACTTGGATTTGATACAACAAACAGATCAGCCTCATAAATAGACCCCCGGTATGATTGCTAACATTGCTCATTTTAAAAGGATAGAGATTCTGAGAGAACAGAAACGTAATATGTATGAATAGATGAAATCATAAATGCTGCTCTCCTTCCTGTTTTGCTTGCTTTTTGGCTTTGAATCTCTGATAATGTTGTTGCTTTAATTTTTTTTGCCGCGCAATCTCTACTAATCGTTCATTGGTAGGAAGATTTTGTGTTTTATTGTACTGTCGTTGACGATGAACTCTACTGTACATCGTGCGTTTTTGCGTGCGTTGGTTGATGTAAGCTTCTTTTTCTTCTTTTGGTAATTTTTCTAACATTTCATTCTCCAATTCTTTTGATCTGAGATAACGAGCTTTACTTTTTTCTTGTACCACTTTCCACTTCACAGGATCATTTTTTGCGTTGAGATATCTTTTTTTGTGTCTCTCCTTCCTAGAAAATTTGGTGGAATGGCTCTCCTCAGGATTTTTGAAAGGATCTCGAACGGCATTGTCGTGAAAAGCTGCTTTTATTGTTAGCGGAATCGTCGGTAAAATGCTTTTCAAACCAGTCTCTGGAGTTTTGTGGTATCGCGGCGAGGTCTCAGACTCTGAGCTAGAGTCAGAACTAGCAAACGAACCAATCAAAGCTTTCCATTGATACTTTGGTGAATCATCATTCGTACTTTGTACTCCTTTCGCAAAAATGTGGAATACAGCCGCAACACGGAAAAGACTGATAATTAACATCATCTTTAAGGGCCTTCAAACGGAGTGATAGTGTCTGATTGGATTGAGGAAAGGACAACGACTTGCTTCTGTAACGTCATTGTGTGTACGGGGCTGCAACTATTTACATGAGCACTTGCGTGTTTTCATATATCTTTATTCACAGATGTGTATGCTTCCACATAGCCACAAAATGTAGATTGAAGCTGCTAGTGCTCAGCCTTCGTTTCATGCTGAGCGTTAAGGAACATTCTTCTTTTCTGCTTTTCTTTCTGCATAAGCTTTGTTCTTCCTAGCAGTTTTTTCCTTCTGCTTCTTCTTTTCTGCTTCTCTTACTGCTTCGGATAAGCTTGCAAGTCTTTCTGCATGCCTAATTTTTGCTCGATAATATCTTTCTCTACCTTGACGTTGTACCTTTGCCAACTTTTCAGGGGTATGTTCCGATTTGAGGAAATATTGTCGTCTCATTTTCTCAACTTATCTGGTGTATATACTTCTTCAGAGACTTTTTTCGCTTTCTAGTTGGTTCAGATATTGCCTCTGGTTTTGCTCCAAATGTTTGAATTGAGCCCTATTGATGTTGTACATCCTGTTGGGGAATATGAGGGCTTAGACTTTCTTCATCCGAGTCACTAGAAGCAAATAACCCAACTAGAGCTACCTATTTGAAGCTTTTTGATCGATCTTTTTCACTTTGGTCAACACATGTGACCATGGTAATCACAGTCAGAGTCCATATAAGAAAAGCAATAACATGAATCATAGACGCAGTAGAATACCATGAAGACAAGGTAGTAAAGAGTCAAAATTCACATTATGATGCAAAGTGCAACCTGAGTTCGGGGATGGAGCAATAAAAATGAAAGAACGTGAAGCTCAACAAACATATGATTACCAATCAAAAAGCAAGTGAAAGGAGAAACGCATTTTGTCAACTTTGAGAAGGACTTCCCAGCGCACTTAGCTTTTTCCGTAGACGACACAACCTGGTTCTTTCCCTGCAATTGGCTCGCTCTTTTTCAGACAAGACAAATCCTCGCTTTGGCTCGATTCGGGCATTTGGATTTCGTCTAAGTCGAGCGAGGTAATTCTTTCTATCTTTTACTGCCCTTTGTTTGTTAAGCTGTTCTTCTAATTCTGATCCTGTCAACAATGCAAGTTTTTTCTGTTCATCATGGTATCTCGCTTTTCGCGCATTTTCTCTGGCTTTCCATTTGATGGGATCATTTTTAATTTTGACGTAGTTTGCGTGGTTTATTTCTTTCAATCTCTCGGCTGAGTATCGCTCTTTATTACTTAATTTCTTCCTTTTCTTAATTTTCTCAGGTCCAGAATCTTGTTGTTGTGTATGCACTTGAGTCTTGTGAGGACTGCTGTTCGGTGGAGCCAGGTGAGGTGTAGGCTCATGCATTGTACTTAATGGTTGGTTCTCAACTCCGTCTTTCTCCGTATCATAAGACCAAGCCCAATCGATCAACTTCCCCCAATCAAAACCAGGTGATAGAGAACCTTCATGACTGTTAGCTGCTTTGACAAATTCAGTTGCGAGACTCAAGATAATGGAAATGAACACAATGATAGCGTTGTCCTGTAGAGAACACATGGTCTAAGACTGATGATGCATCTGAAAGAAGTATAAATCAAGACGATGAAACGAGATATGATGTGAAAGAGCCACTCATTGTTTATTGCCCCGCTTCAATCAGATGTTTCATTTAATCCGTACTCTGTCGGTTTGCATGCCGTATTCTCGAGCCATAAGAAAACACAGATATGTCTCCTCGTTGCCCACCCTATATATATTCAAGAGGACCATGATGTAAGAGTTGGAGTATAATTGCATCACATCAAGTATTACTGAATCTGAGAATTGCCATTTTGAGCTTCAAGCATCCGTTTAAGACGATGCTTAGCACCTCTTTCTCTCGCCAATCTGCGTTCTTTTTCCGAAAGTTTATACTTTCTTGGTTCATTGACTGCATTTGGGTCTTTTTTCAAACGGTATCTGAATCTTCTCTTTGCTAACTGTTCGTTTCGTTTGGCGACTTCTGCTTCCTTTTCTGCTTCTGTCAACGTAGTCAGCATTTCTTCCTTTTCTGCTTTTCTTTTATAGTATCTTTTTCGATTGTTCTCTTGCACTCGTTTCACCCTCTCCGGATCTTTACGATAATTGATATAATAATTTCTACTGAACTGTTTCACTTTTTCTGCAGAGTAACGTTCTTTGAGATTTTTATACTTCCTTTTAGGTCGTTGGACAGGCGATTGCATCTTGATGGAGCTGATTGCAGTAATAGGACTTCTAGATTCTTTTTCTGGCTGGACAGGCTGTGAGCCTTTGGTCACATCATGAAGAGACAACGTCTCCTGTTCTTTGAGGCGCATATTTACTCTTGGAGAACGCCCTCCAGCAGGCGAAGAAGTGCCTAAACTCGAATGCCCAGATATGATTTCTTCTGTTTTACGTTCTGGGGAGTAAGACCAATCAATCATGCTTTTCCAGTCAAATTCATGCGTAGGAGATTTAACACTACGATTGGGAGAATCTTCATTGTTTTCAAATGCTTTGATTGGGCGAGTCTGCAGCCAAAAGGAGACTTTAAGGAGTAAAATTGCCTTTAAGAAATGGGAACTTTGCATTCTGGGTGTCAAAACTTGTATGTGAGGAGGAAGGAGAGTTGCAAATAAACTATTTTTAAACTTTGATACGACAACCTTAGTCAATTGCCCCGATCAAGTCTATTTTATCGCAAAAACTGTGTAAGCAAGTAGGGGCTACAGATCTTTGTACACAAGGTTAACAATTCAAAGCGCTTACGCCGAACCTTCGATGTCCGGTGTGGCTTGATAGATGTGCGACTCTGATGATAAAAACAGTTTACAGACGATGCATGAGAAGAAGGCATTGTCATCTCTTGCGAATTGCACACTCATGCACGTCATCTGTCACTTTTCTTCGCAGCCATTCTTTCTTTCTCTCTTGCATATCTTTTTCTGTTCTTCATCTTCTTTCTAGCTATTTCAGTATTTTGTTCTTCCAAAGTCAAAGTCTTGAACACTTCTTCCTTTTTGGCCTTATCCCTGTGATATTTTATTTTTCTTGTTTCCAGAACCCTTGCCCACCTTTTCGGATCGTTCTTTCTTTCTTGATAATACTGTTGATGATATGTTTTATCAAGCTTTGGTCTTTTGGAAATCTTCTTCCCAGCTCTGAGAGTATCACTTTGACGTTGTTTGATCATTTTATTATTGCTTTGCTCTGTTGCGTCTCTTTCAGGGGATGATGGCCAATCAATCAAGCTTTTCCAATCAAAATCTGTAACCATACTTCCTCCTTCATCAGCTATGGAATGACCAGCTGTGCTTTCATGAGACATACAAAGATTTAAGGAAGCAAACGAAAGAAGTTGCGCCAATCTTATCAATAGCATCTTCGCAGAGGTTGCAGAGTAGAGACAAACGTCAATGATATTGAGTCATCTGACACAAATCTACATTTAAGTTTAATCCGAAAGAGTTTACGGAAGCGTTCTCAAGCACTTTCAGGGGCGTTACGGCCTTCACAAGGTTGTACACAAACAATGTCCAGTACGAGAACAATTTCTATTCTGCAGGATTATCATCTTGTTGCTTTCTTGCTCGTTCTTTTAAATTTCTACGATATCGCTTTGATGCTTCCCGATTTATAGCTCGTCTTCTCTTTTTGGATTCAGGACTTAGATCACGGATAAACGATTTTGCTCCGCTAAGCTTTATGTTCTTACTTTTATCTCTAAGATATCGCTCCTTTCGCTTTTGCCTTTGTTTCGTTAAAATTGCTTCCTTGTCTTCCTGACTTAATTGTTCGAATGCTGCCTTCTTCTTCTTCATATTTTTGAGTCTGTTGAGCTTTTGACCTTCTAGCCTTGTCTTCCATAAGTCAGGATTTTTTCTATACTTGAGATAGTAGTCATTATTGTAAGCCCGCATTTTGGCCCGGTCTCGATGTCTTTGGTCCGGCTGAGGTGTAGGGTGATCCGTTGATTGAGCTTGATCTATTTGCTCGGAAGTTGTTTTGGGTGATGAAGCCCAATCGATCAACGTCATCCAATCAAAGTTTGAGCCAGCGCTTCCCTCCTCACTAGCTGGAGAAGACGCCTGTCTGTCCCCATCTGACGCACTAGTTGATAAGGAGGTAAATAGAAGGAAGTTCGTTATTCTCGTGAAAAGCATCTCTATCATTTATGGGTAAGAACGGAAAGCGATACATACTAGTTCACCTGTCGTATTAATACACCTCTACACCTGGATTAATGTGTGAGAGCGTTTTGAAATGCGGTGAAGCCAAAAAAGCTTATGCGTAAAAGCGACTTCGTTTCACAAAGCAGTGTTACCATTTTGCTGACTGCTTGCTCGCTCTTTTAGGTTTTTACGATACTTCTGTACAGCTTTCCGATTGATAGCTCGTCTTCTCTTTTTCGCTTCAGGGCTCAGATCACGTTTTTGCCCGCCGAGCTTCTTCTCTTTTTCGATAGATGTATTCTTTGCTTTCAATAATCTTTGCTTCCTCTTTTCCTTTCTTTCCCTCAAAATTGCTTCCCTGTCTTCTTGATTTAGTCTTGCCAAATAAGCCGTTTCCCTCTTGATTTTGATGAGTCTGTTAAGTTTTTGATCATCAAGTCTTTTTCTCCATAATTGAGGGTCACTTTTTTGTTTTTGATAGTATTCATGATTGTATGCTTTTTTCCTTTCCCGATCTAGGCCTTTCGATTGTGATGTAGGCTTACTCGGTTCGGGTGCGTGGTGCTCGTACGATACGCTCGCAGGTATCTCCTTCGGTACTGTCTCGGGTGATGAAGGCCAATCGATGAAACTCGTCCAGTCAAAGTCAGATTCTGCAGAAGTTCCCCTACCGGATGGATAATTTTGGTCATCACCAGTACCTTGTACGACATGTTGAACGCAAATTAATGCTATATACCAGATCAGAAACATTATTTGCCTGTTTTTAGCTCAAACGAAAAGGGATCATACAGAACAGAATAAAGAGTAGTACAGCAACGGACTCGACTCTATTGTATGATCGATCGATCGATTAAGCCCCGATCATTGCGTATACAAGAAACGCTTATTTGGATATGTGTGTATATACGATTTGCTGTACGCAACATGGTATTTGTCAAAAACTGATCGGAGCTGCTCTCATTAGACGAAGTAAGTGGAAAAGAGTTGTCATTTTGTGTATGCCCGTATCAGTACGTGCAGAGCGCCTTGAAGCAGTGAAGGAGGCGATGACATCTTTCAGGTTATGCGCAGATAAGAACTCTTTCATTGGGTGGTGTGATCATCTTGCTGATTTCTTGCTTGCTCTTTCTGCTTTTCACGATATTTTTGTACAGCTTTCTGATTCTTAGCTCGTCTTTTTTCCCTCGTTTCAGGACTCAAGTCACGAACAAGACGATTCGTACGATTACGTTTCTTTCCCTGTTGTTTCAGCTTGATCGTGTTTTTCAAATATTGTTCCCTCCGATTTTGATTCTTTCTCCTCATAATTGCTTCTCTGTCTTCTTTACTTAATTTAGCGAGCTCAGACTTCTCCCTTTTTGATTTAACAATTCTGTAAAGTTTTTGATTATCTAATTTCTTTCTCCAAAGCTGAGGATCACTTCTGTGTATCTGATAATATCGATGGTTATAATCTTTCTTCAATTCCCGTTGTCGATGAATTCGATCTTGCGTAAGAAGAGCAGGCTGATTTGATGGAGATGTATAGTGCTCAATCGATATGCGAGCAGGGGGCTGCTTTGACACTGTTTCGGGAGATGAAGGCCAATCGATGATCGTTGTCCAGTCAAAGTCAGATTTTGTAGACGATGTACTATCAGAGGGGATTGTTGATTATTATCAGTACCTTGCGCTACGACTTGCTGAAAGGTAATCAATACTATACACCAGACCAGAAACATCAGTCGCTTGTTGTAATTCTGATAAGAAAGCAAGAACACGGGACATAGAATGGAAAATTCGTGTAGAAACGGGTTTGACGACATTGTGAGGTCGTTCGGTTCAGCCCCGAATACTATATGACGCAAAGCTCAGCCAGATGTGAATGTATATGTAGAATTGTTTGGTCGGGGTTAGGGTTAGGGTTTATAACCCTAACCCTAACCCTACCCTACCACATGACACTGAATGAATGGTCTCCCATTAGACGAAGTATCAAAGAGACAAAGGCCGTTTGCTGTCCTTCTTAATGCCCATATTGGTATGTACGACGTGCTGCGCCTCGAAGTGACAAAAAGCTATCAATAGTGTTTCTACCGAGAGCCACAGTATCATATCTAGTCTTTGTCTGATAATCTAGCCTTCTTTGCTTGTTCTCGCTTTCGATCACGGTGATTTTTCCCTCTTAGTCTATTAGCTTCTTTGTCTCGTTGGATACGTGCTTTAATATCCGGATCATTGTTTTTCAGTCCTACTTTAAACATTTCATCTTGTCTCTTTCGATACTCTTTAACAGCCAAACATTTCTTTTCGCGTTTTCGTTTGAGTTCTTGTCGTACTTGCTCATCAACAATTGCTGCTTCTGTTTGTCGCTCCTTTTTGTCTCTTCTTTGGCGGATATAATGTTGGGTCCTTTCCGCTCGCTTCAATTTTTCTGCTTCTTGTTCTCTTGGTGTCATCTTCTCAAACTTTTCTTGATATTCTACCTTTTTTCTTTGATTACATTCTTTCCTTTGTTGAATAAACCTAGATAGTTTTACAGGATCAGATTTTGACTTTCTATATCTTTCCGAATCATATTTTCTCTTCCTCTTACGTCTATTCTGATTCTGTTGTGCGAGTTCTTCTTGTTTGGAAGATGCACCTGCATGACTCTTTGGTAGTCTTTGTTGCTCAGATATTGGCACATCTTGTTGCGTTTGCACATGCGCTGTAGGCCAATCGATCAAACTCAGCCAATAATGTTTCGTTAGCTGATTAATAGCTTCATTGCGATCAGGGCTGTCATTTTGGCCAACTGCCAGAGTAATGTCCATTCGAATGAACACAGAAAAGATGGCGAGCAGCAGGACCAACATTAGATCGTATCATCAATATCATTCAGGTTGAGAAGGACTTCTGTCGAACAGGATCTTCACTGTCAGTGCGCTCACAACGGGGCTTCGAATCATAGAGAGGCGTATACTTTTCGTTATATACACAGCATGTAATAGAGTACTGTACAGGTTTGCATAGAGAAAAAATCAAGGAGTCCACAATCTTGCTTCACCATCGGCTCCAGCGGTGATGAGCCAAGGCATGATCGGATGCCACACAGCGTCCAATATTCCCAATCCATCTTGAATCGTATGTCCACGCAATACTTTCAATGGAACAATCAAAGGGTTACTGATCATATCGTTGTATACTGTTGCATGTAAGACATGCACATTTCCATCATCACTTGCGCTCATCAATAACGGATAACGATCATGGAAGCCAACAGCTCGAACTGCACGTTGATGATAACGTAAGATCTTATAAGGTCTCGTAGCCAATTCCAAGTCGAACCAAGCAACACGCTTATCGTACGATCCAACAATAAGATGCGTTCCAGATTGACCATGTAAGCGCATACTACTGATCCAGCGTAATCCAGTTTGGAAAGTTTTAAGTAGTGTTTGTGTTGCCAAATTGTACATTCGGATAGTACGTTGAGTTGCAACAAAGAAGTGTGGCTGTTGGGGATGGAAGAGTACAGCTTGAACGGCAGATCCTTTTGAGGCTCTTGCAAATGGTGCTTGACTTCTTTGTTTGGATAGCTGATGGATAAGGACTGCATTACCGGCACCTTGTCCCGTTGTAGCAAAGTAGTCTCCTCTTGCATGCCAAACAACTTGTTTTGGCGATCCCTTCAATGTGACCATTGCAGCAATACCATCTTTCCTTTCAGCATCCGAAGGTCTTGCCCATTGTGCTGCAGGTTGCTTTCCGTCTGCATTTGCAGTATTAGCTGGCTGATATCCTTGAGTTGCGAATGCCATCGAAGGAGAAGTCCAATTGATACCACGACTTGAAGCAGCTGCGCCATTGCTCTGTGGGGGAACGATGACTACTACCTTTCCATCTGTGCAGGCTGCAAACATGGACATCGATTTGTTTGGGTTCCATTGAACGCTATAGACTGCGCTACGTTCACTTTGTGGCGATCGGGCGTGCAAATCCCAGACAGCTGTGCAACGTGCGATTGCCAGATCCCATAGACGGACTCTGCCGTCATCAGCACCAGTAACAAGCCATTGACCACGAGGGTCGACTGCAACAGCTCGAACACGTACATTGTTTGGATGAACATAGCTGACAGATGTCATTGTCGGGAACGGTCTTAATTCACGTGGGGAAGGCAATTTTGGTAGTAGATCTTGAGCATCATCGATATCCAAACGAGCACGACGCATACGAGGTGCCAAGTAAAGATCCAAACATCTTTCGAATCGTTCTTTGACGAAGTTTTGATATCCAGGAACTTTTCGTAAAGCATCGTATTTGGACGGCATAAATGAAACTTTTCGATCTGTTGGGTCTGCCGCTTCCCAATCTTTACGTTCTTGATCATCAAAGAGATACTCTGCTGGAGGATTGTAAGATTCTGCATGGGTGGGAAGTGCCAATTTAGGCGCTGGCATATGCATGGGATGATCACCGGCCGGTTGATCTGCATCTGTCCAAATGTTGTAGTATTTCGGCTTGTCGGTACTTGGCGCTCTGGCTGTGATACGTCCCTGTCGAATAGCACGCACGATTTTCATCACTTTCTTGTGTTCCCATTTACTTGGTACGAATCTGCTCTTTGGCTCCGGTCTGGATGAAAGAGGCATCTCCATCACTTTGTCTTTGCCCGTATACCAGTCCACTGATGGCTCATAAGGATCGTAGCTCCCGTCTGGAATTTCTGCATTTTGAAGTCTTCTGATGATGTCCAATTCTTCATCTGTCAATTTGACATCCTTTCCGGTTAATTTGTCTTTAGCAGTCATCCAAGAATCCGGATCCTCTACAGTCGCCAAGAACTTATCAAGTTCATCAGCAGTAGCCGGGCGCATAACCTTTCTGCCTTCTACGTCGTAACCGATGTGGGGAAACTCGTCATACCAGTGAGCTGGAACGTTTCCGATTCTATTTGGTGCATCTTCAGTACTGCTATCACTGTCGTATTCGGCATCAATAGCGGGATATACTCGCTTTGGCTTTCCAGTGATTTCACTTGTTTTCCATTCACCGAAAGCGCTGCCGTCAGGGTTTCTTCCTTTAGCAAAAATGGAAGGAGCAGCTTGTTCTTCTGAAAGACCAAGCTTGTTCAGCTGTGGCTTCTCTTCTTGAGGTTTCTTTGAAGCTCTTTGGATCATCTTGCTCAATTCTTCCTCGATTTCGGAATCGTCTGTCTCCTTGTTGGCCAATTCTTCCGCCCTTGCATCTTCGTCGCTTTCATCCCAGTTATCTATATCAGAGCTATTGTATCCTTCTTCGTCATCTTCCTCTTCTTCGTCTCCTTCTTCGAGATCGTCTTCCTCTTCGTCATCTTCTTCCTGGTCCTCCTCCTCGCTAGAGCCGACATCGATTTCTGGAAATGGATCTAGTTCGGCTTCATCTCCCTCTTCATCTTCTTCTCCTTCAGAATCATCTTCTTGTTCTAGCTCCAATTCAGCATCATCCAAGCCACCCAAGACATCCTCTGATTTTTGACCATTCGTGCCTTTGAGGCCGTTTGTTTTTGAAGCTTCAACCACTGCAGCAGGAGCATCTCTCTTTCTCTTTGCAACTGCAGCTGCAGCTCCTTTCCCTATATCTTGCTTCTTTGCCATCTTCGATGCAAATAAGCTCTAGAAAGAACTTCGATGAAGATCAGAAAGAAGTATGCAATTGAGGTAACACCTCTTTTGGTATTAAGTTAAACACATGCATAATCTTCTTGACTTTTTCTCGAAAAACTATAATCACGTGTACGCGTCAATGAGTAAAAAGTTCCTTGGCTCTGTAGCAGTAGTAAGCTCTAGGCGTGCGACATACACGGTGCATGGGGCAACAACAATTAAGCTGTTATTCGACATCTTCTCACAACCATCATCAACAAGATGGGCAGACGGAAGAAGAATGTACCTCAATTTGAGGCATGGTGTTGGTATTGCGATCGAGAATTTGAAGATGAAAAGGTTTTACTACAACATCAAAGGGCAAAACATTATAGATGTCCATATTGTCCTAGAAGGTTAAACACATCAGGAGGATTAACTGTTCATCTACATCAAGTTCATAAAGCAGAGCCAACAACAATAGAGAATGCATTACCTGGAAGAGAATCATTTGACATTGAAATTTATGGCATGGTCGGGATACCCGAAGCAGACTTGACTGAATGGCAAGAAAGAAAAGCCAAAAGAGGAGAAAATGGAGCACAAGGAAGGGTTGGCAATGGCGGAACAGGAATACAAAGACCTAAGATTGATAAAGGTGTTATAAGCAGAGAACAATTGCGGATACAGCTGGAAGCACACAAAGCCCTTATGAGCGGCAAAGCACCTCCGCCTGGAACAGCACAAGCTTTGTTCGGATTCGCACCACCTCCGGCCATGGGCTTTCCACCAAATGTTCCTCCGCCGGGCTTCAATCCTAGTATTCCACCGCCTCCATTGATGTCTCAGAGACCACCACCGTTTAGTGGACCACCTCCCTCGCATGGTCAAGGAACACAGCCGTATGGAGGCCCACCACCTGGTTATCCTTATCCACCGCCGACCAATATTCCACCACTTTCGATGCAGTCAGGCCAGTACCCGCCCAGTAATCACAGCATGCCATCAGTGAACCCTCATGAACAGGCTGTCAAACAAGAAGCAAAAAGCAGGGTAGTGTATTCCGATACAAATCTCAGTCCTGAAGAGAAATTAGCCTCGACAAGCAAATACGCCTACGTCGACCCTGAGGATGCACGATCATATCAAGGTCAACAAAACTTCTCTGTACCGCCGCCAGCACAAAGTTACCCGGCAGTTCAAGCTGATACGATCCCACCTTCAGCCAATCGGCAAAACAATACCGCTGAGGCTTTGGCAGCCGTCAATGAGAAGGTATCACAGCCGGCACATGGTGTAAAACGTGAGGCTGATATGGAATATATGCAATCACAGGCGAACGCAAAGCGAGCTCGTCCTTCGGATGAAGGTGATGGGTCGAGCAATACAAACACGCCACCATCCCGACCCGGCAGAGCAAGAGCGGCTGACCTTTTCTGAGTGAATAGTGTCAAATATACATATTTCGATTAGACGATCTTGACATTGTACTGTTACATAATTGTATAATTAGCAAATGAATTCGAATGGAACATAATTCCTAATTCTATACGAGCTTGGTAAGATCATCAATCGTCAGCGGGAATTGTGCGTAATTGAAGTCCATGAATTTCTTTGATGATATCCTTCAAGGCAGCATTGACTAATCTATGTGCTTTTACGGTTGTGATTCCTTTGAATTTTGAAGAAACAATAACGATTGAATAAAACGATCCACATCCTCCACTGACGTCCTGAACTTGCATTTGTTTTGGTGCGAATTCTTTTCTCAGGATGTCTTCGATATCTTTTTCTCCGCTCGTTTGTTCACGTTGTTCTTCTGCTTCTTCTTGTCTTCTGATTGCAGAGACGGAGAGGTTTCGTGAGTGAACAATCTGTGGATTTTGAACGTGGTGGAGGCTTGAGTTGGCGGCGGTAATTCGTTGAGTGAATGTGTGTACCGATCTGCAAACTGGCATACGAGCTGATTGTTGCCTTGTCAAGCTTCTTAGACCGCTACACCTTACTGCTCTGTTGATCATTATCATGTTTGCATTCATTTTGTGTAGATGATGTATGCAAAGAAAGTGCATATTTTAGTAATCTGTTCCCTTCTTCACTCTCTCGGATATAAATAATAATCGCACGCACGCTTATTGGGTTAATCACTTTGTCCCGTTATCCGTTTGTGGAACATCCTCTTCCGGCCAAGCGCCGCACGCCTTAAGCAATGCATGACTCTGTTTAATTTTTAATTTCATTCAACGCCGATAAAAATTATATTTTGTGGTCGGGTGACAGGAACGCATACATCCTATCTTGCTTTGCATCAACATCAGATAGAATGAGTCAACCAAATGGTACAAATGGTGCTTCTACAGCAGACGGAAGATCATTCTTTAACAGCTTTTTCGCTTCTGCGTTAGATGTTGCAAATTTGGACGATCCTTCTTTGAAAGCAAACCCACAAAATAGCAATGGATCATCTTCTTCTGCAACACAAGCACAAACACTAGATTGTGGAAGAGATCCAGGACCCAGTACAGAAGAGATGGAGGAATATGTCAGAAAAGCAAACGAAAAAGGCGTTTCTATACCCAAAAGACAACCTGCCAGAGCTAATAGACCAGAAGAAGATCCAAACGCATTACCAGCCTCTTTGGACAAGAGATTACAGCTGAACAACAATGGTGAAAATCCAGTAGATGATACGAAAGCATCTTTCGAAGAAGCGATCGAGAGAAGGTTAGCTGCTACGATGAGTTCATCTTTGCACGTTCACGATGCATCCACTTCCGCTTTGGATGGAGCAAGTGATGATGAACATGAAGTTCGTCCATCTTCCAGACAAACGGCAAGAGGCATTCAGCCAATGTCAAGAGTTGGAAGTACAACAGCCAGTGGTGCAAGAACGCCAGTGATGGATAAAGATGGCTTAGGTTTCCCAGCAAAAGGTTCTCTTACCCGATTGCACTCCACACCGATTGAAACAGCACAAACGACGGCAAGATTATCAGCCGCTGTTAAAACGATCCTTGAATGCTTAGGTGAAGATCCTGAGCGGGAAGGACTTAAACGTACACCAGAGAGATATGCTAAGGCACTGCTATGGATGACAAGAGGGTATGAAGAAAGACTGACGGATGTGATTGCAAACGCAATCTTTGACGAACAACACGAGGAAATGGTCATTGTTCGAAATATTGAAATCTCAAGTTTGTGCGAGCATCACTTAGTACCGTTCAGAGGCAAGATCCATATAGGATACCTACCCAACAGACTCGTCATCGGTCTGTCTAAATTGGCAAGAATTGCTGAAATGTTTGCCAGACGATTACAGGTACAAGAACGATTGACAAAACAAGTTGCCTTGGCCTTGGATGAAGCAATTCAACCTCAAGGCGTGGCAGTAGTGGTAGAATGCGAGCATATGTGTATGGCAATGAGAGGTGTTCAAAAGCCAGGCACGACTACGGTGACCAGTTGTATGTTAGGTGCATTCCGAGATCGTGCAAAGACTCGACAAGAGTTCCTCTCGTTGATTGGAATGGGACGGTGAATAGATCTGTTCTCCTTCTATACAATTCCTGTCTCGTATTCGTCGCACTACTGTACCGCACTTGCATAATTTGTTACATTGCATCATGATTCTTTTACTGAAGATGTGGTAGAGGCTGATAATACGCGCCATTGTGGAAGCAAATCAAATGACACGCTGCCCAGTCTCTTCCTAGCAAAGATTGCCATTCCTATACGGTCAACTCGATGAAAGATTCCCATGAATGGAAACCCATATCGCAAAAATGACAAATTGTTGAGTAAACATTCATCACCTTCTTTTGTACGATACTGATCGAGATAGCCGATGGTCGAAAGGAAAGTTGGAAGGAATTGATATTTTGCATTTTGACCTTTCGATTTCTTAAGGCGCGTTGGCTCTCGGCACGTGTAATTGTCCGCCAAAAAAAAGTTTATAAAATTCTTAAAATAATTCTTAATGCATGCATCCTCATTCACACTGCCTGAACACCATCAGAAGGATCGAAAATATCTCCTTTTACGACTTTGCTATCGACCAGATCATACCCACCAAATCAAGGCAAACTACAGTATACACAAGATGGCTAAGGGTCTAAGAGCTTCATCCAAGGTAAAAGCACGAAATGCTCGTCGTTATACACCCGGAACGGATTACCAAGTGATCCATGCTGCCCGTCTGAACTCAATCTCTCAAAGATTGATGTCTAGGATGAACCAAGGAGATGATGAGAGGACAGAAAGTGCAGAAGATAAAGATTCAACAAAAGCGCAAGATGCAACTACTGCTCAATCAGGTGAGTGTGCTGTGTGTTCCAATTGTAGAAAAGCGAATGCTGACATTTTGCTCCCTTCCTTCCCACCAGATGTCCAAACGAACAAGGTGGATTCCATGCAGACTGACGAGGAAAAGAAGGAAGCTGCTCCAGAAAAGAAGATTTCAACATCCGGTCCGCGCAACAATCGTAGAGAACAATGGCGTAAAGCACGTGGATGGTCAGCCAAAAAGACCGGTACACAAAAAGGAGTCAAAGGCAAACGTAGAAGATGAACATCGTACCCGTTCATCAATTCATTCATTTGTATTTTTAGGCAATTTTGCGAGTTTCATTCATGATAAATGTCAAAACAAAAAGGATATGATTGAGAGTTGTGATTGAAAAAAAAGGATATACATCTGAATTGGTCCGGGGTACAAGTACAATGGGTATATGAGGTAACCAAAAATGAGAAAAAGATTAAACGATACAGAATGAGAGAAGTGAGTATGTTGTTGTTGCTGCTAGTCCTAAAAACTCTAGTACATTTCACGGAAGAAGATGATCTTGTTCTGATCACCATCAACGACGTGTAATTCTCTATTGCCCCAAGCTTTATTTTGAGGTTTAGATAAAATTTTTGCATCGCCAAACGAATGCATTGGGAAATATTCATCAGTTCTTGGGGCGAACTTTGCCCATTGATCTTGCAATTCAGTAAACACTGCATCCACATCATTCACCATGATCCACAATGTTGTTGGAGGCGGCTTGATTCTTTCACCATTTTCGCCCATGGGAACGATACGTAAATACACTTGAACAGAATCGGCTGGTGCTTTTTTCAGTGTACCGCGAGATCTGCCCAAAGTGGTACTATTTGCCATGTGCGATGGGCTTCGTACCAACGATGCATGTGAAGAATCCGGTCTTCCTAGAACTGAAAAACCAAGAATGTCTTTGTAGAAAGAAGTTGCATTTTTGACATCAGCAACATACATGCACGGGATGGCACGTAAGTATACCGCCCTTGACGGTTGGACTTCGGGTGACTTCTTCACCTTTACCTGTGGTCGATCGAACGTCTCCGATTCTTCCCAGCTGTGTGAATCCGAATTGTATGAATTGATCGATGTTTCATTTTCAGTGGGTGCATGCGTTCTTTCCTTATCACTGATCGGTTGTGGGATTGGCCAAGGATTGCTTGCCTGTTCAGATGGTTTAGCCAAGGCTTTTTGAGCATCTGCTCTTGTAGCCGGTGCCACACCCTGGGTATCTACTCTTGCAGTGTTGCCTTTTGCAGTAGCACCGGGTTGTGCGTCATTTCCAAGGCCCATATTGGTAGACTTCGGTAACTTTGTAGCGTCTGAAACCAAATTGCCTCTTGCCCTTTGAATTGCTGCACTAAAGTCTGCCTTTTCTTCAGATGAGAGAGTCAGACGTAATTCAGGTCTTCTCCTCGTGAACAAAGTCCCAGAAGGCGAACGTGTGCGTGCAGGCGGACGTGCGATTGCCGATCCGGATGGAATGTCTGGAATGTGATTTGCTACTGCGATCATCTTCTTTTCTTCCGTAGAAGGGGATGTGTTTGTGTTTTGTTCTGAACCCAACAATGAGAAGCTGGTCTCCTGTGCGATTCTATCCAAGTTGTCTACTCTTGCTTCGACACCTTCTTGTTTGACTTGTAAAACGGGTGAAAGGGAAGTTGGCGTAGTTAGTGATTGATCGCTCGGAGTAGTTTGCATGATTGTTGCCAATGCGTTCAGTGGCAGGCAATATTCACGCGATCAATTCTCGAGTGAGTGATAATAAAGAGGGTGAATGATTGATCGAGGTGGTGGTGTTCATGATACGTGTTGATTGATCTGACGAGAAAGAGTGTGACTTATCAATCAATTTAAATTTTTTATCAATGCATCACAATCCCAGAGATCTCCACCAAAGTCAGCTGCTCAGCCCCATCCAAATGAACGACATGCCTAAGGGTGGCGTTCGGTCCGCGTATATGAGCAGTGTATAATTGAAGAGCTTCTTATCTTTTAAAACCGAAAATGTGCCTTAAAGACGGAAATATGCACGCATTAGAAGCTTAATTTATCGGTTTTGCCGTGTTGCTCAAACGCGTCCGTCGTACGAACGTTGTCAGTCTGCATTTCGTCCCAACATTCATTCGCACATTTACGGCCTTAATCGGTAATCTCTTCTATGTACGAGTGCGACCTGAACATACGCTAATCAACGCTAAGATAAAACCATTTGCGGAGAAGGAAGAGGGAATTTGTGGAGATCGTCATCACTATAACGTCATCTGTGAGAGCTGATCCATGAGAAAGATCTATTTTAAGGAACTAGATCGGCTCGGTGTACACTAGAATCTCAGCTCAGGTGAAACCCATATCAAAAGCATTTGCTTGGTAATATGTGCGATAAATACGATTGAATAAAAAAAAGCATTGGTGACAAAAATGTTGTGATGGTCCATGTGTATAAGATGTGCAAAAAAGATCGATATGAAATAAGAAAAAGCTAAAATAGAGCAGATGAAAGAACTGGCTTATCCTTTATGACAAGCAAAGACCATGACGTAAAAGTCAAAATATGGAAACATAGCAAAAGAAGAATGAAATCGAGAAAGAAGAAAAAAGAAAGACCCATGAATAGATGGTAAAAGTTGTTGCAGTGAATGATGCTACAATTATTGAAACCGTTGAGAGAGTTTGAGCATGATGTGATGAGACAGAAAATCGAGTAGAGAAATCTTTTTGTAGAATTTGGTTTTTGTTTTCTTTCTTGGTAACCTAGTGACCTTGTGGCGAGAATCTCCCTTTACTTTGTTGTGTTTGGCGTTTGGGTATGTTCACTTGTTGATGCGATACGAGAAGAAGACAAGGGACTATTTTGAGTTGGTGAATTAGGTGTATTTGTGCTCACGGATGACTTATTGATAGAATCCGCTTGGCGAACTGCTTCATCAAAATTTAAGATTTCAGCAGGCGTTTGGTTGATAATATCTGCGTAGCTGAAGAATGACAAACGCTTCTTGCCAGACATGACAGAAGGTGCTGTGTATTCCTCTGCTTTGTCCAAGGGTGTGTTGGACAATTTACCAGAGCGGCCGGTAAGTGGGCTCGATGGAGCATGATGTGCACTTGCGCTCGTCATACCAGCCACAGTTGGGCTTCTTGATGTATACGGGCTAGCTTCCACGCTACTGCTACCGAATAGGCCATGATGATGTCCGTCATCCAATGCAAGTCCGCGCAAACGCATAGAAGGTGAGTTCGCAACGCTATTGGCAGACGTTGGAGGTTGAGAAGCGATCACATCGGCCAAACTACCAAATGAAGCATCCATCGTTGCCGATTCAGAAGTTGGCATCACAGCTCCATCCATACTAACGCTTGGCAGCATTGATACACCTGCATCGGGAAGCAATAGTGCAGTTGTGGATGGCGATTGTGTACGATAAGGATTTGGCAAAGGCAAAGCAGGTAGAGCAGTCGCTGTTGGCAAAGTTGCACGTGGAGTACCGATATTTGCCAGACCACTCGAATGAGTTTCCGTACGAGCAGTATTGGCAATCGATTGCGCGGCTCCACTAACAGATCTTGGAGAAGCTTGATTGGCGGCCAAAACTTGTTGAACTCCAACGGCCAGAGGTGCTGCTGGAGAGCGAGAACGCATAGAAGATGAGCTACTAATACTGACATCGGAATTTGGACGACGATGACGAGACATTGCGCTTGCGCCTTCCTCATTACCAGACGCTGTTGCAGGCGTTGACGTTGTTGCTTTATGACCAGCAGCTAAACGCTCTGCAATTTGAGCGGCCATTGATCCCGGAGGTGGTTCCACTGCACCTACATTTGACATGGGAGGACTAGGCGACATATATGGCGAACTTGCAGAAGAGAATCCTTTGGTGCTAGATTGAGGCCGTGTATTCGAAGGTTGAGATTGTTGTTCATCCTGTTGAATCAATTTTGATTGACTATGACTATGTGCGTTCAATGCTTGTGCACTCAGAGCAAGAGGAGGCAAGACGGCGTGCGGTGCCACAATTTCCAATTGATCGGCAACATCACTATGAATCGCTTCAACTGCATCATCCAAAACGGGTGGAATAGCAACATCAATAGCTTCTTGTTTGCTAAGGATATGTGTAGCATCTCGATGTTCGATATCACGCTCAAAGATGCTCGATCCATTGCCAAAACCAGAAGGTGCGTCATCCGCCACGCCCGAAGAAACTCTTGGAGATAAACCTAAGCCCATTGCACCAGCGCTTGCTCGATTTGCGCTTTTACGATTAGGAGAAGCGAATCGGTCTGGTGAGGGTGGACGAGTGGTAGGTCGTGACAATCTCCTATGAGCAGCAAAGTTTGAAGTGTTTGTCGAATTGGGAGACATACCACTGGATGCAAACATGAAACCTTGCAATTCTTCCGCAGGGCTTTGAGCAGGTGGATGAGCAAATAATTTGGACAAAGTAGAAGCCTCTTTGGGATCGGTCGGCAATCCGTGCGCGGATGGAAGTTGACCATGTGGAAGAGTGAGATGTGATGCACTGTGTGAGCTTGAATGACCGCCCAAACGAGGTGTAGAAGGACCAATTCTGCTTCCGCTGGCCGAATGAGAAGGATGTATTGAGGAACCCATAGTTTGCATTGTAGCACCCGAAGCCGAGAGCGCTCTGCCAAAAGCTGGTCTTGGAGAACTTCTGGTTGGAGTAGCAGATGCCACAGCTGCACGAGGAGTGTCCAATCGAGCTTGCTGATGTTCAAGCTGTTGTTGAAGTTGAGCGATACTCGTTTGCGGTAATGATCCCAGTGACATTGGCTTGTTGGATGGTAAGACGCCCGCGCCTGTACCACCTAGATGTAAGTCAGAACCTTGTTTGATGGTTGCAAATGGATCGTTGGACGGTGAAGAGGCAACAATTGAGATTTGATTGGAAAGTCGATTGGTTGGACTGCCAGGACCGGGAGAATTGGGTGCGGGACTGGTTGCCCCTGTTGCATCACTACGATATTCATATTCCGCCGTATCTGGATTTGAAAAGACATCATCCCCGTCTTCCTCTGCAGCAAGTAGAGGATCATCGTGCGAGCCAATTCGGGCATGTTGCTCTCCAATTCTTGCATTTATTGCTGTCGCACGAGCAGCAGAAGCAGACGTAGCAACAGTCCCTGATTGAACCATATTTGCTATAGATAGGGGGGCTTGTAAATATGAAGAGCCACTTAGGATAGCAAATTAAATGAAACGACAATCAAAGAATGCAATGATTTACAGTTCCAGGTCGATCATTCAATTCGTCTTGCCCGAGAACGTGTCGAGATTGATATCCTGTAGATACTGTCAGGCAAATCTTTCAAGGTGATGGCGATGAGATGCTTTGTGAAGAAAAGAAGGCAATGAAGTTTGTTGTTGTATTGTGAGGGGAGAAACGTTTAGCACAGCCTTTTGGTATGGCCGGCCATTCGATGGTATAAGAGGTGATGGTTGAAGTTTGCTAAAGATCCGATGCCCGCTGAGACAAGTATTCTGTCATCCTTGCCGTTTTGATCGAAAACTTGATCCGTACAGCCAACCAGTCACTGTGCAACTCACTCAAACTGGGGGGGTTAAAAATTAAAGTGTGTATGCAAATCAGTCGTTTGAGAAAATTTGGCATTACACAGACCGTGTGCCCAACACGTAAATCAATTTTAAAATGGGGGACTGCTGGTATGCCGTCTGCCTGCCTAGAAATAGACGTAATTCTCCCCCCTTTTTATTCGCCGCGAATCTGTTCAAGCTTTTGAATGCACGCAAGAGGCTTGCGTTTTCAAACATACGGCTTGCTCTTCCGAGTGGAAATAATGATGATGATGATGCATCATATTCATAAAAAAAGGATTTGTTTATTTTGATTAATGGATCTCTCAAAATAGTAACATTCACAAGGGCTCAATCAGAAACCTTCTAACGCTAAGATTGACATTGAGAGGGTTTGTGTATTGGTATGTTTGATGCTTTTGAACAAGTGGCCCCCTTTCAACATTTCACCAAGGGGCTATGATGAGCACAGCTCGATGATTGGCGGCATTCAACAAGGCCTGAGCAGCTAAATTGATCATCGCTCCACCCGGTCCTCCACTGTATGTGTACATGTTGATTTGCTCATTTGGTCATCATGCCATATTCTTAGCCGAAGCTCACATAGATCTATATGTGTCATTGCATTTTTGGCCGAGAATCTTATGGACTTTTCAGATAGGGACCAGTTACGCGGATTGCCGCCGCTCGCGCCCGCTTCTATTTTTGTAGGCCGTGCAAGGAGTTTTTCTCTCGACAAAGACGTATAACGCGTGCCTGTCTGCCTTCCTGACTGCCTTTTTAAGAGCTGCATGAAAACCTTAGATTGGCATGTACATACAGTACAACACATGGAAATCGCCGATGAAAAGGTAGGGACGTCTTGTGATTTAATCCAAAGGGTAGAAAATGTCAATAAAGTTTGATCCGTGTTCCTGAATACGTTCAGGCATCATCATACATACCCCAATAGAAGGCGGCTTTGCAATCCCGTACATACTCTTCCGCCGCTTCTACGGAAAGCCACACAGCATTTCAATTGCTCGTTCCTGATTTACCTTTTGAACTTTGTCCTTTTTCCTTCTTCTTGGAAGAGGATCCTTTCTTGAATGATTTCTGTTTTGCCATTTGTTTCGAAGAATCATAACACATTTTATTATAACATCCAATGCAACTATCATTGTACTTCTTGGCAAGCTGCATTTAGAGAAAAATTAGAGAGAATATATGCACTTTTATTGCCTTTCTCACTTACCGCACTCGTACAATGCTTGTCTAATGAACATGCTATCTTCTGAGGCGTGGGAAAATGTGAACTTTGTAGATGCCACGACGGCAAACGTCCTTCTATGTACCCACGTTACATTCTTTGTATTCACGTTTGATCAAGGTGACATCGGGAATGAAATGCATTCGCATCGCAAACTCTTGACGACGTTCAACAAGGTTGCTTTTCGCAAAATCAACGGTCAAAAGAGCTTGCAGGAGTAGGATGTAAAGTGATTTTATGACATCCATAGAGATGATGGGAAAGTGTAGGGAAGAAAAAGAAGATGAAAGAGAGCACCGCAATTGAATATCTACAGATGCTCTTCGTAGCACAGCCATTGATCTCAGGGCAGTGTTGGCAGGCAAAGGCAACTGAAACGGAATCGATTGAAAGAAGCATACAAAAGAGAAAGAGTGACAATAACAAAACCATGAAAGAGACAAAACAGTAGAGAATCTAGTATGATACATAAACAGCCAAATCAAGGCCTCTTCGCTTGCTCGTCTTAGACATGATTTCCCGAAACGAGTCGAAGGATTTGGGAACAAAGCTGTGCATCACCATTGCTGAACTTTGCTTCTTGATCTGCTGTAGGATTGACGAGCTTGGAATATTCTACAATCTCACTCGATTGACGAATGAGAGCACGTAATTGTTGTGGCAAAGCTTCTAATCTGGCTTCATCGAATTTATCTTGATTTTTGCCTTCCAAGCCGTGAACGATGATCTTTGAAAGTTTTCCTTCGCTTTTGCCTCCTTCTGATTGCAAATAGAATGTGGAAATGTGCTTCGTCGTTTGTCCACCTAACATCTCAAACGTTCTCTTTGCTTCATCAGAACACATTGCAACGATTCTGGATTGTTCCACCGTGGCACGTAAGTTTGTCCAGTTATTCAAATCTTGGACAGGTACAATGTGCCCAACGTGTGTAATCAAGATGTTAGGTGTTATAAGTGCATGACCAAGGCTTTCGCTTTGAATGCTACCATTTTGATCATAAGTGGTAATGACGTGTGCCAAAATCAATCGATTACGATCAATTCCTTCACTAATTGACATTTTGAACTCATTCACTTCGTCTACGTCCCAACTTGGTCTTCTTGACATTGACACATCGGAGAACGTTGCACTTATGTCCGATTCTGTGGCTGATGAGCTAAAAATGCTTTCGGAATAACCCGGTAACGAGCCAACAGTTGGATTGCCTAACGTAAGAGCTGTCAAGCTTTGATGTAATTCCATTCCTTCGTCAAGATTCATTGATGGTGTCAAGGTAGAAGGTGAAGAAGGCGTAAGACCTAATAAATTTGCTGCTTGGATCACTTTACCATTCAATGTTGGTGACAATTGAGCTTTGCTGATTGGGACACGACCATCACGTAAATTCAACAGAGAAGGTCTTGATGTCAATGCAGCATTTGCACTACTACGTTTACGACGAAGAGTTTTATTATTTGGAAGTGATTTGATCGGTGATGAATGATTGGATAAAGCTTGAGGTGGTTGCAAGCCATTTGAATCGAAAGAAACATCACCAGAATCGGAAAGAGTATCGATTTGACTCATTGTGTGAGAGAGAGCTGATTGATTGTGAAGAAAGGATTGAAAGAAAGGATATCTTAAATACCTTTCGAAAGGGACCTCTTTGTTTGATAGAGTCCGTGCTTCTCTTTCAAAAAATATAATCAAGGCGCCGTACCTTCTTTGAAAGTCAGATTAGGGCGGAAGCCGTTGAAAAGGCTGATACTCTCGGTTCGCCTTTCTCTTGATCGACAAATCACATAAATTGAAAAAGGAAAAGCAGGTACCGGGCTCGTTACTCCAGAAAAAATGATCAACAAAAATGAAAGATCACGCCTTTGGTTGAAAATGAAGAAAAGTTATGGTCTTCATCTGTTGAGGTCTTTGCCCGGATGAAGTATCGGTATAAAAGTGAATTCCATTTGTTTGTTTATTTACTCTCTTTCTCTTGCTTTGATTAGGGGCATGACATGACGGAAGGTCCGTGTCATAATGATCAACGGACAAGACTCTTTATCCTAGCACCATGCATCATGCACCTTTAGCTTCAACTTTCAATAAATTTTCCGTTGCTGTGCATCATCACATTATACGCCCTGCTATAATTTGCGCCGGATTTAAGAACTGCTAATTGATGTGATTTGTGGCTTATTCACATCATATCATTACCATTAAAATCACACAAAATAAATGAAAATCGACTCTGAATACGGGCTCCTCTCCAACTTCCTAACCTTTTTCGGAGCTTTTTAGTAAGAAGTGCAGAAAAAAAGACTAAAATAACTTTAACATGAGTTTACCGAGTGTTAAAACGTGTACGCTTGCAGAATGGGCCACTTAGGGTTAGGATCTATAGATCCTAACCCTAAGTGGGTTTTATACAAATTCGGTGAACCCCTTTTTGGGTGATGGTTGATAATGACTCGAAGGCCAAAGTAAACAATGAACCTTATCTTTGGTCCAGCTTACGCTGCGCATAAGCCTCAATTACCATTCCGAGCCCGATCTTGTTTCAAGAAATGCTGTGATGAAAGCTGTTCAGGACCCTTGCATACGAACCATGTACTGCATCCGCTAAATCCGTTACCCGTACAAAAACACACCATACAAGTTACCATGTATGATGTACTGGTTTTTTAATCTATGTGCAGATTGCATATAATGCACTATGATACATGTGTTCACTTTCGATAGTTTGTAACTTTATTATAAAAACCAGCCTATCCTGACTCCTCACTTCCTAGTCGGATAAGTTGACAAAAGTCATGCATAATCTTGTCAACTTGAGAAGAAGACCATAAAGCATTATCCCATTTGATACCAAGATGTAATGCATCCGACTTTGGATCGGATTGAATATCGATTTGCACATTAGCGTATGCGTCAATGGATCCGCTAGATCTTTCAAACTTGCTATCCGTCTTTTCATATGGTCTAGTCAAAAGATCTTCAATCATTGTGAAAGCCGATTCTTCTTCTTTTTGGTTCAATGAACGGTCACCTTGATGCCACAACAAATTCAAAGTACTATTCCAAGGAATCACGTCATTTTCAGTCCAATCCAAAACATCTTTGATCGAAGTGAAACTGTCCAAATGACTATGTTCATCCAATTGAGTTTTGATCTGATTCGCCAAGCGCAACAAGACACTCTTTGACGTATCGTACAAACAACGATTTGTCTCTTCCATTGATGCGACCACTGGCACAATATTCGTAAGATTGCCCGTCATCCTTTCGATACCGTCGAATGACTCATTTCTTCCAGTCAGATAAAGTCCAAATGTAGATGTCTTTGCGTTTGAAGGTTCGCAAATGAAAGTCAACATTGTTGCCCAAGATGCCATGATCAGTGCTGGTAGTCCGCCATAACTACCGTTCAGTCTTTTCTCCCTTCTACGGACATTCGTCACTGCATTCTGTATAAACATGAATGATTTACCATCACCGACTGAACGAGAAGGTATTCTGGCTACCGGTTGACCATTCAAAAGCTTTTTCCAATAATCTTGCGCCGCACCGACAAGCTTCCTGCGTTGTTGCGTAACGTGTCGAACATATGCTGTATAATCCGGCACATCATTTAACGTTCCCTCGTCGTAGAGTCTGCCAAGGTCTTCCATCAATATTGGAAGTGACCAAGCATCGTAAAGGGCGTGATGTAATCGTAGCAGAAGCACGTCGCCTTCGGGGCTGTGAACTAAACTCAATCCTGCGGGACACAGTCCAGGTTGAAGAGGAACTCGAAAGTCTGCAGTAAAGCAATTTAGACCATTCTCTTTGATTGCCTTCATGAACGGCTTTTGGATGGTGTGGGTATCGATCTTGCTCGGCGAAGTCGAATCAGGGTTTGAGACAATTTGATCCCATTTGATTGCGCTGTCATCTTCGGCAAAGAATGACGTTCGTAGAATCGAATGTCGATTTTGTAATTCATACCAAGCTTTCTGTAGTCGCTCAAGGCTAAGCTTAGCACCATTTCTATACTGGTAAGCAAATATGTATAAACCAGTCTCACCGCCTTGGATCAGTTCGAAGAATTGACCGGGTAAGATTGGCAAAGATGCTTCGATATCTTTAGCACTTTGACCTGTTTGTTCAGCGATTGAAGCGATACGGGATTTCTCTTCTCCCATCTTTTGCAACTCTCCGTTCGATGTGGCCTTTTCTGACCCATCTTCCCGTGATTGCATCTTTGCCATGATGCCATCGACTGTTCTGCCTTGATTGATATCTGCGACGCCAATTTTAATACCCTTCTTTCTCAAACGAGTAGCAAGGTGCATCGACGCAATCGAATCCAATCCAATGCCTGAAAGGATAGTCTGCGAAGAGATAGAGGCGGCGTTGATCTGTAAGACCGCACCGATCGTATCAAACATCAGAGTCTGTATGGGCGATTTGCCAACCCTCTCCAGAGAAATTTGCTTGCCGTCCAATATAGGACTTTGCTTCGTGTTAATTTCGATCAATCCAGAGCGCAGTCCCGCGAGAGAGTTGAAATGACTGGGCATTTCAGTAGATATCGCATCTGCATTCTGCATAATGAATTCTAAAATACTCTCGAAATCCTTGGCAGTCTCTGATAGCTGCAACTTGCTGAAGCACTCCTTATGCGCTTTGACAACTAAGGAGAACCTGTCTCCTTGTTGAACGAATTCGACATTCAAAGCATACTGTCCAGCATCGAAATCGTTATCCTCAAGATCCTGAAGCAAGATGAGGTTGTTATCCTGAATGATCGGCTGATCTATCAATACTTGCATGTTGAATAAAGCATCAATCTTGCAGGGGTTCCCTCTGCTCCTGATCAAGCCACGTTGTATATCAGCCAAAGAAGCATTACGATACTCTCGTCCTTGATCAACCTCACTCTGCAGCCGCTGCAATGCGTCAATATTTAATTCATCCTCTCGAATTTGTATTGATGTCAAAATCGTGTTGAAACATGGTCCGAAAATCTTGTCTGACCCTTCCAGTTCTGTGTTGTTCCGCAAACTGAATATTTCAGCAAATGTGACACAGAGTTGACCAGTGAGCTTTGCTAATAATTTTGCGTACGAGTAGAGTGCAATGGTATGAACCGAGACACTGATGTCTCTTGCAAATCGTGCCAAATATTTCGGCTGTATACTCATATCACTTGATATACTGTGCGAGTCTAGACTGCGTGAAGCAGACTTAGGGAAAAGCGAATCTTGCCTGTTCAGTAGCCTTTGCACCCAAAAGTCAGCAGCTTGAGGCGAGGGTAAGAGAGTCGGCAAAATGTCACGGTATTGAGGTCCTACTTTATGAATCATTCGACTTCCCACCAATTGTTTCAAATCCCTTATCAACATTCCCAACGATTCTCCATCATACAATGCATGATGCAAGGTCAGAATCAAATGTGAGTCTTTCTCTCCCTTGATGATGGAAACGAGGAAGGGACCGCTTTCCAGACCATGCTCCTCTGCCAACATTATTCGATGTTGCTTTTGGATGCGTCGTATGCTGTTTTGTTCTGACACATGTTGTTCCTTTTCAACGAGATCTATGTGCATTGCTGCATCTTGACGAATTATCTGAACAAATTGTCCATCTACCAAATGGAATGATGACCGCAGCACTTCGTGGTGCTTGTGCAACACTGCCACAGCATTTTGAACCCGCTCTGAAAGCTCTGACTCAAATCGGAATGCTTGATGAAGGAGGTAAAGCGAACCTTCTTTGACGAGAGATTCCAACAACATACCGTTTTGCAGCGGAGTACACGGGAAAGCTTCAAAATTGCCATCTTGACCTAATCGTTTCTGCAGCTCGTCTGGCAGCGTCACTCTGACATCATCTTTCATTTCACTGTTTGTCATATGACTTTTTTCAATACTTGCTGCAATTGAAGCAACCGTGGGAGATGCAAAAATTACTTGAGCCCGGATGCCTTTCACACCGCGATCACGCAAAAATCGTGCCAAGCGAAGTCCCGAAATACTATCTATTCCGAAACGATAAAGTGATGTTTGACGTCCGATTTCTGACTCGCTCACACCAGCAAATTCTGCGATCAGGCTTCGCAATCGTGCCTCGGTCTTTGTCATTGGCTTTTCAGCCACTGTAGATTGTGTGTTGCTAGCTGCATGTCCAAAAGAATTTGGTTCTAGTGTCGCATAGAAAGCCTTCAGTCTTCGAGTATCGACTTTATTATTTGGTGTCAAGGGCAATGACGCTGAAGCAAGAATAAAGCAATGTTGCGGTACCATGTAAGCAGGCAAGCTTTGTGACAGACTTGTCAAACACTGTTGTGAAAGCTCAGCCGACTGTCTTTCATTCTTCAACAGAACAATCTGATCAGAGAAATCTTGACTTCCATTCAACAATCCAGTATTAGCAGTCAAAAACGCTACCAACTGATGAGACCGGATTTTAGGATGTTCCAAATACAAAACGCTTGCATTTGTGATTCCTTTTTGCCGCTTTAATGCAACTTCTATCTCTTCCAACTCTACTCTTTGCGAATTGATCTTCACTTGACCGTCACCTTCTATGCGTCCATGACATTCAATACTGCCATCGCTCAAAATTCTGCCTCGGTCTCCGGTGCGGTAAAGCCGTACTTTGCCTTCTCTTTGCCCTGGAATGAGCACATCGATAAACTTCTCCGCAGTCAACGTCGGATTGCCGTAATATCCATTGGCTAGTTGAGGACCTCCGACTGCAATTTCACCGATACAGCCACGTGGAAGAATTGCTTGGGAATCGGGCTGTAGGATATACAGTGAACTTGTCGGATAAGCATAACCGATCCAATTTCTATTTCTACCTTGCTCGACGAAGCCCAACGTATTTCCAATCGTTGCTTCCGTAGGACCCCATGCATTAATCAAACCTGTCGTACTCCAGGCATCAATCACTCGTTGATCCATCTGTTCGCCTCCACTCATAAGCCATTCCAATTTGGGCAAATTCGATGGATGAACTGTGGTGGCCAAAGCTGCTGGCAGATCTGCCATTGTAAGCTGTAATCGATGGAAAGTTTTCTCAAGATCATCAAGAAGGATTTCTTTTGGTGCTGAAGCAAAAGAGAAGCCCAATGCTAAGGGCATACACACCTCTATCAAGAACACATCAAAGCCAGGCGATGCTAATTGGAGCATACGTGATTTGCCTAGTGTATGTGGTAAGATTTCCTTCCATGATCTCAAAGCAGCAGCCAATGCACGATGCGAGATTTCTACACCTTTCGGTTTGCCACTAGAGCCTGATGTAAACATGATGTAAGCCAGATCATCAAGAGCTCTAGGCTTCAATGCGTTGCCCTGGTGATTGAATGCTTTGGAGCAGGCTTCAGAATAGGGAATGATACTTGACGACTTGAACAGGGAATGAACGGTGCTTTTATCTAACACTACCACGGTACTTGGCTTTGTGACCGAAACGATGTAGTCCAACCTATCTGCGGGTAGCTTCGGATCCAATGGCAAGTATGTTTTACCAGCTTTCCATATACCCACAAGCAGCGAATAAACTTCTGCACATTGTGACATATGAACACCAACAATGTCACCTGGAAATGCATTTAAGTTAGAAGCGATGATATCACTTACTTTGTTTAGCTCGTCATATGTGCAGGTCTGAGCGAGATCCTCCAATTTCTCCGTGAATGCAAATGCTACTTCTTGCGGTCGAAGATCGACTTGCTCCGAGAACATATCAACAAAATGTTTGAATGTGACCTTGTCCGCATCTAGATTTTGAATGGACAATTCTTCTGTTGCTAGGTCTACATTGCCCCCGATTTGTTTCCCACGATTCAAGACTGAGTCCAACTGCGCAATGAACAGCTCAACTTGCCGATGAGGGATGAAAGTAGTATTGAACGCTATCAAGACCTCGACTTCATCCCGTTCTAAATCCAAGGCTACCTCAATCGCAAAGGGATATTCCGTGAGCATGTTGGAATGAATCTCTTCGAAAGCCTTTTGTTCCTTTTCCGCTATTGTGCCAGAGAAGGAGAACAGAGTGTTGAAAAGCCCATTTGGTGCCTCGAAGTGACGAGCAAGATCTGCAAGGGAAACATGCTGATATTGCAATGCTTGAGCGTAAGAGTGTCGTACCTGCTGAATCGCATCATCCTCTTTCTCATGTTTGTATCGGAATGGGACAGTATTGACGCATGGCCCATGAACGATTTCGGTTTCACTGGACCGTCCATTCAACACGAGGCCAATAGTCACATCTGACTCTCCAACATATTTTGAGTATAGCTCAGCAAAGGCATGTAAGATCAGCATTGCAACCGTTGCTTTCTTTTCTTTAGCTTGAAGTTGTATATTGCTTAGGGGCGTCTTTAGTCTTGATCGAACTTGGTCAAATTCTTGCTGCTGCTGGTTGATTTGATAGCCGGTCAAGCAAGGGAAGAAGTTGGTACTGCAACCATGTAAAGCACTTTGCCAATATTGCAAACGGTCCTCCATCTTGACCTCTTCGACATCTTCCAGAATGCCAGCAAAGTTTGTGCTGTTGACTCTTATAGCGCCCTCAACCGATGCGAGATAGAGGCTCAGCTCTTCAAAAAGTGCGTTGAGAGATACACCATCATAGAGAGCATGATGGATCACGAAATCCAAATATATGTCCTGTGATTGACTTTCTTGGATTATCCGATATCTCAGTGGCGAGCAACAATGCATATTTTCTGCTAGGCTCCTGACCGCAGCCTCTTCCCACTCTTCGTCTTCCTTGATATTTACCTCATTCAGGTCACTCGCGTCCAAGACAGCTTGCACAATCTGATCATCAGCTTCTACGAAAGCTGTGCGATAGATCGAATGTCTCGAGAGAATACTTTGGAAAGCCTCCTTGACTTTCTTAGCTGAGCCGACTTGAACGCTCGATGCTTTGAATCGTGAAACATTTACGTATCGCGGACGGAAATTTTCGTTCGGCGTCTCTTGCCATTGCTGAAATTCCAAAAGTGTTTGCGACACCATGGAAGCTTGTAGTGGTAAGCAGGGAAGCGCATACTCTACGTTCACATCCTTGCCCACGGCTTTTCGCGCAGCGACAGTCAAATGCTCCCAACGGCTTGAATTAGCCATCCTCTCAGATTCATGCCTCTTCAGCGATATCTTACAATGCTTTGCAATACCTTGCACAGAAGGATTGGCGATAGCATCACTGATATCAATTTGGAGGTCTGAACGATGTAATGCGCCGCACAATGCAATGATGTTAAGACTATCGAGACCGAGAGCGAATAAATCCGTTGACAGCTTCAACTTACTTTGCCCCACGTCAAACATGCGAGTTAGCTGACTCTTGACAATTTGCTCAACATCTGTCAAATCTCGCGAGAGTGATTCATTGTCACTTTGCGTGTCTTCCGAGTACACCTGGTCGATATCACCCTGTGAATTGTACCACGCAGTCAACCTTTTCACGTCAAATTTGCCCGAGATTGCAGCTAGCGGTATGTAATTTAGTGTCACAACAGTAGAAGGTACCATATAGGACGGCAAACTATCTCTGCATCGCTTGATGAGCCTGTTCTTAATTGTAAGACCATCTTTCGAATCTAGTTGTCGCATCTCATCAGACCGAGTGCTCGACGTTGACAAGGCGGCAAACATGACAATTTGGTGTTTGTGATTTGAATGAGAAAGGTAGCGCGTGATTGTGCGGATATCTTTCTCTTTTTGGCTAATGACATGATCAATTTCTCCAAGTTCAATCCGTACTCCACGTACTTTTACTTGAGTATCACCATGAATCCTACCAATGTATTCGATCGAATCGTCAGGCCACATGAATACTTCATCTCCTGTCCGATACAAGCGATGCTCTCGCCATTCTATAAAAGCGTTCGATACAATTTGACTCAAGTATTGACCTACTTGTAAACCAGCAATGCAAAGCTCGCCCGGTTCGCCTCTCATTGCAACGGACCAATCCAGTCCTTCTGAACGCTTTTTGAGAACTACGTACTGCGTACTTCCAAACGGTTTGCCGACATTTCCCGTAGAAAGATTTGGCCGGACTTTAGCGATAGATGTGCCAATACATGCCTCTGTAGGCCCATAAGCATTGAGAAGTGGCACGGAGGAAGAAGACCAGTTTGTCAGAATATCTTTCGGTAACCTCTCTCCTCCCACAATCAAGGCGCGGAGATTTGGTAGATCTGACGGCAGAACCCTGCGTCCTTCTATATAGAAGAGAGAGGGAACGACAGCCGCATGTGTCACTTCAAAATTTTGCATAGCCTTGCCCAAATCAGATAAGATCACATGCCGAGGGGCGGTAACGATCGTTGCGCCTGATTGCAAAGGTAAGAGTGTTTCCAATAAAGCCACATCAAACGATTCAATACTTCTGGCCAGAAATCGAACATCTTTGTCAAATGAACCTGGAGCAAATTCGTCATACACGCAACGAAAAGACGCCAGAGCTGCCGAAAGATTTTCATGGCTAAGTACGCAGCCTTTTGGAACACCGGTCGAACCTGAAGTAAACAAGATGTAAGCTGGATCCTGCATATTGACCTTTGGCATTTTTGTTTGGCAAGGCGTCTGCTGCCAATAGAGCTTGTTCATGCGTATAACTTGGACTTCATTACTTTCATCTGTCTGCTTAATCCAAGCCGTGTCTGTATGACAAAGGAGACATCTTGCTTTGCTTTCCCGCAGTAAAACCTCCTTGCGCTGATCGGGAAGTGCAACATCGATGGGCAAGTACACACAACCCGCTTGTAAAATTGCCAAAAGGGCGACGTAAGAATCAAATGATCTGGGTATAGTGACGGCTACGACTGATTTGGTAGGAACGTTTGCCAATAGAAGCTGTGCAAGCTTTTGTGATTTTTGTAAGAGTTGCGAATAGGACATCAAAGACGGTTGAAGGGGTCTCTCGATACGCTCATGAAATTCGACAGCAATACTGTCAGGATTTGTCTCACAATGTTGATAGAATCGGGTATAGCAAGGCAATTGACTTGCTTCAACAATTGATTCGGGTATTTGAAAACGGGAGATGGATTCTATGCGCCCATCCTTGCCCAGCTCTATCGATGAGAGGGGTGCATCTGGACACTTCACCAGCTGCAAGATCGCACTCTCTAGCTCATCGAGGAATTGTTCAGCTAGAGCGGTATCCACCATGCCTTTCTTTGTGTTTAGAACAATTGCTAGATTTCCAGTCTGGTCCACTTCCATTTCGATGGCTAAGCTATGCTCTACCGCAATGCCATAATTCCCTATCGCTTTGATAGCAGGCTCATGATCTGATGTCTCTATGTCAGCAGGAGGTTCGAAAGCGAAAACGGCATGAAATGTCTCTGACGTGCGTGGCAAATCAAGAATCTGTCGAATTTGCCCTAATGAAAAGTGAGCATGAGGTAAGGCTCCAATATGAAACTGGCTCACTTGATCCCAAATTGTTCTGGAAGTCGAGGCTGCATGGAGTGGGATAGGCACAGCCATTGTTGCCAGAATAGGCCCAACAACATTGTCCAAATGTGAGGATATGGCGCGCCCAGATACAACGTCACCTAACATGATTTGTTCTGTGTCACAGAGACGGCCAAGCACGAACGCAAGGGCAGTTTGCAGTATAGGTCGAGCAGATGTACCGAATTCTTGGGCCTTCTTCGCCAGATTTGCATACTTGATCGAGCTTATCGATCTCCTGCTCTCGATTGATGAGCCAAAATCATCAATCTCAAGCATAGAAAGTTTTGGTGGTGTGATCATCTCACCTTTCGGACATTGCGATAATAGGTCTTGCCAGGCTCGTTTGCGTTCGGCGATCGTGCTTTCGTCAAGATCAACGATGCTCGGAATGGCTTTTGAGAGTGGCTCAATGTCATCAATAGCAACTCCACACCATGCTTTGTCCAAGGCCTTGTCGATAAGCTGCAATGAAATTTGATCATAAAGAGCGTGATGAATATGCATGACAACTTTGCCTGCATGCTTGACATACGTGAATCCAGTAGGACATGTTTCATCTAGGATTTTTATATTGTGTACCCTTGCTGATTGCATAGCGATCACCTCTTCGTTAGCATCTACCGACTTTTGCAGCTCAAGCATCCTGACTTTGACATCCTTCAGCACAACCTGTGCAAAGTTGGTGCGGGGCAATGCATCTTTAACGATGAGTGCATGTCTATCGACGAAAGCAATTCGAAGAGCTTCTATTTGACACACGACCTTATTGACAGCTTCTTGTACCCGTCCAAAGTCATTCTTTTCTGGTAAAGAGTAGACCCGATGTAGCCAATATCTTGCTGGATCTTGCAGAGTCTCTGCGATCAATGATTCTTGCAAAGGTGTGCAAGGCAAGATTCGCTCGATTTGTACCTTTCCAAATAGTGAGGTGATAGTTGGGCGTAGAGCCTGATCAAAATTCTCGAGAACTTTGCATGCCTTATCCTCTTGCGATACGCTATTGATCGAGTTGCTCTGTATGCGAAGTGCAAGTTTCTCCAGTGTCGAATGGTTCAATATATCAACTACTGAAACTTGCATACCTATCGCATTAAGCTTCTTGGCCAGAGTGATTGCACGAATAGAGTCCAAGCCCATCTGCGGAAATGGTGTGTATCGACCCACCTTGCTCTCATCTATCAAGCAGATCGCTGCAATCTTTTCTCTCAAAATATCTTCACTTTGTAGAATTTCGCTGGGCTCCTCAGTTTCCTTACTTACAACAGCATTTGATGATGCAAGTCTGTTTTGCCAATCAAGTACATCGACCTCACGTAGTGCTGATTTGAGTGCCTCACGGTCGACCTTCGCACTAGATGTTTTGGGGAAGTGATTCACGATCAGAAATAGCGAAGGGACCATGTAGGTTGGCAAATGAGATTGGGCAAATTTTATAGCGGCAGATGCTATTTGAATGGCTTCCTCATCCAGACGTATAAGCTGCGCATCACTTCTCTCAATTGATGGAACAACAGAAAAATTGACAATTTGCGCTTCGGATGTGTCTTGATGTGCTCCTTCTGCAGAAATGAGAAGTGTCTCGCTATCCTTGATGGTTTCTACTGATGATCGTACGGTTGCATTAATTTCTAGAAGTTCAATACGGATTCCGTTGACCTTGACTTGATCATCCACTCTGCCAAGGTATTCAAATTCCCCATCATGAAGCTGTCTGACCATATCCCCAGTTTTGTATACTCGGCCCAAAGTTGGATGATGTTGAAACTTTTCATTCGTCTTAGCTTCATCGCCAATGTAGCCCAACGCACATTGAAATCCACCGAGGGCCAATTGACCTACTGCTCCCTTGATGACAAGATTATCTTCAGCATCGATTGCAAAGCAAGAAGTTGTGGGTAATGCTCTTCCAATATTAGGCGCTTTGACAACATCTTTTGATGGAACACGCCTGTTCATAGCAATTAAAGTGGCTTCTGCCGGTCCATACAAATTTAACAAACAACAATCTTCACTCCATATATCGGCCACTGTTTGACTCAACTTCTCACCGCCATTGATGACCACACTGAGAGAGGGTATAGATTCTCTCGGTGTCATGGCCATCACAGCTGGCGTGAGAAGGGTATGTGTTGCTTGGGTAGCATTGGCAACGCCTATCAGATCCGTCAATAATGTCGCTCGGGTGCTGGAAATTAGAGTACCGCCTAGGCCCCATGTGTAGAACATATCCAAGATCATCAGATCGAAATTGTACGCCGAAAATTGTAAATAACGAATCGATTTTTCATCGTCATGAGGAATGACTTCCTGCAGAGAACGCAAAGCTTGGACAGCAGCTTTGTGCTGGATCCCAACGGCCTTTGGTAAACCTGTGGTGCCACTTGTCCAAATCAGGTAAGCAAGATCATCTGAAGAGCTCCCGCGTGCGGTTCCATTCGAACCTTGAATAGCTTTTGAATCACGCAAATTTTCGAGATCGATCATCTCCATACCTTCAGGAAGATCTTCTAGTAGAGCTGCTTTGACTTTTTCTCCAGCTGACAATACGATTGAAGCACCAGATTTCGCCAAAAGTGCTTTTCGTCTTGCCGAAGGCCAATCCGTATCAATCGGACACCATGCTGCGCCAGCTTTGAGAACAGCAAGGATAGCAATGTAAGTCCAACGGCTCTTTTCCAAGAATAGGGCTACGACTTTGTGTCCTTCTTTTGCTTCTTTGTGGAACTTGATATGACTACGAACCGCTTGCTCGATTTGAGAGGCGGCTTCATTGACCTGTGAATAGGTCATTGATATGTTGCCTTGCTTCGCATCATGAGCAGCATAACTTGTGCTAGCCCGGAACTCCAGTGCGACATGATTCGGTTGTTTCTCTGCCATTTTCTCGAATTGGTATTCGAAGCGCTCTGTCTTGACATCACCCGAGATAATTTGCTTTGATGACAATTGAGCTTTTTCGTTGTCACTGGCCAGAAAGCGTCTATCAAAACGATTCGTAGAGAAGATTGGGGTATCGTCCTGATCTCCGGCATCGCATATACTCTTTAGCAATGCGTCTATTTGGCTCAGGTGCAGGTCGGCAGATTGAACTGTGTGATTGCGTGGCGAGGCTCTGGCACGGAGTAGAATCCGGCCTTGATCATGATGTTCCACAATGAGCATGAATGCTGCGTCTTTGAAGGAGTCGTGGTTTTCCACTGAGCCTGACTGGTTCTTGCTACAGAACAAGATTGCATTATCCGTGCCTGTTGTTGTTGAGTTGTCTGTCGTACCAAATCGCTTTGTTTGCTGAATGAGCGGTGCTAGTTGCAGAGTACGCCTTGATTGACGAGTGGTATCTAGTTGTTGCAGTGTAATTTGATCATCATCTTGACTCTTTACAGCGATTTGTGCACTGCATTCATCCTCCGGAGATAAGAGGTGCGTCAGGATCACGAGCGAGATTGCGATGATGACATCTTGATATGTGCGATCTGGGACCAATCTACCAGCTAATACATTTAGCTCTTGTAAGCTCACAGAAGAGACCTTTTGCGTTTGAACGTGTGTAGTGGATGTATGCCGATCGTGAGCAGTTGTACGGAGGCCGGTTAAATCCGGAAAAGGTATCAAATCGTATGCCATTATTGCTCAATTTAAAAAGCTTGTACCTAGCCACAAAAGCATAATACTACGGGAAAAGGAAAATAATCGAATCGTTAATGAGTGATGCTTGTCGTAATTGTCGTTATAATCGTGATCGTTCCCAGCAACTAAAGAATTGATTGAACTTGCGAAAATGATGCGTCTATCAGGCGTAAACTTGGTTGTTGAAGAAGAGCAAGGTTTGAGCACAATGAGAATCAACCTTTCAAAGCAAAAAATCCAAAATGAGAAGCAATCGAATGAATGACGAGAGAGAATGATGCAAAAGAAAGCTTAAATTTGGTAAGCACTTCTTCTGCGCCAAAAGTGTTGTACAAGATTAAAATCGCCTTGACATCTCCACCCGATCGGAGAAGGAAAAGATTACACACGCACAGGAGAACTGCATCAAAATGAAATCTTTTTTTTTCCGAGTGTAACTTTTTATCTTTTCTATTGGCGGAAGTCGCGCTAGTACTTTTCATACGCTAATCAAGCCTCTCTCTATGCAGGGGTCCAACTGATTTTTATCGCGCGGGTACATACAGAACATACCTTACCGTTACCGTTCACAACGCCCGATCGATCCAATACATAAGGCAACGGCCAAGAATCATACTCAATAATGACCTGGCCAAGAAAATCTACAATCATCTCAGACAACTCTTATCAATAGCTCGTCATCAATTTTGAAGTACTGTTGACGCCCCTTTTTGCCTTGGCGTTTCGTATGGGCTTTGCGTAACAATTTACGCCGATAATCTTTATCTGATTGATAAGATCATATCTCAAGCAAGCTGCAACACTTCATTGAACTTTTGATTGAATTGAAACAGCAATATATGAGTAAAATACGTGCAACGAACCTTTGAGAGAAAAATGTGCTGATGATGTACGAGAAAATGAGACTGATGTATGAATGAAAGAGGTAAAAAGGAAAAAAAGAAGATAATAAGAAAATTGTATATATATGTATGATTGCGCATTCACATTTGTTTTGACCAATATCTTCGTATTGCTTGCATATCCATCGGTGAATCATCAACGAATTTCTTTTGTTCAGGTGAGGCACGAACAGTTTTCGTTCCTGCATCTTCATTTTCGGATGAGATCGAATTAACATTGATCAATGGTGGTGCTTCAATAAAATCACGCTTTTGTGCAACTGGCGTTGCAGGTCCTTCATTACTACCGTTTGAATTTGTTGAATTGGCAAAAGATTGAATTGAGACTGTTCCTGCAGATGCATTAGAGGCAACTCTTGAATGAGGTGCAGCATTCGTTCTTGTCTTGGGCATCGCGCTGAAAAACTTTGCCGTTGATCCAGTCTTGGGTCTTGGGCGATCAAGAGCGCTAATACTGCCATTACTGCTGCTAGACCGTAAACGATCAGTTTGAGTCAACAAAGGCGAAGAGCCATGAATCGATCCACTACTCGTACTGGCTCCTAAACTACTTGCTGCAGACGAATAATCATCGCTCGGTCCAGAAGAATGTATAGAATCACGATCGCTCAAGAAGGTGTCTGTACCTGCTTGAGGAATTAATGGTGAAGGTGCCAAGCTTGAGCTGTGTGACATATTCGGATTAGCCCGTCCTGAATCACTTGCATTATCCTGCAGCAGAGAAGGATGGACTCGTGCTTTAGGTCCACTACCAAGACTTCCTTCACTGTTTAAGCTAAGACAATCCAACGATCCTGCAATAGATGCTTTGCGTTGACGAATGAATTGTGCAGCGATCGGCGAAGTAAACAAATCCGGATCATCTTCTTCCATGAGAGATTGAACAGGTGCCTTTTCAAGAGATAGGTAAGATTCTCCATTCGTCGCATTCTTTGATGCTTTTGGAGTTTTGACCGCTTGTAATGTCATCACACTACTTGTTGATTTGCGTTTGTCAGTCACAGTTGCTGTGCTCATTCGATTTGATGGTTCTGTCGGCAATCTGAGGCCCAAGTTGTTTGCCGGTGGAATGTATCGGTTGGTCACATTTGAATCTGTTGACCTTGACAATTTCGCATCCGCATTATCCAAATCAGGATCCATAGCAGGACATGATTGACCAAAGACCGTGTCACACTCTTCCACCATAGCTCGCATCAGTGGTACAGAAAGTGCCAATGTTGGTGCTAAGACCAAGCACAGATTTGACAACGGCATTCTTGTCCTTTCAATCACCTCAGGTCTGGTTAAATCGGCCAAATGCATGGATAATTCACGTAGAAGGTACCAATTCGCAGCCGGTAATTGAGACATTGTCCCAAGAATTGCATTGGCAATCTTTCCTCCCATATTGGCCTGATCTTGTGGTGAAGAATTCGCTCCTGAGGCTGCCACTTTAATCGCCATTGCTTGTTCTAGTTCTCCCTTACCGATTCCATTCGGATTTGGAACGCCAGGAAGAAGCGGTGGCCCAACTGCTTGAATACCACATTGTTTCGCAACGTTTGCATTCATTTCCGCAGCTTGTTCTTCCGGAATAAGATTGTCCGGTAATTCTCTCAAATAAGATTTCAAAAGACTGCAAACGCTATTCAGATCCAAATCTGCCGGTCCAATATCGGCCAAACGTAAATCTGCCGCTTTTTGCGCACCGATCGATTTCGGCAACGGAGCATCGAAGATTTGCCGTAATTTGGTCGTATGTGTCGATCTGCCAGAGAGTCGATAAATACCTTCTTCATCAATACCAAACGATTCGATCGCCTCAATGCATCGCACCACAAGACCTGGCAGGTACCTTAATCGAGCCTCTCCACGGTCAACTGCCCTTCGTTCAAAGAATTCCTGTTTCTTGTATGTATCAATTGGCGAAGGTGTCTTGAGGCCTGGTAGATCGATCTTGAATTCTGATCCTAGATCAAGCGCTGTGATTTGCGCTCGTCCAGGTGATTGAATCCTTGATTTGTCCGTACTTCCCAATCGGGTATATAAAACGGCATCATGCAAAGGCACACCAAATACACCGCTTCTCATACTTTGTCCGCCAGCCTTTCCAACAGACTGCGGTCCTTCCAATGCAGCGATCCACTTTCTTGTAGCTTCATTGTTTGTGCTGATTGACATTCGGGACGAATGGTTGACCTTACTGCTTTGGGTTGGGACAGAGGAGATATTGTTGTTGTTATTATTTGCTGAAGCATTCCATTGTTTGAACATATCCCATCCTTTTTTGCCTACTGCTGCCCCCATTCCTCCTATTTGTTGTCCCCATCCCTGCAGGGATGTAGCTTGATTGCCGGTGGAAGATCCATTGGCCATGCCGGGTAATCTATAGCGCTCGTCATGCATTCGTCCAGACGGAGGTAAGCTTTGCTCTTGCGATTCTTGCGTGCCTAGTTTTGTCAACCTATTCTTTCGTAATGGAGGCGGGATAATATTCGAGGTCTTACTTGTCGTACGTGCAGAGACCACAGGACCTTCTGATAGCATGTGACGACCAGAGTATGGTTCTCCCCGAGCAGAAAGAGGATGTTGAGGGAGAACAGACTCAGACGCTAAGCTTCTCGTCTTTCCGAGGCTCAAATCACTGCTGCTGTCTAAACGACTCAAATCAGCATTCAAACTTCCCAATTCTGCCGCTCCAAAGACATGCGATTGCGATCTGTTCCTCTGTCTTGGCAATTGGAAATGCTTTGTTGAATCATTAATTTCAGACGAAGACGGAATACGCTTATGCGAAGGTGTCCTACGTGGACTGCTTGGTAAATTGCCATAAGTGGACAACGGTGAACTTGGGTTGGACGAATCACTGCTTGCTCCTTGTATGCTTCGAAGGATATCCGCTTTTCCTAATGGCGCAGGAGCTGCTTTTCGTCTCGGGATGCGACTTTGCGGAGATGAGTTACTTGAAATAGGTGATGTAGCAGGCTGCATTTGTGCGCGTGCATTGAATGTGTTCAAAAATGGACTGGCCGTAAGACCTGACCCATTTGATCGCAGTGGTAAATTACTGTGGGTGACTTGACTGCCGTACACTTTGAATTCATCAATACCATTTCTAGTATGGACTGGCGGACTTGAAAGTGGACCTTTCGAAGAAGCAGAAAGTAGCTCGCGGGCTGTGTCAAGTGGCCATCCTTGCGGTGATTGTGGCAATGGTGCAGATCGTAAGGCTATATCTGTTTCCAATGCTGTATTACTCGAAAAAGATGCACTTCTTTTCCTTTGATGCATGCTTGGCGATGAAGTATTTGCTCCAATGATGAACAAATGATCTTCATCCGATTGTTCTCCTTCTTGTGCATTTTCGAAAGCTGAAGGTTGATATTCGTTGCGGGGTGATGGGAATTCGCGATTTGACAACCCTTTGCTTGGGCCGTTTGCCCGGTAGAAGTCCAAAGCGGAAGAAGATCTGGGTGGAAGTTCTCTTTTATTTCTCGTCCTTCCTGGCATGGAAGGGTAACGATCACCTCCATCATCGGCTGCCAAGGCCTCTTGCAATGTCATCGGAGTCATCTCTGTTGATCTGTCGTTCGAGATTCCGATCGCAGTCTTTGGCGTATCTCTCATTGCGAGGCTACTCTGAGGTCGATAAAGACGGTTGTTTGTTTCTTCGGGGTTATTGTTACCTCCTCCTCCTCCTAAAAGTGAAATGCTCAATGCTTTCGCTTTCTTGACTCGTAATGCTGCAGGTTTTGGCGGCTTGAAAGGAATCTTGGAAGAAGATGATGATGATTGTGATCGATTGGTGGCTTGTGGTGCTTCACCTATTCCTCCGATGGAATTTTGATTGCTTGACCAACCCGAAGAGAATGATGGTGTTGGAGAATTTTGAATATGCTGGGAAGGAGTTGAAAAGTGCGTACTCCTTCTAAAAGGAGAAAAAGAGGAAAGCCGAGAAGAAGGTCTGCCTACTTCGGCATCATTTTGATGACGCTGAAATTTCGACTGTAATGGAGATTTTTCAGCCCTTGAAGGGATCCTTGATTCGGTCGTCATATCGGCGTACGATGTTATTATATGCTCGGCTCTCCGTAAATAGGCGTTCTTGTGTGTATTGATAAAAGGGGCGAACCGGTGCTGCTTGAAAACAAAGAATAAATAAAGATGAGAGGCTAAGGCTCTGATCGTTTATTGGTTCATTTGTAGATCCTATTTTAGGAATGTGTGTAAATGAGAAAACGAAAGCGAATCGATGTAGAGATCGGCAACAGAAAGGAGAGGAAGTTGCAAGAGAATGAATGAGCGAATGAACAGCAAAAGAATGGAAGAATCTGTGATGGAAGAAAGGATTCCAAACAGTACCTCAAAATAATATTCTTGCAAAACCCCCAAATTGATGGTAAAAAAAGAAAAGACCCTAGGGGTCAGGGCGTTGAAATAGGTAATGAGATTTTTAATTTGCTTTGTCCTGTTGCGATGATTTGCTAGAGCATCGTTTGCGGATCCCCGTCTGAATGATGATGATGTGATAAATGAAAAAAAGGATGTGATGATGAAGAGGTTACTGTTCACAATTCAGTTCGAATAACACCAAAAGTCTCTCTCTACTTCACAATTATACTCTGTGTAATTGTAGCGCGAACGTACGTGCACACACACACTTTAAGGTACAAACTGGGTCTTTCTGCCTTATTTAGGCGCCTCCTCACTTGAAAGAGAGAACTTTCTTTCTCATCTGTCTGTATGCTTTAAGATTTTAGATTGTGCCTTTTAGCTCAACGATGATGCTAACTGTTTTTTTCATTCATTCATGCAAGATGTCTATTCAATGAATGATGACTGTTATGATGTAGGACCATGCAATTCCGCCGCTTTCATTATAAAATCACACACACGCCGCCCACTTTTAAAGCGTGACCAAATTTAGCAGCAGTCTTGCCTGCATCTCCACAAAATTAGCGTATGCAGGGAGAAGAGGGGGGGGGACCTTTTTTCGCTTTGAATGGCATACATCATCACAGCAATCGGCTTTCTAGCATATGAGATCAGTAAGCCATCCATCATCAGCATTTTTAATGCATTTCATCATCGTTGGAGATGTATGTAAACCCATATTTGAGACAAGAGATCAACCTGTAAAAGATCATCCAATTCTATGATCTGCATCTATCTATGCGGGTCAAATGCTGATTTTTGTGTTTGATTCCAATTAAAAGCCACCAAGGGAACAAATGTGAATCAAAAATTGCCTTCCTACTTTATCCTAACCCTAAGTAGGTTTTTTCTTCTCCGCTCAGGAAAGAGAAACAGGCGGGGCGCGTGCTCATTTGAGACTAAAAGGCGTTTTTAGACTTTTTGCCTAATCTTCAGTTCCTGGTTTCCAATTGACACAATTTACACATATTCATGTTCCATCCATGCAGTTGATCATGTCTGACAAGTAATCGGAGTATAAATTGGATGAAAATCATTAGGAGGTAGCATAGAGATGTATGCTTCATAGTTCCAGTACTACATTATGTCATCAAATTCCTGGTCAGATTTCTCCGCAAAGGTCAAACACAAGTCAAGGTTGAATGACAAGGAGGAGAAAGAGGTTAAGTCTAAGATCAACTCTACTTCATTTTCTGATCTGAAAGCAAGCTTGAAGAAGTCTAACAAAGATGAGAAAGATGACGTTCTGGGTAAACGTGAAAAGAAATTATCAGCATTCCAACGTCCTTCGCCCAATATGAATGCTAGATCATCCAAGCATGACGAGAAGGACAAAAGTCAATCTGGCTCAAGGAAGAGTCACAGATCGGATGATCAATCTGATAAGATTAAAGCTGCATTGGAACGAAAAGCAAAATTATACGATCAACTTCAAAGAGGCAAAACTGGTGGTCTCAGTGAAGAGAAATTTCAAAATTCTTTAGTAGATTGGGATAGGAAAGCACTTGCCAGCACAAGTGATGAAGAAGAACAAGAACAAGATCGAAATGCTGAGGACCACCGTAAACAAAATCTCGCGGATAGTTCTGATGATCCACTTGTAGAATACGAAGATGAATTCGGAAGAACAAGGACAGCACGCAAAAGTGAATTGCCAAGACACGTTCATCGAGAACAGCAAAAGGCAGAGGAGAACTCAAGCAACGAACATATGGTCACTTATGGCCCTTCGACAAACTTCCCCGTCTATAAACCTGATCCTACGCAAAGAGCCCGTGAGATGGGAAATAAAGAAGGTATAGCATCCTACAAACGTTCAGGTCCTGATCATTTTGATTCACGTTCGGAGAAAAGACATAGAGGTGCAGGCTTCTTTCAATTCAGTCAAGATGAAGAAATACGTAAACGTCAAATGGACGAATTACACGAGGAGAGACAGACCACTCAGAAACGCCGTAGTGGTCTCGATGACAAGATCGAGAAGTAAGCCTTCCGAACGGAATCTGTAAAATATCAATGTATACTACCATTCATCACAACACCATCTGTTTCTGTATCGATTTGCATTTCATTCACATTGATTGATGTATGAACAAAAGGACTGTACAAACATCAATCCTCTACTGATTATAAGTGTAGTGTAAAATTGACCACATGGGTCTCTCCTCATTCTTCTCCTGTTGCTTACAAGGCGGAAGCACCAGTAATGATATCAATCAAATCGTTGGTAATTTGTGCTTGACGACCACGGTTGTAAGCCATTCCCAAAGTTTGAATCATTTCTCCGGCGTTCTTGGATGCGTTGTCCATAGCGTTTTGCTTGGAGTTAATTTCAGCGGCATGTCCTTCGACCAAAGCTGCGTAGATTGCGTTTGCCAATGCGAATTCAGCCAAGTCCTTTGTGGTATCATCTTCTTGTTCGTATGCGTTGAAGTTGGCAGCGTTGCGCAAAGCCTCTTCACCGAAAACGGTCAAGATGTTAGATTCGAAAGAAATGGCGGAAACGTATGCGTTGTAGACGATGTTGACTTGGTCGAATTTGACACCGCTAGCGATGATCTTATCAGCAATGGCACTTGCGTCTGCGAATGTGGGAACATCCTTGCCGACTTGGTTGAAAGAGATGGCAATGTTCTTACCCAAAGAACGAGACAATTGTGCTTTGGCCTTGTCACCCAAAACGACAAGTCTAGGTCCTTCGGAACTGTCAGCAGATCCTGCAGCACCTCCAATTTGTTTCAATTCAGTCTTTGTACGTTTTGATACGGAAGAGTGAATACCACCGCACAATCCCTTATCGGAAGAAACGACGACGTATAGTTGATTACCGCCTTCGCTTTGTTTGGCTTCAGCATTTTTGAAAACTTCATCGTTTGTTTGACCGTAAGCTTTGGCAGCATGCATTGCACGTTGAGCTTTTGCCAATTTGGTAGAAGCAATCATTTTCATGGATTTTGTAATCTTTTCGATGTTCTTGACAGACTTGATTCTTCCTTCCAATTCACGCAAAGTGCTCATCTGTGTTGCGGAAGAATGGAAACCAGCAGTTGCCGAAACACGAACAGCAGCAGATGGCATTACCATTCCAGCCGACAAAGCCGGACGAACGGCAGTACGTGCGAGCGAGGCCATGACGAATGATCTATAGTCGAGTCGAACAAGCGCGCGCACAAGAAGGTGTGATGATGGTCATGGACTCCAACCCGTGCGAAGATCAGAAGCTTTTTGATGTCTACGCAGACGCACACATTAGAACACCTCCAGTACGCCCTTAGAGACAAGCCAGCCAGCTTGCACAGTTGCCGCGCCGGAAGAAAAGGCGCTTTAGCCTCTGTCTAACCAAAGCTTGGGCGCAAAACAGGTTTTAATTGCCTCGCGCGCAACCTAGCGATCTTCTCCGAATGGACTGGCAAGCGTGACTGCGCGCTCAACAACTAACAGATCAAGGCTAAAAGTTGTATTGCAGATTTTGTATTGGTAGAGGAGGAAAATGGAATACAGTTTTACTCGATTCATATTACACTTGATTGGAGTCACGGGCGTAAGGGAGACGCGTGCAGAGATTATATGGGAAAAGAAGCTTTTGCCATCCTTTTGTTCCAACCTCGTGTACAATCATCGAAACCATTCAGAGCACGATAAAAGGCAAGATGGCTTCAGAAGATCCAACAAACGAGCCTCTATTCGAGCCAGGACTAAAGAAGAAAAGCAAGAAAAAGTTTGTCGATTTCGACTTGGACGGTGGTGAAAATGTCGAAGCAGAGGCAAATGGAACATCTGCTCCAGCAGAAGAGAACGCTGCTGAAACAGAAGAGAACCCTGATGATATGTTTGGAGGTCTAAAGAAGAAGAGCAAGAAGAAAAAGGCAATCCCGATGGATTTGAACGAAGATGCAACCGAAGAACCTGCAGCAGATGGAACAGCAACCGAAGCTGGCGCAGAGGCTGCTGATGCCGTTCCAGATGGAGATCTAGACTTTGGAGAAATGAAGAAGAAAAAGAAAAAGAGTAAAAAGGGAGGATTTGACTTGGAAGCATTCGAGAAAGAATTGGGAGAAGGAACCACTGCTGGTGGAGATGGCGAGGATGAAGGTGCAGACGATGCTGATCTAGGTGATGATCCATTTGCACGGGATGACGGAGAAGGTGAAGAGAAAGACGGACAGAAAGAGCATGTAGAGACATGGCATGGCACTGATCGCGACTATACATATCAAGAACTTCTAGGAAGAATCTTCTCTACACTACGTGCACAGAATCCCGCTTTGTCTGGTGAAAAGAGAAGATACGTCATTGTTCCACCAGTCGTTCAGAGAGACGGTTCAAAGAAGACTGTCTTCGCCAATGTTATCGACATTTGCAAGCGTATGCATCGTCAACCTGATCACGTTATTCAATATCTATTTACAGAATTGGGTACCGTTGGTTCCGTCGATGGTAGTCAACGTTTGGTCATTCGTGGTCGTTTCCAACCTGCTCAAATTGAAAAGGTGTTGAGAAAGTACATTGTGGAATACGTTACTTGCAAGACGTGTAGATCACCTCAAACCAGTCTGACAAAAGAAAACCGTATCTATTTCATGACCTGTGAATCATGTGGTTCCACTAGATCCGTCACAACTATCAAAACTGGTTTCCAAGCACAAACCGGCAAAAGAAGCAAAACTCGCGCTCAAGCTTGATTGCTTTCTTCATCAAAACACACATCACTGCAACCCATACATTTTGTACAATCTACTTTCTCGTTTCATTGAAAATGCAGCTCTTTTGGTGTGAGAAATACGAGTGACACTGATCAGCTTATTGTTTACTAGTGATAGAAGAAGCACGGCAATCTCTACCGTTGTGAGTAACAAAATATTGGTGTAGGTCTCTATAGTAAAATTACAGTGTATGCTACATTTTTGCTATGACTGCTCTCTGTTTGTCAAAAAGATCTGTCCAGATTTCCAGTTGTGGAACCTTCTTCTGGCCGGCGAATATTTCTCTAACCTTTTCTGCTTGATCATGGCCGACTTCCATTGCTACTAATGGTAATTGTCCATTCTTCGATAATGCCAATAGTTCATGAATTTCAATCGATTGGGCTAATCGTCTATAGAACAACAAGCCGTCCGATTCGTTATCAGGATGACCAACGAGGGCTAAACGATCCTCCCACTCTCGTACACTTGCATCTAATTCTTTCCATTCTTTTGCGGGTATATAAGGTGGATTGCAAAGAACGACATCAAAAGGACCGTGTTGAGCAATAAAGTCACAAAACTTGCTTTCGTCTAGCATGTCCCCTCTTTCGAAAGATACGGGCACAAGGTGACCGTATTGCGAGACAAGGTCGCCATGATCTGCATCTGTATCGTATAGAGCAAGGTTTTTTCTCGCAAGTTGCAGGGCCGAATCGGCTATATCGACACCGAGAATTTGAAATGCTGGACTTTGAGATTGACTGCTTGTCTCTTTGCTAATCAATTCTAGCAATCGATGACGGATGAGCAAAGATATACAGCCCGAGCCGGTACACAGATCCAGGATTCGCAATGGCCTCATTTGGCCTTCTTGCCGATGGATATGTTCCCGAAACGCATCCCTGAGCTGCTCAAAGATATATTCCGTTAATGCTTCCGTTTCCGGTCTTGGAATCAAAGTTGGAGGCATGCATTTGATCAAAAGAGGTCCAAAAGGTTGATTACCAAGGACATAACTTAGCGGTTCACCATTCGATAATCTTTGTGCTAATTCAATAACTTTTTCCGTCTTTCTAGTTTCGTACTTTTTTGTGGTGTCCAATTTCACTTCTTCCATTAACCAATTATATTCACGAAATGCTTGTTCTTCTGCTTCTCGTAATGCGATCGCCCGACTTTCTTGATTGATTGCAACTTGACTTTTATGAAATTCGACCAAATTTTTCAACACTTTTCCTAGCCTCTGTTTTTGAATTGCATCAGCTTTTGATCGTTTTTCGGTTTGACTAAATGCTCTAGAAAAGTTAATTTGAGATCTTGTATTCCATATCGGTCTTGGTATTATCGATTGAAATAGTGACGAGCCATTGTTTGCTATTTTGCCGATATTCATAGGTTACGGCAAGCCTTCAACTTCTCCAGCATTCCTATTGAACGGAATCGTGAATGGTATTCATCCAATGTGATTCTTCTTAAAATCCGGAGATTTGGTGGAGCAAGACCTTCACTAAATCCGACAGGAAAATCATTCACACGTGAGAAACTGCCTTGTCTGCTTACTAAGCAAACAAACATTCGTCGATCTTCACGCTAAGCTAAGCCAAGCCAAGCGACGCTATCGGTTTGTAGCTTTGCCAGCTCAATACAAAAATAACCACTAGCTTGGACAAGGTGGTTTTTTTTTAAGTTTTTAACGCTAAGCCTAAGCCTAAGCCTTTGGCGCTTCTATTCTTGTAACAATGAATGAATTGCATCACCGGGTTTAACAAGCGAGCGAGCGAAAAGAGTGTGTGTGCTTGGGCCGCGTGTGTGCGCATTTTTGCCCAACTTTCTCAACTTCTCAACATTACTGACTCGGAATCAGAGCCCGTGCGCGTAACGCAAACTTAACCGGGCGCAGGCCACTTAGGGTTAGGATATAGGTTTTACACAAATTCGGTGAACCCCTTTTTGGGTGATTGTTGATAACAACTCGAACCGCAGTTTTGACTTGTTGATCAGGGGAGAGAAGATTTGATACGATAGGGATGATCATAGAATCGTAGAGAGTTACTACATGTATTCTGAAAGAGTGTGAATCACCGCACTCTTTCTGACGCAGGCGTGAGTGTGAGAGAAACAATCTTCCAAAAATCATACTTGTTGACAGTCGCACACGATCAGTTGCAAATGATGATGAAATAAATTATAATGCGGTGATGAATAAGTCGAGAAGAGAAAAGAAAAAGAAAGATAATGGGACAAATTGTCAATATTTCAATTGAAGATGGAAGATTTAAACAAGTATAAGAATCCAAAATTATCTTGCATCTACAATTGAAAATTGGAAAATAATATTTATTTTTAATTGTCGTTTGATCATAAAAGGCAAAAACGGTTTTCAGAGAAGAGAGAATATAATCAATCCAAAATCGACCAACGTTGCAAATATCAAGTAGGTTTCCACGGCACTCGTTGGTGATTGAAGAAACTTGATCGTATAAACAACATCTGTTGAAATCCTTTCAAAGATCCGTTTTTATCTCACGGACTTAATCGTGCTCGATTTAAACCAAAGCTGCAACAGCAACACCGACGGCACCGGCAACAGCGGCAGAGAAGCCGGTCAATTGAGAAGCACCGTTGGCTTTTTCTGAGGTTTGAGAAGCGCCACTTCCGGAAGTGCTGCGGGAAGCACCTGATGATCCTGTGTTGGAGGAAGATGGGGCAGAGGTAGAGCCGGATGATCCAGAGTTACCTCCTGAGGAGGAGCTTGGAGAAGATCCAGCGCTGGTTGAGGAACCAGAAGCGCCACCTGAAGGAGCGCTGGAGGTGTTTGCGGTACCTAGACAGCTGGAGTCGTTGGATCCCAAAATTGTTGCACCACCAGATGTGTTTTGTTGACCAGAGGCATCAGTGATGAACAAGTTGATTTGAGTACCTGCGGCCAAGTTGACCTTCCATGTGTAAGATGTACCGGAAATATTCGATCCGATTTGGGACAAGATGTCACCGTAAACACCTTCCTTGGTTGCGTACAAGGAGTATGGTGGTGTACCTCCTGAGAAGGTGATTTGGTAGTTTTGGCATTGGATCAATGGGTTAGGTGTGTTGACGTTTGGTTTTGAGCCTTGAGCGAAAACGACGCCGGCCATGGCAGTACCGGCCAAAAGAATACTTGACAATTGCATTTTGAAAAAAGAGAAAGGTGATTCGCGTTCAAAAAGTGAAGTGGATCAAATGGATGAAGAAGGGTATGTAAATGTTTCGACGGGAAAAGACGAAAACAAATGTGATGACGGGGTTGGGTGGTGGTAACAATGAAAAGAGTTGAGTAGAATTGGATGGCAAACTATATATGTATGTTTTTGCGCACTTTTGTGTGTGTGGCAAGAGGGGGGTGATTGCTTGCACAGGTTTCGGATTACACTAAACAATTCGAATGTGTATTCAAACCTCTATGTTCGGACATGCAGAATCATTCTACTCAAACAAAACACATGGCATATTATCACTCTTTATGCCGATCTTAGGGGGTCCTTCGACGGGTTTTCCAAGCCGTTTGCACTAGCGAGGTTGCGTTCAAATCTTTACAAAAGTGTCTTGTCAGCCAATGTGTGTTTTGAATTTGTATTTCCAAGTTTTTTTGTTTTTAATCAAACAATACAAGGATAGCGTGCGCAAAACACACACATCTTATGCCGTTTATCGGAAAGAAGATTTTCTTTTGGTGTGCCGATTTGATGCCCCTTCCAATGATGCACGCTGGCAAGATGCATGAAAATTCAACTGCCGCTCTCATTTATTGATTCTTTCACTGCTCCCGTGCATTTTCTTCCCGCTTTGATATATCGTGTTAATACGGACATTAGTGTTGAATAACGCGTAAAAAAACCAGACAGCACAGCTTTTGTTTCCATGGGGAGCACTATCTCACACAATTAAATAAAGGGGGACTGAGCAAACTCGCTCTGTGGTGCTTTGTTAGATTCATTCAACTAGAAACCTCCCCAGGCGCGCATGGTGCTGCGTAAAAAGAAGAATCACGCGTTTGTTCTTTGGTTGATGATGTGACAAGATCTATGAACATGGGCCCGGCTTACAATTTGGCAATTAGAAGTTGATAGGGTAATGGAAAAAGAAAGATTCTTATGACTATACATCACATCATCATACACTTTTTTAAATCTCTTTCGGCGTTCCTTACGTCCGATCGATCTTATAATAGATCATGTTTATACTATGTGTATGTAAGAGTACCTTCTTCTATACAATACCCTAGACCGATGCAAGCCGTTTTGGACCGATTTACATGAAGCTCGTTTAAACTCAGTTTCAAGGGTCTCGAGATCTTTAAGAACGCGTTGAATAAGGGTAAACTCGTTGTCAGGAAAAGTGCCGAAAGAATCAATTGCATCTCCTCGTTCCCGCAATTCCATGGGGGGGGGGGGGGCTCAACTTAATCTGAATCAAAAGCCTAGAAGAGAGTTTAATTAATTATAAGCCAAGAATTGCTGATAAAGAAAAATAAGATGACTTTAGGCATACACAGCCATATAGCCACACTTTTATTAATCAATACCTCTTTTCTCGTTCGGCATAAGAATGATGTCATTTAATGATTAACCCAAAGAAAAAAGGGTGATTGCCAAGAAGTACTTTTTATAGAATTTAAAATGTCAATACCGCCGGGTATATAAATCAGGGTGGTAGATTGACACTGCGTTTACGGTATTCCGAGGTCTCTCAACAAATCTATATAATTGATTATCCTATCATTATCAAAGTGTCTAGGCTTGGCTAAGGAAAGTCAAATGATTGTTCTCTTTGATCTTATTCAGTGTTTACTCATTGAAAGCCACAGAAGCTCTGACCCTTAAAGGTATACGAATGCAGACTAAATAAAGATGGAATGAGCTTAATTGTCACAATCTTTTAATCACACCACTAATGCACAAAACCCTTGAAATGCCATTAAAGGTTATCATATCACATGCAAAGCACTTTCCAAAGGAAATGAAAAAGAGTAACTTAATTCATGTATGCGTTTGCGCTAGAAAATCATCCTCTGCGCTAAATGAATGTCAATGATCACACTTTCTGCACAGAATAGTGGGAAAGAAGCTTAAAAGCTTTAAAGGGGCTTAAGATTAGACGTCTAGATATGTCACTAGCACCCGTAGGAACATTCGCTCATTTATGCAAAATGCACATGATGATGCATCTAATCAAAAAATATCTTCCGAAAGAGTCATAAGGATAATCATTACTATATCTCAATAAACATGAGCCTGTAAAATAAGGTACGCATTTCATACAACATAAAAAAACAAAAACCAAAAAAGTTGATGATCAAAGAGAAAACATAAATACCGGAAGGGGAGGGACGAAACTGTTCGTAATATGACCCATATGCAAGCAGGCTTTACTTTGTACTGCTCCTCTTTCTTTCCTTCCTTCCTTGACCATTGACGATTCGATAAAATACAAATATTTTAAAAGTTGACCTTTCTGTTCTTTCTTCCTCGACTACCATCTCATGACAAGCGCATGGCATCCAGTAAGAGTCGATCCAATGTTTCTTCTAATCCGTTCAAATGCTTTCCTATAGGTGCATATGCATCCTTGATACGTCTATCCTCAATATAAGGAGCTTGCGGAGGGAAAAGACCGGCAACCGTTGGCCGGAAATCTTGTTCTTCAGGAATAACAGAAGCAGAACTTCCGAATGATTTCGAAGGACGCTTTCTTGCAGGCTTTCTGCGTGCCGCTGCTTCAGCCACAGCATACAAATGTGAAATGCCAAAATCAGTCATAGAAGCAGATGGCAATGGCGTCTTTCTGTTGGCAGATCCACTAGGCCCAACCGTGGATGACGATGAAAGAGCTTGCATATTTGACCCAATATTGTTGCCCAGTCCGCGCGATGACATTCCTGTACTTGCGTCACTGCCAACTTGACGAGCTGTTGCTACTGATCCAGCTGTAGCAGTCAATGTAGACAAAGGCGTAGGCGCAGTTGCAACAGAAGGATGTGTCATTCCCGAAGTAGGACTTGCTGTGTCGTGTGAGCTTGTAATAGATCCACCTTGAGCCTGTTGGCCTGCTAGACGTTGCTGAGGAACACTTCTTTGCTCCCGTGACGATTGACCGTAACCTACTGGACTGCTACTGGTGTTCAATCGTGACAGCACTTGATCGATCTTATCTTCCACTGATCGATTGCTGTTCTCGCTTTGATTTATTAGCCTCTCAAATGCATCTTCTGAAGATCCTCCACCGCGGACACTCTTCTGCGAACCGGATCCTGCTCCAGGTGACGGTTGCGTGATGTGTGCTTCCCGCAAACTTAATGGGCTTGCTCGAATAGGTGAGCCTGGAGCACTAACGTAATCCTCGATTGTGGTAGCACTTGCCGTTCGCGATCCATGTTGCATTGCAGGTCGAGTAGGTGCTGCAAGTAAACCATTAATGGAAGCATTCTCGGTGCGCAAAACATCCTCAACGATAGCGCTGATGTCATGTTCTTCACCAGAAACAGGAATGAAGGAGTATCGAACTCTACCAGTATCGAGCATCTTTGAACTACGCAGTCGTGATCTATCATCCAACATGACGTCCACACCATTCTCATCATTTGGTTGAGCTCCCAAGATTGCCGCTCTACGTTCCCTCGCGGCCGCTCTCTGTGCAGCGATGATCTCTTGCCTGCTCATCCCTTGCTGTTCTAAATCTGCCGGTGCTGCTCCTCCACGAACTTCCTCAATTGCACGACTGGACGGAGTGGGAGCAACTGTGCCTAATTCAGCTTGACGACGTTCGTCTTGTCGATTGGCCAAAATGTTTTCAGTTGGACTCAAAGGCCTTGCGCTACGGTGATGCTGTCTTTGGATCTGGCGCAAGATGAAGATCGGATCGTCTGCTCGCAAATCATCCACGAAGTTCAACAGCATCGCTGAATCCGTACTTGCTCGCTTCGATCTTCTATTAGAACTTGCGGGTCGCATAACAGGTGCAGAAGGGAATGCTTCCAAGACCCTACTAGAAGGTTGCAATTGACGTTCGTGATCTTGTAATTTGATCGTAAGACCATAACGTATACGACCCTTGCTACGACGTCGACCACTGCGATCTTCCACATCATCTCCTCCCTCCACTACACCTTCAAGAATTCCAAATCGTTCCAAACCTTGCTCAACTACTTCGGCTACTGTAATATTACGAGGTAAAGCCAAAATCTTTTCGCGGTAATCTTGCGGAACTCCTTCGCCAGGCACCAAAGCATTCGGTCCACGAGTTTCCAAGACCTTCTTAGGCACTAAAGCGTTCGTCTGAGGATCAAACACTGTACCTTCAGGTAGATCGGATGGGAAAATGAGGAGCCGTAGCGGGAAACGATGAAATTGTGTCGTATTGTTTAGTGAGTCGTTGGGGTCCAATAATTGTCCGGATGAGCGGCTGCCGTCTGGATTGCTATCGTTTGACAGTTGTAGAACAGCTCCACCCCTCGGGCTCAGGCCAGTATTAGTAGACATATCACCAAATGCATTCGAATCCAGCGTCGACATAGTAGCATCTCCTCCAAGCTGCCCTTTGCGGTGAAGATAGAATTTCACATTATGATCATCACTGAAGTCATTCTCGAGTCGAAGAATGGCAGGATTCAAACTTAAGTTTGACGATATTGAAGAAATGGAACCAACACTGGACCTTTTGACGCTAGGAATGGTGCGCATCTCGTTACTGGTAGAGATTGCTTCACTAAGCTCGTCAAAAACCTGCAAAGGCTTTTCCCCGATTTGCAAGATACGTTCATCACCCTCCACCAGCTTGACAGTAAGACAATACTGTGAGATCTCATTTCCGGCACCCAAACGGAATCTTTGCATTGCCTGGCGAACTAGTTCCCCAGCAGTAGTAGATTGGTTGAGTAGTACTGTCTTGAAAGTAGCAGCAGAGTCGATGTCATCACCGGCGAAAACACGGATCACATTCAGCATAGGAGCTGATCCAGGCGTTGCAATCAGACTTCCGGGCCTTTGATGTCTTGCATCACTTCTACCATCGTGCAAGAATTGTCTCTGATAGGCTTCCTGTTGGAGACGATCTCTTTCTTGTAAAGCGCGGCCAGCATTAGAAGATGCTCCACCTGCCATTGTTAGACTTTGACGATTGCTGTCTTCTGATGCTCGAGTGGGGTCACTCTCCAGACTACTGTTGGAGAAATGACCGCTCTTTCGCTCTTTCTTATCTTTCGATCGAGAGAATAGTCCACTAAATACTCCGGATCGCTTCTTTCCTTGTTTCTCTTCCAAAATGTCGTCTTCACCGCGAGACTTACGTTGACTGGCCCGTTTGTCGCGTTTAGAGCTTTCAGGACTCGTGATAGCTGCAACATTTGGAGCATTGCCATCGTTTGAAGTACGCAAAGCTTGGACTTGTGATGGCAAGAAACCTGATGCAGATCCATTGGAAGAAGTTGTACTTGTGGATAAGCGATCTGTGGCCCTATTATTCTCTAGGAGTGAGAGTCGTGCTTGGGGAGGCTGACCAGATCGTGCAGCACCAGGTTGCTGGAGATTTTGCTGTTGTGCTTGTTGCTGTTGATACAGTTGCTGCTGCTGCGTTTGCTGTCTCATTTGTTGTTGTTGTTGTTGCAACGCTTGTGCCTGATCTTGTATTGATTGTTGATTTTGTTGAGAAGAAGGATTGGCTTCCGTTTGAGTTGCTAAACGGTTTTGTGCTGCTTGTCTGGCTGCATTTCGCTCTTCTTGGGCTCTTTGAACTCTTTCAGATTCTCTAGCATCCCAATCCATGCCATCATCGGGTTCCATATGTTCAGCACCCACTGCCCCTCTGGAACGTTGGCTATTTGGCTGATTTTGTACTCGAGAGTCGACAGGCTCTTCAACCTCTTCTTCTGCCCCTTCATCGTCTTCCTCCGAAAGTTCGTCTTCGTCTTCATCCATCTCGATCATATCATGATCCCCCTCCTCATCTTCTTCATCGGAATATTCGTTACCGCTATGCTCCAGATAGGTTGGAGGTCCGAATTGTACTCCACGCTTATCCTCATTCACATCGCTAAGCCTTTTCGGCTTCATACCATGATTACGACGGGAGAGAGCAGACAATTTGCCAGAATGGGTAGAAATGCCACGAGTGCCGAAGCTACGCTGTTTGACCAAGTGACTGGTAATAATCCCCTCTGGTACCTGATTATGATCATCATCAGTAGCCGAAGTCAGGTCGACATTACGATGCTTGTTTAATCGGGCAAGTCGCTCATATGGTGTTTCAATATTCTCTGCTGGGATATAGCCCACCTCTTGCGTTCGCAATACACGTACGAGCCACCAGTAAGAGTTGGAATCGTCTAGTAAGGTGAGGCTGTTTCCCTTGTTAACGGTAGCCTGACCTTCAACTGTTGCAATAAAGTTATGCAATGCATAGACAAGGTCAAAATCGATGTTTTCATCGGGTATGCTAGGACTTGAAGAAAGCTCGTCATCATCTTCCTCGTCGTATTGACCGTCATCTTCATCAGAGCCCATTTCTTCTTCTGCTTCTTGACCATACTGATCTCCTTCAGAAGAATCGGAATCGACGAAATCCTGACTGTCGAGTGAGTAATCTTGTTGCGCATGTTGACGATTTCCATATGCAGCACCTCTTCCTGCAACCTGCTGCCGATTGACACCGACATCGTACCCATCATTTCCTTCTTCATCACTACTAAATCCGCCTTGTGCGTTCAAATCATCTTCAGAAATAATATCTCCAGGACGAATTGCAGTACCGCTTTGTCTTTGTTGTTGTCCATTCGCTTGAGGAGCTTGAGCAGATGCCATTGCGTGCGTATTCATCGCTTTACTGGGACCTGCTTTACGTGAAGATTGTTGTGCGGCATTGACATCTACCGTCAGAACAGGTCTCGGTTGCGCCATGGTGGCAGTGATGAAGGTTTTGCTTCAATGAGCGATTGAGCTGTGCAAATGAATTCCCACTTTTTCGACTATGAACGCACTGTCCTCTTTTAATAGATGGTCGATCGTTAATCGTGAATGTCGTCAATGAAAGTCTGAGTGCGGTGACTTTCTGACCTTCCTCTACAGATTGAGATCAAGACCAGCTCGATCGAATGTGAAGGAACCTTTGGGTTTGTTGATTGTCGTGGGTGATTGTTTCGATTTCCTTTTTGGGTGAGAATCGATCGTGAATATTCGTCAAAAATGCATCCACTGTCTTTTGAAGCTCTATCTTCCAATACCTTGTGTCACGGATGCCTTTTAATTTCCAACGATTAAAAAGTGTTTTGTATAAGAAAGAATGCTGTTAAAACAGTTGATGATCTCCTTGGCCCTTTTTGTGGAAGGATAGGATGGATTTAGGAGAATGTCAAATGAATGTCAATTGTATATTAGTCTACTATTACCATTTTATTTTGACGCGGGTATCCGATTCGCGCACTACACGTGTTGGCTGGGCACTCTCTCTCTCTCTTTGTGCTGCTGAAAACGCGAAAATAAATTAAGAAGGAGAAGCGAAGAAGGCGTTTGAGCGGTGTACATTTTACACAAAGGAAAGAGATGACCTGTAACCTAAACCTCTTTTTTTTTTGGCTCAATGCAAAATTTCACCTTCTCTTCACAATTGACTTTCTGCCGTCACTGTCATTAAAACTCCGCTATAACTACTTCTCATATACAAATAAATTTGGGAGGCTGTCATTGCAGAGTTTGATTATCTGATACTTCTTTTGATCGCAGCCTGCAACACATTTGTTTGTAGCTCATCAAAACAGTAAAGATGGGTAAAAAGAAGGGCGCAAAGAAAGGTGGTGGTGATGACTTCTGGTGAGTGGCAAAAGATGATTCATGATTGCAGTCACATCTTTGAAGTTGGGCGAAATGCTAACATATCTAACGATTAATCCAATTGCAGGGATGAAGCAGGCGAGAACGTACCAGCCGCCAATGAAGCTGATTCAGGCGATGATGCGCCCGCCCCAAGAAAGAATGCATTTGCTGCAATGAGCATAGACGATACAGAAGACAAGGAAGAATCACAGCAAAGCTCAAAAGCAAATGGTTCCACTTCTAAAGCAGCAGATGACGACGAAGACTTTGGAGGCCTAATGAGCACGATCAAAAAGAGCAATGCAAAGAAGGACAAGAAAAAGAAGAACAAGAAACAACAAGATGATGATATTTGGGATGAATTGGGAGAAGATGTAAGCGGAAATGCAGCAGGCAACAAAGCGGAGCCCGAGCCCATGGACGTCGACAAAGGACCTTCCGGACCTGTTGAAGCATCTGTTGAAGATGAATTCCCGGATCCAAAAGCAGAGAAGAAGAACAAGAAGAATAAAGGCGATACAGAGGATGGACCTGGTTCTGGAGCTGCAACACCAGCTCTTGATGGTGAAGATGATGGTTCATCTCGAATCCTTTCAAAGAAAGAGAAGGAAAAGTTGAAGAAGGAGAAGGAAAAAGCCAAGAAGAAAGCACAAGCAGCAGCAAAGAAGGCCGTAACAGGTGGTGACAATGCTGCCGATGCAGAAACAGAAGCAAAGCAGGAAGATGCGCCAGTAGCCGAGCAAGCAGCAGAAGATGACGATGCCGCAGAAGATGGCGAAGAGGGAGGAGCATCAGCGGCTGACAAAAAGAAAAAGAAGAAGAAGAAAGGTGCTGCTTCCAAACCGGAACCTGTTCCTGCCACTTCATCAAAAAAGCCTTCTGCAGCTTTACAAGCATTGCAAGCTCGTATTGCAGCTCAAAGAAAGGCTGAAGAAGAAGACAGAGCTGCTGAAGAAGAAGCAAGACGAAAGGAAGAGGAAGCCGAACGATTAGAGAAGGAAGAGGCCGACCGAAAGGAGGCTGAAAGACAGAGAAGGAAAGAAAAGGAAAAAGCAAAGAAAGAACAATTGAAGAAGGAAGGCAAACTTTTGACACCCAAGCAAAAAGCAGAAAAGGCAGCTGCGGAAGCAAGAATGCAGGCTTTGATCAAAAGTGGCGGTGTCAAAGTGGAAGGTTTGGCAAACAGAGGAGAAGGCAGCTCGGCTAGTGGAGAACAGAAAGAAGCTAAGAGACCTATTGCTGATTCACGGAATCGCAAAAAGAAAGGCCCTTCTGGTCCTCCAAGTAAGCTTGCCTCGAATCTGTTGCCAGAACAACCTGCAGCTGTGGAAGAAAAGGTTGTAGAAGAGGCATCTGCCGCTGTTGAAGCTGAGCCTGTATCTGTTTCTGAGCCTATTGCCGAGACTGAGCCCGCTGAGGAGGAAGCCAAAAACGAAGATATCAAAGACAGCTGGGATGCTGAATCGGATCATGAGGATGTCAAAGATGATTGGGACGCTGAATCAGAAGAGGACAAGCCTGCTGAAAAACCAAAGCCTTCTGAAAAAGCCAAGCCAGCTGAAGCAAAGGCAACGAATGGAACAACAGTCGCAGCATCCGCCAAAGCCGCGCCAACAACGGCTGCAAAAGCCAAGGCACCGCTTGCATCCAAGCCAGAGCCAGAAGAATCCGATGATGATTCTGATGAATCTGATTCGGACGAAGATGACTCTTCTGACGATGATAGTAGCGAGGACGAATTGACTGTTGCTCAGAAAATGGCAGCGGAACGTAAAGCTGAAGCCGAAAAGAGGAGATTAGAGAAGCATCAAGCAGCATTGGCAGCACGTTCAAAGGATGACCTTAGAAGTCCAATTTGCTGTATCATGGGACACGTCGATACAGGAAAGACTAAATTGTTGGACAAAATCCGTCAAACCAACGTTCAAGAAGGCGAAGCTGGTGGTATTACTCAACAAATTGGTGCAACGTACTTCCCTGAAGATACGCTTCGTCAAAAGATTGCCCCAATTGACCCAGAAGGCAAGCAAGACTTCAACATTCCTGGTCTTTTGGTCATCGACACACCAGGTCACGAGTCTTTCACCAACTTGCGTACCCGTGGTAGCTCGCTGTGTAACATTGCCATCTTGGTAGTTGATATCATGCACGGCTTAGAACAGCAGACGCTTGAATCCATTCGACTTTTACGTGACAAAAAGACTCCTTTCATTGTTGCCCTGAACAAGATCGATCGTTTGTACGGATGGCAGAGTACACCAGATGGCGCTTTCAGGAAAAGTCTAGCCAATCAAAATCGGGCCACACAAAACGAATTCCAAGACCGTGTCGATAAGACGATCGTTGCCTTTGCCGAACAAGGTCTAAACGCCGTTCTGTACTATGATAACAAAAACTTCGCAAAGAATGTCAGTTTGGTTCCTACCAGTGCACATACCGGTGAAGGTATTCCTGACATGCTCCAATTGCTCATCAATCTGACTCAAGAGAGAATGAGCGAAAAATTGATGTACCTATCCGAATTGGAGTGCACAGTTTTGGAAGTGAAAGTTATCGAAGGTCTCGGTACCACCATTGATGTAATCTTATCGAATGGTGTCATGTACGAAGGCGACAAGATTGTCTTGTGTGGTCTTAACGGACCAATTGTTACGCAAGTGCGTGCATTATTGACACCTCAACCGCTCAAAGAAATGCGAGTGAAAGGCTCGTACGTTCATCACAAGATGGTCAAGGCCGCATTGGGTGTCAAAATTTCTGCTCCTGATCTAGAAAAGGCTATTTCTGGTTCGAGATTGATGGTCGTCGGACCGGATGACGATGAAGAGGAAATGATGGAAGAAGTGATGAGCGATTTGACAGGTTTGTTGCATTCCATCGACAAATCAGGAAAGGGTGTCAGTGTACAAGCATCTACTTTGGGATCTCTGGAAGCATTGTTGGAATTCTTGAAACAAAGCAAGATTCCTGTCAATGGTATCAACATCGGTCCAGTGTACAAGCGTGATGTGATGCGTTGCGCTACCATGTTGGAGAAATCACCTGATTTGGCGGTCATGCTTTGCTTCGATGTTGAGATTGATAAAGATGCTGAAGCATTGGCAAAAGAAATGGGCGTCAAAATTTTCAGTGCAAGAATTATTTACCACTTGTTCGACAACTTTATCGCACATCAAAAGCAAGTTTTAGAAACGAAACAAAAGGAAAGCGCAGATGCTGCCGTTTGGCCTTGTCGATTGAAGGTGTTGGCAGTATTTGCAAAGCGAAGTCCTTTGATTTTGGGATGCGAAATCACTGCAGGTGATCTAAGAATGGGTACTCCAATCGGTGTCAAGAACAAAGAGACAGGCGAAATTGTGAACTTGGGACGAGTGACATCTTTAGAAGTGAACCACAAACGATTAGATGTTGTCACGGCCAAGACAGCTGGTGCAGGTGTAGCTGTTCGTATAGAATGTGCTGTTCATGAAACGCCAAAGATGTATGGAAGACATTTCACCGATCAAGATGAATTGTTCTCCCTCGTTTCACGTAAATCTATCGACACCCTCAAGGATCTCTTCTGGGATGGTGTAAGTATCGAACAAAAGAAGACGATCAAATATCTCAAGGGAGTTATTGGAATCCATTAAGGCGCATACGAATCACGAAATCAAGCATTCGATTCTGGAACAAACTACTGTATTTCGACATGACCGGCAACAAGCATTGCACTGTATACCGCTAGAAGACGAAAGGTGTATATCATCTTCTTTCCCTCATTTATGAATAATGATCGAATTGGAATTTGGGTGGTGCTGAATGGGCACAAACTTGTCTGATAGTTCAGATTCGGAATAAAAGAAGTAGGTAAAATTTTGAATTTCTCTTCCCTTTTCCCTTTCCCTTCCCACCCTTTTGGCTTTAGAGTCGCTCGCTGGGCTTATTCTTCCGTGCCCATGTGTAGTGCTCGCTGAAAGGAAGATTGAAAAGCGATCTTCTTTATTGAAGTTTTGCCTTCCATTTGATTGTCCATACTTTGATCGGCGGGTAACGAGTATAGCTGACAAGCTATGTGTTGCATTGCTGGGGCAGTCTCTGGTACATTTCAGGTAAGCATTTTGAAATGATTATAATTTTGATTTTGCCAAGATTGATGATTCTCTGGAAGTATTGGAAGAGCGATTTGAGGAAGATTGTGTAGATTGAGATGTCTGTAGGGATTCTACTTCATGATCTAAACCATAAGCTATATGACGTTCGGTGTCTACATCCATCTTACCTTGTGCCAGATCACGCATCGTATTGCGTACGATTGCCAAACCACCTTCAGGACCACAAACCCATCTTGAAGCTATTTGCAATTCGAGTTTTGCATTTCCATGTTGCATTTCCGTTTGTGTGGACCAAGCAGCCTGGTTGAGTAATTGACAACCACACTCCACGATTGCAATACTATCCAATAAAGGACGGGCAAGACGCATATCCGTTCCACTTGCTGTTTTGAATGCTTTTTCGTTGAGATAGACCGTTTTCATTTCTCGTAAAGTATCACGGAGGGTTGAAACTGTTTTTGTAAGCACATCGTCTTGTCCAAGAGTGTTTTGTAATTGATCGTTTGATCTTTGGAGTGATTGTGCTGAATCTTGTAGCCATTCGATCAGAGCTGCTCCTTTCGTTTGTGCATGAACACGAACGACGTCCAAACTCAAAACACTGGGAGTACCTTCCCAAATCCGTGAAACAAAATCATCACGAAGGGCAGTTGTAAGGATTGTTTCATGCATGTATCCTTGACCACCTAGACATTCAATACTTTGTGCTAAACAATCACTCGCACGAACAGCGCCGAAAGCCTTTCCGACGGGTGTGAGAAGTCGTAATCGTCTTTCTTCTGCTTCCGTTGTGGTTTTGGCCTCGTTTTTACCCAACAAACGTGTAATGTTTAGATGCAATTGCAACATTGCTCGATAATGAATAGCAACTTTGGCAATCAAAGTGTTGTGTAATGGCAAATCTTTTAACAAAGTCTCTGCTTGACCATGAACGCCAACTTTACGTCTGTTTGCGTAATCTTGTAAAATTTGTAAGGCGACCCCAATGCTACATGTACTTGCAGAAATGCAATATGTTCTTGTAATGTTTAACACTTGCGCAATTTGTGCTACACCTCTGCCTTCCTCACCAATCAATTCTGCCACCGCACCACAAATTTCCAATTCTGCCGTTGGAACATGCTTTGTACCAAGCTTGTTCTTTAATCGATGTACTTTGATTCCATTATACTTGCTTGTAGGTGCAGTTTGATCGGTATATTTCGTATTCGTAGGAATTGGAGCACGATCTTTTTTATGCAAAGGAATCAAGAATAACGATAAACCTTTTGATCCTTTTGCACGATCGGAATCCGTTCTTGCCAATGCAAGTGTCATATTTCCATCAGCAGCAGAAGAGAACCATTTGAATCCGTTGACGATGTACAAATCACCCGGCTGTGCTTTTTGACCGGGTGAACGTGAAATCAACGGTTCAGCAACGGTTTCTGTCATGCTCACATCTGATCCTCCTGCCACTTCTGTCATCCATTGACCTGAAAGCCAGAATTTATCGGGTGTGCGTCCGAATAATTTTGGCAAATATTTTTGCTTTTGTGATGAAGTCCCATACAATTCCAACACTCTTGCTGCTCCATCGGTCATTGAAGTTGGACAAACGGCAACTTGACTATCAGGCGTAAAGATTAACGTTCTTGCAAAATTATACATTCTTGCAATTTCTCCTAATCGATCACGTCCACCAGCACTGATGTTATGGTTGTTCACACTATCTTCTTGACCTTGAGCGGGATATGATTCGCTTACGATTCCGTTTGCCATTTGCCATTGCAATAAACCACGCCATCCTTCACTCGTTTCAACGGAATCAATACGTTGTCCCCATTCATTGAATTGTACTAGCCGTGGCTCTTGATTTGGTCGATCGCATAATTTTGCTAAAGGTCTTGCTTCCCTTTCGACTTTTAATGAGAATTCCTCTAATCGTTTAGATAATTCAGGCCAATACTCTTTACCCTGTTTCGATTGACTAAATTGACGTGCTAATGCGAATCGAAAAGGAGCATCACTACTCCAATAATCCTTTACAACGAAAGGTGTATGTGGTTGTACTTCATCGACACGCATGATTGAACAGAAAAAGATTGTAATGGTGATGATGAATAAGGTAGGAGTCCCTATCTTCAATTGTGTTTTTATCGTACCCCGCACTCTTTTTGCATTCGCTTCCGAATAAATACGTTGAAGCCGAATACCCGTTGAAAGGCTCAACAGCCAAGCGCGTCCGTTGACAGCCGCTTATAATTGCCCGCCTTTCCGGCGCAGGAGCTTATGTTACGCCGAGTTTTAAAGTCAGACACTCTTTCCTACCTTAGAGACTATTGATCAAAAGTTGCAACTATTATTTCCATCGAACAATATTCAAGCAAGTCCAAGTCAATGCTCAATCATATCCATGGAGTTTTGAATATACTGTCACTGTATTCAATGACTCCTCTTTGCTAAAAAGAGGCGTTCATAATGGTTAGTTACAGTTTTGACGCAAACCCCCTCTAGGGCGTGAACATAATATATGCACGTTTACGCGTTTTTCTTTGTTCAGGGTTAAAATAAAAACTCGGCTAAAATGCATAATTATAATTAAGGGAACATAGCCTTGCAGCGCGTTATTAAGATTAGAGATTGCATTAGATAACCACGTTGCATTCATTCACTTGAAGTTGATTCTGTTGATCACCACCTTTACAAACACATACAATCAGGTTCACTTTTGATTCTCAAATAGAGAGCATAACCACCTGACAACACTACTCGAACAAAGTCTCATCCCAAACAAAGATGGGAAGAGGAGGTCGTAATTCATCACGCGGAAGAGGCGGTGGTGGAGGTGATGGCTTTAATAAAGCATCTAGAGGCAGAGGTGGCGGCGGTGGTGGTGGTTATGGAAGAGGGAGAGGAAGAGGCGGAATTGGCGCTGCAGTTCTTCAAGGAAATAACTATATGCAATCATTAGGAATGGGTGACTTTACCCCATTCAGCAGCGGCTTCAATACACAAGCACAAACACAATCACCTACTGCTAATCGTGGAGGTTCTGCACGCGGCGGCGGTCGTGGAGGAAGAGGTAGAGGAAGAGGTCGTGGTGGTATACATTCTGTACAGTCTCAACATGCTGTCGAATTCGATTATTCATCGCTTGCTCCACGTTCTATCGTTCGCCAATCAAATCAAGATGAATTAGAGGAAGACAGCGATGAAGATGACGAAAAAGATATCATAATCGAAACACGTAAAGGTTACGTTCACAAGATCAAACCTCACCTTGAAAACGATCAACGTACTCCTCCTGATACGCCGCAAATTGTACATGGCTATGAAACTCTTTCGGATAGCGAAAACGTTGCTTCAAGTTCACGTGTTTCACCTTCACCAGCGGAGAAAGCGCGAGCCGAACGTATTCGAACAGGTCAAATAGCCGCTGTCATTCCAACAGGTCCTAAGTCTTTGACACCTTTTCGAGTCAATAATGCAAAGGCAAATAATCAATTACCAGCCGATTTACCAGTTTTCAAACCTGCTACTTCCGCCAAGAAAACCAAAAAAGAATACGTTCGTCCTATGGAAGATCCTTTGGAAGATGCATGTATGGGCGGTATACCTCGTGGAATGCGTAAACGTCAAAGTCGATTTGATAAAGGTGAATCTTCACTTAGAAGGTTTGAAGCCGAAAAGAGAAATCCTCCATCATTTGTCAAAGCGAATGGAGATTGGAAAGACGGCAAATGGATACGCACGTCAGAAGATGGACCTGAAACATTGATGGAAGATTCAAAGAATACTGAGAAAGCTAACGTCTCGGACAATGTCACACGAACAGGTCTAGGTTTCAACGCAGCTTCGACGAGTCAACCAAAGGTTGAAGATCGAAATCTAGATGAGGAAGAAGATGCGATTAATGGATTGATGGAAGGAGACAGTACAGTCGATGAACTACTGAAAGCTTTCCCCGGTTCAGCAATTTTGCAAGAAAGCGGAACTGTCGATGCCTCTCTGGGCTACTATTCAGCTCCTTCTGATCTGGGTCTAGGCAGAAACGTCATTCCACCTCATCAGACTGTTGAACACATAGCCGACACCAACATCATATCGAGCACAAAGGAAGAGGCAAATGAAGTGGAAGAAGACGATGATGATGTAGAAATCATTTTAGTCGATCAGAAGCCAAGTACGATATCTGAGCCTGAGGTCTTGCAAGAGACTGAGTCTGCAGTCGAAATGACAACTGAGGTATCAGACACCAAAGAAAAAGAAGACGACGATGACGGCTTCTTTGTGGACACTGTTGGCGAAGAAACGAAGCCAAGCAATGAGATTCAATATGAGTCTATCACGACTATTGCTGTTGGTGAAGCACTGCCCGAGCAGGACGCAATCGCAAACGCTTCAACAAGCGAGGATGAAGAATGGAAGAGCGAAGGAGAAGGTGAAGACTTTGTTCAGCTTCCTGGTCAAGGACAGCCTGGTCGTAAAGGCAAGAAGGCACGAAATGCTGCCAAGAAAGCCAGAAGAAAGGCACGCAAGAATGGCTTCACAATGACTGAAGAACCTCCCATTGCACGTGAAGGTGATTCTGATTTAGATTGGGGCAGTGATGGACCACCAGTTCGTTTCCGTAAAACAGATGATCAAATTGAATACGAAGATGGAGGTACGGAGCTTTCAATGGATCAACTACGTCTCAATGCCGCATCTTCAGCACCACGAAATGCTGAAGAAGAAGAAACGCAGCTCGCAATTGCATTGGCTGAGAGCATGGGCACAAAAGGAAAAGCAAACGGTACAAATAAAGCACTTTTCAAGTCTCAGAAAGATGCCATTTTGGACGACTATATGGCCAATGCTATGGGAGGAAATGATACCGATTCGGATGAGATCGAAAGGGAAGAACGAGACGATTCCAAAGAGGATCAAGATACCGAATTAGATGCTATGCTTCGATTTATGAATGGTATGGATGGTCAAAGATCCGGCAAAGAGATCACGATCGATGATATCAACGTCGAACGTCAATTGCAAGACGAAGAAGAATGGATGACAGATTCTGATGCAGAGTCAGGCGAAGAAAGCGAAGATTCCGAAGCTGAACGTGTCTTCAATCATGACGAGAAGCGTTTGGCGAACGAAAGCGGATCGAGTGAAGTCTCCAGTGATAATTCTGATGACAGCGAAGATGATGACGATGATGAGGACGAGGATGACTCTGATGATGACGAAGACCTCGCTTTTGAACGTAACTTCACTTGGGCAGACGCTGATGAAGACTTTATTGCTCGTCTAGACAAATTTGCGCAAGCAAATGATGAAGTATTAAAAGGTCGCAATAGAGGTGCTAGAAATAAACTTTACCGAGCAATCGAACGAGGCGATTTCAGTATGTTAGACGAAGATGATATGCTGAACAATGGTATGGATGGAATGGATCTTGATGATCCAGTGCTGAGCATGCAACCTGCAAAACGCGGGAAGAATGCAAAGAAGACATGGAAAGATGACGATGTTTGGGCACAAGATCTACAATCACAATGGCAAAAAGATCGAGCAAAGAAAGCGGATAATAAACGTAAACGTGCTGAGCAAAGAGCGTTAGAAGCTGATAATCCTTTCCATAATTCAAACGGAAAGGGCAAAGGAATGAACAAGAAACAGCAAAAGAAAGCCGCTCGTGCAGCCAGACGTGCTGAGAGAGTTGAAGGACGTGGAAACATGAAGGATATTGATATGGTTGACGAATTATTTGGCGGTCGTGGCTTTGCTAGCAGTCGAAAAGAAGATCCACTTTCCCGTCATGCAGTCACTTTGATCGAGGTCAATCGTCAAATCGAGCTATTCATGTATGACGTTTCAAAGACGACCTTAAGTCTTGCACCGATGGACAAGCGTGCTCGAGCACAAGTACATCAATTGGCAAGTTGTTATAATTTGATCTCCAAGTCTAAAGGAAGCGGTAATCATAGATTCCCTACCCTGATCAAGAATTCACGTAGTGGCTTACAAGTCAAACAAGGCAGAGTCAATGCAATCTTACGTTCTGTTGGAGGTGCAAGTTTCGGTAAAGGCAGCAAAACGGGCGCAAATGCTCCCAAAGAAGCTGGACGAAAAACTAAAGAACGTATACCTTTGCCACGCAATCAAGAAGGTGCACAAGTTGGCTTTGGCGCAGAAAGAATTGGCCAAGATAATGTCGGTCATCGTCTTCTTTCGGCTATGGGCTGGGTGGAAGGTATGGGTGTCGGTGCCACTCAAGGTATGTCTGATCCCGTTGGCGCAACAATCAAGATTTCAAGAGGTGGTCTTGGATTTTAGGTGTAAAGTGCATATTTATATTAGCAATCATCCATACATTAATATGTAGAGTTCACACTTTACGATTTTGCGAGATGTGAAACGGTAATCATTGCATGCTGAGCGTATACAGCTTACGCTTCTGGACTCTGAATATGCGTACATGATTGTATAGAGTGGTGCGATATGCCACGGTGAAACACATGAATCTATACTTCTCAGTCAGGTGATGATGGTAGACTGAAAGCGATCCACAAACAAGATTAAAGAAAATCTTTTTTGCATTTCCGCTGGCGAAGCTATATTAAACAATTTTGAAAATGTATACAGAGTTGTGATGTAATAAAGCGCGACCAAGATGAGTTGAGTAGAGAAATTTTACATAGGCACATTGGGTGGTGTCGGTTGAGGGCCAGTAGGATCGAATGGGATATCAGAACTTGGGCTTTCTATCGAGATACCGACACCGAATCGTGCTAGAGAGGACCAATGATCAATTTCACCACCGACTGTGAAAGCGAATGTGGGAGCCAATCTTGTTTCCAATTGAGAAGAAACCTTGAAATTGCTGTCAATTTGGGCACGGAATGTTGACATGCGGAAATCGTACTTTGCTCCCAATGTGGATGTCGCTTCTCTCTTTCCTGCTGCTGCGATCACATTGAAATCTCCGGCAACATCAACTTTGTCTGTCAATCGTTGCCAGTATGTTGCATTCAAAACACCTTGGCTTTGGAATTGGAATGTTCCGATAGAGTTCTTATCAGTGCTCGTCCACTTTCCCATATACCCTACCATGGCATCTTGTGTATCAGCCGTTTGCCTTTGATAGATTGTCTCTAATCCGAGAGCAAAGTTTTTCGTTAGCGATTGGATGTAGTTTACAATGTAGATACCGCTACCATCGGTGGGAGAAGGGTTGAGTGTCTTGAAGTTGGCAGCATGATCGGAACCTTTGTAATCATGCTCTAATTGCACAAAGCTTCCTTGTGTTCCCTTTGTTAGATTGCCTTGAATTTTACTGGTATGTCCGGGTGCCCATTCTGAGTTAGCACGCATCTGTACACTACCTCCATCGTCACAACCACCTTGGAGGAACCAATTATCGCTACCGTAAACTACGTTTAAGTTGTAAGTAGACGGTGCCATTCCATCCTTAGTTGTTCCACCCAAGCTGAATCCATGTGAAACTTGAAAGATTGGATTGATAGAAAGAGCCTTTGTCAAGTCTGCCTTTGCACCATCGAAGAAGAAATTTGTTAATAATGTACCCTTTACTTCACGTTGTAATGAATCTGTCGTGCCTGGGAACGGTAGATCGAGTGCTTTCCGTCTTTCTGCCATGCTATCGAAAGCTTTTCCAAAAGGACCCAAGATAGGATCTAAGAATGAAAGAAAGCTAGATGCTCGATCATCTCTTCTATGAATCGGAAATGCTGGCTTTTCCTCGTGAATGAAAGGAGAAGGAGCACCTTGACCTAATTGTTCATTTCCTGTATTTGGAGGAGGCGGAACGCCTTGTGGAAGGAATGGTGATTGTGCAGACATTCTTGTGAGCAGGTGCAAGATGATCTTCGGGAAGAAGAGAAAAAGATGGTGGAGCAGTGACGATGAACTTCTTCATTTCCTCCTTGCCTGCACGCACACGCACACGCACACACACGCATTTCCACTTTCTAATCCATTAAAAATCCTTTTGAAGTGTCGCTTACATACAATTTCAACATGCACGCGATCCACACTAGACAAAAAAAATCCTTTCCTTTGTGTTCTTGTTGCCGATAACCGGGTTCACGTGCAATCAATCCAACGAGAAAGGCAATCAATCCTTTTGTCGATCCAATACGCGTAAAGACGCGCAAAAAGGCGCGGCGCTGTGGAACTAAAAAGTTGCAAGATGTGTGTCAAAAGCTTAAACTGTTGGTTAACAATCGGCACACAAGGGTGAGAGAGAGAGGAGGGTAGGGATGATAGGGCAAAAAGGCGCTGGATACGCCTACTATAATTGTTCACCTTAATTTGAGAATGGGGAGAAAGGACAGAGGGGGAATTAAGACGCATAAATGCATTTAAAGGTTGTTAAATTGCTACTTTTAAAAAGATCACCTCTGTCTATATCATTGGAGTAACAAAAGGTAGCACTTGATTGGATCTGAATAAAGGCTTGCCTTTTCTTCATCCTTTCTCGTCACCGCTGGTCGGCAATCTTGTCTCAAGGGAAGCAGATTTACACCAAGGAATTCCAACCAGATATTCTCCTCATTCGTACAACGATCAAAGCGCTGAAGGGAAAGCCGCATTGACACAGAATAATTAAAAGGGCTCATTCGATATTTGCAGGTGCATCTACATTAAACCCTCTTTCCGATGTTAACACCACGCCAATCTATGAAACACTCTCCGACCTAATTTATTACGACACAATGGATTCCATATTCGGCAGAAAGAAGCGGACAAAGGGACCATCGGGAGAGATCCTAACTTCTTCCGGTGCAGGTGGAAGTAGCACAGCAGAGGTCATTGGGAATAGTATGACACCCCGAATGAATGTCTCAGCACCAACTGGGATGAGATTTGTCAGTGGAATGACACATGACAATCAGAATGGCGATTATCCATATCCATATCCCAGTCCAAATCGGATACATGCCGATAATGGAGACGAATTTGGCACTTCTCGCAATTCACCAAGCTCGCATAGGCGTATACCATCTGCCGCTTCCTCTTCAATGCGAAGTGTAACATCAAGACCTACAGATTATGCTCAAGAACCTCATCTACATCAGACCAGATATGCGCCCAGTACGATGACAAACAATTCTCTGGAGGCTAACGCCAATCGATATCCGGCAATGACGTCTGAGATCCTAAACCGAATGTCGATCTCTTCAGCTGCTTCGGCTTCATTGGGTATGGGCCCGGGTTTGAGACATCCTTCCCACGAACAGTATCTGGGTGCCTCATTACCGCGCGAATCATCCTCTCAAAGCTTCTCTAGAATGTCAGCAAATTCTAGCACGCAATTACCTCCCCACGTAGAAGGAAAAGCAGAATTCATCATGCAAAGACCTGATGATGCCGAAATTGAAAGGATGTTTGCGGAGTTGATGAACAAGAGAGACTTTTTGGGATTGCCGAGCGGAAATCTTTCGGATGATTACAAGGAAGCTGCTAGGCGGAATATGATGAATTTTCCTGTTCATAAGAAATGGATGTTGGTATACAATGACAAGTTCACCGAATTCCATGCTGAAAAGGAGCGAGAACGAACGCGCAGAAATCATCAGCAGGGACAACCCGGTGGACCAGCGTCATCAAACATGGTCATCACACGAAACTCGCCTGAATGGTACATCAAGAAATTCATGGACGGCAGTGTGACGACAAAGCATATTGAGAGCTTAGCGGTCACTCTTCGAACGTGTGCTATGGGATGGGTGGAAAATTTCGTTGATGCAAAAGGAACACCAGTGCTTGCTAGCTTCCTCAATGGCCTACATGCAAAAGGATCTGCAAAATCCGATACAGATATGGCATTAGAGTACGAAGTGCTGAAAGCATTCCGATCTTTGTTCAATAGCAAAGCAGGCGCCAATGATGCATTAAGGCAACCAAAATGCGTGAACAGCATTGTTCATTCTATCATTTCTGCTCATTTGGCAACTAGAAAGCAGGCTGCTGATATTCTACTATTCTTGTGCCATTGGGCTATACCTTCTGGTCATCAATTGGTTTTGCGTGGGTTTGACGAATTGAAATCGTCTCAGTCAGACCATGGGCGTTTTGATGCATGGTTCCGTATTCTGGAACAGACGATTGATGGTAGAGGACAGATGGGTAGCAAAGTGGGTCAATCAGAAGAAATCCGAAAGATTAGTATGTTGGGTCATCAAGAAGCTTCTTTGAACGAATATGCGGTCAACAATATGTTCCTCGTCAATGCAATCCTCTCATCGAGAATCGTCTCAGATTATCAAGTTCGCGTTCATTTACGAAATCAGATGGAAGCCAGTGGTTTACAAAGAATTTTGATCAAATTACGAGCGTTCAAGAATACCGATTTGGACAGGCAGCTAGACGAGTATGAGAAAGGAGCAGAGCTGGATCAAGACAATGTTGTTGAATCTTTCAACAAAGAAGTTTTGACAGATATGTCGGACCCTGTCGATGTCTTCAAAGCGATTGTAGGAAAGATATCTGGTTCGCGTGCATATGACTTCTTCTTATCTGGTTTGCAGCATCTTTTGCTAATCCGGCAAGACGGAGAAAGTCTTGTGCATTATTATCAGTTGATTGACTCAATGATCTCAGCAGTGGTGATGGACAAAAAGGGAGCAGTAGAGGGCAACGACATGAGTTCTTTGCTGGGAGTGTCGGTGAACAATGTCCTATCCCGATTCGCTGACCAAGACGCGATGAATGCAATCAAGGATGAATTGCAGCAAGCAAAACTGGTTGCACGAGAAGCACAGACGGAGAAGCAGCATTTAGAACAACAACTTAATGAGACCAGTGAGGGATTGGTGGGAAAGCTGCAAGAACGTGTAACAGAGTTAGAAGGTGATTTGGATGTATCACGCGGCAACTCTAGCGCTATGCAACGAGATATGGAAGATATGGAAAAAGGATATGTTGACCGAATCGTTGCTTTGGAAGTTGAAAAGCGTGAGCTGTACGATATGCTTAAAGAAGCACAAGGCGCAGCAGAGATTGCCGCAAATGGTACAGGCAACATGGATAGGCAGCATCTCGTTGAAACGCTCGAAAAGCAAATGGAGCGCAACAAAACGATTCGCAAATTGGAAGCAAATGCGAAGAAGAATGGTCAAATTGCCAAGATGACAAGCGAACAAGAAGATGCTGTCAGAGAGCGGGAGAAGCGCTTATCACGCAAACGTCTTTCCAAACCATCGTTGCGAGATGAAGCCCAGGCAAGTGCTCTTGACGACGAAGAGGATGGATCCTCATCCGAGTCAGAGCTTGATCCAAATACCGATGCCGGAAAGTGGAAGATTCAAGCAACCCTTGCTGCTGGCATGGCTCGCAATACCGATCTACAAAGTAGAATGACTGATGCGAAAGAGACAAGAAGACGTAAAGGCTCTCGAAGCAGTTCGAGCAAACCCACTGATTCTATCGCTCCGTTGTCATCACCAATCGATGTTGGCGACGGACAGTCCCCACCACCTCCACCTCCGCCGCCACCACCAACGGCAGGTGGCACGGCAACTACGTTCTTGGACGAAATTCGAAAGCGAAAGGCGTCTGGCTTGCGAAATACATCCTCTGGTTCTGGCGAGATGGGCCCTCCTCCACCTCCTCCGCCGCCTCCAATGCCAGGAGTGCATTCTTCAGCATTCTCCAATTCGGATTCCTCCAGACCTCCCTCGGTCATGTCTGTCGCTGCAGGTGATGCCCCGCCTCCACCACCACCACCTCCGCCAGCAATTGGTACTCCCTTGCGTGTAGGCACGCCCGTCTCCAATGCTCCAATGCGGTCACTGGAGGGTACGCCAGGTGCTAACCGAGATTCAATGCTAAACGTTCGCGCAAGTGTCAGCAGCACGATCGGACCGTCTGGACCAATTCATGCTCCTCCAGCTCCTCCTTCCTTCTATGCCGCTAATATGGTGATGCGTAAGGAAGTCAGCGATACGGCCAAGCAAAGAATGAAGCAACTACAATGGGACAAGTTAACCCCACAACATGCTGCAGAAACAATTTGGGGACAAAATGTTGTCTCAGAAGAAGAATTGGCAGAGATGTTACGCGAACAAGGATTGTTCAATGAGATGGAAGAAGACTTCAAGGCTAAACAAGTCACAAAACGAGCCACACAAACGGCAAAGAAGGAAAAGATGGAATTCAAAACACATCTTACCTTACAAACCAGACAAGGTATCGAAATGGTATTGCGTCGTGTTAAAAGCAGTCTGACGGATGCCAAGCACGCTACTCCTGAAGAAGTTGCTCATCATATTGTCAATTGCAATGAAGCCGTTCTTGATCAGAGCTTCTTGGAAGAACTCTTGCGACACTATCCCGAAAGCGAGGTGAAGGGTCAATTGGGTGAATACCGAAATGCTTCCGATGAGGAGCTTCGTCTTTTGCATCCCGCAGATCGTTTGGTGGTGCTATTGATGACGGTGCCGCATTTGAAGGACAAGGTGAAAGGTTTGCTCTTCCTGACCAAATACAGAGAAGCAATCGAGATTATCAAAGAAGGTTCCTTGCGCGTACGTGACGGAAGTGAAGACTTGATGAAAGCCCAAAACTTTGCCAAGTTACTCAGCTTGATCTTGATGATGGGTAACTTCTTGAACTCGAATGGAATGCAAGGAGGTGCCTTCGGTTTCAAGATTAGTTCGATCAACAAATTAGTTGATACCAAAGCAAGTGATGGAACTACCCTGTTACACTTTGTGGAAAGGACTATCAGTCGTTGTTTCCCAGAAACAGAAGCATTTTTGGAAGAATTGGAAAAGCCAAGCGAGGCATGCAGAGTACAATTGCTCGACCTAAAGCGCGATCTAGCAGAGTTGAAATCTGGTAGCTTGCAGCACAAGAAAGAATTGGACAAATTCTTGGATGAGTCCGAAGATCGGTTGGAGGATCCTTACACAAAGGTGATGCTGCCATTCTTGAACGAAGTCCAGACAGAACTCACTCGTCTTACTGATCAAGTGCAATTCAGTGAACGTGTATACGTTGATGCTCTTCGTTACTTTGGAGAAGGGCCAGATCCGAAACGAAGAGGGTTCCCTGCACCACAACCAATGCGAACTGAAGACTTCTTTGGAATTTTCCGTGAATTCTGTGCAGCATACAGAAAAGTCAAACAAGATAATGTACACATCACTGAGCTACGTAATGCCGAGGCTAAACGCAGAGCGGCAGCTGAAGAACGTGAACGTGAAAGACAGGAAGCAATCAAACGCAAAGAAGCTGGCGTGGATGATAGTGCGGTATTGGAAACATTGTTGACAAGTTTGCGTGGTGGTGGAGTTACGCCGAAACGTAAACGTAAAACGCAGCAAAGAGGCGGTCGTGAAAGTGGAAGAGATAGTACAGGTCAAGGTGATACTAGCGGTGGAGCGAGCCAACCTGCTGGTGACACTGCCAATATAGCTCACAGTAGCAGTATTGATGGCAATCCTTCGGATGTCGCACAAGCTATGTTGGCCAAATTACAAGGAGGAGAATCATCCAATCTGAACTCTTCTGAAAATCGCGGGTCTTCATCTTACGTTAGCAGGAGAAGAAGAGAGAGACGTACAACGCAGACAGGTCAACCTTTGAACGTTCGCAGCCTTGATGAAGGCCAGACAGCGTTGAACGAAGATGCGGAGATTGGCCACAGACAAAGTGTTTCAGAGAATAGTCCAGACGCTTCTTCTCGCCCTTCACTCGATCGTGCGAATAGTGTCCCTGAACGTCCGCCGCGACGATCAAATACAGTCTCTCATACTGATACTGGCGCTCGTGATACCAATCATTCTCGCAGCGACAGTCAACTTTCAGAGGAAGGATCATCGTATTCTGCCAACACAGGTCAAGGTTCGGAGTATGAAGATGAGCATCAAGAGTACGAGCAGGCTGACGGAGAGATTGACGATCAACTAACGCCTGCTGCGGAAAGATTGCTCAGGCTGGATAGTCAAGAGCGTTTACGACGTTCACAGATGGATGAAACCGCTTTGCGAAGAGATGCAAGCGGAGAGTTTGCTCTTGAACAAGGAGAATGGTTTGATCCCGATGGATCTGCTTTTGTAGATACGAGTACGGGCAGCGCTGCTGATAGAACAGCAAGACCGTAAGACCGTCAAATGCTCAAATCAAAAAGTTACATTTCAGCGGAAGATATGCATACCTTGCTCTATTCTTTATTTCATAATTTGCTGAGACTGTAGATTATTCAGTCTTAATCATTGTAGACTTTATATCATGATATGTATCATTGTGCGGTTAAAAATACAGCTTGAATTTCTGTTTTTACATATGTCTAATGACCTGCAACGGTCAGCATATCGTTATGCTCGGTACGTTCGGCCAGAGATTTGTTGAATTGATCAACTCGATCTTTGTGTGAAAGACCTGCTTCTTTCGCCACTCGATCAGCCATCTAGCAAGGAAGGGAAATTGTAAGTCAGTGATTTGATTAGAGACAATTCCTTGTATCATTTTCATACTTACCCTTTTTCTTTTTATCTCTTCGAACTTTTTCTCTGCTTCAGTCATAATCTTCCCCGATGGTTGCCCTTCTTCAACGTCATTTGCCTCTTCTTGTCTTGTCGGAATCTCGACCTCTTTGTCTTTTGATGAAGATCTGTAATCCTCTTTGTTTCGAAGATCTTTGCTAGTAGATGATTTAGACTTGGATTTCTTCTTCTTTTTGGCGGGCAGATTGTCGTCACCTTTGAACTTCAACGAGCCCCCAGGTCGGTACGAGTATATGGAGGATGAGCTTGATGGCATTTTGCGCCTAAGGTTGAGGTAGATGAAGGTAAGAAGTGGAAACACCAATTAAGCTTTTGTTTCTTTCCAACTTATGCATATGGTACACTCCTCCTCCTTAACGCCGTGCTGAGCGCCTAGACTGTGTGGAGACAAAATTGATGCATAGGCCGCGTAAATGCGAATAAAGCGCCGACGACATGTCAACAAAAATTAACAAGACACTTTCTCAAACCTTTACTGTCACAAGCCCATCTCATCATCCGATCGATTCTATTATGGCATGCAACGACGAGGTGACTGTCCTGGAAAGACAGCTTCCTACAGGAATAGACGCAAGTCAGACAGCCACACGAGGCGATGAGACAAATCTATACGCTCAAATCGATCGTGATAAAGTATTCGGATTAAATCTATCCGATCCTGCTGTTGCTTCGCATTGTATAAAACCATGGGATAAAAGGACGGATTTGGAAAATTATACAGAAAGTGGGGTAGACGATCAATTCATTATCACAATCCCGTTCATCGCACCTGTTCGTATTAAATCAATCTTGGTAAACGTTGGTCGTGGCGATTTTGCACCACAAAGACTAAGAGCTTTTGTTAATCGACCAAACGGAATCGATTTTGAAGATCTTGAACAGAGTATCGCAGGTGATGCAAGAGGCGCTGTGGGACCGGCAAGCAGTGGTAAACCACAAGCAGACTTTACACTACAAGAAGACTCGATAGGCGTGAACGAATATCCGGTCAGCATTAGCCGTTTTCAAAATACAAACAGTGTCAGTCTAGTATTTGTGAGTATGATCTTGTTCTCTATTGAAATTTCTGTAAAGCTGACATGCTTTCAATGCTTCTACTATCCCAGTCTGACGCTCCTTCACAAAGCCTTTCAAGACTATACTATCTCGGCTTCCGCGGCACTGCTTTGCAACTGCAAAAGGAAGCAGGTGAACAATTTGATGTTCCTGCCGCCAATGCAGCAGATAAACCAGTTGATGGAATACGAGAAAAGAGTTCACAGGCAAATTGGGCCAGATGATCTCGTCTATAGACTCGCACTTCATTTGTACATTAATTATATCGCATATAGTATCACCTTTTGTTCTCACACAATTCTCTCAATTCGCAATGCGGTCATTACCACATCAATATTCGATATGCAGATCGGGAAAGCTAATAATACAACAAGAAGGATGAGACAGAGCAAAAGTACGACAAATCAAGCATCGCTAGACCTTGACTTTTTCTTCTCTTTCTTGTCCTTTTTGCTCTTCTTATCTTTGCTAACAGACTCATCTGCATCTTTGGCAATAGATTCATCACCAGGCACACCACCTTCACTCTTACGTGCTGCCTTCTTTGCTGCTTTCTTACGTGCTTTCTCTGCTGCACGTTCGACTTCATCTAGTGTCTCTTTATCACCACCTTTGCTCTTCTTCTTTTTGTCTTTCTTTTCGCTCTTGTCTTTCTTGCTGCTCTTCTTCTTGTCTGCTGGATCAACAACACCAACAGCGGCAGGCATGACTGCATCTTCGTCATCACTGTCATCATCATCGCTTTCTTGAGCATCAACATCCATCAGGTCTCCTGCCTCCTCTTCGATAGCACGCAATGCTTTGCTCATGGCATCTGCATTTTTGCCTGGAGGCTTACCGGATTCATAGAATTGTAGTCGCTCTTCAACCTGGTTTGCCATCACTTCTCCGAATTTAGTGGAGGGAGCATCGGAGAAACAATCGATACGCGAAGCGATACTGACCTTGTTCGCCAAGATTCGACTCATTCTACCCTTGTTCTTTGGTGCAGATCTTGCAATTGCTGATGCATTGTAGATCAAACCGTATTTGGGTGTATTTCCTTTGGTCTTGAGAGCACGGAAAAGAGCTTTTTCTGCACCTAGAATTTGAACTGTAGATGCAGGATATTTTGCCAAGTTTGTCAAAGAACCGGCGTGAGAAATAAGTCTGGCACCAATAATATCACCGATCAAAGCCGCCAAGTTGGGAGCAACCAAGTGCATCTTTTCGACAAGATATCTGTGCATGTTCTTACGGTATTCTCCCAATTGAACAACACGTGTAGCAAAGTTTTCAATGTTCATCATGTCTACGTCACCGATTTCGGTACCCATACTAGCCCTGGAGGCATCCAAAACATTCTTGGCTGCTACTTCATCATCGCCCAAGATTTCGGTCATCTCTTCCAAATCATCTTCGCTCAAACGTTCCTTTGCTTTGATGAAAGTTGCCAAACGTGCGTAAGTCATGTTGTCGGGAACGATGCGAACGAGTTCTGGGAAGTGCCATCCGTACCATTCACGAACACGCATGGCGAATGTGTTGACATCCTTATCGAGTTGATCGAGAAGGGCGATAGCTTGAATGATCATATTGTCACTTCTATTTACGTTGAACTTGACCTTACTACGACTGTAACTGTGACCGAGACCGAGTTGTGCTTTGGTCATATCACCTTCTGCCAATCCTTTGAGCATCTTTTCGCTGTGCAAGCGAATGCCGCGGATCAGCTCAAGTGTACGATCACTGGTGTCACATTGAATGTTTAATTCGCTCACGATGGAACCGGCCAAGCCTTTTTCCGAAACACCAAGTGTGACACCTTTTGATTTCTTACCGGCGGGGGCGAGATTAAGAGTCAACAAGGACTTGAAGTGCTCGTTCAAGACTCCTTCAGAAACATCAAGACATGATTGTAGAGCGTCGAGAGCATTTTTGAAAGGGCTAAAACTGATCAATTTTACCATTCGTCCGAATGTGTTGAGATCTTTGATTGATTCTTGTACCTGTTTGGTTTTGTTACCAATCTCTTCTGTTTGAACACATTCAAAGATTGCAGCGCCTGTTGCGCATTCATATAGAATGTGGGTTGGAGCACCCGACATGTTTGCTATTGTTCGTCTGGGTGTATTGTTTGATGGTGATGGCAGCAATTGATTCGATTTGAGAAGATCTTTTTTTTTGTCCGCACATCTCCTCAGTGTCAAAATTTCCACGCTCTTTTAATTCTTCTGCGAAAATTTCAATTAAGCTTGATGGGAATTGCACGTGATTGTTCTGTTCAACAAACGCTAATGTGTGCAGAGTGTGCTTGCAATGCTCTGCTTACGACGCGATTCAAACGCAAGGCTTAAAGGTGTGTGAGTGTGTGTGTGTGGACTTACCTTCCAAAATGACCGTGCGTTACCAATGAACACGACGCAAGTCTATTGCAACACCTCTGGCTAGATCCTCTCATCTTCTTACCATCTTTCACATTTATATCATCAACTCACAGCTCTTGACAAGATGTCCAGAAGCAGTTATGATCGTTATTTGACGATCTTCTCTCCCGATGGACGACTATATCAAGTAGAATATGCTTTCAAGGCGATCAACACTTCAGGTTTCACCTCGATCGCATTACGTGGAAAAGATTGTGCGGTAGTATGTACTCAACGTAAAATACCCGATAAACTACTAGATCCAACATCAGTTTCACATATTTTCAAATTAACGGCTGAAATTGGATGTATAGTTACCGGTCGTATTGCCGATGCTCGTGCTCAAGTCATGCGTGCTCGTTCAGAAGCAGCAGAATTCAAATACAAATATGGTTATGCAATCACCCCAGACCTTTTGGCAAAACGAATGGCAAACATCAATCAAGTTTACACTCAACGTGCTGCCATGAGACCGTTGGGAATTAACATGATGATCATCGGTTTGGACTCGGATCCTGAACGTGGACCACAGGTATTCAAAGTGGACCCGGCAGGATACTATGTCGGCTTCCGTGCAACTGCAGCAGGTGTCAAACAAGCTGAAGCAATCAATTACCTAGAAAAGCAATTCAAGAAAGCAAGTACAAGTATTCCTGTCATCGCACAAACTGCCTCTATCGGAGGAAGAGGTGCATCTCAGACGGAAGGAACATCTTCCTCTACTTATTCCTTACCCGACGAAGCAGCAAGTGAAGCAGAACAAATCTCTAAACATCTTTCAGAGAATGACGTTTTGGAATTGGCCGTAACAACGCTTTCAACCGTACTAGCACAAGACTTGAAGAGCTCGGAGATCGAAATTGGAATCATCGGAGGAGATAAATCGCTCAACCTAAGCGATCAATCAGATCAAGCAAAGGCTCAAAGGCGTTTCCGTACATTGAGCGAGGAGGAGATCACGGCTGTATTGGACCGTATCGCTGAGCGTGATTGATCTGTAGAAAGTAGAAGAATTGTTTTCAATATCATCATGGTTTCTTCTAGTCACGAGTGATTAAGTTCATCCGATACAATTTGAATGATCATGCAATGAAGATAGCTAAATGAAGAAAAAAGCATGTTAAAGCAATACAAGAGTATAAATGTAAAGTTCATGGTCTTTAAAAGGTGAGAGAGCATCTCTTTTTGGGGGATAAGATGGGCATTTTGCATTTAGAAGAGCATCTACGATTCCATTTTTTTCAATCTTCATCAACAGCACGTAAAGCTGCACGACTGCTAGTGCGTAACCTTGGCAAGAAACCCTTTTTTGGTGTGTTGGAAGAATTGCCTAATCGACTTGAAGATCGTCCATCTGCCTCGAGATCATCCATAGGATCATTCATACCTAGAGCAGATTGGCTACGGAACGGCAAGGCGGTATTGCTACCATTCCTTTCGTCGAAATTGCTACTTCCACGTCTGGCACGCAGCCAAGGTTTTAGGCCGGAAGAAGATGCAGCTTGTGGTTGTGGTGAAGGATAAGCTTGATCCATATCACTATAATTTCCGTATGGCATATTCAAAGAAGGATCATGGTAATCACCTCTGTTTGGCAGCGTGGAACTTGGACGACCGTACACTTGATTGTTACTGTAACCATTCATTCCAGAAGACAAATTTGCCGTGTTGACATCATCGAACGTTCCTCTGGAACTACGACTCTTCAAGCTTGGCGTACCGTTTGTTCCTGCTGCCTTGTTTGAAGCAATCGAATTGGCAACTGATTCACGTTTGTTTTTACCAAAAGGTAATTTCAATAATCTAGTCTTCTTTCCGCTCTGTTGCGTTGTAGGAGGACCACTTGAAACAGATCGATCACGGGTGCCTGCCATAATTTCATTCTCATCTCCGCCAAATTCGGATGTAAAAGCGTTCAAACCACCGCCAGCACTACTACTTCGAGTATGCATGGCTCTTTCACCTCCTTCGTAAGAAGGGAAAGTTTGGGCATTAACACCATATCCACTTGTAGGTCCGTTGATCAAGTATTGTTGTTGATGAGATTGTGTGAACGGTTGCGGACCGGGATAGTCTTTGTATGGCGCACGGGTTTGTGTATACATCGAAGAACCTTGATTGGAATTCACTTCTTGCATATTTTCCGAAGGGGGTTGACTTGACGTACCTCTGGAAGGATTTCTCGGTGGCCTCTTCGGTGGTCCATTGGCTGAGGCAACGTTTGCCGATTCCGTGCTTGCTGTAGGGAAAGCAGAAGGAGAACGTGCATTATTGAGGGTTTCCATTTGTTGATTCATCTGAGGAGACTGATATTCTTGTTGCTGAGGTAGCGTCCAAGGCGATTGAGAATTTCGATTGTTCATCATTGCGGCTTGTTGACGTTGACCGTCAGGTTGAAGAATGCTAGATCCGGCAGACGATTGTCGTGCAAAAGCAGGGAAACTCGCGCTTTCCTCAGCTCTAGAGATAGACTCGGATAAATGAGATTTACGATAAGAACTTTGGTTACCGCCCATACCATTAGAGCCCATTCTAGGTGAATCGCGAGCTATCGGACTGCGGAGAGATTGTTGATCGCTACCCATTTCTTGAGCAGGATCTTCCATTGAACTGACTGGAATATCTCCAACATCCACAATCGTCTTTCTCTTGCCGAACAAATTGCCAGCTGAAAGGGTACGACTCCTTCTGTCTCCTTCGCCAGTTCGCGCTGTAGGCTCACGGCTTTCACGTCTTGGTGGTGGGAGAGGTCCTGAGCCAAAAGGACCCATATCAAGGCTGGATTGACTATTCATTCCTGGCGGATTCATCAAAGGCAAGCCTAGACGGTCGTTGAGCATACTTGTTCCATCCATAGAAGGACGTCCAGTGATATTCAGAAGAGACGATGTAGATCGGCGAGCTCTGTTCATCAAGCCACCCACTCCAGGAGGCGGTTGAAGATCGCTCATGGTTGCTTCTGCACCAAATGAGTTCTTACGTTGTCTGCCTGAAATGTCATCCATATCATTCTTAGATGATTGACTAGACTCAAGTGCAAAAGAATCTTTCCCTGAGATTTTACTGAACAAACCCCTTAGACCGCCCTTCTTTCGTTTCTTCTCTGCGTAATCTTGAGAATTGTCCAGCTCATTGCTTTGCATTGTTGCATCACCGGCAGGTCTGAAACTGCCTTGATCGGTATCATCACCATCGCCGGGGAAACCGTAATATGCTCGATTGAAAGCACTTGGACTAGTGGCATGCAAAGGTGTTCCAGGCAAGAATCCAGTCTGTGCTAACTTATGATCCTTCCTGTCTTCTGTACCAACGTGCATGTCAATCATGGAAATTCCACTATTCGCCAAAGAGAGTTGAGATGAAGTTGTACGCATTCCTCTGTGACCGCCAAACGCTTGCGGGGTGGAAGATCTGAAAGGAGCAGAAGGTGGTGCTAATGAACTGGAAGGAGAAGGAGGAACGTCCATGACTGGTGATTTGATTGTTGCATGAGGAACTGATCGCAAATCCTGCACGCTTCCCATTCGACCATACGGCGGAGCAGGAAGATTATTGTTCCTTCTCGGGATGCTATGGTTTGATCCATTTTCATTTCCGAGAAGGGGTGCTGACAATCTTTTCATTGCATCGTCTTCTGCTACTGGGCTTTCTAATCCTGCAGTGGGTGTTTGCGCTCTAAGACCTGAAAGTGAGCCTGGCGGTGCAGGAAGAACGTTGCGTGATTCTGTAGCAGATACTGCATTTCGCCTTCTTGCTTCTCGTGCAGATTGAATGTCTTTTTCCTTTTGAAGGCGTTCTTGAGCGTTCATCGGTGCACGCTCATCAATCTTGATCAAATTGCTTGTTTGATTGCGCTTTGAATCATTAGAGGATGTTCGAATCATCAAATTGTCATACTCTGGATGTTTAGGATGCGTCAAAGGTAATGGTGCCGGTTGCACTCCTCGAGCTCGTTGATCCATTGCAATGTATTTAGCTTGAACGGCCAAGAATGTCTGTAGCGTTCTCCAGCGATGTGAAGAAGCAGGAGGATTCATCTGTGTATGCAGTTTCAACCTTTCTGCTGTTAGAGGATCTCCTTTAGCAACCTTTTTCACTCGAATCTTTGTCAATCGCCGAACTGTTTGTGAAGCACTTTCTGTGCCATTATTGCCATTTGCGCTCAAATTATCGTTTGCTCCACCATGAGAATGTACTGATGTCTCCTTGCGGCTGTCATCTTCTGCTTCAATCCTACAGGCTTCATCAAATTCTCGATCACTTTCACGCTCCCATAAGCCAGTTCCCAAGACATGCACATCGATCATATCCTCGTCTCGCATCATACATTCCAAACAAACGTCTGGATCGTTTGGATTGCGTCGAATACCGTCTGGACCGGTCAAAGCAGAAGGTAAACCGTCTGGTCTGTTTTGTAGCTCAAACGGAGGCACCAGACTTCGTTGAGGCATAATACCAGAATATTGTCGAAGGCCAGGTGCACCACCTGGTACAGAAGCAGAAAGGTTGGGAGATGCAAAGACTGGATATGCACCTCCTACCTCCGTAACACCGTTGGCCATATTGATCATCGATGTACTTAAACGAGAATCACGAGCAGACATCTTTTGTAATTGTTGCGTGCTCAATACTTCGCCGGTCTTATTGGCAGATTGAAGTGGAGATGCGTTTAACAAATCTGGACTTTGTACACCTTCAAGCCTTCGGTCGCCATTCACAGCTGCCTTTTGTCCAGCTTTCGTTGCAGACAAAGCTGGAGATCCTTGTTCGGGCTTTGACCAAGATGCCATACTTTTGCGATTATTTTGTTTGGCTTCTTCAGCTGCAACCAATTGTAAAGGCTTCAATTGTCCGCGGAAAGTACTCTTTCGTGAAGTACGTTCTTTGTTCTGTTCGGAATACTTTCGCATTTGTGCCCGTTCCCATTCTGCTCTTGCTTCAACTTCTCCCTCTGGTGGCGGACTTGGTTCACGAGGTGGTGTTTCGATACTTGCAGGGGATGCTGCCCTGGCTTCAACAGGTGGGGCAGATGGACCTTCTGCTAAAGCAGCACGAGGCGCACTGTTTGCAGCAATGCCATTCTGTTCACCACGCATCAGTACTGCGAAAGCTGGATTAGAATCACTCCTTCCTCTTGAAGCATTATGTGCACCCACTCCAGCACCAATAGGCGTTAAAGACACTGCAGCATCTCGTGAAGGTTTCCTTTGATGTACTGCTTGCGTCGCTTCTTGTTGTGATTGCCTCTTCTCCAATGCCTCATCTGTTGAATCAGGTAATCTTCCCAACGGTTTGGCTCGATAATCTGTGATTGGTGACGTTGATTCCAAAGCATTTGGTGTCATTGCGACATTTTGCGATGGCTGAGCAGCTTTAATAGGCAACGGTGATGGAATGATATCATCCGACAGAGGAGGAGATGATAAAGCCTTCTCCGTATCTTTGGATGGTACAGGGGGAGAACTCTTCTCGGGCAGCGTTGGCGGCGGAGTATCATCGATCATGCGCTCCATTTCGGCAGCAGAAGTATCGAGTATTGGTCTGGCGTCAGGCGCAATATCACCGAGCGGAGTCGGAGATCTGTTTTCTGAAACATCCGGTGTGATTGTAGAGAATGTATTCTGACGCTTGGGCTGGGCTATAGTTTCATTTGATCGAGCGGTAGGTGCATTGGCTGATATGCCTTGAGCTGCATCGATCGTTGATGTTGCCGAAGATGGGCTCATCAGACCAATTTGAGTCGTATTTGGCGAGAGCAGTTTATTGTTGCGTGGACTTTGTATGATTGTTGAATCGGCATAAGCGGACTCTGGCGTAAGCAAAGGAAGATCTTTGGAGGGCAGCGTCGGTGATCTAGAAGGGCCAAATGTGGTTGACATGCGCTTCCGGCTCGAATCATCAACAAGAGGAGAGAGCAGCAAACGAGGTGATTGAGAAGGCGTTCTTCCTCCACCAATTCGATTTCCTGCTGCTGGATTGGATGCGCCAGGAGAATTTGCCCGGATTGTATCTGCTTCGTTAAGCCAAGCACGACCTCTCCATCCTCCAGGAAGTCGGTCATCTGGTGACGAGCTGTATGACGATGTACCACTTCGGCTATAATTATCTGCGCCTTGCAACCATGGTCTACGAGGCATTGCATCATCCAAATGTTCTAGCTCAGGTGCGCCATTCGCTTCATCATTACTTGCATATCCTCCCATGCCACTCAAAGCTGTTTGGAATGACAGAACGGAAGCACGCTTGAGGTCCTTATTTCTAGCCGAATCACTATGTTCACCACCACTGCCACTGATCATGCTCATTGAAGTACTTGGCCTGCTTTCCTGTTGCGTGCTTGCAACGGCATATAAGTCAGCTGAAGAATGTGGCTGGGATGGCATCGAGGGTCGTGCGGATTCAGATGCAGAAATTGGAACAGTTGCTCCCAATGAAGAGGATGAAGTTGCTCGTTGATGATTAGCCAATCTTGCGGAAGAGGCCAAGATGGATTGCCTGTTTGACTGTTTGTTCAATGGAGATCCATATGCGCCCATTTGACCACTTCCTTGTCGTGAATGAGATGAAACAAAGGGTGAATGTTCCACTCCACTAGAGTTTCGTGCTGCACTTGTTGCAGCTGAAGGTCTACGAGAATCGAATGAAGTGCTTAGCCCATTAAAATCGGAATCACCACCCAATGCCACACCTACCATTGAAATGGGAGAAGCAAAAGATGAATTGCGCGTTCCTGAAGCGGCTGGAGTTGAATTTGGTTGTGATTGATCAAGATTGAAGTTTCCGTCGAAGTTTATGTTCTTTGCCCAGGTTGGAGCGCGGTAGAGACTTGATGCTGATGCTTCGGATTGCACTGTTGAATAGTCGGGATTGGAGCTTTGTTCTGATGGCCTTCTCATCGTCGGACTATTGCGGCCTTGTGCCTGACCTTGATATGAGGTCTGCATGATGACAAGCAAGCGGCAATTTGCCCGAGATGCGTTGAATGAGGTCGAATAGAGAATGAAGACGCCTCAAAAGGCTTAGAAGAGGAGGGCCAAGCGGCTTAAAGAAGGTTGAAAGAGTTTGCTTTCAGCATAAGAGGGATTGATGACCAGTTTGCTTGATTTGAGGTTTGATGGTCTTTTGAGGTACGGAAGTGCAGCAGAATTGAATGATGCCAGAGCGGTATCTTGTAACAACCTTCAAGGAATTCACTGTTTGCGATAATGCTGTTCAAAGTTGTTGTATGAACTTGGTAATGTGGATAAGAAGAACACACAATCAATCATCATTCGAAAATGGAATCAAATCTCCATTACCAACCAGGGTGAATATATATTGTACCCTCTTTTGTGCTTTTTCCGCACTTTAGCAGTCTGATCTATTAATGACAATAAATGCTGTTTCTTATATGAGCCGCTAAAAAGTTGTGTGAGAATGTGCCAGTAGCAGTAGCAGGTTTTGAAATTTGAATTCACTTTACTGTACTCTAATGAGTATATCACACGCGTAATTGAAGGAGCTACAAGCACTTCTGTGCACACGGCATATAGAAAACGGCAAGCAAACGCAAAAACCACAAAAAGAAAATTAAAATAAAATAATCCGATTTCACTCGAGTGAGAAACAAAGGAGTTTTAAATCTGTGTGCAGTGCACCACACACAGTGCATGCATTCATTCACACATCTCTGTTGCGTTGCGGGTGAAGTTGTGTTACTCGTTTGATAGGCTACCCGGCACAAGTTGTTTGAACATGTACGTGCATTTAGCTTGTTCATCGATTTCCGATTCAAACAGGATTGCATGCTGGCCATTATATGATCATTGAAATTCATAACAGAGAGAAGGTTCGAGGAAGGTTCATATTTTATGGTATTCTCATTATTAAATTTCCATCCCTTGGACAACCCTGCGGAAGCCGCAATAGAACCTTACATATAGTATTGATATACATTTTTGTAAGTCTTGTTCCGCATTATTTCCTGAGCGGGGCGACTACGTACGATACAAAGGGAAGGCGCTCGCTCAAGACCGAATTGTAGAAAACAATAGAAAGTAGAACATGACATTCCGTTGTGGTGATCAGAGATTAATCAGGTACCACCTGCTGTTGAATTCGAATGTCTGATCTTCTTTTTCCGCGCTAGGGCCAATTGCGCAAATGAGGCGTGAGAGAGATACTGCTTAACTGCCTAAGTAGCGCCTTTAAGTTGAAAAAGGAAGCTAGGACCCCAGAAGTGAATAAGAACGACCAACAAATAGGAGCGTTCTCATAAAAAAGGCATTCTTGTCATCCTCTAACAGATATAAAGATACTTTGCTCATCCCATCATATCTCCTCAACAAGCGTACTGATGTCGAGATGAGCAAAACTCCGGCCGATCTCAGGCAAAATACGAGCAGCAGCAATGGAATCACAATCACATATGCTGGACCAGAAGCATTGATAGAATCAGGTCCATTTGGTACTCTGTTAAACACTTTCTCATCACAATTACCTTTGAGAAATCTTCATTGGAAATCTTCAACTTGGTCACCTGCTCCCCAACAAAATACATCGTACTCGGCAAATGCTTCTATTCGAACGATACAAACCCTACCTGCTCGTTTGAAACCTTTCTCAGATACAGTCTTGCTGACCAAACTCAAGCCAGAAACTCGTCACTTGGTACAAAAGAGTCTTTTGGAAAGACCCTTTTGTCACTTATACTTCCTTATCGATGGCGATAATGATGCATATCGAACGCATATACGAAATGATATACGAACATGGCTAAATACAATTCAAAGTACACCAACATTGAGTGCTGCTACCATCACAGCAAGGAGCGTACAACAACAAAGCGCTGATCCTGTATCAAAAGCAGCAGCTGGTGCAGGCACCTCGACGCCACGAGCCGGAACTCCACCTATACGTCCTGATACACCTAACAGAAATAGTCAATCAGATGATATACAAACTCCAACCAACACCTCTTCAAGCAAAGAGAAAGGTGTGCCGCCATCTCCGGAATATCTGATCGTTGTCATCAGCCCACCAGATGGAAGTGCGCTAGCCCCTTCTTCCCTATCGCTATCAAGATCTGCTTCGCCTTTGCCCAGTGGTCCCAGCACGCCGAATGAGTCGAGCGATAAACCAGCGCCTGCAAAGACGGGATTGGGACGATTTTACAGTAGTAGCAGCAATTCCAATTCAAACACTACTACGATCAAAGGCAGTGTTATTGACAAAGTCAGAGCCGATTTCAATACGTCGAGAAAGGAAAGGGTGGTACATTTGACTCGTTTGCCTAATTTAGCCCAATCAAGTTCAAGCTTGCGTAATCACTTTGATCCAACAATCTTTGCAGATCTTCTAACGAGAATCAAAGATAGTGTCACAAACACATTTGACGCCGTTGTGGGCTTTCAAGATGAGGCTGTACGCAGTGAATTCAGCAAGAAAGATGTGCCTGGTTGGAATTATAACAAGTGGATGGCAGGGATGGAGTGTTTGGCTTCTACATTCGAAGCAGCTGGTTTGTTCGGCGAGGCTTTGAGTCAATATGAAGAGATTCATTCGGTATTTTTGCAATCTTTAACGGAAGGGAAGTTGCCATTCTTTACTTCAGTGGGAGGTACAACCGCGGGAGATGATTCGGCACCGCTTCTAGATATCGACAAGAAGGATTACCGCGATCTGATCTTGCGTAACGAGATAAGCCTATTTGACTTTCGCTGTTACCTTTTCGCAAAGAGAGCCGCTCTACTAGGCAAAACTGGGCGTATTTCACAGGTAATGTCAGAAACGCCATTCTTTTTACAAAGTGTTGCGAAGATGATGCAAGACGAAACGCTTCCAGCACATTTCATTGAAAGTTGGACGTTTTCATCATCGATTGATGTTGTGGAACAATGTCAAGCTTGGCTAATCGAACGAGGAGATATACGTGCGCCTGGAATGAATGACGAAGAATCTCGACAAGGAAGTATGCGTGCAGTGACGGAGAGAATTGCTGATTCGCAATTGAGCGCTTCTTTCCATGGTGCAAAAGCTGAATTGCTTGACCTCGCTCGAAAACAATTGGATCGGATAGGTATCTCTGTTGGACATCTACCGAATGCAGCACCGTTCTCGCTATCTTTGCCAAAGCAAAGCGATAAAGCGAAGGGTGATTTGACACAGTCTTCAAACAAAGATGGTGCTAGTACAAGCATGGAAAAGATCACGAGACAGGAAATTGTAGATGCTCTAGCCAGCAAGGAGGTATTCGATCTACGATATACCACTCTGACAGAACGTGCATTAGCTGGTTGGATCAGCAGCGGTCGAAAACGGAATGTGTTGAGATTGCGTAGTGCATTGGCAAATTTACACTTTTTCCGCGGTCGTTATAAAGAAGCACTCGATGGATTCACTTCGCTCACAGAACCATATGCCGATGGAAAGTGGAAGCAAATCGAAACAATCCAACTTGCAAGGATATTAGAGTGTTACGAGCGACTGGGCAAGCCTTATGATAAAACATGGACAAGCATCGTGATCGCGATCCTGAGGATGCAACATGAATGGACCACAGATGAATCTGAGACCCAGATGGATCCATCGACTAAATGGTTGGATGAGTCGTACCTTTATAAAATGCTACGATCAAAGACAAGCGCAAATGAGGATGAATTGCCAATCAGTAAATTTGAGCCTCTTCAAATCAAAATTCAAGGTGATGCAAAACGTATTGAAGGCACTTCTAGGGGTGACGGGCTCATCATCGAAGCCGTTATTGAAAGCAAAGCAAAGCATACGATAGATGTTGATGATATTCGCGTATGCATAACGAGCGGTGAAAATGGCGATTTATGGTTCACGAGTGGACCTACGTCAATTCAAGCAGGTGACCACATCCATCAACTTCATTGTATGACCAATGGCGTTTCTGGTAAATACATATTGGACGTATCTCAAATCAGGCTTGGTAAACTTATATTTCAATATGTCCACCGGCAAGATGTCAACTTCCGTTCGAGCGACAATCTCTTTCGATCCCAATCCGCATTCATCACTGTTCCGGAGGATAGTGATGCATTAGACGTCACGTTGGACTGGGCACCACATGTGTTCTTGGACAGAAGTCGAACAGGAGTCTTGACAATCTACACTGGTCGAAACGAAGTTGCTGAATTGGATGTACGAGTAAAATTGACAAGCAGTGATGTTGAGACAAGAGGATTGGCTGAAAGCATCTTCCATCCTCCTTCAAAATCTAAAGCCAAAATGACAGCATCGGACGAGAAGCTCAAACTGACAGATCTGTCGGCACAATCTATCAATGTGCTGTTGATACCTTTTCACGAGATTAATGGATTGGCAGACGGTATGTTGTTGGTTTCTATAGAGATTCAATTCTGGGCAAAAGGAACGACGGTGGAACCCGAAACGGCAAGATTGGTTCAGCGAGAGGTCAAATTACCACTTGGTCTGCCACTCGGTGTGAATGTTCAAGACTTTTTCCGACACGACCGTTTATTGAGCAAGTTTTTGATCAGTGCAGGTGCCTCAGGTCCGTTAGTGTTGGGCGACGTTGCATTATGGTCAGAGGTCCCGCCAGGTAAAGCCGCATTCACAATCGAAACACCACAACAGGAGAACGGCTGTACAGTGACTTTATCTGAGCCTGCTTCATTCGTGTTTGCCATTCGTAAGAACGACGGCATGAAAAGGGACAATACTCCCTTGCGATTGACTTTGGTGTATCGAACTGCGCAAGAAGAGGCATTCTTTTATCTTTCTCAAGCGCTGGAACAAATTGCCAAAGCTGACAAGTTCATCACAGACAGCTTCAAAAAGTGCTTTACCCGTGCCCTTTGGAAGATTGCAGAAGCCGACCTTGAGAAATCTCACTTGCGCTTACGGTCTCCTAATAAAACAGCATGGTCCAAGATTTGCAAACGGTGGTGTGGTGTAAGAAGCAGTGATGATTTGAAACGATTGATGGACATTGTTGAAAAGATTTATAGTGAAGCACAGGATCTAGCGTCAAAGAGGGCAATAAACGGAAAAGAATACGAAAAAGAAGATGCGGAATTTGAAATTGCGGAAATGCAAGCCGGTAGGAAACCATGGAGAAAGCTATCTTTGCCTGTCGATGTTCCTATCATGACGATGGTGAATGCGGTCACTTTCAATTTGCATGATAAAGACGTTCGTGTTGGGGTTCCGGTAGAAGTTTCAATAGACATTGCAACTACCTTTGCTTGGGATTCGCCAGCAACGGAATCTTCGAATAATCCTGCTGAATCGGAAACGCAACACAAAAGCAAGAATACTCTATCGCCTTCTGATGCTAAAGATAACGATGATGACGATGGAGATGACTTTGAAGATGCACAGTCAGATGTTTCCACACGTCCTGCTTCACCTTTGCCCACTAAAGATGGCGAAAAGAGTAAGACGGAAGAACAATTGGACGTAAGTGTGGACGTTAATTGCGATTTCGTCAATTGGCTCTTGATGGGCACCAAGCGAACGATCATCACTTTGCCAAAGCCCAAAAGGAATCCCAAAGGAAAAGATATCATACACAAAAATACGATTAAACTCAACTTGATTCCTCTGCAAAGCGGGGAGATCGCTTTACCTACCGTAAGCATTTGGCCATTAGCAGAACCAATTCTTCAAGAAACACCATCGTCAAATGCACATCGTCAAGCAGCAAATCTTCAAGGTGCACTCACAGGTGCCACACAACCTCAACAGCCATCCATGACACAATCAAGTGTTTCTTCAGATACGTTTGTAACGAATGAAGCAGAACGAGTGCATGTCCTTCCACGTCATATCGTTCCTCCTACTGAAACATTTTGGATCTCAGTGTAACATAAATGTGCAAAAGTGTAATAATATAATTCAAAGGGCTATACTTGTCGAGAGTGAGAGGAAAGAAAAATAACGAACGTGATAAATGTCGGAAATTGATACAAAAGGTAAACTGATAGTTAGAAGTAGTTGTTTGATAGTGATCGCTCTTGAGAATCGAGAGAACGCATGCCATTTTGTTTTGTTGTATTTTGCATTGGTTTCCATGAGGGAATCGTGGGAAAGTCATCATCGATAAGACAAAGTGTTCCAGTCTCGCTAGGTGTGACACTATTGCGTTGAACTTCAATCAGCTGAGAATCATCATTGAACCCCATTCTGCTTGCAGCTCTGGAGAATCTTTCATTGAACGGTTCTCCTTCCATGCTATCTTGACTTGTTTGCATGATCAACGTTTCATGTCTCTCACGAGAATATGCTACCAATGAGTCTAGAGTACTTTCAGAATCACGTTGATTGAAAGTTTGTTTTCTGTCTTGTTCTTCCGTTGTTTGATGATCGTAATGAATTGAATTTTGAATCTTCTCTTCGTATGCTTGTCCGATTGCATTGGCCATATCCGAGAAGATTATAGAAGAATTGATATCAAAGAATCCGTCTTGGTTACTTGAAGTGCTACTGGCTTTACTCGTACTTGACTTTGTTGTTTCAATACTCGTCACGCTGATCTGTCTTTCATGTTTTCCATCCTCTTCTGTGGATGTCAACAAGATCTTTGGTGCACCAAGACTTGCACTACTACGAGGTCGAAGATTAGGCACGATAGGAATGGAATGATCAATTGAGCTCTCCCAATCGCTATGCGCTTGAGATTGAATGTCATCATCAACAGAATGAACGATGATCGAATGAGCACTATAATGAGCACTGATCTCATCTGAAGATCGATTTTGAGTTCGTTTATCATTTTCATTATCCTGATGAGCATCTTGAATTAACAATGAGCTTCTCTTACCCGTGACATGCTTGCTCTCAGAAGCCGAACGAAGGTCTCGTGAAACTTGTTCGCTTTCTTGTGAATCTTCACGGCATGTTTCCAAAGGGCTTCCTGCCCAACTTGCAGGGCGGAAAGGTGTGATCTCATGCATAGAAGATACGCTTGTATCACCATTCAATGCACGATTTGCAAACTTCCAGTCTTCTTTTGCATCATCTGAAATAGCTGAAGTAAGGATTGAAATTTGATCCGCTTCCATGGTAATCCTTCGACCAAATTCGATCGGCATTGCGGGAAAGAGGGCAGAGGAAGACTGATGTGATTCGACCGAGTTTGTATCTTCGCTCATCGCTAATACCTTTTGCATCACATTTTGCATAATTGGATCGTGAGCGAGAATCACGGTAGAATTACGAGCACTTTGAATCATTTCTTGCTTGCGCAAAAGGTCTTGCGTGTTTCGCTCTGATCTGAACCAATCACGTACTCCAATGGATGATGGCAATGAGCCTGTATGTGCGGTCCTTCTACCCAACTCATCAATGATAGTGTGAGGGATGTCATTTTTGCTGTTTGTTTGCTCTTCTACAAATGTTCTTCTTTTGTGGTCGATTTGCGGGTCTACCTTTTCTGAAGATGCATTTGTGGAACCGTGATGAGCGAATAAGAAGCTAGTCGAGATCGTACTATCACTGACAGATGCAGGTCCCACCCTTTTGTTTACATCGAAGGATGTTCTGCCCGACTTTGAAGGTGCAATCGAAGATCGATCGCTGAAAGATTGCAGGCTCCTTTCGGTCGGCATTGTCAAGCGTTTCTTTACGTAATGACCAGACTGAATTGCCCTTGCTGCAGCAGGTGGTACGGACAATTTAGGAAACTTCCATGTGAAACTTGCATCACTACGTACACCTTTGGCGATGATACCCGAACTTGCAAGCTCATGTGAGTGTCTTTGAATAGCTTCCAAATTGGCAGCAGCGTTTGGATACAGCTGGGGTACATCAAGTGAAGGCACGATACGAACTTCTACAGGCTCGTGTGGACTTGTTGCTTCAGATACGTTGTTTCCGCCGTTACTATGATCATGCATGCCAACATCCTTCTCTTCTAGATCAACTTGCCGCTGAGAAGATCCCATGGAAGGGGAACGAGGAGGTGCAACTTTATCCAGCACGTCCGATAGCTCCTTCTCACGTCGCTTCCTCTTTCTACATGATAAGATCGCCCATAGAGCGAGCAATGCCAACAACACTGCGCCTGTCAAACTACCTGCCAAAGCAGAGGCCAAGACCACGTGGTTGTCATCACTTTGGTCTTGTTGTTGGGAATTGCTCTGTTGGGATGATGTAAAAGGCGTAGGGGAAGGACTGGGTGCACCTTTTGCAGATGTAGAGGTGAATGCATCTGTACTTGTCACAATTGGTGATTCAGTCCAAGTTGAACTTTGGAAGGTAGGCGTGGAGCTGATTTGTGGGGTTGAATGCGTACTTGATGGTATGACGGGGGAAGCTGTTGTAGCAAACACGGCCCATTGATTCTTCGCTTTGACGCTGGGAAGATGTGTATGCTTTGGTGGATCACAATCAACTTCTCTATGATGCTTCTTGATACCAAGTGGACGTCCTTCATGGTGGCGAGCATGATCTCGCGCCTTTTCGATTTTCTTGTGCAATACGGAAACGTCAGGACCAAGATATAGCCCGAGTCCATCCTTGGCCTCTGTGTTCCAATTCATTTCATTTTTGTCATTATGTTGATTCGCGTTAGGGCTACCTCTCACTTTTGGAGTGTTGAACGTTTGGACTGGTGTTTGAGATAATCTTTTTTTACGAGTTTGATCGACTTGTTGCTTCAACTGAATCAAAGCATCATTAGCAATTTGCAATTCTCGTTCTAATCTCTGAGAACGAGGCGACTCATCAATTTGTGAAGGCAATGGTCTCGAATGCCACTCTTGTTTTTCGTTCGTTGGCGTACGGTTGTCGTCTTGCCCGCTTTTACGATTTTGCTTTTCCAGCTCCAGCTCTTTACTCGAGAATGGTGCTCTTGTGTCTTCGTCTTGCTCGGATTTGTGGGCAGGTCGGCGTCTGATTCCTTTCGTCCAGGGTGTGAGGGAGATAGGAACATTCTCGTTTTGTTGAACGTGTTTTGCGTAGGTTTGTGATTTTTGGCTTTGGTAAACATTTTTGGTAGTATTGTCGTTCATCTGAACGGGAGAAGTGTATAAGGTTTAGTGTTTAAGTATGGGTGACTCTGGGGATGAAGTGTATTTTAAGCAATGCAGATGGTCATTAGCAATGAAAATATGTTTAATGATTGATGGGCAAATTGTATGAAGTCCTCTCAAAACACTTGATTGTTTCATCTACTATGCGCAGCGAAAGTATCGCCTAAACGATATACCCCAAATTTCAGACGATTCATCTGGATGCATACGAATATCTTAGTATCTACTATCCCATCTATCGAAATACATCTCTCCTTCCTCACGATGAAGCAGAGCAAAGATTCCAATTATTGCGTTCGACGCACGATTTAGCGTGTCAGTACACGATTTCAGGATCAACAATAGCGAGCATGTAACTTTTGTCGGAAGAACGGTCGAACATTAGTCGAACGTGTGGTAGACATACGACATTGTCAAGTTCATGTATACCTAGCTTGAACCATATCCGGCAGCGCAGGTGGTATGTAAAGCGAAAACAGTTGGCGGCACAGACACAGCATTGCAAGCGGCGTAGCGCAGGCAAATAGCATTCATTCAACACTGCTTTGTTGAGCGGGCGCGTCTGTCTGTCTGGCTGGCCCCCTTTTTGGCTGGCTGTAGTAAAGTTAATTTTGTGATGCTTGTGAGTGTTATTTTCAGACCAACACTAACAAAGCTATTTTAAACACTGTTCCCATGCCGCTTTTTTGGGGCTGAGCTTGCCAGCTTAAAACGCGTTTCAAAAGCAGAACGAATTTCAATCATCAAAGATCATCATCATCAACAAACAAATTATACCCTTTCACACAAATAACTTCCATCCTTCCTCCTACTCATACCAACCAAATCCAATCACTGTCTCAAATAGGGTCTATCAGGACCCAATCAGTCTTTCATCCTCCCGATCAAGGATTCAATACATGACGACTGCCTCTCCTTAAAACCCAACCATCAGCAATCATGTCGGGTAATGTGAAGGTAGTTTCACGTTTCCGTCCTCCAAATGCGCTGGAATTGCGTGAGGGCGGAGACATCGTGGTGGACTTCGAAGGAGCACCCGATTCGGATACAATGACAAATGTCAAGGTCAAAGGTGCAGTTGCTGAAGGTGGTGCATTCACCTTTGACAAAGTGTTCCCAATGGGCACAAGACAACAAGACGTTTTCGAATTTGGAATCAAAGAAACCGTTGATGATGTGCTGAACGGATATAATGGTACAATCTTCGCATATGGACAGACAGGTTCCGGTAAAACCTATACGATGATGGGTTCAGATATAGACGATGATGCACAAAAGGGTATCATTCCCCGCATTACAGAACAAATCTTTGATAGTATCATGTCATCTCCGCCCAATTTGGAGTACTTGGTAAAAGTCTCATACATGGAAATCTATATGGAACGAATTCGCGATCTGTTGGCCCCGCAAAATGACAACCTTCAAATTCACGAAGAAAAGAACAAAGGAGTGTATGTCAAAGGTCTTTCAGATTTCTACGTTGGTGATCAGAGCGATGTGTACAAGATCATGAAGCAAGGAGGTATGGCTCGTGCTGTCTCCTCGACAAACATGAACGCCGAATCTTCTCGATCCCATTCCATCTTCCTCATCTCCATTCAAGTTCGCAACACCGAAACCGGTACTCAGAAATTGGGTAATTTATACCTTGTCGATTTGGCCGGTTCCGAAAAGGTTGGTAAGACGGGTGCAAGTGGTCAAACTTTGGAAGAAGCCAAGAAGATCAACAAAAGTTTAAGTGCATTGGGTATGGTCATCAATGCGCTCACAGATGGTAAATCTTCGCATATCCCTTATCGTGATTCCAAATTGACACGTATTCTGCAAGAATCGCTTGGTGGTAACTCTCGTACAACATTGATCATCAACTGTTCTCCCTGTCAATTCAATGTCGATGAAACAATCTCAACGCTTCGGTTCGGTGTTCGTGCTAAATCGATCAAGAACAAGGCTCGAATCAATGCTGAACTCAGTCCTGCAGAACTGAAAGCCCTGCTGAAACGGGCTCAATCGGACATTGGTAAATACCAAAACTACATCACAGCCCTTGAAGCCGAATTGAAGATTTGGCGTGCTGGTGGAAAAGTTGCTGAAGCGGATTGGGCAGATATGGCAAAGATTGCAGCAGGAGTCGCTGCTGCTTCTGCTGGTGCCACTGGCGAAAGTGCTGTTGCACCTACAGCCAAAGCTTCCCTGGCTTCTGGTGCAAGACCACAGACACCGGCAATCGAGGGTTTGAAAGAATTGAGCTCTCGACCCGAGACCCCAACGGCTGTTTCGATGGATAAAGATGAACGTGAAGAGTTCCTTCGACGTGAGAACGAATTAGCAGATCAAGTTGCCGAAAAGGAGACAGCTCTAAAGAAAGCCGAAGAGGAATTGCGGGAAGCAAAGGATGAACTTGGCTTCTACAAAGAACAAGAAGCAACTCTCGGAAAGGAGAACAAGAGCATTGCGAGCGAATTAAACGAGACCAAGCTTCAGCTTGAGAGATTGAATTATGAGTCCAAAGAAGCCGTTATTTCTATGGATATCTTGAAGGAGCAAAACATGGATCTGACTGCGGAAATTGAGGAATTACGCAAGAGTTTGACACAAGCGAACAAAGGAGGTGCAAATGCAGACTTGGAAGACGAAGAGAAGCAGCGGAAGAAGGCTGAACGGATGGCAAAGATGATGGCCGACTTCAATGCAGGAATCGTTTCCGAGAAAGAGGAACAGATTCGACAAAGCTTGGCCAAGCTTGATAAGGCTGTCGAAGGAGGACTCAGTCAAGACGATATCAGCACTTTGCGTGAGCAATTGTTAGAGAGTCAGACTTTGGTTCGCGAACAAAACGAACGTGTTCGTCAAGCCATGGAAGAGAATGAACGCTTGGTGACAAGACGTGATGAGATGGAATCTCGTTTGGCAACATTGGAAGCCGAGTATGAAGAATTGTTGGATAAGACCTTGGCCGAAGAAGAGAACGGCAAGAATGCACTAAATGATGGTGTTGTGGCCGAGTTGCGCGGAAAGCTGGAAGCACAATATGCTGCCAAGCGTGATGCCCAACAAGCCGAAATTACTGATTTGCGTAAACAGATTGAGCTTAAAGGCAAGGAAACAGTAGGCTTGCAAGCTGCCAACGAAAGCTTAAAGGGAGCAAATGAAGAACTGAAGCGAGCCTTCAATGTGACAACGGCAAGTATCGAAGGAGGACGTAATCTTGCCGAAAGTGCCCGTGAAATGGAAAGGGTACGCAAATCCATGGCAGGACAATTATCCGAATTTGATGCGATGAAGAAGAGTTTGATGCGCGATTTGCAAAACCGATGCGAAAAGGTGGTTGAATTGGAAATCTCTTTGGATGAATCTAGAGAGCAATATAATAACGTCGTTAGAGCAAGCAACTCTAAAGCACAACAAAAGAAGATGGCGTTCTTGGAACGCAATTTAGAGCAATTGACCGCAGTTCAAAAACAACTTGTCGAACAGAATTCATCCTTGAAGAAGGAAGTGGCTGTTGCCGAACGTAAGCTCTTGGCGAGAAATGAGCGCATCCAGGGATTGGAGCAAAGCTTACTAGAATCTCAAGAGAAGTTTAATGCAATGAACAGAAAGTATGATGATCAAGTTAGGATTATCAAAGAACGTTTAGCCGCTGCTAATGAACTCAAGAACTCCAATGCCGCTGGTATGGGATTCGGCTTGGCAAGCAGAATCGCAAAACCATTGCGTGGTGGCGGTGGAAGCGGTCCCACCCCCGTCGGTCCGGCTCCTTTGCGTGGTGGTGGTGCAAGCTCTTCACCCGTACCACCCGCTCCTCTGCGTGGAAACGGAACTGGAAATGCAGCCGGATCTCAAGTTGATCCTCGCAGCAGATCCAATTGGTTCTTCTCTTCAGCAAAGTAGATTTCCATCTTAATACTACATTTCTCAAATCTTACCCTACTCATTCCTGTATACCATATATCCAATGTGCATATAATCACTCTTTCTCAAACAAAGCTGCTTTTGGTTTCGAGAAGCTTCCCATCAAGGATGAGTCACTTTGTATACATTGCCTTCATGTGATCGCGTGATACATTAGACGGTATGGCTTTTTGAGAGTCATATGTTGATCTCGTGATGTGTATGTGTGAAATGTGGTCGCATAATACAGGTAATAGTGCTGAAAACGGGTTGCAAGAAACGATTTGATATGATCTTGCGTTTATTTGCTGTATGACCAAACGTTCTTGAGCACTGGAGGTAGAAATACGTAAAAATGGTCAGTATACGTGATCATTGGTGACTTAAAAACGAACAAGTCGACCAGAAGGGAAAATGTCGCAGAGGTCTGACACTCGAAGGCCCACTGACAAAAAGAGCGCACAAGTTCTTAATCCTCCGCCAAAGATGTTTCTTCTCTCTTCGCTCAGTTGTAAAATTTGGAATCCTGCCCCCACAGTAGAAGCATCAATGCCGGGCGCAGACTGTCAAGAGCGTATCTTGGTGTGAGAAACATCTTTGGTCGGTACGGATCGAGAGTGTGTGATGCTGCTTTTTTTTGCGTCAATTGGCGGTCATGCTATGTCGGTCGAGGGATCTTTGTTGATATAGGTCGATTCTAACTAGCTTCCCCTCTTTTCCCTCAATCCAGCGGAATTTGACTTCATGAATACTCACAACCTTCCTTGGTAGCCAAACGGTTCAAGCTGTCATCACCTTCACCTTGTGCGCGAACGAATCCAGACAATGGGAAGTGAGTTGATGATCCCCGGATCATTCTTCCGTTTTCGTCAACGTTGGCAACGCTAATTTGAACGGAGCTGTGATCTTTTGCTTCGATCAAACGGCCTGTAGCGGCACATTTGCGAGGGACGTACAAATCGACGAGGTCTCCACGATCGTTCTCCATTTTTTGATTGATTAAAAAGTGTATGGTGATGGTAACAAAGGTAATTTCCTGATGATTTTAGAAGATTTCAACCTACACTGCTCAAGCGCGCAAGTCCTCTCTGCCTGCGGACAAGCATTTGGGTAGCCCTAAAGGATCAGTCAAAAGCGCGCGCAAGATTTTCAAGCGCTATCCTGTTGTGCAATAATTTATCACGTGAGCTGTCTCTGGTCGGTCACATGTCATAATTGACTTTGGCGCGCGTTAGCCACCGCAACGACCACGAAAGTAAGCAAAAGGTCAATCAATCACTATGAGATGGCGTGCGTATAAAAGATGAGATCCATTGTCCATTACTCAACACAAAACATTAGGAGGAAAATACTACATGATAAGAGAGAAAATCTTGATCGGATGTGTACCATAGATCCGGTCAAATCACCATACCCAGGCCTGCTTTCCCAATTGTTCCGGCGATTTTACCAACCTTTTTTAAATTTAATCCACGAGGATAGAGACGGACATCGTCTTTTTCTTCTTCATATTCCTTATAGTATTTCGGCTCTTGATTAGTGATCCCATTTTCTCTTTCTTCCTCTTCAAAATATCTAGCTGGACGGATAGATTCTTCCAAAGTGTTTAATTCCACTTCGGCTTCTCCACCGTCCAAGCTGGTTAGGTGACCCTCATACTTAGGCGAATCACATGGAACGCCATGATCAGCATCCATTTCAACTAGATTGTGTGTGCGTTGAATGCGAATCTTTCCTCCATGAACGGCAGGATGCTGAAGAAGAAAGGCTTTTAATCAGTAATTCATGCAAGAATATCAAATCTAATACCATACTCACCGCTAACATGTGTCCAGCACAGGCTAATGCGGCCAAAGTAAGAATGATTGAAGATGAAAATCGCATCTTGAATTATTTGTAGCAGATATGATGATCGGTTGAGATGACTCAATAAATTAAAGTACCTGACCAACCTAGTACTTATACCCTTCTACCCTCTTTATTGGCCCATCTACGTTGCTATCATACACATAAGCACTTTTCACTTTTGGCTTAATATCCGCAATATCGAGGAAAGCCGTGGCTATAGTGAGAAGTACGCCAATTTAGCCAAAAGGTACAGGCTAAGTAATCGTTGGCAACATATCTACACGATCGTCAATCTTGGGGCATAAATTAAAGACCCGCCATGATAAGTTTGTAGGATTGAGACCCGAGTGGGCGCACATTGACATTGAAGCCCAAAAAGGCTTGGCATAAATCTTAAAAGCAGGGCAAGGTTTTTTCCGAAGTCATCCTCATAGAGTATTTGTACACTTCAACAATTCGGAGGAGATAGCAGCTCATTTTCTCAGCGGGCACTTCATAAGAATAAATGTGTAGAAATAATAATCATTAAAGCAAAGCAAAAATAACAGTCCATCAAAGCGTACATAAATCTTACAACAGCACAGATAGTCCTTCATAGTATTAGCAAAACCTGTATAAATCAAGAGATATCACATCTCTTTCAAATGCAGATAGCGACGACGAAGGTGTACCCGTTGATGATGCGAGCGCGGAAGCTGAAAAAGATAAACATAAGTGTTAATGATCACATATGGAATATGAGAAAGAACCAAAATATAACTCACCGCTTTGCTTTGTGACATACTTGCCCATGCAAGAAAAGCAATTACGACAACATGTGTTACAAACATATTGGTGATACTATTTGTTATATGCGTTGGATTTGCTCAAAAGCGATTTGATATAGAATAAAGAATGAATTCTTTAATGAGCGATCTGAGACTCATTTGCTGAAATAAAACCCGTTTAAGTATCTTTCACTCGAGTTTGATGGCTTCATAGAACTACGTCATGATGGCGTATTAGGGTCTTCTTTGTGGGACATATTGCCTCGATCGCCCAAAGAGAAAGCCACTTGAGACGTAATACAGCATTAAAACTGAAGATCTATAATTAAAGTTCTCAAGTATGGTGACATTCGATCGTATGACTCCTTTGATGGGCGTTTTTCTCTTTATCATCCCCGATGTACGCCTTGTTTCATTATCCCCTGTTGGATAGCCCCTCTGTCATGGTGATTATATAATCTGTCTATGTTGCCGGCGTTTGGCGCGAATGATGATAAGCCCCAGACGCGTTCACTGATCACTTAGAGTGGAGCGAGGAAGAGTCGGATAACAATCAAGTGATGCACGGATAGCATTCATAGCATTCACTCCATCATCACTTCAGCCTGTATCGCGGGCCATCAACACACTGCCATGTCATCGCGGCGTAGTTCAGCAATAGCAACAGCAGAAGCAAGCTTGCAAGGATCACGATCAGGATCACCAAATGATATTCAGGGTGATAGAAGTATGACAGATTTGACAAATATAGTAAACGAAGAGGAAGAAACAGGAAGTAGAAGTGGAAGTGTATCAACTAGCAGTTACATTCAACGATCTCCACAGCTGGATATAGCATTCTTGCATTCAATCTCCACTCATCGTCCTTTAGGTCCACATAAACACTTCAACGTCATTCCTGTTCTCATCACACTCGATCGAACCATTCGACAAATTGGAGCACGAAGGAGAGATGCAAGTACAAGTGAACCTCTAGAAGACGTTGAAGAAGAGAATAGCGATGAAGAAGAAAGTTCAAATAAGAGAAAAAGAAACGATCGTTCACCTTCTACAAGCAGAAAAGCAATCAAGAAAGAAGATACAGACGATGATATTCTACTAGATGCAGCATATGTGGCAACAACATCCGCAATACCAGTAGACGGCGAAATGGTATGGCAAAGATTAAGTGAACTGTACGACGTGGAAGGGTTGGAAGAACTTGAAGATGGAGCAGTGGATGGAGAGGATGATTCACCCTTTTACACATCTCCGCCTCCTACTTATTTCTCAGTAGCTACACGAAAGGTACTAGGCGAAAAGATCAAGTCCAAACCTGTCTTTGGATTCGGCGGTTCATTGATCAAGTTGCCGGAATCAGCCACCCCCACACCCGCCAAACCATCAGGTCGACAGCAGAAACAATCAAGAACAAAAGCAGCACAAGACGAAGACGATGAAGATGAAGAGGAGCATATTGCAGACTTTGAGCTGGGACCGTGGGAAGAGTACGAAGATTTGATCGCACCTAGGCGTTTAAAGAGTTATGCTCCCGATGAAGGACCAAGTGAATCAGATGAAGATCTAAGCGAGCCAAGTATAGAACAAAAGGTTGCATTAGGAGCACAAGATGAAGACGATGACATTGAAGCCAAAGATGAAGACGAAGATGAAGAAAGCGAAGAGGACGAAGGAGATGAAGACGAAGATGAGGAAGAAGACGACGACGATGACGAAGAAGAGGAGAAAAAGCCTTCAAGACGAAAGGGCAACTCGTCATCCCGACGAGCGCCTGCCAATGCTAGACGCAAAAGTGGAACTGCATCCGCAACGCCTACAGCATCAGCTTCAGCCTCTACAAGAGCATCTAGAAGTTCCGCCAAACCTCGTAGATCAGCACGAAGGTGATGTCAATGCAATCTTCACAAGCATTTACGACGACCAACTTCCCGCACCTCGTTTCTTGGCGTAAAGGCGTGTGTGTGAGTCACGATCCGTTGGAAGACGCGTTTCCCAGGCGCGGGGCTCAGAGTTTAAACTTTTGCCCGTTGTTTCGGGAAGCAGAGCGGTTGTACACGGAGAATGAACCGGAGATTTTTTATTCGAACTTGGGAAGAACGGGGTTAAACCGTTGAAGTTTTTGGAAAAGTAACAGATTCGATCTTTGCTTATTTTGTTGTAAAGACATCCATCAACGACATCTTATCTTTATCGTCATGGCGACAAAGACTTCTACCGCCATAGAGCAAGTCTTACCTAGTATTCCGCCAAGTGTTGCTACAACACCTGCTCCATCGATACATGGCTCAATAGCTGCATCAGAGTTTCCGTTGGTGCCGATCGGAAGAAGCAGAGAAGGTAGCACAGAACGACATGATGGCTCAGACGAAGAAAGAGGAGATACAACAGAATCACAATCTGTTAGCCGAGTGCAAAGTAGGAGAAATAGTGAAGTGTTAGCATCCGATCTTGCTCCCGTTGATGGTGGAAGACAGGCTTGGACATTCTTGGCAGGTTGTTTCGTATTGGAAGCAGTCATTTTTGGTTATGCATATTCTTCTGGTGCTTATCAAGATTATCATTTACACGATCCCAGATCACCAATGTATGGTCAACCAGCAGCGGCTATTTCAGCAATCGGTACTCTCGTTATCGGAACGCAATGTTTCGTGCCAATCTTGATTCGTGGTTTCGTACGAACGTTTCCTCATTTGATCAGAAGGGTTACATTGATCTGTATCGGTATCGGTGTTTGCTCTTTGCTCATTTGTAGCTTTCTTACAAATGTGATTCCGATGTTAATCTTTCAATCAATCTATGGATTCTCGACTGGAATTGTCTTCACGCCTGTGATTCTTTATCTCAATGAATGGTGGAATGCGAGAAGAGGATTGGCAACAGGAATTATCTTTGCTGGATCAGGAATTGGCGGTGTCTTTTTCCCAATCACAATCAATGCAATGCTGGATAAGATTGGTTTCCCTTGGACGATTCGAATTATGGCACTAATGACACTGATATTTTCCACTGGTGCAACATTATGTCTTAAACCAAGATTACCCGTCCCAACTGTTGGAAGGCACTCTTTGCGATCGTTTGACAGATCTTTGTTGAAAGCGCTTTTGCCTGGTGATTTACGTCCAATGCTGGCACCTTTGGCAGGCTTGAACGAGATGGCATTCTTTGTACAATCGTGTGGTTGGTATACAATCTCATTGTATATTTCTACCTATTGTACCTCTTTGGGTTTCAGCTCATCTACTGCAACGGGCATTTTGAGTGCTTTCAACGCAGCGGCCACAGTTGGCTACCTCATCCTTGGTCCTTTGAACGATAAATTCGTTTATACCAAAGTGATGTGCGCTTCGATGTTAATCTGTTCACTTTCCGCATTTCTGTTGTTGGGTTTCTCCCGTTCATTACCAATGGTGATCCTTTTCGTTTTGACATTTGGCGTTGGAGGAGGTGGATTTACGACATTCTTTTCTTCTGTTGCTCGAGATATTGCTGCTTTCTCCAATCAAGATTCTTCAACGATCTTTTTGGGTTTGGTTTTCCTACGTGGAACGGCAAGTGTTATTGGTCCTTTGGTCGGTGCAAGTTTGTATAAAGATGCAGGAAAAGAAACGAATGATTTCAGTATTTATGGCACTCGTGGTTTCCGTGGTGTAGTGATTTATGTTGGCACGACGATGTTGATTGGATCAATTTTAGCAATCGTTGCTACATGGCAAAGGAAGAAAGATCTTGGTAGAGCAGGTGATGCTGTTCGAGAAAGATGGCAATCTCAATGAAGAGGAAATGTACAATTTGTATTTTAGACATTTAGTATATATATAATCAATGCATGATAGAATGACAACCTTTTCCAGAATATATAGAGTGAACTCCCCGAATTCCGTTCATGATGACCTCCACGCAAAACGCGCTTATAAATTGACAAGAAGATGTGTGAATCTTGTTCAACCTCTTCTTCCATCAATCCATCACAAACACAATAAAGATCATCGGGATGAGTGGGAAAAGGTTGAACAAACGTCAGTTGAGAGAGCAGCAAGAGTTGGAGGCACTAGGACAAAGCTCGAAAGTTGAAGATTCTCTAGAGCAAGAGAACAAAACAGAAAAGGAAACCAATGATGATCCTGAATCAGAGGAAGAAGAACAACCATCAATACCACATACAGGAGGAGCTGGTATATTTGCTCAATTAGGAGGAGCAGAAGATATCGTGGAGAAAAGCTCAGACGACGAAGGACAAGATGATATCACAGTCAATGCAAAGAAGTCAAAGTCAAAAAACAAGAAAAAGAAGAAGAAGCCAACCGCTAACAAGCAAGAGGATGGTGTAGAGAAAGACGAGGGCGACAAGACGAAAGAGGAGACTGTTGATACACCTGAACCTTCGATACCAAGCAAGAGTAGTAAAAAGAAAAGCAAAAAGCCCCCTTCGGCCGCAGCCACTAAGCCCAAGAAGGAAGTGTCGGATATGTCTATGGATGAATTTTCCGCTCTGTTGGCTTCGCAAGCTGAATTGAACGAGAAGGATGCCAGTGGATCAGCTCCAACAGCTACGATTACACCAGCAGGACCTCTTTCATCTTTGCGCTCCCATCTTTCCCTCTCAGCACCGGCACTTGATCCAGCTGTTGAACTCAAGAGGCAATTTGGAGCAGCAGCAATCAAAGCATACGAAAACGAAGCAGGAGGAGGTCAAGGAGGCGCAGCATCTTCAGGTGCACGAGCAAGAGCACAAGCATACAATACCAATTTTAAAGTACGTAATTTGCTCGTACAGCCAAAAGATACTTGGCCACCAATTGCAAGAACATTTACAGGTATGACGATGGAAGTGTTTGACGTGGAAGGAAGAGGAAAGGTTGGTGGTTGGGTACACAGTCGGGCATACAGGAAAGCACAATTTCAATTCTTACAAGCAGTGCAATCTTATGAACCGAATCATTTGATGGGATTGATGCGTATGTATCCTTGGCACATCGATACGCTTTTGCAATTGTCTGATGTTTCACGTCATCAAGGTGATTTGGGACAAGCATCGGATTTCAATTCAAGAGCTTTGTTTGCGTTCGAACGAACTTCAGCTCCCATTTTCACCTCAAGTTTGACTTCTCACTTAGGACCACCAATGCTTAACTTTGCTCGAATTGAAGATCGTGGTTTCTGGCTTGCTAGTCATCGTAATGTGAACTTCTTGGGAAGGAGAGGGACGTGGAGAACTGCACTAGAATGGGTCAAGCTCATTCTCGGTCTTGATCCTACAAGTGATCATCATGGAATGCTGTTGTGGCTTGACTTCTTGAGTATCAAGAGCAAGCAACACTCTTGGTTCTTAGACTGCTTACAACGATTGGAAGCAGCTGTATCAAAAGAGATGGAGGAGTATAGCGTGCCTATCCTCAACGCAAAGACTCCATTTGATGCAACCGATAAAGCCATTGTAGGAGAAGCAGAAAGTTGCAGAGGAGCTCTTGACTGGTATGTAGGTTTGGGATATGCAAAAGCATTGGCTTTACGTGCAGAAGAGAAAGAGAAAGGAGGTGAAGACAAAACAAATGCGACAAAGAGTACAGCAGCTTTACGTCTAGCAATTTGCCGTCATCCTCAATTGATTCCTAGCTTGTTGGAAAAGATTGGCGTTTCGATGCCTGAAGGCGTGTCAAGCTCACATCCAATCTTCATGTTCCCGACTGCCGAAGGGGATAGTATGCCTGAGCTTTTGACACACGTATACGTCTCAAGATCAGAATCACTCTGGCGTGAGCCGGGTATGTCTAGCTGGCTCACAAAGACGATCAAAGAGGTATGGCCAAGTTTGGAGAAAAGCTTCGAGTCAAATCAATGGAATCGTGCTTGCGTGACGTATGAAAAGGCAAGGCTGTCAATCTACAGACATGTTCTCGTTTCTGATTTACCCGATGCTTTACGTCAAACTTTGATCGGACTTATGCCAAAAGAAATTACTTCAGATAGCTCAAAATTGAACGCATTTGATCCTTTACCTCCACAAGGAGAAGGTACGACATCGTATGATGATGAATATTTCGCAGCAATGCGATCAAGAAGATATGGCGCTGGAGCAGATGAAGATGATTATGTCGATATGGATGGTCCTGCAGCGGCAGGAATGATGGATAGAATGATGCAAGCTTTACGTGGCATTCGTGGATTAGAAGGATGGGGAGCAGCGATGGAACAAATGGATGATGAATCAAGACAAGATGTTATGGCACAAATCATGGAAATGGCAGCTCAAGGACAAAATGCCAGAGAAGGTGCAATGCCCGGAGGATTAGACGTTCCAGAGCAAGAAGGCGAAGATGGCAATCAAGCCGGTCCAAATCCGGGTGCATTCAATGCCTTGCGTGGCTTCCTTGATAGGATGTGGGGAACACAACCTGGAGAAGCTGTAGAGGATGAATTAGAGGGAGAAGGAGAGAGTGACGAGGAGCACCACTAAAAGTACTTATAGCATCATCCGTACACTAACCACAAGATGTAATACCCAAATTCATGTCTAATAGATACAGTGCAAGTCTGAAACTTTGAAATACAGCTTAAGCCACTGTCCGATTTTGCTTCTCACGATAAGAACGCATCTCTCGCTCGACAGAAGCTTCCAATTCTTCATCTTCTTTGTTTGCTTCTTCCAACTTTTTCTCATCTTCCTCTTCGTCAATTTCTTGAAACCGCCCAGAATCAACAGCTTTTTGCATTGGATTTGAGCTCTTATCCACTTTGATAATACCCGTTTTGTCCAATCGATCAAATAAGCCAAACAGTCGTTCTGCCTCTGCCTCCTTTTCCTCCTCCGTCATTTGACTGAATCCGGATTCGGCATCTTGACGTACCATTTCCTCTGTGGTTGGCAATACCTTTCCCGTAATGGGATCAATCGGTCTTCCGCTACTATCTTTCATCTCACTTTCCGGTACCGCATGTGCCTGACCTATATTTGTCAAAAAGCCAGCACAAGGTCCATAACCAATTTCAGCTGTCATTTGACTCGCTCTTCCGCCACAAATGGCCAATAAAGCCTCTCCACTCGCTCTTGCTAAACGTGGATAATTTTGTGATCCCATCAATCTAATCAAAATTCCAGTCAAATCTTCTCGTTTATCCAACCCAATCTTTCGATCAATACTTTCGGGTAGAATGCGTGATTTTGCTATCAAACGGAATTTCTCTGATCCATTTGCCAGCTTTCGCAGTAACAACAAAGCTGGCTCACCGATAGCCTGTAAATCTTCCTCTTCATTTCGCGTGGCGTGGTGATCATCAATGTCTTTACCGGAAAAGTGCTTCTTGCAAAATGTGTCAACCATGTCCAATAACGTTTTGAGAAGAGGACTTTCCGAATTGGGAAGGTGGACGTTTTTCTGTGAAGATTGTCTATTGAATGGCGATCGAAAAAAGGCAGAGGCTGCTTTTCTTGACCTTGACATAGCAGATGTTGTACTAGAACGATCTGACTCACTTCCACCTCCGCTTGACGATCGAAGCTTGGCCATCTTACCGTTCATTTCAGTATGTTGTGTATCATCTACAGCCACAAGAAGCAAGCCTGTTCTCCATGTCTCCTCGTACGGATAAACGGGGAAGTTCAACAAGACAGCAATCGCATTTGTATAGGGCGACCTAAGTTCAGGTGTGCCGTTTCTACGCCGGACGTCTGCAAGAAGCCTTACAGTGGGTGCTAAGAACGGCAGAAGAACTTCATCAAAGTGCTCTTCTCCCGCCTGATTCCCATTCTTAGTTTCCGTCATACGAGGTAGATGCAAGCCAACGTTGAAGAAAGCTTTGAGTATTTCTGCTTCTGCCATTTCAACTTCTGACGATTGGGGTTGTTGCAAAAGGGCCGAGAGTCGAATGGTAAACACTTCGACCAATTGTGTACTTTGTACTGCTTCACGTAATGTGTTTGAAGGCGACAAAGTCGCATAAAAGATCAAGCGAGCCGAAAGAAAGACGATCATCGGAGTACCTGGATTCTCGAGTAGGTCCAAGCAGCATCGTATACCGTCTATCGATTTGGCGAATATTTGACGACTTTCGGCTTGTTGGAACAACACATTGTTCAACACTCGCAATGCCAGATCTAGTTGCTCTACTTCGCTATCATCTTTGCTAGTACTGGTCTCGTTTGCCGAATGTAGACGATCGCGGAATGAGATGAGTACCCGGATCAATCTTTGGACTTGGGCTTCGTCGGATAATGCTAGACTTGAAGCTGGAATACGAGAGAATTCCTTCATCGTTTTCCAAGCTGCTACTCTGACAGATGTAGGCCATTTGCATTCTTCGCTGGCAAGGTCAGCCAATACTGCTCTTGCGAGCTTTTTGATGCGAACATTGCCAATGACGGCGAACTGATGCGGTGTGATGGAAAATAGGGCCAAGATTGGATCTGAGGCGGTATCGCATGATGTGTTTGATTGACGTGTAGATGGCGGTGATTCCAGATACGCATCAACCACGTGTTCCATGCCATCACCCTTTGTACTTGGTCCACCTTGATCGATTTGTGTATACATTCTGACCGCTCCGGATGGACGAATGAATGTTGAAAGTTTTCTATTAAAATCTCCACATTCGATTTAAATGACGGTAATTCTCCTCCGGGATGTAAAAAACAGCTTTCGGCTTACGGCGGCTTCCGCAGTTCATTATCCAGCGGAAGAATTTCCACCGACGATGATGATTTCTGTCAAATGAAAGGTTTTGGCTCGAAAAATTGATGAAAAGAAGCGGAACATGCATGTTCAAATTAGTATCTTTGCCAACAACTTAAAGTGTTAAACGCAATTTGATTTAAATTATGCGGAGTGCCTGAAATTGACAGGCAGGCGTAAATTACCACCACACGGCAATCAAATTCAATGCTTAAGTGCGATCTGACACGCGTGAGGCTAAGTAACAAAAGAAAAGGCGAATGTATGCAGCAGTGCTTGGCGATATTAGCATTTCATTTCTTTGTCCCGAATCAAGAAGAAGGGGGTTGTGTCTGGTGTTGATCATACGCAATCCAGCACAGCATTTAATCATTTTGGGTGGCTGTATGCGTCAATTTCATCAAAACAAGTATGGTCTTAATGACATTCTCAGTGATGTCCACAATGAATCATCTTATTTATTACCCCGAAATCGGCGCCGTTTCAACCGAAGACGAAAGTTCTCCGATTACTGCTCTTACTCGAGTATAAGTTAAAGTCTTTTTCGTTCCGTGGAGAGGAAATGTTCTCTTATTATATAGTAACCTTGTCACAATTTTAGATCACCGACAAAACCTCGTTGGGCCAACTTTTCGGGCCAACTTGACTTTTGAGTGTGGCCGTGTTCAGATTAGATGCGGATAGAGAAACACGCGCTCGCTTTACACAAATCGGCACTTAGGGATGCAGCCTTTTGATCAATTAACTGTACTGTATATTTCCGGTGGGAAACGTAATAGGTTACTTGCTTTGCCGTGCCCTACAAAACGCCAATGTCGTGCGTGCGTGCGTGCAAACAAGCAGTGTTATCCACAATACCAACAGCAAGGTGTTCTTCTTTTCCACACAATACGCAACACCTTCCATCATTTCACCCTATCGATATACGCCATGCCGCAAGATTCATAGATAAATGCACGTTCGGGCCAACTTATTGATGAAAGTATGACTTTTCCTTTTTGCTTAATCTACATTTAGTCATTACAATCATACCTTTACGAAAACAACACCAACAATAACAACAAGATGTTAACTTGATTCAGGAAGCAACGATAATCTCTTCTTACCAACAACATTAAGCTACTTGCAATATGTCACAACGATTCGGAGCATCCGTTGCAACTCCTGCAGCCTCTCGTTTGGCAGAAAGTAGTCAAAATAATAACGCATTCACCCTACCACCTTCGATCACGACCGATGCACACATTTCCCTTGTACAATTGCCAATCCCGTCTGACTCAGTAATACATTGGCAAAGGCACACCACCAGCTCATCCAACCTCCAGCAAACTGATCATGCACATCACCGTGCCGATCCGAGTATCGTGCAAAATTCTGTGCATGATTTAATGCAGATAGCACAAGAACAAGCCCAGAGAAATGCTTCGTCTCGAACAGAACTCAAAAGTGCGTTGCTGAACGACATATTCTGGACATGCGAAGAGAGGCAACAGAAGGGCTCCTACGTATCCTCCGGAAATAATGCCGACAACGATTCTGTATCGCAGGGGCCAGCAAGCATTTGGACTTTTCAAGTGGAGCATGTTAATGCCGCCGAATCATCTAATGCCATCCATAAAGGCAGAAATACTACAGGAGGATCGCTAGACAGGATGAAGAAAGTACATGAAAAACTTACACAATCCGGTGCAGCTCAGACAGAAGGCACTTTATCGCTACAGAATCTGTACAAGAAAGGGGCGCAGGATGAGCAAAGCCTGGTACCCAACAATGAGGATGATCATCAACCTCTCTCTCAATTCATCAAGGCATTAGAGGAGTTCTTGTTGCTTAGATGGGTCTGGACTCGACAATCTGAGAGGCATGCGACTTCCAAGCGACAAATGCAACCGCAAAAGCTTAATCCCAAGACCGAAAGCACGATTGATGGAAAAGTGAAGGCTTCTACTGATGAGGAAGAAGAGGGAGCTCTGGGCGACGATGGATCCGAAGAAGTGAAGGAGGGCCAGAGAGGCCAAGAGAGTTCAAATCTGTGGAGTGGGAACCAGCTAGCGCGAGATAAACCTGTTGTTAGGCTCGGTAAAGGAGTTATGGTCTATGATCGACCTAATAAGACACAGAGAGGTTTGCTCTCATTCGACTCTGAAAGCACAAACATGCCGCTCCAGATGTCTCTGCGATGTTTTGCAGATGATACTGGTCATATCTTCTTGGAGACTTGGCCTTGCGATAATTCTGCATCCCAGCTCGTGAAAGAAAACGATGCAAATCCTGGGGATACACTTCTTCTCGCGCCGCTGATGATAAAGGCTCGCTTTATCAGCTTTGTTGGCCCTGTTGCTCAAATCAGCGATAATGTGACAGTCAGATCATCCCGAGAAGCCCTGTTCGATCTACTGCAGCTGAATGCGGTTGACACATCTTTCCTGGTGGATGAATGGATCTCTTGTTCATATCAAGGTCGAGTATTCCTCTGGCCAGCTCAACTGTGTCTTCTCCACAAGCTCTCATCACCTTTACCCTATGCGAAGATGCCATCTTTGGTTGAATCTACACTGCATGATGTAACCGCAAAAGCGAGACGATGTGTCCGGGAGACGTTGGGACTCTCTGTTACGCCAGATCGAGAGCTCACTGCCAGCTCGCAAGAAGAAGAAGATGACGCCATGGAAGAAGAGGATGATGATGAGCAGGACGAGCAAGGTATGGATACCAGAAATAGCGGTTCGCCTGCGAAGATCGGGCAAACGCTTGATACAGCTGATGCAAAGGGCGCTTCCGATAGAAGCGCACTCGATGCGTCGAAAGCTGCTGCCACAAGCATGGATATTAAGCCAAACGACACTGTTGATTCTTTATCTTTGCCAGCTTATCAAAGCGGTACAAGACGCAATTCTGCTGTAGCCATGGATTCAAATAGCAAAGATGAAGAAATGGATTTGTGGGGATCGTTTGGCTTCGTAGGTCAAGAAGATTCTCAACTGCCACCAATGCCTCGAAGTCGAGATGGTTTCGATGATACTGGCTTCGGATTGGTGACGGAGGACGATTTCTCCTTCTTTGATGATGGTGCTGCTGACTTTAGCGCTTTCACAAATGATGCCCTTGACGTTGGAGAAATGAATATTCATCAACCGGATGGAGATGCTACAATCACGGAAATGCCAATGGAGGAGGATACAGAAGTTTTACCTGAGGCTATCCATGTAGAAGATGAACAAGGTACGCAACAAATCGATCAAGACCATGAAGAAAGCACAGGTACTGGCTCAAGTGCTATAGACCCGCCATCATTACCTGGCTTTACACCTGGCTCATTCAGCGAAAGCTCGCCAGCTGTTGGAGGAATGAGCGTCAAAACACCACGAACGCCATTCTCACCCAATCAAGAGCTAGCAGATACCGCCATCACAATTGAAGGCGAACATGGCTCGCTGGAAAATGGAATGTATGGTCATCACCAGTACAATCATCACCATGTTATGCCCAACGATCATTCTAATGAGGAGTACGAGAGTATGAACAATTACGACTCTTCCATGGGACCGCCTGAGGTGCGCTTCATGCCTAATCAGAAAAGACGTCAAAACTGGGCTAACAAAGGTCAAAGAGATATCACATCAAAATACGAACAAGGCAAATTCGCCATGCCTTTCGTGCCTCTGCGTAAGAAACAAGGTGATGAGGAGAGCTCGGATCAGCAACACCAACCACAAAGACAAACAGGTAGAAGCGATCAAGAAAGTGCACTGCTCGCGCCTACTAGAAGTCGTTTAGGTCATCGTACAACAGTAAATGGAAGGCGTGTATCATTTTCTAGAACGGGCGCACATCCACACTCCGGTCTTATTGGTGCATTGAAAGGAAGGCTAGGAGTTCTTCGCGGTGATGAGGAGATGTCAGAAGCTACAGGGGATGGCACAATGAGTGAGCGAAGCTCATTGATGGAAGAAGATAGTGCAGACGATGAATCTGTATCCAGTGATCAAACTTCCGAAGAAGATGAAGCATTGACTGAGCAAAGGACAGAGATGTTGCAATCATCTATACACTTTCTTCGTTTTGCAAATTATTCAAATGCACCCTCTTTTGATGATCATACGCAAGATGAATTGGTTGAGCTTCAACCATCCACAAATGTTGAGCCTGCAGAATGGAATGATCTTGTTCATCATTTGATCGAAAATCCTCAATTGCGATTGCAAATTGGCCAATCGCTGGGACAAATCGAATATGCGGGAAGTGTTTCACGATATGACTCTCAACATCTATTCACCCTGCTGCAAGGTCACGAAAGCGATTGTACTCTTGGAACATGTATGGGAGGAGAAAAATCGAATCAAAATGCTAACAAATCATCTCTTTTGCAAGTAATGGAACCCAGCAATGTGCTTGTGGGATGTCAAGGTAGTGTGACGAATGTTGCGCCCTCTGCGCTTCATTACTGGGATAAGCTCGGGCTTACGGCAGTAGGAGGACAGAAGGATGTTGCTGCTTTTGCATTACACACAAATGATGTAAATATCGCCATGCAAGGCGAGATCCGCAATTGGCTTGATTCGATGGGAAAAGTCTTTCGCGAGAACGGGCTAGGAAGCCATACGATGTCAGAGCATGGTTTGCTGGATATAGGAACCGTATCGCGATCCAAAACCTTGGCAGATACGCTCAATTTGATGGCAAAAGATGCGGAGCAATGGTCGGATACAGTTGATTCACTTGTTTCTCGTGTGGTAGGAGCATTGAAGAAACACAATTTCGTGGTAATGTACGCCATCGGATCTTTCCATGTTCCTGGTCAGATCCAGTCTTTCGTTCGCTTACAGAGAGATTTGCGATCATCTGCATCTCTTCGTTATGGTATACCGGGAGATTCAATCGTAGTTCGGCCATGTTCATGGGAAAGTGTTCGATTGACATCTTCCATTTCGAGAGATGCCTCTACCAATTCTTTACGCAGAATGGCAATGTCCATCTATGATTCTTTGCAAGTCACAGTCGATGTTCAGTACAATCGTGAACAGTACCTCCCAAAGTTTTCGGCGGTACCTACGGCGGTTCAGTATCCTTCTTTCTCCATCTTGCCCGCAAGCTTTGGCAATAATGTTGGTTCCGCATTCAAGCTAGATTGGTACTTCAAATCGGTTGATATCTTCGAAAGAGGCACGCTGCTGCATGTCGCCTATCATTTAGCTCCATCTGCTGGGCAGCCATCTATGCTTGCCATCATCGATGAGCGAGGACAAGGCTACACTGCTACAGCATGGAGAAGGACTGGATCTATGCAAGACGAAATTCAAAGAATATGGAATATCACAACAGAGTTCACCATGCGTTCGCGAAACATGTGGAAGATTGTACTCTGCAAAGATAGAGCGATTGGAATGGCAGAGGTACGCATGTGGTCCAAAATCCTAAAAGATCGAACTGCTCTGGAGAATGCAAATGCTTTGGAAGTGATCCTATCATGCTCAGAGCTTGATCGAGTGCTTTCACTTGTGTTGCCGTTGCAAGACTTGAATGAGTTGGAATGCAGACGTCAAGCAGCTGTTGAGACGATTCCCAATTCAAAAAGTGGTGGAAAGTATATCGATGCATCCATATGGAAATATGCACTATATCCTCAACGAAGGATGGCGTTGCGTAACAGCGTCCTGGGAAAGGATGATGGCAAGGATGACATGTTTAGTCTGCCCATCTTACCTTTGCGCAGTTCTTTAACAATGACGATTCCACAATCTTGGAATTCTACAACGACCCTTTCATCCAACGAGAATGGTGTGAATAGCAAAGCGTGGTCACGGAGTGCACCTCATCATCTCTGGATTCACATTCTTCAGGTGTTCAAGCTCGATCCGAATGAAGAAAGCATGCAAGCGACGCAAAATGTAGAATCCTCAACTTCTTCATCAACACCCACACCGGCCTCCATTGCTCATTCAGATGCACAAAGTACTGGTAGTGGAGTCGAACAGAAGAATACCCCTTCAGACCCCTTTGGCATCGAATCAAGGCTTGAAAGAATAACAAAAAGTTTTCAAGAATTAGAATTGATTGCCCGTGAACGAGCAATGTTGCCAATGGATGATCCAACTACAATTCATTTACCATGGCATTTGGCCATTTTGCAAAATTTGTTGAATTTGTCCAGTGCTGTATTTATCGGTAATTGAGAGAAATGCTTTGCTGTGCTCTTGATTGCCAACTGTATACTATAATGCTCTTTTTTGTTATTATCATGCTTTTTTCTTTAGAATGGCCGAGAGAAATGCAAAAAGATTAATTAAGGTCTTAGCCTGATTGACATGACGCGTGACCTTTACCCAAACTTTAAGGCCGTTGAATGAATTGAGTGCTGCTGAGATAGGAGCTCTACGCTCTTCTACACACACACACACACGGATACAGAATGCAAAACAATCCGATCATCTTCCGTGCGTGCAGCGTATGAGGCGTTATTTAATTCTCACTAGCCCGCCGCGTAAAAAGCGAAATCGCGCTTTAATTTTAGTGTTTAAGTGTGCAGTGCAAGCAATAATAAATAACATTAATACACTTGGCATAAACACACACACACACACGAGTACAGACAAGACTGAAGCGGCACAGAAGCGTGGAAAAGTAGGCAAGTTCTCACAGTGCAGATCAAAAGTGGGATTAGTGATGCAAAAGGTAGAGTGTAAAGATGCCTTGTAATGCATCAAACACGCTTTAAACAGACAATAAAGTGAAACAAGCCACTTTTTTCGATCATCATCAGTTTTACCATCCACGACAATTCCTATTAAGGTAGTCTCGAAGACATTGACAACCATCACTCAAACGCACAACGTGACACAATTGAATTGGGAAAGACCCGGAGTCTTCTTCTCCTAAAACACATCACAAGCATTCATCCGCCCTCTCGCACTATTTTCATTTTGAACAGAAATCACAAAGCGGATGGTCGCTCGAAAGATATGAACGATCAAACTGCAAATGCGGCTGTTCTAAATGAAGTGAACAATGAGGCTAACGAAGTCGCACATTCACAAAATGAAGAAGTAAGGCGGACGAATCAAAAGCAACAACAACATGGGGTAACGATCGTTGAACCTACAAATACGGATAAAGATGAACATTCACAGCAGCACGATGCACAACAATCAGAGAGCACAACAAGTCTAAACACTTCCTTGATCACTCCACCGGCAGGGTTTGTGGATGGAGAAGTAACACCTCCTCTACCAAACGGACAGAAAAGGCTACATCCTCTATTCGATGAAGATAAAATCGTTTCAGAAGCGGTCGCACGTCAAGAAGGCGTTGAGGGTTCTACAAAGAATGGCGGAGATCCGAACAAAAAGAGTACAGAAAAAGAAAGGCCAAATGCTTTACGATTATTAGACTCTCTCGGAAATGAAGCTGGCTATCCGAGTCCAAGCGGAGGTTTCGTTCCACCTATCACAGACGAAAATTGGGCATTACAACAACCACCTGTTCCAAGATCAGCTGATGGAATAAATTCTCGATCAATACAACAGAACGAAGAAATGAATAAGGGCAAAATGTCTACTTCATCTTCGAATCATTCAAACAGTCTTTCCGGTCAATTTTTAACAGGTTCTTTCTCCAACCCTTCCACTCTTGGTCAAATTGAACAAAGCTCGTCAAACCTCTCCAACAATAACGGGGAAAGTATCAACAGGCCGTCTCTTGCTGGACATAAGCTGTCATCCTCTCAATCATCAGCCTCTGGAGGTGTATACGAATCCGGAGGGATTGCAACACATTCACAGGCTATTTCGGCAAGGAGTAGCCCTTCAACACTGGCGCCGATTCGAAGGCGATCCTCTGGTTCTGCAGATGTTTTGAGTATGAACGCAATGACACCACAAGAAGAAGGATCATATCTACCGCCTTTGAAAATACGAGATTTTGCCTATGAAGAAGTTGATCCTCGTCACGTAGGTGCAAGGGATGTAGGGTTACCCAGTCCGGAGAAAAAGCATACGAGCGGGAGCGGTTTTGGTATGTCTCCGTTTGGCGGACAAGTTTTTGGCGGACACGAATGGGGATCTACAGAAGAAGAATACGACGACGACGATGATGATGATGAGGAAGATGACGATCAAGAAGGATACGGAAATGGAAGTACAGGGGATATGTCCGCGCCATCTAGTGACCTTCCGCTTGGCCTTTATCATGCTGCTTATGACTTCATCGCTGAAAGTGATCATGAATTGAATATCAAAGTTGGTCAAAAGGTCAGATTGATCGGTCACGTCGATGGAGGCTGGGCAATCGTCGTTCGTGTTCAAGATGGACAAGATGATGTAGCAGCCGATGAAGAAGAAACAGAGAAAGGTTTGGTACCACAAGCCTATTTGCAATGGCTAGCTCAATGATGAGACATGCTTTCAATCTCACTTGAAACATGTTTTCGTATTTTTACTTACACACACACACACTCCCCACCTACTTTTGCTTGCTTGCTTGTTGTACAATAGGTATTTACCACAAAGTATATACATGCACATATAGTATCATTACATGAACAATGCATTATTTATACTGTCAAATTGATGTGAAGTCAGATCGGTAACAAGCCTAGGTAAGTGAGACTTGCTGGAATTAGACCACCGGCAGTCAATCCGACGGCGGTGTACACAAATACTTTTGATAGCACGTCAACATCGTAATGGGCAACATCAAACGTTTCCTCTTCTCCATTCATTGTTGCAACCTTGTGCAAGCCTTGTAGATGGGAAGCATTTGTGCTAGCCGTGCTTTCATGCCTTTGCCTTTCGCGTTCTTCATTGCTGAGAGCGCCGGCAATCCTTTGCGAAAGACCATCACCGGGCAATTGTGTATTCGGATGGGTGACCGGGAAAGGAATATCTTTACCATCACCCATGGTAAATTTAACAGTATTTCCTTCTGCATCTCCTCCGTTTGTATGTTGTGATAATTGTTGTTGTAATGAATGACTTCGCATCCTTTGTCGCATACCTTCTGCATCTGCTTTCGTTGGCCATACGCTCACTGCCGTTCCGTTACCCTTTCCTCCCCAAGATTTTTGTCTCTTGTGAGAATCCGATCTTGTTACGCTTCCGTTTGATTTTTCATTAGACTCTTTTTCTTCAGAACCGAATGCGGCTGATTGTCTGTTTTGCTTTTGCATGGCGGCATAATCGGTTGAAGAGGTATAATGGCGACGAGGTAGAATGAATCCAAATGTACCCTGCACAAATCGGAAGACAGGCGGCAGGGCAATCTTACAAATTGTTTTGACAACTGCTCGGGTCGCAACAACACAAGCAATTCCCAAAGTCATCACGATTGCAATCTTTCCAATCCCGATAATAAAAGAAGCAGCCGAAGGAGACTGCATATCAGCAAATAGAGGTACTTGGAAACGTTCAGCTTTGAGTGCTTCGACGACGCTTGGTATACGGCTATTGCGGAATTTGGGCGTTAGTGGACCATCTTGTTTTGGTAGAAGGCCAAAGGTGAGATTCATCCATCGACTAAGGAAGATGCCCACTACGACTGCCAAAAATGCGATTGCATCTTCGAAGCATGGGCAATCATCCAAAGGTTGAGGGTGAACAGTGACCATAATCAAGACGACAAAGAACAAAGTAACTGGTACCTTTAATCCTCCCGTTTCCATCATGCTTTCTAGAGGTTCAAAAAGTAACCATTGGGCTGCTGTGACCAGTGCACCAAGGGCACAACCTGCGATTATATCCATGATACTATGCATTCCCGAATAGAGACGGCCATACACCACAGCAATTGCATAAACCGAAAGTCCGATCTCCCATCCGATTCCATGCATTATTGAGGATGGATCAAGGGCCAATCGAACTTCTCTGAGCCAGAGATAACAATATAGCACCACACTAATGCAATTGGTCGAATGTGTTGATAAGAATCCGTACTCTAGGTGAAAAGTTCCGATGACCAAACGTGTGACCGGAGGCGAGTAGGGTCGTGGGACGCAAAGGGCGTCTTTGATTGCACTCGAGAAATAAACTCCAAACGCCAAAACATTCACCAATCCTCTACTGAATCGTGCAGAAACGAGCCAAAAAGAAACGGGCAAAAAGATCAAGAAGAAAGAATGCGAGCCGACCAATGAAGTATAGACGAAAAAGCGGTCCAGCTTCGGCGATCTAACCAAATTCTGATGTTTTGCAAGCACTGGCGATTCCCATTCTAGCGATCGTATTAGCCATCTGCGAATTGTGCCCATCACCGGTCCCAAATATTCATCATAGACCCGGTCATCGTATATTCCGATATCTGTTGTTACGTATTCCTCTTCTGCTTCTCCTCCTTGATCTTGTATCTGCTCATTATCATATGAGCCATCATCTAAGTCGCTCTCAAGTCCACCACCTGTACTTGCATCTCTACTTAAAGTACCCTCTCTAGAATGTGATACTTCGCTAAAGCTTGGATTTCTCGAGCTTCTTGTGCTCAACTTTCCAACAGACTTTGAAGTGCTACCTTCAGCTGTGAGTGATGTAGGAGAGGTCACATCTACGATTTTCGATACATGTTTTGGAGCAGGATTGCTAGTTCGTAAACGTGTATGTAAACTGTCTGATTTCTTTGGACGTAAACCTAAGTGTGTATGTGTTGCTTTTCGAGCAGTTGGTGTTGTTGGCGAGGTTGGTGTTGAGCCGCCATTCTCGTGTCCATTTATTCTTTCATTTTGATCGTTCGTCATCTCTTCATTGATGATGTCGTGAGAGTGAGAGAGTGTGAGAAGTGTTTGTCACTTTTCACTTGTCAGCTCGTTTCAGAATAGGTGCTCTTTTAAGGAGCCGAATTTCGCAAACTTAAAGATATGCAGTTCTAGCGCTCAACAAAACACACAGACATGGCGCTGCACGAACGTTGGATCTTCCAAAAGTCCAAGCTCTCTGAAATAAATGGTGATTATATAAGCATGGAGCTTTCATATGATTACCCCAGCTTACACTGAACACGACGGCCTTTGACGCCGCGCGAATTATTCTCCGGTTCTCGCATTATTACCTAGCCGGACGGAAAAAGCAAATGACAAAACTTGATCCCGTTGATTCGCAATTCACTCTTTACCCCACGATCATCGATGGTGACTAAATAAAAACTATCCTGAATAACCCAAAACATTCTCACCTTGGAGGAAGATCAATCTTGGGGGGCGTATATGCATGCATCGGATAGGTAGCGCATTCAATTTTGCGCTCTCGTCATCAAGGCTATATCAGCTAAATCGATCAACTCGAGCTGTACAAAGAGCTTTTCAGACACGACACCAACACAATCTTTCACGTCATTCATTCATCATGTCTTCCAACAAGAAGGACACTCAATCAAGTTTGGCAAGGCTTGCCGCTTTGGGCAGACAGCTGATACCATCCAAACCATTCACAACCCAAGCAGATCAGGCTGGCGAAGGAAAACAGGATCAAGAACGTCAACTGCTTGGCACACTTCGATTAGGTCCTTCAGTAGAATTACCAGTGTATGCTCCAAGCGATCCATCCAGACTGCCTGATGATCGTATCTTGCTCAGTCTTGAGGATCCTGTCACTGTCGAAAGTTTGGAATGGATGGCCAAAAAGTATGCACTGGGTCAGGATATGTTCTTGCTTTCCCAACCTGGACCATATGCTAGACGTTTGGCGCTTACATTCGCCGCATTGCTGCAATCGCCATTCGAGTATGTTGCATTGCATCGTGATGTAGGTGAAGCCGAATTACTACAAACAAGAAATTTGGAAAAAGGAGGAAATTTGAGCTACAGTGATGGTCCAGTCGTCAGAGCAATGAAGACAGGAGGAATTCTCATCTTGGAAGGTGTCGAAAGAGCAGAGCGAAACGTGCTTCCCTTGCTAAATAACATCCTAGAGAATCGCGAACAAGATCTTCCAGATGGAACAAGTCTCGTACCCGCCAATCGAATCGAAAGAGCACGACAAGAAGAAGCTCTCAAAACCGGACAAAAGGCTTCCAGTATAAGTAGGTTCCAAGCTGTTGACCCCAATTTCCGGGTGATTGCATTGGGATTGCCTACACCTCCTTACAAGGGAAATCCGTTAGATCCGCCTTTCCGTAGTCGTTACCAAGCAAGATGGGTTGAGGGAGTGGTTCCATCTTCATTGGAATCCAACACAGGCTTGGAAGGTCAATCAGCCGAACTTGCATCTGCATTGAAGACGAGATTCTTTGAATGGGCTGCACTCCTTCGTTTGCATGCAACAGCTGCCCGTGGGTCGGATCTGTTGCCTCCCGCTTCACAGTTGCCCAATGTCCCGTCTACGGCTCTCTCGCTATTGGATGACCTCATCTCCAGATTCCCTCCAGCTCAAGCTTTACCTGAGCCCCCGGAAATCAAACTGACGGAAGAAGAACAAAATTTGGTCAATATTACAAAAGCACCTCGAGATGGTGCTTTGACTGTACCCGAAAGGACAAGAGATCAAATTCAAGCTCGCGAAGCACAACAGTTGAAAAAGGTACAAGATGCAAATAAACCTGCTGAAAATGCAACACTTGCACCATCAACTGTGACAGCTTTAGGTGCGGGTTATCCAATGCTTCATACACTCGATAAAGCAAAGCGTAGATTAGCGACTGAACTCATTTGGAGCTTAGGCTTGGACAAAGGTGTAGGAATTGGAAGCGAAGATGCTCTGGTCGGTACAGGTATGATTGGTTACAAAGTGGTCGCCATTGATCGTATTGGCGAAAGAGAAGCCAAAATAACCTTTGAACAAGCATCTTCAGGTCATCGTGCAAGTGGGAATGTACCTTGCGGTCCTTTACCTTTTGCAACTTTGCCGCAATTGAACGATGTTCAATCTACTGCTGGCGATATTTTAATTACTCCTCGATTGTACTCTATCTTGAGTGCTATGTTACAATTGCACGCATTAGGTCGTGATATTTGCTTATTGCCGTCAGCTATGGGAGCATCAAGCGACGATGCCGCTATTCAAGCAATGCAAGCATCATCATCCACTTCTACTTCTATTCAATTGTTTGCTTCCCTCTTGGGTTACCGCGTGGAAAGCTTGTGGCTCTACAAAGACATTGGTGGAACGGAATTGGTCATGAGACGTGCAACAACACCAGATGGAAGTACGACTTGGGAGCCAGCTCCTCTTTTAAGAGGTGCTCTAGACGCATGCGTTGTCCATTTGGCAGGTATTGATGTTTTGGGTTACACCCTCGGAAGTCTATCTCGCCTTACACAAGATAGGCAAATGGAGCTGTGGCTGGGAGGAAGAGCTGCTTTACCGGGAAGTAAATTGCCACAAGTTGAGACCAAAGATGATGTTGGTTTAGGCAAACTTACTACGATTGATCCCAGCTTCCGAATCATTGCAACAACTGCAGCCTCAAAGTCTGACTGGCTCAACGAAGAGGCATCAACTATGTTTGGATTCGTTCAGCCAAATCCAATGTCAGCCGCCGAAGAGAGAAAAGTGATCGAGACTCGAACAAATTGTCCACAAGAGCAGCTCGATGTACTTTTGGCTTTCGCTGCAAGATATCGTGCGTTAAGCCGTGATCCATCTTTAGGTTTATCGAAATCTCGTAGGTTGGGCACTCGTGCTTTAATACGTATGGCAAACCGTATTGCTCGCTTCCCAGATTCCACAGACATGTACACATTGGTGGTGCGTAATTTGTTGGTTGATTTCTTGCCAAGAACAACCAAGGAATTGGTACAAAGAGTTTTGGAAGAGAGTGGCTTGCGACCTAGAGGTGCAGAAGGTGCTTTCCAATTCCGTCCGCAAGAGTGGTTGGCAGATCCCGCTATCGAGGGTGATCATTTGATCTTTGATGATCAAAACGCATCTGATATTGAACCTGTTCGTGTGCCAGTCTACAAAGTAGACGAAAAGGACGCTCAAGGTAAACATCTCATTCCAAATCTTGGCAACTCATTCTACAACAATAATACGCAAAGTTTGATCTTACGCGATCTTGCCATTGATTTGCAAGTGATGGGTGAGCATCTTTTGCTTATGGGCAATCAAGGTACAGGAAAGAACAAAGTGATCGATCGTATCGTCGAATTGCTTGGCCGACCACGTGAATATATGCAATTACATCGTGATTCAACCGTTGCTCAAATTTTACAATTGGTCGAATTGAAAGATGGTCAATTACGCTTTTTGGAAAGTCCTTTAGTTCGTGCAATTCGTTTGGGCAGAGTTGCAGTCATTGATGAAGCTGATAAATGCTCTGCTGCTGTTACGGCTGTCTTCAAATCTTTGGCTGAACGAGGTGAATTGACTTTACCTGATGGTCGTCGTGTTAGGCCGAACAATACGCCAGGCTCAAGTGAAGATGTGGTGGTTCATCCAGACTTCCGTTTAGTCCTTTTGGCAAATAGACCTGGTTTCCCTTTCTTGGGTAATGCATTCTTGGAAGTTTTAGGTGAAGGTTTCTCTTGCTATGCTGTTGGCAATCCAGATTTGGAATCCGAAGTTCGACTTTTGAAACAAGCTGCACCAAGCGTTGATGAAGGTTTGATCCGCAAACTTGATTTGGCTTTCCATGATTTGCGTGATGCCTTTGATGCTGGATTGGTCACTTATCCTTATTCTTTGCGTGAATTGCTTCACATCGTTCGTCATTTGCACAATTACCCAGACGAATCTCTCACGGATGTGCTTTTGAACACACTCACTTTTGATTTACACCGATCGGAAGCGATCAAATTCGTTTATGAAACTCTCCGACGACGTGGATTGGAAGTGGAAGGTTTGACATTAGCCGAAATCCGTGAAAGAGCAGAAGAAAAGAAGAAGAATGCAGGTATGGTAGCAGGCAGGATTGCTTTTGATCCTAAAAAAGCAGGCAAAGATACGAATTTATCCGAACCTAAAGAAGGCAAAACAGATCCCGACAATAAACCGCATCATGGTGGCAACCAATGGAAAGGCGGCACGGGCGGTCGTGATACAGCCGGATTGGGAGGAAGGGGAGGATTTGAGCGTCATTACGCCGGTCATGAGATCAAACAGATCAGCGAAGATTTAAAGAAGGATGTACCTGATCACATCAAGGAACAAGCTCGTGCTATGGCCCAAAAAGCATTGGCGGAAAAATTGGCCGATCAAGGTTTGACCGCTCATGAAGGTGCAACATACCAAAAGTACAAGATGGAATTGATGCCACAAATTCAACATTTGGTCAATGTACTAAACGATCTTCAAGCTAATGCAAAAGAACGTACATGGCTCACACGTCAACAAGAAGGTGAACTTGATGAACGTAGATTGACAAATGCTCTTACGGGAGAAAGGTCAGTATTCAAACGTCGTCAAGAAGCTCCTCCGGAAATTGGTGCACCACAAACAAAACCAAAGCGAATTCGTTTCTTGGTGGATCTCTCTGCAAGTATGTACAGTATGCAATATGACGGTCGTTTGGAACGTGAAATCAAGACGATGTTGATGATTATGGAAGCATTTTCACATGTTCCAAAAGAGAAATTTGTGTATGATATCGTTGGACATCACGGAGAAAGCAGTCACGTTCAAATGACACAAGCATCAAAGCCACCGGAATCGATTGGTGAGCGATGGAAGGTTCTCCGTGATAGTGATGCAACGATGACGTACGTCATGTCTGGAGATTCAACTTTAGAAGCGATTGAATGGTCTTGTCGTGATATTTCAAAACAAGAAGCTGATGATTATTTCGTTATTGCACTGTCCGATGCAAATTTGACAAGATATGGTATCACGATTAATTCATTGGAAAAAGTCATGAAATCAAATGAAAAGGTAAAATGTGCTCTCGTTTGTCTTGATCGTGGTGAAGAAGGAAAAGAGTTGGCCAAGAGACTACCCGGAAAAGCCTATCAAGTGCGTGAAATGCGAGCATTACCACAAGTTCTTTCTTCCATCTTAACCACAATGCTAGATCAATAGATGGTTCAATATAGTTTTGTTGCCTTATAGATGGAAATATAGTTTATTTATTGCTTGTGTATGTGTGTGAGAATTCGGCTTTCAACTTTTACCGATTTTGACCTAGCGCTGCGCGAAGAAGTGCATCACTCCCCTGTGGCAATCCAACGGTCTACCTGCATGCATGCATTTCCCCACATTATTACGGATTGTTTGAGAGGAGAGAGGGTTCAGGTAAACTTGCATAAAGTTGCATTTGTAATGTGACAACTTTGATTCCTTTCTTTCATCATTACAATAGAACCCTATAAACATGGCATCAGGAGAACGAATTACGGTAACATACAGTCGACCAAATCGATCTGCCAACGCAGAAGCGATCAAATTGGATCTGTACGCATTCGTGCCTCCTGTCAATCCAACAGATCCTGGACCAACATTCTCAAAACAAAATCGACTACCTTTTATTTTATATTTGCATGGCGGTCATTTCCTGACGGGGAGCAGAAGGGACATTCCTCCTTGGCTTGCATCATTAGCAAGAGATAATGGACTACCTCTAATTTGCGCTGATTATCGTTTAGCACCGCATGCGGGACCTTCAGATGCATTGGAAGATGTGCAGAACCTATGGACATTCATTCGCGAAGAATTGAATTGGGTTATCGCTTGCAGTGGAAATGGTGCGGAAGTGGAAAGTGGAAATGAAATGTTGGAAAACGATTTTGGCGAATTACAAAGAAGAGGTGGAGTGGATATAGAAAGAGGTATAATCGTAGGAACGGGAAGCGGCGGCTATCTAGCAGCGATGGGGTAAGTATAACTTGAGCACTCGAATTCGCTTCATATTCTGATCCTTTTTCCACTTTCATTCTTTCAGCGGCGCAATTTTATCTCCGCCTCCTCTAGCTATGGTATTGGGATATCCATTGTTAGAGATAAACAAAGTTCTTACTGATTCACCCGGATATTTTGTTCCCGCAAGTACACCTGGACATTTACGACCTCTGCTCAATCCAGATCATGTCGGTCAAGTAGAATTGGCAAAGACCAGCGTACCGGATATGCCAATGGCGCTCGATAAATCTCCTTATGCTGCAGATATGCGAGCAAGATTCGGTATGGATACTCGAGAGCCATGGAAGGGAAAAGAGGAGAGCATAAAAAGGCAAGGATTGGCAGAATTCCTACTGAAAGATGTGAGTTTAAGGTGAACTGATTTGTTAGGGTGTGAATGCGAAGACTGACTTAGTCTTGTCTTACCATTTTTAGGACCGCTTGGATGCTTTGTTGAGGAAAGCATCCCCGGATCTTGTTCTTCCATCTGACGTTCTTCTTTCGAATTCAAACGGCAAGCCTTTGCAAGATCAAAGGAATCGTCCTTATCCACCTACACTCATCTATCATGGTCAGAACGATGAAAGAATCTCACCCGACAGTTCAAAACGGTTCTTGGATGTGATTCGAACTGCAGAACCAGTTGCAGCTACCATGGACGCACTCGCAAGCGGAGGTTTTTCGCATTCTTCGTTTAATGAGACAACAAGAAGGGATCAAAGTCAAGCAACAGCTTGTGAAAATGGTAAAGGTGAATTTACAACCACAGAAACTGCATTACGTTGTGTTTCGCAAAATCCAAATCATACAAGCAGATATCTTTATTTGGAAATGGAAGGTACGAATTCCGGTCATGCTTTTGATGCCCTTTTACCACGAGAGATGCGTCAACCGCCTTTCAGTAAAATTTGCCCAAAATCAATCGGTGATCGTTATAAGGCCAGCTTGATACATGCAGAAAGGTTTATTCAGCATTGGTTATTGGAAGGTAGTGCCGAACGTGCAGCCGCACAAAAAGCACGCAGAGAGGCCGAAAGTAGAAGGGATGGAACATCAACGGATTCAAGCGCCGAGAGGGATTCACAAAATGCTGGTGGTGCTCGTATAAAGTTGCCTGTTCGAGGTCCTCGTCTATAGACTATACAAGTAGAATAGATTGCACGCTTTGCTATTTGCTGTACTACATCATGCATTAATTCACTTTGTTCTACAGAAAATTACGTTTCGTAAAGGTCTGCCATCCTCACATGGTATTATATGGTGAAATGTCACAGACCATTCGGTGTTTGAAACTTTCTTCCAGTTTTCTAGCAACTCGGTGATGTGCTCCAGCTCAAATCTTTTCCCGATGGGTGGGCCAGAGTAAGCTCGATTGACCTGTTCCGAGTTGATTATTCTCCCAGATGCATGTTCGTCCGCTTCTGTTACAGTGGTAAAGTGACTGATAGCAATCCATCCTCCAATGTGGGACAATGTCGGAAGATGGTGTAAGAGGGCTATGGGAAAGAATCGAACAAGAAAGAGAATGTCGAACGTACGATGTGGAAGATGCTCGCTGGCAAAAGCAGACAAACGCTGAGCAACGCTTTCATCTTCATTGCAGGACGAAACGGGTATACCATGATTTGCCGTTGAGCCTTCAATAGTATGTTTCAACGCCTGCAAGCTACCTTCGCTACTGACTTGAGCCCATACTATAGATTCGATTGCAGATCTGGTTGAGGAAGGGTATTCATCTTTGCTCTCCTCGGTGCCCAGTTTCATGTCTTTGACCAGTAATCGAGCACGTCTTACGATGGAATGGAGGTTATCGATCCCTGACAATCGCCAGCCTGAAGAGAGGTTTCGAGCGATCCATGCCAGATCTCGTCCGGCACCGCAACCCAAGTCCAGAAGAGTGACTGGAGAAGTCTCACATTCTTCTTGCGACCTTTCTAATTTCTCTACTACAATTCTTGCTAACTGTGAGGGCTCGAACAAAAGGTCCGGCACATCATCGTTGTCCGCATTTATCTTGACCAGCCCACATTTGGTGGCCTCTTTCCAGAATAAGGTATCATTCTCTGTGATGAAGCCAGCAACGTCCCATCCCTCCAAGGCGACTTTCACGTCTTGTAATTCGTCCACATTGCACAATACAACTAAGCTCTTCCCTGATGCATTTGTTCCAAGACGGTCTTGTCCATCTTGCTTCTTATTCCGTGGCGGTAGCCAAGAGAATCGCTCTTTCAAGCCGTGTAATCCATCCTCAATACATAGAGCCGATTCTATGCGTCCATTATGCTCCGATTGGTCTAATTTGCGTAGATCCAAGACACCTATTCTTCTATTCTTACTTGCTTTTCCGATGTAGTCGTTACTCAAAATATCTATCAATTCATCTTGATGTTCAGATGAATTCATGGATCGTAGGGATGACCCATGAAGTAGGAAGACTAAAATTGAAACATGAAATTCTCGCGTCAAAATACATAAGCTCTAATCAACGCGGGGGGAGAGATCCTCCTCCCCACTTCGATTCCAGAGTAGTCATATCATTAAAAGGTGTAGATTGTGCAAAATACAATGAATTGTGTTTATCAATGTGGAACGTCTTCCCAATCTTGCCATCCTCTTCCGACAGTCTTTTTAAGATCTTCAGCAGTGAGCTTTTTGGAATCACTAAAGTATCCAGCTTGAATTTTTGCATCAATCTCAACCCGACTATCGGAAGGAATTAATTCTTCCGGAATTTCATATCGTTTATGAATTGGAATTCCAGATCCAACGATTGCGTCATATTTTAGATTTGACATTGAGATCATATTATCAATCTTTGTAACGCCTAACCAATGCAAAACGTCTGGAGGTCCAATAACTTGAAAACGCATATCTTCAACTCCTGCAACGTTTTGCGTTCTTTGGAAATACATTGCTGCAGAATCCGTACCACGTTTACGAGCATTATATACTAAATACTTTGTCACCTCTCCTAACGCTCTTCCTTCTTTTGCAAAATAAATCACAATTCCAACTCCTCCTCTTTGTGCCGTTTTGACAGCTTCTTCGATACCGTAAAGTAGATATGGTCTACAAGTGCAAATGTCACTTCCAAAGACGTCACTTCCACCACATTGATCGTGAACACGGACGGTAACTTCCTTGCTTGGATCGCTCATAAATTGTGGCGGGCCAAAGATGTATACAGTTGCTCCGGGAATGGGCGGGAGGAACACCTTCAAATCATGTCGAGTAAGTAATTCAGGATACATTCCACCTGTTTCTTCAAACAATGATCGTCTCAAAGTACCTTCTTGAACGCCAAGTTTTTCCGCAATACCGGGTAAATACCAACAAGGTTCAATTGCCGCTTTTGAACAATTTACTTCGATTCCCGGATCAGCATCGATCGGTACGCCAGGCAATCTGTCAGATTTCACGACAATCTTTCCATCTAATGGAATTCTTCCTAATCGGAAAGCATCATCAATCTCCGGCATCTTGATATGCGCACGTGTCATTGCAATCGTTGGTCGAATGTCTTTACCTTCTTCAAAATCTTTTTTGAATATTTGTGGTGCTAAATGTCCCCAAGGATCAATACCAACAATCTTTCCGGGCGTGAACCATGAAGGATTTGGCGGAATGTCAAAAGGTGGCTCGGTATTCGTGAAATCAGGTCGATGGTTTGGGTTCAATTTACCAACTGCAATCGACAGAGATCTGTACACTGAGTATGTACCTCCGTATGCTCCTATTGCATTTCTAAGCTTGATACTCTTTGGATGACGACTAGCGATCACAGGTCCACGTTCGAGCGGGTCTTTAGCATACCACTTGAGCGGAACAGGTCGAATACCAGCTTGACCAGGGTAAGTTGATAAGATAACATGACTGCTATAATAACTCGGCACATCTGATGATCCGCGTCTTGCTCCTAGGTCGGGAGTATCATGAGGTGTTGGGTTATTTGTATGCGGTAAAGGTTGAGCTTGAGGAAGACTTGGTGATTGATTGCTCGAGCCAGAAGGTCTCATTGATTGTGCAGGTGGACCTAATGGTTGAACCGGTGGACTTGTTCCAAGCAAAGCAGATAAGCCAGTCCCATTACTCGTTTCAAATGGACGAGTAAGAGGACTCAAGCCGGTTGATGAAGCTTTACGAGCATGCAAAGAGGGAGATGCCATTGTTGTAGCACCGTGAAGTTGGTCCAGCTAGTAGAGGATGGCTTGTCAGTCAACTGTAAAATGATTACGACCATCGATTTGTTTCCACTTACCTTGTGTTCCAATTGAGCATTTTTCAATTTCATTTCATTCAATTCGCTCAAGATTTTAGCCAATGCTTCGGTTGTGGAAGGATCTGGACCATTACTGGCCACATTTCCCGCGAATTGGGAGGCCATCTTGCTAAAGCAATCAGAGATGATGATGGGAGTGTAGAGAGAGCATTCACTGGCAACATATGCTTATCAGTGTCTCCACGTTTTGTATGTGTCGTGCGTGGATTAGGGTCAGGGTGCTTCAGCTGTGTCCTGCAATTTACTGCATTATCTACTCTAATTCTTATGCACCTTTAAACTATGGATCGATGCATGTACGCAAAGCAACTCGGCCCGCCAAACGCCCAAATCGATAAGCTATCTCTGTGCGAAACGCGTTCCCAGGGTCTAACACCACCACAATCGGGAAAACGGCCGAAACAAAATGGTATTGCCGTGTCAAAAGGAGCATGTTCTTTACAGTCCACGAAAAACAAAAAAATGTAAGTAGCAAAGAAAGAATGCAAAGACTTGTGCAATAATGGTATATGAATGGTTGGAAAATTCCATGCTACGATCTCTTCTTACCAATCCATTCTCCAGCATCCGTTTTTATTTTGCGTAAACGATCATTAAGGGCTTGAATGTCCAATGTTGGTACGATACGTGTCCATGCTGAGCTTAGAGATTGTCTATCATCAACTCCTTCTTCTTCCGCAACACTGTGTATCGTATTGCGATCCCCTTCTTCTTCTTCAATTCCATCTCCTTCTCGAAGATTAGAAGATAATCCACCCTTCTTCCTCGCAGATGCAAGACTTGTATCATTCTCAGAAAATGTTCTTCTTGATAAAAGTCTATTTTTCCATAACCTTCTTGCTTCGTTACCATCTTCGTCATCCTCCGGATCCATTTCAAACGTCGACCCAACATGGAATCCAGGACTGCTGGGAGAGATACCAATACTCAAACCACGTTCCAATAATGCTTCATATAGTCCTCTCCTCTTTGCCGATGGTGGACTGAGAAGTGATGATTTGAATCTTCCACTTTCTCCACCATCTGTTCGCAGCTTGAATAAACTTGATCTCCTTCCTTTATGAGCCTCCGGTGTTTGTATTTCGTTATCTGATCCTTCTTGAGGAGCGTTGTTTGAGCTTGAAGGGCCAGCCTCTGCGCTCTCATCTTCCGGTCTTTCCTCCTCGTCACTATTCCTATGAAATTGAGGCAAGCCAGGCATATGGAATCCCAGCCCAGCCATGATGGAATTTGTTCCACTACCACTTCCTGATCGAGAGCGCGTCCTTCGCTTTTTCGATGTCGGACTGCCTGCCAAACTTTGCAAACTGCTATCAAGCGGCGAAGGTGGTGATTGCGGACTCTTGAGAAGACTTCCGTTATTTGGAGTTGGTGGTGGTAAATGTGGTCCAGCAATTCCAGCAGCATTGGCAAGAATTGCTTCAGTCTCCGTCGGAGCACTTTCGTTTGCCTCTTCCTCGTTCGGCGAAGCAGGATTTGATAACTTGGGCGATGTGACGGGTGAAGTGACTTGTTCTTGAACATCGGATAGAAGTGGTTGATTCTCACCCTCAAGCCTTGACTCTTTCTCATCCTCTGTTTCTGAGCCATGCAGACTGACCATCCAAACACCGCTCAAAAGGATGGCAGTCCCGAGTATGACCAGTATGATACTGACCGGAGACAATGCACCCAGCTGATCAAAATATACCATACCCAAAGCGATTGAAGAAGTGTTGTAGAAGCAGAAAGCCAATGGGCAAACCAGAGGAGGCGAAGCCAATCGTAAACTTTTATTGAGATACCATAATTGCAGCAAGGCGGCCGAGAGCATAACAATGACCAAAAACCAACTCTGCCATCTATCGAATTGATTCACTCCGCCAATCGTTAACACCAATAGCTCTACCCCTGTCTTTGCAAGTAACAAGCATGCTCCAGAAAGTGTTCCACTCGCGCCTCCGTATGCTATCGCCAGACCAAGACAGACCTTTCGGATTGCAGGATCATGTTCTGCAGCTGCCAATGCCGCCGCTGATGTTGAGCGCTTTCCTGTATCTTCTAAGCTAGAAAAGCTTGATGCTGATGATGAGATAGATGATCCTCTGGCTCTAGTAGACCCGTAATCTGGTCTCGGGCTCGTTGCATGTAGTGGTGTGCTTGCATTTGCTAAAACACTTTTCGATGATGAATTCCTTTGCATCAATACCCTTTCGACCGGTATGCCACGTCGAGCAGCCTCGTCAGCGATTGCCAAGACTGGGGTTGCAATTCCTGAACTGCTTTCGCTCACTTCGGCAACAGGGGCCAGACTGGGAGCTGACCATCTTCTCGGCATCGGTTTCTTCTTTTTGTTCTTTGGTGAATTTGCTGATTTACGAGAATTATTTTCGATATCATGTGGTCGGAATAGTCGAATGTGCAGCTGCCATTCAGCTAAATGGGCTACACCTAGAACCCCAATGAATGTCAAAAAGAATAATGAGGCGAACGCAACAAATGTTGGACGAGCAAAGAGTGAAAGAAGATCATCGAGCGAATGTGTCGGTTCCTGTACAACGCCAAAATAGCCGATCAGTACCGCACCGATTGCGATCAGTGCCGTTCCGATGATCATATACTTTGAGAAAAAGTCGTCCAAAATGAATCGAGCCAGAAGTGCATTGTAAAGCAGACTTACCGCACCTAGTGGAGCGAGCATAACGATCGGAAGAGCACCGATCTGAAATACTGTACCTCCAATATTAGCAACGATGAAAATCACAAATCCGAAAACCCACATTGGCCTTTTCCATTCTGACCTTTGTTGTTGTTGTGAAAGATGAGCATTTTGAATGTGAGATTTCCTCTGAATCGTTAGACCAAGTGATTGAACGAAAGAAGTGATCAACCCGATGATGATTGCTGCAGGCACGGATATGGGTCCTGACCCTTCATTCGCGCTGATTGATATCGCAGACATTGGATATAGTTGATGATCAGGTTGTCATATTCGTTTGTGTTGTGGTTGTGATGTTGGTGATTGCATTTACAGGGGGTCAACCCAGATTTCACGCTATTCTTATTTTAAGTGGCGCCCTTTTCCTTTTAATGCACGGGCGTTTAAATTTTAACACAAGCCTTCTTCTCATTCATCATCACACGACGATCATCTTTTCAAGGCAACGGTTGTTCAATGTCTGCGCCTTTATCAACAGCGCCTGATACGGCCACATTATATCGGCAAAGAGGCTTGAATGCGCCACCATTTCCAGCATATAAATCAAAATCTGCTCCTTCGCCTCCCGTAAAAGAATTAAGAGGCGGTCATAGACCTGCACCTATAACTTCAGGAACGATTGCAGAACCTTTAGCTTCTTTCTCTTCATCTTCAGCAACAAAAGGTTCTTGTTCTGTTCGAAGTTTAGGATGGAGTATCGATGGTAGAAGGCTAGCAAGTTCTGCTTCTGATCGATCAATACGAATCTGGACGCCGGAAGTAAGCGTTGATGCACGTTCGACAAGTGAATTACGAGGTCATACAGATGGAGTAGAACAAATCATTTGGCATCCTTTACAGCCCGATCAATTGGCTTCTGCTTCAGGCGATAAAACTGTCAAATTTTGGGATGTGAGATCATCGAAAGAGACAAACAGTATTCGAACACCAGGCTCAAACATCAATATTGCCTATCATCCACAAGGATCGTATATTGCTATTGGAGATCGAGATGATACAGTATCCATCATCGATGTACGTGCTGGTAAGAGCTTGGGATTGATACGGTCTATGGGATCACCACCTGATACCACCTCACAAGCTGCTAAATGGATAAATGGAGAGAAAGAAGAGATCAACGAATTCTCATGGACACCTGACGGACGCATGTTCGTGATGGGAACGGGAAGCGGTAATGTGAGAGTATTGGATGCAAGAAGCTTGGAACCTCATATGGCAGATATTCCTGAGAAGTCAGAGACAAAGCCAGCTCCTGGACCTGCACTACATTGGCCAACAGTACATACCATCGTTGGCCATACAGCAACAGTCTTTTGCGTCGGAATTGATCCCCTAGGTCGATACTTAGCAACAGCTTCTGCCGATAGTACAACAGCTCTGTGGACCTTGGACGAATTCTTCAATGTTTCTGTTTCTGGGCATTTGACATATACACCTAGATCCATCTCTTTCTCACATGATGGTGAATTTTTGGCTTCGTGTGGAGAGGATAACTTTATTTGCATCACCGCAACCGCACCGATGAACCCTACTTCTGTTGATAGTCCATTACACAAGATACCCGTCTCAACTGCTGTTAATGCTGTTGCTTGGCATCCAAGTAGGTATTACTTGGCATATGCTGGAGATGATGGTAATGGCACGATTCGAATTTGGGGAATGTCATAGAGGTCAAGAAAAAATTCTGTACAATATATCCTTTCATAAAAATGTACCACTATTTCATGCAAAGTTTGATCAAAGATAAGGTATGGGTTTGAAAGGTCAGATTATAAGATACATAAAGTAAATAAGAATATACAGTATTAAGTGATGCGAAGACAGGGTAAAATGTTCAGGGGTGATTTGCTACTAATCTTAATTGCTCTTCTTTGGTGGTCTCTTGTGGCGTGGCGGTCTACTTGGTGTTGAGACTGGTCCATTCTTTTCACGTCCAGGAGCTGAAGGTGTAGCAGTACCGCTAGCATTTTCAGAATCCGTATTTTGTCCACCTTCATTTGGTGTAGTAGGTCTCGAAGGAGAATCACTATCGGATTTTGATATACTTTCTGACAAATTTTCTTCTTTTACACTCTTTGCATCGTTCGAAACTGATTCGATAGTCGTATCTTCTGTCGGTGGTCCTTCGATATTGATCTCTTGCGTAAGTGTATCGTTAGTAGATTCTTCTTCTTCGTCTGCATGGACACTGTCACCGCTATCCATTGATGCAAATGAGTGCGAAGCCGAGCTTGTGCTCACTCCATCCTCACTTGAGCGAGCGTTATCACCGGGTGCGGTCTTTTCAGCCTTGTCGTCAGTAGCGTGCTCGGTAGTATCTTTATCCTTTGCATCTTCATCCTCTACTTTGGAGATCAGTTCTGAAGAGTCTTTGACATCAGCGATTGGAGCCACATTTTCAGCCTCTTTTAGAAGTGGATCGATGTCGTGTTCTGCTGCTTCTTGAACATTCTCGTGTTCCACTTCTTCTTCTGCCTCTTTGCCGATGCGCTTTGCTTCTGCAGTGTCTCCCTCTAGTGCAGCTTCCATTATTTTGTCAGCATCATCCTCACCTTCGATTCCCTGAGCCAATACCTCTCCCCTCTCCTCCTCTTCTGTTGGCTGAATTGGGGACTGAGCGTTGTTCTCGATCACAGCAGGTTCAAGGGAATCCGGAAGTGCGGGAACTTCGGTAAGTTCTGACTCTTTCACGGAATCCTTCAAGATCGGAGACGGCGGTAAAGGCACGAATTGAGCTTGTCTAACTTCGGGACAATTTGGTCCGTCCATGATAAGCTTTTCCGTGGGTCTCTTTGCGAAAAGGTTTGGATGTATATCCCAATGACGTTGAACGTCTGGATGCATAGGAGGAGCGGGTAATTGATAGATCCGAACGCGGTCTTCCTTTTCCACCCGTAAGTCTTCCTCGTCTGGTATACCTGCAGCTTCCATCATTTCAAGCTCTGCAGGCGTCGGTGGTAATCTTAACCGTTCTCCGTCTTGGACGATCTCTTCCTCTTCAACTTCCTCTTCTTCAGCGGCATTCTCTGCTTCAATTCTGCGCTCGGCTTCATTGGCAGCCTCTTCCATGTCGAGCTCCTGCAATGAGTCGCTTTCTACTCCAGGCGTCTGACTCGCTGAAGCATTACCGTTAGCATTTGCAGATCTTGAAGTTGAGAGACCTGAATTTGGGGTGGTAGGACCACCTGATACAAATCTCTTTTTGTGTGGGGATACGGATCCATTCGGTCCAAGATGTTTGAACACTTCACTTTCTGGTATCTTGATGATATCGTATTCAGTCCTCTCTAGCTTGCCTCCTTGTGCTCTTCCTGTTTCGGCATCCCGTAATGCACGATGAAGTGGATAAACGACAGGTGGAATACGCACTTTACCTTCGAAAATATCTCTTGCACCAATTCCGGGCCAATAATAGAATCGCTCGTTTTCATCGAACCTGTGCAAAAATACTTGACCTAACAGCTCGATTCCTGCATAAGCTCCTCTATTACGTACATACGAGTATACTGGAGCACGATCGTAACTTGCTTCTGCACTGTATCCTGTTCCATAAGGACCGGCTGTTACTCCAGTCTCTGCACCAAGATCGACACGATGAGTTTTGAATGTCTCTAAAGTCTTTTCACTGTTGATCAAAAGTACCACATCCAAAAAGTCAATTCCAAGCAACAATCCTACCGCCCCACTTTGAGGTGAAATGGCAGAAGGTCCTGACCAAGATCCATTAGGCAAACGTGCTAAGAACAAGCCAGATCCGCCTCCACCGCCGAGAGGTGCGATTCCACTTCTCATAGATGAAAAGATTGCTATTCCTTTTGCATTCCGGATGGCTGCTGGAGGAATCTTTCTCAAGACTTTGACCTTTTTCGTGATCCAATTGCCTTGTGCATCTTGCACACTTTCTTCTTTTGAGTCTTTTTGCTGTACACCTTCTACAGTGAATGCACGAAGAATACGTTCACATTTTTCTAATTCCAACGGCATATCATTTGATTGTGGCCAGAATCGTTCACCTCCGACAGCTTCGGATACCTTGTTGGCATATGGTGAGAACCAATCAGATACTTTGATACTCTTGTCGAATCCCGCTCTACCCCATCTTGCCCATCTTCCTTCGGTTTGAACGGCTTTCTTTTCGGTTGACGAAGAGGGATCACCATCTTTCGCCATGCTGAAGAGTGTTGATCATAAAAGATGAAGGATGATGAAAGAAATGAAACATGTTCAATATACCCAGATTATATTATCTCTTTCTTACAACTTTCGAAAACGCACGCTCGGCCCGCCGTTCAAGGAACGCTAAAGTCCACTGTAATTTTAAACTTCTTCGGCGCCTAATGCCGCGATTAAATACATACGCCTTCCGCTTTCTTCAAATGTATCGGAATTAAGAATAACTCGGTCAGAGTGGAGTATGACGAGTAACATTCTTCTTCTTCTGAGACATCGCTTCATCGGCCATGATTCAATCATGACAACATTCTGGAAGCCAGGTACGGCTAAACCAGGCTCATCGTTGGATCGCAGCGGTGAGGATGACAGTCTGATCGCACAACCAGCTCTCGATCTCTCAGGCGGTCTGCAAGGTCAAAGAGCACGCTTGCCAATCGCGAAACAGAGAGATGAAATATTATTTGCTGTTGAGAGGTATAAGACACTCGTTGTGATTGGACAGACAGGAAGCGGTAAAACGACACAAATTCCTCAGTATTTCATGGAAGCAGGATGGGCAGCTGGAGGAAGACAAATCGCAATCACCCAACCCAGAAGGATAAGTGCTACAAGTGTTGCCCAAAGGGTTGCTCAAGAAGTTGGTTGTGTAATTGGGGATGAAGTAGGATATACGATTCGATTCGAGGATTTGACGAATGAACATAGAACGCGGATCAAATATTGCACCGATGGAATCTTGTTCAGGGAATGTATGCGTGATCCTTTGCTGAGCAAATACAGCGTAATCATGGTGGACGAAGCGCACGAAAGAGGTGCATATACGGATATGCTCTTGGGACTTTTGAAGAAAATTCAAAGAAGACGTCCAGAATTGCGAGTCATCATTTCATCAGCGACGATTGATGCGCAGATGTTTGTTGATTTCTTTCGTTCTTCTGACGATGACAAAGATGTCGGAAGTATGACATTGCAAGGTCGTACCTTTCCCAGCGAAATTGCATATTTGGAGAAACCATGCAGAGATTATGTCGATGCTGCCGTAGATGCTGTTTGGAACATTCACTTGTCCCAGCCAATCGGAGATATACTCATTTTCCTTACCGGTCGTGAAGAGATCGACAAATGCTTACAAGCGATTGCTGACCGATTGCTCAATCTTCCAAAAGGATCGCTATTGCTGTCGCTTTGCCCACTACACGCAGGATTAACGATAGAGGAACAAACGGAGGTGTTCAAACCAACAGAGCGAGGAACTCGAAAGTGCATTGTTGCAACCAATGTTGCCGAAGCAAGCATAACGATAGAAGGGATTCGCTACGTGATCGATTCTGGATTTGTCAAAATGCGATTGTTCAATCCTCAAAATGGAATGGATTCCTTGAGCGTATTGCCAATTTCGAAAGCATCGGCTACCCAACGAGCTGGGAGAGCTGGCCGTACTAGCTCGGGAAAGTGCTTGAGGCTGTATACTCAAGATGCATTTGAAAAAATGTCACCGATTTCTTCGTCAGAGATGACACGAACAGACCTGTCGAATCAGATACTTCAACTTAAAGCTTTGGGTATTGAGAACTTGGTCAAATTCGACTATTTGCCACCGGCACCACCGAGTGCTCTGTTGGCACGCGGGCTAGAATCTTTAGCAGCTCTTGGGGCATTGGATGAATGGGGTCGGTTGACAAGTCCTTTGGGAGAACAAATGGCGGAGATGCCGCTAGAACCGAAGATGGCAAAGGTTTTATTGGAATCGGTCAAATTTCAATGCACCCAAGAGATTCTAAGTATTGCTGCCATGACATCTGTTTCAACTCCGTTCATTATCCCTGATGAAGGCCGTTCAGCAGCTGGTGCACAAGGCGAGCTTGAGAGACGCAAGTTCACTGCTGAAGAAGGAGATCATTTGACATTACTGAACGTCTTTAATGCGTTCATCAATCCACGGATAGGCAAGCAAAGCAGTAAATGGTGCGCAAATCATCGATTGAACTTTCGTGTTTTAAGCAGAGCTGTTAACATTCGTTCACAATTGGAAAGGTTTCTTGCACGATTCGGGATCATGAAAGGAGGCGAAAGTTGCAAAGGAGATAGCGTGCGATTGCGAAAGTGTTTGACAAGTGGATACTTTGGCTTTGCCGCAAAGATGCAACCGGATGGCTCGTTTAGAAGTGTAAGGGAAGGTGCGACCTTGTACGTACACCCATCCAGTGTCATGTTCAATCGCTCGCCATCAACAAAATGGGTCATCTTTCATGAAGTTGTCGAGACGCAGAAGCTCTTTATTCGAGATTTGACGATCATTGAGGAGGATTGGCTGTTGGAATTGGCTCCTCACTACTATCAACGTTGATATCAATATCAATTGTACACTATACTACATTGTATTATAACAGCATGTTTTCTATCATAGATTCTATCACTCCCGTTGGAAAGCTATCGTAACAGTTGTTGATCCTTTTTGTCCGCCAAAGGAAAAAGATGGCACAGGTACGACGTGATACACTTCGAAGCTCTCTTTGAAGATTCGTATTAGCTCTTGTTCGGTGAAGTTGCATGATGTGATGAGAAAGATGTCCTCTTTTATAGTAATCTTTTCTAGTGATTGGACGTATTGCGAGATAGGAGTCGCTTTATCCTCGGAAGCAGCTGAAAGAGCAATTGCGTCAAGGGTACCCTTATCACATACCAAATTCCATCGTTCATGCTTGAGTGCTTCTACATTTTGCAGAAAGTCTATCTGCTTGAACCGTACTTTTTGTGCATCTTCACCCCTAGCGACTGCAATTCGTTTGCAAAGATCGACCGAGGGTGCCGAATAATCTATCCCAAGCATATGCTCCGATTTTGCGAGTGGCTCGTCCAATTCCAGTAAAGCAAATAGCAAATGACCATTTCCTGTTCCCAGATCCAACACATGAAGATCTTGTGGTAAATTTCCATCTTCTGCCTCACGTTCTAGAAAGTCTACCATTCTTTCAACTGCATCTTCCCCGAACCACACCTCTCCTTCATCGCCAATCTCGTCGAAGTTTTTCACTTCTCGATTGTACACGTCATCCCAATGTTCTTGTGTGCCCAACTTTGAGCTTGGTAGAGACGTACTTGCCTCATGTCCGTTTGATGACATCTTCGATTACTTGTATATGAGAGAGTAAGAAGAAAGTATTTCTTGCCAATTGACATTTCCGTAAACTTTATTTTTTTGTGCATACACGCGGGAATCGGAAGAATTCATGCTAAATTTTTTGGAGCTGCATACATGTTCCTCTTCTCCTCATCATACCGAACACCTCACCCTCGCCATATTACTATCTTGACGATGGTAAGTATGATCATCTGACTTATTCAAAAGCTACAGTACTAACAGTCATTGATTCTGAAATCCTTAGGTACGTGCACCTTCTATCCGCGGTCGACCGACGCCACAAAAGAAGCACAAGAGCACTCTAACATCCAGTCCAAGTGGTGAGAAGGGTTCATCTTCCATCTTACCACAACGTACGACCGCCATCACAAAATCTCTCAAACGAGCAGAAAAGCGAGCTCAACTTTTATCGCGTACAACACAGGCAGCAAACACGGGAATTCGTGCAGATGGAGAACCATTGTCCAAAAGCGCATTGAGAAGAAGAAAGAGAAAATCAAGGGATGAATTGGCAAAAGATGATCAGGAAGGAAGACAAGGAGGGATAAGTGATTTGAAAGATGCGATGGACGAACTTGATGAGGAATTACAGCTGGAAGATGAGGAGGACGAGGATGTTGAGGGTGGGGAATACAGTGTCGGGCCATTGGCTGCAAATGTTGTAAAAGGTGGTCGTGTAACAACAAATCATAGAAAGAAGGTCTTGTGAGTATACTGAGAGGAGATGATTATAAATAGGAAGAAGTCTGACAGCATTCTCTTACAACCCTGCCAGACAACAAGAGCAAGCTCGTCAAAAGGCAATTCTATCCAATCCCACTTTTCAGAAATCACCATTCGCAGCTCTGCGTGAGCATGCACGCAATTCGATGGTGCAGCCGCCAGCACGTTCAAGATAAGCAAATCACTAATTGCCTTCATCAATCTGTACTTTATCCCTAATAAATATCATGATATCATCAAATGTTGCATTTGTCAAATAATGCAATCTATGCAGGTACGTCAAGTATGTGATTGTGCTTGTACAAGGGTAGTCTATCATCAGTGTGTTTTGCCAGTAAATTATCGCCCTAGGAAGTCGTTGTCGCTTGTGTCGTTCTCTTTGTCGGTATTCCACGCTTTTCTCTTGCCATATCAACAACCACTCTGAGCTTCTCCAACGTCAAGAAGATTAGGATAGTCTGTGATGAAGGAAGAGGTTATGATTATCGGTCAGCTTTGTTTTACATATCCTCTTTAGATATTGCCATACTCACATTTGGTGCCAGCCGTATCCACGCTGGGGTCCAACCTCGGAACAAAAATCCAACTCCCTCTCTCTGGATAGCTTTCTGTAATTTCCCAATCATGCTTCCACCTCCGTTTGTGCTACTCTGCATCACTCGTGCTTTGACAACATCAGCAGGTGAGCAAACTGTAGTGGCTACTGTACCGGCGACAAAACTTGCTGAGAAGTGTAGCCAAGTGCCTTCCTTGTAATATCCAGTTGCCAACAAAGCATCTTTTGCTAGATCATACGTTGCAAGTTGCGATGCGTTCATCAAAACGGCACGAATCGTATTCGGAGCCACACCTCTGAACAAAGATCCAACGCCTTCGGTTTGTACCATTTTATACAGTCCAGTAAGTGCATTTGAATAATTATACCTTTCTGCTGGCTTCTTGTTAATATCAGATGTCATTCGAACAAGGACGATATCGGCCGGATTACCGGCTATTCCACCTGCTGCTCCTGCTACACTTGCTGCTGCAGCGACAGACCAAGGTGATAACTTTTCTTCCTTTTTTCCATCTTTCTTATACCGTATTGTAGGTTTGATTTGTGCTTTAAGGTAATCATATACACCAAAACGTGTGACACTGTATGTCATTTGACGTAGCAAGCTTGCTGTTAGACCTGTGTAGATTCCAGAGATACCATCACTCTTCACTGCTCCTACGAGTGTTCCAATCGTTCCTTGTTTTGCTGATGCTGTTTGTAGCCTTGTTTTTGTGACATCTAAAGGATGAGTAAAACATGCTGCTATACTTGCAGCTGCACCTCCCAGCCAAAAAGGATAAGGAGGAGGTTGTTGTGCTTTTTTGTCCAACGTGGCAGCCAAAGCCTCCTTTCCGGAAGGAGATGGCATTATTTTGAGATGGAAATCGTGATGGTCAAAGAGAAAAGAGAAAGCGGATGTATGCTTCAATATCTTTGATTGACCAACTAACTGCACGCCAATCAGAAAACGGCCATAAAAAATTCAATCAAAAATCCAAAGCCGATAATGCAACAACCCTCAATTAGCGCAAGAACTTTTTTTGTTTTTTTGACGTCAGTGATTTCTTCTTGTCTTTTTTTTTCGGATTTTTTCTCCGTGTTATGCCTTGCCCTGCGCCCGCTTTGACACTACGGGATTTTTTATCTCTCTCATTCGGCATTAGCGGAAAAATGGAATTTCAGGCACAAACACTTTTGACTATGTGTTCACTCTGATACGGAAGATCATATTTCCGATAATTGATCAATTTATATTACTTTTTTGGAAAGGATACAGTAGTGTATATCCGATCAGACTACCCCACTTTCATTCCCCATGACAATTCCGATATTCCCATTTAACGTTTCAGTCTTGTAGGAGCCATCCTCATCATTTCTCTCTCGATCAACCGCCAAGACCAGCGGCCTCACTAAGCAAAAAAGCTCAAAGTTAGCACAAGGCGCAAAAAGTAGGAGGCGCGTCCGGTTTGTAATTTAATCAAAGCAACTTCTTGTCATACGCTAATTTCCACCCCCACCCACCTTATCGGGCGGAAGGGCGTCGACGCACAGCATTGGCAATTTAAACAACAAGCGTAAAGCCAAGAGCAGACTAAAAAGAGACTCAACTCAGCACTTCTTTTCCATCCTTCTTCCATATCTTCTATCTGTCATTTTCATTCGGTTCTGTTCGGAATAAAACAAACATGTCAAGTCATAGAGATCATCATGGTGCTACTACTCCTCCGCTTCATTCCATACTCAAAAAGACTCATCCTGCTTCTTTAAGTGGAACACCGCGATCCAGATCAAAATCACCTTCTCATAGCCGAGATTCATCGTACACCAACTCCGAAATTAATCTTACCGGATTGCAAACTAACGTTCATCCATCCGATGTAGGCCATTCACCTTCTCAACCTATTCATCCGTCTCCATTACGAACAGAATCACATACTGCAGGCGATGATACCGTTCAAGCAGTTGCACCAACAAATCTTACACAAACCTCATCTGCTGGTACTTCTTCGAATCCGGCATCAGTCACATTCTCTGTGCCTAATGAAGCATCTTTAAGCGCCCCAGCTACCACTTCTACCGCACAACAAAACACACGCAATGAAACTCCATCAGCATCACCGCTTCCATCGATCCTCAAATTGCCATCATCTTCCAGGACATCCAGTCGTAGAAGTAGCATATCACAATCAAACGAACATAATCTCGCAAGTGGCATCGAAGGAGAAGGAAGCGTGGATACAATCGCTCCCCCTCATCAATTACAACATGCTTTACTACAACTTCCAGCCAATGATGATTCCTCCCTCAGTCAGATCTCAGGCGCATCGTCTATTCAAAGATCTGCCTCTCCTTCACTAGCATATGATCGTACCCGACTGGTAGGCGGTAAAGGCGGATATGGTGGTCGCAGAGGAGGACCTGCATTGAACAAGAACAAAACCAGCTCAAGTGGAGGATTGAGCGATGTTGACGTTCGACCAAATTATGAACGTAAAGTTGGATTTGATACAATGATTGATGCAGACGATACGCCGAACGGATACTTTACCTTTTGTTTGCAAGTCAAATCTCGTGGTTATTTGCGTACAAAGAATACACGTACGTTCATGTGTGCAGTTGATGATAACGGATACAGTGAACGTGCTTTAGAGTGGCTGATGGAGTCATTGGTCAATGATGGCGATGAGATTGTGGCTCTGAGGGTATTGGAAGGAGATGCGGAAGAGATCGATCAAGATGCTGCAAGGGAAGATGCACGAGAGCTGATGGCCAGTATTGTGGAGCTCAATGACGAATTTGGAGATCGATCAATTTCGATCGTTGTTGAATTCATCGCAGGAAGGGTTACGGATACGATTTTGAATGTGATTTATGTGTACAGACCTGACAGTATCACTGTTGGTACACGTGGAAGGACGATGTCAACATTTCAAAAAATGCTTGGAGGATCGTTCATTGGAAGTTGCAGTCGTGATATTTTGAACTTATCACCCGTTCCTGTGGTTATCGTTCGACCAGAAGCAAAAGTTAAGAAACATTTGGCAAAAAGACAAAATGATCCTAAACGAAGAAGTTATCATGATTTGGTTGCGCTTTCCAAGGAATCTCACCTCCCCCTCAGCGTTGGACATTCAAAAAGACAGTCTTTATTATCGGTTCCTCATAAACATTAGGTTGTTACTTTTATAGATTTTTCTGGGCTTGCTCTATCTTCTATTCAATGTTATGTAATATTTTGTGATGTATAGTATTGTTACAATGTCATCGTTATCAAGTTTTCATTGTGGAAGATTGTTTGACTGAACGGGCCTTTTTCGAGCACGCTAAGGAAGGCAAGAAGCAAATCCGGGCTTCCCCCTCCTACCGACACCAGCATATTTCCATGAAACGTGAGAGAGATGGTCTCTACCGTCATCAAGCCTGTTGAAGATGAGTGACTCGGAGAAATTCCTTCAATTTAAGCTGATCAGGCTCTCTTCTGATCTTGATCATGCGCTCAGTATTGCATATGAGCCAGGAACGCTCAATACGCCATTGATCGTATTTATGAATGGATTACTCCTTCCTTCTTCATCATTCAGGCCAGCTGTAGAGCAATTTATAGAACTTGTCAAATCTGATCAAGGCGAAAGTCGTCTTCCCGGAATCCTACTTTGGGATAGATACGGACAAGGCTTATCGGACAAGCAAGAAAAGACGCATGATGCACATGATGTGGTGGAGACACTTCATGAGCTTTTGACACACATTGCTGGGCATGACGAAGAAGATCGTCCGATCATCTTTGTTGCTAATTCGATCGGTTGTCCTTTAGCAAGGATGTATGCTGAGAAATATCCCTCTTGCATTCGCGCCTTCTTGTTTCTGGATAGTATGATGGCTTCCAGTGATTTCGTCTCAATCTTCAATGAACCTCAAGATAATGAGGAAGCTTCCAGACTACTACCAGAAGAACGAGAGGGGTTACGGATTGGACGTGAAAAGATGCGAGCAATCTTTCATCCTAGTGTCACAAACGCAGAAGGATTTGACCGTAGTCGATTACCCGAACAAGTACCTTTTTGTGATCGACCAAAGTTTCAAGATGACCCGTTTTTGACGGTAATGGGACATGATCATGCATTTTTTGCTGCTGATACAGAAGAAAAGCTTGGAATTAATGCGTTCGTTGTAGATAAATACATGAATGCAGAATGGGACAAGTATAATCAGGGATTGCTCAAACTTACCAAGCCTGACCATGCTCGAGGCACAATACGACCAAAGAACGCCAGCCATTTCATTCAAATCTCTAATCCTGACGTTGTAGCACAAGAACTGCATTTGTTGTACGAAAAGGTCTTAAAGGCAGAAAGTGACTAAATGTCATTGCGGATGGATACAATCCCTAACAGATATATTAATTGTTGGTATACGAAAGTAGCAGATATAGATACAGCAGAAAAAGCCAAGTAACACAAACAGATCAAGGACCAATGACAGCAGACATGAATCTCCTGTAATCGCCAGACGTTTCCCCTTCCACTCGATTTTGCAATCCTTTTCGATGTTGGGTAGCAGCATATGCTCGTTTCAATTCTTCAAATCTACCTCTGTTCCAATGAGCACGCATGACACGATAGATCAAACGTTCATCTTTTGTTCCCATGCCTTTCATCGATTCTTCCAAAAGGTGGGCATCTCTTGAAATACCTGGCGGTCCAGGTAAAGCAGTATTTGCAATGTACAGCAGCGCCTCTTTCATATGTCCGCTGAATTCTGATTTCACCATATCTGCCAACGATTTACGATGGTGATGTTGATAGGCCTGATTCAGGGCTTGCAAATGTGGCGTAGAACGTGAGATCATGATTCCACAGATCTTGATTTCATCTGTTCCTGCGCCTCGAGCTGCTTTGTATATTTCACGAGCATCTTGTTCTACCATATTGTGGTCTACAGGTGCATTATCGTCCATTCGGGTGCCCTCTAATGCCATCACAAACATTCTCTTTGTCTTCATACTGAGCTCATCTTCTACTACCTTGACCATATCCTTGTTGTATGTTGCACGATAAGCTTGTTTCAACATCCAGATTTCTGAATTGGTTCTGCACAAGAGTACTTCGTTCAATAGATCTTCATGTGTTCCCGCACCTTGACAAGCACGATGAATGAGCCAAACATCGTATCCTAAAGGACCTAAACATTTCGCACGTAAACTTCCTTCGAACCAGCCACTGGTCTCCTTTTCCAAAACAGTCATCAAATCTTTACCGACCGTTGCACGAAATTGATGAGAAGTTGCATCGATTTGCATTGCGTCTAAAGGTGCAAGTGTTTGAATAAGAAGCTTTTCATCTGTTCCAAAACCTTTTGTTGCTTTTCTGATATTATCAACAACAAGTTGTGCATTGAATCCGGGCGGTGGTGGACTGGGTTGTTGGCCTGGTGGAGCAGGAATTGGAACGCCAAGGTAGAAATATCCACCACCACCGCCCATGTTCATCGGAGGAGGTGCTCCATATCCTCCACCACCATATCCTGGCTGAGGAGGTGGAGCTCCATATCCTCCTCCTCCATAAGTCTGTTGTGGTGGCGGTGCTCCATATCCTCCTCCATGATGATGACCATGATGTTGATGGTGATGATGTTGTTGAGGAGGTGGTGGTCCTCCGTATCCATATTGTTGTGGAGGTGGTGCTCCGCCACCATATCCGCCATAAGGTTGATTATTGTATGGATATGCCATTCTTCTTTATTGTTTGTGATGGTAGAGTAAAGTGAAGGTTGAATGTTGAAATGATCGACCTTCTTATAGTTCTAATATGAGAAGGCTGTGTTTTATCCGCTTCCTTCAGGAACTCCTAAGATGTTACAATCATGCATGCAATTTATCCGACTCTCAACTTCTGGGACAGCTTGGCAAAAGTGTAAAGGGCTTGGGCACTTAGCCTACAATCAAAAACCAGGCGCGGGAGCACTATGCACCGCCAACTTGCAATTTGCACAGCATTTACGTTGACCCAACTAGCATTCCATTCACATTTGTGATCGACGCTGCAAACAATGAGGCAATCTCAAATATGCTCTTCCATCTCGTCAGAAACAGGCTTCAGACCATGAATTTTGATAATGCTACCTTATCGTTCTCCATGTTGCTATGCGATAGCGGGGCGTACACTCTATGACACTGCCCAGAACAGCCTTGAGTTTACAGAGATGTCGAAATGATCGCAAATCTAGTAGATTCTGATTGATGAACGACCAAGACAGATTGATTGGTTCATACCATGTCCCTTTCCCAGGAATAATGCAGTTGATAAGATGCATCATTGTACTCTTATTGCATGCATACTTTGTCAATCGTATGCATAGCACTTCCACTGATCATGCTGCTGAAGAAGTCCCACCGCATCATGAAATAGACCTCGAACTTCGTTTAGGTCCATCAATGCCAGCCGTAGAGCCCTCTTCAACACAATCGTTGATTTCTCAACCAAATCCAGCTCCAGCAATTCATGGAACGGGAGTGAAAAGGAAGCGTAAAGGTGAACAACCTACTCCAAACGATATTCGTAAGAAGAGAAAAGACAAGAATAGCGCAAGGTCACAAAGGAGAAGGGAAAAAGCTCGTTTAAATGCAATAAAGAGAAGAAAGGAAATAAGGGAAAAGGTAAGCTTTTTGCACCAAAATGAAGATACAAAGCTAATCCCACCGTACCTATCTGCTAGGGACCTGAGGCAATCAAAGCAGAACAGGCCATACAAAAGGCTTATCAAAAGAATTACCTTGCCAATCTAGGAAAAGATCCTACACGAATGGAACTTTATAAGGCGAAGAAAAGAGAGAATGCGAAGAAACGATATAAAAGATTGGTAACGAATGAAATTACTGGCGAAGACTATAGGCACAGACTTAATGAACTGAAAAAGAAAAAGAATAGGCTTCTTCGAGAAGAAGCTGTGAAGAAATCTCTGGACAGCATTCCATAGCCACATTTTCAAATGTGGCCACCTCATATGCTGTGCTAGTATTGCGGTGCAAAGTATGATGTAGTACATCCTTCCTGAAAAGGTGTTGACTATAATAATCATGCTATCACCGTATCCATTCTCTTTCACACTCTCACCATCAAGTTCATGAAGACAATGATTGTTGTTCTGACAATTGCTTGCTTGTACCTTTCAATTGTGATTATTTGTACCTCTTCCGGCTCTCAATCAGTCAATCAGCCTTTGCAAGATGACTTGAATTTAGAGCTCAGACTTGCACCGCCTACATCCTCAAGTCAATACATGTCGCAACATTTACAAAGTCCAGAAACGAATTCCAAAAATCTAAAATCACAACATCATCCACCAGAGAATCAAATTATCGGCAACAAACGAAAGCATACTGAAGCTGTCACGGTGAATGAAAGGATATATCAACCCTTCTTCAGAGCTAGAACAAAGCAAGAGCAAATCGAGAGAAGGAGATTCCGAGACCGTGAACGTTACAAACTAAAAGTGCAACGACTAAAGAAGGAGGTATGTATACACAGTAGAACGAATCAACTCAGCTACTCTAATGAGATACCTTATGCACTGTAGGGAGAAGAAGCATTAAAAGAATTTAGGCAAGGTCAAAAAGTACGTCGAATGGCCAGCATGCGTGGTGTACACAATGATCCAGAAAGGCTTGAACAGTATAGAGCAAAGCAAAGGTCTTATAGCAAGATTTGGTATGAAGATTTGAAAAAAGATCCAATTGCATACAAGAAGTATAGGGATAGGGCTAACCTTTCTACCCAAAAATATTATCAGTCTCGCAGAGACAAGAACAAGGGACCGGAAAATCCTTGATAAGCTTAAAGTGCCTACAACAAACTTTGCATGCTTCGGGCTGCAACAGTACAGCATTACCGGGGCGGAATATCGAAAGCAATAACTAAATAGGTGATATGAGATTACAAACACTACATGTGAAATATGATAAAATGTCTTTTTTTTCCAACACTTCTTCATAATCCTACGTTCTATAATCTGATAATGCACTTACGACATATCGTCTTTCTGCTTATTCGTCCAAGTTTTAGTGCTTCGCCTCCTCGTGATACCGCACAAAACTCTGCCGATCACACGATAGACCTGGAATTACGGCTCGCTTTGCCTGCGAGTTCACAGACAGCCAATGTTCCTCAGCATTCTACTTCTACTCATATCATATCGCCTACTAGATCAAGACCAAAGAAAAAAAGTGAAGCAGAAAGAGGTGCTTCAAAGGGGTCTATAGAAGAAGCCGTAGGAATTACACGATCTGAAACAAGCCTGACAGATGCCCATCCTATGACACAGCCTTCGAATCAGGTGCACAGCGAAACAGAGGCTGCTATTGCAGCTTCTCCAATGCACAAGAACCAATTACCAACCGAAGTGCTTTCGATCACCCCCTTTCTCGTTGGGACGCAGCAAAAAAATGCAAACACAAAAAGAAAGCCTTCCGAGAAATATCGTCAGAAGAAGCTCTTGAAACAGAAGTTGAAAAGACAAAGACTCAAAGAAGAAGGTGGTGAAGTACAAGAAGCTTTCCAAGTTAAAGAAAGAGGTTATGCGAAAAAGGCTCGATCAAAACTTCGAAATGATCCGGTTAAGCTCGAAGAATACAGAAAGTACCATAGACTAGCTGCTCGAAGGAATTATCAAGAGAAGAAGAAAGATCCGGTTGCGTTTGCCGCGTTCATAAAAATGAAAAGCGAAAGATCTACTAAAAGAAAGCAAATGCTGAGGGCCAAAAACAGAGATCCCAGTTGATCGCGGAAGACATTTCTTAGAAGTTATGCTGACGAAATCTTCACTGAAAAACGTCGATATACCCAAAGCAACAAACGACAATTTCTGCATTGTTCTGAAGAAGTGTCGGGGCTGAATAACAGATGAGGAAAAACAGACAAGTAAAGTGACTGCGCAATCAAAGTCGGCAGGCCTTGTAATCAACATTCCTATTCCTCTCCACGATCTTTTCCCTTTGCTTATACATGTTAAAATTTGATCATGCGATTGCCTCTCATCATTTTTGCACTTCTTATCCGTCCATCTTTTGGTGCTTCGCCTCCTCTTGCTACCCCACAAGCTCCTACGCACGAACCTATAGATCTCGAACTAAGACTCGGCCTGCCATCTGCAACTTCGAAGAGAGAGATTCCTGCCATCCCTCGTGAATACACGTCTACTGATAGTATAGCAACGACAAGAACAGGACAAAAACGGAAGCGCAAAACAGAAAATCATACCACATTTTCGTCTACAAAGACCACAAAGCAACTTACGCCTCAGCAATTGGAAAGGCAAAGGGAAAGGGTGCGCTTGCAAGCTCAAAAGAATAGACAGAGGATCATGGATCAGGTGAGTCAGCTTATTATAATTATTTTTTACAGGTTAGTACTTATTTTCTTTCGATCCTGAAAGGGAGCCGAAGCCATTGAAGAAGAAAAGAAGAAACAAAAGGTCTATAACCACAACTATAGAACAAGGTTATATCAAGATCCAGTAAGACTTTTATATCATCGTAAAGTGAGACGTGCTGCGGCTATGAGGCGGTATAACGCGAAAATTTCAGATAATGCAACTGCAAAAGATTTCAGACTTGAGAACAATGAAGCGACAAGGGAAAATTACAAAAAACGCAAAGAGCATCAACAAGGACACATGACGCCAAAATGAACAGCATTACCACCGTGACAATATCGGGCGTAAGTCTTTGCGTTCGGACGAGGAAGCAGGAAGCATAAAAAACGGGGCTACACATACACATAGGAAGCCTTTCTGCGTACTGCTAATAAAGACTTCCATAGCATATAATGTAATTTCATAAATTGATCAAATTCCCAGCATTCATTTGAAAAGGTGAAAACAATGCTCCGTGATTCCATCGTTCTTCTTCTTTTCAATGCTTTGCCTTTTCCGGATCAAGCATCTTGGTATCGTAGCGATGATGAATATGGGCTATCTTCTATTCTTCTAGACAGTCCAAGGTTTGTAACGAGTCTCACAAATACACATCCACTTGGTACACTGCCAAATGAGGTATATATGCACTCAGATACTGTCTATAATTCTTCTTCAACGATGGAAATGAAACATCTGCCAGCCGAGGTAATTTCAATCACACCATTTTTTCATGAAAAGAAGTCAGTCACGAAGGTAAAGCCTTTCAAGGAATAACGTGAAAGGATCAATTTAAGACAGTGATTAAGACGTCGAAAGGTCAGTGATCAGGGTACAGAAGCAGAGGAACCTATTCTAGCTAATTGAAGGTGCTATTCGAAGAAAGCTCGCTTAAAGCTTCAAGACGATCCAATTAAATTGGAAAATTTTGAGAGTATCATAGACTAGCCTCTCAAAGAACTTATCAAAGAAGAAAATATGATCCATTCACGTACTCCAGATTTGTAAAGTTGAAACATGAAAAGTCTATCAAGAGGGAGCAGAAGCTAAGAAACAAAGAAAGTTTTCAATTGATAGCAAAAGGTGCTTTTCCGAGACACATTTGTGTACCCGATGAAAGGGGCATGATGTCTCCCTCGATCTCATTTGATAAACAATCGGCTGAATGTTTACACTTAGAGATTTTTTTGTGTACTGGTTCGGCTCATTCATATCCGCAGTAAAGTGTTGTAGTCAAAGTGGTTTTGAATGATTGATCATCATGTTTCCCATCATGCAATCGTCAGAGAAGAAACAATGCTCTGCCATTTGAAGATACTCTTTTTTGTTCACTCTCTCGCCTTGCTGAGCCAAACTCTGGGCTACTCTAGCGAAGACGAGAGATGGGTTTCCTCTATTCTACTAGACAGCCCACGATTTGGACCAAGTCTCACAGATTCACATCGCATCTCTGCACCTTCAAATGAGGTACATTTCCAAACAGAATCTATCCACGCAGTTGCTCCACTAGAAAGCAATAACTCGATAGCCAATGGAGGCTTGGGTATCGCTACAGCCATACAAACAGGAAAACCCAAGAGAAAAAGAAAGCTTTCCGAGAAAGCTCGTCAACAAGATTCTTTCAAACAGCGATTGAGACGACAAAAAATCAAAGAACAAGGTGGTGAAGTGGAAGAAGCGATGAAAGCTAGACAAAGGGGTTACAACAGAAAAACTCGGCTGAAAGTTCTACAAGATCCGGCTAAGCTGGCAGAATTTAGAGCATACCATAGAAAAGCCTCTAAAATGCAGTATCAGAGGATGAAAAGCGACCCGGTTGCATTTGAGGCATTTAAAAAGAGGAAATCTGAAAGACAAAGAATTAAGAGGATGCAAACGTCGAGAAGTGCAAGAAGTGAAACTTGACTTCTAATTGATCGCAAGTTTTAAACATGTTTCATCCTAAATTGAACTCGGTAAACTTTCCAGAGACTCTCATCAAAGGGATTCTGGCTATACATCCAGATACTGAAAATTGCTGTGTATTGACTAGGCTCATTTCCACAGTAGAGGCGGTGTACTCAGTTTGTGCGGAATGAACAATCATTTATCTCATCGTTCACTCCTGCATTGTAAACATTATGCTCCTAAATCCATCTTAATTTTCTTTTCGTTTGTGTTACGGCCTTTCATTAATTATCGTTTGTCCATCCTCGCGGTGATGACGAAAAGTAGCTTACTTCAGGTATTCTAGATGTTTTGATAATGGCGCCGAATCTCATGGTAATAAAGATAAGCACAACCCTCGACGAAGTCAAAGGTAAGCGTGGGTTCAGCAGAGGATAGGTGTTTCTTCAAGATCATATATACTTAAAGGTAGAAGAGAGGAAGCTAGATACGTCTATTTCTGGATCGTCTCCTGTATGCTATCGATTATAATTGATACACAGTGAAAATCAGAAGGGTTTTACTGTAGAATCCGAAGAAGCTTATCAGAAGCGGCTTTTAAGACAGCGATCGAAACGACAAAAAGTCATAGAGCAGGGTGGAGAAGCAAAGGAAACTCTTCAAGCTAAACACAGGGATTATAAGAAAAAGTGTTTGTCAAAAATTCGCGAAGATCCCGTTAAAAATAAAGACTACAAAAGGCGTAACAGGCTAGCCAGTCAGAGATCTTATCAGAGAAAAAAAGAGGAAGATCCGATTGGATACGCTAGATTCATAAGGATGAAAAGTGAAAAGTCTCTTAAAAGGAAGCAGATGTTAAGAAATAAAAAGAAAACTTCCAAATGACGGCAAAGGGTCTTTTTCCGAGACACATTTGTATCCCCGATGAAGGGGGCATGCAAGTCCTCCTCACATTTGAATTTAATAAACAAACGGTTGCATGTTTACCTCTTAAACGTTTTGTGTACTGGTTCGGCTCATTGGTATACACTGTTAAGCGGTGTATTCAGCTTGTGTTGACTGACTGATCGTATCTCCCATCATTTCATCCTAAAGGAAACGACAATGCGCCTCCAAACATTTCTACACTCTCTCGCTTTTCCTTTGATCTTTTCGGGTCAAGCCTTTGCTTATTCCAGCGAAGATGAGAATTGGCTATCTTCTGTTCTTCTAGACAGCCCACGGTACGGAACAGGTATCACAGATGCGGATCCTTTCTCTGCACCGTCGAATGAGGTACATTTCCCAACAGAATCTATCCACACAGCTCCATCCTTGGAGTACAACCATTTGGTCACCAGAGAAAGTCAGAACATTGCTACAAACTTACCGTCAAATGAACCTAAAAGGACATCAATTGCCAAAAAAAAGCCTTCCGAGGAGGCTCGTCAAAGAAAGCTTTTAAAACAGCGAACAAAACGTCAACAAATCAAAGACGAGGGTGGAGAAGTGCTTGAAGCTTTTCGAGTTAGACAAAGAGGTTATGACAAAACGTCTCGCGTGAAACTTCGACAAGATCCGATCAAACTCGACAAGTTTAGAAAGTATCATAGAATAGCTTCTCAAAGAACTTATCAGAGAAGAAGAAATGATCCGGTTGCATTTGCTGCTTTCAAAAAGATGAAAACTGAAAGATCCTTAAAGAGGAGGCAAAAGTTGAAAAGCAAAAGTGAAACATACAATGAAAACAGTGAAACATCCAATTCATTGTAAACGGTGGTTCTCAAAATCAACTTGATTCTCATTGAAAGCCATCAAAATGTCCCGTACACTGTCATTAAGAAATTTTTTGCGTTTAACAAACAATCGGCGACATATACGCAAACGAAAGTTTTTGTGCACTGGTTAGGCTCATTTTGCACAGTGAAAGTGGTAAATAAACTTGCACTGACTGCTTGTTCGTATCTTTCATCGTTCATCCCTGTACAGTGAATGTGATGCTCCTCAAAACATTTACACTTTCTCTTCTTTACCATCCGATCTTTTCCGGGTTGATATCTGGCTATTTAAGCGACGACGATGAGAGTTGGCTATCTTCAGTTATTCTCGATAGTCCATGGGCAGAAACAACTCCAGCCAGTCAGCCTGTCCCTACGCCCTCAAATCAAGTATTGGAACCGGTCGAAAAAGGATCAGTCTCTACCACACCCTTATTGAAAGATAAGAGCAGGGCTACTCAGTCTTCTCCTTCAACAGAGAAAGTAAGTCCGAGACGATCCGAAGCTAGTCGTGAAAAGAAACGCTTACAACAGCGAGTAAAGAGACAAAGAATTAGAGATCAGGGTGAAGAAGCAGATCAAGCTTATCGAGCTAGACAACATGCTTATTCACAGAAATTTTGGACAAAGGTTCGTGAAGATCCCGTTAAAAATAAAGAATATAAAAATCGTGTTAGACTAGCCAGTCAGAGAGCTTATCAGAAAAAGAAAGAGGAGGATCCGATTGCATTTGCAAAATTCGTAAAGATGAAAAGTGAAAAGTCTTATATAAGGAAGAAAAGGTTAAAGACTGAAGGTAAGAAACCAATATAGTCGAGAAAGCATATCCCTTCCGCTTCGCAGAGTTATAAGAACATTTGATCTTTTGTACATGGCGAATGAGTGCAATTAAGTCTTTAACACAATCTTTATTGAATGTTATCACGATTGTCATGAGGCAAGATGATTTTTTTGTACACAGTGTGCAAGCCCGGGGCTAAGCTGTACTTTTCATTTGCATAAGGGTTATTGCAGTCAGATTTCATTGTCATCGATCATTTTGTTTCCACTTATCAACATTTTGCTGTCACTGAAAGAATCGATGACTGCTTTACATTTGTGGCAGCTTTTACTATTACTGATGATAGTGAAAGCCAGCAGGACGACTGATTTGGACCTTGAGCTGAGGTTGGGTCCATCGCAAAATCAGGCGGATGAAACTGGTACTGTCAACATGGATACCAATATTCCCAAATCTCCACAGCAGCCCCAATTTCCCACTGAGAAGAACGACAGACGCAAGAAAGGAAGGAAGATTCAACGGCCTCGAATACCTTTAGTGCGATCATCCGAACAAAAGCAAAATACTATACCCCTGACAGCAAAAGAAATGTTGGAGCAAAAACGAAAAGAAGACTCATTATTGAAGAGACGATTGAAAAGACATCATGACAAACTGATGGTGAGTGGTATAAGACATAGCTGCAGTGCCCTTTTCATTCTCACTGCTTACGATCTATTCTACGCAGGGTAAGCAGCCGACCGAGATGCAGAAACAGAGTCACAAGGAAAGTATGAATAGATATCGAGCTAGACTCCTGTCCGATCCAGAACTTGCTGCAGAACTCAGAAAAAGACTGAGAGAAAATAAGAAAATGTTTTCTGAGCAGGCCAAACAAGATCCGGCAGAAGCAGCTCGGCAAAAGGAATTAAAAAGGTTTTACAACAAGACTTATAGAGAAAGAAAGAAACTCAAAAGCCAGCAAGCAAAGTCTCCAAATGATATTAATTCGTAAACAACCCCATCGGCGTACGCAGACCGGGACTTGCGCTAGATGATATAGAATGTGAAAGAAATGGTATGCTTGATGAAAAGGTTTTCAATACCATCAACATGTTTCTGTGTTGGGGGCTCTTCGTAATTGGCTCCTTTATACTCCGCATTAACTTTGTTACAGCAGGATCAGACAGTGAAAGCGGAAGTCTTGACCTTGAGTTACGATTGGCACCGGCTGTCCATTTTCACTCTGTAGAATCAGCAAGTTTTGGAAACACTTTGCAGAATGAGTCTACAATTCCTCCTGCGCTGCCGGAAGAGCCTACCACAGAAGACCAGCCTCACACAAGACCAGCTGAGTCGAAAAGAAAGCGTAGATCGTATATAGACAAAAATGTGAGTAGACCTTTTGTCATTTAGGCCAAGTCCGCTTTTGATACTTTTTGTTGTCTTTAGTTAAATGAAGAAGAAAAGAGAGAACAAAAAAGACAACGAAAGCAAGAAGCAAATAACCGCTACGCTGAGAGTGTCAGAAATGATCCGGTAACTTACAAACGTTATCTTGAACAAAGGCGTATGCGTAACAAGCTTTATATAAAAAAGGTCAATGACGATCCTCAAAAACTTGCTCGGAAAAAAGAAAGATTCAGACTTAACTCAAGGTCGTATCGTAGACGGCAGCGAAATAAGCGCATGGCAAAAAGTTCTAGCTCAACAACAAAAGAACAACAATAATCTTTAATCACTTCACGATCTTCCGTGAAGTCAATGTGATACAGCTGAAGGGGCTAATGCAACAAAAATGTAAGCAAGTATGACAAAGCAAACTTTTAATGTGTAAACCTTACTTTCGGGGTTACTGGGATACGCTTACCGATTGTTGTGATTGCAATTGTATAAAGCTACTCCATAGTACTTCATCCTTCTTTCTTCACTTGTAAGCACTTCAATATGTCTCTCTATGTACTCACTCTTGCTTTTCTTATCCTGAACTGCGTTTTGGTCCAGCTTCCTGCTTTCGCTGATAACAAAGATGGTAGCGATGGCTTAAACTTGGAATTGGGATTAGGAAACTCACAACCGTTTACTTCTTCAGCTGTACGTCGATACGGTAATGCAGCCCAGGCTTACGACAATACAAAACGAAAATGGCATGATCCTCTTGCTTTGACGCTCAAACCACATCAAGCTATGATTGATGATGACCGTACACGTACCCCTGCTGAAGAGAAAGAACGAGACTTGGAAAGAAACAGGTTAGGCATGCGCGAATACCGGAAAAAGAGAAGCAAGATGGTAAGATCGAATTGTACATACATTATGCTTTTGAGTACCACTGACTGATCCAGATCTTTCTGATCATTACAGGGTCCGGAAGTGGTGCAATCGGATCAAGATCGACAACAAATGCATCAGAAGAATTACATGGAAAGATTACACAAGGATCCTAAAAAGTTAGAAGAATATAGAAAACGCAAAGCAATGAATCAACAAAATTACAGCAACAGAAAGAAAGCTATGCGACAGGTCAGACAATTTCTCACACAGGGATCAAAGCGTGAGTGAGATCATGATCTATGAATGGAAGCGTAAAATACACATGCATTGAGGGTATAACGTATTTCACCAAGTCTATAATGTATTCCATCCTTTATCTTTTCTGCAGCTTTGCTCGAACATGTAACCATTCTATAAATTCGCTCACTCCTTCACCAGTGGCAGCGCTGCAGACAATCAAGTGCCAATCACTCCAATACCCAACATTGCCACTACCTACACCACCAGATTCAGCAATGCCATTCAAACCATCCTGTTGCTGTCTTTCTTCGTCTGAGGAGAATTCTGATAATTTGCGCTCCATCACATCGCGTATCGATAAACGAAAGTGCTCCACCTGAGAAGGTGTTAGCTTGTCAATCTTGGTCATTATGATCAAAAACGGCAGAGATGCTATATGTTTATTCTTCCGTAGATCACCTAGAACTGACCATGCTTCGTTCCTTCGTCTGGATGAATCTGCTTCACTCGGTGCTCCTGTATCTTGCTGGTACTCCTGTGGTAACTGTGCCTTTTCCTGAGCGGTTGGAGGTGGTACATCTGCTGCAGAAAGCCAATCGTTTGCGTCCATTGCCCAAACCAATACTTCTGCATCGTCAAGGTATCGTGTCCACATACTTCGCAGAGATGCTTGACCTCCCAAGTCCCAACAATGCAAAGTACAAGAGGATAAAGGTAAATTGATCACATTTTGTCCAACAGTTGGCGTTATTCGCTGCAATGGCCTCGTTCCTGTTTTGGACACCTGTCCACGTACTTTATCTAGCCATGCAGTCTTTCCACTATTATTGATTCCGAGAGTGAGAACGTTGAAGTTTGGTCTCTCGGTAAATTGACCTACAATGATTAGAGACTGTTCAGCTTTGATCTTCTGGAATAGTTTGAGAGGCATACTCACTGTAAAGACCAGTCAAAAGATGGTACATTATTCTATCATCTAAATCTGATGATTTGGTAGCATATAGTTTCTGATCAAGAGATTCACATACTTTTGCCTAACATTCTTAAACGCGTAATAAGAAGCGGCGTGTGTGTTGTTTGTATTGCTGCTGCATATGAGCTTATTTCGTGTTGGTTACTTTCGTTTGACATTCACTTAAATTCACATCAATGGGTCAATCTATGATATGACAAAGAGCGTCTTGGAGGAATTGTTATTGGTATTGGCAGGGCATAGGTCTTCTCTTTTCATTGTCACAGAAGTTGCCGGTTCATCATGCGGTGAACAAGTCCCATGGATTTGGACGCTCCGATCGCGTTCAAGCATACATTACAATCATCCTGGTGAACGTGCAGTGTTGGATTCATTGGCAAATATAGCAGCAAAGTATCACAGAATACTCCTCTTCGCCAAATCTGTACAGAAACAAGCGCATCAACAGACCTTGCAATCTATTCGACAGAGATGCAAATCGAATCAATGGCAAAATAAGTTACTCGTTCAGCTAACTTCAAAGATTCGTGAGCTCTTAAAAGATTATGAGAAGTGGATATGTGATTTGGAATCTGATATCTTGCACGGAAGCTGGGATATAGCCGCAAGCGAAAATGCCGATCAGATCAGTCTATCGAGTATCCGAGCAAGGCTGGAAGAATGGGAAATGCTCCTTTGTGCATTAAATCAACTCGTATCAGATCTATTGAAAGGCCCAGAAGGTGCAATTCCAACGTCTTTAAAGCCAGAAAGTATCACAAATGACTCTTTCGAGCCAATCTCGCCACCATCATGTCCATATTGGGGCTCAGGTCAGCTTCTTGACCTCTTGGCAAAGAAAGCGGAAACGACTGTTGGACAAGTACATGAATTTATGATTACGCTCTTACATACGATCGAGGATAAATGGGTGCAAATATTTATTGCATGGATGTGTTATGGTCAAAAGCGTATTGATATTGATACCGATATGGTGAGCCTTGAGGAACCAATCGTAGAGAAGATTGATCAGCTCAATTCAGCAAAGGCAAGCATCTTGTCTGCTTCTACGCCTTTCGAATCTCGCCTACCAAAATTCATCACCACAGAAAATGATCAACAAAAGAAAGTAGATCAGAACATTGGATGGGCAATGATACCAGGAGCAGTGCCAAAGTGGATCTCGGACGACTTGGCATTATCGAACACGATCTTGTATGTTGGCCGAGCTCTCGGAAGAGTTAGAGATCATTCGAGGCGATCGACATCATCGACGGGCTGGAGTTCGGGCAAGATGGGTGGAGTACCTGCGACCTTAACTTCGTCTCATGTTCGCTTATTGCAAACACCAGAAGCACGGCCTTGTAGCAAACCAGCAGGCTTTCGTAAAGCGGTTGAATTGGTTTCTGCCGAACTGTCGGAATGGATGTGGCGCACGATTCTCAAACCTGAGACAATTTTCAGCACTTTTGAAGCATTGGGTGGATACTTTTTGCACAGGAAGGGGCTTTTTATCACTTCTTTCTTGGCTAGACTGACGGAGTTGCGGAAAGCAAAGCTGATATTTGCTCGTTCTGCTTCAACGGGATTGATAAGGGCCTCCGATATCGAATTGGCGCTGCAAAAAGCAAGCATTGGGACAGAAGCGGAAGAAGATGTAGACCAGCTTGCATTGTGTGAAGTTATTGTACCCGAAAGGGTGTCCGGCCTTGAGAAGGATGATCTCAGCTGGAAGACAATGACAGACGAATACTGGGTAAATCCTCTAATCCGTTTCGACAACATCAGCATCGGTATACCATTTACGCTACTCTATCACACTCGTTTCCCTTTGGATATGATCTTGAGCCCAACTGAAACACGAGCATACTCTGATCTGTTCTCTTATCTATTGGCACTTCAATCAATCAAAGGACGGCTAAGAGATTGTTGGATCAGTCTGAGTAAATCGCAAAGGGCTAGGCGTCGATTCACAGGTACGGGAGAAGGAGGTGCTGACAGGCTGGAGTTGAGAAAGAGGTCTGACCTTTTACGAATGGCATGCGGAACGGCAAGAGAAGGGATGTGGTTCTTGGAGACATTGGACGGTCATTTCCATACGGATATCATTGATGTGCAATTCAACAAGTTCCTCGCACAATTTCGTGTACCGGAAAAAGAAGACATGAAAGAAAATGACCCAGCGCCTAATGTCAGTGTCGATAAATGGCGACACAAGATTTCGCAGAGCGTTCATCGAGTATCTTCTATGGGTACCCTTCGTGAAGAAGATGAGTCGGACTCCCGCAATACAACACCTGAGCCATCAATTCCACGACCTGCCCGAACGTCATATGCTCGCAGTGTTTTCGGAGGCAGTCAATTCTCTCAAAAAGCCAATACTGTCAATGCCATGGCACCCAATGGAGCCATCAAAGTTGAACAGCAACCTGAGATGGATTTTGCTTCTGCACGTTCCAGTCATCAAGCTTTTTTGACGTACGTATTGCAAGGACTTTTATTGACTGATCAAGAGGCAAGCGTGTGTATTTGGAAGATCTTACATACTTGTCGTCATTTTGCTGCATTGATTGATCGATGGGGAGGTGATGTTTTACCAGATCTGTTGAGTGAAGGTAGTATACTGGGAGAAGAGAAGAAGGATGCATTACGTGAACGTATCGATGCGATCAAAGAAGTTACTTCAATCTTGCAAAATCATATCGATCGATTCTTTCTTATAATTTCAGAGGCATCTGCAAAGTCTTCTTACAAATTGCCGCAATCGAATTATAAATCAGAGGTTGACAATAATGGAGATGCGAAGAATGAAAAGAAGACTTCAACCGCCAATGATTCTCAAAGTGCTGCTTTGCGACATCATGAGCAATTGTTACTACGATTGGATTATAACAACTTTATCTCTTATAGATCTTACTATTCTGACCCAAAGAGGGAGGAAAGTATGATGAAAACAAGTGATGAATGAGAATGTATTTTATAGACATGTATCAATATATCTATTGCAAAGTCATATAATTGATCATCTGACCTGCGTAATCGGATCAACCCTCTGCCGATATTTCCGATAATGTCTGCTGCACGGATGAACCGAATGGGAACAGTGTGTGCGCGGTGCATCCAAACACGGCGTAATTGCAGTCTAAATTAATTCCATTTATCGAAATGCGGGGAAACGTCCGATACACCGGTTGAGTTGATTCAGCCAACAGGAAAACCAAGCAAAGCACATCTTTTGCTTTCATTCTTCCCATCATCATCATCATCTCAATCACACTCTAGCAACAGCAAAAGATGTCATATCAAGCTGATCAAAAAGGCGTTTATCATTCTTTGGGAAAAGGAGTAGAAGAATTACCGGATAACTTGGACGTTTATTCGTTCATGTTTGATTATTTTCCAACATCAAGACCTGATGTACGCAAGACAGGATTACCTTTGATGGTTGATGAAGAAACGGGAAATTCATTGAATTTTGAAACTTTACGTGAACGTGTTGATTTACTCTCTTTAGGATTGTACGAACGTATTGGAGTTCGAACGGATACAAGGATTGGTTTATTTTCTCCCAATACGTTTGATTATCCAACCGCTCTTTGGGCAACACATAGAATCGGAGGTATCGTCTCACCTGCAAATCCATCTTTTGGTCCTTCAGAATTATCATATCAACTTGATTCAAGTAAAGCAACAGTTTTGTTCTTACACGAAGTATCAAAGAAAGCAGGTTTCGAATCAGCCGAAAAGGCAAAGATCAAAAGAGAGAATATAGTCTTATTACAAGACCCTGCACACGTTGAACAGTTAAAACAAAGCAATGGCGGTAAAGTTGTTAGACAAGTCGAAGGATCTTGGACTTTAGTAGGCTTATTGGAAGAAGCAAAAGAGATCATTCAACAAGAATCACAAAAGGCTTTGGATTCATGTCGGTATACGTTGAAACCGGGCGAAGCACACAAGAAATTGGCTTTCTTGAGCTTTAGCAGTGGTACGACAGGTTTACCAAAAGGTGTTGCAATTCAACATTATGCACCCGTGAGCAATGTTCTGCAATTCTTCCATTTCAATCAATGTAGCAACAAGATCGGAGAGCAAAAAGGAAGATTCCGTGCTGGTGTGGATGCTGCTTTGGGTATTTTGCCCATGTTTCACATTTATGGTTTGGTGCTAGGATTACATGGGATGATGTATATGGGCGTCAAGAATATCATCATGCCTCGATTCAAGGGTATCGTTCCAATGATTGAGACTGCACTAAAATATCGTGCTTCAATTTGGTTCTTGGTACCACCGCAATGCGTTTTATTCTGCAAAGATCCAGGAGCTAAAAAGTTACATGGAGAATGCAGAAATCTGGTCAATTCTGTCATGATTGGTGCTGCACCTCTTTCGGATGATTTAAGTAAACAATTCGAACAAGCTTTACCTGGCGTTGATTGGGGACAAGGATATGGAATGACGGAAACATGCACGCTTACCTTGCAACATCCTGTCGGTATGGCTTGTGTTTCCGGATCAGCAGGAAGATTGGTTTCCAATGTAGAAGCAAGAATTGTTACACCAGAAGGCAAAGATTGTGGATTGGATGAACCGGGAGAGCTATGGATTCGAAGTCCATCAAACACATTAGGATACAGTAACAATGCAGAAGCCACTAAAGAGATGTGGATTGAAGGAGGATGGGTGCGAACGGGAGACGAAGCAAAGGTGAATAAAGATGGTGACTTTTTCATCGTTGATCGATTGAAAGAATTAATCAAAGTGAAAGGATTCCAAGTTCCGCCTGCTGAATTAGAAGGTTGGCTATTGAATCATAATGACGTTTCCGATGCAATGGTAGTCGGTATTCCTGATGAAGCAGCAGGTGAAAGACCGTTGGCATTTGTTACTCTAACAGCAGATGCAAACAAAAAGGTTAACAATGATGCCGAACAAATCAAAAAGATGAAAAAAAGTATAATGAAACACGTTAGCGACAACAAGATTCGATACAAGCATCTCAAACACGTTGAAATTATTGATGTTATTCCCAAAACAGCAAGTGGAAAGATATTGAGAAGGACAGGAAGAGAGATGGCTAAAAAATTGATGATTGGAGAAGAAGAAGGTAACAAGAGTAGACTCTGATACTTCCAACTTCTTTTGTATGTAATCATGTTTATAAATGAAAGCCTTTAAGCTTGCTCTAATTTGTCCCTGACGTGCTGAGGCACACCGCGCAAAAACGCTTTGATGAAGTCTTAAATTGTACGCTAGCACTCCGGGACAAAAAAAAGAGTGGGGGCAATAGGAAAGCGAATGAAAACAGCGAGCGTGTAATGAAATTCTTCTCATTCTAGACAAACATCACACCTTTTATGACAACCAATCAGACCACCAAGCATTGACAATCACCTTAAGCCCTATACACGATGGGTGACCTTTCCACTGCTCTCGTCATTGTCACGACGTCATTCTTGCTGGGTAAGTGATGGATGGATTCCAGTTCTGAAGAAGAGAAGCTAACAGTTTCACATACACAATAAATAGGAACATTGGCAATGCATTGGACAGCAGATCATTTGGTTTTATGGCAATCACCAATCACAAGACCTTCACTTTTATCAGCTCAAGCTTATTATGCAAACACTTTAGTTCATATGCCAAATTCTTTTCATACATTACACTATGTAATCGGAACAAGTGGTGCAGCAATTTTGGTTTATAAAGCTTTAGGAGGAAGGGAAAGTAATTGGCTCTTTGATGGTGCGAGTTTGTTCTTGTATGGTGCTTCTGCTTTGGTACACATGCAAAAAGTCTTGCCAAGTGAGTACACTACGGAGGATATAGAACTTCGAAACACTTTACTGACTTGGACCTATTACAGGCCTACAATCTTTACCAGCACTTCTTCCCGTCCCAAAGGCCAATCCTGATGATCCAAGAGACAGCGTCCTTCAACCTTTACGTGATCTTGCAAGTTCGAATGCCGTTCAAGCAGCAGCATTGGTTGGAGTGATCATCTTGCAATGCGGACAATATTACTCTGAACGATTAGAGAGACGGGAAAGAATTGAAGAAACTGAAGCCAGATTAAGACGTAGACGGAGAAGATTAGAACGTAGCTCTCAAACACAACAAGCAACAAATGTATCTGCAGGAGAAGTAGCAGAAGTGGGATCAAGTTCAAGTTTATCTCCAAGTGCTTGATATTATGAGAATCTTTCTCGCTTTGCTCAAATGGATATCGTGACAAAAAAAAAGTGGAAATGCAAGTCGTATTAATGCTCAATCTGATGTATAGTGCAATATCTCTCTCTCTCCCTTCTGTAAATCTGGTCGTCAAATCATAAAATTGCAATTAATGGGTATCACACGTATGCATGCGGGTCGTAAAAAAAGAAAGAGAAGAAAAGAATGTAACCAGCTTTGTTCTTTCAGGGATTAAAGTCCAATTTCTAGAATAGAAAATAAGAAAAATGGGTAAGAGTCAGTAATCATGACAAGTATCGCTCTAGAGTCCCTCAATACTCACAATCAGGAACAGAAGCATGTCCATCAACACATGCACGCTCGTCCAGGCTACTCCACTGACCAGCTCTGGATAGTTCCGCATTTGATCTAAACCAACATTGGTCACATCTACGTCCAGAGCATAAAGACAAATCTGTGTAAAAGGCAAAGAAGACAGTCAGCAGATACTCACACCTTTTCATATGATATCCCAACTCACCTGCCGAGCCACAAAGGAAGAAGCCAATTCACTTGCCCAAATAGCCAAAGAACCCAACATTGTAAGCTGATAATTGTACGGATCACGTTTATCAGCGAAAGCGAAGAAAGGATACATGTTTTGATTCGGTCCAAAATGCAAAATCGAAAGCCAGCCAAGGAAAGCAAGCATACTTGTATTTTGTGCCAAATTGCGAAGGTAGAATGAAGTTCCTACACTTTCCACGTATTCCTCCCATGATTTCGGATCAGGCGTAAAGTATGAGATCAATTTGTGACAATATGTCGTCATACTGAATGGGTAGTAAATGCAAACCCAAAACGAACTCAATAATTGAATCAAGGCGAATTGATCAAAACTGTTCAATCTTGCAAACAAGTTTCGATAAAAGATGAAGTAGACCAAGAAGTAGTAATACTTCATCACAAAGATGAGTGCACGACTTCTGACTTTTTCTTCCAATATCCATAGACATAGCAATAACAGGATATTGACGTTGATCGTCCAAAATGTAACGTAGGCCGTCATATCGAGCCCTGTATGTGGAAGTGTGGATAGGAAAACACTTGCATAACCTTGACCTGCCAAAAGTGCCACCAAAGCAATTCCGATGACTGCCATGAACCACAAGAACCGAATATAGGATGCAGGGATGCGACGTCGTAGTTCGTGCTCCAAGAACGTCTTTTGTGCTTCTGTCAAGCTGTGCCTGTATGTCTGCCTTCCACTCCTTCTCAGCCCTGTAAAGCAAATGAGAGCGGGCATTGCCATTGTTGAAAATGCCAGTCCGACCCAAGGTGTTTTACGTTGCCATTGTATCCGATGGCCTTCCGGATCGTCTTGATCGTCAGGAAGCCACCATGTGCCACCCAGAGAAGGCAAAGTGTCTAGCTTGAATCTATGCATCATAAAACCAGCAGTAATCGAAAGAATCCAGAAAAAGGCGTACGATTTACGAGCGCCTAACGCTCTAGGCCACCAATTCAGTCGATACAGCGAGAACAATTGTGTAATGTAGATGAGACCAACTGCACAATATATTCCATAATACCAAAAGAGAAAGAACCAGAACTGCGCATCAAATCGAGCCGGGGATGAATCCTTGTCGAGTGAATAGCCATCATCGTCATGATCTGTTTGATTTGGAAATGGCATCGAACACCATATCCAAACAACCAATGTCGGCAATACTGCAAGTACTGTCCATCTTTGTATCCAACTTTCCATCCATCCTTCGACTGTGTGTTTCTCAGGTCGAAAGATATCTTTCCATCTCGGTCTTGGTTCTGTAGATGTGGACGATGATCCATTCCTTGGGTATCCTTGTGACAATAGAGCGTCCGTTTCGCTGCTTTCAACCAATGGTAATTTCGTGTTATTTCTGCGTTTCTGTATAAGCGAACTTCCATTCCCATGCGTCGGTCGAATATGAGAGTGAGTCTTTGCTATTGGCCGATTGAGAACTTCACGTTTCAAGCTTGACAATGTTCTCGTTCGATTTGAACCGGAAGATTTTGAAGCAACATTTGATTTTTGAAAATGTGTTTGTACAGCTGTATGTATCATCTTTCCTTTGCCTTTATCTACCCCCGCTCTTCCTCCATTCCTGTTTGTTCGATTGGGTATAGAGGAAGAACTTGCGTTTTGTGTATGATCATCACCCCATTTGTCCCGGCCAGATGACATTGGCGAGAACATCTTGCTTCGTAGCCGATTGAGAGGAGGTGGTGTCTACGCGAAAATGTGTGGATTTTATATTCTTTATAGTGTCATTGTTGTCAAGTGAGTATCGCTGTCATCTATTCCATCCAGAGCTGTTGCTTCTTATGGACTATCTGTTGACAGGATCGTTGATAAGAAGCTATGACAGGTACACAATTAACATTATGGTGCATATGCAAAAGAAAAGGGGCGAATTGACAGGCATAGTCTGCAAGGCTCAAGACTGGTTAAGTGCGGTCGCCGTTTCTATCTTTACGCGTTGCGTGTTGGTGTTACTTGTCCAGATGAGCTTTATGATTTGGGGTCCACCTCTCATTTAATGTTCATAAGATCTAGAGCATTATCACATAGACACCCAATAAACAAATTAATCATGAAATAGAAAAGGAGACATTAACCGTCTATGATGAACAAAGATGAAAAGCGACAGGTTGAGCAAAGAAGATATACGGCGTAGAAAGTACTCTCGAGTGTAGTATGGGTAGGGATTCGATCAAGCGATAACGCAACAAGAATTTTGCTTCTTGGCTGTTTTGTAGAACATCTTGCTTTGTTGACTTAGCGATCCACTCTTCTCAACCAATTTGTCCAAATCTTCTCCACGTTTTAGCACGGAATCAATGGTCTTATGCTGTTTGGGTGGGACAGGGGGATAATTGGTTAAAACAAAACTCTTATTCTTCTCACTCATCCTCTCTCCACTCACCAAAACAATCTTTGTCTCATCCAATTCTTGTTGTACACGCATAATGCTATCCGCTTGTCTTGGGTCTTGATATCTGGTCAAATAATCTTGTGCTTGTGGAAAGGCGGTTGCGGGTAAAACTCCAACACCTTTTGCTGGCGGTTGAGCGCTACCGGTTGTAATTGCGCTCACTTTTGCATCATAAGTTGACCTTGGACATTTCATCACAAATTCATCCAATGTCTTTTGCAATAGAGAGAATGCAACTCTTCCAGGATATTCGCTGTCGGATACCAATACACCCGAAATACCATCAGAAGCGGGCCTTGAATGAACGTGTGCTACGTAGCTATTCTCTTGTACGGATTGACGTTGTGTTGGTGCTGTTCTCTCTGCGACGGTCTGTGTTGGAGGAATGTACGAGAATAATTAGACAAGGTTGTTCTCAAGATAAGTTATGTCTATACCATGAAGATGTCCTCCTTTTGCGATCTGATCCCCGCTAGTCATTCGGCCACGGAAACTGAAGTCTAAGTCTTGACAGTGGATCGCTCTATTCTCAATTCATCTACTCACCTTACTCATGAATGCCATCACATCTTGTACCGTTCCTCTTTGGAACCAACCAAAGCTTTCCAAATCCCAAGCTGCAACTAGTGGAACGGCAGAGGCACCTGGAGGGCTTGCATAAATCAGTATAGCATCTGTAGCCGTAGAAGAAAAAGGTTAGTAATGACATCATTCCATATATGCTGTGAACTTTACGTACAGATTTTCCTGAGTGATGGTGTGGAGGGTATCAATTTCGGATTAATAGATGAAGAGAGAGGACTCAGGGTCAGTTGCCGTTCTCCAGAATTCTGACTGATAGGCGCTGCCATTACTCACATATTGGTTGTTCCTTTCCACTTAGTGAATGTATCAAGGGTATCGTAGTATTGTAACAACCGCTGTGATGGACGCACAATATGGATGGCGGCTGCATGCATTGTTGTTGAGTTTGATATATTTCAATACTTGCGTGCCTACAGCGCCGCCGTCTCTCCGCCCATTCAATTAATATCCCACCCCTTTTAAAGGACAAGGCCACGCTGAAAACTCGGGGAAGCAGCACGTGCTGAAAGAGGTCGCGCTGCCTCCAACACGATATCAAATCCAAAGACGCGTCAACGCGAGACGTGTAAATTGGCGCGTCGTGTTTGATTTCCCTTACACACTGTCAAAGTGCTGCAAGAGAAAAAATGCAAGCAAAAGAGTGAAATTGTTAAGTTGAAGCAATCAAACAAGAAGGACGAATGCAACACATGCAAACCACACTTCCTACAACGAAGATCACATCCTATCTAACAACAATGGACGCTCGTTCCTCTTCAGCGGCAATGCCGTCCTCTCCTCTCGGTCGTAATGAAGGTGCAACAAGAGCATATCTTGATCCTTTGGCTTTTGGCACAGAAGCAAGAAATGGTCAAAGTGTTGCACCTGCTGCATTCTCTTCGCAAAGTGATGATACACTTTTCGGTCAAAGACAAACAAATTCACAAGATCAATTCTCCTCTTCGTTTCAACAACAATCAGGCGGAATCGCAAACGGCTCAGCAATGGATCCTTCTGCCTTGCCCGACAAGAGTATCGCTTCTTCACGCAAGAGTAGACCTCGTGCTCGTTTGAATGATGCTGATGTTGAACCTGTCATCGATTCAACATCCGAACAAGTTCGTGAAAGCTTCCGTCAATTCCTGGAATCATTTCGTGAAGAACACTCTTCTGGTTCACCTGACCCGGATGGTGATGGAAATGGCGTAGAGCCACTTTACGTTGAACAAATCAGAGCTTTACGTGGTCAAGAACGTACAACAGTTTACGTTGATTTCACCCACGTCTTGCGATTTGATGAAATTTTGGCAGGTGCCATCAATGAGCAATACATTCGTTTCTTGCCCTACCTTCGTCGAGCGTTGGTGGATTTGGTGGCCCAATATACACCTGAATATCAATACATCAATGCACACTCTGCCTCTACAACTTCATCTGGCTTGACGCCAAGAGACTTTAACATTTCCTTCTACAATATGGCTTTGATCGGAGGCATTCGTGATCTACGTACACACAAAATCGGTCGCTTGGTTTCCATTAGTGGTACAGTTACCCGTACATCAGAAGTTCGACCTGAATTATTGTACGGAACATTTACGTGCAATTACTGCAAAACGAGTATTCGCGATGTAGAACAACAATTCAAATATACAGAGCCAATCATGTGTCCAAACGCACAATGTCAAAACACACGATCATGGCAATTGAATATCGAACAAAGTAGATTTGCTGATTGGCAAAAAGTACGTATTCAAGAAAATGCAAACGAAATTCCAACCGGAAGCATGCCACGTAGTTTGGATGTTATTTTACGCTCAGAAATTGTTGAAAGAGCAAAAGCTGGAGATAAATGCATCTTTACAGGATCGTTTATTGTTGTACCAGATGTTTCGCAAATGGGTATGCCCGGTGTGAATGCACAAATGCAAAGAGAATCCGCTGGTGGTCGTGCTGCCGAAGGATTGAACCAAGGTGTAACTGGATTACGTCAATTGGGTGTTCGTGATCTGACATACAAGACTGCATTCCTTGCATGCATGGTTCAAAGTACTCGTGAGAATGATATGGCTGATAGCTTGGATCGCGATCCTATTGCTTACTTGGAAAGTCTTACTTCAGAAGAAAGGGATGAATTAGAAGCAATGGCAGAAATGCGTGACATCTATCCCAGATTAGTCAGAAGTATCGCTCCTACAGTCTATGGTCATGATATCGTTAAGAAAGGTATTTTACTTCAATTGATGGGAGGTGTTCATAAACAAACACAAGAAGGTATTCATTTACGTGGTGATATCAACATTTGCATCGTTGGTGATCCAAGTACCAGTAAATCGCAATTCCTCAAATACGTTTGCAATTTCTTGCCAAGAGCTGTTTACACATCCGGTAAAGCATCTTCTGCTGCCGGTTTGACAGCCGCTGTTGTTCGGGATGAAGAAACAGGAGAGTTGACAATCGAAGCAGGTGCATTGATGTTGGCCGATAACGGAATTTGTGCAATTGATGAATTTGACAAGATGGACATTAGCGATCAAGTTGCAATTCACGAAGCTATGGAACAACAAACAATTTCAATTGCAAAAGCAGGTTTACAGGCCACTTTGAACGCTCGTACTTCAATTTTGGCAGCTGCAAATCCTGTAGGAGGAAGATACAATCGTAAATTAACTTTGCGTGCAAATGTTGCCATGTCAGCTCCAATTTTAAGTCGTTTCGATTTATTCTTTGTGGTTTTGGATGAATGCAATGAAGTTGTGGATATGAATATCGCAAAGCATATCATCAACGTTCACAGATTCAAGGAAGAAGCTATTGCACCTGAATTTGACACTCAATCTTTGCAAAGATATCTAGAGTATGCACGTACTTTTGAGCCAAAGCTTACGCCAGAAGCCAGTGATGTTTTGGTGGAAAAGTACAGAATCTTACGTCAAGATGATACAGGAGCAGGAGCAATGGGCGGCAAGAACAGTTACAGAATCACAGTTCGTCAATTAGAAAGTTTGATTCGTTTATCAGAAGCGATTGCAAGACTTCATTGCACAAATGTTGTTACCGCTCAATTCGTTCGTGAAGCATACAATTTGTTGAAACAAAGTATCATTCATGTCGAAAAGGATGATATTGACTTTGACGAAGATGATGATGAAATGAACCAAGATGAACTAAATGCTATTGCCGATCAAGCAGAGTCCATGCAAAGCGCTCAACGCGATGAATCAATGTTGCCTTCTTCTTCTCATTATGGTGAAGCCCAACGCGATCAAACCGCAGTCACTTCTGGTCAAGTTCCTGCTAAAGTTCGAATTTCGTATGATCGTTACATGGAAATACTCAACTTGATCCTTCTTCGCGTTTCCTCTATTGAACGTGAAACGCTTGGTGGTCTGGAACGTGATGCGTTGATCGAATGGTACCTTGAACAACGTGAAAATGATTTAGAGACAGAAGCACAACTGGAAGAAGAGAGAAGAATCATCGATAAAATATTGACACGTTTAGTACGTGAACAATACCTTGTTGAATTACGAGGAGAGAATGCCTTGATGGAACAAAGAAGACAAAGAGAGCAAAATGAAGGTGATGCAGAAGGTGATGAATCTATGCAAACCGTAACAGAAGGTAATTTGGCAGGCAACAACGAAGAAAGCCAAACCAGCCAAGGTCAACGATATATCATTTTGCATCCTCGTATTGACGTTGAAGCTCTTGCTGATGGTGCTGTAATTGAATAGTTTTGTAGTATTTATCTCATTTTCCATTCCTGCTTGTATTATTGTATTCGTTATTTATTGTTCACCCTCGTCGTAATTTTTTTCTCAAATAGGATTTATGTTACAGGAATACAGTTGACTATGATTGTTTGCGTAAAAGTACAAGTTGCGGTTGGCGATTTGGTTCGTACTGTAATGGCAAGCGGGAAATTAGCTCATCTCCAAGGGATTGGCACGAACTTTGATAAAGGTATCACATCCATGTCCATAAAGACTGACGATATCCAAAGACCCTCTGCCATGTTCGGCATATATTCTGCTCATTGGTAATCCATAACCCAACCCGGCCAATGTTCCTAAAGCACTGCCAAGACCAATAGTACTACCACTACCGCCTGTCGTCAATGCACCCAAAGCATCGTTGTGTGAACCTCCCATTGAAGGCATACTTTGCATTGCATAAGGTCCCATTTCCGCATCATCAATTGATGCATCTCCTTTCTCTTCTTCATTAGGAACGGTGGTAAATGTGTAATTGAAGATATGCGGCAAGTTCTTTGGTGCAATGCCTCCTCCTCGATCACGAATTCGTATAGAAAGATATTGTTTGGATTTGGCAATCGAAACAAAGATTGGCGGAATTGGTGTTCGTTCAGCGTGTGGGTTACGCTTGTAATGGTTCAAGTGACGTTCAACAGTTGCTCGATAGCTGTTCTTTAGAAGCTCTTTGACACAATACGATAAATGACTTGCAACGCCAACAAAGGTGGCTTCCCGACTTCCTTCAATCTTGATCTCTGGTGAATCACCAAGGGTGCTCTCACAAAGTTCTTCCACAAGTTCGCTGTCCTGCTTGATCAGGTCATATGCATTCACCCGCGTATCAATGATTCCAACAGAGTATGGCGTTGCAGTCTTGCCAATTCGGAAAGCGTGCGAGAGTGCCATATGCTGTTCAGCAATCAAACGAATTCCGATACGGGAGTGAATTGCACCATTCAAAAAGGTGGATATAGCAGAAGAGCTCATGTACTTCTTGCATTCCAAGAATCCTCTAGCTAGCGTTGGAACGTTTTCAGAGTGTAATTGAACCATTTCCTCCAGCTTTGCAGCAAATTTATCGTTGTCTTCTAGTGTTTGTATATTGTCGAATCCCATACTTGCCAGACTGTCAAACGAAGAAGCGTACAATTTAGCAATCTTTGCGATATATGGATTTGATCCAACAATAAAGGGCAGGGAGCGATACTGATCAACCCTTCTTGCCAATCGAATAGGTAATTCACGAGCAGTGAAACGGGCAGAATGTAGCAATTGCGCTTCTGATGGTGGTACGCCGGGTGATCCGCCTAGGTAAAGCAACGAAGACATGGTCAAAGAAGTTGGGGGAATGGCCAAGAAGTTTGATAGCAGCGAAGGAGTCGCGCCAAATGTTGAAATAGGTGAAGAAGCACTTATAGGGACATCATTGGCTACTGCTGATGGTGCTTTTGGCGGAGATGAAGCATCAAACTTTGAAGAAATGAATGGCTCTGGTGGAGGGTAGTAAGAGTATGGCCGTATATGCTGTCTGCTCGAATATCTTACAGGCACTCTACTCATAGAGCAGCTTGCTCTCCGGGATATCTGTAAGGCGAAAGTCATTTTTTGGGAGGCTGATCGTTGTGATGAGAAGAAAGTTTTAGTCATTCAAATTAAAGTTTAAATTCTAGACTAAGCAAACAGTAAGACACGCGCTTCTAAGAATGAATGCATTTTGAACCAACATCAATTCTTCTTAATTTCCTCCTCCTCCTACATCGAATGAAACAAGATGTCAAGGCAAACACTTCCAGCATCAAAGTTGGGGAATGTCAATAACACTACACAGGATTCCAACGCTGGTTCTTCTTCCGCACCTACTGCCACCCATATGCATGCTTCATCAATCGCAATCTTATCCAGAGAATCCCTACCAAAGATTGAATCACACTTTCTTGAAAGGAGCCGACAGCAATCCTCTTTCTTACAACGTGATCTGATATGTAAACGCTTAGACGATCAAGATGAAACCCGAAGGGCAATCGAACTAGATTCGATGTATCAACCTATCCGTAAAGCAAGAATACAAAATCGATTACGCTTACGTTTTGAGCAGGGTGAAATTGATCTGAGACTTTACTCAAAGCCTTCAGGGAAAACGATCGAGTATATAGATGTACACAATTTGATCTGCGTTCCATTGGAATGCCAACAAGAATCAATAGCATATGCAAATCATACACACAGAAAAGGGATACCGCCCGAAATTGATGCTGGAGCGAATGTTTGGCAACAAGTAATTCAGGCAATGGGATGGGAGCCAAATCACAACATCATCAAGAAAGGAAGGAGATTCGTCTTTCATGAAGATGACGTTTGCAAAGTTGAAGCTTTGATCTTTCAACTTTACAAGGTGAGTATATGCACTGTCTTACCCATGCTTCGTGATTCGATTGCTAACACCTTCCCTTGCCGACAGATCGAGCTTAAAGATGGCCAAGCAAGTATGGAGAGAATAGCAGACACTTGGATATTGCATGTTTCAGCAACACTTCCTTTTCGTTCAAGCACAACCAAAGGAGGCGAGCCAATCTCCAATGATGCCTCCCGTTTAAGTGAAAGGGCACAAGCAGAAATTGCTGCTATTCAAGAAAGCTTGAAAGGACTGGTTCAGCTCAGCAAAGAAGAAGAGTAAAGGTTAATAAGATTTGACTGTATTATAGCAATACTGTAATATAAAATTCAATTACTGTGATAACGTTGAATGATAGGTTCGACTTGCACTCCAAAAGCTGAGCCTGAGCTGAAAAGTGAGAATTGGCCTGTGCGCGACTCAGCACGCACTTACGCATGCACTGCATCAAAACCCCATAGTGTAACACCTTTCCCCACTTTCTTTCCTTTCCTTCTACCACATCAATTGCAAAAGGTGGCCATCATGTCCGCTCCCCATCCAATAACACCATACTACATTCCACCGCCACCGAAGACCAAGATGGTGCAATGCATTGTCACCATGTTACCCGTCGGTGCTTTGAATCACGTTGGTCGTGATATCAACACGCGCATTCCTATCCCCGTACAAGAGGGCAAGAGCTTCACTGCAGAGATGCTGGAAAGTATAATCCGTTCCAGAATGCATGATATTGCTTATCCTAAACTTCTGAGTGGAAGCATGGATGATATGGAAATCTTTATACGTCATTCACCAATTCCAAACGTTTACAACGTACCGCGTAAAAATGTTTCACGTTATATGTCTCCATTCTGTAGAGAATTCCCTTTTACTCCTTTCAGTACAGTTGTAGTTCAAGCTGAGATGTGGCACAAGAAAGATTGGGCAAGTCCAAGTCACATCTATTTGCGTAAAGATGCAAACTATCCGCTCAGATTGCATGTCACATGCACGCAAGTCCCAGTGCGAATGGTTGGTGAAACGCATGTGCAAGCAGGACAAGTTGGGTCAAAGATTAACTTTACTGTCCCTCTTGGCACCAAGCAATGCATCACAGCATTTCGTCGTGACCTTACAAATTTGATCGCAAGCAGATGTGATCAGTTATCCGGGTTCAATCGAAACAAGTTTGCTGTCGAAGTGTACTTCAAGAAGCCTCAAGACAACACCCAAGAATCTTCAAAGACATCTTTTGAAGATCGTGTAGCACAATGCATGTCAAACGATAAGCCATTGGAAGTTCAATTCGCTTTACGTAGCCAGTCCGAGGCGATCAAGGCATCCGCCACGCAAAAACAAAAGTCTATCCCAGTGAAATCGAGTATTTCAGACAGTGTGAATCCAAAGAATGATAGTAATATCAAGGAAGCATGTGCAGATCGCAAAAACGATGCAAAGAAGGACGAAAGTTTTGGTCTTCATCAAGGTTTCCTCGATGCCTTACGCAAAGAGACTGAAAAAGCAAGAGAAAATGCTCGATCTAGTAGGCCAACAAAAGTTGATATCTTTGGGGGAAGTCATCCCTGCGCAAACGCAAGCGTGGCTCAAAACGATAGGCCAAAAAGCTGGAGAGAGAGTGCATGGAGAGAAAGAGTCTCAAGACAGGTAGAAAATGCCAACTCAGCTGAACATGCGAAAGCATTTAAGCAAGAAGATGTATTGCAAACGATCCCTGCACCGGCAGGCTCGGTTGCACAACCTCCCGAACCTTTTGCAGGCTTGCAACGAGAAGTAGATCAATTGGTAAACAAGGTGGCGGGGTCGGTGCAAGATACCCTTGGCTCAATCTTTACAAATATCCAACCAGAAGTGAAAGAACATTGCAAGAGGCGATGTGCTTCGTCATCAACATCATCTAGTCATTGCGAAACAAAAGAGAAAGAGCGAGAGGTCAAAAACATAATCCATCACTATGCAACTTGCAATTTGTGCGATCAGGGTATCACGGGTATTCGCTGGAAATGTACAGCTTGCATCGATTTTGATGTTTGCTCGGCATGCAAAGCAACCACACCTTCCACCCATCCTTACCACCGTTGGATAAAGCTTCAAACCACGGATGCTTTACCTTTGGGTGTTCGCCCTAGCGATTGGATGATCCATCCTAACATCATTTGCGACGGCTGTGACAAAGCCGTTGTTGGCCCTCGCTACAAATGCATCAGATGTCCCGATTTCGATTGGTGCCACAGCTGCGAATCTGATCCTACAATGCATCATGGTACGCCGGAGGAGGAACCACATCTTTTCCTCAAAATCAACAAGCCACTGCCGAAGACACAATCGGTGGAAGCTGCAAAGGTCCAAGCAAAGGCTACTGTCAATGCCATGAATAAGCGTAAATCTGCCCGTGCTGAAGAGACCATTGATATCACTGTTGAGATGCCCGGTGCTTTCAGAGAAAACTCTGCAGAACAGTCAGAGTCCAAATTGGACAAGATCATTGAAGTCATTGAGCGTTTGGAAAAGAAACAGAAGAAGACCAATAAGCGTATCGATAGCTTCGGAGGCCAATTCAAAGAATCCAATGATGCTATCGAAAAGATTCTCAACAAGATCGATCAGATCAATGCAGACTTATTGAGAACGCAGACCAGTGCTAAAATTATCGATCCTCCAACTGAAAAGGCGCGCGAGGAGGGTGTTGAAGGCATTGCATCCTTACACGCACGTCTGGCAGACTTGTCCGTTCAAGCGCAAAAGTTACCTGGTGCTTTACCTTTAGCAGATGATCTGATCGATGTAAAGGAAGACCACAAGGTAGCAGATGTCGCGGCAGCGGAAGAAGATGCTCAAAGCGTAGCAGAAGATTATGATATGCAAGTGGAAGCTGATATTACTGTTCCTGATGGATCACGTTTCGTTGCTGGTTCCTTGTTTGACAAGGTATGGCTAGTTCGTAATACAGGTGGAAAGGCATGGCCAAAAGATACTTGCATCACTTCGATCACCAATCTTAACAACCCGACTCAAACTGTGAAGCATTCTGTCAAGATTGGTCGCGAAGTCAAGGCAGGCCAAGAGACTCAGATTTGTGTGCTTGATTTAGTCGCTCGTACAGAGACAGGAAAGGATGTTCACTATTTCCGTCTTGCTTTACCATCTGAATTCGGCAAAGAATCACGCTTCTTCGGCGATCAATTGTGGTATGACATTGAGATTGTGAATGAAACATCATCCAACGAAACAACTAAAGCAAACAATTCGATCGCCTCCTCAATGCATCATGCAAATCCGCCATCCTACGATTCAAAGAAGCAAGAAAGTCAAAACGAAATGAACGGATCATCATTCTTCCAAGCTCCATTTGCCCCTCAAAGTGATCGTGCCCCTTCAACAAGTGGTCGTCAAACTGAATCAGCCTTGCATACGCCCACTACCGAACGATCATCCGCCCTTGGTGATGATTTGGTTCTCTTGGATAGCGATGAAGAATTTGAGATCATTGAGCCTTCAAGCGATGAAGAAAGCGATTGAAGTGGGCTACCTTGTCTGTGATCAATCGTTATTCACCTCTAATCCACCTCTTTTGTACATCTTTACGATTTCAGCTTGCCCCGTCATACAACTGTACCATATTACGCTCTGTCTCAGTTCTACATAAGCATTCAAGATTATCGTTCCGTTATATGTAAATATCTTTTTTACTCTGTGAGAAAAGCATAAAATACATGTAAATACCCCAAATTTGAGCAGATGAGTGTGATGGTGCATTTTATTTGATGTGATAAGACATGAATCGAAGGAGGAATAGGTCAGTAACTTTATACATGTAGCTATAAAGCTCTTGATAGAACGCATTCTACTATCTCAAGGGCTTCATCAGCTCTTTTTGTAATGATCACACCAGCTGCGGTAGTGATAGGGGCTTCAGCGATATTTCAATTGATGATGGCGGTGATTTAAGCCTATGCCGGTGATATACGGTTTGTGTTGTGTTATTTGTTTGTGTTGGAGGCCTGTGCGCACTTACTTGCGCACGCGCATGCACGCGCCCTAGTCAATAATGCCTTGCCCGATGAGGGGAGAATTGCTGAGTAGCAATGCTGCTGCTTATCCATCCATCATCTTAGCCTTCACTTGACTCAATCGAAAAGCAATTCAAGGTGGCAAGTACCAGTCACATCAATCATACACCTAGTCTACGAGTAACGGTCATTACCTTTACCATCAACAACAGTCAAAATGCGATCAAAGTTTAAGGATGAGCACTCTTTCGGTGAGTATTGAAGATATCACATCTCATCTTTAGATGCATTTGAAAGCTTTTCATTGTACTAATGCCGACCTCATTTCCCATTTTCCCCCTTCTTCCATCAAAACAGAAAAACGAAAAGCAGAAGCTGAACGAATTCGTCAAAAGTATCCAGATCGTATCCCGGTAATTTGTGAAAAAGCTGATAGGACGGATATCCCTTTGATCGATAAAAAGAAATATTTGGTTCCTTCAGATCTTACCGTTGGTCAATTCGTTTATGTTATCAGAAAGAGAATCAAGCTTGCACCCGAAAAGGCAATCTTTATCTTTGTTGATGAAGTTTTGCCTGCAACAGCAGCATTGATGTCAGCCGTATATGAGGAACATCGTGATGAAGATGGCTTCCTCTACGTGAGCTATTCAGGAGAAAACACCTTGTGCGTATATACGTTTCGGTCTTTCAAAGTGAGCATCTTTGCTGACCCATCGTCCCTTTCTTTCTTCCAGTGGCGCACTTGAATGAATACAGATTCGCACCATCTGTGCATCATAGCTCAATCTCGCTTCGATTTCGCTTTATCTTGATCCGTTCACCTTGTATTTAAATCCGACTGTCCATGCTCAGCAAATCATTGTTAATGATCATTCACAAGACTTCATAACCGAATCAGTCTTGCATATGGTCTATCAACGTTCTTGTCCTATCCCCGTCTTTGATTCCCGTGTAATATGTATATCGCGACTCTGACTCAATTTATATCCTAATCTCATTTTCGTTAAACTGCGCTTGGTAATGATGAATGTTTCATAGCGATTATCGATTTGCAATATTACAGCTAATGTACTATTAAATTGTATGGTACAAGTACAAGATTATGATCGTTTTTCAAAAAAAAGCAACGAACAAAAGAATGCAAAAGATGTGTGCAAAATTTCCGCATTATTCCTCCTCTTCATCTTCTTCTACATATTCATCGTCATCATCATCATCGAATGCTGACCTTTGTTGAGAAGGCGAAAGGGGTACGTCTGGAGTGCTTCGACGATGCACGGCTTTAGTTTCAGCTGGAGTACCGTTGGTGTTTTGATGATCCACAAAATGTTGGCCTGCTACAAAGGCTAAGAAAGGATCCTTTGTGGAACCTGTTGTAGGGTCTTCTCCAGTAGAATTATTGGATGCTTCTTTCGCATGATGGAATGCTCTTTCAGGTGATTCGAGTGAAAATGATGGATCATTGCTAGTCAAATCGTCTTGCGTGCGAAGAGCATCCAATCGTTTTAGACTGCCATATGTATTGTTACCTTGTTTCACCGGAGTGCTCTTATCCGCAACGCTAAGCAAATGATGTGGCGATTCATCTTCTCCGTCATCTTCATCCAAGATTGCACTCGTCAAAGGACCAGAAAGATGATCAGAAGGTAGATGAGCGGAAAGAAGCAGTGCATTCTCATCGCTTGGTATGACGATCATATCCTCATCCCCTTCATCACTCATAGACATGCCATGGCCATGATTGTTTCCAGCATTGTTCCAGCCATTCGTTCCATTCATAGAAGGGTGAATCTGATTGGCAATACGACGCCTGGCCAATGTGCTATTAGCAAGCGAAGGAGCTGGTCTTCTCTCCCCTTTGCCATCTGCATCAGCAATATCATTTCGGTTGAGAGCTCCAGGTCTACTATTATCTTGACCATCACCTTGACTTTCTTCGGCTCCTTCTTGCATTTCGTCCTCGTCCCGCTCGTCTTCATCGTCGTCCATCGAGAATGTCTGCTCGCCTGTATCGAAATCATCACCTCTGCTCTCGTGTGGTGTCATATTCATCCCATCCATGAATGAAGATAGCGGCTTGTGCGGTCCACCCTCGATAGGACCCAAAATCAACTCTCGAGCAGGTCTCGGTTCCAATGGTGAGACGGGACCCAGTTCAGTGATATAGTCCGACCCAACAACACTTTCAATCGTTTCCCGTACCAGACCAGATTCATCATTTCCAAGCCTGCGCAAGATTCTTATCAATCGATCGGATCTTGATTGAGGTAAGGCGTATAGTTGATCAGAAGAACACATTAACTGGATCAAAGATGCCAAAGCAAGACGAACATCCACGATTTCATCTTTGCTCAATTCCAATAATCTAGGCATTGCCAACATTTCGATGGAAGAACGTTGAATTTGACTTTGACAAAGTTGTGCGATACTTTGCAGAGTTGCAACACGGGCTCTATAACCGGCATCATCTGAATCGGAAACATCTACTAGCATTCCCAAAAAGCCATCTGCTAAGACCTGATCTTGCTCTGCGAAAAGATGATAAAGGCCACTGACTGTGCTTACACCTTTCATCCGTACAGCGCTGACCGAGTCCATTAGAGCAGATTGCATCAACATGACGAGAATGCCTTGATCATCTTCTAGAAGGAATTTTGAGGCGAGGGCAGGTATCTTTGAAATTACCTTTTCACGCATTCGCCAATGATTTGGAAATCTTGCTCCTGTTCCAAAGATCTCTGTATCGTTCCACAGATCTTGAATCACCTTCATAGCTTCCAAACCGCTTTCTACGTGCATGTGGCACAATGTCACATCAATGTTCTCCAACAAGGCCATCTTTACCTCACCATCTTGTTCGAACTTGGGATCCAAAAAGTGCGAAACAAAAGGTAATAAATCCTTTGATGCAGCATCTAAACCAACAATTTTGGCAATCTCATGAAGACTGGCAGCCAATGACCTACGAACTTTGGAAGACGCATGATTGCTCAATTGGCTATGTACTTCACGCAATACATGCCACTTGTCGGCACCCAAAGTCAAAGCAACGGCAGGTAGATTGTATGCCATAACCAATGGACGATCAGGATCAGAATTGAGTCCATCAAATGACAGCTCTCCTGGTTGTGCACCGCCAAAGGCATCATTGTATCTCCAAGCGCCAGATGACATGGAATCGCTGCTATCACTGCTGTGAGTCCAAGTGTTCACATTGGTGGAATCGATTTCAATGTCTTCCGAGATGGTACCTGCTAAACGATCGTTTTGCTGATCGTTTCCTATGTCTTTTGATGCTGTGTTCGAATGTGTTGCCTCTGCAACGTTTTCGTCTTTGCCATCCCAAGGTTGTCCTAAGAAGTGTCTGACTAGGTGCTCCGGAACTCCTTCAGGATCGTCGTGGAATAGGTAAATTACCTCTCCAATGATGTCAAGAGCTGCTACACGAACGTTTCTACTGACATCATTCACGAATCCACTCATGACCTCCATCAATTCTTTCCTACGTTCGAATCGATCCACAACTTGAGCAAACAGATTTGGCGCTGACAAACAAGCGGCTTGACGAACATGCCAGATTGTATCTTGACATAATTGTGAAAATACGCCAAGAATGTTTTGTTCTCGAATATGATCATGACCGATTGCACGTGCAAGAATACCGACAGCCACTGCTGCTTCTTTACGGACAAAGAATGTGCGATCCCCGGCAGAAGCAATGAGTTCCGGAATGACTCTGTTAATCATGAAATCCTTTCCGATCAAATTTTCTGTTCCTATAGCGGCCAATAGACTTATGGAAGCCATTCTTCCTACTGCAACTTCCTCTTCTATGCTCATCGTGATAGATGCGCCATCAACAGAAGCCATAGCAGTATCGCCTAAACCATCTTCGATATCATCAGAAGAAGCCCACGTCATCATTTCTTCGTCTGCTTGATTTTGTGAGAAGTCTTGCTGCTCGTCGAATTTCGGCTCAAGTGTATCTGAGTCATGTTCCATCTCTGTTTCACGCTGATCATCTTGTGCTTCTTGAGCGAGCTCTCTTGGCTTTGACTCGACGTTTTCTGCGCCTGTATCGGTCGCAGTATTCGTCACTGCTTGATTCTCTCCAGATGCACCATCAACGTGATCCATCTGTTGATCAGAATGCTCTTCTTTTATCGATTGCGCAGATGCGGCATGGTCTTCTCCGTCATGGTATACTGCTTCGTTAGGCTGATCGTGATTGACTGAGCCGGTTGCTCTTTCACTTTTATCGCTGCTCAAATGTCCAATAGCCACCGCTACCTGCTCTAACAATTCGTTCATAATCATCTCTCTTTGCTCTGCTCCGAATTCGTAATCCTCCAACAAGATTCGCTTATCCTCTCGTGCAGCCGCATCTCTTACCAAGGTGGTATTAGCATCAAACGGTTGCCTACTCTGTACACTGGGATCTGCACCAATGTGAGGTTGTTGAACACGAGTATCTTCTTCGTCCAATTCGAAGGTATCGCCTGCCAAACCAAAACCTTGTAAACGTGCACAAAAGAAGACGATCGCAGTTTGGGTTGAGTTGGCAATTGTAGCGTTCGAATTGAGCAACAAAGCACAGAGTAATGGTGTAAAGGTCGAAATTGAAAGTCTTGGTCGTGTAGCCCTCTCATCGTTTTCTACCGGAAACCCGTCAGCGTCCGTTGAAGCTGGTTCAATCGTATTTTTGGTATCTTCTGCAAGTGGACAATTTCGGAAAAAGTACCACATGAGTCTGTGCAACTGCGGGGCAAAAGAGGAGCAGACTTCATTTACATCGCATGCCAAGCCATTCAAGAGTGGAATGACAAATTCAACGGCTTCATTCAATTCCACCTCCAAGATCCAATCAGCAAGTGAATGCGAAACCAAGATACGATGATAAGTCATTTCACTTTTGGCAAACAAGAAGATTCTTTCAAGCGTGGTTAAGCCTTCTTCTTGTAACGGATCATTTTCATCCACTTGGTCAAAATTGTCATCTTGTTGATCGTCTTCTTCTCCAGCTTCGATATCGATGTCTGTTGGAACACTTTGTTGACTCTCTTGATCTCCGTGTTCGCCCCAATATCTAGTGACCGCATTGGCTGGTTGAACGGTCATCGGGTCTGGTACTACAACAGTGCCAGGTGAGAGCGGAGGCCGTTTGGGTGCACTACCATGCGCTTGCGTCTGACTTTGAGGAAAACTATCCTCATCCATTTCACCTACCGCCCCTTCTAGGTCTGCATCCTGTTTTCCATCCTTTTCGTCTTCACCTTCATCTTCTTCCTCTTCATCACGATCTTCATTTGTTCCTACGCTATCTCTTCCGCTGCCTACAGACCCATCTTCTGATCCGACATCATCAGGATCGTCACTCAATTCGTATCCTGACCTCGGCGGCATTCCGATAAAGCTGCGTACTTTTGGAGGGCTTTCGCTAGCTGTTGAAGACGCCGAGCCAGAAGGTGAAGAGGCCATATGAGCAGGACTTTGCGCCCGAATGGGAATCCCATTTAGGTAACTGTATTCTTCACGTGGTGGCAAAAGTGTTCTAGATGCGAAGGAAGGCGAATGTAGTTCAAACGATGATCTACGTTCCAAGAATCGTATTCTTTCTTGTGGTGAACTGGAATGACGCGGTGGTGGTATGATCATATTTCGTCTGTCGAGATTATTCTGCTGATTTGCGATGCCGATTGACTCCCTTTGATCGGCTTCATCATTGTGATCAGCAGATGCTCCAACTTCAGCATGTACAATTTGTGCATCTACTTTTGCCGATGTGGTTCGTGGTTGGGAGACAGCCTTATGTGTCGGAGACTGCTCATCGTGCGAGCGTTGTTGAGGTATAGCCATGTCTCGTGCATCAACGTCGGAATCATTGGAAGAAACGGAAGAATTAGACAGTGCCCTGCTGTGACGATGCATTGCTGCATTAGCAAGATTCAATGAATTTGAAGCGATCGGTTGTGGAGCAGCTAGTCGAGGTGAACTTGAACGAAGTGGAGAGGATGAATAATGAGCAGAAACGTTGCTGCTCGAAGAATGACTTCCTCTACGGCCTGTTGGTTGATGACTTCCTGTCGTGCCCCAATTCAATGGGGAAGGCGTCCTTTGCATTCGTACACCAGCATGCCAGTCTACCAAAGGAGATCGCCTTCCAGGACTAGATGGTACAGGAATCGGGATGGCTGTCATTCCACCTGCAGAGCTATGGGCAGCCACTTCGTCTCGCAAAGAAGGTGGGATGGGTGTCGAGTATGTCGATCCAGCATCTAATGGAATAGCTTCCAATCCACTTGCTGTCACTGGTAAAGCTTGCTCATGATGCTGTGTAGAAGGCCAAACAGAATCTACCGGTAGTTCAGGATCGGGATTAATCCTTGGCGAGGAAGGCGAGCCAGCTTCATTACCACCCATCGCAATATGTAAGCCACTCTCTCCTCTCGAAGGCGATCTTCCAAGCTGTGAGCTAACGAATGAAGGCGAAGGTATTCTGGCAATTGGTTCCGTACCATTACCCGACAATCGACGAACGTGTCCGCTTGATCCTAATGCTTGTAATCTAGGTGACATTGGGATTGCATAGGCACGAGAAGGAGATTGCGTTCTTCTGGAATAATCACTGCGATGCGGTGATCTTGGACTTCGCGGGCTAAAGCCAGAACTACCCGCACTTGATGACTTTTCCATCGCTCGTGCAATTAGGTGAGAAGGACGACGTGTTTCGGGAGATGTACTGATTGCGTGATCGCTATTCAAACTTCCACTGCTGCCATTGCTACTTCCACCTTCACTCGTTGCTACGTTGTATAAAGGCGATCTCCCTGCAATGTCTACAGGAGCAGATGAGCCAGTCGGACTAGGCGCATGAACGTTGACGTAGATGGGTGATGTAGGTCTTAGCTTTGGCGAACTGGCGGGATTTGAGAAGTTGGAAGGTGAGAAGGATGACATGTGTTGATGAGGATTTTGAATGGGATGGAGTTGATTTGCTGAAGGGATATTTGATGAAGACGCATGCCCGGCGTTGCCAGTTGATGATTGATGTGCAGTGACTGCATTCCTCAAAGCTGAATCCGCACCATAAGGATCCCAACGAATCGCACCGGGTGAGAAAGACGTTCCTGCATGCAGTGTTGGACTTAGATTCACAGACCTTGAACGAGAATGAGATGGTCGCGTGGAGGAAGTTGAAGAGGAGGATGACACAGAGGATGTTGGAGAAGGATGCGAAAACAGAGCAGGTTGCGAAGGACTTCCAGGTATGGAAGGATTGGGAGATGATTGCGCTGCTTCTCCATCGCCCTTTATTCGTATCCCCGGAAGTAGGTCCTTGCCTGTCTGTCTGTCCCCGCTGGAAGATGCCTTTGACGCTTCCTGATCTTCCATCGCTATTGATTATATGCACGGCTTACGCCCGCAGGCGTGCCTTCGAGGGATTGTGTGTATGCCGAATGACGTTGTGACAGAATAAAAGGGAGACAGGCAATCTTGAGAATTTGATTGCCCTAGACGACCCTCTGACAAAATCGTCTCTAGATGTGATTCGATGGAATAAACACCACGATCAAAATGTCTGAAAAAAAGACTCGTCTAATTGTATCCTTTCGTGATCCACCGAAAACCGTACCTGTCCAACGACCTTATTCTCCACCAATGCTCTCTTTTTGAAAAAGATCCAATGATCTCTATGGTTTTGAGCAAAGAAAAGAGATGAATATCCGAATGACCAAACCAATCAGGGTGTTATCAAAATAACGAATAAATAATTAGCGCTTTACAGAGAACACAGAGAGAGAGAGAAAAAAAAAACTTAAACGCGTGCACTCACTCGACACACTCACACACGGCAGCGGCCGCAAAATGAGATGGAACCGCGTACTGTATGAATAGATACTGCACACACACCACACCCTGCCCTTTATTCTATCGGCGCCGGTTGATGTTCATGCCCTTTTACGCCCTGGATAATTTAATCGTTTCTTTCCCATACTGCAACTTGACAAGCAAGCCATTTTGTATCGGGGTGCAAGCGTAAAGCATCATTTCTTTTATTATGATGCATTTATGAAATTGATCCTAGAGAGAGCATGATGCATATGATTGTACAATGGGGGAAAGAAAGGGGAAAAAAGAGAATATACAGACATTTACACAGCTCATTTCATTCATTCGCTATCACGCTTTCCATTTTGACCTAATTTCTTGGCTAAAGCTGTTAATCGATTATGTTCTAAAATATCATCTTGTTCCCATGGATATTCGATCCAAATATTTCCAGTCGTTTCAGCTGCGAAATACCAAACACCCGAAACAACTGTTCCATTTTCATCTTTACGTTGACTTACAACTTCTTGTCCGGCAGCCAAACGTTGATCACTTCCCTTTGAACCAACAGCTTCATCTTCAGGTTGATCTTTTTCAGTCACAGCATGATTAGACCAAACGATTGGCAAAGATCCTTTCTTGCTTCGTAATTTATTGTGAACGACAAAGATGGCAAATCGTGTAGGAGGTGTTTGTGCTCTTTGTTCAGGTGTGAGGGCTTCCAATGCTTTGCGTACATCGGATAAAAGTTCGTTGTATGCATAACGTAAAGTGGTACGTGAATCATCCACTTCATCAACGATCAGAATATTTTTGCCCAACAAGCCACCATGTAATTGTGTTTCTGCATTGCCATCTTTTACGTCTCTTTTGGGTGCGTCTAACCATTGTGTTCGAACGACTTCAACGCCAATCTTTCCCAAACTTGATGGACCTGAACTTTGAAGTGCTTTTTCAGCTTGACCAAGATCTTCATATAAACTTAAACCGATTGCTTGAATTGGAACATTTACAAGTTTTCCATTTGATCCTTCACGTTTAAGAAAAGTACGTAAAACACGAGCAGGGAAGAAACCACCACCTCCAATTGCTACCATCAAATCGGGTGCAAACGTTTGACGAATCTGTCTTGCCGTTTCTGCGATGTCTAAATGGATTTCTTCATAGCTAATTCTGTAATGGTCATCGGGAAGTTGTTCGCTTGCCATCTTGTGTAGTGGGATAGGTATCAATCTTTGTGGTGGTGACTTTGGGTATTTGTTATCTTCTCAATCTTGATTTTTCATTTGATGAATGCTCTTTCTTTAGTTTGCCTTGGCGTTTACGCGCTAAAAGCCCCGTTGTGTGTATTTGCATAAATTGCTTCAAAAGCTTAAAATTTTCAACAGGCATGCGCTAGAAGGTCACGTGTGTTGATGGTAAGAGTTAAATCCTGAGTGATCACTACGAACTTGATAATGATAGGGTATGTCTTGATACTATATATACGTCCTTTCTTCATAGTAGACATCCGTATTCATCTAATCTTCGTCTTAGAATTTAATGCAAAGAACAAAGACGCATATTGCTTTAAAAAGAGTCTTTAAGTCTTTCCTGCATTTATTTGATAAAGGACAACGACATCGACTCTATCAAAAAATGATGTTAAATCATTTGTTGGTTCTACTTGACGATTCAAATATTAGAAAGACAATAGGGTGCTTCGAAAGCTACTGCCATCATTTTATGACTAAATTCATATTCTGATGCAGAAATAGCACTTTCATTGTAGTGCTTCTGTAAACAAAGCAATGGGCAGCTTATATGTCTAAAAGTAGCGACGACGACAGGCTTGAAGAACATAAAATACATACGGTTATCATTCAATCTCCCTTTGTCTTTCTGTAGAATACGCATCCTTCACATAATCACGTGCGATGTTTTTGAATTACCGAATTTTTTGATCTGCAAGATAGCCAGGAACGATGTCGTATGGAAGCTGTAGTTGAGTATCTACTTTCATGCATGCAAGGTAAATCATCATGAATTCTATACAGTGATTCTTGCCGATGTGGAACAGGGTGTAGTAGAGATGCATTGTGTTGGAAGTATTGATTTTTCCGAGGTACAACCGTGGCGAAAGCGAACTATACTTACAGCAGTAAAACAGACTATCTGTCGAATTCAAATGGAAGCGAGAAGTCTATTTGAAATAATATTGAAATCGAAACATTCAATCTAACCCTCGGCACAAAAGAGTTTAAAAGCCATTTAGAAAGTAAGAGTTGAAAGCCATTAAATTTTGACAGCCATGGTTTACCATTGTAGCTTTTAGCCGGGTTTGAATTAAGGGACCAGAATAGTAAAATTCGGGTCTTTTCTTAAATTTCAATTTATTAGTAAAAGGTCCCTTTAAATTTGAAACACTCAAACCAAGACGCGTCTTCCCCTGTGTAAACCTTATATGCCCTAGAAGTGTGTATACAGTGGGGAATGACTGACTTTTCACAGTTTTAGTGCCGTTTAATAAGCCAAGAAGAAAAAGAAACCCGGAGGAATTTTTCACCAGATTTTCACTCACTGCTTATACGCCTCCTCTCTTTTGGTGATTTGCATCGTGCATAAAACTTCTTAAAATCACATGGCATGCAGAACAGATGGCACAATCATAATGCATTCTTAGGGGTATTCGCTTTTGCTCGAGAAGATGTATTTAAAGAAATAAAAAGTTTCATTCTTCTATTACTACCATCATAACCTAAACAATCTTCAAACAAATCTTATACAAGATGCAATTCACTACACTCTTTTCAAGCTTGGCTTTGGCCATCGCTGCTTCTACAAGCATGACATTCGCTCAAAGCACTCCTCAAGATCAAATTAACGAAGGCATTGCAAACGTTATGTTGCAATTAGAAGGTGCACATGTGGTTCCTAACTTGATCTCTGCCGATCAATTGCAATTGAGAGGTTTGTTGAACCAACAATTCGGCGGTAGCAACGTTACCACAGGTGAATTGGTTGGCGCTGTGGACGATGTTAAAAACATGCCCATCTGGACCATCGAATACAGCAGTCAAGCTAGCGCTTCTGGTCAATTCCTCAATGCAAGTTACACAGTTATGACCTTGGATCCTGGAGCCCCATCTGAACAACCAAGAAACATCGTTCGTCACTTCTTGGCTAACAACATTACATTGGACACCGCTACTGGCGGCTTGAGAAACACAAGTAAGCCAATCGCCGGTTGGTTCTCCCCTGCTCCTCCAGCAGGAAGCGGTGTTCACCGTTACACAACTTTGGTCTTCCGTCAACCAGCAAACTTCACATCCACTTTACCTGCCTATTTGCAAAACCGTAATGAAACAATTGATACCAACTTCGACTTGGCACAATACATCAAAGAAGCCGACTTGGGTCCAATTGTTGCTGCCAACTTTTTCCTTTTGCAAAACAGTGACACTTCCGCAAGCATGACCGCAAGTGGTGTTGTTTCAACTTCTGCCGTTCCATCTGCCAGTGTTTCCGCTGCTGTCTCCTCCATTTCCAGCTCTTTGTCTTCAGTTTACGCTGCAAGCAGTACTGGTGAATCTGGAAAGAGCGGAGCTGTTGGATCTCCTCTTTTGTTCTCTCAATCTGGTATTGCATTGATGGCAACCGCCTTCTTTGTCGCTGTGGGCGCTTTCGCACTTTAAAGGGTATTTCACCAATTTCTTTTTTATTCTCTATCCACTCACATCATTAGCATTTATTCAACTTCGGATCAGCACTTTCAAGGTTGTCTCTTTCTTTTTATCAATTTGTATCATTCATCATATACACACATCCCTCAACATGTTCTTTCATTGTAAAAGATCTTGTTGAGGTAAAATTTATAGACGTTTAACTTTTTCAATTGAGCATCTGAATAAGGTTCGTGTGTGTAACTAGGGAGGGTGGCATTTAGAGACCAGCCTTTTCTCCACGCGGCAGATATTTCCACGGCTGCACGGCTCTCTCTCTCTCTCCCTGCCCAGTGGCGGGCTTGTGAGACCTGCTTGCCAATTGCGCTTACGCGGTGCCGTTCTTGTGAAACACAGCTACAGTGCATTCAACAAAAACAAACACACCAATCCCGTAAACCAAAGGGGCTCTTGCATCTGATCCACAATCGTCCATCATAAACTGCTTGCCTGTTGAAATTAGCCAACCTGTGTTCATTCAGGGAGGTATAACAAGCTTCGAGAGACGATTACATTGGAAGCACTCCTATTCATTCAATCAACCCCTAAAACAACAACAAAACAATGTCGACTAACAAAAACGAAATTCAGCATGGAATAAACGGCAAGATTCAATTACCAGCACATGATTCTGTACAAGCACAAGAAGCATCTATTCCCGCTTCTCCGGAACCGATCGATGATTCTGCTTCTATACATTCTAGACATGCACTAAAAGTATTCAAAAACGGTATGCCAACTTCAAAGAATGATTCACCTTTAGCATCGGATATAAGTATTCCTGCCAATGATCAACAGAGGAATTGGACGATGGAACAGAATGCAGCCGCAGGAACACTATCAGAAGAAGAGGCTGCTCAATGGAAACAATTCCGTAATCGGACGTTACTACGGGCTGCTCTACAATTCACAGTACTTTTGATCATTTGTGCAAGTTTGTTATTCCTAACACTCTATTTCGTCCTTCCAAAGATCGATGATGCAGATCGTGCAAATCTCAAGATCCCAAGATCTTTCGAACAACTCAAAGCACTCAATGCTGTTTTACAAAGATACAAGGATGAATACTTCTTCCGTGTAATGTTTTGTTGGATCGTGATTTATATGTTCCTTCAAGCATTCTCAATCCCTGGATCGATGTATATGAGCATCATCGCAGGCGCAATGTGGGGCGTTCCTTTGGCATTACCAATTGTTTGTGCATCCGTTGCAACTGGTGCGACGATTTGCTATTTGATTAGCATGTACCTTGGAGCAGTTTTGGTCGCAATGCCCAAATGGAAAGCTCGCGTAGATGCTTGGGGTGAAGTCTTGGCACAGCATAACGATAATATGATGAGTTATATGATCGTCATTCGAATGATGCCACTTCCGCCGCACAATGTTGTCAATATCATGGCACCGCATTTGGGTATCGGTATTCCGCTCTTTTGGACATCGACTTTCTTTGGCATTTTTGCCGTTTCGGTTATTCATGTCACGATTGGAGAAAAGTTGGATCAAATGACGTCTGCCGATGATTTCCATTTGTTTTCGTTTAGGAACGTTTTACTTTTGGGCGGCGTGATTGCTGCTGTTTTGACGCCTGTCATTATCAAAAAGTATTCTGCCGCTGCTAATTCACCTTTGGAAGAAGATACATCTGCAAACGGAGGTAGGATTCGATTGCCAGACGATGATCGAGAATTTGATTCGGAAGATGATGAAGATGAATTGCCACGTGTACGCAGATTGCATGGCGCTCGCAGGACGGCCTCTTCGGATGACGCAGGAGAATTGGACGAAGAAGGAAGGGCTGCTTATGTGGCCAGAGCATGGCGTGGTGTAGAAGTGGATGCAGATCAAAGTGACGATCTTGACGGGACAGGATACAGTGATAGCGAAGGCGGATCTGTGCCTGTGTTTGAGGATAGAAGGGAACAAGGTTCAATTCAGCGTGGACGAAAAGCCCCACCGAAAGCCAGAAGAGTGTTAGGTTTAGGAGGTCAAACGAGTAGTTCTCGGTCTGGATTCCAACAAGATTCTTACATTGGAAAAGCACAAGATTGGTTCAGTTCTCGATTAGGTCGCACATAGACATCGGACGCAATTTTGCCTCATTTTACGTTATGTCTCAACTCTTAGTACTGTATTATCTAGCCCTCTTTTTTAGTCATTTCCTATCGCCACCTTTAGCAATGCAATGTATCATGCTCGACTAATCTGTTTGTTTGTGAGGTTTTAGTAATGTACAATCATTTGTGTGCATGTGTATGCTACCTTAATAGTTCCTTCTGTTCCAATGTTTAGATTCTCCTTCTCCTTTTGCCGTATCCGTTCCCGGATTGTTTTGTCTCGTTTGATCTAAAACTCTAAACATTTGTCTTGCAGTTTCCCTTCCCATATCTTGATCCCATTTACCTTCTCTCGTTGGTACGGATGCTGGTCCTCCATCCCTGTCTAACAACATTTGTCGAATTCGTTCATCTGCTTCTGCGATACTTCCTTTCTTTGCCGCTTTCGCTGATGATTCTTGTGAGGAAGAGGATGCGTTTGATTGGTTTTCTTCCTCTTTCGACTCTTTACAACGGCGTGATGACGTATGGAAGCTCTTATGTGGTATTGATCGCCTTGAGATGGCTGTCAATGCAACTCTTCCTGCTCTACTTGTTTCGGCGATCATTTTGGTGGAGAGGAATGAGGAGTCGAACTTGAAGTTGTATTTGTGTTTGAAGAGAAAGAAGGGTGCAATTCATTAAAATTCAAGGTGGAGATCTCGCGTCAGATGACTAGCGCCAGGGTGTATGCACTACAATCTTAAATCTGAACTTCATTCCAAATCATGATCACCTTCTCGTCATACTTTCCGATTGATGCCAAATATGAATTGATGATTAAAATACAGATGATAGTACACTCCTTGCTTCACTTAATGATTGTAGCGCTTCTATGAATTCTGTAACGACCTGAACCAAGCACTATATGCGTTCTCTAAATCGAACAACATCTGTCTTGCCTGATCTTCATCAATCTCATCACTTGCTTTCATTTGATTCAACGTGATAAGCCAATGCAACACTCTTGCCCTTCCCTCAGAATCTTGATCGCCAAAGCGCGAATATGAACTCATCAAATCGCTCAAAAGAGGATGTAATTGATCTTTTGCTCGTAATTTTAGCTTTAATGCGTCCATGAACGTAATGAATCCTTGTGTAGTTTCTGCAACCCATTTTGCACGCTCTGAAGATGATGATGTTGCTGCTGATGCATGCTCGACCGTTGCTGGAACTCCAACCTGTAACCTGTGGGCAGCAGCTGCATGGCTCATCTGTAGAGAGAAGAATAAAGCAGTACTTCTGTTTAGAGAAAATTCTAGTACTCAATCCATTCCTCGCCTATATACTCACCTTGAATTGCTTCATAAAATCCTTCAAATCTCGAATGACTGGTACGCCGGCCATCTTTGGTACACCGGCCGATGACGAAGATGCAACGCCCTCCTCTTCACCGGACATGACCAACTTCGATATAGTCTTGAATTGACCTAGTAGTCTTGTGCATGCTGGAGCATATTGCGCTTCACTAACACTTTCTCGCATATATGCCCTTTCCAACGCATCCAAAGAAACAATAATGCTGAACAAGGTTGCCATACTTTCCCATCTTTCTCTCTCTGTATTGGATGTGTATAGCCGAGTTTCCTCGTATGGATTTATATCGTATGAGGGTGGCATGTTGGTGAGTATATTGACTGATCAATAGTACTTGGTTGTCGCTGTGTTGATCAGTGTGACCACAAATAGGATGGTTGAAAGCAGCTTCAAGTGTTGTATGTGTAAGTGCTGCTATCGCCTTCCCCCACAAAGTCTTGTTTCGCGTGTTCTCAGAGTGGACGCCTGCTTCAACACACGTGCAAGAAATTTTTTGGAATCAAGAATTTATTCTGACAAGCTGGTGCATACATACGATCAATTCACCTTTACTTCCTGCACGATCCATAACTGACCTCTAGGACAAGATGGCTAAAAGAAGGAGAAAGACAAGGACTCACTTGAAAGGTCCAAGTAATAATTCAAACTCGAATTCACCTAAATCGTTTGTGATTCGAAGTGGAAATGTTTCACGTTCTTGTTCAACTTTGGTAAACGATGTTCGAAAAGTGATGGAACCTAATACGGCCACACGATTACGTGAACGAAAGTCAAACAAGCTACGTGATTTCTTATCTATGTGTGGTCCTTTAGGTGTCAGTCACTTGATGGTATTCTCACAAAAGAATGCAAGAGATACAAAACCTTCAACGAGTGGTGGAAGTGGAAGTCGTGCTCGTCAACAAGAAGCAATCGGAAATATCAATTTGAGAATAGCGCGTGCTCCAAGAGGTCCAACCGTTACTTTCCGTGTGAATAAATTCGCATTGGCAAAAGATGTCGTCAAATCGCAAAGGCGATCTCATGCTCCTGGAGGAGAATTTCAAACAGCACCTTTGCTTGTTTTGAACAATTTTGGATCGGCTGACAAACATGTCAAACTACTCGTCAGCGTCTTTCAAGGATTGTTCCCGCCAATTCATGTTCAGAATATGCACCTTTCTGAAGCAAGACGGATTGTTCTGCTCAATTATAATGCACAAACACAAACGATCGACTATAGACATTTCCTCATCAGTGTTCGACCTGTCGGTGTATCGAAACGAGTACGAAGAGTAATCGAAGGAAGTTCTTCATTGAACAAAGGTGGAGCGAAAAAGATACCCAACCTTGCTTCTGCAGGTGATATATCGGAATATCTTCTTGGACAAAAGATTAACAATCAAGGTGAGGACAATGCCGGATTTGAAACAGACGCTTCTTCTGCTTCTGAAGTTGATAGCGATGTGGACGAAGATGGAACACCTAGAAATCATGTCCAACTTCCTGAAGGATACGTCGGTCGCGGCAATGTTCGTGATACACAAAGAGCTGTGCGATTACGTGAATTGGGTCCAAGAATGGAATTACGTTGCGTGAAGATTGAAGAGGGTATTCCGGGTGCTGGTAAGGACGCAAAAGGCTCAAGTGGTGGGAATGAGGTGTTGTGGCATGCTTACGTAGAGAAGAGCAACGCAGAATCTATCAAACAACGAAAAGATATTGCCAAAAAGGATCAAGAACGAGAAGCACGTCGTGCCAAACAAGAAGCCAATGTAGCCAGGAAAAAGGCAGAGAAAGAAGCCAACAAGGCACAGAACAAAAAGCAAGTAGCAACGGAAGCAGTCGACCAGGAGGAAGATGACAATGTCAGCGGAGATGACGAAGACGCTGATCAAGAAGCAGACGATGATGAATTTGAATATGAAGACATGCACGGCGACGGCGCAGATGCTGATGGAGATTTATTCGAAGATGAAGATGCAGAATTAGATGACGATGCTTCGGCTGGTGAGATTTCCGATGAAGAAGATGAGGAGGAAGAAGACGAAGACGATAGCGATCTCAGCCCGATCGAAATTGACGATGATGAGGATGACGGGTTCTCAGACGAGGAAGTTCCCGCAAAACGCCCTGCATTCAAGCGACCAGCTAAAAGAGGCAAATTCAATGGACGTCGCAAATAAATATCATGTATTATCACAGCAATATGACTATTTCATTTCACTTTGATTGTGAGTATGTCCAGTTTACTTGCTGCCACCGCGGAAGTTATGGTAAGGTGATGCCTGATTGACAGGGAAAATCAAGCTTTGAGCAACTTGAACATGATCAGGTCTTGAGCATGCAAAGACGATATCTTCAGCAATATCATCAGGCGTCAAAGGAGTCAAACCAGTGTATTCCTTATCAGCTTGAGCTTGATCACCTCTGAAACGGGTAACGGAGAAATTGGTTTCAACCATTCCGGGTTGAATTTCGGTTACCCGGATTTGTGTATTGACCAATTCTTTTAGCAATGATGAAGTGAAAGCAGCAACGGCAAATTTGCTAGCACAGTAGATTGATCCTCCAGGATAGGCTTCCCTACCTGCAATCGAACCAATTGCGACAATGTGACCTGCATTACGCTTTTTGAATTCTAGTGGGGAAGAAATATAGTGTTAATGAAAAGCTCGAGTCAATTTCCCACTATCACATACTAACCTTTTACGAATAGTTGGTTGACGTGGATGAATCCTCTGACATTTGTCTCCAAGACTTCGTCAATTTCATCTGGATTAATGTCTCCCACATGTTCACGTCCTCTTACCAGACCTGCGTTTGAGATCAAAATGTCGGTCTTACCTTGAGCCCAATCAGGTAAGTTTGTAAGCAAACCATCGATACTTTTACGATCACGCATATCCGTTACGATCGAAGCAGTCTTTCCACCTTTTGTTCCTGCAATTTGTTCACCTTGGGCTTTGTAGGCTTGCTTGCATGCACTTTCCACTTCTTCTAATGCGTCTTTTCTACGTGCGCTCAAGACGACATTTGCACCTGCACGAGCGAACAAGATAGCAGCCGAACGACCAATACCTCCTGATGCTCCAGTGATTACCACAACTTTTCCTTGGAGGCGAGAAGTTGTAAAGATTGGTGCACCTGCAGAAGTCATTCTTGAAGTGATTGAGGAAGAAAAGGATCGATTGATGATAGGATTGGTCGCTTGAACGCTTGTCTTTGCGATTGATGGAGTAGAATGTCGCACACTTGATGGGATTGTTTTAGAGAGTGTGCAAATTGATGATCGGATACGAAGCATCAAGTCAATTGGATGAGATACTGTTTGGTCATGAGGAAGAAAGAAGGTAGCAACGGCATTTACCCACCTTCCAGTTTGTGCACTGTGCAGTCTTCGGCGAAAGATCAACACTTTACGAACTTCACTCCGATTCTCATGGGCAACAGTACGCGCTAAACTTGTGCGTGCTTTTAAGGCACCAGATCTGTCAAGAGTGTTCCCTGTCTTCATTTTCATTTACTTGTGTGGAGTTATGTCTGTCAATCAACTGATTCAATGATTTGTTGTTGTATCTGCTTATCACCATCGTCACACACATTTCAAAGAGGATGTTGTCACGTAGATCGCTCGGCATTCTCGGCCGATGTGATCGTACATTGACAACGAATAAGACGATCGGATTGAAAGCAGGCTCTCAAGCACCTTTGTTCTCACGAGCTGTTCATTTATCGCCTATCGCAACACGCATTCATACAACACCGTTCAAACGATCATCACCAAAGATTGAGACAATAATCAGTAAAAGGTTCGGATCGACACTTACACTCCCTACATCCGATGCTGAAGCGCCTCCTGAAGGAGCAGCTGATAGCAGTGAAATACCACCAGGATATTCCGTTGCACACTTATACTTTGATTCGGTATTCCCTTTAACACTTGGAATCTTTGATCCTAGAGGCTATATCAGTGCATTTCAAGGTGATGCACAATTGACAAATCTCAAGCAAGTTTTACCCAATCAAGAAAGTATCGGATTTGGATTTCGCATCATTGGTGCAGAGAGTAGATCAAAAGATGGAGGTGCATTCTTGACTTTCGCTTATAAACCTGAAGAACAGGCAATGCTACGTGCTATTGGTCACGTTCGACAAATTCCAGGAGGAACAAATTTGACCCATGCTGAAGCTGCAACTCTGTCCGTCATCAATGCTCGTATTCGTCCACATCTGCGTCCAATCTATCAATACCCGCTTTCTCTGGCTAGGCTGTTGCCGGAATCATGGCTACCGAAGCCCAGCGTTCATATTGTTTTGGGAACGCCTTGGCTAGAAGATTTGGCAAGATATCCTTCCCGTATACTGAGCATCTCGTTCGTTGAAGGAGGTGCGCCAGGTGAACAACAATTATGGGAGATTTTACGACCTTATGGACGAGTTGTCAATCTAGAGATCAATGCTAAGGACAATAAAGCAACAGCCACGTTTCACCGAATGCGATCTGCGACATCTGCTCGTAATTGTTTGTATGGAGCCAGTGTTGGAAATCGAAAAGTAGTGATCGATTACGTTCCTCCACTACACGCACACAAGTTATGGGATTGGTTGACAAATCATCCACGTATCGTTTTGCCCATCTTAGCATTCTTCCTAGGTACGATCACATACGCCGTGTTTGATCCAATCAGAGCATTCTTCATCAAGAGCAATGTCGGCAACGTTTTTACTTTGTCTGATTATCGCCTCTATGCTTGGTTGAAGAAGAAGACTGGTGATCTATTCAATTCAGTCAATAAGGACAAGGATACATCTCTAGACGATTGGTGGGAGCGAAAAGCAGCTGTGGATGAAATTCAAGGATGGCTACGCGAAACACCGACAACATTTATCACCATTGCCGGTCCACGAGGTAGCGGAAAGCATCCTCTGTTGGAGCGTGCGACTGATCATCCCGGCTTGAAACATTTGACAATTCACTGTGAAGAAATTGCACATACAGCAAAAGGTGAAGATTCTGCTCTGGTTCCTGCTCTTGCCAATCAAGTAGGCTACTTTCCCGTCTTCTCTTGGATCTCTTCTTTGAACAATTTGATCGATTTAGCAGCTGTTGGATTGATCGGTAGCAAAGCTGGCTTTTCCACACCTACAGACGCTCAATTGAAACAAGTCTTGAATGTGACAACGGCTGCACTTGCTAACATTAAGCAAGAAACGCTTCGCAAGAAAGAAAAGGAGGCAAAAAGATCCACAAAAGGAAAGCCAAGTGCAACAAAGGAGGAAGATGGTAAAGCCAAGACTACAGAGAAGGAATTAATTGATCCAGCTGCCGTTCGAGATGGCAAAGTGTCCACACCTACTCCTGCTTTGACGGCTACCAATTCTGAAACTGCTGTTAGTCCTACCTCAGCACCTCCGGCAGCAGAGAAGGAGAAGTCCACAATTGGAAAAGCGATTGACGTACTTCCATCCTTTGTCAAGGGATCTTCTGCAAAGTCTGATTCAGAAAAAGAAGGAGGAGATACATCGATTACTAGCAGCTCCGCTCAGAATTCTATGGAGAATCGTGATGAACTAGGTCCAGAAGCATCGCTGTTGTTATCTGAACAAGGACCAAAAGATGATCGTGGATATGATGCACCAGTCGTTGTGCTTGATGGTTTCCATCATAAAGGTTTACAATCTGATCTTTTATGGACAACACTTGCAGCGTGGGCTGCAGATGTTGTCACGAGCGGAACTGCACATGTTGTTTTCGTGACGGATAATCCAGTTGCAATGGCAAAGACATTAGGACGTGCATTGCCAAATATTCCGTTCCAAAGTATCACCTTAGCAGACGCCGATGAAGAAAAGGCAAGAGGATATGTGTTCTCAAAATTGAAAGAGCTTGGCAGAGTAGGTAACGCGGCTTCAATTGAAGGACAGAAGAAAGGATCGGAAGCAGTCAATGAAGCAAAGGAGAAACCGTCTACTATCACATCTCTGCTCACGGGAAGTGGAACACAAACCGATTCGAAGCCTGCATTACCAGTTCAGGCTAAAAAGGAAGCTGAAGCAGAGAGTATGGACGCAGAAACCGCCAAATGGGTTGATCTGTTAGGTGGAAGATTGACAGATTTAGAAGCATTAGTGCAAAAGGTTGGCTTAGGATACACGGTAGAATCTGCAGTGAAAGACATTATTGCAAGAACGGTGATTGAAATTCGAAAGAATGCGTTCGGAGATGATTTAGAAGATGCAAAAGCGTTGCCATGGTCAAGAGGACAGGCATGGCTGATCGTAGAAAAGTTGGCAAACAAGGGTGAATTACCTTATTACTCCCTCTTGCATGACGGTTTGAAAGGAGACGAAAACGCATTGAAAGCGATGGAACAGGCAGAGTTGATCTCTGTTCGACATATCGATGGAAGGCCAGGCTTTATTCGTGCCGGAAGACCTGTGATCTTACAAGCATTGAAAGAGTTATGTCGTGATCGTGTATTTGCGGATACACAAAGGTATCTAACAAACACAAGCTCGATCGGATCCTGTGAAAAGTTGATCAGAGAAGCAGAAACGGAAATGCGGGAATTAAATGATTGTTTCAAGGTTACCGGTAACTTTACACGTGGCAATCAAGCAGTACGTGATCGATTGGAACACCTTTTGAATGTTTTGCAAGTTAATCAAGAAAAGATTCAAAATCTAGAAAGTGCAAATGAAAAATTGAGCAAGAGCATTGCTGAAGAACGAAATTTGAACAAAGCAAGCCTTTGAGTCTATATCACCACTTCTACTACCTTGTACTTTTACGGAACTATGCTCAATAGGGTAAACACTACTTCATTTAGTTGCTCCTGCAATTGCCGATGTCTGATGATGTGAGCTCTAATGGTAGGTTCAGATAATGCGACATATAGTGATTGCCCCTACTGCACTAAAAGCCTGCGGGAAAGTGTGCAGGACCCCTATGAAATCACAGAACATTTCAAATGCATGCACATCTAACGCGCTTTAAAAGCCTTTGAAATGCAACAGAAATGATTGGACCACTAGCATCTTGTAGAAAGAGACTTAGATACGAATTGCTACTATGTATATACATGACAGGAAATGGACAGCGAAGCTTGAATCCTGTTCTTACTTTTGAGAAATGGGAGAATATAATCTATAGAACAGATCATTTCCAAGCAATGAAGGAGTTGCAAGCAATAAGATTAAGATGAAGTAGCATCAACAGCATGCTTTGGTGCTCCTGTAATCGTTCTTGTGTTGCTGTTTCCCGGTAGTGCATGCCAGTAATCACGCAAGATACGGTCAACATCTTCAACCGTTTGTTCACGAACGTCTGCCAAAGATTTAACCTTTTGTGTGCAAATCTTGATTTGCTCATCAGTCAAATCTAATTCCAATTGTTCTGAACGTGATTTGATTGCGTTCCATCCGACCAAACGAGATCCAATGTTCACATATCTTGACATTCCGAAATCTTCTGGCTTCAAGATTTCATACGTTGCTGGGTTAGCCAAAATTGCCTTGGCATGGATACCTGCCTTGTGTGTGAAGGCACAGTAACCGGTAACGTAGTTGTTGAATGGAACTTGAATTTGGACAGAGTCTGCAACCAAGTTTTCAACTTCACGAATGTTTGCAATCTTGTACTTGCTCATAACAAAGTCACGATCGACTGTGTACATACGGGCAAGGAAACCACCCAAAGGAACGATACCGTTACGTTCTCCGATACCCAAAACGGTTGTGTCAATGTGTGTTGCTCCTGCTTCGAGGGCAGCGTATGCGTTTGCGATAGCACATCCGGTATCGTTGTGCAAATGAACTTCGATATCACATTCTGGTGAAATTACACCACGCAAAACCTTGACCAAGTCGTACACTTGACGTGGGTTTGCAACACCAACAGTGTCTGCAATACCGACACGGTTCACACCAACACGGTCAACTGCTTGGTAAATGCTTAATAGATCCACCAAATCGGAACGGAAACTGTCTTCGGTAGAGAATCTGATTTCAATTCCTTTGCTCTTGACGAATTCGATAACTTCGATGGCTGCTTTGGTGATGTAGGTGATATCCTTACCGTGTGAGTATTCACGCAAGAATTTGCTGGTACCCATAACGACATCCACACCGTCCACACCAGTTTCACAAGCGATTCTTGCATCGTCCATGTGACAACGAATGTGAGTGATAACCTTTGTCTTTAATCCGAGCTTGCAAATGGCTTCACAATCGGATCTGCTCTGTTCACTTGCTGCAGGACTTGTTAATTCGATACAGTCTACTCCCATTTCATCAAGTGCTTTGGCGATGTTAATCTTTGTTTCAGTGTCAAAGAAAGCGTTTGCGAATTGTTCACCTTCACGTAGGGTAGATTCGATAATCTTGAAGTTGGACAAATTTCCTACATTGTTTGCATGGAACGGTTGTTGGGCAACACTTCCTCTTTGTCTTGTGACTGCTTTATTATCGATTGGAACGTGGGTTTCAGCGATGCCATTGGTATGACCGTTGACATGCTTGATAGGACCTTCTGATGGATGACAATCTGCGCAAACCATGATGAATATTGTTTTCTTCTGATATGTGGGGAGAAGAGAAGGAAGAAAATTTAGTCGTGTGTGGTACAGTGTGGATTCAACCAAGAAAGGCAATGACTCCAATTCGCGCGCAGCGCGCCTGCAAGTAGGAAAAATTTGAAAGGAAGTAGACAGGCAGTATACGCCGAGGTGAATGGCTTGTCACGCGCCCGGCTCTCCCGGAATTTAAGAAGGACTAAAAATGGAAGAAGACTTTTGATTAAATTTTGGGACGAAGCATTAGTAGTTAGTCTAACCTCCGCTTTGATCAATGGGCGGCGCAGGTAGGCGGAACGCTAATGCATGCATACACAGACAATGCAGCTACAGCAAAAAGTGTTCTCTCTATGTGTCACATTCACTAATCAATCAAAAAGTGTATGCTCACTTCTTTTATCCTTCTGTTCTGAGAGGTTGGTCAGGTAAAGTCAGGGCTAGAAGCAATGTCAAAAGCTGCTTCAACGGTCAGCAAAAAAGTTGACAGAAATGGAATAAAGGCAGGCGAGACTAGCTCTTTGCATGCAAGATCATCTTCCATTTCTAGCCAAGCAAGAGGAAGGATAGATGATGCAACAGGTCAAAAATCAAGATCATCTCCCATGAAGGGCAGCGATGTATTTGAGACGCCAAAAGACTCACTTGCTGGCAAGGATAAAGAGTGCTGGAATCCAAACGCACATGCATCTTCAAGCACACTTCGGGTGGGCGTACATCCTTTGAAAGAAGGCGCATTAGAGATAGGTGATGATGGGAGAGCAATCGTTTGGCTAGATATTGACAATACACTGTACAAAAAATCCACAAGGATCGCAGAATTGATGACAAAGAGAATCAAGGCATATTTTCGTGGCTTAGGATTATCGGAAGAAGAAACCCAAAGGTTACATAAACGATATTACAAGGAATACGGATTGGCGATCAGAGGATTGGTTATGCATCATGAGATTGATGCTCTAGATTATGATGAAAAATGCGATGCATCGTTACCATTGGATGAGATCCTGAGACCCGATGAGAAGGTCAAAAAGATGTTACAAGATTTAGATCTTACAAAATGTCGGATATGGGCTTTAACAAACGCATATAAAACACATGCTTTACGTTGTTTACGTTTATTGGAATTGGATCAGTACGTTGAAGGAATAATTTATTGCGATTATGCTTTACACAACTTCGCCTGTAAACCTGAACGAGAATTCTATGATGGTGCTCTTCAGATTGTTGGAATGAAGGATACAAGCCGATGCTACTTTGTAGACGATTCCGCCTTGAACATTCGTGCTGCCAAGAAGCTAGGATGGGGACATTGTGTCTTGTATGATGAAGAGGAGGAAGAATCAGCATCCACAGAAACTCAGGTTCCAAATGGTCTTGACAAATTCGACACTTCCGCTCTCACCTCCAAGGCATCAACATCGGGCTTTGATGAGGAAAAGGTTAAGGCACAGATACGCATGTTGGACGCCCCTTCCCGACGTAAGCTCTTGGACATAGTTCTGGATGCCTGTCTGCCAGGTGATATCGCAGGAATGCAAAATGTCTTGAAAAAGCGCCTCTCACTTTCACGCGACATCATAAGCTCTTTGCCGGACGATCTTCATCTGAAGATTTTCGAGAGATTGCATATACACGAATTGCTTCGATGTCGTCTAGTCTCGAAAAGATGGAGTGCGATCTCCGTACATCCTGATCTCTGGCGTTCGTATGCTTTGGTTCTAACGATGGGCGATAGCATTCCATTAACACCACCAACAGATCCTACAGGTTGGGAACCCATGGTAAAAGGATTATACTTTCGCGAACGCAATTGGGCAAAAGGTATCTGTCAAAGTATCACGCTCATGCCGGGTCACACAGGCTTTGTTACAGCAATGAAGCTCAAAGGTCGTACAACTTTGGTCACCGGGTCGTACGACGAGACCATTCGCGTTTGGGATTTGAGAACTGGAGCATGTAAAAAAGTACTAAAAGCAAAAGCGATTGCTTGTTTAGACTTTTTGGCGGAAGAAGGTATCTTGGCAGCTGGGCTATATGATACGGGTCGAGTGATGATCTGGGACATGCGTACTTGGACATTACTTCAAACACTCAGTGGACATAATCGTGGAATACGTAATGTTGCATTAAACTCGGATTACCTAGTCAGTGTTGGACAAGATAAAGCAATCGTTGTATGGGATTGGAGGAATGGGACGAAGATTGTCCGTTTTGGCCAACAATCGAATGTCTCTTTGGGTGTTTCGATCGTCGATCACGATAAAATTGTCGCTGTCACAGTAGATGGTATCATTCGTACTTTTGATCTCTCTTCGCCAAAGAAGGAGATGATTGGTCAATTTGACGTATCAAAGCTTGCGCCAAATTTGTCAAGTCGGTTATCTGGCTTGAAAGATGGCTCGAACATGATGCAGTGGTTTGCCGCTCATCGTAATACTATCACAATGGGATCACACAATACAGTCATTCATCTTCAATGGCAGGAGCACATTGTGCCAATCAAAAGGCGTACACGGGCGAGAAGAGACTCCAACGCCAGCACTATATCAACTACCAGCACTGTTGCATCGAGTTTGAATAGGAGATCATCACTTGCTTTGACGAACTCAGTTTCAGTCACACCCAGAAGATCCGTTGGAGCTGGTTTGAATACACCAGTCAAATCTACTACACCCTCCAGTCATACTCGAACACAGTCTTTGCGTAACTCGCTTCCTGCATCACCACGTTCGCCAACTTCTTCCATAATCAAGAGGAATTCGATCGTTGGACTGGGAGACTTGACAGCCATGTCACCAAGAGCACGTACACCTACAGCAAGCTCAGCCATGAAAGCGAATACACCGTTAAAACCTGTCCGTACAGCTTCTCGTCTTTCCAATGCAGGTAGCGCTGGTCCAAATTCGCCTACCGTTTCTCCTACCAATTCAACATTTGCTACGCCACCTAGATTGACATCACAAAGGATGAAAGCACATCTGGAAGAGATGCCCGATGAAAGCTACGACAGTACGCCTGAAACAGGTACGCGAATTGCTCCAAATTTGTCAGTTGCTCCTTTGGTGTTGAGCGTGATCGATACACCAGAAGGTGCGGTTGGATGTGTTGATGCAGCCAAGAGAAGGATTGTCTGTGCCAGCAGATTCAGTACGCGGGCAGGAGCTGATAGAAGATTGTATACCACCACCTTCGAAGAGCACAGGATCGCATTGCCAACGCAGAAAGTACCAAACGGACTCACTGTTGCTGCTGAAGATGCAGAACAGAATCAAGAAAAAGTCAATGGAGAAGCGAGTCAAACTTCACAACAAACCATCGAACAACCTCAAGGTGTGGTACCGATTGGAGGTGAATGGCAATCGATGAAAGATCAATTGGCAACACCTTCACGTAATCCGATGTCACTTGTTTTGGATCCGGATCATTGTGTTGTAGGAACAAGTGAAGGATTAGTTTATTGCATGAACTTTGTAGGATCAACTCATTCGAAAGGATGGATAGATGAAAATGGAAAGGATGGCGGAGAAATTCATCAAAATGGCTTGCAAGCCGCAGACAATGACAACACAGAGAAGATCGGCGATGCAGTGATCAAAGAATTGACGGAATTGCGTCAAGTATGGTCTTCAATTTTCAAGAAAGCATAAGAATTATACCCGAAAGACTAGGGTTGTACAATTCCAAATATACCATATCATCACACAAATACTTTTAAATTTGAGATATACCATTAGCAGAGAATAATGTACTGCGTGGTTTTTGAGAGTAAACATACATGAGGTGATCGCAAGAACCAGGTAAAGTTGGATGAATGTGAGAATGGAAAATGCGGATACTGTAAAATGAACCCAATTGTTAGAAGGGGAATCTCTAGACCTGCGTGAAATCTTCCATGTGTAACCATAGTTGCGCCGGGGTCTCGTTGTTCTGATATGGTGGTAGGCACAGTCTTTTCTTGCTCACGTTCAAACATGCGACCTGATTTGTTGCAAAAGCAGGGATAAACGCACTGACCCTTAGATGACAAACTTCTTTCCTTTCTTCTTTTCGCTCTCTTTGTGACTTTGGAATTCAACTTCGCTAGTCAATCCTCCTGCATGACTGACTTTTTGGTGTAGATCGTACCCTAGAATCTGTGTCTTGAAATGTTGTCCAATGTCAAGCAAATGTCTTCCGATACTTCCTGGCGCTGCTTCTTCGACGGGATCTTCTGCTTTTCTAGTCCAAATTGAAATACGATAGAACGAAGGTCTTGCTGACATGATAACACCAGTGACAATATCGGGATTAGGGTCAGAAGTGTCTGCTGGTGTTTGTGATTCAAGTGTTTCTCCGATCGCGGCCAACATTGTATAAAGCCAAAGTCGATCGATTCCTGCTTTGCTTTTATCTCTGGGTAGTTGAATGCTCCATTTTCCTCCGTTTGTGTTTGCTGGGTCTTCCCATGCAGGTTTAATACCTTCTTTGAAAAGGTAGTAGTTTGCCTTTTGCGGTAGAGCAGAAGGTGGGATGACGTTATTGTACAATCCCCAAAATTCTTCAACCGAATCAAAATCCACCACCTTGTTCAAATCCTCACCCCAACTGTCTTTGCCTCCTGGTGTTTTAACACTTAGTCCTTTTGCTGAAGGATTGTCGAACCATAAAGTCCAATTGTGAAATAGAGGATGTTTGACGTTGAAGTTTTCGGGATCTGTGAATACTGTTCTGATTGAATCATCTGCATCTTCCGCTCCGTTCACAGATGTTGTACTTTGATCTGCGCCGGTTTGATCGACTCCATTGGCTGATTCTTTTGCGTTTGTTTCTGAGATGGCAGTCTCAAGAGCAGCACTTGAAGCAGCTGCTGGCGCTGCAGGTAGAGATGATGTAGTAGCCATTCTGAAGGTGTCACTGAGAAATCAGATCACAATCGTTGCGCTTTCGAGTTTTTTTTTTGAATCGGGTACGATGGAAGGATCTCGAATCAGAATAAGGTGGCAAAATATGTTAAGAAGCGGTATGCTGGAATGAAATGATGAGATGAAACCGAGAAATCAAGTATATGCTGAATCGATTACGATATCGTTTAGTGATGATGATGATGGAGGCGAATGGATGCGGACCTGACTTTTGTTAGTCCAAAGAGTTACCAATTTTGATTGATTGCCCTTCTTAAACTTCCATGCGTGCAGAATTTTGGGTGCCGCCTTTCTTCTTCGAGCGCGGTAATACGCCAAACGCAAAAGAGTGGGCGTAACGTGTTGTATTGCAAGTACAAATTCTGTAATGCAGTGCTCCCTACAATTGTAATCACTCTAATTGGCTTTTTGTATTTGTGCGTCACAGAAGCGCGCCAAGGTGGGAAGACATTAACCCCCCCAGCCAGGATACACGTGAGTTTAGGGCAGAACACTGTACACATGCACTCAAGCCAAGCACCCTTAGGCAGCATTGGGAGACAAGGCATTGAACGGACCGAGAATGAATAAATGCACAAGCCAGAACACGCACACGCACGCAGGCACTGATTCTCGGTGAATGGCTGTGTTGGAATATCCATCCAAACTACTCTGTGGAGCAAGAACGATTGTCATTACTACTACCATATCTTATCGGCTTAACTTTTACTGTACTCATTACAGCCAAGATGGAGGCTATCAAGTTACAGCGAAAATACCCTCAATTCTCCCAAGAGGAGATGATGGGTTTAATCTCACGTTTTAGAACGATTGATATTGATGAAAAGGGAAGCATTGATAAGCAAAACGTGATGAAAGCTATTCAAGAATCAGGAGAGGCAACTTATGATCAAGTAAGAGAAACATTGAAAGAAGTAAGCCTTGACTCTTCTGGTCGTGTGGAATTGGACGATTATGTGGATCTATTGGCCAAATTGAGAGCAGGAAATAATGCAACAGCCGGAACAGCAACAAAAGGAAAAATGACAGTCAAGGGTAGCAATGCTAGTGTGCAACATACTATCAACGAAGATGAAAGGACAGAATTCACTCGTCACATCAATCAAAGCTTAGCAGGAGATGCTCACATCGGAGCAAGACTACCCATTCCAACAGACACTTTCCAACTCTTTGATGACTGCAAGGATGGTCTTATCTTGTGTAAATTGATCAACGACGCCGTTCCCGATACAATTGATGAACGTGTACTCAATGTTGGCAAAGGTGGAAAAGGACCGAATGCGTTCCAAATGACAGAGAACAACAATATCGTCATTACATCAGCAAAGGCAATAGGGTGCAGCGTCGTGAATGTCGGTGCACAAGATTTGATCGATGGTCGTGAACATTTGATTCTTGGTCTCATTTGGCAAATCATTCGACGTGGATTGCTCAGTAAGATCGATTTGAAACATCATCCTGAATTGTACCGACTTTTGGACGAAGATGAAACATTGGAAGAATTCTTGCGCTTACCACCAGACCAGATCCTTCTAAGATGGTTCAATTACCACCTCAAGGCAGCCAACTGGCCCAAGAGAGTCAACAATTTCAGCAAAGACGTCAGCGATGGTGAAAACTACACAGTCTTGTTATCCCAATTAAAACCAGACCAATGCGATCGTGCTCCTCTACAGCAACGTGATCTGTTGCAAAGAGCAGAGATGGTTTTGCAACGTGCTGATGCGATCGGATGTCGTAAATATTTGACACCTGGTGCAATGGTGGCTGGAAATCCAAAGTTGAATTTGGCCTTTGTTGCTCATTTGTTCAACACATGGCCTTGTTTGGAAGCACTTGAGACACCACCACCTGTTGAGATTGAGGACTTTGACGCAGAAGGAGAACGTGAAGCTCGTGTATTCACTCTATGGCTCAACAGTTTGGACGTCGATCCTGGTGTGTACAACTTGTTCGAAGATTTGAAAGATGGTACAGTAATCTTGCAGGCATTCGATAAGGTCGTGCCAGGTAGTGTTGCATGGCGCAGAGTAAGCAAGCCAAAAGAGGGACAAGAGCTGTCAAGATTCAAGATGGTGGAAAACACCAATTATGCCGTTGATTTGGCAAAGATGAATGATATGCGCATTGTGGGCATTCAAGGTGCAGACATCGTTGATGGAACCCGCACTCTCACTCTCGGTCTCGTTTGGCAATTAATGCGACTGAATATTACCACTACTTTACGCTCGTTAGGAAAAGGCGGTAAAGGTGTGACCGATCAAGATATGATCAGATGGGCTAATGATGTGGTCAAAGCACATGGCAAGACTTCCTCTATGCGCAGCTTCAAGGATCCAAACATCAAGAACGGTATCTTCTTCCTCGATTTGCTAGATGGTCTACGACCCGGAATCGTTGATCAATCTTTGGTCAATGCAGGACGAACAGAAGATGAATGCAGATTGAATGCCAAATTGGCCATCTCTATCGCACGTAAATTGGGTGCTCTAATCTTCCTCGTTCCTGAAGATATTGTCGAATTACGTCAAAGATTGATTTTGACGTTCGTCGGAAGTATTATGTCTTTGAAAGCATGATATGGGAATCGAGCTCTTAGTATCTCAATAAAATTTGTATCACAATCTATATGGAGCTTTGAAATGATATGGTATACTAATCTGACAGTGTATGTAAAGGTGGATAGTACACCATTGAATAATTCTCTTTATTTGCCTTGCAAACCTTTCAAACGAGCTTCTGCTGCTCTCGCACGCTTTTCTCGTTCGATGCGTGCTCTCATTTCCGGTGTGAGTCCTTGTGATTCGTCCATTTTCTTTTGTAGTGCTCGGGGTGCTGAGCCTGAACCGCCTAGACGATTCGAGTTGCTCGTTGAGGATTGTTGTTCAGCCTCTTTCTTGGCTTTTTGGTTAGCAGCAGCAACACGGTCTTCTTCTGTGATTGTATGAGCATTCGTTGAAGCTTCTTCTTCTTGTCTCTTGCGTGCTCTGTCACGCATCAATTGACGTTTATCACGTACTTGTTCTTCTTTGTTTCTTGCTTCTTCCATCTCTTCTGTAAGTGCTTTTGGAACACGAGCTCCACCTTTTTCTATTCCTGACCAATCTTTGCATAAGTCTGATCGGGTGGCCATCAGTCGTCTGAATACATCCCTTGATTCGCGATTAGGGCAAAGGTCATAAGCTGTTCTATGTGGGAAGATTGTGTTTGCCTTCTCGGATGCCTTTGTAGCAATCTCTTGTTTGCTTGCGTCTTCATCAAAAGCATCAGAATGCGGAGGAGGTGCAATTCCTGCTGTTGGATCACAATGTCTTTCGACTAAGAAATGATTCACAACGCTTTCACTTCCTCCTTCGGCTGCTACGTGAAGTATTGTAGACGGAACAAGTCGATTACGTATCGTCAAATTGCTCAACTGTGATTCGATGCTGTCGGCTGGTCCATGAAGCAAAGCACCCTTTTCACGTGCGTCAAGGAATCGCCACCATCCAGGTAGTTCGGCATTGATCCTTTGATGTGCCAACTCCATAGATTCGTCCACATCGTCAGGATCGAGATTCTTACTTGCATCTGCATCATTCTGCCAACCGTTTGGATGGAGTAGATCTAACTCATACTTTTCCAAATGCTTTAGAGCATTACTCAAGCGGCCTTTACGCAGCATGTCCACTAAACGAATCAATCTTTCTCTCCTCAATTGTTCGATCGGATCAAGTTTGACGGGCGTACGTTTTTTGGTATTTGCAGCTTGCTTGATCTCTGCTTCACGCTGGAGACGTTCTTTTTGTTTTCGTCTTCTTTCTTGACGTGCTTGTGCTGTACCTTGCAGTTGTGCTTTGTATGCCTCATCCCTCTTTTGCATCTCTTCTTCCGTTTCATGTCGTATGCGCACCTTTGTAAGTTCAGCAAAACATCTCAAACATTCTCCTACTGTTGGCTTTCGTACTGCAACGGGCAAATTTTGCACAAGATCTTTCCTACGCATCTCTTCCAAAGGTGACTCACGAGTTGCACCACCTGAAGAAGGCCAACTCCACAAGACACCCCTGGCAGATCGTAAACCTGCACGAATCCAAACCCGCTCACTTGATTGAATCGCACTTCTCCATTCCGGTCTATCGAGCAGTTCTCGTATCTCTTCTGCCAATTGTTGTTCACCGTATCTACGTAATTGAGCACCAGCACTTTTGGCAAATCTGCCACTTGCGTCTTGAGCAGATTGTGCACCACCTTGTTTCCGTCTTGTGGTATATCTGTGGAATTGTTTTCGTGCGAGCACCAGTAATTGACGCTCTGTCGTACCCTTCTTTTTGCTTATCACTTGTTCGTATGGGTTCAATGCGACGACCAACGCAGCAAAGTCGCCTCCTCCCATCAATAGTATTGTCCAGGTACGCAGAGGCTGAGGAGCAAAGGTATTCGAATGGGGATTGCCCAAAGCAGGACTAGCTTCTTCTCCATTCTCTTCTTCGTCATAATCACTTTCCCCTTCGCTATCAGAATCTTGCCTTCTGTTCGGTGCATCGTAAAAGACTACATTTAGCATGCTAGCAGCTTCATCTGCTGCACTTGCTCCTTTCAATCGCTTTGCACCTTGCATTAGGGAACCGTCCAAAGAGCCGGGCTGCAAGCGAGAAAGGGCTAGAGAATGCCAATCCTTTAAGGAATGATCCACATCGTTTTCTGGGAACAGTTGTCGGATGATGCCGAATTGAGTCTGCGGAATGACCTTTGCTGTATCTGAAGGCGGAGTGTGGAACCATAAATGGGGCTCTCTAGCAACAGAATTCTTTCCTTTTTCTTGCTCTTCTCCTTCTTCTTCACTCGTTGCATCGTGCTGACCTTCTGCTGATCGTGCAAGTTGCAATCTCCTAAGCAGGGTATTGACCAAATCTACCGGGACACGCACGCTGATCTCGCCTTCTGATTCAGTGTCTGATTCACCGGATGAGCTAACTTCTTCTGCAATTTTGTCAAATGCTTCTTGTGCGATCACATCTTCGTTTCTCCCTTTTCTGTTCAAGGCGACATTGTACCTATGCCAATCACTTCGCAAATGCGCACGCTTTTCGGAGATGTTGCTGAACTGTGGCGCTTTGGGACAGATTGCACATCCAGAATCACTTTGATTGGCGTGATTTTCCTCACCTATCCTTCTGCGGCTATGACCATCATCTTCGTCTGCCTCTGTTGGAATATCTATACTTCGCAGCTTGAGGCTGTCCAACAATTCTTTTGGTAGATCGAATGCATATAATGGCTTGCTCAAGATTGGCTCGTTTGCCCAAGGTTTAGGGTTGAGAGGTGCATCATCGTTGCTATTGGTCGTCATTCTTCGAATTTGTCTTTCCAGCTGTACGCCTTCTCTTTCTCTTGAAGGATGGAAATTGACAATGACGTTCCTCGATCTGCCACTGATCAGAAAGTGTTTAAGCAAAGATGACTTTTTCGACAGTCTGACTATCTCTTTGATGTTGATGATTGATGAAGGTAATGACTGTTCTAGCTTAGCTTACTTAGCATATATCTTCCGACAGTCTTCCTTTTTTTTCTCTCTTAGAAGTGGAGAAATGTTTCGCGTCGACTGACTGGGCTTACTAAGCAAACTATGTCAAATGCGGACCAATCCGCTTTGAACCAAGACTACACAAGGCACCAGCCGTGGCACTTCTCTCAAGGTAATTTCCCGAAATCAAAATAGCTTTCAAAGCACAGCTTTTTTTCAACAAATGCTATATTATTGCACAGCATGATCATTAGTAGGGTTGGGTTTTGGGGAGGTAAACTCAAATTTACCTCCCCTACCTCCCACCTCCCGCCACCGGGAGGTGGGAGGTAGCTAGCGTATGTGGAGGCATGAATCAGGGGTCGCGCTCTCGCGGCCGAAAAACTTGCATGAAGGTGCATGAAAGGCATGCTGGCAGTGTCAACTGACACTGCCAGCATGCGCGAAGCGCAATGAATACAAAAATGCCTTTGGCATTTTTGTATTCAATGTATGGTGAGCATGGCAATGCCATGCTCACCTTTCATAGATCACACTCACACTTCATAGTCATGTACATAGATAGGCATTAATGAAATACAATTACAATTATCTACGAAGGGAGAGCTTGCGAGAGAGAGGAGGAGGAGGAGGATTGCGACTTGAGCCTTCACCGCGATCACGATCTTCATCATCATCATTATCATCGTCATCTTCATCGTTATCTTCATCCTCCTCTTTATCTTCTTCTTCTTCTTCCTCCTCTTCTTCCTCTTCTTTTTCTTCTTCTTCTTCCTCTCCTCTTTTTTTCGGTTTACTCTAATCGAAGATTCCTTATAATTAATCGGTAAAGTCTCTTACTACTCTCTTCTTCTAGAACTTTATCGAATCGATAATAATTTAGATAATATTACTATCTAAACTATTAGTTTTTTTATTTTTTTTTTTTTTTATAAGTTTTTTTTTTATTTTTTCTTAAAAGGAAACTATATTAAATCGTTTAATAATCTTTCTCTTCTCCTATAATCTATATTCTTTTATAATCTTCTTTAATTTATAATATTAGTTATATATAAAAACTTAAACTTTAAGATTCTTAGTAATAGTATAATCTTTATTATATCTATAGTAAGGATTATAGCTATTACTAGTATAGTTAATAATAGCTAGAGTTATTATAGATAACTTAGTCTAATATCTTAAAGAGATATTAGATAAAGTTATTAGTAAATACTATAGGTAGATTACTATTTATTTTATAGATAATAAGCTATCTATAATAGTAAGCTGATAACTTTATCTATCTCTATAAAGCTTTAAAATAAATTAGTTATTTAAGAGGTTAGCTAACTTCTTAAAAAGGGTAGATAGAGGTAAAAGAGATATAAAATAAGGTAAACCTTATTTTATATCTTATTTTACTTTTTTTTTCTTCTTTTCCTCTTCTTTCTTCTTCTTTTCTTTTCTTCTTCTTCTTCTCTCTTTCTCCTCCTCTTCTTTCTCTTTCTCTTCTTTCTCTTTCCTCTTTTTTCCTAGTAAATCTTATACTATTCTTATACTTATAATTTAAAAAAATTAAAATATAATTAAAATTTTTTAATTTTATAAAGAAGTATAAAGAAAGAAAGATAAAAAAGTAAAATTTATTATATTTATAAAAGATATAAAAGGTATATAATATAATATTTTATATTTTATTAATCTTAGATATTCTTATATATCTAAAAATAAATAATTAAATATAATATTTATAGTATAGTAATATAATAATATAAATATAGTTATATAATAATATAAATATAATTATATAATAATATAAATATAATTATATAATAATATAAATATAGTTATATAATAATATAAATATATTTATAAGAGTAAAGAAAATATAATATAAATAATTAATATAATAAAATATATTATATATATAATATATAAAAGTATAATATCTATAAGATTAAAAGAGAATCATTATAGTTTCTTTAAGTTTCTTTAATATTTCTACTATTATATTAAAGAATATATAGAGAAACCTTTTATATTTACTATAATAAAAAAAGAATATAATAATATATATAATATATATAATATATATAATATATAAAAGTATAATACTTATAAGATTAAAAGAGAATTATAATAGATTCTTTAAGTTTCTTTAATAATCCTCTTATTATATTAAAGAATATATAAAGAAACCTTTTATATTTACTATAATAAAAAAGAAAGAATATAATATTTTAAATAATAGATATAATAAAATATATAATATATATATTATATAAAAGTATAATATTTATAAGATTAAAAAAGAATTATAATAGATTCTTTAAGTTTCTTTAATAATCTTTTTATTATATTAAAGAATATATATAAAAACCTTTTTTATTTATTATAATTAAAAAAAAGAATATAGTATTTTATAAGATAAAAATAATAAGAATACTTTATAATATCTTTAAATCTTATTAAATTTATTTATATTATATATATATTAAATATTTTATTAAATATATTTATTAATTATATATATATATATATATAATTTAACTATCTTATTTAAAGGTATATTATATTTAATAGTATAATTATACTATAGATAATAATAAGAAAAATATAAATATATTTAAAGATATATATATATATCTAGATTTAAGTTTATTCATTAGAAATATATTTAGATCTAAGCTTTTTCTCTAGAAATATATCTGATTTATTAGATATTTAATTAGATACTTTAGTAAAATATAATATTTATAGATATTTTATTAGAATCCTTTTTTTTTTATATATAATATTATTCTTAAGTTTAATATATATTATACCTTATTAGTCTTTACTCTAAAGAAATATATAAGATAGAATAAAAGTAAATTTATATATATTATAATATATCATTAATCTAAGTAAAATCTTTATTTTCTACAATTATCTATTATTTTATTACTATTAAATTCTATATTAAATATATAAGAAATACTATTAAAATAAATAAAATATATAACTAGTAAGAAATAACCTTATAGAAAGTTTAAGAAAGTAATATAATTTATAGATAATAAACTAGTTATATAAGACCTTAATACTATTTATACTTACCTAAGATATAATAACTATAGTAACCTTATTAAAGCTAAAAATTTTAATAAAGAATCGGTTAAAATAATAATTAATTTTATTAAAGGTTAAACTAATAACTTTATAAACGATCTAATCTAGATAGCTAAGAATAGTCTAAATAATTAAATTATAATTTAACCGAATACTTTAGATTCTAATATAAATCTTATTAAAGGTACTAAAGTTATATAAGAATTATATAATAAAATAGATAAAAAAGATAATAATATCTTATATCTTACTAGAGAAAACCGATATAAGTTATATAGAAAAGATAATACTCTAATATATAAGATTATAATTCTATTAACTTCTATTAAGTATAAAGAATATAATAAATAAAAAGTTAGTACTATCGATTATATAGAAAACTTTAATTTAATTAAAACTCTAATACTAATATCTTTAAATAAGAATATATTAAAAAAGGAAATAAGATAATCTTATTATATTTCTTCTTCTCTTAAAGATTTTATAAAGATTCTTAACCTTTAGATTATATAAGTTTTACTTTAAATAATAATTAATTTAAATAAACGAATAAACAAGTCTATAAAGAAACTTACCTTCTTATTTAAAGAGATTTAAATAGCTCTTAATAAATACTTCTAACTTTATATTTTTATTAACTATATTATTCTATATTATTCTTTCTATATTTAATAGAACTTATAAGAAAGTTAGATAAAAAAAATAATTTATAAAGAATTTTAATTACTAGAGAAAGAAAGATAAATAAAAAAAATAATTTATAAAGAATTTTAATTATTAGAAGAAAAAAGATTTATAGATAAAAGAGATCTTAATAAAATATAATAAGTAGATAAAGAAATAATAACTTTATTCTATAAGTATTTAATATATAAAAGAGCCTTATTAATTTCTTAAAGTTCTTTCTATATTATTTTATAATTATCTTTATAAGAAAAAATACTTTAATAATTCTTAATAATAATAGTAAGATTCTTTTAGATTTCTAAATATATACTAGTTTTCTTTTTTAGATATTTATTTTCTATTATAATCTTAAATTTAAGATTATTATTTTAAATAATATTTTAAAGATTTCTATCTAATATATTTTAAATATCTTTAATAAGATATTAAAGGTTTCTATATAATTTATCTTAACTATCTTAAAGATTTTTTTCTACTTTAAGTATTTTTAAATATCTTTTTTTTATATTATCTAGTTTAACTATAAAGTTTTATAAGATAATAATTATAAAATAATATTTATAAATATATTTAACTCTTTAAAAAATCTTATAATTATAGTTTAAAATATAAAATATATTATCGTTTATATAATATCTTAATATAACCTTATACTATTTTAAATTATCTAAGAAAGATTAAACTATAATAAGATTATTATTAATTTCAGTATTTTTATTAGCTTTTATTATATCTTATAAAATAGTCTTATCGATTTATATTATTTTCTTTCTTACTTTTTCTTCTTTCTTATTAAGTTTTCGTTTTTAGATTTTAAAGAAAATATAATATTTATACTATTAAAAGTTAGATAATACTTAGATTATCAGTTAAAATATTAAGAAATCTATTTATTTTATATATAAGTAAAATAAATATATTATTTTTAACTATAGATATTATCTCTCGATCAGATTATTTATATCGATAAAATTAGTTTATTTACTTTTATCGAAGAAAGCCTAATAATCTAAATATAAACCTTATTAAACTTAGATATACTCTTTTTATTTTATTTAATCTTTTTCTTAATAGAAGATAAGATAATTATCTTATTAAATTATAAATTCTTTTTTATTTATCTTTTTATAAATAAGATTCTAGAATCTTTTAAATAAATTAATCTAAAATACTTTCTTTTTATTTAAATTTATCTTTAAATTATAATAGATAATTCTACTCTATAATTTTTTATATACTATTTATAAGATATAAAAGTAATAATAGAGAATCTTTTAATCTAATCTTTAAATAATATCGATTATATATATCTCTATAAATAAGTAATTAATTATTATTATTTTTAGTTTAAATTTATAATCTTTTTTAAGTCTTTTAAATTATTATATTAGTAGTAATGATAACTTAATATTTATTAATATAAAACTAATTAAAGCTTCTTTTCTTATTATAAGGTTAAATATAAATAAGATATATAGATAGACTTTCTTAGTTATATCTATAATAAACTCTAAAGTCTAAAAGGTTTTTTTTATCTTCTTTCTTTTCTTAAGACGATTAAAATTAATTCTAAATTAATTAATCTTAAGTTTAATATATAAAATATCTTTTTTATCTAAATTTATTCTTACTCTAATATAATATATTAAATCTAAATAGAATATAATTATATTTAGATTTAAAAGCTAATTTAATTATTATCTAATATAAAAATATACTAACTATATATAATAATATATATTACTATTTTTAATAATAAGATCTATAAAACCTTAACCTCTATAATCGGTAATTAATTCGATCTAAAGTTAAATACTCTTCTAAAAACTTATATATTTCTAAGATATCTTATTTAAAATCTTATTTATAATATTATAGATATATTTCTTTATTATTAAATTATTTTTACTAATTAGATATTATAAACTCTTATTAGAATCTTAATAAAATCTATTTATAATATAAGAATCTTAATAAAAGATATTTATAATATTCTTAAAAAAGTATTCTTTAAGAATTAATAATTTAAAATAAATATTAATCTATAATAAATAATTTATAATCTTTATAAGTATAAGATATATAAGTCTATATTAATATTCGCTATTAATTATTATAGTTATATAATATTATAAACTAAGATAATATATATTTATATTTATTTTATATCTATAATCAAATTTTAATCAAGAATCTTTATTTATTTATTTCTTATATAATAATATATTAGTTTATTTAATTTTCTTTATTTTACTTTTAAATCGAAGTATAAAGATATACCTAAAATACTAAACCTCCTCGATAAGATCTATATTTAATTTATATATTTAGTTTTTATTAAATTATAATTAATTATTTTTAAAATAATTAAACTCTTCTTTAATAAGATAATAATCTATATTACTTTTTAAATAGTATATATAGTAAAGAAGGTCGATACTTCTTACTAAAAGATTAGATATTCTTATTAATCATAATAGATAATAATAAGAATAAATAGAATTCTATAAGAAAGAAACGTATTTCTTTTATACCACGTCTAGTTCGCGGTTCGTGTTTCTCTAGTTTTAATATCATATAGTAAAGAATAAAGGTTTCCCTACTGAATCTATCGATTCGTTTATAAATCTATCGAATAATTATAACTCAATTTAATATACATATAAAGAATCGTACGAATCGGTCGCGTTTCTTTTTTTAAATATAAAATTTATTTTAACTATAAATTTTTAAATACAATTCAGATTTTAGCGCGTGCGCGCGCTAAAATCTTCATACTGGTTTTATGTACATTTTTTTAAAAAAGCTATCAAAAAAGGCTGGGAAAGTACCTTTATGCAAGTTTTTCGGCCGCGTAGCCTAGACCTGAATCAGGAATGTTCTTTGTATATAGGTACCTGTGAGCTTGTAGGCGTAGGGTGTATACGTGGGGCGGGGGACGCGTTTGCCTGCCGCACCACCTGATTTATGTGCCTGCCGCACCCCCCCTCCAGGGCGGGAAAAATTAGCGCCTTTTGCTACCTCCCGGGGAGGTAGCAAAATTTTTACCTCCCACCTCCCACTTCCCACCTCCCCGGGAGGTAACCTCCCCAAAAAAAACCCAACCCTAATCATTAGCCCGTAAAGATGTTTGTGATTATGTAAGCAGTGACACTCGATAAAGTCACACTGATCCTATCAGGGTCCTCATCACCATCATCATAATGACATTGACCACATGGTATCACGCTCAGTCCTCCGCCGTTACGGCAGTTACCCCTGAGTGTTTCTATTTCTGAATTGTATATAAACCCATCTTTGAATCACTCTCTCTCCAATGAATATCATCGATCCCTCACTTTTCTGTTTGTATCAGCACATTAGTGAGCGAAAACACATGTTCCAATCATTGGGCCCGTTACTTTATTCGGCTTGAAGAGGACGCAGCGCTGCGCAGGCAAGTGATAAAAACAATGGACGTGATTTTAGCGTGTGCTCATCGGTGTTTTGACCCAAAAGTCAGGACCGAGAAAAAGGTAAACCGAAAATACATAGCTTCCGAGACTGTAGGTAACCTTTTACGCGTCGTGTTTTACGATTCTTACGCCGAAAATGAAAAAAACGACAATCAACGCTGTGCCTTGATTGAATTTTAGTGAGGGAATAAAGCTGCAACCGACGGCATACAATTGAAGATCTTCATGTGGACAAAGTTTAAATCCATGCATGAATCACTCAAAACGTTTTCGGCGTAAGATGCACGATATACCCCGTTGACATGTGTTGCTTTTGATGATAGAACAGAAAATGAAAACTATATAAAGTAGCCCGTAGATTCATTGGAGAACAATTTGATCCTCATCCTCTTTCAGTTACTCTAATCACAACTCCATCTTCCCAAACAAGCAAAAACCACAACAATGACTTGGAGCTCAATCGAAATCATTGACCTCATCTTTGTACCAATCTACTTTATTCTGTTTTTGGCAGCACTTTATGCATTCATCAAGCATGCACACAACAAACGAGTCACATTTGGACTTTTATTCTTGTTCCCTCTAATTCGATGTGTGGGTAATATTTTACTCGTGGCCGCAATGCAAGAACAGAAAAAATCAAATCCAAATGTGAATACCCTGACAGATCTTTACACGGGTGGATTCGTTCTTCAATTGGCAGGCTTTGGATTGTTATTCAGTGCAGCATTAAATCTTACAAAACGTGCAAGTCTTTATGTCGCTCCCGTGCAGAATGGAGGTGGAAGAGGTGGTTTGATCGACAAGATTAAAACACCCGCAGGCTTTTTGCATCTCGTCAACACAGTTTCAAACATCTTATTGATCGTAGGTTTGACAAATTCAACTTCTTCTTTTAGTCCAACATCAGCAAACAAAGCAAGCATTGACGTTTTGGCAAAAGTGGGAATCATTATGTTACTCGTTGCAACAGTTTTACTTACCGTTTTAACAATTTATCATTTATTCATCAAAGGTCCTCTCACACCTTCTGCAAGAACGATTTTGACATTTGTAGCCATTGCATGTGTTCCAATGATCGCAAGAATGGCCTGGTCAACTTATCGTGTTGCAGCAAACAACTTGATCGGTGCAAATATCTGGGCTTCTTTGGTCTTGCAATATATTGCAGAAAGTGTTGCCACTGCCATCTTTGTTGCTTTATCATTCGTTTTGGATGCAAGAGGAGGAGATGCTGACTTGGATGAACGCAAAACATACAACGATCGAGCTCAAAATGCATATAACTCTACTGCACCTAACACTCAATTTGCTACTGAGCAAGCTTCTTCGCCAGGTTATGCAGAATCAAAGTCCGCATACACTTATCCTCCTCAACAAGCCTATCAAGCAGCCTGATTACTATCGATTGGTTAATGTACATAGTATACAATAGATCTTCAAATTAAATATTTCCTTCTCCATTTTTAAAACTGAGTGAGATAGGATCTTTCTTCTCAACTTTCTCTGTCGAATTTTTTGCTTGGACCAATCTATTATAAATCGCAAATGTTTTCTGCAATTCCGCTTGAACTGCAGCATGCTTTGAGAGAGTAAAACGTTGCAAACCTTCTCCACAGATGGCCACAGTATTCTCCTTTAGGTCGATCGATTGAACTTCAATCATTTCATGTAACAGTGTGCCAACTTTCCGCAAAGACCAAACGTCCATTGCCGCTACCTCTTCCGATGGTCGAGCTTGTTCTTCTTCATCAAAAGGCGATTGGCTCAAGAGACCATTCAAAAACGTGTTGTACGTTATACGATTCGGTTGCAGCTTCATAATTTGCATGCGTTTCATTAGCAAGAGACTCAATACGATCTCGGGTCGATTCTTAAAGAGGACTTCAAGCAATTCTGGTTCGACAACCTTGGCCTCTACAATTTCTTGCCGGGTATATCCATTCGCCAAGCCACCTTTGCGTACGAAATCGCCAAATAGATCCGCGTTGTTGAGTAAGCCAGAGATTAAATTTGTATAGGTAACTTGAGTAGGATGAGGTCCTTTCAATTCCATTCTACGTAGAGTAGAGAATGCGAATTCAAAGCGAATTGGAGTGACCCCGTCAAACGAAGTCAAGGCATCTTTTATTACTGCAGAAAGTGTCACCTCGCTTCCTTTGATGCCTTCCTTCATCATGAGATCATACACTTCTCCCGTATACTTTCCGTGTCCCATACGTGTAAAAGCATCCATCACTGTCGTGAACGTATACGCATCAGGCTCTAGATTCAATTGTCCGATGACACGCAGAATCTCCTCGATTCCTGCCATATTGTCACGTCTTGCGTGTGTGCGTAGCATGGTGTTCATCGTTGAAATGTTTGGAGGAGGAAGCAACTCATCCTCACCTTTGATCATTCTATTGATCAACTCTTCAGCCTCTTCTGTATTATTGTTCAGACAATATCCAAGTACCATTGCGTTCATCGCAGCAGGGTTCACCGTTTGCTTTTGTTCTCTACACCAATCTTTCAGCTCTTCAAACGTGAAAAAAGCCTCATCAGGTGTTCGTGCTTTGAAGTTCATCGTGATCAAGGTCGTGAATGTATATTGATCTTGTTTGGCATTTTGCTCAATCATTTGATTTCGTACCGTACGAGCCTGGTCCCATTGGCCAGCTGCACTATAACCCTGCAAAAGCCCATTCCAAACACCTGCTTCAACAGCCTCGTTCTTAGGTTTCATCTTGAGGTATAGCTCCCACGCACGTCCTGCTATTTCTGTCTTTCTGTGTGCGATTAGACCTTGCAAAAGAGAAGCCCAAGTAAAGTCGGTCCAATTTGATTGTTTCTTTCCATCGAACGACATTGTGAGCCATTCATTGTGTGCTTGCGGAAGAATGTTCAACCACTGTTCCAATGTGGAAAAGTAGCCTGAATTGCAGGCACCAGTGATTCTACGTGAGAGCAAATTGACGTTCGCCCCAGTATGTTCATCAGAATAATTTAATCCCCAACCCAAAACTGCATGCTGATATATCGAAGCGGCCTTTTCTTTGGTCTTGTCTTGCACCTTGAAAGCTGATAGTCGGTCAGATGTGATGTCACTGTGTAAAGGAGTTCCATGTACTCGGTCCGCCTTCTTTCTGGCAGTAATCTTCAGCTTTGACCAGATGGGTTTGAGTTGACCAACAAGGTTAGCGATCCGTTTATATGGAGAATCGGGCAAAGATGCTGCTGCAAAACAAGCACAAATAATTAAACCCTCGTAGGCTGAAGGAGGGACGGACGGTGGTATGCTAGATCGGTCAGGCAATACAGATGATTGCACATACTCCCACACCTTCTGATTTTCTCCTCGATCGATGAGAGATCTCAAAACCAATGTTGCATATTTCCAATCGGATATTGCGCGAAAGTCACTGAATAACGAAAGTACAGTTGATGTACTGTGATCAGATTCGATACTGCTGACAAACTTGACTAAAGTGAAACGTATATCTCCGCTCACATCAGATGCCATTCGCTGCTGTACAACCTTTTTCCATGTTTCAGTGACGTCGTCTAAATTACGTGCAGCGATCTGCTCTTGCAATTTTGCTATTAGAGGGTGATTTTTGCGATTCCGACTAATGCGAGTTTTCCTGTAGTGAGATGGAGCATGGATTTTCTTTTCGGTGGAGCGAGGTGTGTAGACGGCAAATTGTGCTTTTGATGGAGAAGTGGAAGGTGATGAGTTTGTAGGACTTGGTTGTTCGTTGAAGCTTGTAGGTGAAGAGCCAATGAATTTATTCTGTCCAAAGGCATTGCTACCGCTCCCGCACACCCTCTGAGTTGTATTGCATGACCTCAGTGCATGTCTGCTATGGACAATGCTACGCCTGAGCATGACCTTTTTTGTATGAATGCTTTGATGATAGCAAGTCAATGAGAAGAACGTCTTTTTTTATACTTTAGCGTTTTGCAACACACAATCTTCTCTTTATCTCCACTGAAGCGCGTCTAAGAAGATCTTTTTTCAATCTTCTCCATCATTTCCTTCAAACGATACCATTTGATAGCTTAAGATGGCTTCAACAGTATCTCGTGCTGGGCCACAAGGAGGGCAACCTCAACTATCCGAGCAAGGTATGTATATTTGAGCAATGGTCAAAGCAAAGCTCCACTAAGAACTGACGCATATACTTGCCTTGTCTGTCCTTCTTCCCTTTTCTTAGCCGCTCAAAAGTATCAAATAACGCGCAGTGAAATGCAAGGAATTGCAACAAAGATCGGAGAGCTTGAAAGTGATGCAGAAGAACATCGTGCTGTGATTGAAACTTTGCGGGAAACATTGAAGAAATCGCCTGAACGTACTTGTTTTCGTATGATCGGAGGCATTCTAGTGGAAAGAACAGTCAAAGACGTTTTACCTGCATTAGAGACAAATATGAAAGGGGTATGTATGCATCGAGAGAGGCCATGGAACATACATGCTGACAATAATACTCTCTCTCCACAGCTACAAGCAGTCATCGAAAGCCTGGCGAGACAGTATAAAGCTAAAGACGACGAGATGCAAAAGCTACACAGAGAAGTCGAATCTCAGTAAGGGTAAAGCTTAACTCGCATCCTTGTAATATTATATGAGACCTTGTATAGATACATTATGACCAAGAAGGAGAATCATGTCTTATTGAGTTAAATTATTTGGAAACCTGTCCAGATTTGAGCGCTTGGATATGCTCATCAGTAAGCCCATCAAGTCTGTAAAAGGGGGAAATGTGTCAGAACATTTCTTCAAGAAATATACTATAGATAGAACTCACCTTTTTAGCAAATAATCCACCTCAACGACCTTTGTTAGAGGGATGACAAAGTCTCTGTAAAGTTGAACAGCAACGTCTGGATCGATCTTGAGATCCTTTTCGGGTATAGAGCTATTCAAATCTTGTCCATAAACCTTTGCTTTACCTTCCAATCTAACAAGCAAAGCAGCTTCCACTTCGGGTTTAGTGATCAAAGCTTCGAGCTTTTTCGTATCCCGCTTCTGAATCGCATCTACAAATGTAGGCGTATCCGATCGGAATTTGGATTCAGAAACAAACATACCAAAATGAATACGTTTAGACAATGCTGCTAGAGCATCTACATCACGAACAGCAGCACTTCCATATTCTCCATCGTCGGAGTCTTGTCCAAATCTCTTAGTGAGAGCGGGCACCAAATGATCCTTATAGTGAGAGTAGATTTTATCGTTCACATTGACGATTGCGGGTTCATAAAGTACTTTGGGATACTCGATCGGCGGCAAGATGGGAGCAGGCAATAGTTTGACATCAGTAAAAGGGTATTCGTCAGGTGCTTGCCATCTACGTAATTTGCTATGTGAACTTTCGGTCTCTTTTAAGAACCATTCCACCCAAGATCTTTCCCAACCTTCTTTCTCTTTCAAAGCCGGAATCGCTCCTGGCTCGTACATTACTGCGTTATGTGCATTTTGTCCTCTTTCGATAAGTTGAAATAAAATCGTATCTTCTAATCGTTGTAAGATTGTGCGGATATAGTTGAGTGAAAGAGCTTGTTCTTCTGAACGTGCTACTTCTTTGATCGGTGCCATCTTTGACCTTGTCTTTTGGGATGGTTGGAATGGTTAAAGGTGGATGAATGCTGGCATTGAGAAATGCAATTATCTCTCCCTGCGGGGTCCGTTCGGAGTTGAGTACGCCTTAATTTCGTCATTTGGATAACTTGGGCGGGAGACTTCGTACGCTAAAGAAATAAGCTTTTGCTATCAAATCAAACGTAGACAGTATATATACGCATCTCTTTCGGCTCCATATAACAACAAGTCCCATGTAGTACATCGGTTAGTATATTCGCCTTTCATGATTATTCCAAATAACCAGGACCGCGAAAGAGCCGGGTTCGACTCCCGGCGTGGGAACCAATTTTTTTCGCCTTTTTTTCTTCGAAATATTTTTTTGCCATTTTTATCTCGATGTTTATATAAGCGTTGGCTTTGATGATGAAAAGAAATTATCTAAGATCATGCAGAATAGGGCTGACATAAGAAGAAGTTGTTAATTGCTATAGAGTACAGAGATGAGAAGAAGGAATATGAGCGGGAACCTTGGTTGCTAGAACTCTAATTCATAGCTTTAGAATAGAACGGATGCTTGTGGCATAAAGTTACTTCCTGACAATGAAACTCGCCAAACGCAGCCGAGACCGCTCTGAAGGTTCTAGAAGGTCCTTATTGGTATATTTGAAAAAAAGTGCAAAGCGAAACGAAGTGAAGTACAAATTTTGACGAAATTGTCCATCGTGATGAGGGTGGATCGGTTCATTTTTCCTGTAATGAATTGACAAGCCTTTGTGGGTGGTAGGATGTCAGTATTCAGTCGAATCTCATTCTCTTTCGGCATTACTCACCAGTCTAAACCATCCTCTAGACCATCTCCTTTGATGGCACAACAGCCTTGAATCGTCCAACTACGATCTTTCAATTGATCTAAGCCTAATGCCTCGCTAACTTCACTTACGCTTGCATGACCATCCAAATCTTGTTTATTTGCAAAGACCAAAAGTTTTGCCGAACGTAATTCTTCTTCGGAAAGCATTGCAAGTAGTTCTGCTCTTGATGTTCCTAACCTTTCTTTATCCGCTGAATCGATTACATAAATGATTGCGCTCGTTTCTGCATAATAACATCTCCAATAAGGTCTAATGCTACTTTGACCACCTAAATCCCAAACTTGAAATTTGATATTTTTATAATCTAAACTTTCAACATTGAATCCAATCGTAGGTATAGTTGAAACAACTTCTCCTAATTGTAGTTTGTATAGGATTGTAGTCTTTCCACTATTTTCCAATCCTAACATCAAAATTCGTACTTCTTTGTTCCTTGCCCAAAAAGCCAGAGAGCTAAACATTGACGAGAATGCTGCGCCCATCTTGAAGTTGCTTCAGGTTGGTGTTGTTGTTGTGTGTGAATGTGGGGTCTTGACTTTCCCTCCTTGTACCCTTCTTCTTGCAGTGGAAAGAGCAGCGAATCAAAAATCTCCACTCCGTCTCCTGCAGAGAAACAAAGTCTGATATCGTGATGCAAAGGTGTAATGAGTGTTTCTTGATGCGTTTGTTGTTCTGATGATGATGATTGAGTGTATTCTGGTTTGAGGAAAGGAAGTTGTTGTGATTCTCACGCGTAAAGTCCGAAAAGGTTGAATTAAGCGTTGCGCTGTTTAGCTGTCCTTTAATTCTTACGCAGAGCCAAGAAGCAGAAGAATAACAGCAATTAATATTAAATCACATTTCATATCTTCGCCGTCGAGACTCATATGGTAAATATACCTCATCTTCTCATAATGAGGGCTCGAAGCTAACACTATCATATTTACGACAAGTATATGGATGAGGAGTAATCTTGAGATAGACATGCTTTGAGATAAATCATTGACTTGTAGCCTAAAGATTGATACTATTTTCAGTTTTATGTCATTTCATTGACCGCAATGAAGCATTTCGGCTACTTCTTCATCTTTTCCAGATGAACATAAAATGAACCAGACGAATCGGCCGCATGATTCCTATGAATTTTCTATCGTTCGGCCAAGTCATCTCGAATGCAGCAGAGGATGACATGCTTATTTAAGCTGCACGGACCTAAAACAGATTGTACCTACACTTCGCATTGATGTCAACTTGCCTTCCTCTTTTCATTCCACCATCCTATCAACACATTATGCTCCTATCCAACCGATTAGCGAGAGCATCAGCAATAACAAAAGCAAATCCATCATTCTCTCTACGATCTTTTCCATCAACCCGGCTGGCTCGAATGTCAACCAAAGCAACACCTGAACCTGTTCCATTAATCCTAGCGCCAAAAGATGTTCAGGAATTGATTCGTTCAAAAGATTCATCTTCGATTCGAATCTTGGATGCTACTTGGTTTATGCCAAATGTACAAAGAGACGCAAGAAAAGAATTTGAACAAGGACCAAGGATTCCAAATTCATCTTTTTGGGATGTAGACAAGGTGGCAACGCAAAAAGGCGAAAAGGATGAAAAAGGTAATGAATTAAATCCATTAGGATTAAGTCATATGATGCCAACACCTAAAGTCTTTGCCAATGCTGCAGGTCAACATGGAATCACACCTGATACACATGTTATCGTCTATGATACGCATGGCGTCTTTTCTTCTCCACGTACAGCTTTCACCTTTCATGCTTTTGGACATCGTGCGATTTCTATCTTGAATGGAGGATTACCGGCTTGGATCAAGAATGATTTTGAAGTTGAAAATGGACCACCCCATCAAATCACACCAACAAACTATCCAACCCCTTCTCTGGAATCAACTTTGATTCGTTCGTATGATGAAATGGTTGCCAATGCACGTATGGGCGCAAGAGGACAAACCGTTTTAGATGCTCGTCCGAACGGAAGATTCGAAGGAACAGCACCCGAACCTAGACCTGGTCTTTCATCTGGACATATTCCCAATTCTACATCTCTTCCTGCAACGTCACTCTTGGATACCAATTCAATAAGTTCTGATAAATCTTTCACAACTCTTAAAAATCAAACTGATCTTTGGAGATCGATCAGCGATACCGTTGGAGGAATGGATGAACTCGATAAATTACGACAAGCAAGTTCGGCTGGTGAATCTGCAGTAACAAATACTTGTGGAAGTGGAATGACGGCCGCAATCTTGTGGCTGGGATTATATCAATTGGGTATCCAGAGTAGCATCTATGATGAAAGTTGGACCGGTTATGCATCTAGAAAGGAGAGTGTGATCGACAAGGAATGAAGGATGAAATCGTACTGTATATTTCAATAGAGACGCAAAAGACCTTTCACAAATCTGAATGAATTGAATGAAACATACTATATATTGAATAACAGGATGAGCAGAGCAAGAAAAGCAATAGAATGAGCAAGAAAAAAGTGAGAATGTATAAAAGTAGCAATTGTGTCTGTGAAAAAGATGCGAGTTGAGGGTGCAGTGAAAAGATATGAGAAAAGGAGAATAGTAGACTGAACAACATAATTGAGAACCATAAAAGAGAAGCGAAAAATGCGAGAATGATCGAAGAGCGATCAAAATGGTACAAAGATCGACGGAAAAAAAGTCTGAGATTTGTATATGTTTGTGACGGAATGTACAGACCAAATGTTGAATGCTGTGTGTTGTTTGTAGTATTGTTGCGATTCGATAGCGTTGCTGGTGCTCTTGGGGATGGTATGCGAAAGAATGAAAATAGTATTAAAAGTGTAATTGACTGCTATCGACTTGACGGCCTTTGATGATGATACTACGGCCTGTAGCACCTTGTGAATCGATAGCAGCAGATGAAGATTTATCTGTGGTAACATTTGACAGGTCAGGGTTGACATTCAAAGCCAAACATGCCATCTTGTGCTTTGCTCTGATCCGCTCCATACTTGCGCCAATGTCGACTTTTTCGTCGTTCTCCATTGGCATGGTATCTATCAGAGCAAGAATTGATTGTAGATGCTGATACGCTTTTTGCTGTTTGCGACTAGTGTCAGAGGTTGTAGACTGAGCTTCATTGGATGCATTCAATTGTAGCCATGTACGAGCGAATGCCTCCATTTGACCAAGTTCTTGCCAAAGCTCGAACCCTTTTTCTGCTCCTAGCTGTCTTCCTTCGAATGTGCCATGTAATTTACCGTGTGCTTCACCATCTGCATAGCCTTCTTTGTATGCATTCTCTTCCAAAGAAGAAAGAATGTCAAAATCAAGAGTTGCGCAAGTCATGGTTTGCTATATGACTCTCATTTCCAGATCTTGGTCGTCAAGAAGGAAGAAGCAATCAATCAACGCGCTAGGCAAAAATCACTTTACGCGCTGCACTGCAGATCACTTTAGCGTAGCCACAGCAACTTCATAACATCCACCTTTTACCGGCCAGGAGAAGCAACTCTGGCAGCACGAACAGCATTGGAAATTTGTTCATTGTTGGGCAAAGATGCTCCCGAACCAGCAGGTTGACCGGCCATGAATGTAGCATGATTAGCACTGACCGGCGTTTGTTGACCTCCATGGGAAGAAGCAGAAGATGTGCCTTTGAAAAGTGGATGTTTGCTAAAGCTTAATCGTAATCCACCTTTTACCATACCATCCAGCGTATCACCATTCAATTCGCCTAAAGCTCTTCCAGCACAGCCTACATCTTCAAATTCGATGAAGCACATCGGTCCGCTACTCTTCACCCTAAAGCTCATTTGACGGAAACCGTTCTTGACCGAAAAGACTTTGTACAAAGCATCTTCTAGTTGTGTTGAATTGGGCGGAGAGGTAATGCTTGCGGGTAAATTGCCAACGAATAAAGTATTTCCTGGTGGATTGGCATCAATGCTGAAGCTTCGACTTGTCGGGCTAGAGATCGGTGGACTTCCTGGACTCGTTGCACGGAAGTGCATGCTGGTCGTATCGAGAAAAGGCGGTGGCGATCGCATAAGAGCATGAGGAGAAAATGGTCTTTGGTTGTTCATAGGGGAGTCGATTCTGAGTGAGCCAAAACGTGATCCTGGTCCGCCACTTCCAACGCTAACGGAAGGCGAAGTGGCTCGATTGGATAAACGTGAATGGGGACGATTGACACCATGCGAAGAAGATGTATTGATCGTCGTCATACCACCATTACCGGCTTGATTCATTCCAGCAGGCAAGATTGTCGACATAATCGATGATTGTCCTGCATGTGCTGCAACGGGTGCTGCCATTGGTGGTGGAGAGACGGCATTTTGCAATCGCTGAACATGCGTTGCTTCTGTATCGATTCCATTCAAATGAGAAGTAAAGCTGGGCAATTGACTTTGCGATGCTTTACTTATTGGTTCTGCTTCATTCTTTTTCTCAGATCCTTGGGGCGACGTCATTGGTGATGTTGAAGATTGATGTGATCTTTGTTGTTGTTGCTCTTGTTGCACTTTGAACGTCGTCGACTCCCCTTGCTTAAAATCCTCTGATTGAGTACTGCTCTGTTGTTGATGCTGACTGTTTGGGAAAGAGGTAACTTGCGCAGGAACTTCTCCAAATGTGATTGGCTTTGCTGCCATTGCATTTGGATATGCTCCGTTTGGTGAACTTATGGCGCCCCAATCTGGCCCTCTTTGTCCACCTTGTGCAGGTCCAGCAAAGGGTGGTTGAGTGGATATACTGAGGGATTGCTGTCTTCCTTGATGCTGCTGATTCTGCTGTCCGCTTTGGGAAGCTCCATTAGCATCAAAGTAGTCCAATGGTCCCGATCCACCCCATTTCTCATTACCACCTCTCGATCCAAATTGCTCTCCTTCACTTTGTTGAGTGGATCCAACGAATTGTCTACGGCCAGCATACATGTTTCCACTTTGTTCAGATGGCGAGAGCATCCCACCAAGGCCACCATGCTGCCCCACGTTTTGGCCACTGAAAGGATCAAAAGGCGGTTGCGATCCAGCTTGACCATTTGAGCTTGCCGGATGTGGGACATTGGAACCAGCATTATTGTACGTGTTCAAGAAGGCATTTGGAGGTCCCATTGAATTTTGTGTAGGTGCATTTGGATGCGGCACCATGCGTGATCCTTGCATTTGAGGTCCAAAGCCTGGAGGAGCAGGACCACTAGGGTCTTGTAGGCCATTTGAGGGTGGAATGAATCCTGGTCCATTTTGAGCAAGATTGCCGGGCGCCATAGCAGAAGGGCCATGTGATTGGGGAGGACCTTGATGCATAGGCATATTAGATTGTGGGAATCCATGTGGTGGTCCCATACTACCCGGTCCCGAAGGCGGAGGGAACGATGACTGACCTTCTTGTCCAGGAGCAGTTGCCAAAACTGGTCGTTGTTTGGTGTGCAGATTCTTCTTTGCCATTTCGGTTTTCAGAACACAGCCTCGCTCTGCATCAATCTTTCTACCATTCAAAGCATCACGAGCTTCCAGAGCTTCTGCTCTTGTACGGAATTTGGCGAAACCGATAATCTGTTTAATCTTGCCGGGAGGACCCATAATTCCACCTTGCAAGCCTCCCATACTACTTCTATCGCCCGCTGCGATTGTTGACATAGATCCGAAGCTGTCTGGACCGGAGCCATGACGCGAAAGTCCCATGGAGATAGCATGCTCATCCCAACTGCTACCTCCTACGCTTGATCCTGCACCGCCATTACCGCTTTGCATATCAAACAAATTCGATCCAGTTACATTAACGGCATTATATGGACCACCAGGACCCGCACTTGCATTTTCTCCAGGTCGAAGAGGCGCTGTATTCATGCCAGCTGGAATTTTGAGAGTTGATGCTTCGAACCCTTTAGCGAACAAGAACATGTTTGCAAATTCGCGTTCTGTCATGTCATCTGGGAATCCAACGATGAATACTGTTGTGATTTCTTCTCCGTTTCTTGGTCCTTCAAGACCTGAGCTCATTCCCGTCTGCGATCCCCCTGAAGGTCCGCCAGTAATACTTGAAGGATGAAGTTGATGTTGCTGGGACTGTGATGGATGCTGTTGCTGTTGTGCTTGCATTTGTTGCTGATGAAATTGCATCATACTTCTAGGACTGAGGCTATCAGAAGGTGGCAGGCCAGACAAGGGACCGAATTGTTGTCCGCCAACTGTTCCGCTATTACCAATATTAATGGCTTTTGATCCTTGTCCTGTGTTGTGCATCATGTTTGGAGGATATCCGCTTCCCTCATCCCTTCCTATACTGACATTGTCGAATCGTGTATGAATTTGATCAAGAGATGATCCACCAGAGCTCTTTGCTTGACTTGTTCCACTTTGTCCGCGTACTTCAGTATCTGTTGATCTTTGTCCACCACTACCCCAGATATCGTTGTATCCCAAAAAAGGTTCATTCACACCAAACATGCCGGAAGATAAATTCTTTCTCTGTTGTTGTGAATGTTGTTGACCTTGTTGAGGGTAGTTCTGAGAAGGGCCTCCATAATTTATTGAAGCATCAGCTGATGTACTGAAATTTTGTTGTTGTGCTTGTCCCATACTTGCCCATCGATCGCGAGACTCAGGTGCGTTTCCGAAAGTGAATGGCCCGCGCTTTGTAGGTGATGGTGATCGTGCCTCACCTCCCATTGCTGGAGGTGGTGAGGTGAATCTGGAGAACGATTGTGCAGAAGAAGATGTGAGAGATTCGCCCAACATGACGCTCGTTGGGGGTGAAGATGAATTTTGAGCGTGAAAGTTTGTGGTTGGAGATGTTTCTCGATTGGCTGGAATAGTAAAAGGAGCCGAGCGTGCGTCGATGTCCCTCCAAACAGATGCTTGTGGCCAATCCTTATTCGATGAAGAAGATGAAGAGGATGTGGTTTTGGTCGTCATGTTATCCGTACCCATCTCTATTTGAATGAGATAGTGTACTCTTTGCGTTTTTTACACAATCACTACCTCCTTCTCCTCCCCTTCGTGCTAGAAGGAGAAAAAGAACCTATCCGATATTCCTTGTTTTCGCTCCACTATGATCCCGATGATCTAAGATAGCGGATGCAGGTCAATGCAACGCGGTCCGAGCAATGGTGCGTCGCCGAGATAATAGAATCCTTTTTAACGCGTTTACTAACGATCGACAGCATATAGGCGCTCAAATGCGCTTAAATGATGATGAAGGTTGAAGATGGGTGTGATGGCGATGCTGAATTCAAATGGATGCTTGGATAAAGGTGGGTTTGTTGACTGACGATCAAGTATCACAAATCCAATCAATCAGAAGAAAGTGGCCGCTTATATGAGATCCCGTTCGACAAGAGGGTCCTTTCGCTGACTAGCAGGGTACGTTGCTTTACTGCAGATGTCGGAGGAGTGAATTTTGGTGGTGAACTTGAATATTCTACGCCAAAATCGAACAATTTCGGGAATCCGCAATTCGGAGATCGAAGACAGATGAAAAGCGCCGACGGTTGGACCACAGTAAGGTTGGGCGACTACACCAAGCGTTGATGATGCTTTACTATCTGCTGTACAGATTAAATGTCGATTTGATTTTGTTTGGAACGCGCTGTAATGATGGATGCAATCCGTCAATTGATGGCGATGAGCTTTGCGCACGGATGGACGGATGCAATCACCACAAATAAAAAAATAAAATGGGCGAACGCGCGAGCTGCTTTTGTCTTGATTGTTGCGCGCGCGCGCGCGTTTTCTTTTTTACTCGTGTATAGAGACATTTTTCCCACTAATTAAAATTGAATAAGGTCAATATACATTTACACTGACAGAGTGCTGAACAGGGAACTGGAACACTTGCAAGAATGGACACTGTTCTTAGCGCGTAGTCAAATTAAAAAACAAAGGCTTCTGGCTGAGTATGAAAACAGTGAGACAATAACCTCGGTGACAGACAGGCTTGAATATCGTGAGAATTGGCTTCCATATACATACACTGCTCTACAACCCAGTCTTGCCGATACTTCTTCCCTGTAAATCCCGCGACCTTATAACCTAGGCGGGATATAATATAGCTTTACAGATATAAACAATCTTCTACACTTTTAAGTATATGAAGTATGATATAGTACCGCTGGTATATTTGAACCATAAAAATAAAATAATTTTCATTATAGTATGTTATTTCTTCTTTTTTTAATATTTAAAGTTAAAACATTAGACAGTACTTTGTTATTTGACTTAAATCGTATATATTATATAAAAGATAGTATTATGTCTACTTGGATTTTCTAATAGATATTCTTCCATCTATACGTTTATATACAGGTGACACAGCTATCACTCCTGTAGAAAAGAAAATTTATCATATTTCACATTCTATATTTAAAATTTTATTTTCAATCTTTGGCTTCTTGTATATATCAAGGTAGAAGGCTACAACCCTATTTATCACTGTCGTCATTGCGATCGATCTCTTCGCCTTATTTTATCAGAATAGTAGTATAGCAACGTGTTAGTAATTATTCCTAGAAGGAAAAAGAATTAATCATTTTCTTATTGAGTATATCTCTTTTAATCATTTTCATCATTTTCTGATGCTAGCAATTCAATAAAAACACTGAATTTAATATCGCCTTCTCATATAAGCCGCTGACAAGAATGGCATTTTCTTATTCTATCTTACCTTGTCAGGATAAGATATGACATTTCCCAACATATAGGTAGAGTGTGTATATCATGCTCAAGCGCGTGTTGAATGGAGACGAATGTTACGGTGAAGGTATACACACACAGGTTAGGTAAGTGTGAATTCACACGCTTAAAGACTGCTAAGACGCCTAATGCTTCACGCAGCGCACACGCATAAAACATCAACCCGTTCAACATAAAAGCGGCGTTAAGGAGGGAAAATTATGATTGTGAACGGGATTAACTCCATTGTGTTGGATTATTCTAATCATATCTCAAAACTCTCATCAGTTTCACAACTTCAAAAGACCGTATAAGAGAGCTTCCAGCCCATCATGGCGCCTATACCGCCTATATTGATTAGGCTAGCCGCAACATATCTTACTACAGCATTAACAAGAAGACTACAACAATCACCTGCATTCTTTCGATTGGTGGACAGATTGGTACATGAAGCCGATCACTTTCCTGCACGAATGCAAGGCAAACCCGTTCCTCCATACATAAGCAGAGATCCACAAGAGCCCACGATAAGTGAACAAGCGCAAGATGCATGGCGAAGGCAAGGTGAGTGGCTGTAGCTCGATACACAGTAGATAATCACGAATTACTAACCCTCTCTCAACATGTATTTGCCTCCACCCTCACACAGTCGAAGATCCAGGAGAACCACATGATATGGCAGACCCATTCCGACCACCAACATCCTCAAATGCTTCTGGCTCTACCTCATCTTCGCCACGTCCCGATCCACTGCTACAGCGACAGAGAGCAAAAGACACATTCAAAGCAGCACAAAGGAACGCACAAAAGTCAAGAGAAAAACAAGCAAAAGAGCAGGAAGATATGAAAAGACAAAGTGATCGAGATCAGATGCGGGATCTGTTAGAGAAGATACGGCAGGGCAAATAAGAAAGAACTACAGCACGCATACATACATACCTCACAACTTCATTCATATTGCATTTATATACCTTAATTATTTTCACATCGGCGCTCGTATAAGTCGATTCTATTCAAACATGATTGTAGATTGAGCTAAAAGGATCAGAACAGTTGAGACGGGGAAAAGGGAAAAAGTCATACATTTGAGAATTGGTCATAGCACAATAAAAGATGCGAGTCAAAAATTAAAGTCAAAAAGACAATCGTTTGCCTTTCTCGAACCGAAAAAGACGTACAAGCGGACGGCTTTCGACTGCCTTCCTCTCTCCATCACACAATCAACAGCAGCCACCCTTCTTCTGTTGACCTCCGTCATCCGCTGAAGGTTGAACAGTGATCGTCTCTCCGCCTGAAGGTTTGATAACATCATCGGATGATTGCAATGCCTTATTTGATACGATGCGGTAGATCTCTGTCAAGATGTTTTGGAATGCTTGTTCTACATTTGATGCGTCCAAAGCAGATGTTTCGATAAAGGAAAGGTTATTCTCTGCTGCGAATGCCTTTGCTTCATCTGTTGGAACGGCACGTAAATGTCTCAAATCGCTCTTGTTTCCCACCAACATGATAACGATATTGCTATCTGCATGATCCCGTAATTCTTTCAACCAACGACTAACGTTTACGTATGTAGGATGTTTGGCAATATCATAAACCAACAAAGCACCTACTGCTCCACGATAATAAGCTGAAGTGATTGCACGATAACGTTCTTGACCGGCAGTATCCCAAATTTGTGCTTTAACAGTCTTTCCGTCAACTGCGATACTTCTCGTTGCAAATTCAACACCGATCGTACTCTTGCTTTCTAAGCTGAATTCGTTGCGCGTAAATCGAGACAAAAGGTTACTCTTACCTGTGCCTGAGTCACCGATCAAGACGACCTGGAGGAAAGGAGATGTTAAGCGTGATGTTTTGCAAGGGATTCAGATTGTAGTACTCACCTTGAATAGATAGTCGTAATTGGATTCAGCGGCCATGATTGAATAATAGCTATCTCAGATAACCAATATTATGCTCGTACTAGGGTGAATCCCAAAAAATGAAAACGCAAAATGAATGAAAGCTGCGAATATAGATCTTCTTGCTGATGAGACCTGCTCTAATTCGTTATTGATCTTTGAGTTATTTGATCTTGAGATCTGATCTTTCTTTTGTTGCTTTTGCTTTATGATGGTGTTTGATTATGATGAAGCGAATACTATCTTTTTTTTCCTTAACACACACACATATCCTGTCTTATCCTTTCCTTATCCCGACAGCTCTAGCCCACAGACAGAATTGCGCCTTAAAAATGCTTACAAGTAGGGCAACAGCAACAGACAGCAATAGCCCACTACTCAAATGATTGAATTATTCAAATGAATATAGGGCGCGCGCCCGCCCTGAGCTGAGCTTCACTTTCACCCACAAGGGCTAGCCGTTTGTTTAAACAAGCAACAGCCTAAATCGCGCACAGCAAACACGCTCATCAAAAGAGATACACAGCTGATCCGCCGCTCATATACGATACGCGTTTTCTCTTTCCCCTCTTACGCGGCGTAGCGTAAAAGGGCCCTCCTCTCTTTCTCTTTCTTAAAAGGGGTCCGATGTTTTATCAATGAATATGAAGATGAACATGAATAATGATGATCGGTTTGTGCTCTTCCCTTAGTCTTTTCAATTGAAGATCATTAGCTGTTGACAGGAGTGCGTTTGAACGCCGAACAAAAGATCGACAAATGGACCCCCCTTTCTCCAACCTTCTAAATGCTTGCCAATCATCATCTTCCCACACTGAAACACAAACCCAGATTAAGAGTTCTTAATGGAAAAAGGGCGCAAGTCGATTGCGATTGAAATACGAAGAACAAAATTGGTAAGTAAATAAATGATAAAAAGGCACGAAAAACCCGTGAAAAATATGATCGAATTTCAAGCACTGCTCGAGATGACGATGAATATTGATACACGACTGATGTGCAATAAGAAACGAACCGAAAAAATAAAAACTTTTTAATAAGAGATGAGTGCAATTGAAATTGATGATGAAATGTTGGTATGAAGTTCATGATGTGTGTTTGTGTTTTGCACGGAAATCCTGATACGCGTATTCCCGTTACGTTGAATGATGGCGATCAAACCCTTCTTCGACCCAAGCGAAGAAAGAGAATGAACCATGGTGCTTATGTTGCTTTTTGATCTTATCCCTTCAAGTTGAGGGGGCCGAACAAAGCTGCTTCCCATGGGGATGGTTTGCCGGCATAGTAGATCTTCAAGTTCTTCACCACACCGGTATCAAGGCTGTGCTTAGGGTCAACTTGCTTGAATGCACTCTTTGTCAAATCGATGTGACCTTCTTTGCATCCAGCACATTTGTCGACGATACGAACGCGAATGCAATTGTTTTCGCTATTGCAAATGTAAACGAATTCACCGCATTCTGGGCCTCCGTTCCATCCGTACATGACTGCACCAATGTGACAACTGTTGGTTGGGTTCCATTGACCGTTACCGCATTGTGGGTTTTGCAAATCGTGACTGGCGTACCATGTAACTTCTCCGCCGTGGTACATCATCTTTGCGCCTTTGGGAACTTTGACGTAGTGACCTGATGATTTGTTACTCTTGCGGTGCTTGTGCTTGTGTTTGTGACTACGACGGACAGGTTTGATAGCATCTTCAGCTTCATCATCCTCGTCGAAGTCGTGATCACCTGAACCACCTTCAATGACTTTAATTTGGCTGTCTGGAATATCTTCGACACCCGTCTTGGCATTGATAGAGCCAGGTGCAGCTGATGCGGCGGGAGCATCTGCAGCGATGACAGATGATGTTGCTACGGCGACAGCCATAGCTGCGACTGCGACGAATGAGAAACGCATTGTGATGTATTTGTTGTTGTGGAAAGTTGGGGTGAAAAAGGGGTGGGGATGAATGAATCTCAAAAGCTCTGCTTGAGATATAAGTTGTTGATTTGAAAGAATGTGGTTTTATCGAAAGAATGTTATGTTGTCGATAATACGTTCGATCTGTGGAGAGTGAAAGGGAACGATAGAGGGAGGGAGTAGATGATGATGGTAAGGAGAATTAAAAGGATATGTACACAAACAAACAATCACTCCATTGTCCTTTTTGTATGGATTCGAATTGAGAAAACAACACTAGTTTATACAAGTCACCACCCATTTACACTGTCAAATGCGGCATATAATCAATCGCGTTTAAGGCCCATTCTTTTTGCCGCCGGCGGCCATCCGGTACTGTGTGGGTCCAAGAATAGACTTAAGATGAATGAAGAACAAGTAGTGAATTAAGTATATGAATGAATATATGCGCTTGCTTGGCGTGAAGAAGCTTTCTTTTGCAGACAAAGTAGACCGAGAGAGAGAGGGGTACTTGCATACCAATCATCCGCGCACTCCCTATGGTCACATCGCATAAAATTACGCTAATCATTTACACCACACACACACACACAAGAAAGATGCCTACATAACACGCATCAGGAGGTATAGGCGCACGCAGCACACGTCCAATTACTGTCTGTCCAACTGTTTGAATGCCCTTTGTCTCCTTTGTGCCATTTGTATGACATCCCCCACGCAAGCCACTTTCTCTGATCTTACGCCCTTTTTACGGAGAATAAAGGCTTTTCCTCGTCCTTCCTCTCTTCATTCACCCCACTCAAACGCCAATCTATTCTGCTGCAAATTTCTTGGCCGACTTCGAATGAACCCTGTTGATGGCTTTTAGGGTTATATTAACCGGTCTTATTTGCCTTTTTCATATCTATTTTCGGTAATTGGATGTTTACGGCGATTAACCTAAGAGCCGCTGCGACCGTAGTGTGAATGATGCGCAAATTAAATCACAAAAAGAAAGAATTCAAAGGCAAGTATGACGTAGAGAAATCACCGGGATTACTTTAATTGCATTCACTGTGCTTAAGCGATTCATTCTGGCGTTATTGACGTGCATAATTGATGCATTTTAAAGGCCGTATTGCTAAAAATATAAAAATACCACTAGTCACATTCCTCGTTGAACCTTTGCATGAGTGGCAATCATCAAATGCACAGAAAAGGATCATGCTATCAATACACGTGTGTGAAAATAGCTTATATCAGCATATTGTTACGTTTTGTAGTCTCCAGGCACTGTTTTCTGATTGATATTAATAAATTTGTGAGGTAAAGAAAAGTGGGTAGAATTTACATGTGATATGAGACTATTTATATTCAACATATGGGCTAATTATGGGCACCAAGACTGTGGTTCGTCAGCCTTTGTGGCGGAACAGGCGTTAAGGCGTGATACGGCGTGATACGGCAAGTGACGCCTGTACACGTGTCAGGCGTACCGTATACGTCATATCCCAACACATATATCAGCATATATCAATCTCTCTTTCCCGCTTATATCAGCGAATCACGTTTACTTACTAATCGAATACCTTCAAATACACTTTCAGGTCTATCAATCACTAAAATATATATTTCTGATCAGACAGATGGGTATGAAAGACTGATTATTTTAGCCTTAAACTCAATGATATGGTAC